AGAGCCGGAGTGTCTGCACGCGGGCTGGGATACATCTCGAAAAAAAACATCATGTTGTGTTCAGAGATCGAGGACCCGGATCACCGCCCCGAGAATGGGACAAAGAGCCGGTGGGGCAATTCGGTCGGTGGTTACTTCGTCGTTGCTACTGCTGTGTTTAACTATGCCGCAGTGGAGCGGACTGGAACGACGCACAGCCTCTTTTCTTGGCAGCTGCGGGGGAGGAAGAGGAGGTGTGATGCAAACCGTGTAGCCTTTGATGCCAGAGTGCCGCTCCGAATTCTTCAGTTGCCTACAGCGAGGCAGCTCGAGTAGAGTATCCAGGCCTCGAAGATGATCCACGCAGACGGTCTCGCCCAGGAACACAGAGATCCATCATCCCAAACGCATCCATGTGATTGGCTGTGCTGGCAACTGGATTCGATACTCAGGTAGCCACTGGGCACGGCTCGCATTGGGGTATCTGGTACAAATCTGGGCTGTTGCGAGCGATCCACTGGATCGAGTGCTCGAGTGCTCGAGTAACCCCCGTGCGCCCAACCCTTTATTCATCGAGTATCATCATGGCATGCCATCGCCTTACCATATGTTCGAAGCCGATAGGTGCTTGGGGGCCGTGCGTTAAGCGACCGGCCATCCATTCAAGGCGCTTCCTCTATGGGGACAGAAGTGACGGCTTCGTCGGCCGCCGTGGGCGGTGAAAATTAAATGCCCCAAAAAGCCCGACGGACGTCCCAGGAACGAAATGAACGAATGGAGAGTGTGGCTAGTCATTCCTGTCGAAACTAATGCCATCGCGGCCAGCGGGATCCCAAGGTGTTGTTCTTGTCCGTTTTATTCTTTCTTCGATGGTGTTGATGATTATGATGCTGATGATGATGATGATGCTGCTGATGATGATGGGTTGAAATCTTTTAATATCATCCTGTAGCGTAGTTTCCGTGGGGATCCCATTTCTGCTTTTCCGAGAGCGACACGCACAACTCTCGAGCAATCTACTTGCGAGCAGACCAGTAGTTATCAGCATCGAGAGACCTGCGCCAATGCAGGCACACCCCTCCTCTCCCCCACGTCACTCACTCACATACCGCCAAACGCACAGAAGAAAAGGCGGTATGCAGAGGAAGAGTGGGATCGCTGGGACTGCGAAGCTGGGGAATTGTGTATCTGGATAGGCAAGCACCTGCTTGTGTGTGAACGGCCAGAGCTGTGGGCAAGTGGGGGTTAGGCCCTTCGCGGGCCACGACGGACGGTGACGACGAACCGAATCATTGGCCCCACCTGTGGAATCAGTGGGAGAGGAAGGCGATGACGGGTTGGGCCCAATCGCTGGTTTTTTCTTCTCGTCGATATTGCACGTCCCATCCACGTATGAAGTACGTACCTCGATAGATTGTGCTCTAAGCGGAGGGGCGAGCTGGCGTGGAAGCACAGACGATTGCTGGTGTCCTAACCCCTCCAAGGATTGCTCCTGCCGCCAGAGCTGCGGCGTGTTGGCGGGTTGTCGAATCGCATGCGAGCTTGCACGTTCGTTAACGGTTCGCATACTTAGAGGTAATTGCTTTTTGTCTCGGTCCCCACGTCGCTGCATTGCATGCCATAATTGCTTTTTCGAGGGCGGTGATCGCTGCATTCGTTGGGGGAAGAAAAAAAAGAAAAGAAAAGAAAAGAAAAGAAAAGAAAAAGAAAAAAAGAAAAAGCGAGAAAAAAAATGTCTTCCGATATCAGGTCTGAAAAATGGCCATTGCGATGGCCTACAGCGGCAGAGGCAGTAACCACCTGGGCCCAAGTTTTCTGCCCCGAGACTTCCACAGTCCACTGGGCAGTACCTGCACTTGCATGACACGATCGCCCCGAAAACACACACACACTACCCGTCAGTTTTTTCTCTTCTTGTGCCAGAGCCAGAGCCCATTCCGCACGTCCACTCACAGCACACGGATACCGCCAGGGCCGTCAGACAACAAGCCATCTTCAACGCGGTGCTGGATGGCTGGCTCGACGCTGGATGGATGGATGGATGGATGATGGAGCACAGAGCGGACAACGAGGTGTGCGAAGTGTGTTCGCCGCGCCCGCGCCCGTGCACCTCGAATCAGTCGGTGGCCACATTTCATGAACGAGATGTCAATATGTCACCGCCGGTAGGCTGCTTGCATGAACGCTGGTCAACCATTGGTACCGTAGGATGTTGCAATTCGAAAGTCACCCACCCTCGCTGGCGTAGTGCGTGCGAATGTCTGTATGTGGGGAGTGCCTGCCTGTGCCCGTAAATCATTTCCCAAGGAGAAAAGCATCGGACTGCTCTCGCGCACCCCGGCAACGCACAGTCTGGACGAACGAACGGCCTCGACCACCGCTACGAGTGTGGTGGCTGGCAGCTGGCAGTCAACCGACTTACCGAGTACCGCTTCTCCCATTCTCGTTATCGTTAGTGTGCTCTGCATCGTTGTTTTGGGATACGGTGCTGGTGGTTTTGCTGTTCTGCTTTCTGCCTCTGCCTCATTGCGAACCGTTGGTCAAATCGACGCCGGCACGCTCGCTGTCATTTCGGTGCTGGGGTCTGTCCGTATTTATCCCATCCACCTGTCAGGCGATTCCAGACATATATCTGGATGAACGGCACAACCTCTCCAGGAAGAAGAAGTAGAAGAAGAAGAAGAAGCAGCAGAAGCAGCAGAAGCAGCAGAAGCAGTAGCAGCAGACGCAGACGCCAGACGCCAGACGACGCCGAGGAAACACTCCATCATTTCGGCTTCCAACCCAAGACACGCTTCCGTCGCGCAAGCTCTCGACTCAGGTAGGAGCTTACTCAAAGCCTGCGTCTTCTCGATTGAACCCTGAACGATTATGTCAAAGCTGTCAACAGCCCTCCTTCCAATCTTCGACCCGTACATCAGCATCTACTAAAGGATTTCCACTTCGAACTTCAACCGGCCAACATACCGTCAAGCAGCTCTCAAAACGACACTTTCAATTCTCCTCCTCCGACCCAGGAAGGTAACAGACTAGATTTCCGATATATTCGCGTAACTTCCCACCTCGACCGTCCAGCTGTGACCAGAAAAGTTAACACTGCAAGGTTAGAAAGTCGATATCATAGAAATCAACACTCCCGTCATCGTCGAGTTTTCCGAAGTCTAAACACTTCAAGGTTCGACACCCAACGTCAACAGTCTCGAATCGCAGGGACCGTGTGTCCTCTGCCTGTGGACTTTTCTGGCTAACCTTTCTCCCTGCAATCCAGATTCCAGACACCCAGTAGCTCGGAATAGACGCCTAGCCATCTTTGCCGACAAACTATCCATCAGGCCACACCGTAACAGCTTCCACCGGGTCCTGGAATATTCCTTCCATCGATCCTCTGCTAGACAAAGGTTATCGATTGCGCTAGCGATCGGGTCCATTCGTCCAGTTTTCGGACGGACGGGGTGGAGCGTGCGTGCGTGGATAGGCAGACACTGGAAACGGTGCCCCACGAGCAGTTCTCCGGTAGAGCTCTCTGTAGCAGCATTCTCGGTGCCTCTTCTAGCTGGTGAGTTGTTTGTCTGTCCCCCCCCCTCCCCCCCGCTGGTAGGCATTGTCTACATACCACCCGGCCAGCATGTGCACTTTCTGTCATTGTTGTTCCCTCGTGTATAGTTTCGTGTTCTGACTCGGCTGCCTGTTTGCGAAATTCAGACCGAGCCTCTTTGAATGTGACGCGGCATTCGGACACGACACACGTACTTTAGCAGCGTTTTCGCGATTCCCAGAGACTTTGGGACCGCGCCGGTTGATCAGTCGTGGTTGTCGAATATCTTCGTCGACCAGTAGTGCCGCAGCAAGCAGCCAGCCAGTTGTCGAAAGCCTAACAGCAGAACGTCTCCGCGAAGGGTCCTAGATTCTCTTCCAATCGCTTGTTGTGCTCGTTCGTTCGTGTCAATTCCAGACCATCGGAGGCGACGAGTGGAGAAATCTCGACATCACCACGCAAGAGACGTCAGCAGATAGCGAACAGCCCAACACACTTCGGGGAGATCGACTCTTCCTACATCCCTCACCCTTGACCCCTCTCCCAGCCCAACTAGGCTAGACGCGCGCATAGCGAGTGATCCAAGACGTAATCATCGCACTCCGATATTTCCCAAGCAGCCTCGAGTGCCCGACACGACCTGGCTGGCCGTGGCAGCTCTTATAATAAATACTTCCAGGGACCGCAGTGTTTTCCAAAGCAAGAGGAACAGACATATCGGAGCTGAAGCCTGAGCCTGAGCATAGGATACTTGCTTTTCACGTGTAAGTGGACATTCCCCATTGCTTTGCTTTCCGGCTGGAGCAGCACACAGTCCGTTTGTTTGTCTGTGTTGCTTCTGGATCCATGCTCTCCACTCTCTCTCTCTCTCTTTTATCGTCCTGTTTTTGTTCTGCTGCCCTGCCTGGCGCTGTTTCGTGGTGGGCCGTGATGCCCACGCCAGTTATCCCCGCGATGCCGACACGGGATAGCTCTTTATCACCGTCTATGGATTCATTCATTCATTCCATTGACTGGATCAATGACTTACCCTTTACGGCTGTGATTCATTCACATATTCACTCATTCAATCTCCAACACATCATGCCCAACTCACCCTCTCCCCCCTCCCCACTTCTCTCGCTTCACTTAGACATATATCCTGTATTACTACATATGCGCCTATACTAACTTGAATCCAGCTACCACACTCCAGTTGGCTGTCATCGCCCGCCTTCACATAGCTCCTCTCCTCCTCCACCCCCCCCCCCCCCCCCCCCCAAGCTATCCATATCCATCTCTGCAGAGTTCAGTCGCCTGCTATATCAAAAAACCTTCTTCCATCGCTCCAACAAAAGTGAAAAACATACTTTTTTAGTCTCAAATCCAGATTCCCGACACGACTGCCAGATCTCAGTATAAAGTCCTCGAGCCAGAATAACCTCCTCGAGTTTCATCTCTGTCGACTTTCACACTCTCCCTTCTGCTCCGTGCACTCTGCTGCCTCCCCAACATACCTACTAGGTTCGTTTCCGGTTCTCTGTGCTGTCCTCTTTGCTTTTGGCCCATGCAGAACAGCACGTTGTCTATCTGAGTGCGATTGTCAGCGGAAAAACCATCTCATATTTATGCTCGTACCCTGCTAACTCACCCGTTTAAAGACGCCGTTTCTAGTTTTCCCTTCGGAACGAACGAGCATCTCGGGGATCTTTGTTTCAGCGTCACGGCCGTGCATCACCAGAGTTTCCTCGGAACTCTAATTCTCCCCCATCATGTCGGGTGTCACTCCATCTTTCCACGGCATCGTGCTCAACAGCAGGGATGCCCTCCTACTATTCACGGACGCTATTCAGGGCCATATTCCTATGATCACCCGTCGTCCTCACGACAAGGAACGTGCCTCCTCAATCACGTCGGGAAATATCTTCATCTACTGCGAACATGGCTCGTCAATCAAGCGGTGGACCGATGGAGTCACCTGGAGTCCCAGCAGGATCATGGGCAACTTTCTTATCTACCGCGAGCTCAACAAAGGATTTCCCCCCGGCGAAAAGAAAAGGGCCGCGAAGAAGAAGCAACACCCAGATGACGGCAGTGAGAGCCCTCACGAGCAGACGGAGGAAGATCTGCTTCCGCCTGTGAATATCAGCAAGGATGAAGAGCGAATGCTCATCGGTTCCCTTATCGATTCCTACGACTTCAAGAGGGAAGGGTTAGTGAAGAAGACGATTAGCGTCAAGTACCAGGATCAGGTGTACCATCTCGTCTCCTATTACACCCTGCGCCATGCTATGAGCGACCTCATGAGTAGGCAGCCTTCGAGGATGCCTGAGTTCGCCACCACGCAGCTCATCGATGAACTTGTCAACGGTCAGAATTTCCGTGTTGCTGTTGACGTAAACGGAACGGATATTGCCAGCAACAACAACAATACTCCTCCGCCTTCGACTGGCTCTCCGGGTCCATCCTCCCACCGGTACCACGACGAGGATCCCTACTCCCATGGACACCATCAGACTTACATGTCGAGTTCAGGCCCCAGCGGGTACAATTCGCCTCCCGTGCTCAACCGATACGATTATCAAAGAGAGACGCTGTCTTACGAGACCTCCAGCACTTCTATTCGCAACTGTTCCGGCTACGGCTCAAACGGAAGGAACGACGACATAAGCCTTTATTCGCCGTCCATTCGGGACAACATCCCGCGGTCGCAGATGGCATACCAACCCCCTCAAGAATACCCTGGATACCCACAGGATAGCAGCGCGCGCTCATTTTCCATCGGTTCTGGTATGCATGGTGATTCCCATGCAATGGAAGGCAACCCGCACCCCGGAATGCCACAGGGCCGCTCCCAGTCGTACAGTGCCGGCGCACACTACAGTGGAATGACCGACCCGTCGTCCTATGTGAACGGCCCTCCTCCGATACCACTGTTGGCGTCGAGAAGCAGCTTCACCATGCAGCAGCATCCCTTGGCGGCCGGTTCTGTTTCTCCTGAGAAGAACAACGGTTCTCATGGAAGCTACCTCCCTTCTCCACGTCAGCAGCCTTCCACACCGGAGCACCCCGAAGATCAAAGGCCTGGCCTGGGCTACCAAATTGGAGAAGACCCCGTGACATTCAGTCAACCCAACTGGTCGTAGTCGCCAACTTGACGACCAAATAATTGTGGCGTCGGATTCGGGTTTCCTTTTTTGAGCAATGTTACTTTGAGCGGCTCTATTGAACAGTTGCATGAGTATGGATATGGCGGTTGGAGTTGCATTGAGTCAATAGCCGGGCAGATTTTCCGGTATGAGAGTAATGGTACACAGAGCCGTGTTGTCGGACGAGCGCTGGTTGCATACCGGCTGGTTCTGGATCCATTCCGACCTGCATTCTCTGGAACTTTTCACTAGGCGTCGGGGGTTTCTTGTTTTTTTTCTTTCTTTCTTTTCTCTCTCTCTCTCTAAATTCTCCCCTCTCCCCCCTTCTCCCTCCCCATCTTGTGGAACCGTCCATGCTGTTCCGGGGTAACCAATGTCTTTTCATATTGTTTCTCTTTGCAAAAGGCGTGCCGCGTTGACTGGCTTTTGGCTTTTGGCTTTTCCACCGACTTTCTTGTGTGATTCTCTCTCTATTATTTTGGACCTTTTTTTTCGTTTTCTTCTGGGCTGTTTGGTTGTTAAATGGCTTTGATAGACTTGGGGGGAACTTGTGCATACAGAACTGTTTTGTCTGTTGTTTTGATTCTTTTTTATTATTCTCTTTTCTTGAGCACACACTTGTAATGTACCTAGGGCAGGTTAGCGTAGTGATATGGCCTTTCTGTCATAAGTTCGAGTTCATAAATGTTTGTTCGAATACATTGTTCGTCATGCCGGTGGAGATCTACTATATATCGCTACGTGACATCCGTGATTGTCTGCTGTCAATACCCCTCTGCCCGCGGTTATCAAGCGCGCCAGCCGACGGGGGTGATGGAAGGAAAAGGATCTCGACATTAATCGCGATTAAGCGTCCAGCAACCTCCCTTGACATGATGTATGTAACGACGTCCGGCCGGGCCGGGCCGCTCCCTCAGCGATCATACTCTGCATATTCACTGTAGGTAATGCCTTGGACAGAAATCTGAAACCACCTGTAGTTATGGGGTGCAGGCCGGAAAAAGAAGCCGGCTGAAATGGAAGACGCGAGGCAGGGAAATCACCACCACCACCACCACCACCGCCACTGACTTGTGCCGCAGACCCTTGTCGTGGATGAAATGTTTGGTAGCGAGGGTTATTTAAATTTTTTGCGAGCATGCGCGGCACTCTACGATTATAACTAAAGCAAGGAAAATTATAGCTTATTCTGACGTCAATCGGTTCGCGCGTGCCTTCCCTTCTGTACTGTACTAGGTATAACCAAGTACTCGTACCTTCACCTTCACCTTCCCGGACGATAACGGACGACAACAACGGACGACAACAACAGACGATAACGGAAAACGGAAAACGGGACAACGGTAGTTAGCGATGGTGATCGCGAGGCGCTTATATGGATCGATGGCGAGAGGCTTTCCGACGCCCACGACGACGAGAGCGCTGTGGAGGTGTTCGGGAGTCAGGAATTGGTGGGTAGCCCCCGCCGTCTTGAGCTCGCAATGGTGGGAGCTGACCGGATGTCTCAGGGCCACCACCACCAACACCACCACCACCAACACCACCACCACTACAGCCGCGATACAAGCGACAGGACACCGAGCGTTCCGCGCATCCGTCGTCGTTCGCACGCCTGAGGACAAGCAGTATTCCACCCCGCACTCGCTCCCTCCCTCCTTCCGTGCTTTCCACTGACAGCAGCAGCAGCGACACCAAGAGCCCACTCGAAGCCCTCAAGCGCACTCTCCGCACTGCCAAAGCGCCACGAGAAAAAGTCTGGAACGTCCCGAACACGCTAACCTTCGGGCGTCTCTTCGCGTCGCCCGTGATCGGCTACCTGATCCTGCACGACCAACATGTCGCGGCTTTATCGCTCTTCGCGGTCGCGGGGGCCTCAGACCTGCTCGACGGCTGGATCGCGCGGCGATGGAACCTGCAGACGGTAGTCGGCAGCGTGATCGATCCGATGGCGGACAAGACGTTGATGACGATCCTGACGATCTGCCTCGCGGCGAAAGGAATCCTGCCGGTGTGGATAGCGGGAGTGATCCTCGGCCGCGACGTCGCGCTCGCTATCTCCGCGATCTACTTCCGCTGGATCTCACTGCCCCCGCCGAAGACTATGAAGCGCTACTGGGACTTCTCGCTCCCCAGTGCTGAGGTCCATCCTACCAATATCAGCAAGCTCAATACCGCACTGCAACTCGCGCTTATCGGCGCGTGTGTCGCCCATCCCATCGTCGGTGGGAGTGCCGATTGGGAGGCCGCGTTCCAAGCTATGCAGTAAGTTTCCGCACATGCGGTACCCCCCCTCCCCCTCACCCTCCCCCTGTGCGACGAGGACGTTGACGGAAGAAGATACACGGTTGCCACTACGACGGTGTGGAGCGGGTTGAGCTACATTTACTCGAAGGATGCGGTGACGTTCGTGAGACATCCCTCCACCCCCACCCCCACTATTACCACTACCACTACTCCTCCCCCACCACCCGCGGAAGACGATAAAATGAAGCAATAGAAGTACATAGAGCGATGTCCTTATCTTTTTTTCCTTCTCATTATCTTTGTTTACGATCCCCAGTGGGGGATTTACGTGTAGGTATTGTACATTAGGTAGGTAGGTAGGTAGGTAGGTAGTTACCCTGCATTTTACGTGTCTGTCTGCATTCCATGGTGGGAGGGTGGGTATCATATTTAGTAGTGGCGAGATGGGTTCGTTCGCTTCGCTTCCGGCGGCGAGAAGATTAAGATGAAGAATCGTTCGTTCGTTCTCCACGAGACTGTGTGTAAGGTGTGTGAGGTGTTGTTGGCGGTTGTCGGTTGCCACATGCCACATGTCAAAGACGCGGGCGCCGGGCAGGAACGAGAACTTTAACCACTGTCACTGTCACCGCATGCAAGGAGAACGCACCCCACCCCCACCATACCCCCACCACACCACACCACATGGCGGTTGAAACTTGCTGTCAGATATATGCTGGTTGACAAGTATCAGTATCCCTGGAAGTGGAGCTGCTTGACTGACTGACGACTGCTTCTGCCTCTGCTTCTGCTTCTGCGTTTTAACTTTTTGACGATATGCGGCGCGTAGCGCTCGACCATCATCCACTCCACTCCAATCGTTAAGAGTGCTGGCTGGCTGACTGGCTGACTGGCTGAGTGGTTTCCGCACGCACGCACGGCGGTCATCAGAGGTGCAGCGCTCGGGACGGCACGTTGACTGACTGACTGTGAGACGAACTCCCTACCTAGGTACTCTAACTATACCCATAGGCGGGCAAATCAAAAGCCTCGTAGGACACCATCGCCACCACTGCAATCGAGTGCGAGTGCGAGATAATGAGGGGCACTGGCTGGTGAAGCCGTCGCGAAGTACTAGAAACAGATACCAATACCGACGACCGTCTCCCCGAGACGGAAATATCCATGGGGTTTCGAAGCCAGTGATGGTGCACTTGGTGTCTAACTTTGGGCAGAGCCTGGTCACGTCTTTCTTTGTGTAAGTTGTAGCCCGTAGGTTGTCACTGGCTGCTGGCTGCTGGTTGCTGGGAGCAATACCCTGAGGTTGTGGGTGGTTGTGGGTGGTTGTGGGTGGTTGTAGTGGTTGCCGTGGTCGTCTTGGTCAGCGAGGGCTAAGGGTGAAGGCTGGTGAGCATTGCACTGTGGCTCTGTTGATTCATGCTGTGGGGCTGCGCGAGCGGAAGGTTGAATAACACCTAAGTGTACAGGTGGTGCATTCATGTGTGCAGGCGCGGAACGCCAGTTCCAAGAGGGGAGCTTTAATGGCACTGCAAGACCCCGAGCACTGCCATTCCCTCTCACGATGCACAATGCCAATACTTCACGAAACCTGCACCCAAAGGACTTGGAACATCTCTCCACTCACCTTCGGCAAAGATGGTTCATAAACTATCACTCGCTACTCACCGAGTCAGAAACTGTGACGCTCTACAGTAGGTACGTTTTTGAGCGCGAGACGGAGGTGGAGATGGAGATGGGTTTATGTAGGTGCAGTGAAAGACACCGACGCTGCCGAAAAAAAATCCAGTGGTCAGTCATGCCGCATAGTCCGTGACTAGTATGTACAGCCGCGGGTGAGCCCACTTCGACATGCCTCATACAAAAGCCTGAATTCGGAGTCCTCCTATGTACACACTGCATCAGCACCGTATTAAACCCAAATTCTGTAGAGTCCGGCTTCTGCGTAAATCCGGTCGGTAGGGGGGTACTAACCGCAGTCGAGGACGGTATTCCTGTGACCCCCAGTGTCGGTATGATATTCACAACGTTGTCTTGGACACCGGTGTTCTCGCAGAACACGTCGTCTTCATCTTCACAATATCGCGTGAACACTCACCTCCGATAAATACCGATTCTGCGGCATACGTTTTTGCTGACAAAGCGAGCTGATTTTATAACACCGTATCCACCGTTGGAAATTTCACCCCGTTTTTTGCGACTGTACATATCCTTTTGCGCGCTCTCGGGCTCAGATCACTCGGCAACGATCACCCGTCGTTGAATGTACTGATGCTGGTTTCGAGGATGTGATGATCAATGATTCCGACATCTGCCTTCAGGTTTCGTAGGAGAAAACCCTTTGTGCTGATATTGAGGCTGGTGCTAGGATATCCCTCTGAAATTAACAATGGGATCAACTATAGGTACTATGACGGGTAGCTATCATTCACGGCATTCGTGCGGCTGCGGTAGGAACTGCTGAACAGCACATTTGAGTCCCTGCTGCGATACGCAGGTCATACGGGTCCTGATGGGCGGCGGCGGCGAATTCAGGAGCAAACATCCGCACGAACTGCTTTTTTTTACACCGTCATATCGCTTCTCTTCTTTTTCCGTCTTCGTGTAGCTGCTGGTGGATTTGTAGCGGGTGAGCACACTTCTTGTATCATGCGATATCACCCATAACAAAACCATCATTCGCAACACTCAATACTCAAGCTACCAATAACACTACTGCTACTCAAACACCTCCCTTACCACACTCCGTTCCCTTACCACCCTATCACTAGGGTCCGCCGCAATCACAGCCCACTCCGCTGGCAACCCGGGCCTAGCACTCCTCCCCCGTCTGGGAAGGTACACATGGATATCATCCGGCAGATTCATATCCGCCGGAACGCGGATCTTGAACGTCGTGATCGTCTCGACCTCTCTTTCCCCGTCCGCCTGCGCCCCGTTCCCCTCCAACCCCCACCGCATTTCCGCCGGGCCTGGGGCTTGAGGCGCTGGTACAAAAAACGCTGTTCCAGTAGCTGCTGCTGCGGCGAGGTGGGGGGCCCAACATCCGCCTCGAAGGTAACACTCTTCCTCCTAGCATGATGCCTATGCCTCGTCTGCTGCGCTCCACCTTCTCCCCCTCTCCCTCCCCCGACCGCGATATCCGAGCCCGAGCTCGCCGGGCTCGCCGCCGCAGAGGGATACACGGAGTTCGCAGTGCTCGGCAGACCGGTGAAAACGCTCGCATGTTTTGGCAGCGTATCCCCTCTCACGACCGTATTCCCCGCCTGCCCGTCTTCATCCTCCTCCTCCTCATGGCCATGCCCAAAAATCCGCCGCCGCACCCCCGCCCGCGGAACTCGCGGGTCGAGACGGAACACGCGGGCTACGCCGCTATCGGAGCGGATGCCGGGGAGGCCTGGTAGGTCGATTGGAGGTGGGGAGGGGGGAGGAGGCGGGTGTCTGAAGGCCGAGAGGAAGCGGGTGTTGTAGCTGGAGGTTGCGGCGGAAAGGGATTTGCTGAGGGAGCGCCGGTGGGTGCGGTGGGTGGAGGAGGGGGAGGCCGGGGTAGTCGCTGGGGAGGTGTTCCTCATTGTTTCTGGGCTGGTTTGATGTGGAGTGGTTTGTAGTAATGGTGGTACGATAGGAATGGAGTTGGTGGTGTGATGGGAGAGAGAGGGAGAGAGAATCGGTTTATTGCTGCATATGGCCTTACTGGACTATGGCGACCATGGTTGTGATGGGTCGCCGTGGGTGGTACCTGTTGATATTATGCGTCTTATTACCTGTTCCGGTGTCACTGCTACTTTCTACTTTCCTTTGCCTACTGCCCTCATTTCCTTCGTGGCTGCTTAGCATTGTCTGTGGCTTCTCATCAGAATCAGCCTCGTCAGCCGAAAGCCTTCAAGCCACCAGCCCAGTCCGGCGACGACTATCGTCGCATCCTCTGTCTGAGGCCCGGCCTTCTCGTCGTCTACACGAGCTCGTTTTCCTTTATAAGCAGTCTTCTTTCTCTTCTTTCTCGTATCAATACATCAATCAAGCCAAGTTCTTCTCTCAATTCCAACAGTACCGGTATGGCAATACCCCGGGTGAGTGCCATGACCCCTTACATTCTGCCAACCCCACAACTTGATATCAGTATGCCCATTGCCCATCTCCACCCATTCATCACCCAGAACCAAAATATCGACCGTTAACATAGGCCATCTGAGGATTGTATTCAAAGGTGGTATTCACTGATTCAACTCTTCACAAACCTAGCTAAAATGTACAAAGGCGAAGAAGAACAGAGGAAGAGAAATGAGGAAGAGAAATAAACCCATAAACACCTCCATCAAAGCAAGCAATCCATTGCCAACCGTGAAAAATAACGAAAAACACGCAAGACGCACGAGACAAACGAAATAAATTTCAACAGTCGCAATTCAACAGCAGAAAAGATACAATCCATTGCAATTTTATCCCAGTTCCATCGTGATAGCAGTAAACACCACTTGAAGTCTAGCTCAAACTATTTAGTCTGCTCGCCGTTGACGAAGGCCCCGGGAACCTGGGGAACCTCGGGCGCTCCGTTGGTCTGGGTTATCGCATCATCCACAGGATCCTTGAGCTCGACATCACCATCGTCATCTTCCTCTTCCAAGTACTCAGGGTGACTATTTCCAATTAGAATCACGATCTTGAGCACCGTTTGACAAAAGTCGCACGACTCACCCCAAGAGATTCGCGACATTCTTCATCTCGTAGTGCTTCTTCCTCAGTTCCTCGAATTTCTTGTGCTTCTCCTCCTCCTCTTCGGGTGTCTCGGGTTCAGCGCCAGGTGCACGATGACTCTCGTCGTCATCCTCCTTGACAACCACCTGCTTGGGCGACTGGCTCTCCTTCCTGGTGAGCTTAGGTGCAGCTGAAGGCTCACCCAGATCCAAGTCAGGAATATTGACATCAGGCGTAACCTTCCGTTTCGGTCTCGCCTCAAGCTCATCGACAACAATATCATCGACATCCAGCATCCTCAGCTCAGCCTCATCCTCGGTCGGATCATACCCCTTCGCAAACGGAGTCTTCGGCTCATCAATCTTCATCTTCGGCGTGCGCTCCTGCTCGGTGAGATACAGATTTGCTTCGTCCCACTTGAGGCGAGGGGAACCATCGGGGTTGTCGCTGGACTCATGGTGAGACTGTCGCCGGGAGGGGCCAGCGCGAGACTGGTTCGACGATGAGCGACGGCGGCCCGCGTTCTTGAGTGTGTTTTGCAACACGATGTCGCGCTCAGTAAGACTGTCGCCGTCGGGGGTCGCTTCCCGAGAGATCACGGCCGAGGGGGCTTCCTCGACAACTGCGATGGGCTCCTCGATCGTTACAGGTTTATGCGTAGGCGAGCGGTGGTAGGAGTTCTTGAGGATGCCTGAATGCAGGGTTAGCTGTGGCCCTGACTTTATGGACCGACTAAGGAGCGGCTAGGGAGATAAGGATCGCTGCACCCTTGGGACGCTTCGACTCTGGGCCGTGGAGAGGCGGCGGTGAGTGGGCCATTATGGTAGTAGTAGGTTGAAGCTGAGGAAATAACTGGCGACAGCGATATGGAAAGACTGATGTATACTGGCGGGGCAGAAGGAGGTAAGATGGTAGTGGTAGTGGTTGTGGTTGTGGTTATGGTGAGGAGAAGGAGGAGAGTGCTTCTGGGCTTGCTAATGTCGGAGGGGCAACGGGAGGGAGTGGGGGGTAAAGTAATGTGAGCACAAGCAACCGGCAGGGTGATCGAAGCTCGCTGACGTCGACTGTCTTGGCAGCGATCTTCATCATTCGACACCCTTTACCGACCACCCCTCATTCCTCGACACCACAACCTCGCAAGCCGCATTGCATATCCCGAATATCTCCTCACCAAAGCAGACGATGGCCTCGACTCACTTCCTTAACTCCTCCGCAACCCTCCACCACTCACCATCACGAGATACGATTACCCCGCACCCGCATCCTCAACGCGGAGAATTCAAAACACATCTACATACGCCGCGGCCGCACGCAGCGGCAGCCCTTTGCGATGAATAGAGACAAAGTTCGTAATAACAGACCAGGCTCGCACACCCTTTAACGCGGCAAGCGGACGTCTAGTCAGATCAGTACTCTCTCATTCCACCTTCCAGATGCTCGTTCCATCTCATCTCTGCTTGTCGGCTTGAAGGCCAGGACGGACGGAAAGCCATCACCGAGTGTTTGCATGCTGTGAAGTTGAATGAGCGTTTTACGCCCGTGCGCTGGAAAAAAAATCTTCACGATGTACAGCAAGCGAATAGCGAACGAAAAACAGCGAAGAGCTCCGTCTGGTCTGGAATGCACAGGACAGACACGCAAACAAAAAGAAAATATGGAAAGCAAAGACAGTTCTCCCCACACATGTACAAACACATGCCACATGGGTCAGCGGCGAGGAAGCTGTATGCACCCCAACTTTCCCGCTACTCCAACCATACTTTGTCATGGATCGCTATTGGCCGCCTCGTGGTGGGGGCTCACTGGCGCCGCCGCCGGTGGTTTTTCCTCGAAGGGGAATTGATAACCAGTACACTTCACTTTATACTCAACATCCCTACGGATCTATCGTTTGCCTACCACAGATCCACACCTCTATACGGGTGACGATTGTGCCGCTTGCTAGAAACAACCTGAAATCAAGGCTTGTGGCAGTTATTTCATAGTTAAGCTTTGTCCGCAAGTGCTTACCTTCACATATATACGACTAAGTTCAGAGTAGGTATTGCTTAGTAACTTGAGGCAGCTTGGTGGCTCTTCCGAGACTTCTGAGTGTTATGAGCAAAAAAAGGACAAGATGCCATCTCAACGACCCTCAAGAGTTCTATCCACCTCGTCCATCCCCACTAACCTCTATGCCACCGAGGGCTGAAGCAGTGAAGTCGGGTGTCCTGTTATGGAGAGATACCAGGTAGGTAGGTGACCACCGTTGTGGGCGTTGTGATGAAACCCTTTCATGGAAGGAAACGGTATCTACGCACCATAACTATTCCACAGGCCCGGGCCGTGGCTTAGATATATCTGAAATTATACGTTGAGTGACAGTGGCGGGCAGGAGGGGAGTAGAGTACGGAGACTGTTGGTCCCCGGCAAGGGCCCGGGCTTTTCACTCGGCACTCAGATAATTGGCACTCACTCATCTGCCTGTAGGCATGCGATATAAGGCCAAACCCGTGCGGTACGCAGCACAGTGGGCCAATTTTGTGGCGGTTTTAGCATGCCCGGGTTCCTTTGGGATGAGCAGGTAAAAAAGATTAGTAGTGCGACAAGCCGGACGGTGCTATATAGGGACATAGCATCACGAGGGCTGCAGAAAGAAGGCGGTTTTCGGCCTTTTGTTTCCGTCGTGGAGATACTAGTAGACCGCGAGGATTTGCGGACTTAGTTCTAGACATGCAGGTCTGCGGGGGAAACATCATAATGCATCCTTAGTAGCCCTATGATGTATGTACATACGTGGATAGATCACGGCCAAGTTGCAACGAATAACAAAGGTTTCTGAGATTCGTAAAGGGAACGCATAGCACTAATAACTACCAGGGAGCCATATCCAACCAGTAGCGAAACACACATCAATAGCAAAGAAAAAGGAACTCCTACTACCACCACCTCATCAACAACCACGACAGGCAGCAGTCCGTAGTATACACTAAGATCTCAATGACCTCCACGAAAATGATGTGCTCAACCCGACCAACTCGACTCGCCTCGACTAAAAGAAACACCCCAAATGCAACCTAAGAGCATCTCATCAAAATTATCTGCCCCCACCGCTTAGTCGCTCCTTGCCCGTTTGCTGCTTGGCCCACCTTGCATCTGCAACCCGTGTTTCTTGTTCCCCACCTCGTCCCCAATACTCTTCACGAACGCCTCGACGCCGAATGGATCTGCTGTGTCCTTTTCAAACTGCACGGGTCCATCCCGCTCCTCCCCATCACCTGCTCCCTTGAACCCCTTCTGTGCCCGGCCCAGTACCTCGAACTTCGAGTTTTTCTTGATCCGGTCGAGCTCGTTGTCGGCCGCGTCTTCGTCGTCCTCCTGCTGTACTCTAGGTCTGTAGATAGCGTTGGCGGCCTCTGCCGCGGCAAACAATGGCTTGTCGTAAGGATTGTCGTCGTTGTAGCCACTCGAGAACCCAGAGGATTGGTTGAATAGTCGAGAATCAAACATGCTCTCGGTGCTCTGTGTTGGCTTCGCGAGGCCAAGCGCCATTTTCTCGCCGATGTCACGTCCCTGCTCTCGTGCAAGAACCTGCATCTTCCGCTCCTGACCCATCCTCTTCATCCGTAGCTCACGCTGATCCTCGCGACGGCGCTCGCGACGCATCTGTTCACGCTCGTGCACTGCATCGTCGCCTTCGGAGTCGGAGCCTGATCGGGAGGAGTAGGACGCGTTTCGGGACCGTGACCGAGCGGAGCCCTGGGAGTCTGCACTTGTAGATCTGGCACGTCGGGGTTTGGACCGGGCGTTGGCGGCTTCCCGTGCCTTCTGTGCGAGTTCCCGGATGTGTTCTTCCTTCACCGCCTTCTCCTTCTCCGCCAGCTTCTGCTGCATGAGTGCTCGCTGTTTGACTTCCTCGCGTGCGTGTCGGTCAGCGGTAAAGAGTGCTTCCGAGAACTGTGCGAACTTGTCGTTGATCGTAACATCCTGTAGACCTCGGCCATCGGCGGCGAGACGCTTGTCCAATGGCACGGTGTAACCCTTAGGATTCTTCCAGTTGGATACTGGCGGAGGAATATTCCACGCCTCTTGGTCCGCAGCCGTCAGCTTCCTCGGGGGCGAGTGCATGACCGGCGGCGGCGGTGAGCCCGGTCCTCTCGGAATCTTCCTGTGCTTGAACTTCGGCGGCTCCATAGGATCCTGCTGCTTCTCGATGATCTTGATGATCCGATCACTCTTTTTCGATGTATCACCCATCTGTCCGGACGGCGTATACCGCACATACTGCGCCTCCCTCTTCTCATTCCCCTTAACCGTCTTCGGCTTCTGCGCTGCGACCGCCCCGGTCACCAACTTCTCCAACGCAGCTCTTGTCCTCTCCGCGGTAGCCTGCACCTCCTCCTCACTTGGCCGCTCCAACGAGATCTCACCGACATCAGCACGCTGCCTCAGCGGGATAAGATCCTTAAACGACGCGTGAACGATCCGATTACTACCGTGTCCCTGCTTCGCGATCGCATCGTACTTGACTTTGCCCTCGGCGTCGACCTGCAGTGCAAGCGCTTTCGACTTCGTTGTTTTACCTCCTTTCCGCCCCATGTCGAGTGGGTACTGGGCGATTGGAATCTCGGGGAACGCGCCGCCGTCGCCGAAGTCTTCCTGTGAGCGCGGTCGCCATGATGACCGATGTCCGTACGCTGGCGGTCCGTATTGCTGTTCACGGCAACAACAAACATCAGTTAAAGACCTGTCCGATACCATCTTCGTCATGTGGTGGCAATTCACCTTGAGCACGAGCTGTTGTCGCTCCGCGTCGCCGGCACCAAGGATCCGCGAAGTAGAGGGTCGTGATGGTCCGGCTTCCTCGGAGGAGAATTTGGGCGCCGGAAGGACCTTGTTGAGACCTGCTGCAATGGAGGTCATGGTGGTGGTGGAGGTTGTTAGGGAGTTGAGTTCAGGCGATCGTTGATGATGAAAGTAGCCAGCGACACGAGAGTTGTTCTACTCTGCTGCGCGCCAAGACTCACTTTTTAGCGCGGCCCCCAACGTTACGGCAACGAGACGAATTGAAGGCACGTTTTATGTGATTGTTTAAGCTTTACAATGAAGTGCAAAGTATCCCGACTGAGTCTGAAGGATAAAATGAGCAGCACCAGGTTGATGTGAAGCGTCTCTACTCTCGCCCATAAGTAAATGTCTGGATGCTTAATATATCACTCGATTTTTGTCCAACCCCCAAGCTTCAACGTTCACTGTGCAGCTGCAATCAAAACCGTACCCATCAAGAACAAAAAAAGCACATCATATCCCTACTGGGGGTCGAACCCAGGACATCCGCATAGCTAGATCATATAGGATTGCCTGAAAACAAACGTTTCCAAACAAGCTTCCCATATAAGAACGGCGCGCTACCACTGCGCCATAGGGATTTAGATATGGTCAAGCCTTTGACTTTAGAAATAATTAGTCCACGTAATAGTGCACACAACGACCGAGATGAGATAAATAAACAGCTAAGTGAGCAACGCAGAGGTCTCTACCTCGAGGATGAAGCCCACACGCCTTCTTCACAGAATAGTTCGATCAGATAAGCGAAAGATCATTTACTATCCTCATCTGCTAGCTACCCATCTCTCGCCTGTTACCCGCCTCCCACCTGCCACCCGTCAGGTAATCAAACCTGACGATTCCAAGTAGCAGCACAAAGTAGAAAATGATGTCGATTAGCATGCCTCACAAAGGATGAAACATATCACCATAAAATAACTCTTAGCTAGCTATTGACACTCCCTTTGTCCGAGGGCGTGATCGTTTGAGATCGAGTGACTACCTAGACAGCTGTCTACAGATTTTTCTGGGTCAAGACAGAAACGAAAAAGTCCTTTGACCTTTCTCCTTCAGCTATATTGAGATAAGTAATATTTGATTTACTTGCCAAGTAGCTCTTTCTCCAGGTTCGATGAATAGTCTGATCACCCGAAATCACTCATATACGGCCCAAGATGTTGGGAGGGGGAAGTATTTCTTAGTATGATTTGATACTTTGTAGGTCGCATGCAATAAACGATTTCAAAACCAAAAAGAAGGAGGGCATGATCGGAATCCCTTAAGATCCCGTGGAAATTGCAGAATTCATTGTTGATATATCAGAATTGGACTCGTAATAATTCGATCACTCTGTTCCAACACGCGCCACACCCGTGGATCACTTTGGAAGCTCACTGAACGTCATGATTTGCTGCGCCACAAAGAGGGGTTAAGGACCCCACATGTTGTGTCATCGCTCGCACGTGATCCGATAAGTTGAAAGGCTTGGTACTTATTCTGTCTCTGCTACCCAGAGCTCCTAGTCGCTTTGACAATAGAACTCCCGCCGCAGATCGATCCACCCGGAGACTCCCTTCACACACTCGCCAACATCGAACTCGAATACTTAATATCCCCGCCCATCTAACCTCCTTCGAAATACTCCAACACAATGGCCACGTCGAGTGGACTTCCTCCAGAGCAGCAGTTCGCCCAGGTGCTCGCTGCACTGGGGACCATGCAGGGCAACCAAGACAGACAAGCAAAACACCAAGCGACGGAGTTTTTAGAACAGTTTCAGAAATCGGTTGGTTGCAGCGGACTTCATTCTTGCGTTTTTTCGACGGGCGGCGGCGGCGGCAGGTTGCGGGGCAGAAGGCAGAAGCAGAAGCAGAAGAAGCACAAAAAGAAGAGGGCGAAGCTGGTTTCTTGCGGTCATGCACGATGCGGGGCAACACACTGCTAGCACTTCCGCTGCTGCCATCGGTATTAGGTTCGGGACGGATGGGCTGACGGATGGCATTCTGTTGAACAGCCAGAGGCATGGACTTTCGGTCATGCCGTGTTGCAGTCGGAGTCTATCGGGGTTGAGGCGAAATTGTTCGCGGCTAGCACGCTGAAGGGGAAGGTTTGTTGCGGGCACTCTCCCCCATCCCGGCCATCGGCGGTGTGCAGGGGGGAAAGCGGTGTGGCTGACCATGAGATTCTCAGATTACCTACGACTTGCACCAGCTCCCGCGAGAATCGCTGTTTTCGTTGCGGGATTCTTTGATTAGCCTTCTCGTCCACTACCGTACCGGTGCTCGGCCCATACGAACTCAGCTATGTGTCTGTCTTGCGGGGTTGTCCCTCCAGATGCTGGAGTGGAGAGATGTGATCGACCTTGTGGTTCAGGCGCTGGGTACGGATGCGCAGAGCTCGGTCGTTCTATTGGAGTTTTTGACGGTTCTCCCGGAGGAGGTGATGGAGGGCAGGAAGATTACCTTATCGGTCAGTGCTGCAAAGCTTTGCTCACACTATCGTTTGCACCGGACAGAACTGATCCGGCGCACAGGAGGATGAACTATCGCACAGGACACAGGAGCTATTGACAGATAATGCTTCGAGGGTTTTGCAGCTTCTTGTTCAATACGCACAGGTCACAGGTAATATGCGATCGCTTCTGCATCCCAGCGTCGATCGAGTTACTGACTCGGGTCAACAGGTATCGACAAACCAACGCCGGCCCTGATCACTTGTTTGAACTCGTGGCTCCGGGAGATCAACTGCGCAGATGTGGTCAAGACCCCTCTCGTCGACTCAGTATTCCATGCTCTTCGCGCCGATACCGCATTCGATGAGGCAGTCGACTGTGCGTGCACTATGTTCCGCGAAACCAGAGAAGTGGATGAGTCGATGGAGGTAATCGAGGCGCTATACCCCCGTCTCATCGCCCTCAAGCCAAAGGTCGCCGAGGCCGTGGAGGCCGAAGATATCGATGTCTACAAGGGGATCACCAGGTTATTCGCGGAGGCTGGTGAGGCATGGGTGGTTCTGATTGCTCGAATGCCGGCACAGTTCCGTCCGCTGGTTGAGGTGATCGAGGACTGTGCTCGGAAGGATACCGGACGTGATGTCATTTCTTTGACATTTAACTTTTGGTACGACCTCAAGAACTACCTCGTTCTGGAACATTACATGGAGGCCCGCATCCACTATGCCGACCTTTTCTCCCGGCTTGTGGACATCATGATCGCTCACCTCCAGTATCCGAATGGCGGCAGCGAGGATCTTTTTGAGGGTGACCGAGAGCACGAAGAGAAGTTCCGGGAGTTCAGGCACGCCATGGGAGACGTCTTGAAGGACTGTTGCGAAGTGATCGGATCCGCGGATTGCCTCACCAAGGCGTTCGAGATCGTCAAAGCTTGGATGGAGAACTACTCGAAACAGAGTCCGGAAGACCGTGCTAAATGTCATAACTGGCAGAAGCTGGAGGCCCCTCTTTTCAGTCTGAGGGCAATGGGAAGGATGGTACCCGCGGAGGAGGAGGTTATTCTGCCACAGATTATGAGCCTGTTGATACAGCTTCCCGAGCACGAGAAAGTCCGGTTCGCCGCTACACTGGTCCTTGGTCGGTACACGGAATGGACGGCTAAGCACCCCGAATACCTTGAGCCGCAAATGAACTACATCATTAACGGCTTCCAGCATGGATCGAAGGACGTTGCACAGGCTGCTGCTATGGCCTTGAAATTCTTCTGCCAGGATTGTGGAAAGTTGCTTGTTGGCATGATCACTCAACTGCATGAATTCTACGAGAGAGTGGCGCCCAACTTGCCGCTCAGCAGTCTATACGAGATTACGGACGGTGTCGCGCACGTGGTGGCCTCGCAACCGCTGGAGAAGGTTTACGATGCGTTGATGCTGTTCTGCTCGCCCATTGCAAACCGACTAATGGCCAAGGCTAATGCCGCTTCCGACAACGACAATGATAAGAAATGCAAATTGGCCGATGAGATCCAGCTTCTTACTATTTTTGTCCAGGTCGTGCACCCACACGTTCCGAAGGGCCAGGAGAACCCCATGATCCGCTTCTGGCAGAGCATCGTCCCCGTCCTGTCTACCATCCTTGACGGTTTCGTCGATTTCCTACCAATTTGCGAGCAAGTCGGTCGGTTCTTTAGGAGTATGTTGATTAGCTACCGCACGGCCATGCTCCCGCTGCTGCCGGAGGTTGCTCTTAAATTGACTACCAGCTTTGAGAAGAGCCACCAGGGTATCTTCTTGTGGGTTTCTGGAACCGTCATTCGGGAATTTGGTGACGAAGAGTTCACGGATGAGGCTACGAGAAACTCGATCTGCCAGTTCTTGGAGGCTCAGTGCTTGAGCATGTTCCGACTGTTGAACAACACTCCGGCTAAGGACATACCCGATGGTTCGTTATATCTTGTCTTCCCAATGTTTGGTGCTGATCACTAGCTTTTATCCAGTGATTGAGGACTTTTTCCGCTTCCTCGCAGACGGAATCATGTTCCACCCGGCCAAGATCATCATGTCCTCCCTCCTGCAGCCCATCATCGAAGCGTCTCTTGCTGCGCTGGATCTGCAGCAGACCGAGCCCCTTCTGTCTGTCCTCCAGTTCCTCCGTGACCTCCTCGCATACGGCCGCGAAGACCCACCCAACTCTAGCTACCAGGACTACCGCAAAACGCCCATAGAAGTGCGGAACGCAGTGCAAGCAGTGGCGGCTAGCATGGGACTTAGGATCACACAGCGAATCTTGAGCGGACTGATGTACTCGTTCCCCAGCGACTGCGTCACAGATTCTTCCGGTGTACTCCTGGAGCTGGTAGAGTTATGTCCTTTGCAGATGATTGAGTGGATCAAGAGCACATTGGAGCTTCTACCGCCGGGAAGCGTTAGTCCTGCTGAGGCCCAGAAGTTCCTTAAGGGTATCGAGGCCGCTGCCATCAACAAGGATTGGAACAAGATTCGCTATACTCTCCGAGACTTTACTGCTTGGTACCGTCGTAAAAACGTATGTTGTCCATTGCTATTCAGCATATTGTTTCTTCCGATATTGACTGGTTTATACAGGTTACGCCGAGATCACAGCTCACCGGCATCGCCGGGACTGAGGGCCCGAAGTTCAGGTTTGGTGGCTAGAGACTGACGACATGAAAGGCACGGATTTTGTTCGGAAATTCTTTGCGGGTGCGACATGGGTATAAAGTTCTGTATGCTGTATACTAGAACGACGGGATACTTGCGGGCTACTGTTAGGTTGGCTGTTCTGTTTCTTTCCTTTCTCTTCTCGTTCCCTGTCGATTTTTCGTTATGTTGTTATTATGTCTGTCTTGTCTTTGTCGACGCTTCAGGCTGTGCTGTAGAAACGTGATGTGGCATTGAGGGTATTCTGAGAAACGTAATGAACAGGCGATGCTTCTGGAAGTAAAAGCGGTATAGGGAGACGTTGATGTTGAACAGAGCGAAAGGGAGAGAGAACATCAATTTATTTCGCATGCAGCCTTACTAGACTATGGCGAACCAACTCGAACAGAGCGAAGTGTACCATGATTTTCTATCCAGAGTGGTGCCGCGAGTGAGGATCTGTGACGTCGCTCCGACTGATCTTGGCACACGTGAGTCGATGCCATGTCACGTCGCCAGAGCAACTGTGTATCTTGAAGTAAACAACCCCAACAAACCTTGCGAGTTTCGCCTCTGCCTTTGCCCATTCCTTCGTGCCGTCAGCGAGCCACACCTCTCCCTGCATATCACTACATCCATAGCTGTCGGCATCCCGGCTTCATATCTCGACACCAACAGCATGTCACGAATCGTCCGTCGCCAAACGCCATACCAGCGTATCTCCTCTTACCTCAACCCCCTCGATCACCTCCTTAGCCTCGCGACTGACTATGAGGCCTTCGACTGGGACAACTGGCAGAACACGTGGGGGACGCCGCTCGGGCTGCTTCTCAACGTCTTTTGCATGATATCGCGAGGCCACGCGGACAAATACCGGCGCGAGGCTAATCCCGTCTTTGGCGAGCCATCCGCGGGAAGGTCCATGGCCAACGGTATCTCATATCTTGTATGTCACGGGAGCAATGCAGCGGGCCAGATGATGGCTTGCAAACCACTCCTACCTCTCCTAGATATTTGTCACGGCGGTTTGTGCTCATTTGTGACGTGTGTCGGCACGCAGCTTTGGGTTGCTCAATCTGCCCTCGCGGTGTTTAGTGTAGGCAATGCCGTGTACTGCTTCACTAGGAAGAGAAGGTACCGATTGTTCGAATCGAACATTGAGGTCAGTCGGCCTTCCTCCCTTCCCTTCTGGTAGCAGCAAGTTAAACTCATCCAGGTCGAGCCGAAAACCCCCTCAGCCCGCCGTGTCCCTGTCGACTCTTCGCCGGTTGCCAACTCCCCTCTCCGCATCCTCGGCAACATAATCGAGCCCTTCCGAAACGACGCCGCGAGTCGCGCACATCCGGACGAGAGCCGCGACGTCTGGGAAGTGGGCGTATGGGATCCGTCGCCCCTCTCCCTCCACATCCTCGCCTTCCTCTCGCCTGTGCACGTCGCAATCTATTTCCTCGCGTTGCCCATCACCTCACACCCCACGGGCGGCTTGGGCGGATCCACCTCATCGGCCGCAGTCTACTTCACCGTCCTCTTGACGCAGATCCTCCTCTCGCTGCAGATCATCTTCCTCAAGTCCTGGTTCGTCCAGCAAGCCTGGGACCAAAAAGTAATCAGCAAAGAAGTGATGCACGAATACGACGCCAAATACGTGCACCCACGGCTAAACGTGATCAAGCGGGACGTGGCGGTACAATGCACGCTCTCGACTCAAACCGACAGTGGTAATGAGCCGGAGGTCTCCGTGTACACCCCGCAGTTCAACCGCTCCGGCTTCAAAATCTACGCGAACCCCAACTACTCCGACCTCACTGTGCAAACGCCGGCACCACCGCCGTTCGCGCGGAGCAGCCAGAACGCCGGCAACACTCCCGGCATCTTCTCCCGCGGCGCTACGCCAATGCAGCCTATGGCGGGACGCATCCGCCAGCCGCAGTTCGACAGGGCCCTTGCTAATACCTCCCGTCGCACCGCTGCCGCCGATGAAGATAGAGAGCGCGAAAACCGCTCCCGCCGGAGAGAAACCACTGCGCACGCCGGCTACGATCAGCCAGCGAGACGCATGGGTACCGAGGGAATGGTGGACTGGAGTAGGCAGAATTCGCGTGGGCTGAGTCCCAGCAAGATGAGCACGCCGCTGAAGAAGGGGAGCAGCATCAGGGGGAGCACGTATGCCGAGAGCTTGGGAACGCCATTGGGCACGCCTGTTAGGAGGAGGCAGTTTTAGAGCATGGGGATTCGGGTTGTTGTTTATATCTTGCTTTGGCTTCATACTTAGCGGCGTTTAGGGTGGGTACATCAGTAAATAATTTGCATCATCGCTGTGACTTGTGGCTTGAGCCATAGAGAAAAGAACGATGGGCTGGAGTTGAATTTTACGATGTGAGGGCTGTATATGAGTGACACCACGTGGTGCAGAATTCAGATTGACAGGAACAGCCGATAGGTATGGCCAGGTCAGGCTTCAGCTAGACCATTCTATGTACAGGACAACCATGACACCCGCGTGAAAAATCAATGAAACAGAAAGCACAAGAAAAAACCAAGACCGACACGCCCAAACCCCAAGAAGTAAAAGATAGGAAAGATGTAAAGAAACTAAAGAGTTATGGTAGGTCGAAGAAGCATTTCAAAATCACGCAAAAAAAAACCCCCCAACTCCCCCCATGTAAGTAGAGTGGCCAGCACGACACGGTCTAGGTGTTATTTCCTAACACTCGGACTACTGCTCCTGCTCCCAGCGGGACTCGCACCAGCACCAGCAACTCGTCTGGGCACACCGCGCTTCGGCTGTGGCGTTTCGGCATCTTTGACCTTCTCCTGCAGGCGCTTGATCTCGATATCGCGCTGCGTAAGCTGGGTCCGCAACTCCTGGATCCGTCTATCGCGGTCGTGCACTTGGGTATCACGAAATGCCTCACGGACCTTGACGACATTATCGTCCGCGCGGCGCTGGAGGTCGACGTTCGCTTCTTCGAGCGCCTTGACTTCGTTGCGCATTTCGAAGGACGCATTGGAGGCGGCCTGGTATTGCTCGCCCGCGAAGGCGGCGACCCGCTCGGTGCTTTCAAGCTTGCGCGTGAGGTGGGCGACTTGCTTGGTGAGGTCGACGTTAGCGACGAGCATATTGTGCGCGAGAGGTGAGTCCCTCAGAAGGAGCGCGTCGGTTTGCGATAGTTGGTCTTCGAGGCCTTGAATCTGGGCTTTGTACTTGTCGATGTCGGCAAGGGCTCGCTCAAGCTTGGTCTTGATCTGCTTGAGTTCTCGCTCGTGCGCATGTTCGCTCTCGGTTGCCTGGAGCTTCAACTTGCGGATCGTTTCGCGTTGCTCTTCCCAGTTGGTTTGCAGGCGGTTTTGACAGTCCATCCAACTCTTCAGGTCGACAGTTTTTGTCTTGATCTCTTCGATCAATTCCTCTTGGGTCTAGTTCGATCGGTCAGTCAAACAATCGGCGATATGGGATATGAAGGCTTCCTACCATCTGTTCGAAAGGCGTATCACCCCCGATGGGCTGCACAGGCCTCGCATATTTCTTGTACGCCAGTTCTGGCTCCGGTTCACTCTCCGTCTCGCTATCGTCAATGATCATGGGCTCCTCTCCTCCGTCGTCCACTTGGCGGCCGGGAGCACCTGGACGGGTCGCATAGTCCTGACTCTGACTCTGACTCGGACTCTGACTCGGCATCGTATTGCTAACATGTGTGACATCCCCCACGCCTGCAGGTGATAACTGAAGCTTCCTCTTCTTGAGCTCGGACTCACTAATATCCTGTATCTGCGAGGGCGAATCCTCCCCCCCATTAGTTCATGCTGGTGTCTCATAGCTGGGTGGTATTTACCTTTCGCTTCCGTTTATCACCATGCTCATCCCCTCCTTGCTGCGTCTGCGTCTGAGTAAGTGCGACGGTATCGTACAGTGGAAGCTCCGGTAATGGAGGAATTCCAAACTCGCCCTGCCATTTCCCTTTGATCCACGCTGCCGCCTTTGCAGGAGCATCACCAATCGCAGCCGCATAGGTAGGATCCACCATACCAGCTTCGTGTCTAAGAAGCTTGATAGCCTCGACGCTGCCATACACGAATAGGGCTGGATCAGGGGGGATACACAACATGGCGTGCTCGATGGTGTTGACGGTGATTAGACGGAGGACAGGTGCGAGCTTCTTAGGATCATACAGGTCCTGGCGAATTTGTGTCACTTCTTTGGCGAGAGGGTCGAATGTAGCGTCCATTGCGATCAGCATGTGGCACGTAGTCTTACCGCCGCATTAGCATTTGTAGGATGGAAAAAAATTGAATCGCTGTGCGTGCACATACCCCGACTATACCGCTCCCACGAGACGAAGGGATCAAGTACACTTGTATACACCCCTTGATCTCATTATCTGGTAGTGGTTTATGACTACTGAGCCGGTCCAACCGCTTGTGGGAGATCTTTAGGCCGCGAAAGAAAACCTCCAGCATATCCTACGGGAGTAAGTAAGGCCCTCGAACGTACCGGGGGGAAGGGGTTAGCATACGATCATATCTGGAGCCTCCGCCACGATCCCAACCTTGATGGTTTCGTCAAGGATGACGGCGAAAAGATCCATGAGGAAACGGAATTTGGCACTCATGACAGCGAGGAAATCTGCCCCCTTCTTCGTGTCCTCACTATCGAGTGGAATCGGGTAGACAATGTGGGGATGAGTGGCAATCCTCGCACAGCGTTTGGCTACGTCGAAAGCAACATTCTTTGCATCATCTCCTCGATGCTCGAGGTATGCCTCGATTTCCGCATACTTGTTGACGATTTCACGTACATAGAGTGACTTTTGGCTGATACCATCGGGCGTAGGTGCCGTGGTGCCTAAGGGTAGAGGGATCGCGTATTCCGCCGGTCCGAGGTGTGGTGCATGGAACTGCGATTGGGTTGATCTGGGTTCCGTTTTCATCTCCTGTTTGACCGCTTTTATTCGCGCAGCAGAAGTCGATTTTTGGGTGTTTATTGTCGCGGACCCTCTTGGAATTGCCGGTGCACCAGCAGAGTGATCTCTGCCACCACTAGCCCTTCTGCGCACCATGTCTTCGTCCCTTTCTTTCCGTTTTGCAGCCAGCATTTCACGCAACGAGCTCCATTTGCGCGCCATTTGCGGGTCCGGTGCTGGTAACATTCTTGCGGAGTGTGTGAGAGGCAATGGGAAGTCTTGATCGGTGAATTCTGAGTACGCGTCGAGCGGGAAGTCAAACCCTTCGGTCTGCTGTGATTGAGCCACGGCTGTTGGTGGTTCTGAGAATCCGCGTTGACGGTTTCTTTCGATTCGGAACCAGTCTTGGAAAGATGCCTCTCCAAGCAGTTGCCTCCTCCTAGATTTTGTTTTCGGGACCGGCGATGTCGTCGTGCGTCGTGGAGAAGCCTGATGCTGGGGGTCCTTTGGTTCCTCAGAAGAAAGATTCAGCTTCTCCTGCGAGTACGGCGACTCTTCAACACCAGTGATCCGTAGTCCCGTGACCTCCTGATATGCTTCCTTTGAAACCTCTCCCCCGGAAGTGCCCACTGCAACCGGTCCCTTGTCCCAGGAAGGATATGATAGATCTAAGCCTTGCGGCAGGTCGAGATCAAAGCTATCGTCACCCAGTGAACACTGCGACAGCCCACCTAGAGGTAGATCTAGCTCTAGATTCGCTATTCGCTGCGCCTCCTGTGATGCCTCAAGCTTCTCGTCCTGTGTGTCGAGAGCGTGAGTAGTCTCTGGCTCCAGCGGCGGTGGTGTCCGGAACGTAGCTTCGGCGAGTGGGGTGTGGTTCTCAAAGGCCGAGTTGGTTGTTGTCTGTAGTAACGCGGGTGGCGGCTCGGACGACGTTGGCGGCTCCGCTGGACCCTGCGGCTGAACCGAATCGGAGACGTTCTGTGCGTGCTCACCTACAAGTTCATCCAGGGACGATTCCCAATCACTCGGAACCTCAATCACAGAAGTAAAGGTCACCGCCCCCTGCTTCTCCTGCGATACGATCTCCTGTGATGAAGTAATAAAGGTAGAAAAGTCCGGCTGGTCGTAGAAGTCCTGGGAATCAGGGATGACTACGCTCCTCTGGGTAGCTTCCGCTGTGAACGGCGTGCTTGGGTTGGAAGAGTCCGTCTGTGTGGAAGGAACAAGGTCGGTACACGACAGGCGATAGTACTGGGTGGGGTCGAACCCTTGCGGCCGCTCGATGAGAACAGAGAACGACTTGCGCCGCGGTGGCGGATTCGAGGCAGCCGGTACGCTTGTAGTACAGACTGATGGGTGGGAGAACGGGATGGAGCTCTCGCGGAGGAGTCTGCGGGGAAACGGCGATGAAGGATCTTGCGAGGACCGCGCGAACGATTGTGTAGGCCTGTAGTCCGAAGTTTGAGTAATAGAATCAAGTTCGACGCGATTTTCAGAGGCCGGGGGTGTGGCTGAGAGCCGAGCGCGTTTCGCTCTTCCGTCCGCTGCGTGATCGTCGTCATCGTCAGAGAGGACGGGAGTGTCAGAGGTACTCTGCTGTGGGGTCACGTGAGTGGCTTCCTTCCGAAACAGCTTTTGATCATGACCCTTGAGAGAACTCCTGGGGCCATTCTTTCTTCGCTTCGCCTTCCTCCTTCTCCTTTCCTTCCATTCTAGTACGGCATCGCTAGTAACCTCGGATTTGACGACCTGTCCCTCTGTCGGTCAGCAACTGCCTCGCCGCGGACGTCGGCCGACGCGACTTACCCACTGTTGTGGCCATGGCTTTCCGGTCTTTGGATCAGTCCCCTTCCACTTAACACGGTATTTGCGGCCCCTTTCGCCGGTAATTCCCTCGACTTCATACCACTCACTGTCGCCCGAAGACTGGGTTGAATCACCTGGACTATCAGCTGGTTCGGTTCGATCGGTTGAAGACTGAGCCTCCATGATTTCGTTAGGGGGGACGTAAGACAGACGCAGTTGTAGGTAGGTTAACGTTCATCTTCAATAAATCTTCACGCGGGGAGGAGGGTGGTTCTGGCGGGACAGCACAAGGTTCCAAGCTCGCGGGGGAAAACATGAGGCGGGGTGCAATACTCAGGAAGGGCAAGAACGAGCCCGCAAGGTGAATGCCGCCTCTAGCTCTTGTGATTCTCATCACGGTTTTCGCCCTCCACCCGCACAGGCCAGCAGCCACCCGCGCAATAAGGTGCTCGATCAATATGGAGAAAGGACGGACTCACACGAGTACGGCCAACACCGTGGGAGGTCCAACTATTGGAGAGTGGTGCTTTCATTGTCCAATCCGATCGGCCTTGCAGGTGAAGAGTTTATAAAGTCTGCTCCTTACCGGCTCTTTCAACCGTATGCCGTACTCCTCGGGAACGATCCCTCTCTTCCTTGTCTGTCCATGTCGCCATCTTCTGCTCTACCTCCACCCTCACACTCAGCCCTAACACCTAAGCCCTAACTTCATGTCGATCGCAGCCACCAATGGCCCAAACATGTTGGTACACGGCTTGTCCTGCAAGCTCCCGTCCGCATCACATCATCGCCCACCGTGCAACTCCGAATTCACGATCTACTGTGAGGTGTTGGTTGGGAAACCGTACCGATGTGACAGTCGCGAATAATGACCAGTCGCCAAAGTCAAGTCACCCATTTGTATGCATACTCAGAACGCTTTGTAGAGTCAGCTGCCTAGACAACACAAATCGACCATCTTCTCCATAAGCGAAACGCCTCCCAACGCGAGCCAAGCCCATCTGCAGCCGCGTGCAATTCACGTGGCAACCGCACCGCATTGTCGTGACGATAAAACGCGCCGCGCCGCCCTCACAGAAAGCTGTGCATGCTGCTAGGTTCGTTCAGCTACTATACTTCGATCCATCACCCGAGACTCTCCACACCAACCCTTCGCTCACCCGTCAACACTCAGCGACCGAACTCCAAGTCCGTTCACCATCACGCACCATGTCGTCGGATCCTCCATCACTCGGTTCATGGCCTACCACACACCTCTCGCTCGCTTCGGTAGCGCCCGAAACCGCGGCAGCTTCGGCATACCTCAAGGGCGTAGTATCACTCCAATGGCCATTTTCGCCGAGTAGTGCAACACTGTCGCTACTCGTCTGCGAGGAGGACGTCCGGCTGCGAGCGTCAAATGGGCAGCTTCGTGTCGAGTTTCGGGGTGCTTCGGCAAGAGAGGTGGACGCGAAGAAAGTGCAAATTGGAGATCATATAGAGCTGTCGCTGGAGGGCGCCGAGCTTGAAGCGCTGGATAATGCTACGCCGAGGGATGTGCCATGGAAGATGGTATTTTCTACGAGAATGGTCATGAAGGTACAATAAATAATGTCCCCTACGAACTGACTGGACAGAGGAGAGGGATTGTCGCCGCTCCTGTAGCTAACAGAAGTTATGTTCAGTTCAAAACCCCCACCGGTTGGGATAGCATAGACATCGATGTTCCTTCAGAGGAGGAACCTACGGACTCATTCGAATCAACACTTCCCGACGAAGACGACGCATTTATGTATCCACCTGCTCCGTCCACAAAACAGCCGACTACTCCTCGACGCCAGAATGAGTGGAGCTACAAACGGAAAGGGGACCTGCTCGCAACCTCACCGTTGTATCTGCAAAATCTGTTTGGCGATGAAGAATATAATCTGGAGGTCGATGTGGAACGACCGAGGAAGAGACCCAGGTTTGGCAATTCCTACAGACTCGTGGACCGAACTCCAAGCCCTGGGCCCGAAGGCGAAGACGAGGGTGAGGGTGTGCAGGACGTTTTCGACTTCATGCCGGAGATCGATCTGGAAGCTGCACGCCTTGCTGCCATGACAGATGAACCGCTTGTCATATTTCAAGATGAGCCTACTCCTGATGAGCCCATGGTGATATTTCGAGATCAGCCTGCTCCCGATGCCGGTGATCACTCAAATTGGATGGACATGCCGCCACCACCTCTTCCTCCCCTCAATACACAATTCAATAACACGGAAGACGAAATACCCGATTCACCTTCGCTACGACCAGCCCCATCACCACAGTTACCTCTTGTTTCCCCGTTCCTTCACCGCGGACTGTCCGAGGACTATGTCAGTGCTGGTGAAGAAATTCGCGAAAACGCATCAGAGGTGCTGGATACACAGGAAGATGCAGGCTTGAGAATGGAGCTGCAGGCGCCTATGTCTATGCCTGCGAAGGGAATACCGCGCGACCAAGAAGGTGATGAATTCGATGACGATCCCTTCGCCGTAGTGACGGCAATCTCAGCAGAGAATTCGAGACCCACGTCGAGTGCCGGTGAGAGTGAACAGGACTCTCTGTTCGATGAGATGTCAGACAGGGAGGATTCGCGAACTCGCCCAAGGAGCAGATCACCATTACCGGGTCCATCGCCTCTACGGAAAGTCCAGCGGGTGAAGACCCCCGAACGATCACCTACCGCCAGTAGATCCAAGCTAAGATTGCAAATCACTTCCACCACCTCGGAGTCACCACAACCAGGCGATACACCTCGATCCGCCGCACCGAAAACCCCCTACCTTTACCTTCCGACGCCGTCACCGAAGGTCACCAGCAACGAGCACATGTCGTTCCCATTTTCTCCGCCGAGCAGGCTGGACTTCGGCAGAAGAGCATCCGAAGCGGGTGACTCACCACGCGGACAGAAGAGAAAACTGCTTCGTCAATCCCTGGACTCCGCTCCGCTAGACTTATCGACCTACTTTGGCCGCCCAGGCCCACATGCAACCGAGTACTCGGTCGCAGAAGAGGACGGTCTAGCCGAAGCTCCGAGTAGCCCCACCGCAGAGAAGGGCCCGTACAAGCGCCGGAACAGTATACATGAACCACACTTGCAGCGAAGGGGGAGCACGGTCCATTTCAGATCCGGCATCACGACTCCTGTAAGTGTGCCAAGGACATACTCGTGGCTAGATCTCGGTGCTGACATAGATTTCAACAGCTGTCGGACTTCCCTCCATTGGTATTCCTTTCATGGGGTGCAACAGTAGACCTGATCGGCGTGGTCAGTCAGCACAGTCCTATCGCACGAGCCGAGTCGGGCCAGAAGGACTATTACATGGCCCTCAGGATCGTTGACTCCTCGCAAAACACGGGCATTGTTATGCGGATATTTAGGCCGTACAAAAATGCCCTTCCGGAGGTTGAGGTGGGGGATGTGGTAATGCTACGTTCATTCAAGGTTGGTTTCATCTTTATCCCTGCCTATCGTGTAGAGTTCTGACAGTTATGGAAGATCACATCATACAAGCACAGGTATGTCGGCGTGTCAACAGAGAATTCGGCTTGGGCGGTGTGGAAGGAGCATGGTAAACAGCGGCCTGCCGTATGCGCCGGGCCTCCGGTGGAATACGGCGACGAGGAAGAAACATATGTGGCCAGCATTGGAACGTGGTATATGGGCTTGGATCCACAGTACAGAGAGACCATGGAGCACAGGCCAAAGGAGGAGTTGGTGGCTGGCATCAAGAAATAACGATGTAATGATGGATGGTTGCGATGCTACGATTACAGAGTCAAGATCATTTTTATGTTTCTATAGGTACTACTGCCATTCTACTCACACTCGTGTTTTTATCTCTGTAGATACCTGCTTCTGCTTTCCTGCTGCGTCTGTTAAGGTGTATTTTACGTACATACTTCCCACCTAGCCAGCCCCTTATCTATTGGGCGTTGGCCTCCAATGATCATCTGATAAGTTCTCGGAAGGGGACAGTCGGACGCGTGGTGCATGCCACCTCGGCTCTCAGGATGTCGTCCACATCCGAGATTATCAGATGTCCCTTGCCGTATCAGATCAGAGTTTTCACGGCGCTTGCCGCTTTTGGGTGTAGGCGCAATTCCCGCAGTGGGGTTCCCGACTCGCTCCACACTCTCCGTCATAAACCCCCAGCTGTGCTCGACTCTCCCCTCCGCTCCTCCGGCGCATTGCAATAATCGTCGACGTCCCTGAATGTCTCGTCTCCCACGGGCAGCTGCTGTTCATTTTGTTCCTCCCGCCGTCGACCGCCACCACTACTACTGCTCGATAGTATTGCCGACAGCGGATCTTATCTATGGCATCAGGTGATTTCGCTGCTTCCCCGATAGGTGAGCTGAGTCCACTTGCTTTTTTGGTCGATACCAACTCCGGCACGTGCTGTCACTCGTCACTAACATTCAATGTCTCGTTCTTGTTTGCTGCAGCCATTGCTTCGCCGGCGCCTGTATCTTCCATTGGCAGTCCATGTCCAACCCTTGCGCCAAGGGCTTCCCCGGCTCTGCAGGGCGCGTCTGAAAACCCGGGAATCGTCACACACAAGGAATGGGTTGTGCCGCCGCGGCCAAAGGTAGGCATTTCCACAGAACGCCGATGAGGTGAAAGCGAAGTGCTGATGAAGCTCAGCCGGGAAGGAAACCGGCTACTGATACGCCGCCAACAGTAAGTTCGGCTTCTCGCCTCCTCGTTCGGCATGTATTTACAACCCCTGGTAGAAGCGGAAAGCCCAAAACCGCGCCGCTCAGCGAGCATTCCGCGAGCGTCGAGCTGCCCGAGTCAACGAGCTCGAAGACAGGTTGAAAGAAGTGACCACGGAGACCACCACCAAAGATGCCGAATACCACGAACAAATCCGGCGGCTAATGGAGACCAACGCCGAACTCGCCAAGGAGAATGCAGCTTACAAGCTGAAGCTCGATAAATTACAAAAGGAGCTTGAAGACGAGCGGCAGAAGCCGCAGCAGCAGGTGGAGCTCACACAGGTTGCCTCCCCGGCGTCGACTGTGGATGTGCCCTGCGCGGGCGATTGTTCGTGTCAAGACGTTGTAGACAAGGTCCTCTGCGAGCGCGGCAACCCCGCCATCGCTGCACCAGTGCCCGCACCCGTCGTAGTCGCCCTCCCCAAGCGCACCCGCCCTCCCACCGACCTCACCGACCTAATTGGCTGCGGCTCGTGCAGCAAAGACGGAGACTGCAGCTGCTACAACGCCTCCGTCGCCGTCGCCGTCGCCGCCGTATCCGTCCCCAAACGCTCCATCTCTCCACTAGCCAATCCGCCAAAGCGCTCACGAACAATCGACTACCTCGACGATCTCGAAACCGACTTTACCACCACGTACACAGCCCGTCCGCGGCCGGGAATACTGCACATGCCCGACCCGTGCGGCTTCTGCTCCGACGGCACACCCTGCGTGTGCGCCGAGATGGCAAACGCCATGGACATGGAGGACACCGACACCGACGGCGAGGGCGGTGACATCAAGCTGGCGCCACTCCTTGGTGGGCGCGGCCTCCTATCCCCGCCCGGTTCCAGCATAGGCGAGCACGTCCCGCTCCGCCGCATGGCCGGCCTCGACAAGCCGCTGCCACTGTACTCGCCGTCCACGCGGCCGACGCCCCAGTCCGCCGTGGCCACCCCCTCCTCCCTACCCGCCCCCCCATCCTCCGGCTGCAAGCCCGGCGGCTGCGACCAGTGCAAGGCCGACCCCATGTCCACGCTGTTCTGCCAAAGCGTCTCCACGCGCATGAGCGGTGGCGGCGGTGGTAGCGGCGGCTGTTGCGGCGGCGCTGGCCCAGGCGGCGGCTGCTGCAAAGACATCGAAACACCCACTAGTATTCCTGCTTCCGTCCCCCTGCGAAAACGGACTACGCGCGCCAGCACGGCCAAGAAACCTCCACCGCCTCCCCCGCCACCACCAGCCCCACCTCCTCCAACAACAACCGGAACGGGAGTGAAAACGGGAACATACATCCCCTGCTCAGCCGCCTACCAAGCGCTGAGCCGGCACCGAGCATTCGACGAGGCGGCGGCAGACCTGGGCGCACTCGTGCGCCCGCTGGTGATACAGAGTCGCGATGGCCGGTGTCCGCAGGTCGAGATCAGTTCGGTCAGGGACGTGCTGAAGATGCTGGACCGGAGGTTTGGGAGGGATTAGGTGGGAGCGGGGACGGGGGGACGGGGGGACGGGGGGACGGGGGGACGGGGGGGTTTGTTTTGGCGTTAGGGGAGTTTTGCGTTGTATTGTACTCTACTTTTATGGAGGGAGGTACGTGGTGTATATATTTTCTGGATCAAGGGCTAGTCTGCATATCTGTTTGCACAGATGGAGGGCGCATGAGAAATCAATGTGAAATCTGGATGTGCATAAGCACTTAAGCATCGTGACATCGCTGCTTCCTACATAATGTATTTGCAAGGAAAAAAAGGGAATCACCGCAAAGACAGACAGGCAGACAGACAACTTGATATCAAAATCAAAACCAAGTACAAGACCAACGAAATATCCAATCCAATCCAATTGCAAAGCACTAACTGCATAACTGTAATAACCAAACCTTAAACTCTGCGAAATAGAAATAGAAATCCAGAACCGAAACCACAACACCAACCAGCCAGCCGAGCATACATGCACCCAAACACTACATAGAAGCGATCAGCTGCGCTACAACTGGTCGATATTCAACTGCTCGAGGCGATTTCCAAGCTTCTCGATCTGCAGAAACACATCTGTTCCGTAGCCCTCCATGCTGGTATGCTGCAGACTGCCGCCCCAATACTCGGCGTAGACCCTGGTCATGGGCAGGCCCATGCCGAGCTTCAGGTCGGGCGGGCGGTAGGTGAGGGTGTGCAGACTAGTCTCGCCGACGTCGGGCTGGAGCTCCTGGAGCTCCTGCAGGGTCCCGGCCATCTTCGGAACCTGCGCAAAATTCTTGAGGCGGGTGAGGTCGGTGCGGCGAGTTTTTGCGAACGACCAGAGGTCTTCCGTCTCGTCGGGGGGGATGCCGCCTCCCTGGTCGCTAACCCGGAAGATGACGTGTTTTGGGGCGTGGCAAATGAGCACGTTGATGGGGGGCGGGGTTGGCGTCTTCCAGCCGTGGTGCGCCACCGTCGCCTCGATGCTGTTGCGCAGCAGCTCGCCGATGATGTACTCGAGGTGGCTCAGGATGTAGGGGAACGTTGTGTCCAGGTGCCCCTCGATGCGGATTTCGGGGATCGGGTGCGAAGCGCCGTGTGCTTTGCGCGCGAGCTCGGCCGCGTACGCGCCCACGCGCTCTACGACTTCTTTGGCGTTGCAGCGGAGGAAGACTTCGCCCACGAAGTCGCCGTGGTGGTACGCCGGCGCGTCCGGGAAGTGGAACGGGCTGTTGAACGTGTCGGTTAGGGCGAGGTGCTGCTCTGCTATGACGCGGCGGGAGATTCGCTGGTTGCAGTCAGTAGGCATTCCCCAACCCACAAACCCCCACTCCCCCATGCATCACTTACACTCCTCAACAACGTATGCATAAACTTATCCAGCTGTTCGGCGGGTAGCAGATCCCTACACTCCAGCACCCCCATCGCGAGCCTAGGAATCACGGTGAGATGCTCCTTCAGCGCCGCCTTGATGATGCCACAGAAGCGATCATTATCCTCTGCAGTTTTTATCTCGGGCACCTTTCGGAACGACTCGAAGGCGGCATAGTACAGCTCGTAGACGTACGACAGGTGGCGATTCGTGACGACTACGTAGGGAAGCTTCTGCATGTCACGGATTCGGTGCGCGAGGCGAACCGGGAGCTCCGTTCGCACATAGTTGGCGCTATTCACGATGCGTTTCTCGTCGAGGTTGCGGCAGCCGAAGAATATGAGCTGCAGGGTGTGAGTCACGCTGGGCGCGGGGTGGGGAGGGAATAGCGGAAGGACTCACCTGGCGCAGGGAGATGGGGCGGGCTGGCTTCTCGACGTAAGAATCGAGGACGGTGGAGGAGCGCCATCTTGTGGGATTATTTGAGGTTGTAGATGTCGTTGGCGTGGTTGTGACGTTTGCGGTCACAGAAGGAAGATTGGGCTGGGCAGATTGCGACTGATTGTATCTTCGATGGATCACGGCGGCAGTAGAAGTAGGAGAAAGATGTAGACGAGCGATATAGCGGGGTAGTCCTTTCCTCAAGGACAGCAACCGGTGCGATGATTGCGGCAAGAGCATGGTCGTGAGGATGCCATTGACTCTTCTGCGATGAGAGGTTATGAGGTGACGGCGGCGGTGGTGGTGGTGGGTAGTGGTGGCGTGTGGACGGCAGTTTTGCGGGGTGTGGATTTAAGGTGTGACAAGCAGGCAAGCGACTGGGCCTAAGCCAGACGGGTTAGAGTGAAGTCTTCACACTTTGGGGGATCGGCACTGATGCTGGGGCACATGTGATGGATCATGGGGATAGTACATGGTAGGAGAGGGAATAGCTGGTACACGGAAAGAGGGCATGCACTTGTTATATACCGCTCTGGTCGTATTCTATATCGATGGCGGTGATTGTTACTGGCCGTGAGTGTCGGAGAGGAAGACACCGGATGAGATAGGTACCGGTGCGTACTCGGCGACACTTTGAATCAGGACTTCAGTCCCCACGATCATGGTATGCGTGGACTCGCAATGGACGGAAGTGAAGGAAGAGATATCTACGAGCAAGCAGTCATAGGTAGAGTGGAGTGGGTAATAGGTAACTGAGTTAAATGTGTACTAGAGATAAATAGAGGATAGACGCTTATGCGAGTCCACCCACACTGCGGACAGGGCGGCAGAGTGCAGCGCGATGATTGGACGCAGCATTGTGATAGGCACGGCTGCAAGTTGAGAGAGAGAACGTTGGTTTTATTGTCGGATACGGCCTTGCTACTTAGGCCGCAAGTTGATTTGCTTCTTCTGTGGCTTGGATACACGGCATTCCGAGTGACACGCGGTGACGGAACACATTCGTCGTTGGTCTGTGCTGTGCGCAGTATAGATGTCGATCACAAGAAACAGCCCGACCGGGCAGTCTCAAAGCAGGCGACCACTTTCCCGAAAGGATGATTCCAGCCAGGCACGATCGTCATGCGCATGGCCTGCTTCAGTGCTTCACTGGCCTGCAGGGCTCACTGACAAATCAAGCGGGTTGCGGAGCGGCGGAGTACCGGTATGTATCTGGATACTGGTACTGTAGCGCTGGTACATACTATACTCAGACTTCTAGGGCGACGTCACTCTGGAGAAGGCTTGCATCACCGATTCCCGCGGCGGATAGCTACTCTCGAGCGAAAGCCTCGTTTCCGTACAGCTGGGCCGAACGACAACAATGGATCGAAGCGGCCTGGAAACGGGACGGCAGCCCGTCAGCAAATAGGTAAACATTTTTTCTCGCTGTCCAGCCATGTTGCGGGGCCCGCCGTCAGCGAGTGTCCGCCGGTCGCCCGTTAAGCACGGCTGCGCCACGAGAGCTATCACATGTGGTTAGAGTGCTTCCGATGACCCCAGCCTTGATGGCTACGTTTGGGACTCTCTCGCGTGCTAGCGGGGGAGGGGAAGCTGGGCGACAAAGACTGTATGAATTCTATGACGGAGGGCTGTGGATTTGCGAGCAAGCGAAGGGTCTCTCCCGAATCGAAACGGCCAAGTGGACAGCATACGGTACATGATGAGCCCGGCATTCATGATGTACTTGGTGGTCAACGATACTTAGAGCAATAGACATCTCGCAAGGTAGTTTGGCCTGTACCAGACGGCACGAAGCAACGGACAAGAAGTCTCCACTCGCAATTGCAATTCACTCCGTGAGAAGAGGCAGTTACATAATGTATTCCCGGTGCAAAGAGGGCTTCAGCCTTTGTCCTCTCACCTAGACGTTTGTGCCACAGGTGTGGCAAATTACGTAGTACTCCGTACTCACCTTGCACTAGTACCCTCTACCTTCCAAGTGCGGCTCTAAGGGCCCCGCCACACCCCTCCTCACCCTTCCTTCCTTTCTATCCCCCACCACGCAAGCAGCCCTTCTACTAACCCCCATCTCCTTCTGCCTTGCTCGTATCGTATCCCAACCACACAAAACCACTCACACACTGATTCTACTCTATTTTACATATCCATCACGCAAACCACATCGCAGTTGCTTGTAGTCACGGCTACATTCCCAACCCGGAAACAAAGCTATTGCTCGAAACCGCCATCTTCCTCCCGCGCCTGATTTCAGCCTTCTACCTCTACCTCTCCCCCACCTGCTCCAAGGCTCAGAGGGCATTAATCAAACCCCCCATCCCATGTTCTCGGCTTGCTCTGCCTTCAGCTCTAACCGCGCTTTATTCGACTGCTAATCCCTGCCAACTGCTGCCCGCTTCTTTGTCCGCTCCGCCTACCTACATAACTACGACATTACACTTCTCACTACCGTCATCGCATCCTTCCACCTCGTTCCCGAATTGCACGACTGCAGTACCCCCAACCGATCCTATACACCTTCTACCCTTCAGCTGCTACTCCACGTTACACTATTCACTCGTGCCGAAGCAGGTCGTTAGAAAGCTCGCCCAAATACCTAGCTCCCCGGGTTAGCAAGCATGGCGGACATTGTGAGTTCCCGCATTCCGCAGAGATGGCCGATGCCCCTCCCCCCAGACGACCGTTGCTCCCGTTTCCCTTAACGTCTCTCTGACATTCCGCCGATGCAGGACGGTTCCAATCCGATGAGCATAGACGTCGATCCAGCCCTGGACGAAAAGCAGGCTGTGGTTGAAGATGGCGTTGCGATCATCACCCCCGACGTCGAGATTGAGGCTCCTGCAGCTGCCCCCATCCGGGCTGATGACTGTATGTACACCTCCCGGCTCGGCTGGCGTTCCCACCTCGGATCCGCATCGTTTCTTTCTCGCTGGTCTTGGTGACGGTGTTAGCCTGTCCCGGTGATCCGAAGCTGACCTGATGTGTTCGTGCAGTCGCAATGATGAAGAACATAGTGCTCCCAGAGGAACCTGGTCTGGAAGCGGAAATCGAGGGAATGTACCACTGGGACATCACCAATTGGCGGAAAATGGAGCGGAGGTCTCACAGTCCGGTATTCACAGTTGGTGACACCCCATGGTATGTGCGAGAGAACTCTTGGCCATCTGCAGCTGTACACGGCTGATACCTTTACTAGGCGGATATTATTCTTCCCTTTCGGAAACAACTGCGACTGCGCTTCGTTCTACCTGGAGCACGGATTCACGGATAAGCCGCCGGAGAAATGGTACAAGTGCGTGCAGTTCGGGTTGGTAATGTGGAATCCGAACGCGCCCACAAGTTTTGTTCACCACCGTAGGAATCTCCAAATCGAGGGGACACTGTTGGCGGGATGCGTTTCTGATGAATATCCGTAGAGGCACACCACCGGTTCACGGTCGAGGAAGGCGATTGGGGCTTCACAAGGTTCGTCGAGTTGAGGGAGCTTATGGCGACCAGCGACAAGAGGCCACGGCCATTGATTGAGAACGAGTCGACTCGAGTGACTGCATACGTGCGCATCATGAAGGACCCTACCGGAGTGTTGTGGCACAACTTTCAGAAGTATGGCACTTGCTCGTCATGCATATGATAATGGCTGACTCGTCGTAGCTATGATTCCAAAGCGGAAACCGGATATGTCGGATTGAAGAACCAGGGAGCGACCTGCTATCTGAATTCCTTGTTGCAGTCGCTGTACTTCACCAACTGTTTCCGGAAGGCGGTATACCAAATTCCTACCGAGGATGCGAACCTCACAAATAGCGCCCTCACTCTACAGCGCCTGTTTTTCTCACTCCAAACCCATCACGATGCTGTAGCTACTCTGGAGTTGACGAAGTCGTTCGGCTGGGAGACACAAGACATCTTTGCTCAGCAAGATGTACAGGAGCTGAATCGCGTCCTGATGGAGAATTTGGAGACCAAGATGAAGGGGACGGAAGTCGACAACATTCTCAACAGGATTTTCGTAGGCAGGACAAAGACCTACATCAAATGCATCGATGTCGATTATGGATCGGAACGCGTGGAAGATTTTTGGGACATTCAGCTGAACGTTCGAGGCTACAAGAACTTGGACGAGTCATTCAAAGACTATATCGCTGTCGAAACTATGAATGGTGAGAATAAGTATTACGCCGAAGGGCATGGACTACAGGATGCGGAGAAGGGAGTCATCTTTGAGTCTTTTCCGGATGTTCTCCACCTTCATCTGAAGCGCTTCGAGTATGATTTGAATACCTACGCTATGCAGAAGGTAGGGATCGCATGTTCTGGGCGAACTTGGTTACAGATCTGATTAGGTGGCATTCTTTAGGTCAATGACTACTATGAATTCCCCGAGGACTTTGACGCCGCGCCGTATCTGTCCGATGATGCGGATAAGGATGCAGGATGGGAGTACGTTTTGCATGGGTAAGTCACACCGGTCGTTCCCCGGAAATCGCAGACAGTCGAGCTGAATTCCCACAGAGTTTTGGTGCATAGTGGTGATCTCAATGCCGGTCACTATTACGCCTTCCTGAAGCCAGAGAAGGGCGGTGAATTCTTCAAGTTCGATGACGACCGTGTTACGAAAGCCACGAAACGGGAGGCGATGGATGACAATTTCGGCGGAGAGTACACTATACCAGCTAACCACGACGGCAGTCGGAATCAGCTCTCTAGAACCCTTCCTACCAAGCGATCGATGAACGCCTACATGTTGGTCTACCACCGCAAAAATAAGATTGATGAGATTTTGGTCCCTGTGACCGAGGCGGATGCTCCCGAACACCTGCGTATGTAAAAGTGAGCAGTCCTTCACTATGTGTGCGATAGCTGACATGTGTCTTCAGCCATACGATTTGAAGAAGAGAGGTTGCAACTGGAACGACGGAGGAAAGACAAGGAAGAGCAGCACCTCTACCTCTGGGTGAGAGCAATCACCGGTAAACAGTTCAGAGCGCATCAAGGGTTCGACCTGGCTACGTGGGATGATAAGGACGCCCACCAAGACTCACAGCCCATTGTATTCCGCTTCAAAAAGGCCAGTAAGATGAAGGAGCTGGTGGAAGACCTCGCACAGCGCCAAGGCTGTTCGCCGGATCAACTGAGGCTATGGGTAATGGTGAACCGGCAGAACAAGACAGTGAGACCCGATCAACCATTACTGGATCTTGACAAGAGTAAGCACACTGGATTCACCGGTAAATCTGTTTCTGTAATGCTGACGACTCGTAGCGGTTGAGGAGATGTCGATGAAGCACAACACTAAGAGTAGTGACTTCCGTGTTTGGGTGGAGTACACCGAGAGTCTCAAGGACGCGCCCTTTAACAAGGAGCATAATCCCAATGGTCCTTGGATAGTTGTTTTCCTCAAGTATTACGACCCACTGAACCAGTCTCTGATGGGCGTGCGACATGTCTACATGCGGCGAAACGATAAGGTCCAGGAAATACTGCCGACGATCAACGAAATCATGGGGTGGCCCGCGAAGACCGAACTGATGCTCTTCGAGGAGATCAAGCCCACGATGATTGAGCCGATCAAGGTTAAGCAGACGTTCCAACAAGCGGAGATCCAAGACGGGGATATCATCTGTTTCCAGAAAGTGCCGACCGAGAAGGAGCACGAGGTCATCAAGGAGAAGAGATTACCTCGGGATGCGAAGGAATTTTATGACATGCTCGTAAACCTCATTGCCATACGCTTCATCCCTAAAGGTGGCCAGCCGGATATATACAAGGACTTCATCTTACCGCTCTCCAAGAAGAACTTGTACGATGAGGTTGCAGAGAAGGTTGCCGCGCATATCGGCGTTCCTCCCACGCATATCCGGTTCACGACCATCATCGCTTCGAGCAGTGCAGCCCGGACACCGATCAAGAGAAACCCCGCGGTGACATTGGTGCAAATGGTGTCGCCTCAGTACTATTCCACCACTCAGATTGCTCACAATCAACTTTTATACGAGGTTCTGGATATGTCACTCGCCGAGCTTGAGACCAAGAGATTGATCAAGTTCACATGGCTACCGGAAGGTATCACGAAAGAGGAGCCGGCAGAGGCGCTGGTCCCCAAGGTTGGATCGATGGCCGACATCATTCCCTATCTCCAACAGCGGTTCAATGTTGCGGATGCCATGGTGAACAGGATCCGCTTCTTCACCGCGCATATGGGTAAGTTCCATAAGGAATTAAACCTACAGTACACTGTGGCCAGCATCCAGGATTACAATCAGCTATACTGCGAGATAGTGCCAGAAGAGGAGGTTGACGCCGACTTGAAGATCACCAGAATCCTTGACTGTTTCCACTACCACAAGGAACCTAGCAAGCAGCACACCCAAGGCGTACCGTTCAAGTTCGTCGCGAAGAAGGTCAGTCGGAAACAATCCTCTAGGCTCGGAACAGCAGCTGATCACCTTTCATTAGGGCGAGAAATTCGAGGATACCAAGGCTCGCCTTCAAGCTCGGACGGGTCTCAAGGGCAAGCCATTTGAGAAGATCAAATTTGCAGTTGTCAAAAAGTCCACTTATTCGAAACCCATATATCTTGCTGATGGTTCGTTCCCGCGGTGCAATCGCTTTCAAGTGGACAAGAAGCTTACAAGTTGTTGCAGATGATATTTTGTACGATGTTGCGAACGAAGCCGAGGATGCTCTCGGCCTGGATCACGCGGATAGACATGCTAACAGCAGGAATCAATGGGCACGGCAGGGACCAGAGATCCGAATCAAATAGAGTGCTTTTGCTTCACGTGTTTTGGCGCTTTTTTTGATTGGATTGCAATTGATCGGAGTGGTTGCTGAGGGGATGGCGGAGAAGGGGGATGGCATTTGTATGTGCTTGATGAAGGGCTGGCGAATCCACCGTTGCTGTTTACATACTGCGACAATCGATGCTCGTTTTTCCTGTTTTCTTCTTCTTTTCTTAATTGGTTGGAGAGTGTTTTCGTTTTTTTATATGTCTGTTTGGTCCGTACTGCGGGTTCTCTTTATAGTGCTACGCCGGGCTGGAAAATGGCCATTTCCATGTCTTGTCTTCCTTCCTTCATGTTGTTCTTCGTCTTCTTACCTAGTTTCGATGGAAGTACACGTAGATGTGGCTACAGTTATGAGTGTTGAATGGAAAGATATTATATGGCGGTTCTGATGAGACTTGACTGAAGGGTCTCTTTGGGCATGGGCTTGGAGGTTACTACAAATATCGAGTATCTCTTGCCTTGAGGATGACTATGGCTCGAGCGACATTGCCACCGCGAGTAGCTAGTCGCGCCAAGCACATGCCATGCGGCAACATCCGCCAAAAAGTTAAAAAAAGTTAAACCCAACCAAACAGTGTCAAGAAGATCCAGTTCGGGAGTTGCGCGCCACTTGACATCTTCTCGCCTTCAAAAAAGTATGAAGGTCGGATTTAACGTAAGGCGGTCCATTCCGATGCGCGGTAATTCTGGAGCATCCATGCTAATGACTGTGCTCAAAAGTTCTCGAACCTCCTCGGAACGGTCTACTGCAGCGGGAATCTGGTGTTCACACCCGATGGCAACTCGTTGCTCTCCCCCGTCGGCAATAAGGTCACTTGCTTCGACCTCGTGAAGTTCGTGTTTTCCCTACCTTATCCTGAGTATCCTGAGGCTACAGTGGGCAGGCACATTGACTGATGCCTCCTTCTCAGCAATCAGTCGTTCACCTTCGGCTTCGAACACCGCAAGAACATTGCGCGCATAGCGCTGTCGCCGCAGGCCACGCTGCTGCTGTCGGTCGACGAAGGTGAGATCTTTCGGTTCTGGGGAACGGGGAGGGGTACTGATCGTGTCCCACGCATGCACAGACGGCCGGGCAATCCTTACGAACTTCGTGCGGCGGATGGTGCTGCACCACTTCAACTTCAAGTCGGAGGTGCACGACATCCAGTTTTCGCCGGACGGGACGCATTTCGCGGTCGCGACGGGGCGCAAGACCGAGGTCTGGCGCACGCCGGATTACCTTGAGGAGCGCGAGTTCGCCCCGTTCATCAAGCACCGCGAGTACACCGGTCACTACGATGCCGTCAATAGCATCACGTGGAGCGGCGACTCGAGGTTCTTCTTGACTACGTCGAAGGATCTCACCGCTAGGGTCTGGTCGCTCAATCCTACGGAAGGGTTTGTTCCTACGACCCTGTCGAGCCACAAGGACTCCGTGGTCGGCGCGTGGTTCTCGAAGGATCAGGAGAAGATCTATACCTGCAGTCGCGACGGAACGCTGTGCGAGTGGCAGTATACGACGAAGCCCGGGCAGGACTATGACGATGAAGATATGGAGCGGGAGCTGCCCGAGCGGTGGTTCGTGGTCAACCGGCATTACTTCCTGCAGAACAATGCCAAGGTCAAGTGCGCGGCGTTCCACAAGGAGAGCAATCTGCTGGTCGTGGGGTTCTCGAGCGGCGTGTTTGCGCTGTACGAACTGCCCGATTTCAATGCGATCCATACCCTGAGCATATCGCAGAACGGCATCGATTTCGTCACCATCAATGCCTCTGGAGAGTGGCTGGCGTTTGGGGCCTCGAAGCTGGGACAGCTGTTGGTGTGGGAGTGGCAGTCCGAGTCGTATGTTATCAAACAGCAGGGACATTTTGACGCCATGAATGCGCTCACATACTCGCCCGATGGACAGCGGATCATCACCGCGGCCGACGACGGAAGGATAAAGGTCTGGGACGCGACGTCTGGGTTCTGTATAGTGACGTTTACGGAACACACGGCAGGAGTGACGGCGGTCCAGTTCAGCGCGCGGAATCTTCTGTTCACCGCCAGTTTGGATGGCAGTGTGAGAGCCTGGGATCTGATCCGATACCGGAACTTCAAGACTTTCACTGCGCCCAGCAGATTGCAGTTCTCCAGTCTGGCGGTCGACAGCAGTGGCGAGATCGTGTGTGCTGGCAGCTTGGACAGCTTTGATATCCACCTGTGGAATGTCCAGACCGGACAGCTTTTGGAGCGCCTATCCGGCCATGACGGGCCGATATCGTCGTTGAGTTTTGCGCCTGACGGATCCTCGCTGGTGTCGGGAAGTTGGGACAAGACGGTGCGGATATGGAGCATCTTCACACGGACGCAGACCAGTGAGCCCCTGCCACAGCAGGCCGACGTGCTCTCCGTCATCCACCGCCCGGACTCGAAGCAGCTCACCGTCAGCACGCTCGACGGCCAGCTCACGTTCTGGGAGATCGAGAACGCCGAGCAGCTGGGGCATGTTGACGGCAAGAAGGACATCTCCGGAGGACGAAAGATAGCAGACCGTATGACGGCTGCAAATAACCCCGCCACGAAACACTTCAACTGCATAGCCTACTCTGCGGACGGTACATGTGTTCTTGCTGGCGGTAATAGCAAGTACATCTGCCTCTACGACGTAGCCTCGGGCAGTCTGATCAAGAAGTTCACCGTCTCCGTCAACCTCTCCATCGACGGCACCCAGGAATTCCTCAATTCCAAGAACCTGACCGAAGCTGGGCCGATGGACCTGATCGACGACCAAGGCGAAGCCTCGGACCTCGAAGACCGTATCGACCGCTCCCTCCCTGGTGCAACCCGCGGCGATCTTTCTTCGAGAAAAGTCCGTCCCGAGATCCGAGTCACTGGCATCAGCTTCTCTCCCACGGGCCGGTCCTTTGCCACCGCGACAACGGAGGGCCTCATGATCTACTCCCTAGACAACGACCTCCTCTTCGACCCCTTCGACCTAGACGTGGACGTGACCCCGGCCACAACGCTGCACGCTCTCACGGCCGAGAAAGACTACCTCAAAGCCCTGGTCATGGCGTTCCGGCTCAACGAAAAGTACCTGATCCACCAAGTGTACGAGGGCACGCCTGTCGCCGACGTCAAGCTAGTCGCCGGCGCCGTGCCGCGAGTCTACCTGTCGCGGCTGCTGCGCTTCGTGACGGGCTTCATGGAGGAAGGCCCTCACGTCGAGTTTGGCCTCGTCTGGATCGAGGCCATCTTTGAGAGCCATGGTAGGTGGGTCATGGATAATCGTGGAGAGGTCGAGAGCGAGATGAGACGCGTCGTTAGGTGTCTCAAGCGTGTGCAGAATGAGGTGGCTAGATTGTGAGTTACATACACCCTTTCCCCCCGACTACCTGTGAGACTTTGCGGAAACTGACTGCGTGCTGTGAAGGGGTGATGAGAATGGATATGCGCTGGATTACCTGCTGTCGCAGCCTAGGAAACAGGAGGAGAAACAGGAAGCAGAGGAGGCAGATGAGGAGTGGGAAGGGCTTGAGTAGCGTAAATATGATCTTTTGTTATATAGGATAGTAATTCGTGTTTGGTTTTGGTTGCATTGGGTATAGAAAAGTTATTTGATTCTCCACCATGGACCCATACTCTCCGTCGTTTGTAGTTGCCATGGTATCAGCTGACGAATTTGGTTTCCCCCACTATGGACCATATTCCTCATCGTTTGTATTTGCCATGGCATGTAGCTGACGAATTGGGTTCCTCAAATCTTAAGCACAGACTAGCAGATTACGTAGGTTGATCAAAACCCCCCATCTGAACTTTCCATTCCTGTTTTATTCCAACAAACATGAACATGCATTGAAAACGACGAAATCCCCCGCATAGGTATCCCCTCCCATCTTACACCGACCCCCCCTCCCCCACCTACACGCTTACGCAAAGAAAGTAAGGTACACAGTGCTAACCGCGCTGACCGCCAGCACGGCGTAGCCAGTCCTGTAAACACCCTTCAGGCTGAGCTCCCTCGCGGTGTCCCAAGTGAGATGTCTAACACCATTGAACGCATGGAAGGCGAACGGCGCCGCGAGAGTTCCCTTGATCGCGAGCTTGACGGCGAGGGGCAGCGCGGCCATGGTGGCGACCATCGACGCACTCTCCATGTGCCCTCCGACCCACGGCGAGACGGCATACCCGATCCCGAAGAGGTACACGGTCCCGGCCAACATCACGCCCGAGATACGATTTGCGCTCGACATGTACCATGTCAGCTGCGGCTGGTAGATTGACAAGTGGGGCGCGATGGGCCGCAGCAGCCGCTGCTGCACCAAAAGGGAGTGCGCTTCAGTGGCGGTCGTGGAGGAGGTGGTCGCCGCCGTGCTAGGGGTCATAGTTAGTTGCGGGAATGATGGTGCCGGGGGAATTGGTGCTGTACCGTGTCTGGGTGAACGCGCGAGGGAGCAGCTGGGACGCCGCGGTGGGCTGGCGGGTCACTGGACAGCACACCACACGTCAGTCATCAGGTCGAAGTGCTGCACTTGTGGTGGGGTGCCAGTGGTGGTGGGGTGTGCATACGCTGGGTGGCGGCGCGGAAGGCGGTTCTGGAGAGAGACATGGTTGCTGTGCGGTGTGTGCGGTTCGATTTCTGTATTGGTCCTGTCGGAGTGTCGTGTGTCTGGGTCGTATGTGGTCTATGGTTGTGGTTGTGGTTGTGGAGGAGGTTTTGAGGTTGCCGTTCGGATTCGAGCAAGCACCTGCACACCCACTTACCGTTCGGCGGTCCTCGGCTACATCTCGTCCCCCGGTCCATGATTATGTTCCGGCGCGATTCGATTGGCCGCTTTCGCCAAGGCCTGTTACCCTGCACACCATACAAATCTGCGATTTTTCTTCGCCTTCCTTCTTGTTTTCCTTTCCTCTCTACGAACAAATGGCAAAGCACTCCCCGACCGTCACTTCCCAAGGGCCCGGAGGAAGGCGCGATGACCCACTTGTGCTCGGTGACAACGTTTTGTTGGAGCTGGCATGCCGGTGGGACTCGTCGCTTCTGTTCCAGATGGATGGATAACTTTCACCACCTTATTAATCGCGCAGTAATCCGCTCGTGTAAAGATGAGTTTCTTGCGTTTCATGATGAGGTGACATACTTTTGTTAGGCTGGGGGCTTGTGGAGAGTGAGATCGCGGGGTAATGATTTTCCGTGAAGGATGATGTGGGGGCGGATCTGTTCTCTGCACAGTGCACAGTCAACAGTCGGTGCATACATATGATGCCTACACTCATGATGTTTTCTTGACATGAAAGTACTTTCGAGTGTCTGCTCTCGGTTCATTTTCCAACCTCACAATCGCCACTCCATACGTCAGATTCACTCCGCTCCACAATTATCCACCGCGGTATACGTACAATTCGTGTCCAGTCCGATGCATTCACTCCCCGAGGTGCTGATCACGCACGCCCAGAAAAGTCCGGAGGCACCATCTTCTCGTTCCTGTCAGCCGATGCTAATATGGCCCATCTCTTCTCCGGCGGCAATTCCTTTCCTTTCGCTCCAAGATGGCGATGTGGCGGTGATCGCGTGCCATTTGCGTTTGTAGAATCTAGATGTCGACATGTTGTACATGGCTATATACCAGTATGTCGTGCTGTGGCGTGCGCGTTCGATCTGGTGCATTTATATGTGCACACCTCCGGCGTTTTGCGGTCTCCACGTAATCCCCATTCATCTTGCGGTCATCGGGGGGATACGCTGAAAATCGAATCATCGTCTTCATCTCGTGATCACGTGTAGGGCGTGTGGTCAAGATACTTACATAAGCCAGACCTTGGTCACGTGACGTCTCTCACTTCCTCTCACTCTCCCTATCTCTTTTCCTACTCATTTAGTTGGCCCCAGCTAATTTCACGCTGCCACCCGCTATCCCCCAATCAATTCGCTACACCGCCTGCATTCGGTCGAATTGGCTGCAGTGACTCTTGGCGCAGGTTCGATCAGGGGTCGGGCTTCGTTGGTCTCTCTTCTCTCGAATTGAATTGAGTGAGCGAGAGGAGGAAAGTAGCAGTGTAGCGAACATCTCCCACCCCCTTTAACGACCGAACACCAGCTTCGAAAGCCCGCCCATCCCCACGCTTCCCCCCCTACCACCACCCACTACCACCAACACCTCCACCTCCACCACCTCCACCAAGAAAGGTTGTCTGTCAGCAGAAGCAACCTCCTCCTTCACATCGCATCAATCTTCGTCTCGTTCCCGGCGAAAGTCAACAGACCTCGATCGTCATCTTCCTCTTTGCTTGCTTGCACCTCCAACAAACAAAACAACTGCCTTCAAGATGGTTTCCGCACACGTCGACAAGCTCATCGGCATCGCCAACCTCCCCAACCAACGGCACAAGATCGTTGCGAAGAGGTGTGTTGCTGCTGCTGCTGCTTGCTTGCTCGCTTGTTTGCGTTGTGCATATGCTGACTGCTTGCTTGCTTAGAGGTGCCGCTTTCACGATTATGGTAGTTGGTGAGAGTGGTCTGGGAAAGACGACTTTCATCAACACCCTCTTTAGCACAACCATCAAGAACTATGCCGAGCATCGCCTCCGTCACAAGAAACAGATGGACAAGACGGTAAATCGCGCGACGCGTCTCGATCCCCGCTGCGTGGTGCAGGACCCTGACTGGAACGTGTTGGAATTTTAGGTCGAGATTGCCATCACCAAGGCCGAGCTCGAGGAGAAGTTCTTTAAAGGTACGTCATTGAGCTTTGCTTCTCCCTACACGGACCTCACGTAGGAAAAACGAATTGAGATTGACCTCTGCTTGTTGCAGTTCGCCTGACGGTCATCGACACTCCCGGCTTCGGAGACTACGTTAACAACCGCGACTCATGGATGCCCATCGTCGAGTTCATTGACGACCAGCACGAGTCGTATATGCTTCAGGAGCAGCAGCCGCGCCGCAGCGACAAGATCGACCTCCGTGTCCACGCCTGTCTTTACTTCATCCGGCCCACAGGACACACCCTTAAGCCCCTCGACATCGAAGTCATGAAGAGGCTGTCCACCCGTGTCAACTTGATCCCTGTCGTTGCGAAGGCCGATACCTTGTCGCCCAATGACTTGGCTCTGTTCAAGAAGAGGGTGAGATATTTCATGTTGATGGGATCTTGCGGACTGGGTGCTGATGGCTATTGTCTAGGTTCGTGCGGTCATTGAGGCTCAGGGTATCAAGATCTACCAGCCCCCTGTTGAAGAGGACGACGAGGCTGCTGCTCAGCACGCCCGCAGCTTGATGGTACGCAATTCATCTTCGCTCCATGTGTATTGCACACCACCTAACGAAGATCTATAGGCTGCCATGCCGTTTGCCGTCATCGGTAGCGAGAAGGACGTCAAGACCTCGGACGGACGTGTCGTCAAGGGCCGACAGTACTCCTGGGGAGTCGCCGAGGTCGAGAACGAGGACCACTGCGACTTCAAGAAGCTCCGCAGCATCCTGATCCGCACGCACATGTTGGACCTGATCCACACCACCGAAGAGCAGCACTACGAGGCCTACCGCGCGCAGCAGATGGAGACCCGCAAGTTTGGCGAGGCCCGTCCCAGGAAGCTCGACAACCCTAAATTCAAGGAGGAGGAGGAGAACTTGAGGAAGCGGTTCACCGAGCAGGTCAAGAAGGAGGAGGCTAGGTTCAGGCAGTGGGAGCAGAAGCTCATCTCCGAGAGGGACCGTCTCAACAAGGACTTGGAGAACACTCACGCTGCGTATGTATACCTGTCTGATTGCTTCGTGGGGGTGAGGCTAATGTTGGGTTTCATTCTACAGCATCAAGCAGCTCGAGTTGGAGTTGGAGTCGATGCAGGGAAGCGTCCAGCGAAGCCATGGCAGACGTTAAGTATGACGATAATGGACCGTTGTGGGGACGGGGGTAGTAATGAGGATGTGGGGGAAGCTTTGTTTCCGGAAGCAGAGCAAAGGAATCAAAACTTATTGGAGCTATATGCAATTCTTCCGGCTCGGGCGGTGGAGGGGACGGGGATTGGTGGTGGTGATACCAAGGGGCCTGTGTTAGGCAAGTCGTTACCGAGCAAAGGCGTTCGCATTTGCTGTTTCTGCTGTTTCTTTTGTCCGCTTCTTCTCTACATTACTTTGTAGTTGTCTCCTCGGCTTGTTCTTTTCTTCGCTTTTTTCTCTCTACCTATATCCGTTCATTCGAGCTGTTTTTTTTATCCTATGCCTCCTCATCCGCTTTGACGTTTGCTTGGACTGCCCTATTATTTCTCATTCTCCGTCTCTTTTTCGTTTTACAAATAATAGTGATGTGTGTGTTTGTGTTATGTCGTCTTGCGTTAGCTGTGCTGTGCTGTGTGTAGAGTACGCTTTGAAGTGATGCTGCTCGACCATCCGTGTAAGCTGCACGTGTGAGTAGCCGGCGCGCGTGTAGAGTAACTAGAGTACCGCAACTCTAAACCGCACCACGTAAACACGTCTCTCAGCTCCACCAAACCATGCCCTTATTACTACCGCCACCGTCACCGTCACTGCTACCATGGTATTCACCACCCGCCGCCAAACCACCGTCCTAACCGGCCACGTCGGTTTGTCCCCTCCCCTCCCTCCATCCCTCCCTCCCCCCCCGTCCTCCCCCCACCTTACTAACCCCCTCCCCCTTAGGCGCCGTCCACTGCGTAACCTACTCCTCCCTCACCGGGACCTACTGCCTCTCAGGCGGCAGCGACCGGAAGATCCACCTATGGAACCCATCGACCTCCACGAAGATACAAACGTACGCGGGCCACGGCTACGAAGTCCTCTCGCTCACCTGCTCCCCTGACAACGCGCTCTTCGCCTCCGCCGGCGGCGACAAGCTCGTCTTCCTGTGGGACGTGGCGACCGCCACCACCCTGCGCCGGCTCGAGGGGCATTGGGCGCGGGTTAATGCCGTTGCGTTTTCTGCTACGGGGGATGGAGGGTTGTTAGCGAGTGGGAGTTATGATGCGACAGTAAAGCTGTGGGATGTGCGGTCGCGCGACCGCCGGCCGGTGCAGAGCCTGGACGACGCGAAGGACGCGGTGACGGATGTTGTGGTTGGGGGTGCGGAGGTAGTTGCGTCGAGCGTCGACGGAAGAGTCAGGGCGTATGATGTGCGCATGGCGCGGTGTGTGGTTGATGTGATCTCGCCGGCGCCGGTTACGAGTCTGCGTGTCAGTAGGGATGGAAAGGCGCTGCTGGTCGCCGCGCTGGATGGTAGCGTGCGCTTGATGGATCGAACGAATGGGGGGTTGTTGATGCGTTATAAGGGACATAAGAATGAGGCGCTCAGGGTCAGGTGTGCCTTCGCGCAGGATGAGGAGTTTGTTGTCTGTGGGAGTGAGAGTGGGGAGCTGTGGGTGTGGGATCTGGTAGAGGGAAGGGTTGTGCAAAGACTGCAGTGTCATGGTGGAAAGGTCGTGTCCAGTGTTGAGTGGGCGCCTGGCACGGGGAGGAGGCAGATGATCACTGGAGGCGCGGATGGGACGGTCGTGGTTTGGGGGGAGTAGGTGGGCGGATTTTCTATTATGATGGTGCGACTCGATCGACTCGATCAACTCGAGATCAACTCCGAGGGGTGTATAAATACCCCGCCTGTGCCTCGCTGCGAATACTCACCGAACACTTCACAACATCAATCGTACCTGCACAAATCATGGCTACCAACACCTCATATTTCACCACAACATCGATCTTGCCTGCAGAAACTATGGATACCAACACTTCTCCGGGTCCCTATTTCCCCTATCCACCCGACAACCCTCCTCCGCGCCCGCCTACACCGAAGTGAGGCCAGTCAGTTTTGATATGTAGAGCATCTGACCGTACTAAATGCAAATTCTATTGTCCACATCTATCGAGTACCGTGATATATGCGTCTATCTTACCACCATCTAACTCAGCAAATCGCACAGACTGTCAACATACGCCTCAGGCCTAACCCCATCCAAGCCATCTAAAAACTCCTGCTCCTTACACACACCCGTGAGCACGCCGAGGGTACCACCCAGCCCACCCTCAACGCCAAACTTGATATCGGTATTGATCCTATCGCCCACCATGCACGCGCGCTTCCTATCGAACCTAAACCTCCCCTCAATAGCATCCATCATCGCCTGACTCGGCTTGCCGAGACTTAGCGGTTGCCTCCCCCCGAGCATAAAGCTAAGCGGGGCGCTCATGGTCCCAGCGCCAGGAAACAGCCCGCCCGGCGTCGGAAAAGTGCTATCGATATTCGTGGCGAGAAACCTCGTGTCCGGGTTCTGCAGGAAGTGATACGCCCTCGCAATCTTCCTATAATTAACCCCATGATCTAGTCCGACCAGGACGACGCCGACACTGTCATCCGGGCCGAAGGCCGTATGATCCTCTGCCGAAACCCTGCGATCCTCGTCGGGATCAGTCCCGCCAAAGAATTGCACGCCCTCGGACTCGAGCTCCTCCTCGATCCCGACCTCGCCGATCACGTACACCCGCTTGTCCTTCGGCAAACACAATACGCGAGAGATGTAGATCGCCGCGGAATACGCGCTGCCGAATATCTCGTCCACGGCGGCGGGGATACCGAACGACGTGAACTTGGAAATGTATGCCGCGCGCGACTTCGTGCTGTTGTTGGTGACGAAGATGATCTGCTTGCCTGTGCGCCCCTCCGGAAGTCGTCAGTCCGAGGTGCACGCGCGGGGTGAAGCAAAGAGGAAGCACCCTTAGACCGCAACATATCCAGCGTCTCCACCGTTTGCGGGAGCAGCTTGTCGCCGCGCCAGAGCACGCCGTCGCAGTCGAAGAGGAACACCTGCACAGCGCGGTCGCTCGTTAGCTATCTGCATACTACACACGTTAGCTGGGGAATGCCCACATCGAAGCGGTCCAGGAACGCCCCGATCTCGGCGGGCTTGCCGGTCAGCTTGTTGGGAAGGGACATGACGAGCTGGGTGATGGTCTATGAAGTGTCGTGGTGGGTGGTACCCCGCGTACTCGCCAGACGGAGATGGATGGATGTGCTTGGTGGGGTTGCTTGCGGGGTGGTGCACTATGCTAACTAGGGTTCGTTCATCGCGTCTCAATCGCAGTTTCGAAGCACAAAGTCATCACTCGCATGCAGAACTCGATGATCCACATATTCCAACTTCAACCCCACCTCACTCGGTCCATTCAGAAAAATATACAGACGAAACGGCAGTAGCAACAGCAACGGCAACAGCAACAGCAACAGCAAAAGCACAACTCAATTCGCTCAATTCGCTCACTCCAAACATCTCCAAACCTCTCCAAGCCTCCAAGCCTCCCCAGTCAGACAGACAGACACAGTGCCACACTTGGTGATAAGAGAAGGGTATATATAGTATAAGAAGCAGAACAAAGACTGAGACCCAGCCTCAAACTCAGACCCAGGCCCCCAGACCCAGACCCAACCTCAGACCCAGACCCAGAACAAAGACTCGGAAAGAAAGAAGAAAACAGCGCCAAAACCCATGCATGCTACGTACAATATATATATGATATGTATGTCTGCAACTCAATACAAGATAGATAAGATGTCGCTCAAACCAGACCAAAGCAAGCAAAGACGAGACGAGGAGTGTGGTATTAATTACAACGCAGTACCGTTAAAAAGAAGTGAAGTGGAAGAAAGAAAGAAGAAAGAAAGAAAGAAGAAAGAAAGAAAGAAAGAAAGAAAGAAAGAATTGTCGCCAACCTAAACCCAGACACCAAACGTAAGAAATGTAAGAAATGTAAGAAATGTAAAAAAACATCACCGACCGTGAGAGGGGGGAGGGGAGGGGCATATATCTCATCACGTGTCACGCTCCAGCTACACCACATTCCACTCGCCATAGACACACCAGCGGGCGCTCCTATCGGCGAGGACAAGAGCTCTCCAGGGTCCTCGTTCCCCGCACTTGATGATAGTTTCCCAGACCATGCCATCCGACGAGCCGGGGGTATCCGCCTTCTTCATGAGCCTGAGGATCTTTCCGCTCGGCGTCTGGATCCCGAGCTTTGCCGGTTTGGCGGGCAGGATCCCGTTCTGCAGCACTGGCGACATCGACGACCCGTCGCTGGGACTCTGCCGCACCGCAAACACGAACGTATTGTTGACTGCCAGCTTGGCGCACTGCGGCTGCGACACATAGAGGTCGTGGCGCTGCGCGTGCGGCGTCGGGTGGCGGATGTAAAAGTCGTACGGAGGGTTCTCGCCGTGGTGGTAGATGGGCAGGGCGAAAGCCAGCGGATGGGGATTGCTAGTGATGGAGTGCTACACAATCATTAGCGTTGTAAACATGGAAGTACGGGTCCACATACCATCAAGCCACGAGGGCCAGCATAGATCTTCAAGACGCCCTGGCCCTCATCACCCGGCAGCACCGCCTTGACGCGATACGTCTTGACGCCATTTTCCCAGAACGGCTGAGCCAGCGCGCGCTTCTTGACCACCTCGCCGGTCTCGAACACGTCGCCGTCCTGGTCGATCGCAAACCCGTTTGCCTCCACCTCCGCCACGCACTCAACATCCGGCGGCACGCTGAACTCGATCTGCACCACCTCCAGGTTCTCCATCCTGATCAGACTGGTGTCGTAGTTGATCAGCTGCAGGCCATGTCTGAAGAACGGCGGGCAGGCACACGGCAACGCCATCAGTATTGGTAGCGGCAGTGGCGGGACCAGGTGCTGCTCCTCCATCGTGAGCGGAATGTGTGTCCACACAAACTCACTCGGTCTTGTCAGGAAGTAGAAGAACTCCGCCTGGTTGACCGGTGCCTGCGAATACATGTAACGCCGAGGGTGGGTTGGAGACGCAAGCGAACAATCCATGAACCGCCACTCGCCATCCACAACCACCGCGTTCCACCAATGATTTGCGCGGGGACAGGTCTCGATTTCAACAGCCTCACCCGGAGCCTTGAGGAAACCCCGGACGATGTCGCAGTGGATTCCGACTGCTGCGCACATCCCCTGCACCACAGCCGCGACCTCTTCGGGCGACCCACGTCTCTGTGCCAGCACTCTCCGCGCATCGATAGAATGTGGTCCGTACTCGCCGTCCATCGGTCCGCTCGGGTGCTCCCAAGCGATCCTTTCCGTGATCCAAGTGTATATAGCGCGCAACCGCTGGACGTCGCTGCGGTACGGCCGACAGACCTGGTGGGTGGCAAGACTCTCTGGTGTGGTGAACGGCGGCAAACTGGTGATGAACCTGGCAGCCTTATCGACCAGAGCCAGGCTGGTGGTCTCAAAGTCCTGCGGATTAGTGACGATGCCACCATCGGCCGCCTCGTCGCCATCCACGTCCTCGTCCAACGCATCCACCGGTCTCAGGACCGGTTGATCCATCATTTGCTGCTTCTCCTGCCGTTCTATCCGCTCATTCCTAGACAGCGTATTCGAGCGATTGACGTCTCGTCGGACCTGCACCCAGTCCTGTCCGTGCGACTGCATAGCCCTCGACTGCACCGGGATCTCATCGACACCCCTTATGGACGCCGCGCTGGTCTTCGCACTGTTGAGGATCTTCTTGAAAAAGTTTGCCTTCTTGGGTTTCGGCGGAACGAGTCCACCAAAAACACCATCGGCCGGAGTACTGACGGTCGTGCCCCACGTTTGACCACGCTTGCGACCAAACGTCCCCGTTCCGGACCCAGATCCCGAACCCGACCCGGAGGCCATGTAGCCCGATGGCGTTTCTGCTCGAGTGCCGTAAGTGCTCACCGGTCTGGGCGAATTACGTCCTGGGTCCTCGATGGTGCTGATGGATTTGTATTTCCGCCTTGCCAGACTACCAGCACTAGTGGCCGAGAACCCGCCGGCACTCATGCCGCTCATGATACTCGCACTTGTCAGAGCCGTTGAATTCGTGCTGTTTGTAGCGGACGAGTGATTGGAGGTTGAATTCGACGAAAGGGTCTCGACTCTAGCCAACGGTCTCGGGCGAACCATCTTTGCCGGGCTGGCACTTCTCGAAGCATAGCGAAGATCGAAAGCGGGATTACGGGCCTTAAGCGTGGGATCGCCGGTCCTCGGTCGCTCGCTGTAGCTCGAGAACTTTGCCGGAGTTGGCGGGGGTATGTCGACTTCGGAGTCACGCCTTGGTTGCTCTTGGAATCTCCGCAGACGGTCTTCCATCCGCTCCGCATAGCCGATCGGCATGGGAGGCTCGGTGGGATACATGGGGATGCCATTCTCGTCCTCATCATCCTCGTATTCATTCCGTCCAGCGATTCCCAGTGATGTCTCGGGTCGAATGTGCCGCTTCGTGGGACTTCCCGCGTAGATCTCTCCGAAGGATTCGGGGGACCAGGGAGCATTCGGGGTGCGAGGCCGATCGTCGTAAGAGCTCATATGCTCGAGACTCTCCATCACATCTTCCATGGCATTCCTCAGCGGACTCGGCGTCTGACCGTTTGGCGTTGGTGCTCTCGAACCCATCGGGGTAAGCCGTCCGTCGGGCGTGGGCAGAGGCAGTGGTGAGGCGGCCCGCCGGTTGACTCTGTGAGGCGGTGGGGCTGGCGGGGGCGAGTCGCCTCTATCATGCATCATCTCACCCCTACCATACGGATTCGGCGATGCTGCGCGCTGGTAGTCCCTCGGCGGTGCAGGCGATGTGGACCTGTAATGCTGCGACGGAGCGGGAGAAGTGGCCCTGTAATGCTGCGACGGTGCGGGCGAAGTAGCGCGGGGCATTCGATACGCATCTTCTCTCCCGTGTGGATTCGGCGATGCTGCGCGCTGGTAGTTTCTCGGCGGGGCGGGTGACACGGCTCTGTAATGCGATGGCGCAGGAGAAGCGCTCCTGTGGATATTATCGCGGCCACCGAAGGACGGCGCGGGCGAAACAGCCCTGTTGTAGGGATTAGGATTAGGCGACGCAGCTCTACTGTACGGATTGGGCGATGCGGCGCGATTGTAGCCACTCGGAGACGCCGCGCGAGATATCGACCGTTGCTGGTTGTGGTGGTCCGGTGGCGCTGGCGAGCGCGATCTTCCCGTCCGCGACCTGGAGCTCCCCCCCTCCCCACCACCACCATGGCGATCGTGCGCGGGCGAAGCCCCCCTCCTCGAGCGGGTCGACGGCGCCGGCGACGCCGCCCTCGACGCCCTCCCTCTATCGCCGTCGGGCCCCAGACGCGAAGGACTGGCGTTCCGCGACGCCGGTCTCGGTGGGTGGATCCCGGGTCGCTGGTAGTTCTCGAGCACCTCCACGTAATTCGACGGGAACAAGCCCACCGTCTTGTTACGCCGCAGTCGCCCCATCCACCATTGTCCGTCTCCCGCGTTCAAACATTCAATCAGGTCGCCTTCCACGAAGCCAAGATCGCGCTTGGTCTGCACTCTGTCAGCTGGAACCTCACACCGCGCCGCGCCGCGCCGTCGTCACTTCGCGTTCCCGACGACGACAAAAACAACGACAACAACAATAACGCTGGCTTACCTCTCCTCCCCACGAGTAGATGGCCTTGCACATGCATGGGAACGTTGGTAATGGTCTGCCCGCGCCCGGCATATCGGAGGTGGCTGGATCGCGTTGGTTGGTGGTGGTGATGATTCACGAGGCTCGGGGGGGATCCGGGATGCGAGCTAGGGGATTGACAATATGTTTGATGAAAGGCTGATGGGAGATGATTGGCAACCTTAAACGATTGACTCTCTGTGACGAGGGAGTATCGGCAGGCAGTTATGGGTAAGTGTTCGGGTGGGGTGGGTGGGATGTGGAAGTGATGTGAGTTGAGGATTGTGGGAGCGAGGGTATGTTTTCGAGTGTATGGGTGATACTTGGGATGGCTGGGTGTTGGGAGCGATAATAATTGGTGGCATATCTAGAGTGAGTGAGGTTGGTTGGACCTTGTTGCGGAAGGTAGTTGTTTTTTTGGGCTGGGTTGCTTGGGGAACCGCCGGGGGCGGGGGGGTGGGTGGGCGGTGGGCGGTGGGCACGGCAGGCGAGGCGAGGCGAGGAGAAGCACATCAAAACACAAAGGAGATCGATCTGCACGGCGGAGCGAGGATGAGCGACGCCCACGATTGCAAGAATAGCTCGATTCACGTGACAGGGCGACACGATAGGCGGGATAGGGGATAAGCGGGGATAAGGGCACGCGTCGGGTGGGAATGGGGCGGGCGGGGAGTTGAGGCGGGGAGTGGGGAGCGGGGCGGGGAGTTTGAGGCGGGGAATCGGAGCAGAGAATGGGGGAGTATGACGGTAGCAGTAGGAGTGCGAACACGTGGAGACTGGCGATAGTCCGAAATGCGCAGAGGGGGCGACAGGCGCTCGCTTGAGATCCTTAGGCAGTGCATACAGACACAGGTACACAGGCACTGGGTATCATAGGTACATAGGCAAACAGCACATAGCACGTACATACAGGTACAGTAGGTAGGCAGTTAGCATATCTGACTGCTCAACATGTGCGGCGGGCATTCAGACGAATCCGATGGCACATGTGCATCGTTCGGGGTATATACGCAGCTGCAGCTGCAGCTGTAGCTGTATGGTAGCTGTAGCTGCGGAGTAGCTGTATGGTAGCTGTAGCTGCGGAGTAGCTGCGGAGTAGCTTTGCAGTGCGTAGCTGCGGAGTGGGGTGCGGGCTTATCTAGCGCCAGGCGGGTGGCGGGGCGGGGCGGTCGATCGGGCACATAGTCGGACACTCGGTCAGCAGCGCTTCGGGTTTGCGGCTGAATCCTGCAGCCTGCGTATTCGATAGTACTCTACATATCGTCAACAATCCCTTCGGTTCCGAGACAAAGGAGATTACTCTACAGATGCTCAACCGGCGAGCGTGCAACGGTGCAAGTATCCGCTCATCCTGACCAGCAGCTCATCGAGTCATTCCATTGGCGGGCACCGGCTGAAGCTCAGCTGTTAGTTGCTAGATTTTGAAGATCTGCCTTTCTTTGTTGCGAACAGAGTGGCAAGAAGAAACAGTTTCCAGCAGCATCATTCCGGCGCCAATGTAGCGTCGACGAAGCCCGCGTACCTAAACGCCCAAGACTTGGTGCGCTTCACGTTCGGAAATGTGTCAGTTCGAAACGCGCTTCGAATGCGGGCCTTCGTATGGTGCACAGTGTGAGTACACAGTATCGCGGGTTCTCGTACTTGTCTGGTTATCTGGTTACATGCAGAAACAGAAAAGTAGCCGTCGGAAAACCTCAAGGCTGGTTGCCATCCGTCGCTCCACGATCGCAACCTGACGTTGAGTACTACTAGTATCAATTCGTATTCACATACATTTTCAATGGTTCCTCGTGCAAACGCAGCTCAAACTTGAACGATATGATAGGCAACACCCCTCCGCGACGCAAGTACGTATAAATAATTAGCCCTAGTCTTGCTTCTCCAGGACCTCCACTGTGTACTCACACGCTCTAATCCCTCCCATCCCATCCATCCATCTATCTTCTTCTCCAATCGAACTCACCAACGAGCACCATATCTTCTCACAACGCAACAGAAATGACGACCCCTACTACTACTACCACGACGACGATGGGACATGCCTGTTTTTTCTACGGTGAAACAACCCTCCCCCCCTCCTCCACCCGCTGAGCTCTCGTGCTAACATTTCGCCGACGTTCAGGCACATTGATGAGCTTCAAGGTACGTCCATTTACCACATCCCATTTACCACATCCCAGCCCAATTCATCCCACCACCCCACTAACCCCCTCCCAGGTTCTCAGCCGAGTCCTCTACGGCACTCCCACGCCGGAAGCGTGGCAGAGCCAGGGCCTCCACATCCGCCCGGCGATCCTTCACGACTACTGCCGGCACCAAGTGCGCTTCGCAGACTACCCGGGGATCGTGGCAGAGCCCGGAAAGTGCGTGCGCGGCACGTATGTAACCGGAATCACCGACATGGAGCTGTGGCGGCTCGACGCTTTCGAAGGCGGCGAGTATAGGCGCGAGGTGGTGAGGGTTAGGTTGCTGCGGGGGGAGGGGGAGGAGGGGATGGAGGAGATGGGGGAGAGGGAGTGCGCGACTTACGTCTATAAAGATGAGAACAGGCTCGTTAAGGAGGAGTGGGATTTTGCGGAGTTTGTGAGGGAGAAGCTCCATCGTTGGGTTGGCGACGAGAAGGAATACTCTGGTCAGTCGACGTCCGGGTCTGACTCTGGTGACGAGGAGGAGGACGGCGACGAGGATGGTGACGAGTGATGTAGCTAACTGTGCCCTGTTGTGCGCTCCAGAAGTTGACAAGCTCGATCCGCTCGGTGGCCGTTGGTGGGGAAATGGCTTCGCTGAGGGAGAGGAGAAATCGGAAGTCGACGAGAAGTTGAAGGCGGCGGTATAATGGCGCTCAACGCATTGTTACATATGGCTAAATCTTTGACTAGCGAAATTGATGGGTTTGGTGGTTTTCTGTGCATTTCGCTTACTGGAATAGTGAGCTCCTGATAAAATATTCGCTGACACTGCACGGGTTATCACTCGGTTGGAACCACAACAAGTAAAGTGGTCATAGCAAATAATGCTGCCGTTATAGATGCTGTGCTGCATATAAAAAGAGGAATGTCTTGATCTCATCGACCTGCTAGGCTGCTACAAGTGCGTCAATTATGTAGCTATGGAACCAGGCGGCAAAGCAGGAAGCTCGAGTATTTGGTGCTCTACAGCATTAGTCTGGAGGCTGGCATTGTGTGGCTGAAAATCATGAACCATTTAGCAACGGCGTCCACATCCACCAGTCGTACATCAAGCATTGGCGAAGGCTTACATACTAGTATGTAGCTTGGCCCAACGGAGATATTACGTAGTCACTGCGAACCGTAGCCCGTTGACATCAAGCTACCTAGTGTGTAGTGTGATGCTTGACCGGGTAGCGAGCTTCCCTCAGCAACCCGGAAGTCTCATTGCCCCCACCTACGACATCCCACCTTCTTCCGCATCTGACTTACCAATCACCACCGACAAAACACCACAACCATGGCGACCGCACCCACCGATCCGCCTGGCAAGCTGCCCGCGACCGTAGTTTGCATTGGAATGGCAGGTCCGGCACCATTCTCTCCCCCCTCAATTGAGTCCATCCAAGTGCACGCATCTCACGCATCTCCTTAGGTGCCGGCAAAACGGCCTTCATGCAGCGCCTGAACGCGCACCTACACGCGGCCGCCGAGCCACCCTACATCATCAACCTCGACCCAGCGGTGAAGAACGTGCCGTTCGACCGGCACATCGACATCCGGGACTCTGTGAACTACCGGGAGGTGATGACGCAGTACAACCTAGGCCCGAACGGCGGGATCATGACGTCGCTCAACCTCTTCGCGACCAAGATCGACCAAGTCATCGGGATCCTCGAGAAGCGCGCGGCGACGCTCACGCGCGTCCTCGTCGATACCCCGGGGCAGATCGAGTGCTTCGTCTGGTCCGCCTCTGGCGCTATCATCACGGATGCACTGGCGTCGACTTTCCCCACCGTCATTGCGTACATCATTGATACGCCCCGCACGGCACAGCCCGCTACTTTCATGGCGAATATGCTCTACGCTTGCTCGATCCTCTACAAGACTAAGCTGCCAATGGTACTTGTCTTTAATAAGACGGACGCGCATGATGCCGCGTTCGCGAAGGAGTGGATGACGGATTTTGAGGCGTTTCAGGCCGCGCTGAGGGCGAGTGAGGAGCGCGGCGATGAGGAGGCGATCGGGGGCAGTGGCTACATGGGATCGCTGCTGAATTCGATGTCGCTCATGCTCGACGAGTTCTACAATCACCTCGATATTGTCAGTGTCAGTGCGATGACGGGTGCGGGCATCGATGACTTCTTGAAGGCGGTGGATGGCAAGGTTGAGGAGTACGAGAAGGAGTACAGACCGGAGATGGAGAAGGCGCGGGCGAAGAGGGACGAGGATAAGCTGAAGGGAAAGCAGAAGGAGCTGGACAGACTCATGAAAGACCTCGCTGTCGGAAAGAAGAAGGAGAAGGAAGAACCCAACGTCATGAGCGACATCGAGAGCAGCGACGAGGAGGAGGGCACAGGCCTGGTGGAGCGAGATGAGGACGATGCCATGGATGAGAATCAAGAGGATGAGGATGGACTAAAGCAGAGATATGAGAAGGCGCTGAAGGAGCGCGGCGGCGATAAGGACAGCAAGATGGACGAAGAGAGCTTGCAGAGATATCTCCGTGCAAATGGTTAGATAATCGGAGGATTTGCTTCTCAGGTCAAAGGCGTTTGGGAGTACATACTTAGAATTTTACTCGGCTGTTTCACGGAATCATGATACCAACTATGTACAATCGGGCGAACAGCTCGGGGGAAACGAGCTGAAAAAATGAGCGTCCACGACAAGGACTGATGTCCCTCTGTGGCGGAGGCTGGAGTGTGGCTGAATAATGGCCATTTAGCCCCAGTACTTGCGCTCTAAATGAAGTCAGACGCCGCGTAAAGTTGGTGCGTTAAATCATCAGGGTTTTGGTGAAGAGCGGTAAATATTGTCCATGCGCACATAACGTCCTCATCGCGAGCTTCGTTACCACATCACTAGCGTAGCCGACACGCTCGTCATGTCGCGCGGTAGCAACATGCATAAGCGACCGTTACACTCACATGATACGGATGGAAGGGCGATATGGGGGCGATCATTGACGGCGCAGCGACTGCGCCACATCGCTTATGCGTGTAAGAGCTCCCCACCAACGAACAATGGATGTGGCCTGCTCGTTTCACCACCGGTAGGTATCGGCACCGTCCGTACAGCCGACTTCCCCCACTTCAATATGCAGTTACAATGCCATACTGGGTGAGGTAGGCCAATAGTTAGTTGCCCAAACAGGTTCGAGCCCCCACCACCTCGGTGACGGAGATGCTGGGTGGGCCGAGTAGCAACGTGGCGCGGGTAGGGAGGCACGCAGCCATTGGGATGTGTAAGTATTGTACTCTACCTATCGGGAGTCGTCGAGGCATGACTTGCCGCACGTTCTATTTAGCGCCAAGTCTCATCCTAGCTCACCAACGTCGTGGCTCGTCGTCTCTCCTCATTATCCCCCACATTCCCCCACATTTCCACCTATCGCCTCGCCTTATCCAACTGCACAACACCTCTGAGCTTCCCCAAGCTCGCACCGAAAACCCAACAAGCTTGAACATCACCGCCGACAAACTACCGCGGCAATGGGGGCCGGAGATAGCAAGCTGTCATTCAAGAAAGGCGTGTTCCGACTCTCGGAAGAAACCGTACAATCCCGCAACTCCATTCCTCCCGTTCCTTCGTTCTCCGGAAGCTCTGTAGCGGAATTCTGACCTTGCTCCGGCCGACCGATAGGACATTCCGGCGAACGACCCGTACTGGCTTTCGTTCTGGGAGCTCCCCGAGTCGGTCGACGACGTGTTCACGCTGTTTTCCGCGGCGGACATCCGGCGCGCGCGCGATAACCACCTCCAGAACCTCGAAACCCTCATTCTTGCGCTGAGCTCGCGGCTGCTTGCGCTGCGCCACCATGCGTCGTTCCCGGATGACTCGGCTCCCGAGCGACACGCGCTGAACTGTATCCGCATCCTGACACGGCTGATGCCGTTTATCTACGAGAGCGAGCAGCTGGATGCCTGGGAGAACCAGTTCTTTTGGGGAGCGAGGAGACGCCGTGCGAGGCAGGCGTATGCGGCGCCTCCTGCCGAGGTGCTGTTCGATGAGACTACGGAGCCGGATGCCGCGGTTACGGAAGATGAGGGCGAGTATGAGGATGCGCCACCGTTGATGGAGGAGCTGGTCGACTGCCTGATCGACCTGCTGTTCTATCAGGGCTTTACGCTGCCCCCGGCGACGAACGGGAATGCGGGGAAGTCGAGGGTTACCTATGCGATCTGGCAGAGCGGAGTGGGGTGCAATGCGCCGGTGGGGACTACGCGCGAGGGCGAGAATAATAAGATCGAGATACTGAGGCTGCTCCTGGCCATCACTAGCAAAGCCATGTTTATGCCGGCGAGTGTGCTGCCGATCAAGGGCGTCAAGGTGCTGACTTACATGGCTACCTGTCCGGATAAGAGGGTGGTCTTGTCAATGCTTTGTTCGCTGCTTAATACCACGCTGAAATACAACCCGGCGAGCTGGAGAGTGCCATACGACCATGTGGTCTTCACGGATCCAAGGCAAGTGCTGGTCACCTACAGTTTACAATTGCTCCTGGTGTTATTGCTGTATCCCGTTCCGGAAGCACCTGGTCCGGTCTTGAAGAACAACTACCGCCACTACTTGGGCCGACTGCATAGAACACAGGACTTTCAGTTCTGTGTGGATGGAATGACAAGAATCCTAAATCAGCCGGTATGAATGTGTGCCATGAGATTATCCTGCGTGGCTTGGGGGCTGATGGTTGAAACAGATACAAGCAACGACATCGTACCTTCCCGGAAGCCAGAAATCGCTCAAATGGGCACCGGAGATGATGATGCTATTCTGGGAGGCACTACAGTGTAACAAGCGATTCCGGAGCTTCATAATCGACACGGACCGAGTCCACGACTTTGTCGTCTTGATCATGTATTATGCACTGGAGCACCGTCTGGACCCTTCACGATCGGGAGTGGTGCGCATGTGTGTCTTTGTCTTACAAACGCTGTCAACGGAGCATAAGTTCGGCAAGAGCTTGAACAAGCGCTTCGAGGGACAGGACAGCCTCCCTGCCAGTGTTCGGATACCGTCCTTCAGCGGCAGCTATGCGGATTATCTCATAATCGTGGGTCGTCCCCGGAACTTTCATTCCCCCCGCGCGGTGTATTGACCATGTCCGCAGTCCATATACACCCTGATCACTACGAGTAAAGGAAAACTGAGTGCAGTGTATCCCGCGCTCTTGGCCATCGTTGCAAACATTGCCCCTCACGTCCAAAATATGTCATCAGCGGCGAGCAGCAAACTAATACAGCTGTTCACGTCGATGTCTGCGCCCACATTCCTGCTCGCAAATGAGAACAATCACTCACTATTGCACTCGTTGCTGGAGTCGATGAACGGAATCGTCGAGCATCAGTACTCTGGTAGGTCTTAGTGTTATTGCCGTATCTGACCAAAGACTGACTTGCGATGGCAGCGAACCCCCACTTTATCTACTCCATCCTCCGCCAAAGCAAGCGCTTTGAAGCTCTGCGAAACTTCACACTGGAGCAGGGCCAGGAGGAGGTGGACCGCGAGAACAGGCTCAAGAAGGACCGGGGTGAGGGCGTCGAGGGCTCGCCTAAAGTCTCCTTCAGCATGTCGGAAATGCAACGACCCAAAAGAGGAGGAGGAGGAGGAGCTCCAGATACGCCGGCGACACCTTCATCGCCTAACGCCTTCGAGATTGGGGAGGATTCGGACGACGATGACGAGGATGGGGAGGATGGCGAGGAGGAGGGAGGGAAAAAAGAAGCGAAACCTGCAAAGGCAAAAGAATCTATACCGACATCTCCCACATCTCCAACATCTCCAATGGTAGCATCACCGAGGGCAATGTCGGAAACAGCTTCCACTTCTGGGCAATCAGAGGACGCAGTCCCATTACAGCTCCGTGGCATGTCGGAGAAAGCTCGTGGTAAGCTACCGGAGGGTGCATTCCAGCGCCAAGGAAGCACCACGAGTCTTACAAACCACGTCTCGGGAGCCGCAACACCAACACTCGGTGGCAACGGCTTCGTACCGACGTCTGCTTGGGTATGTTCCTCCCCATCCACGGAATGACTTTGCAACTAACCGTTCTAGATCGAGAGTTGGCTCCCGCACCTCCCGCTGCACACGATCCTCACAGTGATCCAGCAGCTGCAACCCGAGCTCCGCTCCATCCTCGCGCCCAAACCCAACGACAGCGCGCTGCAAAACACGCTCCCACCGCTCCTGGAGCGCATCCGCAAGACCGAGCTGCGCGGCGTCGAGCCTATCCCCGTCAAGACGCACATGTTTGAGTGGAGTCCGCAAGCCCTGGGCTGGTACGAGTCGCTGCTGTGGGGCTTCATCTTTGTGGGCGAGCGGCACGTGTCGAAGGGTACCGGTACGGTTGGCGTCTGGAACGGTACCGCCGTAAGGCTGTTTAGAGTCCAGGAGACGGCGCCGGAAGGACCCAGTTTACTGGCGCCACGCGGAGGTGTCGACGCTATCGGGAGTAATCTGATTGAACGCCTCGGCAGTGTCACGCTGGGTGGGAGGAGGGATAGTACTGCTACGCAGGGCCACGCGAGTAGGAGGGAGAGCACCCAGGGCCACACGAGTATAAGGGAGAGTACGGAGTCGGGAGCGGGCGGGTTACCAAACGTGAGATCGCCGACGGCATAGAGTGCTGCCAGGTCTCTATGGGGCTCGGGGAGGAGGTGGTGATGGGAGATGTTTTGTTGTTTTTTGTGGCGGGTGGTCCTGTTCGTTTGATTCTTCTTCGTGTAAATGGTGTTAGGGTTGTTTCGTTCAGAATATATCTTTCGGTTTTCTCCACCAGATTATTGGTACTAGTTACCCAAGAGAGCGTGGTCAAAACAAGGTAAAAGTTTGGTTGGATGTTGGCAGAAAGTAGCATTTTACATACCCGCTGGGCGGCAGAGATAGGGGCGTCATTTATCACCGCCGGAAGCTGCAGCATCCTCTTTCTTTTCGTCGTCATTCCCGCCGACTTTTTCGTCTACCTCTTCGGCAAGTTCCTCATCCTCATCCTCGCCCTCGTCCTCGTCGCAACTCGACGCCCCCGCATCCGCAATTTTCTCGTCCTTCTCCTTTCCCAAAAAGAACTCCTCGGGCGTAAAAAACCCAATCCCCACGCCCTGTGCCCACTTCCTATCCGAATCCGAAAAGTCGCCCTTCCTGCCGGCGGCATCACCAACCAACCACGAGGCGTTCATATCCACCTCTCCCTGCAGCTCCTTTACTACCACATCCCACATCCCCTTCTCCGGCTTTCTATACCCGTCCTTCTCCGTCGCGGCATACACCGTGACAATAGGCAGGTCCAGCCCCGCCAGGACCGCAGCGACCTTGCGCTTGAATTTGTGCAGCGTCACAGTGTCTTTCCGTGGCGCTTTGAGACCGGCTTGGTTGCTGAAGATCGCTATGTCGTAGCCGGACTGGTATAGTGCAGCAAGCCGCGCCGGGATCAGTGGTGACCAGAAGGTCCAGTCACTCGCGGTCCGCGCGTGGACGCTGCCCGAGAGAGTTCTGATTAGTGTGCCGTCCTGGGATTTGATGTTAGCATCTTTTCCTCCCCCTTCTGCAGCAGCGGGTATAGAACATACATACCAGATCAAATCCGGCGACCTTCCGCGGCCCCTCTCTCCCCCGCTCCACCGCCACCTCCGTGGCGCCGGGCGAACGGTACCGCCCGACCAGCAGCGTCCCGCCGACGACACGCCAGGTGGTCGGCGGGGGCGTCTTCTGGCTGGCCGGCTTGAAGAAGTTGACCATGGCGCTTTCTTTGCGCCGTTAGCTTTTCCGGTTGGGCACGGGAGGGAAGGGCATAGTACTGGTCGTTGTCGATTTGATCTTAGCTTTCTTCGTACTCGTTGTGATCACAGTGACACTGGAGGAGGAGGAGGCGGCGGCGGCGGCGGCGACGGGAGGAGGGGAGATACGCGAGGTCAGGCTCGAGAGCGGACGTTTCTTGTTTTGGGGCGGCATTGCTAGTGGTGGGTTGTGGATTGTGGTATTGGTGGTCGTGGTGGTCGTGGTCGTGGGTGGGAGCTGGAGTACCGATAGTGACAGTGATAGTGATGGTAGCGGGGATGTGGTGGGAAGACGCGATGTGGCGCGTCGAGCAACGAGTAGTAAAGTCATGCCGTAATACTATTAGGTACTATTTAACCCCTCCGCGTCAAAGCACAGCATTCGCGGGGAACAATGACGGCCTGACGGCGGAGACAAGTATGACCAACTCTTGAAGCCTCAGCAACCGATAATTGATTCGGATAATTGCAAGATCGCACGCTTTATGAGCAGTGGAAAGGGCATCGTTGGCGGGTTAACTATTCCCACCAGTTATCTCGTGGGATCCGGAACACTCTGTCGATCAGCTCTTCTGCGTTGGCACGAGCCTGCTCCTGAGTGAGACTTTTTTTCCCCGCCTGGTTCAGACATGATCAGTGACATCGAGAGCGGTCCGATAGCTGGTTGGCATTTCGGTGAATAGAGTGGACGGCGGTGATGGGATCCAGCTGTATGGCAATTGGATTCAACGAATTATGTGCCTCTATATCTACTACTACAATAGAGTAGATCCTGCGGTTTATGATGTCCAAAAACCATCTCCCATCTACTCTACTAGTACCATTAAGCGTGCATCGATCGTCAATATACATGAAGTCCCCCGTCTAAACCCGAAAACCAAAAAAAAAACCCCTCATCACCTTGTGTATCCCCATCCAAAAAAGCAAACGCCCCCCTCCCTTTCCCTTCCTTTTCCCTACTACCCCACCATCTCCACCCCCTTCCCCTTCTCCTCCACCTTCGGCCCATTCCCAAACCTCCAGAACTGCACGCCCAGATACGAGTCCATGATCATCTGTATGACAGCGCAGACCTTGAACTGCAGACCGACATGCTGAGCGTTATAGAAGTAGACCATTTTCATGACATCGCCGAGCAGCCACGAGGCGAGAACGGATACACGAAAGCCCTGACAGCTCCTGCTGCGATGATTCGCGATGACCTGGGGCATTGGGAGTGTCGCCTCGATGCCGAGCGCGAGGTACCCCACGGCGTCGACAAACAAGCTCGAGCGGCCAAACAGCAGCTGTAGCACGGTGGTGGTGAGCGTAAAGTACCCCAGGAACTCCCAGTAGGGGCGCTGCGAGCGCCACTGCCAGAAGCGATAGGGACGCTTTGTAGCAGCACCCCCGGCGAATGGGCTGTTGTGTGCGCTGTCGGCTGGACGGTGGTCCAGCGCCACTTTGAGCAGTGCTAGTTGCACAAAGATCATTAGGATACTCTGTAGCAAAAGCGACGTCTCGAATTCGGCCCCGAGCCAGTAGAAACACCGCAGGATCGAGGCGAGGAGCATTATCAACGGTGTCTAGTGCGCGACCGGTCAGCCAAGGTGCGGGCGGGGACGGGGGGAGCGGAGGGGACGGACGTCAAGCGAGAACCCGCGCGACGAGCGCGTAACGTGGATATTCCGAATCTACACCGGCGGACAGTCAGTCAATCGCGTTCCGGTCCGGGTGAAGCTCGCATTGAGCGCGCGCGCGTGCGTACTTGATCGCCATAGCTCGTCAACGGACTGGTGATGAGGCTGTTCCGTTCCCTCCATTAGCACTCAAGCTCGCTCGCTCCCCCGTCCGACCACCCACCACCAGCGGAGCACAACTTACAAACACGGCGCAATGTACTGTATCAGGATATTAAAGAGACCCATTTCGGTGGCTTGCTGGACAGAGCTCCCAATGAAATAATCAAAAGACGACAGCGGTGAAGAGAAAGAATACTGCAGGAGAAGAAGAAGAAGGCGAAGAAGAAGTGTGTTAGAGAAAGGGGGACACGCAGCATGCACACGACAAAAACCCTCCAATGGATAAATCTGAAGAATTTCTAGAGCTCGGTACTAGAGTAGAGTAGTTGGCCCTTGGGAGCACGCGGCAGCCGATGGATGCTTGTTAGAGTACCAGGATTCGACCGTCCGAACGAACGAAGAACGCTTATCTACTCTATATAGGTATCTTGAGCTGGCTAACCCCCAAATAGCACTTTTGACGACGAGGGGGAATCCGAGATTCCGTGGCGATGCGGCCCGGAGGACGTCTTCGGACAATGGCGCATTACTAACTGTACTTAGTCATGGTACTTCGGGGCGTTCTGTGGAGTCAGCGGCGGCCTCGCATCTACCTAGTGGCGGCCGCCCGGGATTCCGGAGGTTCAGCATCCGAGCGAATAGCACCACGTGACAACGGAACAACAGCCTTCGACTGGAGATTCCGTATCACCAACTCACATTCTAGAACAACGGCGGATCTACACGAAGGACAAGAACTTACGAACAGACAGCCCCCAAAGCCAATACCGAACGTCGGAAATGTATGTTGTAACGCATTGTTGCGGGCTTGGAGCGGTCATGGGTATTCACTCGAGCCTTTGTGCTTTCGCCGAGGACCTACGGATACCCGGGTGTACAGCGAGTTGCTATAGTCAAGACAGGGCCCGTACGCGATAATAAACCGAATTTCTCTCTCTCTATCGCGGGTGCACAGCGGTCATCATCCACCGCCCCCCAATCACAATCACCACAACCGAACATAGCGCGAGTGCACGGCCATGATGCCCCCAACAGGATGACAAGACGTTCGTGTAAGTATAGCAGAAGAAATAATTTCAGAAAAGTTTCGAAGAACGCATATTTCCAAGCACGGTATGTACATACATATGAAGAGCAGCTTTGTATAGTAGGTGGGCAAGCTCCTCTCCGGACGAGTATGCACCGATTTGATCTCACGACTACGTTGACAAGAGATACTATCGACAAGGCTGAATCTCGATCACGAATAACCATCTCAGCACACCGCCCGCGTCCCAGTAAAGCCCCACCTCCAATTAAAATTCATGCCCGCTCACCGCATCATCAACCGCATCATTAACCGCACATAAGAAATCAAGCAATCCCACCGCCCCCCTCCCCCCCCCCGCCCCACCACCCGCCAACCCCCCTAAACCCCCCTAAACCCCAGTCTGCCCCACAGTCCCATAACTCGTCCCAACGCCCTGCACCCTCTCAGAGTACACCCCCGGCGCGCGCCTTACAGGCAGCACACCCGCCGCACGATCATGTTTCCTCTCGTAGTAGACGTATTCCACATAGAAGGCGTGGAGGTGGCCGGGCAGCTGTCATTCATACATTATTATTAGCATTGTTAGCATTGCGGGGAAGAATCCTGGCGGGGAAGGGGGAAGAAGGAAGGGAAAGGGGGACGAACGTAGCCCAGCAGCGTGAGGCAGATGTTGATCAGCACGTCGGCGCCGCAGCCGGCGACGAAGAATACGCCCAGAGGCGGGAATAGGATCGTGATTAGGACGAGGAGGAAGGTGGAGCAGAACCCCATAGTGCTGCGGGGCTTGGGGGGCTTGGGGTATTGGTGGTGGTGGTGGTGGTGGTGGTGTTTGGGGTTTTAGTGTAGTGTCGTGTAGTATCGTGTCGTGTGTGGCGCGGGATTTCGAGATAGTAGGCAGTAATTAAAGCGTTGTGGAAATGTAAATATTCAGGAGAACGGGGTGGGTGCTCGCGTGCTCTTCAAGGGGCGAGGTGGACGAGGTGGACGAGGTGGACGAGGTGGACGCGGCAATGTGCATGACGTCATTGCGAGAATGGCAGTGACGACATTGTGTAGAGTACGGATTTGGATTGCGACCCCGGTTGACTCTGGAGGCCTGTGGCATGTGGAAGTTCATCGGACGTCACTCGATGAGCTGGATGCGGTAGGAATAGTGGGGGTCGATTTTGCGGAATACTTGTGCTAAGTAGCTGCATAGGTCGGGTGTGGTGTGGTTGGTTTACCGGTTCTAGTCCAACTGGGGATGTATATTGTGTCCTCCTTCCAGAGAGTACAGTTCCAATCCCAATCCCACCACATCGGCAACCCGACATCACGTCCAACCACGACCGCTCCACAGGAAGATAGGTATCATCGACGCTCTCGACGAAGAGTACATACGGTACCATGTAGGCCTCTGTGATCATAGTAGCAATATTTGACCATTCGGCTTGTAGTCAAGAAAACCATTCGTAGTGTGTACACAAGATCTCACTCGCCCATCCACTCATCCACCCATCCAATAGAATTAACATTTGCATTTTGCATTTGCATACCCATCAAAGTCCACCCTTCAAAGTTCACCTCTCTCGCAAGCACCAAGAGCAAGCTGGGATGAGAACAATCTACTACCTAAGCAACAAAAAACCAAACTTATCCACGTAAAAAAAATCCCAAACTCGCGCGTAGCATCAGAAGAGACAAGGATCACCAAGCACAGGACTACAAATAAAGTTACAAGAAGCAGAAAGAAGAAGAAAGAAGAAAGAAGAAGTAACGGGTAAGAAAGAAAAAATGAAGGGTTTCCCATCAGCAGCCATTCGATCGTTCGATGTATGGAAGAGAAAATAAAAAAAACACTAGGAGCTAGGTTTACAAGCCCATTGAAACCCCCAAAAATCCAGTTATTTGCAAAGTACGGAGTGGAAAGGAAAAAAAACAACCAGAAACAGCCACGCAATCCCAGAGACAAAAAAACAAACCCCCCCCCCCCCCAACCATTCTCAAACGCCAGAGAAAAAAGCACAAAATCAAGGGCTTTATACATGGGAGAAAAGAAGGGAAGGAAACGACGGATAAGAGAGACAAGGCAAGAAAGGGTACATTATTCATGAGGGATCGCGGTGGAGAAACTGGTCCGCCATGCTGTCGAGAGTCTCCGCAGTAGTATTTTCCAGTGCCTGGGCGGCAATCGACTCGTATCCGGATGTGCCGGGTCCGGATGACGGCTCCTTTGTGTAAAGGTCGAACATGCTGTTTTCTTCTCGACTGTTCGCGGAGTTGTATTGGGGACTCCCGGAACAACTACTGGTGGCAGTACGGTGACCGTGGTAACCACCGAAGAGTGCTGGGTCGAGTGTCTGTCCGCGGCCGGGATTGTTGACCAACACGGGGGAGCCAGGCGTTCCGTAGCTAGGTTGGGATAATGTAGGCGACCCGTGCGTGGTAGCCGATCCGTATCGCTGGTAGTCGTACGACTGTGTGTGGTCAGGCTCCGGTGATCCATTGTTCCCAAGCGGTGCCGGCCTGATCGGAGGTGGCTTTCCGTTGACCTCGCCCACCTTCTTCTTAAATATGTGGGCTTTGGTTCGGTATTGCGGTGGGAGATCATCCGGATTCTGAATACCCATCTGCGCCATCAACTTCTGTTGCTTGGTAGGTCGAGGCTTGCGGGTCGACTGAGAGTTTTCGACCGTTGGGGGTGGTTCGGGCGCGATCGGCATCCATTTATGCAGCTCCTGGCGAAAGAAGTTTGTCTCGTGTGAGAGTAGAATCTCGGCGCCCTCAATCTTCCGCAGATAGAATCGCATTGTCGGGACCTCGGCGGAAGTCAGGCCAAGAGGAGAGTTCGTATACGAGCTGACAAACTGTCTAAATTTGGAAGCTCCTTCAATAATCCGATGGAGACAGTCCATTTCATCTGGTATGAACGGAAGGCTGGGGATTTCGGATTCCCATTCGATCAAGTCCTCCAGCTTGGGCCGTGCTGCGTCCCGAGGGATCTTAACCCGATAGTCGCAAATGGGACAAGTGTATTTGTCATCTTCCTTAACCTTGCCTCTAGCAATCTTAAGACACTTGCCATGGTACCTGTGATCGAATCAGCATCTAATTCCCGGAAGAATAGGTTTTGGCCAAACATACCATTCGTGGCACACCTCACATTCGATCATCATTCCCGCTTCTGGTTGTCGACAGATGCAAAACACTTCCCGCGACCTTCCACGCGAGCTCTCTCCTTCCCCAAAGCTCGAATCGTTCTTGGTATCGGGGCTGGGCTCCCTGCTGGAGGGTTCGACGGGTGTACGCGGTTTATCCTCGAGCGCGAAGCAGTGCTCGTTCCGACTCTCCACATAACTCATGTGTTGCTGCAGGATGTGTAGAGGCGCGTTCGCCTTTCCGAAAAGCTTCTTGCCTCGCCGCATCCAGTCCTCGTGGCGCTTCTGTTCCTTTTCCAGATCGAGGGTTCCGGAAGGCTTGCTGTGGAACTCCAGGAGGCTATCGATTACTTCCCGCACATCCTTGTACATCGGCCTATTCTGCAGGTAGGGTGACTTGCTGGCCTCGTACAGGGCGACGATCTGGCGGTGAGCTTCCCTCTGCTTGTTCAAGATCTGATCGACCTGAACGAGAGTATCTCCCGAAACGGGCAAGGTGGCCGCTTGTCCAGACAGCGCCTCCAGTTGCTGGAAGTTGATCATCTCGGCGCTCATGAGCTCTTTGGCCTTCGATTCCCACATCTCACCGGCCTCCCTTTGCGCTTTATAGAAGAGGATCTGGTCGTTACTGTCGGGAATACCCAGCTCGACACCATTCTTGATCAGGTCGTCGACCTCCTGGAGGGTGAGCTGTTTGCCCCGGAGTTCTCGTGCATTGTCGACCCACTTCAGCTGCTTGACAATCTTCTCGAGAAGGTCGGTTTCGGCGAGATCCACATTAAAGCTCTTGCCTAATTCCACCAGTCCCTCGTAATCGGTCGTCGACAACGCTCCAGGAGTCGCCAGGGCGTGTCTCGCGCGGAGTTGAAATTCCCGTATGGAGTCGGCGCGCTCGGTCAGCTGCTCGATTTCCGGGCAATCGAATCCCAGATCATCGGCGGACTGGAGCAGTTCCAAGATCCTCTCCAGCTTCCGGTGCGCACGCTCTTTCTCCTCCATCTCCGCAACCTTTGCCTTTCCCCCGGTCCTCCAGACCTTACCGCTCTTTCCCCGGTTCTGCTGCTTCCGTGAGACGAATGGAGTAGCCTCCTCGACCCATTCCTGCGCACGCTCGATGAAAAGCTTCAAAGGAGCCAACTCGGGGATGTAGTAAGGAATCTTTTCACCTTCCGCGAGAAGCGCCTTGAGACCCTTCAGCTGTGGCCTGGGAGTCTCGAGCATGGTTTTCTCCAACTTTGCAGCCCAAGCTTTCGGTAGGTTTGCTTTTTCCTCTACTTTGCGGACCAGTTCCTCCAAATCCTCATCACTCATCCGCATGCGGAGGGTGATCAGAGATTTGTTACAATCGCAGATATCGCGGAAGTGGGTCGGACAAACAATGTTGCTGGTACACGAGCAAATGACCTGAGAGAGGTAACAGTAGACCTTGCATACCCCGCACTGGTACTCCTCTTCTGTCAGTTCCACGTTGTCCCCAAGGATCACTTTGTTGAAGGACGGAAGTTGTTCCTGAAGCATGCTTCGCAGTGCCAATTCTCTGCTCTTGACGCGTTCGAGAGCGGGAGCTAGCCACTGAGCAGTCTTGATGGTCGTGTCCCTAGCCGCGGCCGTGAGGAGCAATTCATCGTGAGAGAAAACAGGCGCCCTTCGGAACTGCTGGTATCTTTCAACTCCTTCCTGTCCGAATGGTTCCCAGTCTGAGGGCGCAAAGTTGACCGCTTCGTTAAAGTTGAATCCGTGGTTGAAGCCCGCATGGTAAGCCTTCGGAAAAGTAACCACAAACTGACCGGCTCGCTGATCGAGTGCATAGACCCTAACGCCGACCTTCTGGAGATGCGCGGGTGTGAGCAGGGTGACCAATTGGAACAGTAGATCTGGCTGCTGCTCAAATAGTTCCGGCACGGCTTCCCGCATGGCGCTTTCAAACTTGTCGGCGTCGTCTCCGGGTATGCCGTACCAGGTCTTTGTGGCTCCAAAGTGCTGGTAGTTGGCCGAGTAGGTGAAGTGGTCCTCGTTATGCCAGCAAAAGGTCGAGAAGCACATACCGACGTACAGCCAAGGCACGGTCATCCCCGACACATCCGACTTGATATGTCGGAACAAAGATTCCGGGTGCAGTGGTAGGATGTTTAGATTCCAGGGATCCGTCGAATATGGATTGCACGGGTGCCTCTCTATTGTGGGAAAACCGCTACCATGGGTTGTCGAATGGATGTCGGCGCCGTATTCCACCTCAACGGTCTCATGGACGCTCTCCACCAGCCTCCAAAACTCCCGTTCGACATCATCCTCGGTGACCGGCCGCGGCTTGTTCAGTATCGGGTCGTACGGCATCTTCTTCTGAAAGTAGAGATCTCTAAAGTTGTTCGCTTTCTCTTGGAATTGTCGCAAAGAGTAAATCTCGCCATCCGCGAAGCCGTACTCTCCGGTTCCGACCAGACAGCGATCACAGTACCAATCACGATCAGGGACCGACTTCAGCGCCGGATCGAGGCAGTAAATGTGGTATCCGTAGTCGCAGCCGTCACACAGCAGTAGACTTTTCATGTCATCCCCACGGCCGCATTTTTCACATTTCTAAATGTGCGAAAAAGGTCAGCAGCTGCACCAACGAATATTAAATAGAAAATTACGGTTGAATTTTCAGCTGCACGAACCTCTCCGGGTTTATTGTGGGTCCGGTCACCCAAGGTCCTGGGCACGGATGATGGTTTATGCAATGTCATGTGTGACCCCGCAACCATAGGAGCAGGTTCTACACACATGCAAGTTCTCGTCAGCCAAGAGATCTCGCAAGCGAGGATCCACACACACACAGAGCAGGGACACACAACAATAACAATAACAACGTACCCTTCTTCAACCTCTTACTGCGTCGCTCTCCGTTTTCGATATCGTCGACTCTGCCATTCGCGATATCTCGAGAATCTGAGCTGCTTTCTGAGCTATGCTGTCGCTTTAACGGAGAACTCATGACTCCTCCTCCCACCTTGGCCTCTGGCGATTCTCTAGTGCTTGAAATTCCATCGGCGCTTCGCATGGAACTGCTGCTCGGCGTCAATCCGGAATCGAGCTCACTTCTCACCCCATTCGTGCCGCCGACCGCAAATCCAGGGGCATGGCCCGAATTAACTGGTGCAAATGCTCCCCCGTTGAATCCTCCGACCGAAGGCGTGGGGGTTGCGTCCGGCATATCCACATCAAATTTATTCGGTGTACCCACCGACGCTGCCAGAGCTGAGGAAGCTCTAATTGTCGGGGAGTCCGGTCCGAAACTACTACCAATGGGCGAACCATTTTTCTGCATTGGGGTACTCTTGATCGGGGTAGAAGCGGGGGAAGGTGTGATGGGCCCTCCAAATTCGGCCTCTATCTGTTGTTGGACTCCGGGCTTCGCCGACTTGACCCATTCCTCATACGGTTGCAAGTAGCGTGAATATGAGTTTTTGAGGGATGTAGACAGACTGGACATTATTTTTCCCGAATATCCCAAGTCCCTTCCGATCTCAGCCCATTTCTTGCCTCTACAAACCGTAGCGAAACCACCTCGGATTTCTACTGCCTTTTTTAGACGATAGAGATCGAGTGGCCGTTTGTCGACCGAAGGGAACCGGTTGAGACTGGTACCATGCTGTTTGTGGTACTTTGAGAGTTGGTCGAGATAGTTGAGATTCGCTCTCGTACCTCCTTCCACCGAGTTGAGCTCCTGTCGTCTCGTACGAAAGTGGAATCGCTAACAGTCGGTTAGCAGCTTGTCTAAACGTATTGGTGGGAAAATAGTAGGGCGGGCATAATGCAGGTTCTCGTTGGATTGGTAGAGTACGGCAATGATGGCGGCGGTGGTGGTAGTGGTAGTGGTAGTTTTAATGGTAATGGGTGCTGGTAATGGTGGTGGTGGTGGGGCAGGCAGAGTGTATGAAGGGAGCGATGGAAGCCGGGTGAGCGAGCGACGAACCTCTGTGTCTATTCCAAAGTCGGGTGACCAATTTTCCGGCGGTATGATTTTTACAATTCCGTATTTTCTGCCCTCTTCCGCGATGCTTCGTATGTACTCCATGGGATCCTTAAACTCCTCGGGAGTGGGTGTAAACGTAGGCGCCTCTATCAAACCGTGCGGACGAATTCTCTTAGGATTCTCCTTGATAGCGGGATTTCGTCTTTCCACGGTCGACATATCGAGCGACTGGGCCTTTCGGGAGCTCAGCGGCGCCGTTTGATAGCCCCCGGGCTGCCCAGCAAGGGGCACCGGAGTACCGCTTCCTGGTTTCGGTGCTGCCGCCGATGCGGACGTGGATGCGCCATTAGTTTTCACTTTCGACGAGGAGGCGCGCGGCGAAGGTCTAGCGGAGGGAGTCGCCGTGGCGGAGGAGCTCGGTGTGGCGGCGACCGGCGTCATCGCGGCGGCGGCGGCGGCGGCGGCGGTGTATATGGTGGTGGCAGTCGATCGGGGTGACAATGGTGCTGGTGGTTAAGCGGTGTATGCGGTGGTGGTGGTGGTGGTGGTGGTGGTGGTAGGTGGGGGGTAGGCAGGTGGATGTGCGTAGGTAGCAACAGTAATCTAGGCTGTGGTATATCTGTGAGAAACTACGGGCCCCCAGCGGTTGGAACATTCAGAGGAGCATGCAAGAAAATTGCAGCGGCCACTCCAGTCGAGAGTGTGCGTGGAGGTCGAAAGGGAATGCTGAAGCGTACGAGAGACTATCACAGACGGGCCCGAACCATGAGCATGTGAGGGGTGGGCAGCTGGCAATCGTGCAGTCGGGCAGTTGGGTTAGGTGGATGATGTTGGGTTGGGGGGGGGGGGGGGTGTTAGGATGGGGTTGGGATTTGAATGGGTGTGTGTGGTGGGTGGGCTGAGATATATGTGTATCTGGACCGAGCAACCAACCCCTTCTGTGACAGCTCTCCGTCTGCAGCGCAGTCTGATATATATTAAGGCCTTTGAGCGAAAGAATCCTTTTTTCGGTACCGAATTGGAAGGCGAAGGGGCGAGGAGACGATCGCAAGGCGGGCAGACAGTGGCAGGAGGCGTTTGGGCGGGCGCGAGGGCGGGCGCGAGGGCGGGCGCGAGGAGGTAGTTGGGGTGGTGGTGGTGGTGGCCACTGGTGGTGGTAGTCGGTAACGGCGGGAGAAGGGATTGAAGAGACTCGCAGGCAGAGTTGGTGCCGGCGGTGGGAATTCGGTGCGCGCCGCTAGCCCATAGGAGTAGGCAGGTAGTTGGGATGGAGAGGAGGTGCAAAGTGTAGTTACGAGTATGGCAAGTAAGCCCACGGCTGGCCACAGAGCAGATGCTAACTAGAGTACTTTCTACCGTACGGTGCACGGGAGAGAGATACCTAGATCTTACATAGTCTGGGTACTCTAGAGCGCTCTTCGACCTCTGTCGCCGAGAAGCAGCTCTCTCTCTTCTGCTAGACTCCCGAGCTTCTTCTTCTTCTTCGGATACGTAGCGAGAGGAAGCACGATTCACGCGGACATAGGCATTAGGTACTGGTACATATCGCCATCTATCATCATCACCATCATCATCTTGACGTCTGGCTGGCGAGCACATATTCTAGACTCTGGAGGAGTTACCGGCACACGCCTTCGGAATTATATTGCCATGCCTCAGTGGCAACATCCCTTGAATGTTCGCACAGCACACAGCGCGGATACCATTCGTCCAATATTCTAATCGTTCATAATCCTGATCCTCTCTCTCTTTCTCTCTTCGCCCGTGGGCGGGTATGGCACCGGGGGGAGCTGGGAGGTGGGAGGTGGGAGTACATACGCCTTTATATTCAACCGCGCTCGTGTAAGTAGGGTACTTACGGCGTGCTAGGCCTGGCCTGGCCTGTACGTACCATGCAGAGTACGTACTGTCGCTAGCGGCAACAGAGATGCTGGTGGTGATGATGACTCGCCTATCCCGTTGTTGTGTCTTCGTCGATTCTTCAGCCTGCCTGCCTACCCAGTGCCCACGCTTCCCTCCCCCCTACCCACCCACGGCGACAGATATATAGTTCGCACGTAAAGTGTAAGTTGTATGGTCCAGGACGCCTCAACTCAACTCAACTCCCGTGGCTATCCGTGCTTTCCGCGACTGACTTCTGGCTGCTGACTGCTTGCTGCTGGCCTTAAGTCCAGCGGGAGAAGAGGAGCACTTCCAAGTTCCAACTGCCTACTTTTCCGTTCCGTGTATGTAGTTGTAGTATATGTTCTCGTGCGCCGTATCTCGGTATCTCCAACTCACGCGCACCTCCAATCGCGAACCGTATATATGTATGGTGTGCGCTGCGTTGACCAGCGCCGACCAGCGCCGACCAGCGACCAGTGACCAGACCAATGACCAGAGCGGCTAGAGCTGACTGTATATCGACAGGAATGGAATTTTCCCTAACACCTGCCAGGTAGGCTGCCATGCAGCGGCCGAACATCGGACATCGGACATCCATCGGACATCCCACCCATCGGGAAATATCCGACTTCCCTCCGTGCGTGTCTGTCCTATGTATGATATCTCGAAACTCAACTTCAACGACCCCGACCACAACGACATCGACGACGGCGGCAACTCTTTTTGCTGCTGCCGCTGCTACTCACGATAAATTTTGAATTGAGTCCACGCCGCTGGGACTATGAAGGAAAAGGAAAAGGAGGGGGGGGAAAGGAGGAAAAAATGACTGACTATGGCCAATTGAACAAGTGCGAAAACTCCACGTGCGTGGCTTCCAGATTCCAAAGGAAAGTTTCTCGAAAGTTCAAACTCAAGTGGATAGTCGCAAACCGTGTCACTGGCACAAACATTACATCGCTAAGGAATTTCTTCACGAATCAACCGCTCATGTACCGCCTATATACGGTACGAGTAGGTACCTGTGGAACTCGCGGAACTCGTGGGACTCATGGAACTCCCAGGTAAAACGTGTCGCGTCCTACTACCTGGTACTGGTACATAGAACGGACGCTGACAGCCTGAAGTGAAGTGCTGAATGAAATCCATCACTACCCACCTGGCAAGTATGAAACTCTGAAACTCTTTGTGACCCGGTCCCGACTCCCGCGTATGTATCGTCCACGAGGCTCCAACACTGAGCAGCGAGCCTGCCAATGGCCATGTCATCTGAAAGTTGAAACCCGTCAATAATAATTCCGCCGTTCTTCTCGAGGCTCGTCGATGAAGTTGATCCTCACTTCTGGAGAGTAGGTATCGCATCCCTGTAGTTAGGCACCCCGGCTGGCGACCACCCTTGGGCCTTCCATCCGTGGGAATGTGGATCGTTTGGTATGTATAATTCTGACCATGTATGCGGCTCACGGGTTTCGAGGAACGTCACCGCCGCCGATGCAGTAGGTACCTATCTCTCCGCACCGAGTGTGTGCATTGCACTTCTCGAATCTCGAGTTCCTTTGCGTCCGAGTCCGCTGCATCAGTCTCGCCCGCTCCTCCGCCCGCTCCTCCGCCCGCTCCTCCGCCCGCTCCTCCGTCGACACGACACGTGTAAGCACATGTTCGACGGCGACATGCGGGCTCATGGATCTGCGCGGGTATTTAGGAGTTTGAGATCCGGATCTCTGGAAGAACAGACACTCCACTGAGGGGCCGAGATGTGTATCATACCTAGTGCGGCAGCAATACCTGGTCTTGCTCGCAGGCTAAGTCCGGCCTTGCCGATGCCCATTGTGCAGTGTGCACGGGAGCTCCGGTTTATGCATACCGGTATATGTAGCAACGTTCTCCACGATCTTTGGGGGTGGGGCCAAGATGCGGTGGGTAGCATTCGAAGTTCGATCGTCGCCAGCGGCCAGCTTCGTGAAGTCGTGTCCGAGTATGATACATACTAAGCAGTGTTGAGAATTATGGTGCCGAGTACCTATACAATGACGGAGCTATATACCAGTAGATACTAGTAGGACACCAACCGAGGTGTAGCAGCTTGATCGATCAATCGATCGCAGTAGGCTGAGGTGGGGATAAGCTCATGTAAGTATGTAAAGCAACGGCATCCGCCCGTTGCGCGGCCATTCGCAGACAGTAGCACTTCTCTAACCACATAAATCTATGGTCAAATCATCCACTCCGTTGAAAGCCAGAGCTGGAGCTGAAGCCGCAGCTGAAGCCGCAGCCATGACGTCGGCCGCTCCATCCAACACCCGCAATGAGCCCGCCGGCCACGGCCCACGCATCATCATCGTCGGCGGGGGTCGGCCCCCTCCCCCCCTAATTCCAATCCCACGCTTCGCCGCCGCCACCACCACCACCACCACCACCACAACCACGAAAGGAGGTAGATATCATACGCCTGCCCTTAAAACAGCCAATAGGTATAAACGTTTCCTTTCGCTTTGTTCTCCTCAGTCCGCAGGCGCAGGCAGCAGTCATGTGTCATCGGTGGTCACATCCACGGTCACATCCATGGCCAATCGCTGCCGCGCCCACTGCCCACCCCCACTAGTCGAAAAGCCGAAAGAAAAAAAATATATGTATGGACTCCATGATGAAAAGCCCACCGACGACGAAACGGGAACTTGGATCTCCCGCTCTCGCTCTGTTCTCACTTGCACTTGCAGTTGCAGTTGCAGTTGCATGGACGATCTCGCTCGTCCATCATCCATCCACCATCCTTCATCCATCCACCATCCTTCATCCATCCACCATCCTTCATTCATCCACCCATCCTCCATCCATCAAATCCATCCACACCCCACGCATGTGTAGAGAGAACAGACAGGCAGCCCAGCCCGCGCATATGCAGGACGGTGACGATGCGACGTGCATATCAGTTGCTGCTATGCATAGAGTACTTAGAGCAGAGTAGAGTACCCAGAGAGGCCAGTCAACCAAATCGAGCCGCCGGTCTCTTCTTGTGGGACTGAGGCGGTGTTCTTTGTCGAGGGCCGGCGCGATCCGCGCGCCATGGCGTGTTTTGTTTTTGGCTCCCGTCCACTGAAGGTAGGGTGGGGGCCGGGGGGGAGGGGGGCTACCTATTCTGGCTAGGTGCCTAGATCGCTGATAGTTATGCGAGTTCGTTGCTGCTGTTGTCGATGTCGCTGTCGAGTGAAGGAAGAAGCTCTTTTGCCGTTGTTCGAACGATACCTAAACCCTGGTCTTCTCGAATGCTGAGCTCTGTGATGGTGGTGGTATCTAGTAGTTTCAGCTCTGCAGGCAGTCAGTCTCCAGCGCCGTCCGCGATGAATTCTTTGTCTTTGTCCGTGGCAACGAGTGCAGCGCACTCCGGCGCATCGCATCAATGGGAGGCCCCGAAAGCACCGACGGACAGATGAACGGAGAAACAGAGAAAGAAACAATTCGGCTGCGCTGCGCAGATGGACGCCGGCTCTGCTTTCTTTATCTATGGCGGTTCTCTCGCTGGGGCATTCCTCCCTCTCCTCCCTCCTCCCTCCGTGGGTATGCGTATGCGTATGTGTGTGTGTCTGTGTGTGTGACAAGACGTCCCCATCCCATGCCATCCCATCCCATCCCTTCTGTGGATCGATCATGGTCCGAGCCAGCCAGCCTACCTCTGTACCAGCCAGCCAACAAGGATATGTCGAAGTGACGATCCAATCCAATCCAATCCAATCCAATCCAATCCAATCCAATCCAATCCAATCCAATCCAATCCAATCCAGTGGATTATCCCCCCGCCCACCCAACCGCTAACAATTCCTAGCGATGGTAGATAATCTGGATGGCTCCGCCTCGCCAGCAACTGTCAAAAATCCCTCGGATCTCGAAAACGGTAGTTGTAAACGAACGGACGAACGAAACCGGTATCAAACGTATCCAACGCGGCGGGGAGGCGAGACAGCTGATCAACTTGAGGAGGGACGTCGGAAGAAGTCGAATGCGAGGGGTGAACGCCCTCCCTCCCCCCCACTGGGCCACTGCCCCAAGGGGGTTTAATTTGGGGCAGGGGGAGGGGGAGGGGCTGCCCTTGCGGATCCTCCGATCGGGCAGACGACAGAGTGAACTGTACGGTAGGGGGGCAGAAGGCGTCGGGTATAAACCAACGACGCATCAAAGCAACGAATCTGCATCCTCGAGTTCGTGCGTGCGTGTGGAGATCTAGAGTACCTATCCTCCTCTACCTAGAGTAGAGTCGGTAGAGTTGCGAAGTACCGCAAGCGGAGCTCTCGTACCATGAGAGGAAGAGAGTGGGGAGTGGGGATGTTACACGGAGCTGAGATTGAGGGGTGTGACCGGTGCCGGGCGATGCGCTCACTTGCATATGTAGAGTACATAATCTACCGTATTATGATGACCCCACAGCGTCCGTCCGTTCGCCAGATTCGCCGGATTCGGGTTCGGGTTCCCATCCCCATCGCAAGCAAGCAAGCAGCAGTCGACTGGATTGATGGTCGCTGGCGCCGTGGCGATGAAATCCGAATACGGTACCTATGAAATCCGAACCGTGAAAGGCTCATGGTTCGTCCTATCCTTAGGCTTCACGTCGCTCGAGAGTACATATTCCTCGAAGCGACCCAGTGGAACGTCACATGGCCCATGGTCGAGATGGGACGCCGTGTAAAGCCCATCGTGCGGAGTCTGGAGTGGGTATAGTATGGTACCTACCTGGTCCTCCGCCTTAGGTACCGAGTACACTTCACCACCTGCTTTTACTTCGAGCGATATCGCAGAAAATCAAAAGCAAAAGAACTCCCACTGCACTGCATTCGGAAAAGAAGTCCAGCCATTCATCCCCCCATCATCCCTTCTTTCCAACCTTCCAGCTCCTGCTCCTGTGCGCCGGGATCTCAAGAGTCAAAGGGCCTTGTCGCTGTCTGTCTGCCTGTCTGCAAGAGATGTCGACATCCGTGTAACCTTCGTCTATCTCTGGCCGGCGCTGCTAATAATAGATCGGCAACTGATCTACATACACGCAACAGACGACCAACCTCCTCTGCGCCTGCGGACCTCATCGTACATACACACCGGTAGTGCGGTTAAACATGAGGCTTCGCTCGACTCGACTCGACTCGGCCACGACGAGACGGAAGCATGAACGGAATGAATGGAATACGGTTTGAATAATGAGTGGGGTAGGTATACTAGTGTAAATACAATGCGACGAAAACAACAGTCACTCAGTCACTCAGTAACTACCACCTAGTACTTGCGCCTCGGCCCGTACTTCGCCCACGCCTCATCGAAGCCGACACTCCTGGCCCACTGGACGCCCTCCTCTTCGACCGAGTCCATACCTACACGCACATCACATCAGTCCCGCCCGCACCCCTCGTCCGTAGGAAAACTTACACATCTGCGCAATCTTGATCCACATATCCCCTTGGACGACAAAGCCCTCCTTCTCATGATCCTGGTATTGGGCGCAAATCCTCTCACCATGCATACAAGCGCGGATAAACTTGACGACGTGTCCGTCATCCTCCCGCTTTAGCGCCCGCGAGATGATGTTGAGCCATGGATTGGTGGCGGAAGACGCTTCTTTGGCCGTGTAGTTGCGGATGTCGTCGACGCGGAGGACCGGCGAGCGCCGGGAGGCGTACAGTGCTAGGTCGTGCCGTGACTTCCATTCCAGTAGGCGCGCCTTTGCGGTGTCCGGCAGCCAGGGCTGCGAGAGGTATGCCGGCAGGAAGATGGAGGAGTTGTGGGAGTGCATGTAGCTATCATCACGAGTCAGCACTCGTCGGTATCATCCAACGAGAAAAGGTGGGGTAGGGGGACACACTAAAAATCAATACGGATCTCCTTATCCTCCCTCTGCGCCGCAGCGGTAAAGAGTGCAGCTGCATTAATGCTTTCTGCCATCTTCGCCTGCAGCTTGTCGACAGGCACCGTGTACCGGCTGAGGTACGAGAGCATCTCCTGCGGCGCCCGCTGCAGGATCCCTTTGATTTTGTTCCCGTCGCTCCACTTGGGTGCGTCCCGGAGCTTGACATCTTCGCGGATCTCGTCAAGGAGCGTTACCAACGTGGTAGCGCTGGTGTCGTCCTTCGCCTAGCCCATCTGTCAGCACCTCTTCCTCCCACAAGCCGGAACAACCTACCTCCCGTGCGGCCACCTCCGCCGGAATCAGCAGACCACCAAGCCAATTAGCCTCTACGGCGGCCATCGCCAGGCCCTCCGCCACAACCGCCGGCAATCCAAACTCGAGGCCATAGCCTATGTGTATGAACGGGTGCAAAAACCCCGCAAACAGCCGGACCAGCATATCCTCTGCTTTAGGCGAGCCATCGAACAGCTGGTTTATCAAGGTGTCTTCGACGCCGTAGATCTCTATCTCCCTCGAGAAGTACCTTAGGAACGGGATATAGCACTCATCCTTGCCCAGGGACTTCTCCCACTGCGCGGGATCGGCCAGGTCGATTGCCGGTGGAGCTGGGAGCGCGAAAAGGGCACGTTGGTAGGCGGATTCACGCTCGTAGCCGCTCTGGATGAGCGGCGCCGGGGCGCCGAGTGAGTAGATCGCCAGCAGGTAGTGCGCTATGTGGTTGTGGAAACCGTCGTTGTTGAAGTATATGTGGTTGCGCTCGTGGTTTTCGGTCAGCGCGGCGCTTGTGGCCGCGGCGGAGGCGGGCGTCAGGCCCGGAAACGGGACGATCCCGTGGGTCTGGGGCGTGAGCACGATCTGGGATGTGGTCGTAGACATGCTGCGCTGGTGCTGCTGGTTGTGATGGTGCTGAGGATGATGATGGTGCTGCTGGTAGACGATTGATGTTGATCGTGTGAATTGACGGTTTATAAGTCGCAGTCTGAATGCTTGCATTTTAAACCTCCATAGAACAGAAGAGTGTATGTACACGGAGTCCCTTTGATAGACCGTGACGCTCTAGATCGTCGAGAGTACACGAGCGACATTGGTAGTGCAGTCTGTCGAGCCCTGGCACTATTACTAACATGACGTCTATGTACAACACGGGCCCGTCCTACCCGAAATGCGGGGATTGCGATTCGACGGTTGCGCCTGTGTATGCACTTACTCTACTGCAGATCTAACTGGAGGAACCTCGTATTGTTTAGCCGCTTCTATCCTACAAAGTAGACAGACCTTTTGCCATCGATCCATCCCAACAAAGCATATGTCGCACGAAAGGGATGGTTGATAATCTACGATTCTTGCCCGCAATGCGGATTATCGAGACGGACTGTTTACATGTCCGATTGGCACGAATATGAGACGATTTTTTTGTTTTCTCATCATTTGCATTCGACCTTTTTAGATCATGACAATTACAGCCGGTTCCACCCCACTGTCCTACCCGCACGCAGATGGCCCTCCGCCCGGCCCGGGAATATGAGACGATTCACATGTGCTAATTGAAATACGAGCGTTAGTGAGTATTCGCCGCTATGATACAACCAAAGCTTCAGAATACTCCCATTGAAAGAAGAAATGAACCCCCCAAACATGAAGAAAAAAGAGCTGCAAAAGACACAAGTATGGACGGCAGAGGTTGGTATCATACTGCCAGCCCAGTCTACTACTCTAGCTCGTCTGCCGCAGGATCCATCATATCCTTGCCCACGATCGTGTTCGACACCTTCCAGCACTGGATGAGGTTGTCCTCAGCAGCACTTACCATGACCCAGGGGTCGTTCGGGTTCCAGGCAAACTCAGACACACGGTTCGTGTGGCCTCCATGCATGAACAGCCTACAACAGTCAGCAAACTATCAGAGAGAGGGTCGATTCAGGATGAGCTTACAATTCCGGAGGGCCATCTTCCGCATCCTCGGGGGTCTGCTCCTCTCCAATCCTAGCCAAGTCCCAGAATATGATCCGCCTGTCCGCACTGCTACTCGCAAGGATGGACTCCTCATGCGGATGCCAGCTCAATCCATTCACCTCGTCGTTGTGACCCATGAGACTGTGCAGCTTAAACTTGATATTACGCATATCCCAGAGTGCAACCGTCTTGTCAGCCGATGCAGTGGCAATCACGTAGTCCGACGCTGGGTTGAACGCTAGACTGTTGACTGCATCCGTGTGGGCGGTAACCTTTAAGGAGGCCTTGTTGGTGCTGCTGTCGCGAGTGTCGATGATCTGGAGGGTGCGATCATCGGAAACGGATCCGAAGAGATGGTCGGAGATGGGGTGGTAGGCGACATCATTAACGATCGCAGTGTGATGGGTGTAACAGTGAGAATGAGATATCGTTTTGTTTGCCTTAGTCCAGCTTGTGATATCCCTGTCACGCTGTTAGCAGCGGCGTCGCGCAACAGAGGAAGACCTTCAGTACCAAAGCCTAACTGTAGTATCCTCGGAGCCCGTGAGAAGGTGTCCCTCTTTGTGAGGGTTCCAAGCCAGTCCATAGCTACAATTAGTATTAGCACACATATCCACGTTGTAATTGGTTCACAAATGATGTGTCTCACCCTTCCTTCGCGTGACCCTTCAAGACCATCTCCGGGATGCATCGTGTGAGGTTATCGGGCTGCAACGGGTGTTTTGTCCGATCGAAGACGAGGGCGTTGCCATCCGCACACATGGTCGCAATAATGTCTGGTTTCTGGGGCATGTATCGGGCCTTGTTGACTTCACCTTCATGCACGAAGCGCTGGACGACCTGCAACCTGCACTCGGCCCCGCCACCGTATCCGCCGACTTCCTCTTTGGACTCGTCGTACTTGCGCGGGTCTCGTTCCGACGGAGGGTTTGGGAGCTGGACCTCCGCAATCTGGAGGTAATTGGTGTCATTGCCTGACGTGTGGGTACCGATGAGGAGACGATGCGTAGAGTAGTTCTTTTCGGGATGCCTAGTCTTCTTTAGCTGAGCTGCGCCAATGGCTGAGAGGAGTTGGTATCACTACGGTAGCTTGTCCGGAAACCACTGGGTGGTCAAGGTTGGCCATTCGAGCGCCGTGCTACACAATGTCAGCTCGAAACCCTCGTCTGAACCGGAGGCATCATCAAACCTTAGGATGAGATCGTAGAGGAACGGCGCATTCTTCTTCCAAATCTTATATTCTATTCAGTAGCATTAGTACCAAACTTTTCTCCACCTACGCATAGGAGCGCGCGATTTACCCTCGTTAACGATCTTGTCGACTACCTGCTGCTCGTCCCGCTCACGCGAGGTGGGGTCCACTGCGATTTCGTCAGCTTTCCGAGATAGAAAATCGCGGTTGGATATGCATACTGTCGATATCCTCATCCATTTTAGCAGCTAGATGGGATAGAAGAGCGGTGAATTTCGTGGTGTCGGTGTTGAGTTTAGTGTTTTGTTAGGTGTGGTGAGTCGAAGATGAAGGACGTGTTTGAGTTGCTGGGATCACGTCGGAGTTGGCGCGTTGTGCTTCAGCTAGTTCTTGTCTTGGCACACGGAGCCGTATATATTCGACGTTTGGGGGCTTTGAGCCGCTGCTTCCTCCGGGGCAGGGCCGCGGGGCGTTGCGACTGGAGATCCACGGGCCGATCAACGGCCATATTTTCCTAAGCGCGTCTGACACCGGTATCTGATCATATCTTCTATATACCGCCTTCTCCATATCGTATCCTCTAATGAAGCCTCACCTTCATGATAACAACTGTAGTTACCGATCTCTTTTAAAATTCCGCGCTTAATTCTCAGAAAATCTCCAAAGCAGAAAACAAAAACCCCCACAATCTGATTTCCGATTAGCCGCGAGAATTACCAGATCGGGAGCTCGTCTTACGCTAAGAGGTGTGACTCTTTTGTGAGTTCATACGGTATCCTCACCTACTTGGTAATAGAGTAGAGTATCCAGTGTCACAAAATTCTCTTTCCATCCATCTAATAACCGCTCTATTCTTGTCGTTTCCCAATAACCGCCGTTGTACGGTCTAAAACTTACCGCCCCTTCCTCTAAGTGTAGCTTCATGACCATCTCGAAGTCGTTCGGTAATAGGTACTGTTCAATAACAATTGGGCTAACTGAAGCGTAATATACGGAGGTTGGAATATGCAAGCACTAGCACATCGCCACGAATTCCGTCTTGAAAACGACCGCGGAGTCGTCATTTTTTTTTCGAGTTCCCGGTAGAGAGGAGGAACAGCTTCACCAGCACATTAAGCCTTCCCCTATCAGCTCACCGATGGCTCACGAAGGAAGGTCTTGAGTAAGAGTTCGTGCTTGAGACACGATACGACCCTCGAAGCCTTGGGAAACGAGGCTGTCCAAGCTCTATTGAACTCGTACAGAACTGACGAAGTTTTGTTTTAGAAAAGGTGGATACTTATGCTGGTATGTGCGGGCAAGGGCGTCGGGACCGGAGTAGTATCGGTGCTCTGGAGGTTGGAGTAACTGTAGAAAGACGATATGTCATATGTACCTAAGATGTAGTTTGGAGGAGTTTGGACCACAGCCGTCCTGTTACGGCCATCCAGTTCACCAGTTCACTACAATTGCTGCGTCAGTAATCATTGGGAGACTCATCAAACTATAAGATAAGAGTCAGTCCTTGGCAATGCCCGAAAATGGAGAGGCTGTTTAAGGTATTGAAGAAAAAATATCATGATATGGATTAGTTTCGACGAGGTTTTGTTTCCCTTACGCTTTCGTCTTATTTCGTGGGGTTTCGTCTGGAGGACTACTCTGGTTCATATCATTTTAGTTCGAGGAAGAACCTACTAAAGTTTGTTTCATGGACGTGTTCGTTACATCTCGTAGAGACGTTCGCTTCGTTTCGTATCGATGTTTCTTTCGTTAATGCATGATTCTGGTCTTGGGGAAATAAAGGAAATATTTCTTGCGGACTTTGGACAAAAATTAAGTTAAGTCGACTAAGAACTTAAAATACTTAAAGTAGATACATCATACTTCTTACAGAACAGAAAGCCTAGATGCCATGTCGACAGTGTGAGTCGAACAAATCTGGAGTGATGTATTGGAACTCGAGAGGGGATTCCCCAGCATGCGACATCCGACTTTACTCCGATTGGTCGCAGCAGTCGCTCTGACTAATCGACAAGGAATGCAAGGCCAAGCTTCCCGCTCCGAGTTGCTCACCTAGAGTCATCCACAATACACGCCACCATTACTCGAACAAACGATTTCGATTCGAGGAGCAAGACGAAGAGCAGGCCCTTGGATAATTCACGGCACCAAACTTTTACAGGTTGCCTGAGGAAGTTTCTTTCCTTTTCACTCATCTGTTTGACCTTTTCATTTCTTAATCAACTCAGCCCCATCGCCGCTTGACGAGTGGAGTCGGTTCTTCTACACCTACCACCTTCGACTACACTTTCATTTCGGAACCACATCGTCTCATCTACGAACGATCGCATCTGCAGCCATGGGTGTCCCAAAGTTCTTCCGATGGATCTCTGAACGCTATCCGACAATCTCGCAGCTCATTGCGGAGAATAGGATCCCCGAATTCGACAACCTCTATGTAAGCTTATCCCTCGGTGGCGTTGGCTGCGGTAGTGGTGGTGGTGCACGAGGTTGGAGCGGCGCTGGAGTGGCAGCGCAATTTGCGGAAAGAGACTATGCTGAGAATGTGCAAAGCTTGACATGAACGGCATCATCCATAATTGCACACACAAGGATGGCGACAGCGCAACGTTCCGCATGACGGAGGATCAGATGTTCATCCAGATCTTCAACTACATCGAGCACCTGTTCGGTCAGATCAAGCCGCAGAAACTCTTCTTCATGGCCATCGATGGAGTCGCTCCTCGCGCGAAGATGAACCAACAACGAGCTCGACGGTTTAGAACTGCGCTAGATGCAGAGAAGGCTCACATGGAGGCGGTTCGGAAAGGGGTAGAGATGCCCAAAGAAGACGCCTTTGACAGCAATTGCATCACTCCGGGTTAGTTGTGGAATGTCCAGAGGTTGTGTGGAACCGCTGATTGCTAATGGGCGAACTTAGGAACGGAGTTCATGGCGCGGTTGACCGAGCAACTCAAGTATTTCGTTAGCAAGAAGGTGTCGGAAGACGGCGACTGGCAAGGCGTCGAGATCATTTTGTCTGGCCACGAGGTACCCGGAGAAGGAGAGCACAAGATCATGGAGTACATCCGTTTAGCGAAAGCGCAGCCCGACTACGACTCGAACGTTCGGCATTGTCTCTACGGCTTAGACGCCGATCTAATCATGTTGGGGCTGTTATCGCACGACCCACATTTCTGTTTACTGCGAGAAGAGGTTACGTTTGGACGTGCAACCCGGGGGAAGGCGAAGGAGCTAGAGCATCAGAATTTCTTTCTGATGCATCTCAGCGTGGTACGGGAGTACTTAGAGCACGAATTCCAGGAGTTACGGCAGCCAGGAGTTATGAGCTTTCCTTACGATTTGGAGAGGATTATTGACGATTTCATTTTGCTCGCTTTCTTTGTCGGCAACGATTTTTTACCCAATTTGCCGAATCTGCACATCAACGAAGGCGCATTGGCGTTGCAGTTTGAGACCTACAAGAAGATTCTGCCCCGGGCGGGTGGATATTTGAACGAACACGGTGTAATAAACCTCGGTCGGCTGCGGTTGCTACTTGACGAGCTTGGTCAATTCGAGCAGAAGGACTTCGAGAGGGAGAGCGAGGATGGCAATTGGCTCAAAAGCAAGCAGCCTGGCGCCTTGGCGGCCATTGAGAAGGCGAAGAAGAAGGGCAAGCTTGTCCTGTCAACACAACAGATGGCATTGTTCAAGCAGATCAAGAAGTGGTTGCTCAATGTCCAGAAAACGAAGAATACCGCCGAACCCACTGCGCTGGATCTACCAGCCACACTTGCTGCCAAGGATAGGAAGTTTGTGGAGGACGTCGCTCGTGATCTGAACCTCCAGTACGAAAGGATTTTGGGCGACGACGGGGAGCTTAGTCAGCGAATCAGTATGCTCCCGACGATCGGCGGTGATGAGAGCGAGGATGACGAGGAAGGACAACTGGCAGTGCAAAGAGTGTTCCGCCAGTACGAGAGAGCCCAAGTCATAGACGTTTCTCCTGAGGAAGCGCAGGAGGAAATGCAAAAGAAATACGATCAGAAATTCTATGAATGGAGGAACGATTACTACAAGAGCAAGTTCGGGTTCGGCTTGGACAACGAGGTGGAAATGAAGAAGTTGACGGAGAACTACGTCGAGGGTCTTCAATGGGTTCTCTACTACTACTATAGAGGAGTGGTTTCGTGGCCATGGTTCTACAAGTACCACTATTCCCCGAGGATTTCCGGTAGGCAAAAACATCTAACTCAACCCACACCAATACTAATTATGATATTTAGATATCTCAAAAGGGCTAGGGGCAAACCTCAACTTCAGGTTGGGACAGCCTTTCAGGCCCTTCGAGCAGTTGATGGGTGTCCTCCCGGATCGCAGTAAGAAGATCGTGCCATCGGCCTATCATGAACTCATGACCTCGTCGAGTTCGCCGATCATCGACTTCTACCCAAGAGATTTCGAGCTCGACATGAACGGAAAGAAGATGGAATGGGAGGCTGTAGTAAAAATCCCGTTCATCGAAGAAGACCGTCTGTTGCAGGCTATGAGAACGAAGGAAGCAAATTTGACTACCGCTCAGCGACTTCGCAACGAGTTTGGAGTCACGTTGAAGTTCACCTATGACCCGCAGCTGGATTATTTATACGAAAGCAGCATGCAGGGTGTGTTTCCGGATATTCCGCATTGCCGCTGCAATCTCAACATCTACGAGCTTCCTACCCTTGAAGGTCTGGATATCATTGTTGGACTTTGTGAGGGAGCTAAGCTCGGGGCGGATGCGTTGGCTGGGTTCCCTAGTTTAAGCACTTTGGATCACATAGCTCAATTGGGTTTCCATGGCGTCGCTGTTTTCCAGCAAGACAGCCGGAACGAGAGCATGATATTGACATTAGCGAATGCCTTCGAAGGCGGAAAGGTTCAGGCGGCGCAGCAGATGATTGGGAAGAGAGCATTTGTTGGTATGTGGCGCAAGATCTCTCCGTCAATGACCGTACACGAGCCTAACTGTGTCTAGGCTATCCTTTCTTGCAAGAGGCGAAAATCAATTCGGTGTCGGACGAGATGTTCAGGTACATGCTTTCGGACCAAGGTCAGGACGAGGGACAAATTATTCCCGTTCCACACGGTCCGGCTGAGCTCGCCAACTGGAGGCGGAAATCCGAGAGAATCGAAAACCACTACTCCAAGCGAATGGGAATCGTTACCGGGCCAGTCGAAGTTCTATTCCACGTTGAGATGTTGAAGGGTATGCGCAAGACGGACGAGGGTGCAGTAGTCAAGGAATACGGTCCCATTCCCGGTGTGGAGACGGATTACGCTGCGCAGACGATTGTATGGAATGTGGTCAGTGAGGATCAGCGGTTCCTAGAGAAGGCGCCTCTTCCCATCGAAGAAGAGTTCCCGGAGGGTGCCAGAGCGTTCTTCCTCGGGGAGTTCAACTACGGAAGGCCTTTGGAGGTCATCAGGCACAACGACAATCGCACCGACATCTGGATATCTACAATGGTAACTACCGTGCGCACATTTTGTATCGACTAGACTGTACTAACTTGTGAACAGCAAGCAAAAGAGCCGGATTTTGCCAAGCAGTTTATTCAACGGGCTGAGCAGTCTACTCCCTACGTGGCCTCTTACCGTTTGGCTCGCCAACTCGGCCTGAATCCGTTGGTGCTGAGTAAAATCACATCCAGCTTCCAGGTCCTCGTTGGCGACCAACGCGTGAACCTGGGTCTCAACCTGAAATTTGAGGCCAAGAAGCTGAAAGTGCTTGGCTACTCCCGCAAGAATCAGGGCGGATGGGAGTTTTCGAACAAAGCCGTTGCCCTCATTGAGGATTATATGAAGAGTTTTCCACAATTCTTCACAGCGCTCATGAGGAACCCGCACGGTGACCTCTACAAAGACACCGATTTCTACGATCCCAGCGAAAGCAAGCAGAAGATCAACGAGATCAAGGACTGGTTAAAGACCTTTGACAGCAAGGGCTTCGAGAAGGTACCTCTGGAGGCCATGCAGCTCGATGGAGATGTCGTCATGCAAATCGAGAAAGCTATGGATGCATTCGACAGTGGTTCTCGGGTCCCTAAGAGGGTCAAGAACGTTCCTCGCAAAGCACTCCTCAAGCCGGTGGATGCCGAACATCGACTGGCGCATCAGCGTTTCGACCTGGGCGACAGGGTCGTCTACGTGCAAGACTCGGGCAAAGTTCCAATTGCCTCGCGCGGAACAGTCATTGGCCTCACTCGAACGTCCAGGATCACTCTCATCGATGTCGTCTGGGATTTCACCTTCATGAGCGGAACTACCCTAGGCAATAGGTGCTCTCCATTCAGGGGCATGACGGTCCCGGTTTCCTCGGTGCTTAACCTTACATCTCGCCAACTGATAGCTGGCACGAAAGCGAGCAACCAGTATAAGCCTGTGCCGCCGCCAGCTCCGTTGACGAGCAGTTACGCCGACGCAACAATGGGACCCCCCTCTGGCTCACCCTCGCCGCAGCCAGCCAACGGCTTCCGTGGAGGTCGTGGAGGTGGGCGTGGACGCGGCGGCTACGATCAGCAGCAGCAGCCCGGAAGAGGTGGTTTCGTCCCGCGAGGCCCGACGGTGCTCAGTCGCCGTGGCGGACCCCCCGGCGCACCGACCATTCTCCCACGCGGCGGAGCCCAGGGTGTTCAGGGAATTCAGCACATGCCAGACGGGCAGCAGGGGGCCAATACGTCTAATACTGGCCAGTACCAAGCTGTACCACCACCGGCCATCTTTCATCGTGGAAGGGGAGGATCGAGAGGCGGACGCGGCGGAAGAGGTGGAAGAGGCGGTGGACCCGGAAGGTTCTCCACCACTGGCGATCGCCAGTAACTGCCATTACTGTCGCGGCAGCAGCAGTTGAACCTCGTTGGATATCTAGAGTCAATAGTATGGCTCTAGTTATCTCTAGAGGTTCTTCTCAGCTAGGCGAAAGAGGCGTAAGGGTGAAACATGGGGGGTGATCTGGCGGAAGATGTCTTGTGGTACTCTACTTGCTTTTTACGATCGCTACCTAATACTTTGTAAACTTTGTTTAGATAGTGATGGGTGGCTATGATATGGAGGTTTTGTAGCACTTTGTTGTATTTCCCAGGAGCTCTTTGTGTTGTGTCTGGTCACCTGTTGCTTATGTTCTTGCTCATGGTTACTGGTGCATCGGTGTTTATCCGGGAGTGGATGGAAGGGTGTAGATTTTACTGAGTAGGTGTCGGTACGGAATATTGTGGGCGTACTCGGGGTCGAGGAGGTGGATACGGATATGAGTAATGATGTGTCAATTCGTCAAGATGTGGCGAGACGAGAATTGATCATTACCTAGCACCCTCTGCCAGTGCGGAACTATCTCCAATCATCAAAGTGACCACTTTAAGGCTCTGGATTCATGCGAAGTCATCTAGTAAAATCACATGATGCCGTCGCTGGCACGGTTGAGCGCGTCTTCACCGTTCTGCGGCGGACATCGAGGTGTGGGGGAGAAGGCACCCCCCCTCCACCGAGTGTCCGTGCGTTCGAACTGGGCCGCTCAGTATCTGTTGGTCCGGCACGGCTGTGGAAAAGGAACATTGTGCATTAGCGCAATGGCGAAGTCACTGTGCCACAGAATTGAGCCACGACTGAACCCGACTCTAAACTCCTTCTGAGTGGTTGTGGCACGCACTGATGCACAACACACACTTTCCTCCTTTTGTGCCGGAGCAAGGGATAGTGTCCTTGGCAGAGAAACCTCACCTCTTCAGTTGTGCGAGGCCTCTGTATGCGGGAGACCTCGGTGAACGCGCCAACCAACCATCATGTCTGCCAAACGCGCTCGAAACTCACTCGACGAAGTCGCCGGAAACCCCCGGAAGAAGATCAAGGACGCGCCGGGAACAACTGCGCCTGCCGAAACGTTCACGCCGTTAACGCATCCGAGACCAGAGCATCTGGGTGTACCACGAGTCCCCCAGGGGACAGAGTTATCACCGCTAGCCATCTTCTCACTCTACTGGGACGATGAGATTCTCAAACAGATCGTTGTGGCGACCAACCTCTGCGCGGAGTTTAAGCGGCGTCGAACTTCAGCCCCCCGGCGAGTATGGAAGCCATTGACGATTGTCGAGTTGAAGTGGTTTCTCGGCGCGACTATCTTTATGGGTGTGGTCAAGGCACCGCAACGTGTCGACTACTGGGACCGCCGGGGATCGGTTACGCTGCCAAATAAATCGTTGTCGCTCGTCAGGTACGAACAGATCAAGCGGTTTCTTCACATCTCCATGCCACCGACGGACGAGCTCAATGCACCGGCGGATGAGCTCGGTGCACAGGCGGATGAGCTTAATGCACAGGCGGATGAGCTCAATGCACAGGCGGATGAGCTCGGTGCACAGGCGGACGAGCTCAATGCACAGGCGGATGAGCTCGGTGCACAGGCGGACGAGCTCGATGAATCGGCGGACGAGCTCGATACACCGGCGGACGAGTTGTATGCACCGGCGGACGAGCTCGATGAATCGGCGGATGAGCTCAATACACCGGCGGACGAGCTGGATGCACCGGCGGGGAAGGCAAGTTGGACGGAGGAAATCGAGCCACTCTCCTCTCACCTCCGTCAACGATCTAAGGAGTTGTATCTCCCCGGCACACACGTAGCGACGGAGGAGATGATGGTATTATTCAAGGGGCGCAGCGTTCACACCTGTCGTTTGCCGAATAAACCGATACGTGTTGGCTACAAGGTCCTGGCTATTTGTGACGCGGGCTACACCCTCGACTGGCTATACTCATCTCGCACCCAGTCGATTGCCGGTCTCGAGCAGCCTATCCCAGAGCTGACATCCACTGGTTCAGCGATCTTTCAGCTTTGCCGTAGCCTTGAAGCTCCTGGGGACCATCGTTACATCGTCTATGTGGATAAAGCTTTCACTACGGTCCCCTTGCTGCGATTGCTACGTAGCCACGAAATTGGTGCATGTGGCACTTCCCGTCTTCATTCTGCAGAGCTGCCAGTTGAGATGAAGTCGGACTTGAAGAAGGCTCAGAACAGCCTTGATGGGTTGGTAGTGAAGCCACATGAGCATGGATCTACAGATGATGTCCTTTGTATTCGATGGGAGGATGGCAAAAATGTCCGCTTCCTTACAACAGTCCATCCGTGGAACGAGGTCACACTCAAGCTACGCCGCAGGCCGCTAGCAACCAGCACCAATGCTGCTGCTATCCACCGAGTCTTCGGAGACTCGGAACGCAAGATGCTGAATATCCCAACAGTTGTGGACGATTACATCTTCAACCGCATGAACGGCGCGGACTTAGCGTACCAGCGCCGAGCTGCCCACACAACCCACCAGCGAAGCCTTCAAAGTTGGTTTTCGTTATTCTTCTTCCTCCTCGATATCTCTCTAGTCAACTCGCATATCCTCATGCAGTTGGCTTGCAAAGAAGCATCCCTTCAAGCCATCGAGGCTGGATGCAATCCAGCCAATGCGCCTTTCCGCCGCACGATGGATGCCGCCCGCTTCCGTAGTGAGCTTGCCGGTGCGCTCATGAGTATACCCAGTGAGCCTGTCGAGGCGCCCACGCGTATACCAAAGCCGCGGAAGCCGGAGCCCAAGCGAGTGCGTTTGCGTTGCCGTTCTAGGAAGACAGACCGTATTGTATTTTCTAAGTCCAGAGATCTCGTGTGGGAACACGCGAAGGCAGCGGCGTATAGTGGTGGCACAAGGAACCACAAGCTGGTCAAAATGGAGAAGAAGCGTGCGTGTGTGGTCTGTAGATATGGGTTTAAAAAGACCAAAACTGGCCGGCAAACTCCAAAGATGGCGTTGTTTGAGTGTACTTCATGTAAACCTCCTATGGCGCTGTGTGCACCTGAGGGGGGAGAGTGTTGGGTGAAGTGGCATGACGGGTGTGAGGTTGTTGGGGAGGGAGCGCTCGCTGCTGCGGAATCGGGTGAGGTTGTTGAGGGGGGAGCGCTCGCTGCTGCGGAACCGAGTGAGGTTGTTGGAGAGGGGGCGCTCGCTGCTGCGAATCCGGCTGTGGGATGATCTGCATGCTTTTGATATCACTCAATGTATCGGTCAGGAAGCGAAGGCGCGAATGCACAATAGGTATACTTAATGTACAATACCTTTTCCACTGTTTTGCCAGACCAAGGGATAGTAAGTTCGCTGCGATACCCTCGATACCCTCGCTGGTGGGGCTCGCTGGACATCCAACACCTCCTCCCAACACAGTTCGTGATTGCTGGGAGGGCCCAGGCTATTTTTCGTGCCGCGGTGGCGGAGCCGGCGTATATCGCAACGAGGTCCCTCCCGTCCTCTTGTAATCCTCCCCCAAGTAATTCGGGAAGGGGTTGATGGCGACGATGGCCTTGTGCTCGCCGGTATACCTTCGGACGATGGGCTACATGGAACCTACATACGTCAGGTACTTAGTTAAGACCTCCCGGATATATAGCTCCAGCGCAGGGCCCAAAGTCTACGCGTGTTTCGGTCAAGGTGTTGGTTGGTTGGTCAGGAGATTCTTCCAGCACAATAGCAGCGGCCTCGTAATTCCAGCTTCAATGCCTACCAGCAGCATCGATCGAAGCGGCGCCGTGAACTCGGGGTTTCGGTATGTGCGATTTCGGCCCTGCTTGTCCCACTCCCACTTGACTTGCTGTCCGTCGGAAACTTGGAACGCACTTCGCTGGCTCCCTCGATCCCTTTCCTCGAGTGTTGTGGTGTGCTTGGAAGTTGCTGGTTGACTGATCAATCATCTGCTGCAAGCGGAGACCGGAGTGCGTAAACCGAAGGCGTAAGAAAATCGAAATCCTTCTCTTCCTTTGGTGGTTTCGGGCGGCTTGGAATTTGACTCACGTAAGTTCTTGGCTCACATCGGAGACCCAACGGTCTATCTGGCGGCGGAATCGAAAGTGAACAATGGAGGTGATTCGTGGAGGATGATTCGGTGATCATCTCGGAGCCGACGGTGTGTACGAAAAACAACTGGGGTTAAGTAGAGTACGGAGCTGGCGTAAGTAGTATGTACTGTGTAGAGCCTTGCATCTTTTCTCTTGGTAGATTCAGACTCCGGAGACCATCGGTGGTATGTCAGTACTATAGTCAAGGGGAGGTAAAATAAATGGTAGCAATACAATATCCTGAATTACTACGTGCCGGGCCGGAATATGGTACCGCTATGCAGGCGCTATAACAGAGATAATCCGATACGTACAGTCAGGAATATGTATTGTAGGTGTACTACACATCGTCGAGAAACAGTATGATGACCGAAGAAAGCGCAACGTATCGTCAAAAGCACGGCCATGCCGCTACGCATATCGAAGAAAACAAAGTATTGGGTGCCATATCGATTTTTAGCCAAGCATATCGATATGTACGTGTATTCGGATACACTCGCACGTCTTCCCGCAACGTAGGTGTGATATGTGGCTGTATGTAACTGAGCCATATCAATATGTAGTGTCAGCGTAGTACCAGACATGTAGTCTGTTCAGAATATGCATCAGTGCTGGCTATGCGTTGCACTGCCGTATCTGCTCAGCGGTACGCCACGTAAATAAAACTATATGCTTTCTGACGCAATGTTTCAACTTTTGGAGTGTATTACTCACTTCGTCACGTAGGTATTATAGCGAAAATATGCAAACGCTATCATATTTCGCCAGAAATATCGTATTACTCCCAGTTTTTTACCCCCTCCCCTCACTATACAGTATGTACCGCCTCATGAACCCGTACCGCTAGAAGATTCGGAGAATTACTTGCCGTTAAGAGTATGTGCCTAACCGAGTGATGTCTAGTGACGCCAATATGAGTGATAGCCCATGAACCGATCCTGCGCCGGACGGCGCACGGCACACAGCCCACGTTTCCCCAGCCACCCAGCCACCCGCATCCTTGCCCGCTTCCCCAACCCTACATAGTGGTGGTGGTGTGAACCATGTATTAAGTGCTCCAAGCATGTGGTTGGGAGGTTGGAAGGTTGGAGGCTGGGAGTTGGGAGTTGGGTATGTATGGATGGATGGCTGGTGTTTCATGTAGACTATGGCACAGTGCGGCACGGTATGTATTGTACAAGACATATGTATGAGGTATGTATGTATGATATGTACCTGCATCCCGTGCTCGACCCGTGCTCGACAGCCGGAACGGGAGGCTGCGAGCGCGGCACAGGTGTTGGTACCGGTGTTGGTTGCGGGTACGGGTGAGACGGTAACGTTACTATAGAGTAGGTACATGGAGAGAATCTACTCTATAGTAATAAGTACTTAATGGATGTGTGCCGACATGGCATGGAAGAAAGCGTTGGTACTATCTGACGTCGCTCTCGCTGCGGCTTCCGGGTGCGGATCTACTCTATATTCTCTCCTCTACTCTATATACCAACATACAGGAGGGAGTGATGGACTCGGTGAGAGTGCGGTATAAGTACGGGTCCGTACTCCGTACGACGACGGGATGAACGCTCTTACCGAGGTAGGGAGTGCGCGGGAACTGAGTACATATGCAAGCCACGTAGGTAGAGTATGCAAGCTACCTATCAGCGATGATATGAGGATATGAGGATATGATACATATGAGGACCCGAGAAGTCGCCCTTCGACTTCGTGATTCCCCTCCACCCCCTGAGTCAGCCGACCAAGTCCGGTGGGTTCGGTGGGTTCGGTGGGATTCAAACTATGGGGCGTTACTGGGATCAAGATTCCGAGGGGGTTGGCACTGGTGGGTGAACACTGGACATATGCATGTCGCCAATATGTAGGAAGAAAAGGAGATTAGCACGGTACGTATCTTTCCTTTTTTCCTTCTTTTCCTTCCTTTTTCCGCAGCCTCTCCGTGCGCAATGGGACTGTCGACTCGATACGGCACCGGTAACCATCAGATGGTGGAGACCACACACACTCTCTCTCGCTCTCTGCCGTGTCTGACGGCGGAGGCGGCGGCGGCGGCGACCGCTTCAGCAGTGCATCACGATCGATGCAACATAAGGAGTAAGTAAGTATGAGGTACCTACATGATACCCTCCAAGCTCCCTGAAGATATTTAACCAATCACTGGGCGCGGCAAGGGTGCACGTGCAGTGAGAGATTCGAGATTCGAGGTTCAGATCTGTTTCACCGTAACCGGGCCATGCTTCGTCTTCCGTCTTCCGGTTCCCCGATCGTTCGTTCGTCGATGCGAGGGTAAGTAAATAAGCTGTTGGTGGCTTCAGCTAGCAGCTGCCAGCCACGGCTTCCACCTTGAACCTTGAGCCTTGGGACCTGAGGTTTGAGGCTTGAGGCTGAACGCTCGTGATGTTCAAGAATACTATTACGAGGTGCAAACAAGGTTATGGTCGCCCTTGCTTAAGTGCTGTTAGTAGATACTTGGAAGTGGAGGCTTGGAAGTTGGAGGCTTGGAGCCAGTTAGGCCGCCACACGCGCGAGCCAATGAACTAAGCGCCGCCGCCTGAGGCCCGCCGTCCGCAGGCCCGCGGGCACGCAGCCATTCATCGCCATTCATCGCTATGTAAGCAACCCGTGAACTTACCTACTCTAGGTACAGTAGTGAGCTGCAGCTTTCGCGGCCGCAGTAGCTACTGCTAGTGAGCGACGTAATCAGCTCAGCTCAGCCAGCTGAACCAGCGCAGCGCGGTGCGGTGCGGCTGAAGATTCTCGATAAAGTGTCTCAGCACCGTACCGTAGTTGTGTTGTACTAGCACCTACTACCGTAGTTGGTAAAGTAGACGGACCATTTACCGATACCGATACCGGTGCATTGTGCGTGTGCACACCGAGAAAACAGTAGGCCGCGTGGCCGTGATTCAAATTCGTACTCTTCTCTTGGTGGTATCATAGGAGGTATGATCTCGCCCGGTAGACTTCGGTCTTCGGTCTTCGGCGATGGGGCTTCGGCGCTGGGCTCCATCGGTGCTGGACCCCGACGTCACTCAGCGTGGGATTATGTAACGTGCGCAACGAGACCGGTAGCCAAGCAAACGCATGCTTGGCAATAATGATCAATTTAGGCATCCGTCCTCAGCCTATGATGATGCTGAGTAGAGTTGTGGGGGGAGTTGAGGAGGGAGGCAGAGAGGGCAGAGCCTGTCATGCAGCGATCTTATCGCCATTGTCGATTTGCCATACTTACTTTGCTGCTGCTCCCTCGAACCGAGATGGACCGTAAAGTACATATCCGTCGATATGAATCATTACCGGTGAGCTGGGGGAAAATCTCGTCGAGAGCTCTTGATCCGAATCGCAGAAGAGGAGGGATCCGGTGATGTGTTGATGGCAAGTAGAGTAACGAGCGGTACGGTGCGGTATCAATTATGTACCTAATAATGTACATACACAGCCACAGCCACATCCAGTGTCCACGAGTGAGTGACGTCCGGATCGTCACGACGATACCATATGATCATAATCCGACTGAGACTGAGACTCCGATCGTGGACTACTATACATGGGATTTGCAGAATCCCCCCGAACGAGCATAGGCAACTAACCATCACTGGCCTATGCAGCCCGTCGCATGAGGTAGTTTTCATTTATTTTTATTTTTATTTTTCTTCTCTTTCCGCAATCCGCACAGGTGACGACTTCCACAAATAACCCCATCTCATAGTACGTACATGCTCTGGGCAGTAGGCAGTGGAGTGGAGTGCACACTGCATACCGCGGCTGGCGAGGCTCGGATGAGCCACCAGCATCAGCCAGCATCGGCATCAGCACCACCACCATGCCAGTGGGCTGCCTGACTCGAGCTGAGCTTTGTCTGTCTGTCTGTCTGTCTGTCTGTCTGTCTGTCTGTCTGTCTGTCTGTCAGACAGATCAGCCCCGGACGTGATATGCTAGGCAGTGTTGAGGTGGCTGGAGCGAGCGGGCGACGGTGGTGGTACAATGTACCACTCCACACCCCACACCGTAGCCATCGATCGGTCGCGAAGGGACTCCCCTTCTCCTCTCCCCCCTCCCTGGGATGCATACGGATGACTTTGTATTACCGTATTTCGCACAAGGCGTTGTAAGTATCCACCGGTACATAGAGTACATGGTACATAGAGTATCATACATACAAGCCATCACCGGGTCAGTTAGTCCGGAGGGGAGGCAGGACCAAGACCAGGACCGGCGGTCGACGGAAGAGGCGAAGATGCTCAGGGCTCAGGGCCCAGGGCTCAAGGGGACCCCGGACGTCTTCGTCTCGTCTTTTGTTTTCATCTTCTCGGAGAGGCAAGTCGCAAAAGTGCGAATGAGAGGACGCCGGTAACTGCTACCTTGTGCTAGTACTGGTAAGTAACTAGGCCTCCCGGGTTGTGTCGGCCAGGAAGAAACTGTCAACGCGGCCTCGCACCGAGTGATGCCATAAATAGACGTCACATCCCGACCAGCGACTTTGGTCCCTCGCAAACAAGCTGCATGCCACAGCCCTGTGCTAGTCCCTGCGCTGGGAAAATGCGCAAGCGGTGCACTGTATAATTTTTAATGGTGAAGTGGTGTAGTGCCCTGTGGCGTGCCAGGCTGCCAGCCAGGAAGAAAAGAAAAGAAAAAGAAAAAAAAGCTGCCGTACTCTATTACGGGAGCGATGCAAGGGTCGTTGCCGATTGAGAGTGTGCGTCGACTATCGCACAAACAGCAAGAGCCAGGCAGAGACGGCTGGGCTGAGTTGCGTGAGCTGAGTGAGTGAGTGAGTGAGTGAGTGAGTGAGTGAGTGAGTGAGTGAGTGACCGACGACCACCAAGTGCAGGTCTCACCGATGTGTCAGGTCCTTTATAACTCCTCCTCCTCCTCCTTCAACCTCCCTCCCTCCCTCCTTCCCATCCACATCACACCACAAACACTTCCACCTTCTACCACCACCACTCCACCTAATCCCTCACCTCCATCTCCACCTAATCCCTCACCTCCATCTCCACCTTCGTTTTCCACGAAACACAGTCGCTCACGAAACTCCCTTCCACCACACAAAACAAACATCCCCAAACAATCCTCACAATGCGTTTCTCTTCCGCCGTCATCGTCGCTGCCATCGTCGGCTTCGCGTCTGCCCAGACCAACGGAACCACCACCCTCTCGGCCGCTCCCTCGGTCATCGTCGTCCCGTCGGGCTCTCCCCTCCCCACGAGCGTCATCGTCGGCAACGGTACCGCTAACGCCACTGCCACCTTGTCGAGTAAGTCTTCACATCCATCCATTCATCCCTCCTTCCCTCCCACAGCTTGCTAACAAAACCCACAGCCTCCCCGACTCCCACCGACACCGAGAGCGAGAGCACCACCCGCCGGCCCTCTGCCACCAGTGGAGGAGCCAGCGGATCCAGCAGTGCCCCGTCGGCCAGCAGCACCTCTGGTGCCGGCATCATGTACACCGCCAACTCGATCGGTGCCTTCGTCATCGCTGTCGGAGTCATGGCCGCCGGCCAGATGATCTAAGCCATCAATCCGTACCAGTCCAAGCATCCTCTTCCTATTTCTCTTGCACTTCCCTTTCTTTTTTTTTTCGTTGGGGCTCTTTTTTTTTCCTTGTAATAATGACCGAGGAATGGGGGATGATGGCAATGACAATCACCTGTGGGGATTGAAATTGGGCATGGGCATGTGTGATGACGGGATGGATGGACGGACAGAATGGGATGGGATGGTTGATATGGCGTGTATATTACGGGGTTCTTGTCTTGTTCCTTGTTGGCTCTTAAAAATGGGTGTTGATTCGGCTCTGGGGTTCTTTGTTCTTCTTCTTCTTTCTTCTTCTTTGACGGCTATAAACATTTAATTTCTTTTTCTTCTTCTTTTTACTTTTCTTCTTCTATCGGAGGGAGGCGCTTGATTCGGTCAACTAGGTGGGGACATGCGGAGGAGGAGGAGGGATTGGGCAGTAGGTGATGGGGGAAGGCTGGGAGGTTACTTGGGACGGGGACGGGCTGGATGGGAGGGGTATAATTGATGATCATACACACACACACACACGTCTTCATAAGCTTTTTTTACTTTTCGCACGCAACGCCTAGTGGATTGAGCAACAGCATCTACAGACTTGCAAGCCGCGCGTACGGTAGAATACCTACTCGGTGCAAGCACAAAGAAACCCCACGTCGCATATACCCGAGCGACGAGCGTGCTAGTCGGTTTGTTACTCAGTTTGTTAGATAGGCAGACGCTCGAACTCGAACTCTGTTCTCCAGCCGCAGGCTCGTCTTCCCTCTCCGGTATGCTGTGGATAATACTAGTAGGAGGTATACCCACAGCAACGCATGCCCGCGCGTTCATTTTCTCACCTCACCTCACTTCACAGGATCACATCACCTCACCTACCACTAGCTGGTAGTTGATACCGTAGCAGTTAATGGTTAGTGGTTGACTAGTAGCCAGTCTCACCTCGACTCCAGGAGTCCAGCATGCCCAGCATGTCCAGCTCGCCTTGCTACCGTGCGTGCGTCAGTCTGTGCGGCTGGAACTCTTTTGTGTGTGGGTGTGGGGTGGGTGGTGGGTGTTACTCTAGTCTCTAGCTAACTACTGTTGGGTATTGGGTGGGTGCTGGGTGCGGTTTTGTGTGGTGGGGTTGGGAGTGGGTTTTGGACTCTGGAGTGGAGTGGGTGGTGGGTGGGTGGTGTGGTGCGGATGATGTGATACAGTGATACCTACTCTACCGCACGTCGCGTTGCAACAATATTTGAGGGTGGTTGGGGCAGTTGCAGTGGGCGGTGGCAGTGGTTGGAGAAGTGAAGGGGAAGGGAAAGTGAATGGGAAGGGAAGTGCAATGGCAGTGGTTGGGGCAGTGAATGGGAAGTGAATAGGAAGGGGAAGTTAATGGGAAGTGAAGAGGAAGGGGGAGGGGATGGGGAAGAGGAAGGGAAGTGAGAGTGAATGGGACCTGCGGAAGGCGAGTGAAGTGAAGTGAGAGTGAAGTGGCAGTGGCAGTAGCAAGAGCAGCGCGAGGGGAAGTGAATACGAAGTGAAAGCCCAAGAAAAAAGCGGTGGGCAAGAGTAAGTGCTTAGGTAGGAGGTAAGTACCCAGAGTGACTATGCCCCCAGCCGCACGCGCACGGCTGAACGTGGAGATGCCCACTTGCCTACCCAACTGCCTGCCTGCCTGCCTATCTACATGCGACTGCGGTAGTCAGCACACTGCATACTCGCTCGCTCTCTCTCTCTCGCTCGTTCACTCAAGGGGGATGGGGGAAGCGATCGATCGAGGCGGCTGCGGCGCTGCGCTGCCTGCGCTTATGGACGGGTTTCTTTTGGTGAGCTCCGAGTGAGCGCGTGAGTGGCGGGCGGTGGGCGGGTTGTGGGGAAGGCTTGATGATGTGCCGTGAAGTTTCACTCTCCCTGCCTTGCCCTTGCCGCTATCATGAGTGGGTCTGGTAGCTACTCGCGATCGATCTATCGACATATCTTGATGCCGTGGTGGTTTGCAGTCGGCGGTCGGCGGTCGTATGCCGGAACGTAGTTCACTAGGCGTCACTCGACATTTCTCCCCCTACCGTTGGTTGGTTTGCTAGTGAATCTGACCCTTCCAATTCTGTGTCTGATCTCCGTTGTGTTTCTTTTTTATTTTCTTTGCACTTTCCTTGGTGCGTCTCACTACGGTACCTTGGGTGCCTAGGTGGCCGGGAGGGCGGGGGTCATCACGGGCCGCTGTGGACTGGTCGAGGTCGAGGTCGGATTGGACGATGGACAAAGAAACGGTGTGTGCACCGTGTACTATATATTACCATGACCTGGATAAGTTCGCATGCTGTCAATGATCAAACAAAACATAAAGCATCCGTGTTCTGCAGACGGCTCTTTTGCCGACACCTCTCCAGGCTCCAGGCGGGAGGCGGGATTGAGAACACACACAACACAGAAGAAAGAGGAGATATGGAGGTTGATCATCTACCAATTCGGTAGATTATGATCGAGAAAGAAGAAGAAGAAAACCCCGCCATGGCCGCCAATGTTGATTCCCACCAACGTTGATGTCCACTGTAGTACTAACCATATTCGTTTTCTCCCGCCGACAGGTCGTCCTCTCGCTCCAACACACGTGTAAGCCCCTCCTCCCAGCAAATTAGACTTAAATATCAAACCCAGCGACCGCTGTCTGAACCCCACGAGTCTTGACATCGCACCCAGTGCACCCACCTCCTCACCCTCATCCTCATAACGTATCACTCACTCCATTGCATCGTATATTAGCACTTGGACAATCTTGAAATCTGTTAAATTTTGTCCCTCCAGGTGGAGGGAACGTGGGTGTGGGGGATGGACGCCGAGACAGTGACCTGGACTGTGCGTACTGTTAGTCTTTATAAATTGAACGGGAGTATCATACGTCATGTTGAAGCGAAACGAAAAAAAAAATGAAATTGGGACGCTCGTCGGCGGGAGGTTCCATTTCATTTTTTGCGTACGGTGGATTACATAGTATTCTATTCAAGCTGGAGTACCTAGCATTGTCATAGTCATTACCATCACCATTACCTTCCAACCTCCAAGCCCCAACCTCGAAACTCCCCATCACCGACCCATCGTCGACCAGTTCTCGGTTCTCGGTTCTCGGAGCTCTACTAGCACCGGGCCCTGGCACATGGCCCTGGCTCCACCACGCACCACGCACGGCGCACGCCAGTGTCACGCCGGTGTCGGCCGAAACGAAACACAAACCGTTGGACCCTTAGAACTAAAATAAGTAAAGCTAGTCTTATCGTCCCGCCGGCTGCACATACACATACACACACATACACACACACACACACGCATACACGCGATAAGTGGCTGCATAGCACTACGTGGTCAAAGTCAAAGCCGCAGACCAAACGGCGGTGCGGGGCGGTGCGGGGCGGGGGCAATCCAATCCAATTCATGACTCCCAGAAAATACACACAATACACATATGTAGAACGCACCATAACGCACAAAACACAAAAGTACCCAAGTAACCAAGTATGTAACTACGTCTTCCACCCCCTCTTGGTCCCAATCTGCCGTCCCTTGATGGACCTGTAATCCTCGTACCCTTCCGAGTTACCAGCGGCAGCACCGGCACCGGCACCACCACTACTACTAGGCCTCTCCTGTTGGATTTGCTGTTGCTGAAGTTGCTGCTGCTGCAGTTGCGGAGGCGGATGTGGAGGACCCTGCATACCATATCCACCATCTCCATACCTCTGCAGCCCCTGCTGCTGTAGCTGTCCCATTTGCTGTTGCCCCATTTGCTGTATCTGTTGCTGCATCTGCTGTTGCGAATACCCCTGCTGCTGTTGCGGCCACTGCTGCTGCTGCTGCTGCTGCTGGAACGTGGCCATCTGCTGCATAGCCTGCTGAATATTCTGTATACCTCCCATCTGCTGCATTCCACCGCCCATCTGCGCAAGGAAGTGCTGAAACGTCTGCTGCATGTGGGGCGGGACCTGGAATGGCGGCGGGATCCAGCCTTGCGGCGGCGGCGGCGGCGGTGGTGGGGCTTGCGCGAAGGCCGCGTGCGCAGTCTGCTGCGACTGCTGGAAAGTGTAGAGTTGTTGTTGCTGTTGCTGGGGGAGCCATTGTTGCTGCGGATGGGGTGGTGGTGGTGCTTGTTGTTGTTGCTGTTGCGGGGGTGGCTGGAGGATGCTGGATTGCACGGATTGCATTGAGGTTTGCGCGAAGCCGCGGTGGTACTGCGGCGCCGTGGGTTCGTGCTCGCGCTCCCGCTGTGGCGAGCGGCTGCGGGATCGATCCCGGTCCCGTCGCGCCCTTGTCCGGCCGTCGGAAGACACCGATCTCGAGCGTCTCCGCGACCTAGATCTCGACGAGTAATCGCTCGAGAACGACGTTCTTCTCCCACGGTCATCCTCCTTCTTCAGCGGGCCCCTTCCACGGTCCTTCTCCGCCGCGGACTTCTTCTTATGCCGCATCTGCTCACAGAACGCGCGGCTCCAACCGTAGTACCCCCCACCATCGATGCCGCCGAAGCCGCCGATGGCATCCGGCTCGTCGCCCGACTCCTTGCCCGCAAACATCGCGTCCATCGACGATAGGAAATCCTGCACCGCAGTCACTAACTTCGGCTCGGGCGTGATCGACGCGAACTGCACCGGCTTGACGAGGCGCGCGTTGATCGGCGCCGTGGAGTTCGGCGTGATCAGCGGAAGCAGGTTCCCCGCCGGCAGATCGTAGAACGGCAGCGACGGGTCGCCGTGGAACGGCGGCAGCAGCAGCATCTTCTGTTTCGACTGCGGTTCTGCCGCCGCCGCCGGAGTAGCAGCGGACCCCTCACCCCCCTTCTCCGCCGCAACATCCCGCACCGCCGTCCGCCACTCCACCAGCACTGCAGGCGAGTAGTACCCCTTCCTCGCCCATATATCCAGCAACCGCTCCAGCCTCGCCAGCTGCTTCGCCGCCTTTGGATACGTCGCGGCCACAAACATGCCCTTCAGCACGCCCTCAAGCGCAGTCTTGAGCGCGCCGCCGTCGGGCGCAAGGAACTTCGTGTGGTGCAGCAGATCGTTGACGAGGTAGAGGAGGTGCAGCCGTTTCCTCCGCGCGCTCTCCCGCCTGCTCTTCCCCGCCACCCCCGCCACCTCTTCCGCCCCCGTCGCCGTCACCGTGGTCGTCGTCGTCGAATCCGCAAGCGCAGTCGCCAGCGCCGCGAGGAACTTCGCGAGTCCCGCCCGTCTTCCCTCAGACGCGACATTCTTGACAATCCATCGTTTACAGACCTACGGGTTCCAAACAACGAACATTAGTCCGACGCGCTCAAAAGTTTGTATGGCATTGTCCCGTCGGCCGTGGTCTCAACCTGAATATTCCCCGGCGAGCATACGGACAGCGCTGTCGACAGCAGCGAGTGGAAGTGCGAGATCTCGTCGCGCGTTAGGGCCGCGGGGTCGGCGCGTAGAAGGCTTGCGGCTAGAGAGGCGCGCGCGATCGCGATGGCGTGTGTGGGTGTCGTCATCGCGCTGGATGGATGGATGGTGGTTCGAGTGCGCGGGTTGCGTGGGTTGGTGGGTCGAGGTTGGTGAAGACGCGGATTGTGCGCGGTGGGGATAGGTGCTGGTGGGGAGAGGTGGTATTGGTGGGGAGGTGGGGAGTAGCGAACTGAAGTTACTCTACCTAGAGTAGGTACGTCAAGCTTCAGAACCTCATAGTGCTGATCTCTGACCACATGTGAGATCCCCAACACCACCAACAACCCGGGTGACAACGAACTGCGGCCATGAATCCCGTGGTAGATGAAGAAAGAGATGCATGATCCCGCAATCACGCCGCTGTGCATTGTCAAGTGTACCGTGTACCGATCTTATCATCTTATCATCTTATCGCAGAATCACGCCTTTATGTATCTACTCCGGATGTGTGCATTATCATTATGCTTTGTCCCATTTTGCTTGTCCGCATTTTTACTCTCGAAACCTCCCGCTCCAGCTCCCCTCCCGCTCCCCCTCCCCCCCGCCCCGAACCGCCAGAAACTACTCTACTCTACTGGAGTAGATACAGGTACATAATTGCAGTTTACAAGATTGATGTCGCTTTCCCACCCCGAAAGAAGAAGAAGAAGAAGACCCGCCTCCCTCGAACTCCAAAGTAAATAAACCATCCCAGATCGCATATAAGTTGGTCCAAGAAAACCGAAAAAAAGAAAAAAGCATCTTTTAAAAAAGAAATAGTGGGGGGGGGCCGAGCCTAACAAGTCCCGCACATGCACTACATGTTCAGCGCGGCCACAGCTCTAGCGATATCCGCCTCGGCGACCATGACTGTGCCCGCCCTAGCAGTGCTGAGGTAGCTCATCTCGACGGCGCCATTTCCATTCGCGACGCCGCCCTTCGTGCCGCCGACGAGTCTCCCAGCGACGCCGCACACGATGCCGGTGGAGTCTACAGGGAGACCGCACAGGTCGAGGACGATGGGGATGAGCACATCGTCCTTGCTGCCGAGGAGGATGTCCGCGTCCGCGTCGAACATGCACAGCATGTCCTTCTGCAGCAACAGCGACACCGGCTCCAGATCCGTCAGGGTCACGCTCATGAATCGCGGCTGCGCGACTAGGCACCGCACCAGCCCGAGTTTCAGCGCGGCGTCGTGGCCGCCGATCCCTCGCCAGCCAGAGCCCCCGCCTCGACGCCCCGCGCATAGGATCAGCTTGCAGGTCTTGTTGACCATCGGCACGACGTTCTGTTTTCGCAGGGTGCTGAAGGTCGTGTTCTCGAGGTCTGCGAGTGTTGTCGGCGGAGATAGGGATTGCGTCGACGATGTGGACGACGAATGGCGGTGGTGGCTCAGCGTCACGAAGGAGTCCGAGTACTTCTCGAAGACGAATCCTCGCTGTTGTAGAGCTTTTGTGACGCTGCTGCGGCTCTTCGCCGGTACGAGAATGTAGTCGGAGAAGTAAGTGGTGATGAAGAAAATCGATCTATATACGGGCTCTCTCGTCAGCTGCGGGTGCACGTGGTGGACGGACGGACGGAGGAGGAAGCGCCTCTTACACTCTGGCCAACGCCAATGGACTGGTTAGATCCAGCACTCTCTGTCCCGCATCGAGGCCTTCGCCGTCCACCTGGATGGCTATAAACTCCTCGGTAGAGATCGAAACCTCGCCTCGTAGGCTGGGATCGAGCTTGTCGATCACCGGAACAAAGAACCTGGTCGCCGCTTCTTTCGAGCAGACTATCGAGCACTCGACCGGAGTCACCGATATGTTGACGAAATCGGTCGCTACCGAGGACTCGAAGAAGTCCTCATCCTCCTCCGCCTCATCCGGCTTCGGGTCCCGTGGCTCCGAAGCATTTCCGTCCTCTTTTCGATACGATTCCGGAAGGATGAGTGATAGTATTGCTTGGACGAAGTGCGGATATAGCTGCAGCGGTATGTGGATCAAGCTCAACCGGCAGTCCTGGAGACACGGTAAACCAGTTGTTAGCAAGATTGGCTCGCGGGGGACGTTGAAGCCGCAGTCGCATCGAGGAAAGAAGCCCACCAGGAATTGAATTGAGGCACTCATGTAGGGCATGGACTCGAGCTGTCGGCTTTGTATATGGTGCACGTACTGGAGATGTTTACCGGTGTTTCTAGAAAGCAAGCGACAAGTGTATCGGGTTTCTTCTTTTTCTTTTTCTTGTTCTTCTTCTTTCTCTTCTAGGTCTCTGCTGTTCAGGGCCGAGCTTGCAACGGCGGTGGGGGTTGAGTTGAGAAGCTGAGAGGTCTCGATGCGCGGGAGCGTTTCAGTCAAGATAGATGACTATTCAGAGCGATAGCGATAAAAGCCGGGAGCAGATCCTTTGTCTCGGTTGGGTAGGTGGAAGTGAGCTGTGACTTTATAGTTATAGGTAGTACACAATATGAAAGACCTGTGATACTTTTCTAAAGACAACACGGCAATGGAAACTGGATGACGAGAAGAAGACGGCTTCCTTATGAAAAAGGCCAACGACCGCGCAGAGTCATTCGGACTTCTCTCTAGCTCACGAGCCGGGGAGTGGTGGTGGCGGCGGTGGTGGTGCTGGAGGAGGTGGTGGATTGGAAGTTGGTTAGTCCAATCCGGAAAGCCGATGGCGGTTACCTAGTGTGGTCGCTAACGAAAGCGAATCTCTTGGGCAAACCAGGGATCAACCACCGTTCATCGTCTCATCCTTCATCTCCTTCATCTTCTTCTCTTCATCTTCTTCTTCGGGTCAGCTTACGTTTACCGTTTGTGTCCACACGTACAGCATGTGGTTACAGTACATACGTGCGGTGTCTTTCTTTGCCAGCGGGAAGAACAGCGTTATCATCGGAGAGGATCCGAAGCTGAAGCTATGCACAGCTCCAACTCCTATCTTCCGACTCCGACGCACACAGCTAACCGGCAGATCATCGCCCAAACTCTATCTCGGGGACTCAATTGCCTGACGACGATGAAATATGTCGAGTAGAAGGGGGATATCAAGTAGAGGACAGCGAAGAAAGAAAGAAACGGACAACGCGGTGAGCCATGGATGGCGCAAAGAGGGCGGAAAAGCACATTTGTTGCCGCCGTCCCCGGAGGAAGGGCGGGCGACCTGCAGCAACGCCAGTCGGCTGCAGGTGCGTGGGTGAGAGGGTGGGTGGGTGGCGAACGAGATCGGTCATTGTGCAGAAATTACGATGGCATACATGGCCATGCCTGTCGGACCCTGCTGAGAACGATGGGGGCGGTTGGCCGCGGTGTGTGGACCCAGTAGCGAAATTCCATACAGACGCTGGCCAGGCCGTGGTCCACGATGGCTTCTAGTTCCCAGTTCCCGACCGTTAACTGAAACCCCCAAAGGCGGTACATGGGTAATCACTCGTCCGTGTGATCAAGAGCCGTGTTGGAGATATCCGAGAGATGAGACGAGACCAGGCATCAATTAGTCGCACGAGTCGAAAACACCTGAGCTCGAGTCCTCGAATCAGGTAAGTATTTGCATCAAGTAGGTGCGTATGGCTCTGCTCGGTAGGATTCGTAGTGCCGGCACGAGACGAATCAGCGCGGATCACACAGCTGTCCTGAATCCCGTCGTGTGAATCTGTGCACGTGCCAACGTTTACTCCGACGACTCCACACCACATGGAAGGCGGCTCGCCGTTATCTACTTTCTTTAGTCACATTCCTCATACTATATCTCCACACCAGCCGAGCGCAAGGGGTGATTTTTTCCGTTTCTTTTTTTTTCCTCTTTTCTTTCTCTGCTGGGCTTGCCGTATAGGGGAGAAGGCATGGGGCGTTGGACAAAAGAAAGCAATTGCGGGGCGAGGGGAGGGGGGGCCGATAAGTATAGTACTAAGCAAGTAAGAAGTTGTTGCACGATACGATACGAGGGCACGAGAGATAGGGATTGGCCTCGCGCTCTCGGTCTCGGCTGTCTGTGTCAGGCTGTCACGCTTGGGACCGCCTCTCTTGCGTCAGGCAAGTGAGCGACAGGGGACTCTGTCGGGATGATGTCAGGGCGGGCAGGCGACAGCAGCTAGCATAACTAAGCAGAGCTGAGGAAGAGTGCAGGGAAACCGTGTGACGTGAATCAGCTAGGGCCCGATCGTCCAAGATCACCATCCATCACTGCTAGACAACCCCCATCGTCAGTCATAGCCCGTCAATCGGCACAGAAACCATCCTAACTATGCACTTCGTCCCCGAACGGGGTCGAGGCAGCACGGCGATGATGTCTCTTGAATGGAGTGATTGTGCCACCCAATCGCAATCGACAAAAATATTCAATGCACATACTCCGCGTCGATTTCGTTTTGAACGTAGCAACAGCTTCAATGCTAACTTCGGGCGATGAATGTGTGTATGCAGAATACTTGCGAAGTTTCGCTAACTACGTGTTTGGGCTTTTGGAGCGACGTGGAGCGTCTGGGGAAGGAGGGGGAAACGTAAAAGCAGTGAACGTAAAAGCAGCGACGTGGAAGCTGGGAACAGCAACAACCTCAAAGCGGTATCATTGTTGGTGAGCAGCTAGAGCAGCACAGCTAGAGCAGCACAGCTAGAGCAGCAACGAACGACAACCCCAGCCTTGCCAAACTTCAACGTTCAAGCCCCCCCAAACCAAACAAGCCTCGCCTTCTTCGCTCAACCCGAACTCCTCCTTCTACCTTCTACCTTCTACTTCATCCATCTCATCTCCACTTCAACCCTACTCGAAGCCACACCCATTCTCTTCCTCTTCCTGCTCCACGACACTCAAATACTGCACTGCTAGTACCGTTACCCACCACAACCAGCACTGCTTCCCACACCACTTACTTCTCCTTCAACCCCTCTGCTACTACTACTACTACTACTACTACTTTCTCCTTCTTCTACTTCACCAATACCACTTCCTCAACCTCACGATCGAACTAAAAAAACACTCTTACCCCCCACCATTCCCTTTGTCTACTCCGACAAACAGCAACATCTCTCCAAGCTTTCCTAATTCTCCATTGCTACCTAACTCATCCGCGATGAATCCTCTAATGATGGACCCCGTCCACGCTCACACCGGACCCACTACTCATGGCAGTGCTGTGTATCCTCACGCTATGGCAGTCAGCAATCACGGTTCCCCCATTGATCCGATTCACTACCCGCAGCAGCAGCAGCATTTCGGAATCCAAGGAGGCTTCGCCATGCCGCCGATCCATATGCAGCAACAGCAACAGTACAACTACCGCGAACAGGTCCGTTCTTCTTCAGTTCCTGTTTTGTCCTCCCTCCAGAAGACGGACCCAACCTCGGATGCTCATGTCTCCGGAGATGTAAGGGTTCCGTTCTCCTGTCCTGCTTGGTATCATCGGTTGGGCGGGGGAGGGGGGGAGGGGGTCGTTTGAGTCTTAGTTGCTGACCTGAATTTTGTGTTTGTCTAGGACTTTGAACGCTCTTGCGTCGTCTACGTCTCCGGTTTGAACTCTGGTATCGACGATAGTACTTTCTTCGAGGCTTTCCGCAAGTTCGGTATGTCATCACTCTGCCTACCCAACGGAACATTCTCACTGATGCAATTGCAGGAAATATCCTGTCCTGTGTGCGCCGCACCGTGGATTTCGAGATGAAGCCTAGCGGACAACAATACGCCTTCATTAGATACTCTTCTCCCCAGGAGGCCGTGAGCGCCATCCAGCAAGGTGAAATCGATGTCCAGGGTCGTAAGCTGTTAGTCACTCCCACACATCGCTCACCATCTAAGAATCTGCCCAACTGACGATATGGAAAACATAGGAACATTAGGCCTCGTGACAAGAAGGGAACTCGCTCGCAGAGACAGAGCTCCCATGGGAGTCCCGAATCCAGACCTCAGTCATACGGTGCTAGAGGCGGCGAGCAGATCCTTAGATTGATCAACAAGAACCATTCGGGATCCAATCATCAAAATCGTAACCACCATTACCAGGACAGGATGTCCTACGACCGTAACAACATGGATGGCCTTCAGAACGACTACCACCAGACTCACCCGCTCAAAGCACGTCCCACTCTGCTGAGCAAGGCCTTGAATGTTGCGAACCTCCCGCCAGACATGGGTCCCAAGCATCTCTACGCGCTCTTCGAAGAGATCGGACCGGTCGAGGGCTGCTACATCTTCCCGGTTGCAGACACCGCAGGACGTCGCTACGGACACGTCGTGATGAACTCGTTCTACTTTGCACAGAAGGCGGTTGAGTCGTTGCATGGCCGTGTACTCGGTGAGCATGTGTTGGATGTCTCCTACAAGACTTCGGATGGTACGGATGCACCACCTTCGTCTTCGGAGCCTCCTTCTCCGCCGCATGTCGTTGCTGCTCCTCCCCAGATGCAGCAGATGTTTGGCCCGCATCCTTCGTTCCATCAGCACCAGTCTGTTCAACACAACCAGGCCTTCCACAATCCCTCTCACCCCATGGGATGGGTTCAGAATGGAATGGGAAATAACTTTCCACCCCGGCACTTTGGCGGCATGCAGCAGCCACCGTACGGAGTCCCAGCACCGCACCTGATGCCTTTCTTTGGAGGTAACCAAGTCTCCATGTTCGGTCAGCCACATGTCGACGACAATCCACCCTTTGACTACCCTACGTCTCCTCCTATGCATGGGATGCGTTGGGAACAGTCCCCCGAACAGAAGCATTTCTCCGGAAATCGCAATGATCGTCGCTACGATGCTCCCCAAGGGCTTCATGCCAACAACTACAGTCGTCAGCAGCACCAGCCCGAGTACGCCGACAGTTCGAACTCGGAACTCCAGCCTAGGAGTGTGTCCAATAGCACCATTGACTCCACTGGTACCGCGGCAACTTCTGTGTTCCCCGCTGAAGAGAGCTTCAAGCAGGAATGCGAGAATTCCCCACCGGAGAATAAGGACGGCAAAGAAGCGGTGGTGAGCTCCTCCACCTACACTGGAGTGGGACTGAACAGCTTTGAGACCCTCACTCCTCCAATCATTCCCGAAACCAAAAAGCCGACGGATCCTTGCAACCTTTTCATTAAGAACCTGGATGATTGTGTCATCAGCACCTCGGAGGAGCTGAAGAATCTCTTTGAGTCTTTCGGGCAGGTTGCTTCCGCTCATCTTGCTACCTATCCCGAATCGAAAATTTCCAGAGGATATGGCTTTGTCGCTTTCGCCAAAGCTGAGGATGCCGCGAAGGCGAAGGATAAGATCAACAATATCTTGGTTGGAAAGAAGAGGGTGTTCGTTAGCTATGCGGAAAGGAAGGAGGACCGTGCTAAGAGACTGAAGTCTATCTTCCAAGGCAAAAACCCCGACGAGGAAGAGGATGACGAAGTCAAGAAGGAGACGGATGAAGCCGGTGAGGCCGATGAGGCCGTAGCTACGACGGACGAAGAAGGAAACAATGGCAAGAACATGATGAAGGAGGAACCAATAGACGCTTCGATCGTCATCGAGGTTTCTACTACGGCCGATGTGGAGGAGTCTCTTAAGGCTAAGGAGGAGGAGGAGCTCCCTGTTGCGTCGAAGAAGGTTGCGACTGAATCTGGATCCAAGAGGGGAGGAGTTTCGCGTAACAAGGCTCAGGTTGGCGGGCAGAAGGGAACCACTACGAAGGGATTCAAGAGCACTCCCTTGGATAAGAGTATGCTTCATATTCCGATTTTCAGTCCACATTGCTAATGTTGTTTAGTTACCGAGGTTGAGGAAGAGAAGGTTGTCCCAACCGAAAAGTCCGTTGGAGATTCCGATGCCACTTCCGGAGTCGTCCCAGAGGTTGCCGTTACCCCATCGTTGGATGCTTTAGCCAAGGTCCCTGCTCCATTAGGTAGGACCAACAAGGCCGATGCGGAGGGTACTGGCTCCAAGGCTAGCACCGGCGGCGGCAACAACAAGCGCAGTACTCGTCGTAGCGCGGGAACTCAGAAGATCACCAGCAGTCAGGTTCAGACCGCGGTACCGAGTCTCAAGCAGATCAGCAGCCTTGGACGTTCGTCTTCGAGGATCCCCGTGCAGAACATGGGAGGTCCTCTACAGAACATCCCGCCTACTGGACCCCGTTTGAACAACGATGTCACGACTCAGAACCAGGGTAACCCGACTGCTACTACCATCGCTGCTGCCGCCGGTGGACCCAATCACTATCCCAAGAGGCGTGGCGGATACAAGGGCAACAACCCTCGTAATGGACGCAGCCTGGTGGACAAGAGCGGAGCTGACGGAGCCACTGGCCAGAAGGAAGGCGAGCAGAAGGGAACTGGAGGTGTCAAGAAGACCGTCACTGGACAGGTCGGCACCGCTCCTGTTGCTGCCCACTAGGCTGGGCTTTCGATGCATGATGGAAGAAGGGGAGGGTACCAGAACGCTTCTAAAAGGGGTTTGCTACATGGGAGGGGCGTTTGGCAAGTCGTGGTAATGACGGGGAATTGGAGCTGGAGCTGTATTTTTTAGACACCAATTGTTGCCAGATGGCGATAGCGATGATGATGATGATGATGATGATGATGATGATGATGATGATGATGCGTTTTGCGATAATGATACCTTTGTGTTTGCTTGTCTTTTTCTTTACTGCAATTGGGTCTGACTGTGTACGATACAGTGGGGCCGGGGGGTCGGTGGGTTTGTTTTTGTACTGTAGAGGTACGAGGGATTGGCATGCGGTGACATGGATGCGATGAATGGATGGATGGATGGATGGATGGATGGGAGGGGTTGGTTTGCTTGGTTGCGCTGGCTTGCGATAGTGACACTGCCTTTGTGCCATTACTCTACTCAGCGCATGCAATGATGAATAAAATGCGGATCTCAAGAGTAACACTGGGAGTGCGATGCGAGTGATATGGCATGGTTATGGTATTGTACAATAGTGTAGTCGTAATAGGTAAGACGGGAAAAAAAACGAAGCATCATAGCAGCAAGCAAGAACAAACCACTCTACACAGACCCAAACCAAACCAACCCAAGCGAAGCAAAGCAAAGTAACATTAACACCGAAGAAAGAAGGATGTGTAAGAACGTAATATAATAAATTCAGCGCACAGCTCGCAGATCAGCACAGCACAGCACTACAACAGCCCCTGTTTCTGCAGATCCTCAAAGACCTTTCTGGGCATAACATTTCCTTGGGCGTCCTCCATCTCCTCGACGGTCTCGGCCTGGACCTTCTGGCGCTTCTTGTCGGACTCGAGTTTCTCCCACAGGCGCTGTGCCTCGTCGATCTTTGTGATCTCGCGGAACAGCGTGGTATTAGTGATGCCGAGGCACCGCAGGCCGTGGATGTGTCTGCTCTCGTTGAAGTGCTTGTCGAAGGCGCGGCGGCCCATGTACACAAAGTTCCCGCAGATCTCGCATGGGAACTCGACTCCCAAACCGTGCAGCTTGTATAGCCAGTACGGGATAGGCTTGCCGTCCCATGCCAGTGGCAGCTTGAGCGGGTTGTAGATTTTGCTGTCGTCGTCGTCCCCGTCGTCGTCTGAGCCGCCGTCGCCGTTGCCGCCGCCGCCCCCGCCACCAGCTCCAGCCGCCTCGCTGCTCTCGAGGTATAGCGCCTCGAGCTCCATTTGCCGCTCACGCTCGGTGAGCGACTGTTTGCGCTCGACGTTGGTGGTGGTAGCTTCGCGCTGTGCTTGGAGGACTGCGGTGAGCTTCACAACCCGCCATTCACGCTCGGCGATGGCGCGGTCCTTGAGGCGGGCGAGCGAGGCTTTGGTTTGTGCGTCTTGCGAGGTGCTCCCGCCGTTCGAGGACTGGTCGAGCGGCGTGCCGATGGCCGCGACGTTCTTCAGGTGCTTCTTCGACGACGTGTGGTGCTCATACACGTTCTTGTTGCTGAACGACTTTTGGCAGGCGTCGCAGTAGATTGATGCCGTGGTGGTAGTGTTGTCGCCGCTATCGGAGGGTGTCTCTGTGGCGGCGGCGGGTAAGGTCTTCGACCACCCGGGGACCTCGTCTTTCTCCCATGCCTCGGCGAACGCGGCCTCGATGCCCGCAACGATCTTGTCGGGGTCCTCGAGCGGCCGGGTCCGCCGCAGGAACGACTCGAGGTAGTCCGCGACGCCGGTCAGGTACCGGAAGTACCGATCGTTCATCTTCTGGGCGCGCGTGAACTGCGCGAACTGGTCGTAGACCGACAGGTATTGTAGGTAGGTGATCTTCTTGACGTTGGGATTGAGGTTCAGATACTCCTCGTGGTTCTTGGTGAGGTCAAAGAACCGGCCGTTGCTCTCCTCGCCCGTAAACATGGCGTCGATCTCCGAGAGGAAGAGCTCCTGCGTGCCTGCGGCGGCGGCGACGGCGGCGGCGGCGGTGCTGGCATCGCGCTTGTAGGCGCGCTCGAGGTTCTCGACTGGCTCGTTCGGGTACTTGCGGTGGAAGTCTTTGATTGTCGACAATTGCTTGTAGAATTCTTCGAACGGGTCGTGCGTGGTGAGGGATTCGAGCTCGCGCCGCAGCGTGCCGTCACTGTCAGTTTTGAGGGAGACGAGCCGCGCGGATTGCTGCTGGAACCGGTCGACGAATTTGGCGATCTGGTGGTCGCGGGCTAGACGGTCTCGCACCTGGGCTTCTGGTCAGTTCAATGGTTCACTCGCACCTGGTGGGGTGGAGAGGATGGCTTTGTGGTACCGTCCGTGGTTCCTCTAGCACGCGGTCGGCACATGCTTGCTCTAGGCGCTCAAGATCTTCGCATAAGCTCCGCTGCTCTTCTAGAATCGCCATGGTGTATTTGGTGTATACGTCTTTCTTTTCCTTGGTGAAGAAATCGCGTACGGAACTCGTGGCAGTTGTAGAAACGCGAGGTTGTTGGTGGCGCCAGCAAGGAAGACACCAAGGCTGCCATTGGTCATGCTTTCGCATTTACCCGGCCATGCCACGGGTCGTACCGAGCTCGACTTCAATCCTGCCATGCGTCTCTGCCATCCTTCCTTGACCTAACAACTACCGCCACGATACGATCTAGACATCTTCTGCACAACCCAATTCTCGCAACCAAAACAAACGCACCCACCCGAATCCCACCCACCTCAATTCCAGAAATCCCCCACCATGGCCGACGGAATCGACCGCCGCGAAGACCAACGTCTGGAATTCTCCACGACGAAGGAGGTAACGGTAGCGCCGACCTTCGAGGCGATGCACCTGAAGGAAACGCTGCTGCGCGGAATCTACGCCTACGGCTACGAGTCCCCCTCTGCTGTGCAGTCCCGCGCAATCGTCCAGATCTGCAAGGGCCGCGACACTATCGCCCAGGCGCAGTCCGGAACCGGAAAGACGGCTACGTTCTCGATCTCGATACTGCAGGTCATTGACACGGCGGTGCGAGAGACCCAAGGTTAGTCGAGTGGATTCGGTGCGCGGGGGCGGCGGCGGTAGTGGTGGTGCAAAGTGGAAGGGAAGGGCTGATGGTGTGGCTTTGCTTTAGCGCTGGTTCTCTCCCCCACCCGTGAATTGGCAACTCAGATCCAGTCCGTTATTATGGCGCTTGGCGACTACATGAACGTGCAATGCCACGCGTGCATTGGCGGCACCAATATCGGCGAGGACATTCGCAAGCTCGACTACGGCCAGCACGTGGTTTCGGGCACGCCCGGACGCGTCGCGGACATGATCCGGCGTCGCAACCTGCGCACGCGACAGATCAAGATGCTCGTGCTCGACGAGGCCGACGAGCTGCTGAACCGCGGGTTCAGAGAGCAGATCTACGACGTGTATCGATACCTGCCGCCGTCCACCCAGGTCGTCGTCGTTTCTGCTACCCTCCCCTACGATGTGCTCGACATGACGCAGAAATTTATGACCGACCCCGTGCGCATCCTGGTTAAGCGTGACGAGCTCACGCTGGAGGGCCTGAAACAATACTTCATCGCCGTGGAAAAGGAGGAGTGGAAATTCGACACGCTCTGCGATCTCTACGACACACTGACCATCACGCAAGCCGTCATCTTCTGCAATACGCGCAGAAAGGTCGACTGGCTGACGGAGAAGATGCGGGAGGCCAACTTCACGGTCAGCAGCATGCACGGCGAGATGCCGCAGAAGGAGCGTGATGCCATCATGCAGGAGTTCCGGCAGGGAAACAGCAGAGTCCTCATTTCGACCGATGTCTGGGCGAGAGGTATCGACGTCCAACAGGTCTCCTTAGTCATCAACTACGACCTGCCGAGCAATCGTGAGAATTACATCCATCGCATCGGTAGATCGGGCCGTTTCGGACGCAAAGGTGTCGCCATTAACTTTGTCACCAGCGAGGACGTCAGGATCTTGAGAGATATCGAGTTGTTCTACAGTATGCCCTCTCCTTCCCCCCTTTTCCTCCTCCTCATACTGTTAGCTAACCCACAAACAGGCACCCAAATCGACGAAATGCCCATGAACGTCTCCGACCTACTAGCATAAGTGGGCATGAACTGCGTCGGGGAAACTGTGTAGATTACCATAATTTGATAGTTACTTTCTCAGTTGTTGAAGACCTGGGCAAAAAGGAAAAGGAATAAGTGAGGGGGAAATGGGCTATGACTACCAATGGTTTGTGCCCCGGCCCCTGTTGTGGTGCAACTATTCATTAATGAGCACTCGCTTACATATTGTGTGTGATAGACTCTTTTTTTACTTGATGAGGGGTGAGAATGAGTAGGGCACTGAGAATGTAGTTATCGGGGTGATGATGCTCAATGAGATCAATGATATGAACAAATGACAACTTTCACAGTGAATTGAATAATCGTCTGGACCTTTGGTACCTATGTCCGACGTGTTTCAGTGTTTCTACAGTGGCGGTAGCCAGCTCGGTCAAGGATGATTACGGCGGTTATGTACTAGAGTAGGTATACCGATGACCTGACCGAGCCTACCTACTTTTTGTAGGCCCTCATATACCGTTGCCTGTACATACGCCCAAGTTAGCTCACCACTCCACCCACTATTCCCACCAGATGCACTCACCACCAGTCTCTAAACTTCACCGTCCTAACATCAATCCCCAAATCCTTGAGTTCCTGTGTTGACAGATGGCAATCATACGGGCGTTGCACTTTGCACTTCATTAGCCATATGCACCCACACGCACACCTCCCCTCCACAGCCTCGGGGGGGGGGGGGGGGGGGGGAGCGGGGGGGAGCGGGGGGAAACGAACCAGCAGCATTCAGATCATTCTCAGCATTCGGCACGACATGCTCCAGCGGCAGGCCGGCGACATCCGCCATAGTTTGGCAGATCTCATACTTCGTCATCCTCTCCTCACTGGAGAACTGGAGGACCCTTGGCAGGTCCTGCTCCATCTCCTCCTTCGACTCCATCCCGCGCGCATACCTCTCCGCAACATCAACCAGCACCCTAGCCACATCCGCCGTATTCGTCGGGTAGCGTACACTCCAATGATCCATGTCCACCTTCGCCTTCCCACCGGCGTTCCACACAACATCCAGCAGCGTATTAACCGCGCTCTCGCCATTCACCTCCACCTCGCCATAGAGCACGGGTACACGGAACACCACGCCCCCGGGCTCGTCGAGCACCGCGCCCTCCCCCGCCAGCTTCGTCGCGCCGTAGAAGTTTGGCGGGGCGGTGGGGGATCCGGCGGAGTACGGCGCCTCGCCCGGCGTGCCAGGGAAGACGTAATCCGTCGAGATGTAGATCAGTGTCGACCCCATATCGGCGCAGAGGCGCGCGAGCAGCGACGTGGAGTCCACGTTGAGCGCTGTCGTGCCAGCTTGGTCGGTCGCACAGCGGTCGGGGGAACGCTCCGCGGCTGTGTGCACTACTACTGAGGGGCGGGTGGATGATAGTAGGGCCGACACCGCGGTGGAGTCCGTCAGGTCGAGTTTTTGGATCGAGCCGGAGGCGCGGGAGAAGCCTAGGTGGGTGTTAGTGAGGCGGGAGGAGGGGGGGCGGGTGCCTACCCGTGCCAATGACTTTCCACTCGGCGTTCTCAAAGGCCTTCACTGTTCAGCACACCCAGTCAGCGCTCCTTCTTACTTCCATCCCGCCAGTTCCCAAGGGATACAAACCGCATTGTCGCCCCAACTGCCCCGTAGCACCGGTAATGACCACCGTCTTCTGCTCCTGTTGTTGCTCCGACATAGTATCGGCGATTTGGATGGTTGGTTTGTGAAGGTATTTCACTTTGGCGGGGGGATGCTGGATGACGTAGGGGCATCTTCAAGGGACTTACTTACATAAGTAAGAAATAATCTCTAGATTTCAACAGCCAAGCACGGAAACCCCAAATTCTATCCATCAATATCCAGAGTCCAGACAGCCATTATGATAATACTCCACCATCCTCTCCCGTCCCGTCCATCCATCAAACATCACATGGCAGAGCAGAGCAGCAGCAAATCTCTCAAGCTGAGTATAGAGTATGAAAAGGAAACCAGAAACAGAAAACAAATCATCCACCGGCAATTACAACAGCTGTCTCCCCGAGTCCCCCTTATGCATCAAACGAAGTGGGTACCGTACTTGTAAAGCAATATGAATATAAAAACCACGCACGCAACAAAGTAATCCCCCTTCCTCCGGCCGGCAAACTATAAAATAAAAACGGGCATCCATAAAGTACAAACGATATGATTCCAACTTGCACACACCACAGCAAGAAGGTGACAGGTAAAAAAGCAATATTCGGAGCAAAAGATCTTGCCCTCTTTACGAATTCAATTTCTTCTTCCCCCCCAAACCAACCAACCTTGTACCCACCACTCTATATCCTCATCGACCCTAATTTCTCCCCATACACAGAAGACAAGACAACCTCCAGCCACCCAATACCACGACCGCCGGACCATAACCCTTCATATTATCTTTTTTGGTTTGACGAAGACGAGCTCCCGCTTCGAGACCGCGATTTGCCCTGACGGTAATGAGAGTCGGGAGCCTGACGTCGTTTCTTATTAACAACGGTCAGATGGAACGCCTCGACATAACAAAGCATGCGAAGAACAGTAGAAAAGAAAAGAGAAAAGAAAAAGGATGAGAAAAAGGATAGACATAATAATGAAACCCGAAAAAGAATGCGTGTTCCCCAGAACAAAGGAAATCAGGCGACTCGAAAGCCAGTCAAGTGAGAAGAAGAAACCATGTCTCGCACCGCCGCCCCCAAAAAGAACAAAATCGTTGTCTATCGAGAGCAAATGGCGTAAAAGAATGCGTTGATTGACACAATCCAACGAATTAAGCGTGACCTACCGCTTTGTTTGGGCTTTCGTCTTGGAGGTGGAGGGCGTCCAGCTTGTCGCTTGCCCCGTCTTCAGATATCTGCATAGGTGATCCGGCACGTGGTTTTGCTATTGAGCTGGCGCCGGACGCTGCCTCTTTCCGCTTCCTCGCCGCCTTCTCTTCCAAGGCCTTCCAGATATTCTCCCTCTCCGCTTGCCGTTGAGGGGCACTTTCTTGGAGAGCGGCGTAGTCGCTAGTGCATTCGTCGAATAAGGAGGGGTTTATTTCCATGAACAACTTCATCGCACTATAGACCATTTGGTGGATTGTTCTACGATAGTTAGTTACGTCCTGCACCATTGAGTCAGGGGGCTGTACCTATTCCAGTGTCCTTTGGAGTTCTCGAATAATGGTGCGAACATGATCGGGAGGATGACTTCGACATTGTCACTGACGAGATTGCAGAAGTACTCGTTGTTCCAGAAGTACAGGGCCCTCTCGGCAACCTATTGTTTGTCAGTACGGATGACAGCCACAAATGGCGGTGCAAGGGTAACCAACTTGGAAATGCGGGCTGGCCACGCTCTTGGCCAGCTGGTGGAAAAGTGGCTCCTGGACCTTTGCGAATTCTGCAGGATCCATGACCTCGAAGATATCCTCAACCTCGTTCAGGAACATGACTTCCTTGGTACTATTGGTCTTCGGCCAGTACCTCAGCAACCCCAGAACAACCTAAAGCGGGCCGGTCAGCACTAAGCCAGAACAGAGACTTCCGGTGTTAAAAGATCTCACCTCTTCGGTCAAGGCTGAGTCTTTTTCGAGGAACTGGACGATACAGTACGCCAATTGCGGGTGGTACATGCTGAGACTCTTGACTTTGTGTAATGGGATGAGAACCCGGGTCAAGAACAGTTTGTGCTCCTCCTTTAGAGGCAATGCGAATCCGTTGATGATACTACCCAAAATCTCGAGAAGCTCTGCGATTCCGTTGAACCGTTCTGTCTCGTAGACGAATTGGAAGAACACATTGTTGATGGATCTCCGGATGTACGAACGGAGATTGAGAAATTTGCCGTAGATACGATGAAGAGTCGTCTTCAAGAAGTCGCGCTCTCGGGGATCTTCAGAATCGAAGAGTTCCAGCAACTGATCAAGAAAAGCATAAGTTAGCAAGCCAAGAACACCCATGATTTTTAGGTTGCGATAACTGACCTGTAGCACAAACTGGTGGTCGATGTATTGTTTAGCGACGTTGGTGTTAAAATCTTGGCTTTCGATGAACCTCAGGAAGAACTCATAGACCACTTGAATATGGGGCCATGCAACTTCGAGCACAGGTTCGTCCTCCTCCGGATCAAACGCATCTCCAACCGGATTCACCGGGGGAGGGATGGGTCTGAACAGGTTCTTGGCGAACATTTCCACCACCTTGGGGTACATCCTATCCGTGATGACAGACCGGTTGGTAGCGACATAGTCGAGGAGCTCATGAAGTGCTAAGCGCTTGATTTCCTTGGGCTTCATATCCGCAGAAGCGTCGTTGAAGTCGAAGATGACATTACACTGATCCAGCTTCTGCAGGAAGAGCTCTTCCCTACGCTGAGGGGGAACGTCTACATTTATATCAGCATGTCTCGTTCGGATTCTTCACCAAGCGTCGATCATACCGAGGAAGCCAGGCAGCTTCTCCAGATCTCTCTTCTCGGAGATATCAAACCGCGAGCTGTGCTGCCTCTTGGGAGTCTTGAGACCCTCAGGAATCTGGTCGGCTTTGGGGGCGGTCTGCAATCTGTCAAAAGTCTTCTGACCGGCCTTGGGGGGTACCAGATCGCCCGGCATCGTTTCGGCGGCTCCTGGAGGAGGCACATGCTACATCGCGACACGAACCATGATCAGCGCAGCGCTGGGAACAACGGATCACGAAGATTCCGGCATGAACGTACAGGCGCAGACGAAGGGCTAATGATCACAGAAGGTGCGATCATTCTCGCTCCCGCAGGAGAAGGAGCATTGTTGATGTGAGCATGGAGATTGGCCAACGAAGAGCCAGGAGATCCGGTTGCGGGCGATGACTGAGTCGCCCCGGCAGCAGCAGGGTCCCTCGACTTGCTGGGGGTCTTGTCCGCAGAGGTATCCCCACTCCGGCTTGAATCACCACTGCTCCTCTTGTCGGAGGTGGTCGAAGATCCGGACGAGGCTTGAGATGACGAGGAACCAGAGTCCTTCTTCTTTGAGGAGGTCTTGGACTCCTTGGTTCGAGATAACTACAACAGGACAAACGCACCAACTCGTCAGCACCTTTGTCTCATCGAGCGATTGAAATAAGGGAAAATATAATAATGTGGCTAAAAAAGCGCACATACACCCACTCTCTGCCTAAGACTTTTCATTTTGAAATCCACGATGGGTTTATTAGGGACTCTAGCTATTACGGTAGCTAGAGAGGGTGAGCAGTGCAGTTTCCAGGGGCTGAATGGGCAGGAACGATTGTTGCGTCGAAGTGTCGTGCGTGAGTCCGATGCTCATCAATTGGGGAAGCCGAATTATTACTCTTGCGAAGGGCAGTCTGTGGAGAGGTTTGAAAGCTGGATTGGCCGTGGGTTCCGGAGGTTGGGTGGAGGTGAGTATCTCTGGTGGTGGAGGTGTGTTGAACAGCGGTGGCTGTGGGGTAACGGAGCGGTGACGGGAGCAAGCGATCCCAGCTATGTGACCTGTATAGAGTATCTAGCCCCTAGATACGCACGAGATTGTGTTTCCGTGGTATTTGGTCCTGCTGTTGCTATTGTTGCTGCTATTAATGGTGCTGGTAGTATTGCTGCTTCCTGTTGGCCGTTGTTGGTGGTGCTTGGTGCTATTGCTGGGAGCCGTGTGTCGAGGTTAAGGTTGGGGTTGGGTTTGAAGTGGAGTTGTAGAATCGACTGGGACTGGGTCGACTAGGATTGGCTGGACCGACAAGTAGGGAACGAGAGCGGCAGCAAACAGCACGCACGTTGATCGAGTTGACGGCTGGCTGGGACGGAAGATTCGCGGGCGACAGGCGGCGGGAGCGGGCGGGGGAGGGTTTAGAATGAAGAGGGTGAGGTGAAGCAACACGGACGTGTTGGGGGAGGGGGATTAGTATCAGTAGGGTAGCTAGTGGTTTTGGGGGAGGGGGTGGTGGTAATGGTAGTGGTGGAGGTGGTGGAGGTGGAGCTGGTGATGGTAGCGGTGGTGGTGGTTGGATCCAAGCTGTAGCTGCGGGTCCAGGGGCAGGCGGGAGTTTCGTTTCGTTTCGCTTTTTGGAGAGTAGGAGTGAGGAGAAGTGACGATGAGGAGGGAGGGGGTTTGCTGGGTTGGGGAGGTGGCGAAGATGGGGACGGGGTGACGAGGTGTTGATGAGGGGGAGGAGCTCTCACTGTCTGTCAGTCCCTTTCAGTCGCTCTTCTCACTGTCTCTCTCTGTCTTTCACCAATAATCATACGGTTGACATGTACCTCTATGCAGTCTACCGTAACTTCTATTGTCACCTCGACGCTTGCTTGCTGTCTACGAGTGGAACCATACATTGGGTCTACACATGTCTCAATCGTCAATCAATCAATCGAGCCATCGTTTGGGCCATGACCGAATCCCTCGATGATGTAGATGCTTCTTCTAAGTTTTGAATACCCTCGGTGACGGAGTCCGGAGAATTAACTCGCCGAGAATCAATTAAGGGCACCGAAAGGGCAGCAAGCGAGAATGACGAAGCTCACGTTGAAGCATATATATAACAGACGTCTGCAGTGTAGGGTATGTAGAATGTCCAAGCACTTTGACATCGTGTTGCGTCGCCGGTGCTTAGGCTCCAAAGTCTGTTCGATTTCGTTCTGTTCCAACCCGTGCTCTGCTCGCGAGCGGAGAGACCTGTGCGCTCGCCTTCACCGACAGCAGTTCCGAGTTACGGCACCGCGAATTGCCCGAACCGGCCGATTTGTAGTCAATTTGCTGCATGGGCGGGTAAAGGCTGTTAATTGACCCGATGTGGCCCGAGCTCACGGTGCGTGGTCTCCTCCAATTCCCCACGTGTTGCGACGCGTTCCCCCGCACAAACTTTTGCAGCCCCACCAAAAAAAATTATCCGCGTATAAACACGCGCACGGTTCATGCAAAGGAAAAACAAAGGCATCTCTCTCGAAAAACACGTGGTTCCCAGCTTCCAAGTCCTCGAAGTTAAAAGCCAAGCGTCAGCAATTCCTGCCGCTGTTGTCAGCAACCTTACTGCCACCGCTGCGGTGCCCTCCATCGGCAACCTCGAGATGGATGCTCAACCCGAACGTGCGGACCCCGTCCAGTCCACAGCAGCGAGCTCCCGGGACAATCACATCCAATCCAGCCCCTGGATACCGATACCAGACAAGCGCATCATCTGCGTCGAGCATCCCGGGATAATCCGCAATGTCGAGAAGGGAATTGCTACCCTCGGAGGAGAGGAAGCTCTTGCAAAGGTAGCTCCTATGGCTCTGTGGCATTGTGCAGGCACTCTGACTTGAGCTTGAAACAACAGCTCGCCGCCGCCAACGGAAATATGGCACTTCACCTGCGCTTTCGTCCGGACGATCCAATGCAGCCACCCATCGAGTCGCGCACCGTTCCCACCAACAATTTGCTACTGAAGATTACCATCCCACGACGAAAGAAGAGAAGGGGGACGAAGGACGGTGTTGATGAGGCACCTGGGACGGATGGCGCTTCATCGTCTGCAAAGGAAATGACTCTGCCGGAAAAATTAAGGGCCGCAAAGGGAAACTACAAAGTGGAAGCTATAGGGAGAATTGAGAAGACAGTCCGGTTTAGAGGTTGGCTTTATGTCCATACAGTCTTCTTTGGTCGGATCATTGATGGCAAGATAGACATGGCGAGCTTCCAGTGGAATTCCTCGAATTCGGACTTCATAAACAAAATGAAGGATAAACTGATGGACGGCGACTGTATCCATTCCCATACAGGCCTCGACCAAATCCAGCGAAGCTGACCAAACGTCCAGATGAGAAGATTCGCTCTTTCGAGCTGAGCAAGGACAGAGGAGATCCTAACTCTGAAATTCTGCCGCCTCCGACATTCTCGAACACGGTGATACCGCACACATACTTGTAACCCAATCCCATCCGCCAGTCAACCCTACGGTGCTGATATTACTGCAACAGCTATCGCCAGAACCCCGCGGTGAAACGGGCCCTGATCGACGGGAAAACATCACTCCTCAACTTCCAGGCTGCACCAAAGACTTTAACACCGATGGTCCACGTAACCATCGCCGAAATTCCCACAAAGCCTGCTGACGTCCCGGAGTACGCACAACTCGACTCGCTGCACAAAGAATGCGTTGATCATCTGCGGGCTCTTTTCGAGCAGCGACCCATCTGGACACGCCGTGCACTATACAACAACTTTCCGAAACATCTCCAAACCATGGTCCGCTTCACCATGGCACATGTGGCGTATATGTGGCGGGCCGGACCTTGGAGGGATACTTGTGTTAAGTATGGAGTGGATCCGCGTTCGGATCCTAAATACCGCTTTTACCAAAGCGTCTTCTTCCAGATCGAGACGCATAAATCTAGGCCATCCTACCAATCCGGCAGCAACATTGATAATAGTCATATCTTTGACGGTAAACGGTTGATTCGGGATGGTAGATGTTTCCAGCTGTGCGATGTGACGGATCCGTTGATGCAACAGTTGATCAATACACCCAACCTCAGGAAAACGTGTGATGTAAGTCACAGACCGCCAATACCGGTCCTGTGTGACGGTTCACTGACACAGAGCAAGTAGACTACAGACGGTTGGTATCGTTACAGCACCATCGCCAAGATCAAAGCTGTCATGAAGGCCAAAATCATGGCGCTGACAGAAGACAAGCAACTCCTGGAGACTGACTATGTTGCGATCTTTGAGCAAGAGAGCGAAGACGAGGACCAAGAGGCGGCCAGAAAAGCAAGGGACGCGAAAGAGAGGGAGCTACGGGCCCAGAAGAGGCGTGTTGGAACTCGCTTTTTGAGACATTCCTTGCCGGAAAGGATGAACCCCGCCGAGGGAAGGCCTGAAGCACAACTTGGGGACGAGGAAGCCGCCGAGATCACCCGCGGCGAAGATGATGTGGATGAAGATGAGGATAATGGCGAATGGGAGCAGGAATTGGAGCTGCCCACGTCGCAGGGCCAGGTTGATGGTCGTGTAGACCAGATGATGGCTCAGTACATGAACCAGGGCGACATAGGTGAGTCCAGTAGCACCAGCTTCGTATCACCTCCAGCTAATCACCGAGTAGCATTTGAAGGCGAAGACGATGATGAGGCCGGATTTGATGTCCTTGGTAGCGAGGATGACGACGATGAGGAATAGGATTATCAGCTCGCAGGTTGCTTGGGAAGTCAAATCGAGTGCGATAAGGTGATTGCAACAATTGGAGAGTCCATGTTGGCCCTTTAAGTAGTCACGCAGCACTATTTCTCCTACCACGGGAAATGTATTATCCCATTATCGAGAGGATTGTGATCGGACGTATTTGCAAACCAGAGGTTGACCAATTACAAGTGAGCAACTCTAATGCACAACTTTGTAGAAGCACACCGTAAAGTAGCCCCCTGGTCAGCAGATCGAATTGTATAACCGCCATAAACTCAGAAGCACAATGGCCTGCGGGGCAAACAACGAGATCTTGAGCTTTGAATTGCAGGGATCGTCATCCGATAACCCGCTGCTCGGAGACGTAGTAGTTGTTTGTTGGTCTACCTCACGTATGCATGGTTGGTGTTGGGGACGACGGGTGCCTGGTGATAGGGCGGTTATCGTTGTCCCGGCATGGATTGGCTGATTCGCGAGGCTTACGATGTGCTTCTGGAGCGGGGTTGAATTCAACTTCCATTCCGGGTGCATATGCTTGGAAACCGTCTCACCGGTGGGAATAGTAAGGAATGAACTACTAGTGGTGAGTCCAATGATGTATGCGGACATGGATACAGGCTTTGCGTACGGAATGGGTCTTGGGGCTCTGAGATTTGGTCCTCACTGTGTGGAGTACTCTACCGTTGCGGTGGTGCGGGTTGGTTGTCTGCCTACAATCCAAGTTTAGCCCAATTCGTTGCGGCTCTGTTCCTGTACAACATGCCCAGCTCCTCTAACCACGAATGACCTCTTGGCAGCTTAGTAACCAAGGTCTGTCGGGGTCTATCGCGATTCCTCTCTTCGCGTTTTATGGTCCGCCGCAGCAAGCAAAGGCGCCCAGGCCCGTCCTGGATACTTCACTCCAAATCCACGACTCAGTAGCCTACACATCACACCTCTGCAACACCTCCCGAACTCTGCACGACTGAGCTACTTACTTCACCTGCCGAGCTTGATCCTCAATACCTTCGTCCATTCGCTCCTGTAAGTCCTAGAATGAATTGCTGTCACACGCGCACTTTCGCGCAAGATGCTACCTCGCTCGCTTGTCGCGCACAACAGCTGCACCTGCAATTCGTAGTACTCTACATCCACCATTCCTCTTCCCTCCGACTTTGCAGCCAGGCTGAAGTGCTTCTGCTCACTCTCGGTGTTTCCTTCCAGTTTCCAAGCTCAAGATCATCAACGTTTCCCCGCAGCCACGCACTCCTAGCCGAATAGCAACAATAACCTACGACTCGAAACGAACACAACTTCATTCACATACCTGCGCTTCCTTTCATTTAATACCTCAATAGCTGCTGCTGGTTTGTATTGAGTATACTACAGCTGAAGCCGGTTCGGACCGAAGTTTTGCGACTATGGCGGGCGTAGGTGCCGAAGTCTATGCCGCTAGGCTGGCCGACCCGACCAAAGGTTTGAAGCCCTCGACGCCCGTGCGAAGACCTGATGGACCTGGTTTCTGACGACCCTGTGGGGGGATGAATAGAGGCGAAGGTGAAGCTGCAGACCGCGGGCGAGCTGCGCGATTCAATAGACCTGTTCACGCATACCGTCCCGGCCGAATACAAAAATTTCCTGACGAAGCTCATGCCCGTGTTTCTGGAAATCCTCCGCGGACCCCCGGTGTTCGTCTCGACGTCACCGGAACAGGTGTGTGCTCGCATTCCCCGTGCTTGCACTACGCTCGAGATAGCTAACGGCCGCGGTCGGGCGTAGAAACTACGGAATATGATCCTCGACACTATACACCGACTACCCTTCGTACCAGCAGACGCTCTGGAACCATGGCGGACAGAAGTGCTCACCCTACTGATGAACTTGGTCCGGATAGAGAATGAAGAGAATGCCGTGCTCTGTATGAAGACGATAATGGATTTCCAGAGAACGTACCAAAAACAACTAGGCGAGCAGGTCCAACCATTCTTAGACCTAATAATGGACATGTTCAAGCAGATGCCCAAGGCGGTAAAGGATACATTCGACAACGCTTCGACAACGACCTCGGGGGCCACGCCGATGCCCAGCACACCAGGCAACCTCCAGAGTCCGAAACCAAACTCACCGGTCCCAGGAGCGGATCCATCTGGCTCCGACCAGAACCAGCCCGCAAAGACGTTGACGAAGGGAATGCAGAGCTTCAAAGTGCTAGCAGAGTGTCCCATCATCGTTGTGAGCTTGTTCCAAGCACATCGCAACTCTGTGCAAAAGAACGTGAAGCTCTTCGTCCCTTTGATCAAGGAAATGCTGCAGCTTCAGGCTGGCCCACAGAAAGAGGCCCACGATCAGGCGAAGGCCAGGGGTGAGAACTTCACTGGCGTCAGCTCGGGAATCAAGAACAGAGTGGCGTTTGGCGAATTCGTCACCGCTCAGGTCAAGGTTAGATGCTTTTTTAATACAATGAACGTAGTGTAGTAGCAGCCATAGCTTACGACGAGGTTTTTTAGACCATGAGCTTCTTAGCATATGTCCTACGGGTTTACGCACAGCAATTAACGGATTTCTTGCCGTTTCTTCCCGAAATCGTCGTGCGGCTACTGAAAGATTGCCCGAGAGAAAGATCGGGGGCTAGAAAGGTGTGCAATGTTCACCTCCCCGTATATGGCTTGTCGTCTCTAATACCGCCCGTTTCTAGGAACTGTTGGTGGCGACAAGACATATCATCAATTTCAATTTCCGGCGGATTTTCCTTAAGAAGATCGATGAGCTCTTGGACGAGCGAGTGCTCATCGGTGACGGTCTTACCGTTTACGAGACCATGAGGTTCGGCTTCTCGAATCATCGCGATCCCTGCATCATGCTGACTTATTCGCGATAGGCCGTTAGCCTACAGTATGTTGGCGGATCTGATTCATCACGTCCGCGAACAGCTCAAGCCCGACCAAATCAGGCGCACTGTGGATGTTTACACCAAGAACCTCCACGATAATTTCCCTGGCACCAGTTTCCAGACCATGAGTGCCAAATTGTTGTTGAACCTGGCCGAGTATATCGCAAAGCTGGAAGACAAGCAGGAGGCACGACATTTCTTGATCATGATCTTGGATGCCATCGCCGAGAAATTTGCCGCCATGAACCGGCAATACCCTAATGCTGTGAAGACAAGCAGGCTCCATAAGAAGCACCGGGACGAGGGCAAGATGGACGAGGACCCACCGGAGGATATGAGCAAGGAGGATTATGATGAAATTGAGATTTTCATGGCGACACCGATCAAGACATCGAACGCTAGGGAACGTGGAATTGACCCGGTCACGGATAACAAGTTCCTCTTCAAGAATTTGATGAACGGGCTGAAGAGTATGCTCTTTTCTCTCAGGGCTTGCAACCCACCATCGCCGCCGGGAGAGAACATGCCGTCCAATTGGAATGAAGTAGCGTTTGGATTCAGTGCCGAGGAAGTCAACATCATTATCAAGCTGTTCCGAGAAGGTGCCCGCGTTTTCAGGTATTATAAGGAACTCGACGCCGACGAGGACTCGGACGTCGCCACCACTCCGCATTTCGTGGCCCCTAATGGCAAGGAGGAGAAGGAGCTTTTGGAGACTTTCGCTACTGTCTTCCATTGCATCGATCCGGCCACCTTCCATGAGGTTTTCCACTCGGAGATCCCATTCTTGTACCGCATGATGTTTGAGCATTCGGCGTTGTTGCATGTTCCACAGTTCTTCCTGGCGAGCGAGGCAACATCCCCCAGCTTTTGCGGCATGTTGCTGCAATTCCTCATGAACAACATCGAGGACGTTGGAACCGACGACCCAAAGAAGTCGCATGTGCTGCTGAGACTGTTCAAGTTGTCCTTCATGGCTGTCACGCTGTTCTCGGCGCAGAACGAGGCCGTGTTGCTCCCCCACGTGCGTGACATCGTCCTCAAGTCCCTCCACCTGGCAACTACGGCGGCCGAGCCGATGAACTACTTCTACCTATTACGATCTCTCTTCCGAAGTATCGGAGGTGGACGGTTCGAACATCTGTACAAGGAGATTCTTCCTCTGCTCGAAGTCCTCCTGGAGAACTTGAACACCCAGCTCAACTCTGCGCGGAAGCCACAAGAGAGAGACTTGTACGTGGAGCTATGTCTTACGGTCCCTGCACGACTCAGCAACTTGCTTCCCCATCTTAGCTACCTGATGAAACCCCTAGTCGTGGCTCTGCGTGCCGGCCCGGAACTGGTCAGCAAGGGACTAAAGACGCTCGAGCTCTGTGTGGACAACCTGACACCTGACTACCTGGATCCTATCATGGCACCGTACATCGACGATTTGATGGCGGCGCTGTGGGAGCACCTCAAGCCGCTTCCGTACAACCATTTCCACAGTCATACGACTATGCGCATTCTCGGCAAGCTTGGTGGACGGAACAGGAGATTTCTCACCCATCCCCCGGAGCTCGAGTATAAGACTTACTCGGATGATGCTTCAAGTATCAATGTCAAGCTCATCGGTGCACCCGGCGAGAGGCCTTTCCCCATACTGCAAATGGTCGAGCTCGCCCTCGGCAAGATCCTCGAAGTCAAGCTGTCGAAGACGGACCAGGAGAAGAAGACCGATATCTTTTACAAGCAGCAGTCCCTCCGGTACCTGGCCTCCACATTGAAGATCTTCATCGGCTATGATCAGTTGCCCGAGGACTTCCTGCAGATGGTTAGGCTGTACGCCAACGATCTCTACGAGGGGTCAACCGAGTCGTCGGAGTCTGTTATCGCCATATCAGACCGCACAAAGTCCGTGTTCAAAAAGCACGAACAGGAGGCAGTGTTGCGTAAGCTTCTCCAGGCAGTGATGCACGCTACCGCTATCGGGCAGTTGGCTGAGGAGGCTACCTCGCTCGCGTTCGATGTGTGTCGGCATTTCATCATTCTTGAAGTTGGACGAGCGGTCATCGAGATGCGGCAACGGAAGCAGCAATTCGCCGTTAATGGCGGCGAAGGTCCTATGCACCTTGACAGCAGAGTGTTGGCTGATGCAATCGGCGACTGCCTCTCCTCCGATCGCACCGAAGTCCGCGAGACCGCTAAGAACGCCATGAAAGTGATGTTTGAGGCAGCTGCGGTTGTCTTCGGCTCGGATGAGAAGGTGCACCGCCTGCCATTCTTCTTCTACCTCTCAAAGACTTTCTGTCATAACTGCTACGAGGAGGAGTGGTATCCGAAGTTTGGTGGCGTTCAGGGTATTCGGGCGCTTGTTGAGGACCTGGGTATGGGTCTGGACTGGTTGAAGGAACGTCAGAACGACTTCGTGAGAGCACTTCTTTACGTCATTAAGGATGTCCCACAAGATTTACCTGCTTTCACCCGAGAATTGGCACAAGAAACATTGAAGTTGGTTCTTCGGACGTGCAACCAGAACGCCTCGAAGGAGGAGTTCACGAGGCAGCATACCAAGAATTTCAACCTTTGCGCGCTGCTCTTCGTTGAGATCTCAAATCCGAACAAGCACGTACGAGAAGCAGTCCAGAATGCGTTTGTCATCTTGGAGAATATGATCGGCATCCCCAAGCATACGTTGATGCTTCCGGTGAAGGAGCGGCTCCTGACGCCTATTTTCAACAAGCCTCTACGAGCCCTGCCGTTCGCCTGTCAGATCGGATACATCGACGCCATCACCTACTGTCTTAAGCTCGAACCGGGTTTCCTCGAGTTCAATGACGAGATGAATCGGCTCATGATGGAAGCCCTTGCACTGGCCGATGCCGACGACGAGCAGTTGTCGAATAACAGGCTCCAGGAGCATCGCACCACCGAGGCGGTTCTCAATCTCAGAGTTGTATGTATCAAGCTGCTCTCAACGGCTATTCTGGCCCCCGAGTTCAATACTCCCGACAAGGCATCATCGCGCGCACGCATCATCTCGGTGTTCTTCAAGTCTCTGTATTACAAGGCACCCGAGGTCATTGAGGCCGCTAACAATGGTCTGAAGGGTGTATTGCAACAGACCAACAAGTTGCCCAGGGACCTCTTGCAGAGTGGACTTCGGCCCATCCTGATGAATCTTTCCGACCCCAAGAGGCTGAACGTGGCTGGACTGGAAGGACTGGCGCGCTTGCTCGAGCTCCTGACCAATTACTTCAAGGTTGAGATAGGGTCTCGACTTCTTGAACATCTCAAGTCACTAGCAGACACCGCTTTCCTTCAACAGACGTCATCCAAGCTCCTCGAGCAGAACCCGGTCATCAAGGTCATTGCCGCGATCCTCAACATCTTCCACCTGTTGCCGCCGGCAGCGGTTGGGTTCATGAGTGGATTGGTCACCATAGTGCTTGACCTCGAGGAAAAGCTGCGGAGAACCCAACACAGCCCAGTGCGATTGCCGCTACTGAAGTTCATCAACCGGTATCCTGGCGAGACGTGGAAACATGTCCAACCGAAGCTAGGGGAGATGAAGTACGGACGCCTGTTCGCTCAGCTCCTCAACGACGAGTCCAGCAAGCCGCTGAGGGATGTGGTGCAAGAGGATATCCCCGGTCTGCTAGAACACTCTATTGAACTAAAGGACAAGTCAGACGCGGAGAAGTTTGTGGCCATCATCAACGCCATAAACATAGTCAAGTCTATCGCGCCGTTTGCTCCTAAGGAATGGATGCGGGGTAATAGGGATTTGATGGTGAAACTCCTCAAGGCCGCGGTGATGATCCGTCAGAAATCGAAGGCGGGCGAAGTTCCGATTCCCATCAAGCTCGCGGTTGAGCAGGCGTCAGCCACGGCGGTGGAGATTTTCATGGTGTACATGACGGAGGTGGATGACGATTTGGACTTTCTTTTCCAGGTGAGTTATTCATGAGCGGTGCGTGGTCAAAGCTAATATGGGTGGAAGGTTATCGATGCTACGACCTCTGATAGGCGTGCTCAGACGACTAATGTGTTGACACATCACATCTACACCAAAATCATCCGCTCGGGAACCATCGAGCAATGGCGGAACATCATTTACAAGTGTCTCAGCCTCTACACTAATGGCTCCTCCCAGGAGACCAAGACGTTTGCTTTCCACTACTTGGTCAACCCTATTCTGGCTATGGACAAGAAGCGGGGATCCCCAATCATCAATGGCGAAAAGCTGGTCGACAAGAACTTGATCGAGAATGTACACAACAAGATCTGGCGGCCGAATCTTGGCGACCTGGGCGATGACTCTGCTCAAGGCCTTGATCACTCGCGAATGGAGCTGCTGCAAATGTCTGCGCTCTTGATCCGTGACCACCAGCAGTCCCTCGCAGAAGCCAGAAAGGACGTGATCAAATTTGGTTGGAACTACATCAAACTTGAGGATATCGTCAACAAGCAGGCCGCGTACGTCCTCATCGCATTCTTCATTAAGCACTTCGACACACCGTCAAAGATTGTGATTCAGATCTACGTTGCATTGCTCAAGGCACATCAACACGAAGGACGGCCGCTGGTCACCCAGGCCTTGGAACTCATTGCGCCGGTATTGAAGAAGCGGGTTCCCACCCGTCCCGATGACAAATATCCTATCTGGGCTCGATGGCCGAGGAGGATTCTGTCGGAGGAGGGCCACAACCCACACCAGATGACAAATATCTTCCAGTTCTTGGTCAGGCATGACGACTTGTTCTTCGATTCGCGGGAACATTTCGCGACGTGGATTGTCACCGCGTTGCCAAAGCTTGTCATCCAAATCCCTAGCCCTTCTGCGGAGTATAAGAAACTCTTCATCAAGCTGGTGACTCTGATTTGGAAGTGGGAGCAGCATAGAGTTGAGATGTCTCGTGGAAGCGCTAGCCCGGATGTTTCCCCGTCGAAGAAGAGAAAACTCGATACTATGATGAGCAACATCACGGTGTCATCTCCATCCCAGACTGGTACCCAGGGAACCGAAGCCATATCGATGCAGCTGAGAGCGTTGGTCATTCGCCACCTTGTCCAGTTCATCTGCCGCCTGCCCGAGAAGTATATCGCGAAGCCGGATGAGCCATGTACCAAGGCTCTCCTCCTTCTGCGGGACTTTTTGGGACCGAGTTACTGGGGAGGATTGGAGATCGACCTCTACCCCAAGATCATGACGGAATACTTAGTCACCAACGATATCTCGGACGCGACTTTGCCAGGGTTCGTGAATTCGCTCAATGTTCTGAAGGTTATTCTTGACCTCAAGGCCGACGAATGGGTCATGAGACAACTCGACACGATCCAGAAATATCTGGATAAGCCCCTCCGGTCAGACAGTGCAGAGGTTCAAGAGAGTTTGCAGCCCGTCCTGGCACGTGTCCTTAGTGCTCTGCCCATCGAGAAGGTTGAAGGTGAGGATGAGGATGAGGAGCCGAAGGAGTCGCCCGAGAGCCAGTTTGTCGCGTCCTTGGGCAGCATCGTCCAGGAGAATTTGAACACCAATCTCATGTCGAGTGTTCACATCCTTCATACTCTATCAGAGAAGCGCCCTAGCGTCATCGACGACCATATCTCGGCCCTAATGAAGGCGTTCCAGAAGTTGGGCAAAGACCATCTTTCTGCGCCAGCCGTCGGGCCGGGAGGGACACCCATAGTTCAGAATGGCGCGAGACCGGACACCCCCGGCGGCAACTCGCAAATGTTTGACCCTGATACCACGACGAAGCTGTTGTGCATGGTTATCGATGTGGCAGCGTCGAGGGTCTCGGTCCTCGGTGATCAACGCCGGCCGTTCTTGAGCGTCATGGCACAACTGGTGGAGAAGTCTGGAAGCACAACGCTCTGCAAAAAGATTCTTGGCATCGTTGAGAACTGGGTATTTAAGTCGACAGAAACTTTTCCGACTCTCAAGGAGAAGACGGCCGTCCTGTCCAAGATGCTCTCGTTCGAATCGCGTCCGGATCCAGAGCTGTGTAACAGCTTCCTGGAGCTCGTCATCAAGATCTATGAAGACCCGGTCATCACGAAGACGGAGTTGACTGTTCGCCTGGAGCACGCGTTCTTGGTCGGTACCAGGGCTAAGGATGTTAATATGCGCAATCGATTCCTTCAGATATTTGATCGCAGCATCTCGCGGACTATCAGCAATAGGTTCAGCTTCGTCATGGCAACCCAGAACTGGGAAACGCTCAGCGATTCTTACTGGTTGCATCAGGCCACTCATCTGCTCTTTGGCTCGGTCGATATGGACCAGCGGATTGAGCTCCACAATGAAGACCTCAGAGTAATGCCCGCCTCGACACTGTTTACGACGTACGGAGCCAAGGATGCACGTAAGGGGGATGTCATGCTCGACGACAAGTTTGAGGAGTTCATGTTCAAGCACAAACGGTTCTTGCAAGGCCTGGCGGATGTTCGCAGCGCGGATATCTTGGAGCCCCTCCGGCAGCTGCAGCATCTGGATTCGAAATCGGGCCATGAGATCTGGGTTAATCTGTTCCCGCTATGTTGGTCTGCCATCGGAAAGGAGGATCGGATGGACTTGTCGCGTGGAATCGTCGGACTACTCGCTAAGGATTGGCATAACCGCGCGATGGACAAGCGTCCCAACGTCATTCAGAGTCTGTTGGAAGGTGTCGAGTTTTCGAAGCCGAAGCTCAACCTGCCGGCGCATCTGGTCAAGTTCCTGAGCCGAAGCTATGACGCATGGTACACTTCGTTGCACCTTCTCGAGGATAATGTCAACAAGCCGCCCATTGACGCGGCTGTTGTCCGCGAGAGCAATCTCGACGCCCTCGCTGAGATGTATGCTACTATCGCCGAGGAGGACATGTTCTACGGCCTCTGGCGCCGCCGTGCAAATTACATCGAAACGAATAGTGCGATCTCGTTCGAGCAGCATGGCATGTGGGATAAAGCGCAGCAGATGTACGAGAATGCGCAGATCAAGGCCAGGACCGGGATGTTGCCGTTCTCCCACTCGGAATACATGCTCTGGGAGGACCACTGGGTTATTTGTGCCCAAAAGTTGCAGCAGTGGGAGATTCTCAGCGAGTTCGCGAAGCACGAGAACTACCCCGACCTGATGCTTGAGTGCGGATGGCGGTTGATTGATAACTGGAATGGTAGCGAAGGAGAGCGGATGGACCAGACTATCAAGAGTCTGATGGATGCGCCCACGCCTCGACGGTTCTTCTTTGCTGCGTTCATGGCGCTGCAGAAAGTTCACCAGAAGACGGAGGTCCCCACGGAGTTCTCGAGGCTGTGTGATGAGGCCATTCAACTGTCGCTGCGCAAGTGGCATAGTCTGCCCAAGAATATCACACAGGCCCACATCCCGCTTCTGCAAACTTTCCAGCAGTTGGTTGAGCTTCACGACGCCAGTGTGATCTATGCTAGCCTCAACTCTACCACGGCACAGAACCTCGACGCAAAATCGCAGGAGCTTAAGATGCTTCTCGGAACCTGGCGGGATCGCCTACCGAATGTTTGGGACGACATCAACGCTTGGCATGACCTTGTCACCTGGCGTCAGCATATCTTCCACTCGATCAATCAGACGTATCTCCCCCTCCTTCCCAGTCAGAATCAGAGTGCCGGTGGGAATAGCAACTCTTACGGATACCGCGGATACCACGAGACGGCATGGATCATCAATCGCTTCGCGCACGTCGCCCGTAAACATCAGCTCCCCGAAGTATGCATCAGCCAGCTCAGCAAAATCTACACGCTGCCGAATATCGAGATTCAGGAGGCGTTCCTCAAGCTGCGTGAGCAGGCCAAGTGCCACTACCAGAATCCGAACGAGCTCACCCAAGGTCTGGAGGTGATCAACAACACCAACCTGGGATACTTCGCGTCGCAGCAGAAGGCCGAGTTCTACACGCTCAAGGGAATGTTCCTCTCCAAGCTGAAGCAGAAAGACGAAGCGAACGAGGCCTTCAGCTTGGCCCTCTATCACGATCTGAAATTGCCAAAGGCTTGGGCGCAGTGGGGACACTACAACGACCAGTTATTCAAGGAGAATCCCACCGACATGGCACCCGCCGGCAATGCGGTCAGTTGTTACCTTGAGGCTGCGGGTCTCTTCAAGAACGGCAAGGCGAGGAAGTTGTTGGGTCGCGTACTGTGGCTGCTCAGTTTGGACGATGCCAGTGCGTCGATTTCGGCCGCGTTCGATGCCTACAAGGGTGATGTGCCAGTGTGGTACTGGATCACGTATATTCCGCAGCTGTTGACGAGCCTCTCGCATAAGGAGGCACGCTTAGCGAGGGCGATATTGATCAAGATCGCGAAGAACCATCCTCAGGTAAGGATCCCGCATTTGTTTTTTTGTTTTTTGGGTGAGATGACTGATGGTGGTTTTTAGGCGTTATACTTTTTACTTCGTACCAGCAGGGAGGATTACCAGGTCATCAAGAAACAGACTGCCGCCGCCGCGTCGAGAAAGGCTGGCTCGCCGGTTGTTCCCCAGGGCCAGGTTCCGCCACGGCCAAGCAGCGCACAGCCGCAACCAAATGGTGTTGCAGAAGCAGGAAGGGCGGGCAGTCCGTTGCAAAACACAATGGTGGCGGCTCAACCAGGAACAGCCGGATCTCCAACCCTGCAGAGTGCTCAGCCGACCTCGTCGTCTCCCGGTCCCCAAGGCCAGAACGGCACGTCAGCTGCTCCACCGGTACACGTCAACCGACTCCCATGGGAACATGCGGAAGAGATCATGTCGGTCCTCAAAACGGCCTTTCCCCTCTTGGCTTTATCCATGGAGACTATGGGAGATCAGATCTCCAAGTTCTTCAAGTGCCCGCCGGATGAGGACGCGTATCGACTCATCGTTGCGTTGCTGAACGACGCTTTGCAGTGGATTGCTAGGATGAATCCTGCGTTGGAGGATACCAAGTTGCCGCCGTCTACCGAGGCCAATATCTCCCGTTTCGCCGAGACGATCCTTCCTGCCCACATCAGGGTCGCGTTCGAGGCAGATTTCGTGGCGGAGAAGCCGAATCTTTACAAGTACATTGAGCGGCTGCGCCGCTGGAGAGACAGGTTTGAGGAGAAGCTTGATCGCCGACCACCTTACCAGAATTTGGAATCTTACAGTCCTCATTTGAGCGAGTTCAAATTCCAGAAGTTTGACGATGTCGAGATCCCTGGACAGTATCTTTCCCACAGGGACAACAACAAGGACTTTGTCCGGATTGATCGTTTCCTCCCCAAGGTGGATGTCATTCGCGGCTACGGTATCTGCCACCGTCGACTAAAGATGAGAGGGCACGATGGCAGCATCCACGCATTTGCTGTCCAGCATCCCGCAGCCAGGCACTGCCGTCGTGAAGAGAGGATACTCCAGCTGTTTAGGATCTTCAACGGTGTTCTCGGACGCCGCAAGGAGAGCCGTCGCAGGAATCTCAACTTCCATCTGCCACTGATGGTTCCTCTGGCGCCACACCTCCGCCTGGTTCAGGATGACGCTTCATACATCTCACTGCAGGGTATCTTCGAGGACCACTGTCGTCAGATTGGGATCAACAAAGACGATCCAATCGTGTTTGCCCTCAGGAAGGTTATCGCTTCTCTAGAGCCTGGACGGACCGGTCAGCAGCTCGTGGATCCCAACGTTAAGCTCGAGATCTTCAATACAATCCAGGAGAAGATGGTGCCGAAGACGATTGTACTGGAGTTCCTGTCGAGTTCATACCCTTCGTTCTCCGAGTTCTTCCTCTTCCGTCGGCAGTTCAGCTATCAATTCGCTGCCTTGACGTTCCTTACCTACGTCATGACCATGAGCAATCGATACCCGCACAAAATGTTCATCTCCCGCGCGACCGGAAATATCTGGGGCTCTGAACTTATTCCCGCTTTGGCTTCGACGAATCCGACCTTCCACAACAACGAGGCTGTGCCGTTCCGTCTGACGCCAAACATTCAGTCTCTCATGGGACCCATTGCCATCGAAGGAATATTTTCGTGTGCAGTCATGACCATTGCGAGATGTCTCAGCGAGCCTGATGTAAGCCAACCCCCTTCTCACAATAACCTTTCAATTCTAACACCTCGACAGTTTGAGCTAGAACAACACCTGAGCGTGTTCGTTCGTGACGAGATGATCTGGTGGTTCACCCAGCAACACCGCCCCGTCTTGGGAGAGCAGCAGCTCCGCGAAAAGGTCCAGCACAATTCGGACCTGATCATCAAGAAGACCGCGAGCCTGGCCCAGCCTGGAACTGGCACTCTGCCGGCAAACCAGACGGTCATAGATCTTATCTCCAAGGCGGCGAATCCCGCGAATCTGGCTCAGTTGGATCATCTGTGGATGCCGTATTTGTAGACTTGGTTGTCGAAGGTTTTCTTTGGGGGCGGTGGGGGGTTATTTCAGACGGTTAGGGATGGGGATGGTGATTGTGAATGTGGTGTTTTGGTCCTTTGTATTACTTTACTTTTTTTGCTTTGTAGGGGGTAAATGCGCGTTTCTTCTGTTCTTTCATGATTGCTGGTTTTTACTCTGCTTAGTCGTGCGTTCTGGCATTTCTTTTTGGGTGTTTGATGATGGGTGTTTTTTTATATGTAGTGTTCGTTTCTGGGTTTAATTCAAAGGTTTTTTATTCTTATTGCTTGATGAGGGGCGGGCGTTTTGGTGGTCTATGGCTGGGTGGATAAAGCTGATTTTAGCCCGAACTCAAGTTCGGTAAACTTTCGAGTAAACGATGCGACGCCATCTGGCTCATCCTGTTCTAGATACGGGTACGCACGCGGGACCACGGGTGAAAACATCCAATCATTTAGGCTATTATCTCTCCCTTCCTCCTCCTATACATACTATGGGGAAGAATGAATGCGGGGTGAGTGGGAGAGTTGCGGGGCGGTCCCGGAAGCATAAATTCCACACGTATCCCACAATGTGAATCGTCAAATCCTACCGCAAAGACCATGTCCACATCTCGCGTCACACTCATCCCGCGGGGTGCAATCCTGCAAGCGCTCCGCGTCGGTCCCAGCAGCCGGAACATAGTGCTCAACTTCAACACGGCGGCGGAGTACGCGCACAACCCGGCGCACTTTGGCGCGACCATTGGCCGCGTCGCGAACCGTATACACAATGCAGTCGTCAATGTCGCCGGCCAGCAGTGGGCCCTCGATGTTAACGATGGGAAGAATACCCTCCATGGCGGAAAGATGGGATGGGGCACGAGGGCTTGGGAGGAAACGGAGAAGGGAACGTTTGTGCTCACCAGTGAGCACAAGGATCAGGGGTTTCCCGGAGAGGTCAAGGTTAAGGTCATCTACACCGTGATGGAGGGCGAAGGGGTGGGGGAGCAGGGGAAGACCGAGGTGGTCATGGATTATGAAGTCGAGCTCGTTGGCGGCGCGGACGAGACGGTGGTCAATATGACGAACCACAGGTGAGTCCCTCGCCCTGTCCGATGCCTACCAGGTGATCGATATTGATATTGCCGAATAGCTACTTCAACCTCTCCGGCCTCCCCACGATCGAGGGCACAATCGCCACGCTAGCGACAAACCAGCACCTTCCTCTCGACGTCGCCGGCATCCCGATCGACACCTCCGCGGCTCCGTACCCAGGGATCAGCGCCAGCGTCCCCTTCACGCTCGGGCTCACCTCGCCCGACGTCGACGACTGCTTCGTCTTCGCGGACACTCACTCCTCGCCCTCCTCAATCCCACTGGATACACGGTCGCTCCCGCTGCGCACCTGCGCAACCTTCTCCCATCCAGACACGAAGATCCACCTGCAGGTGAAAAGCACCGAGCCGGCGTTCCAGTTTTATACGGGGAAGTATGTGGATATTGCGGAGAGGGAGGATGGGACCCCCGCGAGAGTGCCCAGAGCGGGGTTCTGTGTGGAGCCTAGCAGGTTTGTGGACGCGGCGGCGAGGGACGAGTGGAAGGGTATGGTGACCCTGAAGAAGGGCGAGGTATTCGGGAGTAGGATCGTTTTTACGGCGTGGCAGGAGTAGAGTGGGAACGGCTTGAGGGAGGTGGGGTTATAGCTAGCGTAACTATGTACGAATGGAATGGATTCGGAAAGCTGAAGAATGCAAATGCTTGTTGCTGTGCATATGTGGTTTGGCACTCCTAAACAGGTTTCCAATTGTATCCAAAGATACAAGGCTTTAACGGGAAACTATCCAAAGGCAATCAAACGTCAATGGCGATGGGTTAGGGAGGATCCCGCTCTTGAGCCCTTGGAAGTATCACAGTGTATCACTCGGCGAGTGACATCTGTGCTAAACCGTGGTAGGGGGAAATTTGTTTTTTCGCGTGATGGCCAAGATTAGCTTGTTCCGATGATGGGCACGGTGCCCAAGAAGTTTAGTGAGTAAATCGAAGAAAGCAAAACCAGGAGGGAGTGCTAATAGAAATAGGGCGAGAAATGGAAGCGAACGAAAAAGCAAAGAGCTATGCGGCTACCGCTTCCGATCAGACCTCATTCGGTAGCTGTGCCGCAGGGGCGGAAGCCGCTCGATAGGTAGTGGAGGTATGTACTGGTAAGTATCTCACGACGTCGAACGTTCCGCCGAGTGCGTCGTTTTCGGCACATGTAGCATCGGATTCCCGAGAATCCCTGACATCATTCTGGAAATGGCTTATCCCCACTCCGCCGATTCATCGGAGGTAACCTACGATGACGATAAGCGCGCGGTCAATAAGTTATGCAGTTATGCAAGATGTCTGTTTAAAGTTGTGGCGCCGTTGCGCTGTCTGCGCACTGCCGCAAGGGCACATACACGCCATGCTTAGATCACCTGTTCCTCCTACATACATATGACCGGTAACTAATGCGGGAATGCCGTGTTAGGGTCCCAAAAAATGCACACGATGGTCTTTGAAGCATCGTGTCTTTCTTATGGCTGCTTCCTGCAAAATAGTACACGGAGATCTCGGTGGTGCTAAGGAAGGAAAGTCTGCGCATGGGAAAAGGACAATGAGGCCCCGACTCACCAGGCACCGTACGATATTCAGACGCCCAGATTGCCGTTAAACGAAAAGCAAACAAAGGCGTTGAATAGCGCTGTTACCAAAACATATATGAAAGACGGGAATCCCCCTTCCCGTGTCCTTAGCACATCTCATACGACGGATAAGCGACGAATAATGGAAAGAAGCCCGCGAGTGGTCGACAGCCCGAATCACTCGCAAACACTTCAAACCAAGCCGCAGTACAAACCGGTAGATCCAGTCCCGGCGAAGGCCCCGAAGCGCCGAGCCGCACGGTACTATCAGCTCAAATCGTGACATGCCCTCGCGGACACTCGCCTGAAGTGGGTCAAGCTGCTAGAGGACGATCAGTGCTGGTGGTCCAACTGGGCCAAGCAGACTCGAGAGCACCTATTCAGGAACCACAAACAATGGCGGGCTCAGCATCTGGTAGGAAAGATCGGATGTGAGTGGTCCCCATAGTCTAGAAAGGCCGTATACGACAATAATTGACTTCTCCCTCTCCCTCTGAAGGTGGTATAGAGAAGTTCTCCAGCCTCAAGTTGATAGTTGAGCTGCAGAGACACCATGAGTAGAAAATTTCAGTAACGTACGTATGTTTTGACGCTCGGCGGGGGATGGGGAGTGGTAGGCGGAGGTTGGGAATTGCGTGGCATACCTCTGGGTTCGATATCTTGAAGCGTAGAGGAAGTAGGTGTGGGTGATGTGTAGGAATTGGAACTGAGAGAGGATTTTAGAGGTAGGACTTGGAACTGAGGGGAGAGTTACAAAACAGGAGTAGGGATTTGTTTGGCTGTCAATAGGAAGTCCAAGGAGTCAACCTTTCCACATTCTGTTTGGGCATTGTGTCTCTACACACACCTCTCCCTGAAAAGTGCTTGGAAGTCCCATTCAGAACCAAGCTCTAGGAGTTATTCTGAACGTAAGGTACTCAGGTCCTATTGCCGTCCACTTAGCCCCAATGGCTGTATGAGCCACAGTTCCCCCCTCCCCCACCCCATCACCACACTTAAAAGTGTGCTTACATAGCTGAGTGGTGTGATCGTTTGTGACGGAGCACTGGGCTTTATACAAGGTAGGATTCCACATATTTTAAACGCCCACAGAAGGGAATCGAAAAAAAGGCTCAGAGGAATGGGATAAGGGGAGATGCGCTGTGAGGCTTGGAAGAAGGCTGAATGCTAAATATTCGAAGATTCAATACCTACATCCGAGTGACTTTGCATGTCAGCTGTCATTGGGTGGACTGGAGCATGGAGATGGAGTGACTCGGCCAATTGACTATTCATGTCGAGGTAAGCGAATTTTACTGAAAGTAATTCTTTGCATACCTATTCGCTTTGGCACTGCTTCTGGAATACTTCATTCGTATAGAGGGGCAGTGGTGCATTTAAGATCAATTTTTACATTGTAGTTACAGGCTCCAAATCAATGTGGCTGACCAGCGACTTCACATGGACCAGGTACTCCTCTCCATTAACATGATATATCATCCATCCTCGCTCACCCTCCAGTTCCCCCAGACACATCTAGTTCTGCCCCTCCCACTGGACGCCAACCCACTCTTCCACCCAACCCACGCCGTTGACATCCCTCACCTTCGGAGCACAAGTACAAGTAGCGACTATGACCGTTCCCCACTCCATTCCATCGAGTCCCATCGAGTCCCCCTCAAGGACACTGATGGCATGTGGCATGAGCTGAAACTCAAATACGCGCTCCCTCTTTCCGCACTCAGTGCACGACGGTATCCTTCCCGTCGTGAACTCCTTCTTCGAGTCGAGTAGGGTCTTTGCCACCTCATCGTTATGACTGTAAAGCAGTGGGCAGCCACCGCGCTCATACCGTAGTACTTGCTCGGGATTTTGTCCCGCGCGGTCCGCGAACTTCTGGAAAACTGTGTCCAAGTGACCGTCGTCCGCATCGTTGTTAGAGACAGGCAGGGAGTCCGAGGTCTTGTCGTCGCCGAGGACTTCTTCGATCTTTTGAGGGATCGGAGCGTCGGGGACGAGGGTCTCGTAGTCAGCATCGAAGTAGAAGAGTGGGTAGGTGAAGGGGAGCGGTGATGGCCAAGGCTCGGAGGGGCCGTAGAGGAGTGGCTCGGGCTCAGGTTTGGTGGTGCTGGAGATGCGAAGCGTGTCGGCGAACGATTTCGTAAGCTTTTCCGCCGTTGGCGTTGCAGTAGTAGGAGCTGCGGGTTTCGTCGAGAAAGGGTTCGCTGTCGCCGCCGCCGTCGCTGTGGTGGAAAACGGATTTCCGCCAGCAGAGAACGGGTTTCCTTCCGCGCCCATACCCAGCCCAGCCCCCGACCCAAATAGCAAATTCCCAGCCTTCGGTTTCGTCGCATCTTCCTCTCTTTTCCTCTTCTCTTCAGCTCTCCTCGCCTCCTCCTCTTCCTTCGCCTTCGCAATCCGCAGCTCGTAATCCTTCGACACCTTCACTCCCCGTAGCGCTTTCATGCTCCCCTTCTTCCGCCGGCACGTCTTCTCCTTGCAGCCAAAGACGTAAAACATTCTCTCGTGCGGGCTCTCCGGGATTGCGCCATTGAGCTGGAGCAGCAGTGGCATGAGTTTGTTACAACATGCGCATTTAGCGAGGCGTGCGTCGGCAGGCGAGGAAGGATGTGGCCATATCTGACATCACATACTCAGCAAAAAAGCTCAACCAGTAGGAGGGACGGAGTGGAAGTACAGGTTCTCCACCGAGATGGCTGATGAGGTCGCTACTCGGCTCAGTCTCGGCGTAGCCCAGGAGGACCTTTGTTTCGGTGTAGTCCTGGACGGACTCGTCGTCACTGCCGTAGTCGTCCATTATTGCCTGGCTTGTGTGTATGGTGGTTATGAGGCCGTGGTTTTTTGAGTTTTTTTGGTGGGTTTCACGGTGGGGTTGTGCAGCAGCTTCAAACTTTTTGGATCTCTCGTATTGCCCCACCCCGCACTAACCCCCAACCGGAGAAGCGCCGTCGCCGTCATCCATGTGAGGTGCGATAGAGAAGGTACCCGTACCTTGCTCTCCATCCGCCAGCTCCCCCAGCTCCACAACACCAACGACTGCACAACCATGGCGGCCGCCCCCTCATCCTACAAAGACCGCCAATTCCTCGCCGTGATCGGGGACGAGGCATGCCTATCCCGCTTCTTGGAGGAGGAGGAGACAGCCGCAGCTGACATGGAGCGCACGATAGGACTCCGTGACAGGATTGCTCCTCGCCGGCATCGGCCACGTTACTCCCGCGCCCAACAGCAGCACGAATTTTCTCGTCGTTGATGCAAAGACGGAGGTTTCCGAGATCGAGAAGGCGTTCGAGGAGTTCACTACTAGAAAGGACGTGGGGATCCTGCTGATCAACCAACACGTGAGTTCTGTGTGATGGAGGGAGCGGGGGAGTGGTGGGAGCTGACGCGCGGTGGAAACAGATCGCCGAGAAGATCCGTTATCGTATCGATTCTTTTACTGCGGCTTTCCCGGCGGTCCTTGAGATACCGAGTAAGGATCACCCGTACGATCCGGAGAAGGACAGTGTGTTGAGGAGGGTCAAGAGGTTGTTTGGGGAGTAGACTACATATTGCGCGGCATCGGGCGAGCGGTGGAACGGGGTGGAACGGTCAGGTCATGGGATATCATCATCAATCAAGCGCATTATCATAGACGGGAAAGAGTATGTGTTCGCCGTAGTCTCTAAACTCCGAAGGCCAGCCGGTCATGTATATCACCTAATACATCCCGCCCATCTCCTCCTCGGCCTTCAGTTTCTCCTCCATAGCTTCCCTCTCTGCCTCCAACTGCTTCCTCTCAAAGTCATCGTGCTCATCTCTATGATCGACCCACCTCTCTTGTATATCTCGCGCCTCCATCCCCTCAGTCCACCCCCCGCGCATCGCAAGCGCCCACACACTGTCGCCTGCGCCCTCTGCCTCCCCAAACGCGTAGCCCCCCGCTCTATCCACCGCCTGTAGCAGATGCGTCATGCTCTTCTTATCTTCTACCGCCAGAGTCTCAAAGTTCACGAGCGAGAAGCTCTCCACGAGGTCGACAATCGCCTCGTTCAGCTTCGCAAACTTCTTCGTGCGTTGGTCCTGCTCCAGCAGTGGCAGCAGATAGCTGAGATCCTGCACCTCGGTGTAGAAGTCCAGATTGAACGCTAGCTCGCCATAGTCACGTAGTAGGTCTATTTTGCTGAGCACGTTAATGTGCGGAAGGTCTAGTTGCAGCATGCTCCGCAGCGATAGCAGGAGCACGGAGATGTATTTTGCCGGGTCCGTGATGTAGTGCGCGTCAACGAGGTGGACAACTACCAACTGCACCTATCAGCGCCCCCTCCCTCCACGCCACTCCCAAGTCAAGGGGGGAGAAACGACAGACCCGATACCCAATCTTCTGCAGCCTGGCAAAGATCTTCCTCAAACTCTGGTGGTGAGTAAACAGCTCGACCTGTCCCGGACAGTCGAAGAGAACATAATCGTTCCCGAGCCGGCTGACGCCCTCTTCGAGCCACTCAATATTCTCGTAGAGTTCCTCGAGCGCGTACATGACGCCGCCGTTGGGTCCGAGCCCCTCCTCGTCCATCACCTCGTCGAGCGTGATGATCGACCGGATGTCCAGCGCGCACGGGTAGCCCGTCGCGTCGTTCGCCGGATCGAGGTTCACAATCGAACATTTGCGCCCGATGGCTCCCATGAATTGGTGCATGCCGTTGCAGTAGGTAGATTTCCCTGACCCCGGGGGTCCGATTACGAGTTGGGCGAAGGGCATGGTGGTGGTGAGGGTGGTGGCGAAGGAAGATGGTGAGGGTGGTGGGGCGTCGTGGTGGGGGTCAGTCGGTGCAACACTTCTACCTAATCCAATGTGAAACTGAAGTGATTCATGTATGATCACTCGCGTACCGATTGCCGAAATGTTTGTGACTGGCTGAGCACACATCACCTTCTTGTCTGTCTCCCCTCATCTGTGATTTCTTTGGTGCGCTATGAGTGAGAGAGGGCTAAACAGAGAGGGAAAAAAGGAACCACATCGAGCCCACTGTCAGCGGCAGGGGGACAGTGGGGTGGAACCGGACGTTTAATTCAGCCGTGATCTATTAAGGTCGAATGCTATGATGATTAAACAGAAAACAATAAGCACACAACACCATTGAATTCTTACTGATGATGCCCACTCCATGCCTTATCCACACCCTGCCAATTCCATAGGTATTATCATTGTATGTACCTAGCAACTATGAACGATCACCTCGCCACCTGCGACTGCTGCGCAAGCCTCGTTTCTCCATCTGAGTACCACCACATCAAGCTCTGTCCCTCATCCCCTAGCACACGATCATATCCGCCTGCCGGCACAACCCAAGAAATTGACAACATAACAAACAGGATATGAACCGCAGCAAAAAAGAATAGAAGTTTAATATCTAGAAGAGTAAAAACTGATTGTGGTAATGGTTTTCGGAAGCCCCGTGCGCAAAAAAAAAAAAAGAAAAGGTTTAAAAAGAAATGACATAACCAGAAGGGAGAAATACAATAGTAAATAATCCCCCGCTCCTCGTTCTCCCGCAGGAACACGTGAGTGAAAGGAATTACCTCACAACTGTCCGAAGGAAGGAAACGGGTAACCAGAAATACAGAAGTAAACAGAAAAATATGAACAAAGAACGATATCCCACCCTACTGTGAATTTGAAGAGAAGAATGAATCCAAACACGCGGAAGACGCCTTGCCTTGCCTTAAGCCCCTGGAGATTACCCTAATCGACCACGCGCCGTCATTGCACCGCATCTCTTCATGTCCACAGTAAAGACGTAACCCGCAAGCATCCTCATCCCGCCTCCGATGTATATTTTATCCAGACTTCTTCGCCCCCTCTCCCTCTCTCTCGTACTACTGCTGTTGCTAGAAAGCATGATGTGTCTCAATTATGCTTTGCGGCTTCGGACGGTGCTCTGCTTCTTTGCGCTGCCATTGACGGCCACGCCATTGCCGTTGGTCCGGACGCTGTTTACGACGTCCTGGGAGAAGATGGGGCTGGGCGCGATTTCACCGTTCTGCACGGCCTTGGTAGCGGCGCGCTTGCCGGCACGTTTGTAGGTACTCGCGTAGAAGCTGAGGAACAGGACGAGGTAGCTGCTCAGGATACCGCAACCGGAGAACGCGGCGAACTCCTCACCAGCACAACGGCCCGCATTGGGGATCCACGGCCAGTAGGTGGAGGTGAAGTAGGTGTACGAGGCGAAGTAAACAAAGCCTAGGCGCACAGTTAGCAAGCCTGACCTGTATTCCGCTTTCGGGCGAACCGGGGGCACAAACCAAGATCAATGACGAACTGGGTGATCTGGAGACGGGTGATCCACTGCTTCCACCAGACACGGACACCACGAGCAGACTGGAAGTAGTACCAGTACATGACAACGTGAACGAAAAGGTTGAGCGAGATAGGAACCCAAGACTAATGCGACGTTAGCAATTGCGCGGATGTCCCAATCAGACGATCAACCACATACCACGGAGGTGGAGCCGATGAGCTGGGTGTAGCAGAGCAGGGCAGTCGCGCCGTGATGGTAACAGTGCAGGAAGGCTGTAGGAAAGGTCAGCACGCGTCTCTAGGCAGCCAGATCGATTGTGAACGTACTGAGTGGCTTCTTCTTGACAACCAAGAAGACGGTATCCAAAAGCTCAACATACTTGGTAAGGTAGTTCAACTGCGCGGAGCGTGTTAGCGAAAAGAAACGGGCACATCCAGAGTGGGAAAACACACATAGTACAGTGTGACGAGAGGCTTTGTCCAACCGCCATCACGGGCACAAATTGCGAAGAAGATACCATTGTGGTAGACAGTGGGAATCAGTTCCTCCATGAACAGCACCAAAAGGATCCCCGAGATCAGCGTCAACAGCAGGTTGTGGACCTGGAAGAGAAACTGCAGCTTGAACGGCTGGAAGTTCTTCATGATCGCCCGGCCACCGAAGATGATCGCGTAGTACGCGATGATCAACGATCCAGCAGTCTGGAAGGTGCCTAATGGTGTTGTGCCGTATTCGAATCTGAAATCGGTTGCACCCTCGCCGGTGGCACGCTTGTAGAAGACATCGAATATCGGCCAGAGGTGCACTCCGAATGGCCGATCGACCGAAGGGATCTGGACATCGATCACCTTTACCAGGTCTGTGGCTAGTGATGTTATGAAATTCATGACGCGGCGCAAGGCAAACGAGAGAAGATGATTATAAGGTTGAGAAGGATTCCCGGGAGCGAGGAGAGCTGTCCGAAGACGGGAGTGGGTCGTAAGGAAAGAGTGGAAGCACGACCGAGAGACGCGTTCTTGATCGTGGAGGGAGGATGGGGGGGATGAGGCCAACGAGGACGCGGCGGGAGCAACGAAGATTAAAGGATTGTAAAGAGGAAGTGGTGATTAGGAGGGAAGGGGGAAGAAGGAGGAAGAAGTAGAAGTAGCAAGTTGGTAGGAAGCGACAGCGATCGTTGGAAGGCCTGGGGAGAAAGGACGGAAAGGGGGTTAAGGAGTGGCAGTACCGTACTGTAGTCTACTTCTACTCCATGTAGATGGTAGCAGCAGCGTATCTAGCAGTACCGTAGTAGTCGTAGACAAATTTCGAGATGCCGGGGGTAGCCAATGGGCTGGGCTTGCTGCAGAAGTTGGGGGGGCGCAGGGGCAACCTGTGATCGGGGGAAAGCAAGCACGTGAAAGTGAAGAAGAAGAAAACGGGAGAAGCAGTTTAAGCCCGGTTTTTTTCTTTTTTTTTGCGGCATGCGGCGGGAAGGCATTTCCTTCTTCCAATCGCAACATCTGTTCTCCGCAGACTATGGGGATGGAGCTTGAGTTTCACCACGCCACACGGGAGGACATGAGGCAGAGTAAGAGGCCAGTAGACGCGAGTACTGGAGGTACGTACGCGTGCGTATTATCAGCACCGCCGCAGCCTCGTACTCGTGTACGGCAATCAAATACCTAAAGTAAGCAATCTTGGAATCGGACTGGTACCGAAAGGCCGGCGCCATCGTGTACGATACATATCCAAGTATGTCGAGTACCGGTATCACGGTCTCCCGCAACAACCACGCTCATAACCAGACTCCTGCTTACGTCTACGTCAACTCTGGACGCGAGTCCAGCCATAGCCACTTTTCCATAGCAAAATTTTCGCTGATGGTTGTATACCGTAGGTAGTAGAGTACTTGCGCCCGTTTGCTAAGCGCGTCTGACGCCGGCGATGGTCGAGTTGAGTTCCCGGACATCTCTTGTCCGAGCGGCGGGGGAGGTGCCGGTGTGTGCTAACAATCCGGCGGAAGCGTCCCGTTCTGTGGCTTGTGACGGGTAATTTTTGGCTGCTGATTTACTGTGGATCTTCGTCGAGGGTTTGTACTGGCGGCCGGAGATATCTTTTTACCTTGATTCCTACCGCAGCAGGGGCGCACTTTCCATTCACGACATCGACATTGACGACTGCCTCATTGATGATATCTCCGGTGCCGACCCCATACCAATCCATGGCAATCGCCATCGCCATCGCATCAGCGCGATTCGGCGAAAATACTCCCGGAGGTCCATCCCATGAGCATGTGTTAACGGCGGCTGGTTACTTGTGGGACTTCTTTGATGGGAAGGCTGGGCACGAAAGCAGGAGAGTTGCATAACGGTACCTGCTATATGTAGGCGGACGAACGTGGTACACATGTACCGGTACCCTTCAGGCCAACCGCACAAGATCTGTAGTGTGCCACGATCCCCGACGCCCAAATAGGCCTGGTCTGCTGCCTGAAATGGCGTAGCAACGCTCCCGCCAGAAACACTTGGCTCTCTTGCAGAGCCCTCTAGACTCTACATAGAGTAGGGGCTCCAATCGGTCCTCATTCCGCGCCGAGAGCCGCAGTCCTTATCCCGACCTGTCTCCTCCGAGTGAGATGCTATGCAAGGGAGGGAGGACACCGCTCGGGTTGCCGGGTAATCAAGCCCCCAACATTGAGTGATGAACGAACCGGGCAAAAACAATATCGTAGTAGTCAGCCCATCCGCCCAAGGAGCGGCTACTCCAGTAAAATCCCCATCGACCACCGCAACCATTCACCCGAATCAGTTTCGTCACTACTCCACCAACACCCATCACCTACCGGTACCTACCACCCCTCACCCAATCTCCACTCTCCGCTCAACAACCAGAAACCCCAATGGCTTTCCTTCGCCTTGTCGCCGCCTCTGCCAGGCCTGCTCTCCGCACTTCGGCTACCCGCTCTGCCGCGATTGCGCCTCGAGTTCTCGCGACCAGGATCGCTGTCCGCAACTACTCCGATTCGCACGAGGAGAGTTTCGAGGAGTTCACTGCTAGGTAAGGGACCGGCTTTACGGTGATTCTATATTACGGAATCGGCTTTCTTCTTGGTGGGCTTGGTTGGTGGTGCGGGGGAGATCGGGAGAGAGGTTGAAGCGCAGGAAAGAAAGGACGAATTGTGGGGTGATCATTACCCATCTATCCAGCCAAGTCTTGGTCTCCCAGACGACCAACAGCCTGCATCATCACTGCCGTCCGGCCCCACCACCACCATCACCACCACCACTGCGCTTTTTGTTTGTCTAGGGGAAAGAAGAAAGCGGCCTGCTAACCAAACCCGCTTAGATACGAGAAGGAATTCGACTCTGTCCAGGATGTCTTCGAGCTCCAGCGCAACCTGAACAACGCTTTCGCCTACGATCTCGTTCCCTCCACCTCCGTCATCACCGCCGCCTTGAAGGCTGCGCGCCGCGTCAATGACTTCCCCACCGCTGTGAGAATCTTCGAGGGTACGAATCTACGTTTCTAGTTCTATCCTCTCCCACATACCCTCTCTCTCCACACAGCGCGCGCGACCGACGATATGATGCCGATGATGAGAGGGTAGTGGTGTGACTGCACCCTCTGCCGGTGGCAGGGCGGATGAAGCGTGTCGGGCGTCTGTTTGGTGTGCTCGCCGTGCTCGCCATCATTTTCCCATGACGCAACGAGAGAGAGAGAGAGAGTGTGTGTGTGTGTGTGTGTGTGTGTGTGTGGGCGAGTGAGATTGGGGAAATAGCTAACTCTCTCTCCCCACCGCAGGTGTCAAGGCCAAGGTCGAGAACAAGCAGCAGTACGAGCAATACCTTGAGGAGCTCGCCCCCCTGCGACAGGAGCTTGGTCTCGAACTTGTCGAGGACCTGTACCCCCAGGGCAGCAAATAAACAGTCCACACCCTTCCAACAATAAAACCACACACACCTGCACAAAACCTCCGTATCGTCTTTTTTTTTGTATCTATGTGGGATTAGATGAGGAGAGGGGAGGAGGGGTTAGGAGGGGGGCACGGGAATGGGGACATTGGATTACACCTGACGTTTTCTTCTACATTTCCCCCGTGCCTTGTAGTAATAGGAGATTACATCCACCATTTCCTTCCTATACCGTTGTGTAGCCCAGCACACCTACCTCAGGCCAAGATCGAGCTCATACGTGGACGATTTCGGGTACGCGCATACGCCCTGACACCGATCGCTGCCACAGAAAGTACTTTACATGAGACCAAAACAAGTGTATGACGAAGTAAGGTAAAAGCAGATATCCGATTGTCAGTTGGTTAAACGAAAATAGCATCAGAGCACAAAACGCAGACGCCCAAAACAATCAAAACGCAACCAAATATCTCAAATAAAAAGCTGCCGACAAAAGGAATAACAAACCCCAGATAAAATTACAGGAAGAACTAATTCCCGTTCATGAGAGGATTATGGGGCGCATTCCTAGCCAACGGTGTACCGGCCCTGTTGCTTCTATCGTCTTCGGTGGGGCCGGGAGTGGTGGAGAGCGCCTTGCTCCCGACTGCATCCATTACTATCTCCCCAGCATTACCGCAGCCCTCCAGACCACCGAGTTTTGTACGGAAGGTTTCCGCGTCTCTCGCCATCCTTCCAGTGTGTTAGCGGAGTTGTAGGTGATGGGGAAACGAGATGGCATACCTCTTCTTCCCGTCCTCGGTTCTCACGACCGCGCCAGAAACTCCATCGACAAGCTTATCCGCATAGTCCTGAAAGACGGGACCCATAATGCCGCGCACTTCGGGGAGGGGGAGGTGTTTATTGAGGACTTTGTAGAGCACGCCCGTCTCTCTGCACAGGATATCCATATAGTACCTCCCGTCTTCGCCGACCCAGACCTCGTCCCAGTTCATCTTCTTCATGGTGGCGACGTGCGTGCGCGCCCGGTCCGACATTATGCTGATGAGCTTGCCGTGGATCTCATCCTGGTACTCTTGGGTCGTCCTCTTGAGCTTATCAAAGTCTGCGACCAGGTTTGGGGATGAGGAGTGCCGCCGGAGCGCCTCGCGAATGTACGGAATTATCGTGGTGATTATCGAAAGGGCCTGAGAGGCCATCGCCAGGTGCTTGGTGGTTATGGATTTCAGGCCGGCCGATCGGGTGGCGCCCGCGCCGAGAATTAGTTGGAATGTACGTGAGTTGAAGAGCTGCAGATGGACGTGTGAGAAGGATATGGATGCAGTGAGAAAGGATAGAGAAGGGAGCTCACCTGAAGGAATTGAAGAATGTTGGAGCCCAGCTCTTGTGTTACGCCTGGCATGTTTACGACTAATCGCAGGTACGATTCGATCTCAGTGAGTACCAGTAATCCTGACTCTGGTAGTATGAATTTCTGGTCATCGACGATGGCGTGTGTAAGTTTCTTGGGCGGTTCTGTTGCTGCTGGAGCAACAACCCCATTTGCGGGATTATCGTCGGTCTCGGATGGCGGTGGAGGTAGCTTTATGGTTTCGCCTTGTTCCCTCGCCCGAATCTCCCAGAGTCGGCCGATGCCAACCCATTCCTCGGGGTCAGTGGTTGCTGCTTTTAGAATCCTGTCCAGGCTCTTCTGCCGCTCCGGTTCAAATTCTTTGGCAGCCCACTTATCTTTCTCCAGACAGTCGGCGAGGTTTCGTATCCGGTCGTCCTGGTAGGCAGACAGGAAATCGCGGATCTGGTTGCTCACCGCGTTCTGCAATCCCGGACCAACTCTAACAGATACAGCTTCGCATTCCTGAGCAAAGAGCCGAGTCAAGGTGAAGTAGCGTATGAACATGTCTGGTGGGTAGTGGGCGACCTGCTCTGTGCGGACTTTGACCAGCTTGACGATGTGGGATTGCGATATCTCCACAGCACTGGAGATCAGATCGGATATGTCCATCGATATCGTCGGGTCGCTTTCGCTGCGGCTTCGATGCATTTCGCTAGAAAAGCCGTTCTGGAAGCCGTTCTGCTCAAGCCGTGGAGACAGCATCCCGCCCACTCCGGTCTCGCCCATTTGCATGGTCACGTCGAGGAGCATCTTCTGTTGCGACCCCAATCGCCGGATGAGCTCCGATACTCCGGTGTATATCTTGACCAGGAGATCCTCAGCATCCGCCGGCCCGAGAAGCCTGAGTGCTCGTGTGAGTGCTTGACTCTTGTCGGCGGATGACTGTCGTATTCCCCCGGAACGAGACCTTCGGGACAAGTGCGAAATATTTGAAGCGACACTGTCGGCATCGCCTTCACTGGGCAGATTTCGCCGAATGAGATTCTTAGCCTCCTTAATCACTGCGTCCCGGTAAGCCTGAACTGCATCATTGATATGGTTCGCTCTCTGAAGCCCGTCGAGGTGCTGCTTGAGTAGATTACGTAGGCTGTCAGAAAGGATTGCAAATTCGGGCGGCAGACTGCTTGAGCGGGGTGGCGGGAAGAAGTTGTTCTTTTGCTGTGAGTTGAGAAAACGTTGGTATTGCTCTCGCTGGAAGCTCTGTGCAAATCGGCGGAGGGTTTCGGACGATGGCACTCTTTCGACGTGGAAGCGAAGGTCGTCGAGAAGGCATTGAACGAACCGGGCTTCATACGCTTTGCCGATTCTGTACCGGAGGTGGTTCAGGTCCGCCATGACGGCCTCCAGAGATCTGACGCCGCGGAGGTCGATGAGGCCCTCCCCCTCACCAGCGAGTAATCGCTCCGTCTCGACGATGACGTCTAACGCGGTTTCAATTTCATGGTGCTCGAGTGACTTCTCCACCTGCTGGACACCCAGCGTCACTTGTTCTATCTGTTTTACCGCGCGCTCAAGCTTTGCGACATTGTCCCGCCGACGGCGCAGCCGCACGATTTCAAGGCCCTTCACGGCCTGCTCCTCGTCCAGTCGTACCAGCTCCTTCCGAAGGGCTTGAATCTTATGCACACTTGCCGCAGCTTCGGAATGAAGCTCTCGTAGATCACCCAGCGCTGCAAAAAATGACGAGCTAGCTGTTGATATTGATGATATCAAATGCACCTCCACAGTGTCCATATACCACGATAGTTTCTCCTGTAGTATTGCGTTCGTGGCCAGAGCCTTCCTCTGTGACTGTGCCGCCAATGCCCCCACGCCGTTCTCCCCCTGGCCTGCTGGTACTGTAGACTTGATCACCTCCGAGCGCTCACTAACTACATCAAACGTCCGGGGATTCTCGAGACGGAAGTTTTCGTCGAAGTAAACTCGAGGGACAGTTTGTAGTGGCGCTACGGCAAGGCTGGGTCTCCGGCGTCTCGCCGATTTGATCGACGAGGTGTCATCCATGATGACCGTTTGCTCGGCTATGCTTGGCGCCGGGGACAACGCGCCCTCGGTGGTCTTCGACAGTCGGAGATGCTCTTCCAGCCCTCGGTCCTTCGCTCGCTGGTATCGCTCGTATTCAGGGGCTAGTGATAGGTAGGATGCGAAGGCGCTCGGTTTGATCTTCGGGATCTGGGTGAGCGTCACGGGGGGAATATCCCCAGGTCGCGGCCGGGAAGCTCCAGTCGCTCGCGCACCGTGGGACTCGACGAGGGCTGAGATAGCTATAGTTAAACGTATCTCATATCAGCCAGTTATCCGAGTTGCCCAAGAACGACAGGTCCGTCCGAGCTGGAGCTTCTCCGGCATCATGAATGACCCACCAGTAGAATTGGGGCCCCCCCCCAACGGCCCTGCCCCTCCACCTCCACCATTCCCAAAATCTTTCGATGCTCGCCAATCCAAAGCTGTGCCCACCGAGGATGTCAAGGACACCACCGAGCTCGCGATAGAAGCCCGTCGTCCAGCGCCGGGACGACCGCTTGGCGATCTCGTCGGTTGGTAGGGAGCGGTTAAGTCCGTAACGGAAGCTGTAGGAGAGAGAATCGGCGAGAGACAGGTAGAGTCGAATGATGGGCGGGAGGGGAACGCCATGAGCACCGATTTGGTAAACCGATTTCGGAGGAGCTGCGGGGTTCAGAGTTGATATTTCGGTGCTTGAATTTGAGACGGATTCCTTAAGTGGTTCGCGGGAAGTAGGCAACCGGCAGAGCTGATATGTACGGGTTCTCGTGGGGGCAGCAGGGAAAGGTGGTTTGTGCTACACGACTTGTTTGGAACTGCGGCTGAACGACACATGAACTGGAATAGCATGGAAGCGTGACAAGAGTGCCACCCTGAAGGCTCGGCGGCTGTCCCATTTGGGAACGCGTAAATGGAGTTCTCGCGAAGCAACCGCGTTCTCCTGTTCTCTCGGACCTCTTCTTCTACGCAAAAAAACATTCCTTCTCGCCACAGAAAATCCACACCTAATTCACCCGCAACACTACCCCGCTCTCCCACGACTCATCTAATATCGCATCTCTGCTGCAATGGATCGTTCCCAGATATATACCGTCGACTCGGGCCTACCAAAAGATGACAACCAAGCCGACGACCAGCCTGGAGAGATTCTGAAGGCTTTCCGTTCGTTCGTTCTGGAATTCCGATTGGACAACAATTTCATATACCGGTATGTCCTTGCTTGATACGGATGCTTCTTTGGATTCATCTCTTACTGACAATGGCCCCCGCCACAGAGACGCACTGCGGACGAACATCCTCATCAAACAGTACAGACTCGACGTCGACATTGCACATCTGATTTCCTTCAACGAAGAGCTAGCACACAAACTTTCCAATGAGCCAACGGATATCCTGCCTATCGTAATCTACCCTCCTTCCCCGCGGAATCGGATTATTCTTCGCTGCTCACACTTCTGGATGGCAATAGTTCGAGACTGCGGTACGAGATTGCGGACGACGCATGTTCTTGACTGGAGGCAACTCGAGTGCAGTCTTCCCCGACTGTCAAGTGATACTCCACTCCAACACGAATCTCATTTCTATTCGAGATCTGGATGCATCGCACATCTCGAAGCTAGTGCGGATTCCGGGAATCGTTATCGGCGCTTCCACCATGTCGTCGAAGGCGATCGAGCTTCAGATCATGTGCAGGAACTGTCAGACTACGAAAAGGATACCGGTTCAGGGCGGATTCACGGGTGTATCTTTGCCCCGTACTTGTGACAGACCTACTATGCCCGGTGAGGATGCCGACAGATGCCCGATGGATCCGTACTTTGTAGTCCATGAGAAATCGATTTTTATCGACCAGCAGGTTCTCAAACTCCAGGAGGCTCCCGATATGGTACCTGTCGGTGAGCTGCCGCGGCATATTTTGGTCAGCGCCGACCGGCACCTCACCAACAAAGTCGTCCCGGGATCGCGCTGTACGGTGATAGGTATTTTTTCGATCTACCAGTCTAAAGGCAGCAAGGGAGCCGCTGCCGCAGTCGCCATCAGAAATCCGTACATCCGTCTCGTCGGTATCCAAGCAGATGTCGATCACACGGCGAAGGGTTCAGCAATCTTCTCGGAAGAAGAGGAACAAGAATTCCTTGAACTTTCCCGGAAACCGAATCTCTATGAGATGATCGTGGATTCACTCGCACCATCTATCTATGGCAACGTTGATATTAAAAAAGCAATCGCATGTTTGCTCTTTGGTGGTTCGAAGAAGATTCTTCCGGATGGCATGCGGTTGCGTGGTGATATCAATGTTCTACTCCTCGGAGATCCCGGTACCGCCAAATCTCAACTCCTGAAGTTCGTGGAGAAGATCGCACCGATCGCCATCTACACATCCGGAAAGGGTTCGTCAGCCGCCGGTTTGACGGCATCGGTGCAGCGCGACAATCAGTCCCGAGAATTCTACCTGGAGGGAGGAGCGATGGTGCTCGCGGACGGTGGAGTGGTGTGTATCGACGAGTTTGACAAAATGCGAGACGAGGACCGAGTTGCTATCCACGAAGCAATGGAGCAGCAAACAATCTCCATCGCCAAAGCCGGTATCACCACCATCCTCAACGCCCGTTCATCCGTCCTAGCCGCGGCCAATCCCATCTTTGGAAGATACGATGACATGAAGAGTCCTGGAGAGAACATCGATTTTCAGACCACAATTCTTTCCAGATTCGATATGATCTTCATCGTGAAGGATGAGCATAACCCTGGCCGAGACGAGACTATCGCCAGGCACGTCATGAATCTGCACATGAACCGAATGACCGAGAAAGATGAGGTCGTCGGGGAGATCCCAATGGATAAGCTGAAGCGATACATCACCTACTGCAAGACGTACGTTCTTCCCCATTCCTGCGTCCCTTCCATGACTGACCTCCTTCCAGCCGTTGTGCCCCCAAACTCTCCACCGAAGCCTCCGAAAAGCTCTCCTCACACTTCGTCCAAATCCGCAAGCGCGTGCACGAGCTCGAGTCCTCGGCCAACGAGCGTTCCAGCATCCCAATCACCGTGCGCCAACTCGAAGCGATCATCCGAATCACCGAGTCCCTAGCAAAACTGTCCCTCTCTCCCATCGCGACAGAAGAGCACGTCGACGAGGCGATCCGGCTGTTCCTCGCGTCCACCATGGACGCCGTGGGCCAAGGTCAGGGAATGAGTAAGGAGCTCAACGACGAAGTCGGCAAGATCGAGGCGGAGCTGAGACGGCGACTGCCGATCGGATGGAGCACCAGTTACGCTACACTGAAGCGCGAGTTGTGCAGTAACCGTGGGTACAGTGATGCGGCGCTCAACAGGGCGCTCATGATGCTCAATAAGAGGGACACGATTCAGATGAGGAATGGTGGTGCGAATGTCTACCGTAGTGGTGTGTAAGGGATGCGCGGGATGGAATAAATTCCCGTTAACGCGTTACGGATACTTGTGTATGGCGTTTTTTTTGACTGCAATTTTGGGGAGGAGGAATATACCCATGGTTTTAGGATGGACGGATTTAGATGGGTGTATCAAAAGATGGCACGCTGAAACGTTTCAAATACCCATTCACTTCCGAGATTGCGAGGTGACTTGTACCGAGTTTGAAGACCCCGGAACCACATTCGTTCTAGCAAAGCAACGCCAGTGTATGGTCAAGAAAACGCAGATTCAGCAGAAGAAACACCAGTGTATCGTTATCAAGAAAACACAGATTCAGTAGAAGAAACACCGGTGTATCATTATTAAAAAAACACAGATTCAGCAGAAGAAAAAAGAGCCAATGTCGACCTTCGCTATGAAATCCCAGCCCAAGCAAGCAAGCAGAACAGAATCAAAAAGACATGTGTATCATGTATCGTGTATGGTGACCCACTCTATCTAAGGCTCGGCGCTCGAGTTCGTCAAGCTCAGGTACGTACCCCAAGCAATGCCCACCGTACTGGCGAACGGCAACTGGTATTGCAGCGGCATAACCCTAAAGTTAAGCAGCTGCACCGCGGGCCAGAGCATGTAGTTCGCCTTTATCGTAGGCACAAATACATTTCCGAGCCTCTTCTTGACCGCCTGCGTATCACCGCCCTCGGCATACGTCATGTAACTAAAGAAGCCGACAAGTCCCAGCGGGGCAAAGAAGATCTGATCGCACGCCATGCGCTTGAGAGCTGGCAAAGTCGCAGACGTGGCGGTGATAGGGAAGGTCTTCTGTAGTAGACGGAGCCAGCGGAACTGGAACGGCGCGATGATGAAGCCCCAGCTGGCGAAGCGGACCAGGCGGCCGAAATCGAACGGGGGCGGCAGCATGTGCGTGCTGCTGTGGGTCGGCACGAGCTCGTCTCCGTAGTGCGGGAGCTTCTGGTCGAGCTTGACGTCGAGCTCGATGTCGCCGCGGGTCGGGTCGAAGGCTGCGTTGCGACGGATGGCAGTCACAGACTGCGCGACGGTGTCGGCGATGCCGTTGAGAACCTGTGTTGTGAGGTCAGTACGGAAGTTGGTGGGGTGATTCGTGGGAGCGGTGGGGGAGAAGCGACGAACCGAGTTAGTAATCATCATGGTCACCACCGGGCGCTTGTCGAAATACTGCTCATAGCGGCGGACTAGCTGTGCGACAATGGCCATCTCGAGAAAGAAGACGACCGTGTGAACGAGGGGCTGTTTTGATTTCCGTGTGAGTTGAGTTCAAATCGGGGGGGGGGGGGGGGGTTTGAGAGGGAATGTGCAGTGGAAACGCACGATGTAGCCGTAAATGTAGATGCTGTTTGCAGTGTGAAGGTGACTTTTTACTCTTCGTCGACACCTCTGACGGAAGAGAGTGAAGGTTGAAGGTGGAGTGAACGAGTCTGTGGTAGTTGCGGTGATGGTAACTGTGTTTGTGGGAGCATTCGAGGTGGTGAAGTTGGTGACGTCCATCTTGGGCGAGCGGCGTTGGGATTCGGCCAACAGCTTTTAAATTTCCAGCGACGAGGCGGAGGGTTTGCTGTTTGTAGATCTCGATAGGATCTTGGCGAGGGCCAATTTGTTGTTATGTTTTGCACGAATCCTCCAACTTGGTCCGGAGCCCTTTGTTAAGTGGTGATGTCGATGATGAAATGGCGATAACTAGATGACGAGGGGCCGGCTAGCTATAAAGAGGAGAAGCAAGCTGAGCAAGTTGGCGCCGGATGGCTTGCAACCGCACATGTGCGACATGGATATGTAACATGTGGGGCAGGAAGCCGGGATGAAATTCCACGGTACACTACATGTGGTTAGAGACCAGAAAAATGTATGGCTGTGGCGATGCTGAGGACTTTCATAGCTCTTGGAGCAGTTGCGGGTTTGGTTGGTCTTGTCACTTTCTCAGATGATGATTAGCGTCATGATATATCACTTGAACAAATTGATTCCCGCCGTGAAGTTTTATACCATTGACAACACCTTTCCAACACCGGGTGGAACTTGACGTGTGTACAGCCATGATCTGATACATTCGAATGCTATGATTAACAAACCAAAAAAACCTTTTCAACACCCAAACGGCAATGACCCTTCTAAGGTCAAATGTCATGATGATTCAACAGAACACCCCCATTTTCAACACCACCATTTCCATTTCCAAAACTCATTTTTCAACACCATTTTCAACACAGAAAGGGGTTTCCCACCGCCCTTCTCTTCCCACTTCTCTGCGTCTCAAAACCTTTCCAAAATCCAAAAAGACAACCGCAATAATATCGTTGTGCTAGCGATCCAATTGTATGTGCATTTCCACCTCCCATTCTACGTCAACACTAGGTACATGTGCCATATCCACTGCACTCCAGAGTAACCCTATCACTCGTGCCGCTTTTGTCGCAATACCTCTGCAACCTTTTCCTTTCGGCTGTTTAGGCCGTGAGTTCCGGCTGCCAGTGCTCGACCGAAACTCGGATATAAGTCACACCCGGCTTCGGTTCGATAGTTCTCGTGGGCGTTACGCACATCGTCGCTGTAGTAGCCCTCGAGCAATGGCATGCACTTCTGCAGCTGGGCTTGGCAGTCCAGATCCACTGCTGACAGCGACCCTCCGAAAGATTTGGAAGATTTGGTCTCCAGCTTTGGTTCGGGAACGCGCAGGACTGAGGCTTTCACTGCTCTCTCGCCGCTGGTTTTCTTCTGAGTGGGTGCCATCATGGAAATTAGACGGAGCTGGGGGTCTTCGGATCGTGCCTTGGCTTCGGCTTGGGTCTTCTCGGCATCGCTGGCGGCTTGGAGCTGCCAGCGGTAGTGCTCGTCCTTCGGATTCTGGAAGCGTATAGAAGTCCAGCGTGACTGTTTCTCGATGCGGGCGTCGCACTCGGCCTGCATCTTCTTTTGCTGTGCTTTACCTTCCTCCTGTATCTTCTCGACGCGGGCATCGCACTCGACCTGCATTTTGCCGAGCTGTGCTCTAGTTTCCTCCTGCAGCTTCTTGAGGCGGGCCTCATTATCTTTGCGCATCTTGTCGACTTCCTGTTGCTTCTTCTTCAGGGCCGTCTCGATTCCAGCGACCTCAGCCGCCTTCTTCTCCAGGAGCTCGCGCATCACCTCCCTATCCCAAGCCATGCGCTGCATCTCGTTGAACAGCATCCCGGTGCTACTATAATCATTGGGATTGTGGTCATAATAGTCGGCATACTCGTCCACCGCAGCATTGCGGCTGCCCCGGAATGTGTCGACGAGCCATTGTATGTCATCCTCCAACCCATCCCGCTGCTTTTTCAGCTCCTCCGCACGCCCCTGTACCTTCTTGATAACCATATACACCCCCTGAAGCTGCTTCTGCAGTTCCTCCACCTGCATGTGGGATAAGGCCACGTCGAGTGATGGTTGGTGAGCGGCTGTCGGGGCCGCACCGAAGACGGCTGCGTTCGCCTCCTTCTGCTGTTGGGCAGTCCAGCAGCTATAGTAGTTCATGGGCATAATGTTGGGCGGGTAACCCGATGGCGACTGCTGGTCGAACTGGTAGTAGTCCTGCATATACTGGTTGTACGCAGCAACGGTGGGATCCACGAACATTGTGGGCTGGTACCCTGGCGCTCGCTGGCACATAGGCTGGGGGCTCTTCCAGCCGTCTGTCTGCGTGCGATTCGCCCTATGCGGCTCAGCCGCAGTACTGATCCTCGCCGCCTTCGCCGTAACACTATCGCCGCCCTTACCACTATGAGCGCGCTCCTCCAGATCCAAGATATGTAACCCACCTCCTTATCCAGCCTGTCCATATCATTGCGCACCATCTTGTTAACCGTTGTGTAGAGCAACCAGACCGCGGCCTCGTCCGGGTCGATATTCCTGCCGTGCCTCGGGTAGTCCACCAGCGCAGGGTCGTCGGGGTACTGTATGGCGACGCTGACGAGCACAGAACATTCCTTCGGCAGCTCGGCGACGCCCAGCTGCGCCAGCCGCCCGAGCCCGCTCGTCCCCGCGCCGAAGTACCTCGTCGAGCCGATGACGCTCGCGCACCACTGCTCCGGCGTTTGGCCGAAGGAGGTGCGGATCTGGACGCTCGGCACGGAGGGGAAGAGAAAGCGGCAGCAGTCTATGGCACATATCGTCAGCATCAGCAGCGGCATCAGCAGCGGCAGCGGCGGCAGAAATCGTGCGCGAGTGAGCGTGTGTGCGTGAGGTCTCGATGCGTTCACGGGAGGATCGGGTTACTCACCCGCTATCTCCTTGCAGTAGAACTCCAGCTGCGCTAGCACCGCCGAGTTCTTGGGTTTTCTCGCGGCGATGAGGAGCTGCAGCGCTGCGCTTGTGGTCGTGCCCTGCGGGTGAGTGCCCCGGGTTGGGCACGATGCCCAGCCACAGTCACTATCACCATCGCCGCCGCCACAAGGGTACATGGGACCCATAGTGGAGTATGTAGGGGGAGTGTAGGTAGATACTAATAGATGCCGACTGTCGATGTCTCGATGTCTCAGTGTAGGCTGATGGGGAGACAGGAAGGAAGAGAGGAAGTGCTCGCTATTTATACCCATGAGGTATGTACATATTTTCCATATGGTTACGTGGTGAGTGGAATTTTTGGGTGTGAGTTCCTCATATGTATCGTCATGGATATGTAGTTCAATTTTTGCAGCAGTCGCTAGAGTAAAGCTCGAGTATAACCATACTGAGAGAGAGAGAGATCTTCCTTTTTATTTCGCCTGCATCCTATCTAGACTGTGGCGAACCAACGCACTCCTTTTCCTTCCCGCCCTGGCCAGTCGAGGTGAAAGCCCCGGTACCGACCAGTCCGATGCGGCGCCCCAATTCCCCTGCCCATCCGCCTCGGGCCGACACAAGCAAAAAGTAGATTGACAGTAAAGACCGGTATGGGCCTACATGCCCGCTCCTCCTGCTGCCCCCTCGCCTCTCTCCCCCGTCTTCCGCCTTTCCGCCCCAAGAGAATAACTATCACCGCATATCCTCATCTCCTACTTCCTTGCACCGGCCGCAGACGCAGTACCCTGCTGGGTACTCTTGCTCTGCCCCCGATGCGATGCTTGCCTCCTCCTCATCCTCCTCCTCCAGGTCTGGTGGAGCTTTCCTCCCCACATCTATCGTTCCTAGAAACTCTAGGATTGCCTCGCTGCACCGCTCGTCGGTGAATAACTCTGCTATCGATGTATAACCATACTGATTAGTAACTACATGAAAACGTTTGGATGGTGTGTGATTGACTACGTTTTCACGATTCTTGACGCCCGAAGTATAGAGGCCCGAAGTATGAACCGGTTATACGCAGAGTCTGAACTCTATTCTTCACCTCTACTCAGTACCGCATTTTAACTTCAACCATAGACGCCCTTTACGAGGAAGAGAAAAAAACGGGGCTGCAACGTGTCTACTATTAAAGTTCCAGTGAAGCCTATTATTCAGCCCTATGGCTGAGTATACTGAAAACTGCCAAACACTCTATTCACCTCAAGGTTTTCTGGAAACTGAAAATTGCCAAACACTCTATTCACCTCAAAGTTTTCTGGAAACTGAAAACTGCCAAACACTCTATTCACCTCAAGGTTTTCTGGAAACTGAAACTGAACAGTATTCGGTGTCCTGGTGGGGAACTGAATTTGGCCCTGAAACTGGAACTGAAAACTGAGGCCATCCAAACGGGCCCTTAGATGCCTACATAGACTCCCGGACCTAGAACGCCAGAACGCCAGGAGTTCCGGCCGCGGACTGTGGACTGTGGACTGTGGACAAGCTCTGGATCCCACCGAAGTTCCACCAACCCCGAGTCCAGACCGAAGATTTTTTGATCTGGATACAACTATCCCGATTAGTCCCGACTATACCCAAATTTGGTCGGGACTGGTCTATGTAGAGTAGGTATGCGGAAAAAAATAATATATAGGTGTGTATAATAATCGGGCGGGTTAGCCGTTGGCTGGTCCGCCTGTGCATACATGCGGTACTGGTGCTGGTCCGCCTGTGCATAGAGTACAGTGAGATTCGGGGGCCAGACCCGATGCGTCCGCCTCAAGAGTCAACGTTGAAATATTCTCTGTTGCTATGATACTTTTATATATGTTCGTCTGGTCGGTCGACCGTCGGTCTCTTGTTCAACACACGAGACATGTCACATCAGACATTGTCCACCGTCAGGTATTATTATCATCACCGCAGAGGTACTTTGGGGTTGTTCGGTCTGAAGAACACAGGCTGCCCTTCTTTCTTGTTGCTTTCTCAGTCTCTCCTGTTGCCCGTACCCACCGGTGGTCTCTTAGTACTGACCTGGTAATAATTGTACGGCGGGTTGGCCGTTGGCCGTTGGCTGGTCCGCCTATGCATAGAGTACTACTTGGTACCACCAGTAGTAGTACTCGGGCCGTGCGGGCCTTGAGGAGGAGGAGGCAAGGATAGCTTCCATGCCGTCCCGAGAACGTATAAGTACTCTACTCGTACTTGGGTAGAGTCACTTGTAAGTGGTCATCACACCCCGCCTGACCAAGGAATCCGCCATGATCGTAACAGCATTAAATTATAATAACAATAATAGTAATAGTAGTAATCATCACTCGTGTTCACATACAGTCATGGATACTCCACTCTCCCGATAGAATACCTCGCGCCCTGCGGCGACGACGGCGACAGTGGCGGCCTACTCGATCCCGAGCCACCCAGCTGATCGCCCACACCGGCACTCCTGCCCCTACCGGTACTCGACCTTCTATCGGGTACGTGCAGCTGCACCTGCACCGGCGCCTGCACGTACCCCTCTCGTTCCCGGGGCTTGCTATCCCTCACCAATCTCTGCCGCTCCGATTCCGGCGCCCTCGCCCTCGATGGAGTCGGCAGCGCTTCCCTCAGCGGCGCATCTCTCGGCGTCGACACCACGACCACATCCTCGCCCTCCTCATTGATCGACTGCATGCCCTTCATGACCACGCGTAGCATCGCCTCCAGCTCTTTGACCTTCCGTTCCGCCCTCCTTCTTCGAGCGCGCTCCTCCGCCAGCTCCGCGTCATGGCCACAACACCTTCCCTCCCTTCCCTCCTTCCCCTCCCCGCTCTCCCGCACGGGGCTCTCGCTCCCCATCCTACTGCCGCCGCCGCCGCCGATCTTCGCCCCGCGCAGCTGCAGCGGGAACATAGGGAACGGCAGGCCACCCCCACCACCCCCGGTGTACCCGGTCGACTGCGACATTATCTGCGCGGTCGTTGTGATCCGTGGCGAGGAGCCGCCGGCTGAGGTGGAGGTGGGCGGGATGCCGCTTCGACTACTCCGCGGCGACTCGGTGATCGTCGCTGTGGATGGGACGGAGCTCTTCATGTTTGCGACGAACTCGGCGACGAACTAATGAGGCGACGCGGATCTGGGTTTTGACGTCGAGCGTGTGCAGCGCCGGGTATATATGTGGCTGGGTGCGAGCAAGATGGAGTCGGCAGGCGAGCAGGATGAAGTGCGTACTGGGCTAGCGAGACTATGTACTCGACTGGTGGCGATGCTAATGTCTGTGTCGCTGGGGAAGAGGAGGCGACAGTTGTCTGGGGTGGTTTATTTCTGTGAGCGATGGATTGAATGAGGAAGAGGGGGAGCTGGGAGCTGGTTGTTGGTTGTTGGAAGTTATGGTGGTGATGGTGGTGGGGGGAGGGTAGGAGGGTTATCTATGTAGCATAGATATTATAGTATGTAGAGGCACTGCAAGTCAGTCACACACATTCACCGAAATCTGCTGGCGGTAGTTTTAGAACAGCGTGTCCGTGTTTGGCAGATCATGGGCGACGATCTTTCCACCACTCGGGAAATCCATTATGCGCGTGCGGAGTATGTACCTTTTTTTCTTCTCACTTTCCTTTCTTCCTTTCCCGCGGACGGTTCGTGTGCAACAGCTATAAGCAGTAATCCTCGAAAAAAATCGGTTTCACTTCGGGGCGCGGGGGCTATGGTGGTGGGTGGGGAAGCGTAAAAGGGCCGGTTTTTGGTCAGACAGTTGATGTTTTGTTCCCACCTCGCACCTCCCACACAGCTAACTGGTTGGCGGATTGTGCCGCCGGTCACCTGGAGGTGGTGGAGGTGGAGGCAGGGAGGGACGTTCTAGAACCACCCCTGCCGGCGCAGAGTAGCTACTACTTGTTAGTGTAGTAGATCATGGTCCCTGGGGAAGGAGCAACTCTGTGTGTCCTGCCCGGGCAGGCGCGCACTCGCTCACTCACTCGGTCCCGTGCGTCATGAGGCAGGGCACAGTCGCCACCACTTGCAAGCCAGCCAAGGAGGTCAAGTCAGCTCGTGCTCGTGTTCAGCAGGGCAGCAAGGAGAGTGGGTATTCAAGTCCGCAAGACCTGGCGACGGCTGATACTGTATCTACGGTAATCTGCAATGTATGTTGGTACTTGGATCACACACATGAATGCGTGCGGATGTGTATAGCACTCTAGGTGCTCAAGTGTGCCCGGTGCTCTGCGGAGATACCTACCCTACCATTTGTCCATGACTATCACGACTATCATGACAATCATGACTACTAGTAGGTAGAGCACATTGCCTACCCACATAGGTACACGATCACATCCGGCCTGCAAGTGCTGCTCTGGTGCTGCTGCAGAAAAATGTTTGATCGCCTTCATGCCTCGCCGTTTGGGGAAGATTATCGACGATGCTACTGCTGATGGGCGTGCTGATGGGCGTGCTGATGGGCGTGCTGATGGGCGTGGGGCGGTGCGCAGGACTATCCGCGAAGCGGTGGGGACCTAACCCTGAGCCTGGGGGTTCTCCTCTCAAGCGCTCTGGAGCGGGAAAAAAACAGAAAGAAGTGCAAGCGGGGTTCTAGAATCGCGGCTGGATTCTGGAATCTGGATGGCGGTGGTGGAACGGAGGGAGAACTACTTGGAAAATGGCCTATTGGCTGGCCGCTTCCACCGTGAGGTCGGAGTCGCGAGCGGCGAAGTGAGAAGTTGGCACGGAAAAAACCACTGTATGCTCGGTTGAGTGGCCATCGCCAAACATTTTCTTCGCCATCGATGGCAGCAACGGTTGTCATGCCAATGCTTGTGCTCCACCACACCCCGCCTGCCCTGCGCCGGGTCGGTACGGGGCGAGAGATACGGTAGAGAAGTCCCTGCGTTATCGAGCGAGCGAGCGGGCGGGCGGGCGTGACTGGGTTGGTAATACCCGATGGGGACAAGGGCTGGCGATCTGCTCTAGAGTGGAGAATATCTTTTGGATACTTGGATAACTACCAGCACTTACTCTTCAACAACGACGAAACGGTACCAACATAACCGAGACTTACAGCACACCGTGGTGGATATCGGCCGTTGTCGAGTTGGTCGCTCACGCGCGACCAACTCGTTACTCGTCGCCACCGGCTTACGGTCATTATCCTGAATTCGAAGGAACAGCGACTCCAAGTTCGTGGACATCACCGGGCAGACGCCATAATGTGTAAAGTGCCCACCTATCTGCCCGGCAGCCCGGCTACATACGGTGGATGGCTGCTATTACTCCCGGTATCTATATGATAGGGTGGACGTCGACTGACCGTACCATCATCTGTCTTGACTCTGGACCGATACAGCAGGTACTTCCTGGTCCCAGAAGTGGGCGGCCGCGCTAAAATGACCTGGGCAGTGCCGTGGGCCGGTGTGGCTGCTGTGGCTGGTGATTCCAATCGATGCGCTCTACACATTTCATCCAAGTATGATGCATACCCCAGTATGCATGATTTCCTGATGTGCACACTCACCCACATCCTCACTCCTCTCAGTACACCATCGCGAGCATATCAGAATGGGTATTACCAGTGGTAAACCAGAGTCACGGACGTCGGGGGAGCTACGATCATAACATCTCACTCGGTGGCAACAACTCCGATAGTGTTGATATCATGCGTCTTATTGCCTATTCCGGTGTCACTGGTACTTTTCTCTGTACTTTTGGATTGTCGCATACAGCCTTCATGGCCTTCGTGGCTTCTTAGCATTGTCCCGGGCCTGTCACCAGAATCAGCCTTTTTAGGCCCTCAGCCGTCAGCCCAGTCCGGCGACGGCTAGGTATCGTCGCATTCTCTGTCTCCGGCTCTGCCTCTTTGTCTAGTACACGAGCTCGTCTTCCTTCATAGTATAAGCCGTCTTATTTCTCGTCTTTCTCATCTTTCTCGTATCATCACATCAATCGAGTCAAGTGCTTTTCTCTCAGGTTCAACAGAGGGTGGGCTGACAGGTTTAGCGAGTGCACGATGGATCATGGCAGGACGGGAATCGCCCGGCAGGAAAAAAACATGGGCTTGGAATAGTACTAGGTATGATAGTCAGACATGGCATGTTTGCACCATCGATCCCTTCAAACAAGCTCATCGGATACAGTAGCGCTGTCCGGGTGTGTGTCTGCTCGAGCGCGCAGGTGCAGAAGCACAGATCAAGAGTCAAGACACCTTTGACATCTGAGGCATGAATTTTTTCGTTCTCGCTTTGGCTAGAGGAATGGACGCTTACATCTGCGGTCGATTCAGCAGTCTCCGTTCAGGGCCGTGGTGATCGATGGGTTCGCTTCCTGATCGCTCATCGGAGGTCACTCGTGCACCCGCCCGCGCGCGAAACTGTGGAGACGAGAAAGTGCAAACCGATCTAGAGACACCCGGTCTCATATCGTAATCCCGATTTAGCGCGCCGATGGTGCACGATGCTGCTGCTGCTGCTGCTGCACCAACTGTGCAGGACCACCCAGATGGTTACTTACATCTCACTTTCTGCGGGCCTTGCAGTCGTTGCAGTCGATAACTGCATCCCTCGATCGTGGGGCGATTTCATGCCGCTTGTGAATCGGATTGAACTTTGAAGGCGACGAGGTCTGGCTTGGCGTTGTATAAAGAGCGAACGCTGGACTGGTAAGGAGGGAAGGAAAGAAAGAAGAAAAAAAGGGCATTAACTATTGTGAACGCCCGAAGCTTCTTCCACTTTGTTCCTTAATCTTCACAGCGACATTGGCCAGACGAAAATTTCACGAAAATGGTCTCCCGCCTCAACCCCTCCGTCGTCCTCCCGCTCGAGCTCCGGTCGGAGCTCAAATCCCACAATCACCTCACAACGCTTTGGTCCAGCTTCGGTACCATCTGTCGACTCAATCTGAAGTCGAACCCGAGATCTCTCATCCTCAAGTTTATCGACCCACCCGTCGACACCCGCTCGGAGGGTCACCTCCGCAAGATCATCTCCTACCGTGTCGAACGATACTTTTACGAGCACCTGTCGACTCGTCTACCACCGCACGTCAAGGTCGCCAAGAACTACCCGGTCGAGCCCGCCTTTGGGGACACGTCGCTGGTGCTCGAAGACCTCAGCCGAGAGTACCCGCTGCCTGTGGCCCGACGGACCGACCTCGATGAGGAGCAAGCAAAGGTCGTGCTCCGATGGATAGCCGGGTTCCACGCCACGTACTGGGGCAAGGTCGACGACATCCCCGATACGCCGCCGCCGCTGCAGGTGCAGGACCCGCTGGTCACCCCGGGCGTCTGGACGAACGGCGGATACTGGTACCTCGACACCCGCTCCGAGGAGTATGCGATCGTCCGAGATGATCCGTACTACGCCTTCCTCGACGATGCCGCCGTACGGACCGTGGCCGATTACCTCGCCGACCCCACTCGACCCGGACGGACACTGCTGCATGGGGATACCAAGGGTGCGAACATCATGTTCTCGAAGGACTTCAAGAAGTGTGCGCTGTACGACTTCCAGTATTGCGGCAAGGGCTTAGGCGTGGTGGACTTGGTGTACTTCCTGGCGACGAGTGTGGATGGCGAGGTGATGCAGGACGAGGAGTGTGCCGACGAATTGCTCGAGACGTACTATCGGGAGCTCGTGGAGCAGGTGATGCGGATGGGTGGAAGCATGGGAAAGTACACGGCCGAGATCATGATGAAGGATTTGGACATGGCGATGGTGGACTGGTTCAGGTTCCAAGCTGGATGGGGATTCTGGGGAAATAGTTGGGTGTCGGAAGCGAAGGTGAAGGAGATACTCAAGGGATTGGAGGGCAAGAACACCAGCCCATGACGCAATAGTAAGATACCATCACTGTACTTGGCCGCGTGTTTGACTTGACCTGTGCTGAAGCGATTACTTGAGGATAACTACATAATGTACATACCTAATTCCGATTCTTTTGTTCGTTCGTTCTAGAACCGGGATTTCCGGAGCTGTTGCCGTCACCGAAGCGCTTGATGTTTGGTTTTCTCTTTTCCTCCCGAATCCATTATCCATATATCCTACAGGCACAAATAGGCGAACCGGGATGCCTACCTGTTCCTACGTGAGCTACTTTAACGGATGGCTCCACGAACATCCAAACATACGAGTCCATATCCGCTGCTTTCTCTGGGCGGGTAGTTGTAACTATATCCAAGTACTCTAACTACGGACGACGGGAAGTAATTCCAACCAGCGGTTTTATGCGGTTGAATGGGTATAAGCCGTCAGTTCGCCGCCATCTCCTGTCAGTTGACCAGGTGATCTATATGCAACATGGGTGTGACACCTGCGCGGACTAAAATCTGGGGTATTCCGACGGAGTGTCCGCCGTCGTCTCCGGTAGTTCCGTCGTCCATATTGCGGTTCGGAACATTTCAACAGGTACAGACCACCAACACATCCCCTCCAATTAATATCTACCATGCTATCATACTCAGGTACGCGAACGAAGAGAAAAAAAAACACCGCACACACCGCATGCGGCAAAATAAGGTGGGGAAAGGAGCGGATAATGTAGTGGGGTATATAAGATGCTCCATATGTACCTGTTTCGGTGTTTGTTGTTGTCGCTCTTCACCAGGCTGCGAATCGTGCAAGTCTGTCACTTCATTCCTTTGAAACATCTCCTGAAGCAACACATACACTCCTTTTTCACTATGTTGGTCAACTTTTTGGCCTTCCTGGCCGTTCTGCCCGCCGTTCTGGCGCAGACGGTTACGTATCAGGCCGAGACTGGTGCCCTCAACGGAGTCACCATCGGAACTTCGCAGACCGGATTCACCGGTATGTTGCCCATGTCCCACTCCCGTGGGAACATCGGATACTGATATATATTCCCCCATAGGCACTGGCTACGTCGAGGGTTTCGACGCGGACGCGGACACTGTGACCTTTACCGTGACTAGCACGGCCCAGAAGCTATACGATCTGGTGATCTTGTACTCGTCTCCGTCCGGAGCCAAGTACACCACCGTTGTGCTCAACGGCTCCGGCGGAAGTCAGGTCGCCCTCGCTGCGGCGACGGGGTGGACGACGGCCTCCGGTGGACAGGTCCTGCTGGCGGCGGGAACCAACACCATCGCTCTGCAGAGCAACTGGGGATGGTGAGTTGCCTACCATTCTCCTGCTGGCTCATGCCAATACAAGGACTGATGGGGATATATCATAGGTACCTGATCGACGCCATCACGCTCACTCCCTCGGCCGCCCGTCCCGCGCACCAAGTCACCACCGCATTGGTCAATACCAACTCCTCGCCCGCCACCAAGGCGCTGATGAAGCTCCTGGTGGACAACTACGGCTCGTACATCCTCAGCGGTCAACAGGACCCGCCGAGTTTGGCTTGGATCGAGACGAACATCGGAGAGACCCCTGCCGTTCTGGGTCTGGACATGATCGAGTACTCGCCTTCCCGTGTCGCGAGGGGCTCCACCTCGACTGCTGTCGAGGACGCCATCGCGTTCGATGCGAGGGGAGGAGTCGTTACTTTCTGCTGGCGTGAGTGATGCCGGTCCCCACGGGTGTGTTACTATGAGCTGACGAAAATAAATACAGACTGGAACGCTCCCGTCGGCCTCTACGACGTCACCGGCAAAGAGTGGTGGCGCGGATTCTACACGGACTCAGTCGACTTCGACATCTCGACGGCGCTCGCCTCGACCACCAACGCCAACTACACGCTGCTGATCCGCGACATCGACGCCATCGCCGTGCAGCTCAAGCGTCTTCAAGCCGCCAACGTCCCGATCCTCTGGCGCCCCCTCCACGAGGCCGAGGGAGGCTGGTTCTGGTGGGGCGCAAAGGGCGCCGAGCCGGCCAAGAAGCTCTACGGAATCGTCTACGACCGCTTGACCAACTACCACGGGCTGAACAACCTGATCTGGGTGTGGAACAGCGTGGCGTCGGACTGGTACCCGGGCGCCTCGACCGTCGACATCCTATCATACGACAGCTACCCGGCGACCGTCGGCGACCACGGGCCCGTCTCAGCGCAATACAACGCGCTGTACGCTCTCGGCGGCGACAAGAAGCTGATCGGACTCAGCGAGAACGGCGCGATCCCCGACCCCGACCAGCTGCAGCTCTACGACTCCGACTGGAGCTGGTTCGTCACCTGGACCGGCGAGTTCCTGACCGCGGGCACACACAACACCCTCGACTTCCTCAAGAAGGTCTACGCGAGCAGCTACGTCAAGAACTTGAGCGACATCAAGGGCTGGAAGACCGGCACTGCTGCCGTCAGCAGCAGCACTACTACCCCCACCACCGTGGTCTCGTCCTCGAAGATCTCGAGCGCGGCGCCGTCGGCGTCGACTACTGCCGCCAGCGGAACTGTGCCGAAGTATGGACAGTGGTAAGTTCCCCGACTGAATGACTGAGCGTATCAGACTGGACACGGGCTAATGAGAGTAGTGGCGGAACTTCGTACACCGGACCGACAACGTGCGTGAGTGGAAGTACGTGCACCGCCGTCTCGCCGCCGTACTACTACCAGTGCTTGTAGGGGAGGTGACTGAATGATATCCGGTAATTTGTGATTTGATATCGGGGGAGGTGGTGGTGGAATATGTACGAGTATGATCTAGGATGGGGGATGGGATGGGGGGAGATTTATTTGATATGATATGCGGATTCAATGGATGCTGGTGGACCTACCGAGATCTGGGCCGGTCGAGTGATCTAAGCTTCTACTGTATTCCACGTCTCATTCTCCAAGTGATACCTAAGAAAACCGACGTACGCACTTTCCTTTGGCAGTCCAGACTCCAAACGGAGAATTATACCTACATTTGGTATGGCAGGATAGGGCCGATCCAGCGGTGGGGTTGGGATCCAGCGGTGGTGTTGGGATCCGGGGTGCCTGGTACCTGGTGCCTGCAACAGTTACATACATCTTACATGCCTACCGTACACAGGGAACTGTAATTGTAGGGCACACTACACACTGCACAGAGCACAGAGCATGGCTTTGTTCACACGCCGTCGTTCCAGAATCCAGACCACGGGGAGATGGGCGGGCGCTGGTGGTTGCGGCACCGACGGGCATCGACGGTAGAGTAAGGGCCCGTTTGGATGGCCTCAGTTTTCAGTTCCAGTTTTAGAGCGAAATTCAGTTCCCCGACGGGACACCGAATTCTGTCCAGTTTCAGTTTCCGGAGAACTGTGAGGTGAACAGAGTGTTTGGCAATTCTCAGATCACTCAGCCATAAGTTGTTTGTTTTGTTTTGTTTGGCTGTTTTTGGGTGTTGTTTGGTTGTTGTTTCATCATTCGCAGAATCGCAGGAGCCTGCACCTGGCTGGAGATATTCCGAAACGCACTGGCTGGGCTCCGGACTCCGGGTAGGTGGTTACCCATGTAAGCACTATTCCTGTCTGCGGTCCAAACAGCTGGCTCCATCATGATGTACTGCCTACCCAAGTATCAAGCTACCAGATAGGTATACTGTTGCAGTGTAGTGTAGTGTAGGGTCCATGGCCATTGGCAACCCAACTTCCCGCCGCCCTCCGCCCTCCGCCTCCTCCTCTGCCGCCGGCCCGCTCCCAGCAGATCTAGATCTAGAACTCACATGTTCCCGGGGAGCCACTATTCTCCCCGTCGTCAGCCGCCGCTGTCGTCGGTATTGCGGAAACCCCAAGATTGCCGCGGTGCACTTGTGTCTGACAATCGCGCGGTTGCGCTTTAGTATCGGTCAGTCGGGCGGCTTCAGGCGGCTTCGATTGGGCGCTCGAGCTCGAGCTCCAGCCGCCACCTTGGCACTTCCCGGTCCGCAGCCCTTCCCGATCCGCACCACCCAATGCTGGAGGTTATGCGCGGCCGCATGTACGGTATGCACACATCAGTACCTCAACGCCACCCCATAGCCCACAGGTGCATAAAAGAGTATTAATTCCGGCTGTCGCTGACTCGCCCCATCAAATTCTCCAGCTCTGAGATGACAAACATGTTCGTGTATCGTTTCACCAATCGTCCTGCGCCATCCATATAGAGAAGACTAAGGAAGTATGCAGGTATCGTATCCAGACACCCATTAAGAGAGACCCTTTCCCCCACCGCCACCCCGCACTGATCCTCTCCAGTCCCCCCCCCCCCCCCCCCCCCCCCCCCCCACCGCACGCATGCACGCAATCAATCCCAAAAACGAACTATACAAGACGAGACAAGACAAGTGGCATCGGACGCAAAAGCGAAGCGAAAACGAACGAAACAAAACAGAAAGAAAGAAAGAAAGACGAAAGAAGAAAAACTCCAACCCTATAATCAAAACAAGAACCCAATTTTGTGTTGTGGGGTGGGGGGGTGGTGGGGGAGTGGGGAGGAGACTAGTTCATATGCGCCATCTCGAACCAATTGGCGCGACAGTCCTCCTCGTCCAGCTCCGAGCTGCCGTCGGTGAACATTCCCGGCTTGCAGCGCTTCTTGCATTTAGGACTGCTGGGACAGTTGAAGTACGGGATGTGTTGGTAGCCGATGTCGCGGAACCTGTGGTGTGTGTTAGTGGGGGTTGCGAGGAGGGGTGGTGAAGGATGTGGAAAGATGAGCTGCGTACCAATGGATCTTGTCCTTATCCGCGAACAAGCCGAGTCCTATGCTGTGAACCGGAGCGTCGCCCCAGCGCTCGTAGAAGAACCCGCCGGCTCTGTCCAAGTGCTCAAAGTAGTCCTCGTACGGCTTGGACCTCCAGAAGTTCATGTCTCCGATCTCGAAGTTGCTCCAGAAGTGGCACGTAGAGTACCCGTTCGCCTTGCGATTGTGCTCGGGGCGGTTCTTGGCGTCGGTAAGCCAACTCATGGCGCTGTTGGGATGGATATACTCGGGATGCTCGGCGAGGAACTCGAGGGTCTGCGGCCAGAGGGTTTCGATCGACTCCGGCGAGTCGTACAGGTTGATCACGAAGCCGTAGAGCTTGTCGTTGTCCTCCATATAGCGGAACACGTCGTAGTCCACGTCGCAGAAGAAGTGCACGCCCGGCTCGACGCGCCAGTACCAGCGGAGGTCCTTGAGTGCTGGGTGGTGGTAGAATTTGCCCGAGTTCCAGCGGCACATCTGGTGGTACGAGCCCATCTTCGCGTATTGCACGCCGTTTTCGGTCAGTAGGTCGGCGGACTCCTTCATCAGGTCGTTGTTGATCCACGACGGGATCTCCCAGTGGTCTTTCGGCACGATCTCTGCGACGGATATCAATAACTATACGCGGACATGCCTCCAATCATCGAACAGGGGAGAGAGAGAGAGACAAACCGTATCGAACCTCGCCACTCGCCACCTTCGCGGTCGCCTCCTTGAATTCCTTCGAGAACTCCTCATCGTTGATGAAGGTCCACGGATAATTGAACTTATGATTCCAGGTCTCCTCGAGATCCCTCATGCTCTGTAGCATTCCCTGGAGCTCCGAGTTCCTGACGAGCGAGAGGAGCGTGGCGGACGTGCGGTTGACCTCTCCGGGCCCGTAGAGCTTTCCCGGCGGGCCCATCTCCGGCTGGAGGAGCGGATCGATGCCCTTGAGAGATCCGCCCTTTCTCGGGCGTTGGAAGCGGGAGTGTCCTGTTACATCCTCGAGAGACTTGGGCATCCGCGAGCTGATCGCCGAGAAGTTGTAGATGATCAGGAGAAACGATGAGAGTAGTAGCACCGCGAATATCAGGCGTACCACGCCGTTGGGTCGCGCGAGCGCCATGGTGATGATGGTCGTGGAGTTGGGTTGGAGTTGAAGGCAAAACGTGTTGAATGGCTGAGGTGGAATTGAGTTATTCGGTCCGTACCATAAGGGGCGCTGCGAAGGAGCCTCAAAGTTTTAGCTCCGGAGAGTTACGAGTCTTAGCAGTGCTTATCACTTTTGATCCCAGCTTGCACAAGGATGTGTGACGTGGTCCCTTGGAGAAGGCACTCAGTCTACTCTAGTATCTATCAAGTGTTACGTCCTCACCGAAGTTTGTGGTTTCATGTTTTTGCACTCGAGTTTCTGTTTTGCACATGCTGTGTTCAAGACCTTGCACTCTTGAACGAGGAGCGAACGATCACTACCTATATGAGAATCCAAAGGCCCGCTCAATTGAACCTCACGCCGGCCCGTTCCAGCCAGCACCATACCCCTCCAAAGCCTCTGCCAACATCTCCAAATGCGGCATGACACCCGCTCTCGCGACTCCACGCAAGCCCTCCTTGACGAACCCGACCAGTCCGCGAACCTCCTCGTGTATGGCGCCCAGTCTCTTCATATACCTCGCTTGCTCATCATCGTCCTCATCCTCATCGTCTTCGTCGAGCTCGCGTCCAAGGATGGTAGTCATTCCGGTGCTGCTCGGACTACCGGGCGCCGACCCTTCATACCCAACGTCTTCATCGTCCTCGTCGGAGCTGTCCTGGCCCTTGTGTCTCCTCCTCATCCTACCGCCTTTGCCGGGTGCCGAAGTTTCCTCACTGCTCTGACTGTGGAAAGCGGAGTGGACGCGGCTGAACTTGACGGCCAGATTGAGGATGCTGATGATTCCCTTGTGGATCGGCGCCAGCTTTGTTCCGAGGAGACAGTGCTCCTTGATCTTATCGATGAAGGCTGCGTGTGTAGCCACCATCCCGTCGACGTCATCCGCCTTCCCCAGATCCTGCTTCAATAGTGCCGTGAGCGGGCGGAGAACAAGGTCTGTGATGTACCCAACGATCACTCCGGAGAACCACAGCAGCCTCTGCTTCAGCGCATAAAATACTTTCGCTTCCGCATCTGCCGGCCGACGCCGGAGGCTCAGTCGCTCGAGGAGGTACCGTGCGCGTCGCAGCTGTAGCAGAAACGTAAACACGCGGCGATACGTGACGAAAGAGTCCTGCCGGACTATGTTGAGGACCGGCCACGGGAGGCGATATTCCACCTCCACGTTTTCGAGAGAGTTGACGGTCTTTCTGCCCGTCGTATCTTTGTGGGTGGAACGGGAGAAGAGGTTTTCCTTTCTGACCACCATGCGAAGACGATGCGACTCGATCTGTGGCGCAGATGAAAACACGCTCTGGACCTGTTCGGTCAAGAGGAAGCGGTCGTTCCAAGTCGCTGCCTTGCGGTCGAGCTTTTCAAATATCCCCTGAGCGAGGGATTCGAACAGAAATCCATTGCGAGCAAAGAAGATGAGGTCAAGAGCGTCGAGTGATTTCCATAGGCCGCAATTCTCGAATAGATGCCTTCTTAATCGGGAAGAGATGCTATGGTGCCTTGCCGTGATCCAGCGGTTAAAAGCGGCGAGAAATAGCGAAGAGAACGGGGCCAGCTCGGTACCTGGGTAGCACACATCCTCAAATGTGATCTCAAGATTGTAATTGGCAGTTGGAGCATCCTCTGCTGTGGGTAGAAGCAGCTTCAGAAAGACAACGGATTTACCGGTCGTGAGGATACGCTGTGCCACAGGATGTACGAACGAGGGAGCATTGAGACTGCCATGAGGTTTGCGGCGGAGGTGAAATTGTGAGTGCCAGAAATTTCCAAGCTCCACCTCGGCAGTGGGCTCGATCTGCGCGATCAGGAAATCACTTGCCGGCGGGATCAATCCTTCCTCCATCCAGAGACGGATCGGGCGGAGATAGGTCCGGAGGCAAGAGAAGAATATGGTTGCTATGAAATTATAGGCCGGCATGTTTCCAGTGGATTGGAGTGCACAGGCTGCAAGGTATAGTTGTTCTAGATGAGACGAATTGTTCAAGTTTGTGATGATGCGACACAGGCTCGCAAACGGTCGTATCAATGGCTCCAGTTGGGATTGGAGTGCGAGTAGGGAGACGACCTGTGATTCACCTAAACAGCATAACATCAGTGGATAGTCCGCCAGGGTAAAGGCATCAATCAACTCACTTTTACCGACATACTTCTCCTCAATGGCTATCAGCTCTTTGTCCAAAGCAATGACCTTCTCTTCCACAGCAGCTACGAACGATTGCCGTTCAGGAGAATCCTCCTTGTTCCGGGTGAATTCTCGGATTCTATTCAGGTTTGTGCCTTGAACGGCAAACCACTCCAGCACCGCTTCAAATCCTTTTAAAGATGCATGGCGTAGCGCAAACCGTTTCTCAAGTACCTCAAGATCTATCCGAACGATGAATGCATCGTCTCCATCGCCCCTTTTCAGAAGAGCGCAAGGATGGCCGAGCAACATGAATATCACCTCACGCAGCGCCTGGAGTTCCGATACTATCCAAACTTGGTTCACTGTGCCAGGTATGTTAGCCAGCGTATAGTCTATTAGGTGGTTGCAGATGCACATACAGTCCGTAGCGCCCCCCAGGGCCACATCCACCTCGTTCTCGGTCGGTTCGACCCCTCTTACCCAGTACTGGGCAGTCTTGAGCGTCTCCAACCCAGCGCGGTCCCCATCGACGAGAAGTCCCTCTACTCTAGACGTCCTGTACTCCTCTTCGTCATCGCTCTCTTCATCCCCCCTCCGCTTCTTCCTCCGCTTGGCATTATTGGTGCTGTCGAACTCTTCGCCTACCCTCCGTAACCGTTCTCGTATAGGAAGAACCGCAGTCTCGTCTCCGGACCATGCGTCGCTACTCTCTGCAGCAAAGTCGACATCATCCCAAATTTCGCCTTCTAGAGGATCATCGGCAATGATATCCGCCCAGGTCAGCTCTTTCGGCGGCGAAGGAGGTATCAGTCGCTCGAGATCGGAGAGATGTGTGTTTTTGAGAGGTTCGTTCGAGAGTTCGAGCAGCAGGTGGAGAGACTCCGGAACGCTATTCTTGGAGCTTCCGATGTCGATGAGGGCTTTGAGTTCAGCAATTCGGGACTGGAGTGCGTCGGCGAGCGCTTCGCCGTTAAGGATTCGAAATTTCTCTTCCAATCTACAAAACGTGAGAATCTCGGCAGATGTCTACGAGATGGGTGATTCGCTCATACCCTTCGAGTCGCGAGATCACGTCGAACTGGTTTGTGCGTCCGAATTTGTGGTGTTTGAACTTGCCCAGCGCATAATCCTTTTTGTGCGGCGAACGGAAGTGTCAGGCGAAGTTCTGCACAATGCAGCCATCATCTGGCTAGCGAGAGGCTTAGGAGGGACGACGCACTCGAGCGATTGTAAAGTTCTCTGCGTCATTCTGCGATGCGTGATGTCGGCAGTTAGCTTTCTCCGAAGCCATGAACGTGAGGCTACCCCTCCCTTGCTCCGATCGGTTGGTACGATACCTCGATTGTGAGGCCCGTCTCGCGTTGGATCAGTTCTCCGAGCACAGCCTTGATCTTGAGCTGCGTCGATGTCATGCTTCGTTCGTCGGTTAATGTTGGTTGGTGTGGTTGTCCTGTCGTGTCGTTCATTCCGGCGTGGGGACGTCGGTAGGCATGTGAGTAGGCGGGACGACGCGACTGGAGGAGGCCAAGGCAAGGATGCGTGCAGAGCCAACGGCATGTGATGTTACACGAGAGTTCTCCGAGCTCCCCCTCGCTTAGATAAGCTGGTTCCAGAGAAGAAACCGAACGAATGTGCCGAATGGCGGCGCTCTTTTTCAAGTCTGCCACGCAGTACCAACTGCCAGCTTCCGTTATGATCGTCTGTCTTAATGGCGACGGACACAGCCTCCCCGGACAGAATCGCAGCTGGGGGCTTCGTGAGGATGACCAGCGGCCTGTTGATGGGGTTCTGCGTCGGCATTTCAACAGGCGGATATGCCGACTATTTTTCTGTTCTGGGTTTATTTTTCGCCCGATTCGGACACGACGAGTGAGATTATGAGCGGCCCAGTAGTTGGCCGAAACGGATAGAATTTGAGCCGCTCCATCGTCTGTTAGTTGAAACTGTGAGGCCGTCTGCCATTTCCGAGATTGAGTGTCCCAAAATGGACCAGTAACCAAGAGTAGATCATTCCGCGTAAGAGATCAAACAAAGCTGGGAGCTGCAACCCGTTCTGCTGTGATTGTTCGCTCATCCTCTTCACTTCGGGCCTCAGTACGGATGGAGGTTTCAGGTGATGGCCACTGGACAACGGGACGTCATCAGAAGGACCTTACGTTCCGAAGCTAGTTGAAGCCTGGCGGCTACACATATAACTATTGCATCCATATATACATGGTAGTGCTTCCCCACAGACCGACCTGGCTGGGCAGGGTTCTTTCGTCTCTACCTCCCCGGCTGGCTGCGCAGCTCCCCCACTGCCGCACAAAGCCGGTCGCACACGACGTTACTTTATAAGCACATCTACTCACAGTATAGACATGTGTGGGTGTGGGCGTGTCTATAGGGAACGTATAGGTATGGCGGAGGAGAAGAAGCAGAAGAAGGAGAAGCAGCAGCAGCAGAACTGCCATAGCCGACCCAACCATGCCGCCGTAGTACTGCGCCGGGCGGCTGCTTGCTCGCTAACCACTCCACTGAGAAGACACGACATGCGGTGGCGGTGATGCGCTCGGCGGTGCGGAGTGTTCTGCTTGATGTAGGTAGTGGTATTGGCGGCGGTTCGTGGCGATGTTTCGGACGATTAGTTACCAGCCAACTGCTGGCGATGTCGATGTCCATGTTCTGCCGATCCGTCGACCGCAGACTCTAGAGGACTGCTGTCGCTCTCTATGCGCCGCAATACATCCCATGTCCTCCTTCTTAGCCTGCCTTGGGGATATATCCAGACCCGTTAGCTGAAATGACAGGGCATCGCCAGACGTTTCACAGTTTCGGATAGGCAGCCGATGAGCATGCGAATAACAACTTGAGGACTAGGTAGGGTTGCTGGATCTGCTGCTGCTTATTCCCAGTGGCTATCCGAGAGGGAATGTCCCTTCACCCCCTCCCCGCCGCCGCCGCCGCCGTCGCACAGTTGCCGACAAAACGAGCAAGACAAGGAATCGGTTGGTTGGGATCGGTTTGTCGTACTCTAAATACCTGGCTGGCCTTGGACAAGAACCTGCTCCCTTTCCTCCCATCTGTGCCTCACGAACAATCGCCGACGACGACCGCGACGACCGCTTGCCATCGCGAGACCATCCACGACTGCGACGGCCGACATTGCCTCTATATGATACCTGCCTCTTCCGTCATTGCTTCATCAATCTTCTCGCTACCGCTGCTCTACTCGAAGCACATACCTCTCGAGGTGCCTTCACTCACATCGACATTATCCAAAGCGCCATTTGGTTGCTTACCTTACCGTTGGTCGTTGCAATAAAACAAAAACATACGACGTCGACGTCGACGACCAGCTACCTATCGTGAAAGCAACAATACCAGACGCATCTCGACTCAAAAAGCCCTCCTTCCTACGATTCTGACTGAGTCCGCCAAACACCTCCCTCTGCTCGACGACGGCCTCGTAAATAATTAATTCATCATGAACTTCTTCCGAAAGGTCTTTCGCTCTAAAAAGCGGTCGAGAGCACGCACGAACCCCCAACTCGACGAATACAGTAATGGCCACGCCACTGGCGACTATCGCGCCTCTAGGGACGATAGCTACCTGCAGCCCCCGCGGTTCCCAGATGCGAATCTGAACCGTCCCATGAGCGCGCCGTCATCGCCAGCTGACTACTCGCACTACCCACAATTCAACTTCCGCAACGGCCAGTTCCCAGCGCCGCAACTTCCAGACCAAATACTCGAGCGCATCTTCTCCTACGTTTGCCCGCATGCAGTCGACCAGACCTACCTCTCGGCGGAGGAATCGACGACCGAGGCTGGCTGCATGCTCTGCGACATGCGAGACCTCGCGCGGTGCGGATCGGTTTGTCGGAGCTGGCACGAAGTGGCCGAGCGATTGCAGTACACTTCGATACGACTGGACTCGGTACACTATTGCGGTCTGGAGGACGAGCTGCAGACCCGGCGCAAGCGCGGGAGTATCTTCCAGAAGAAACACGAGCCGCCCATGGAGGTGCCCGAGATGCGCATGCGGCTGCTGTACCGCACGTTCCAGGAAAACGAGCGCGTGGCCTATCTGGTGCAGTTCGTCAAGATGCCATACATGACGCGGGAAACGTGCAAAGCCGACCTTGCGCGGTTGGTGTCGCTGACTCCTGAGCTGCGGTATTGCGACGTTCCCGAGGGCGTGTATTCGGATGACGCGTCGTGTGCCAGTCTGAAGGCGATCCTGTACGCTCGCTGTCCGGAGCTCCGGAAAATGGCCTGGAATACCGGCAGCGAAAAGAACTTTGTCGACCTCTGGGCGCAAACTCCATGGCGCAACCTTGAGGTTGTCAATCTCTCAGCTCTCCGGGTCGAAAACGTGGACCTCGTTCGCGTGCTCAACTCCCTTCCCGCCCTTCAGGACTTGACCCTGAAAGGGCTCCCTTGGATCTCGGACGCGGTCTTCGACGCCACTCCGAATCCCGCTGGCCTCTTCCCCGCGCTTGCCAAATTGGCCGTTGAAGATGTCACCGCCGCCCTCACTCTCGAAGGCTTCAAGATGTACCTCAGCCGGCCCATGATCGCTGCCTCCCTCACCGAACTCTCCCTAACCAACACCACCATCGCCCCGCAATCCCTCCACGAGCTGCTCTCTTGGTGTCCATCCCTCGAATCCCTCACCTTCCGTGGCACCGTTGCTCGAACGCTTCCAGCTCCGGAACCGCCGCACCTCAGATCCCGAACCCTAACAACCCTCCGCTACGAAATCACCTCTGACGCTTCATCCAAATCGCTCGCGAAGCCCACGCCCAGCTACTACTCGTACCTTGCGTCCTCGCTCCTCTCCAGCTCCCTCCCCAACCTCACCTCCCTCTACGTCCGCGAGTCCGAATTCGCCGAGCGGCTAGCCGGGCACTCCTCGACTCTCTCGCACCCGCTCACGATCCACACCAAGTCCGCGGAGCAAGACCACCTTGACTGGAGCAAGTTCCTGATACTGCCGCCGATCACATCGCGGACCCCTGGGGGCCGCGCCGGCGGCCTCGAAGTGCACGCGCTGTGGGAGATGCCGCGGAACTCGCTGGTCGCAGACTTCTCGGATCCGCGCATGAGCGGCTTCCTGAAGGCTATGGAGTGGGGCGGCGACGCCGGCGGCGGCGGTGATATGCTCGTGCCCCCCAGTCCTGGCTTTGCGGCCGCACAGGATCGCCCAAGGAGCAGGAGCGTAGACGCTCCCTTCGCTAAGGGACATAGCAGGGGCGAGAGTTACTCCTCCATCTCTGGGGGAGGAGGGCTTGCACCACCGAGTCCCGGGTTTGCGAAGAAGGAGAGGAGGAATTCGAGACATGATATCTGGCGGTGATTGTACGTGGTAGCCGGCGCTGATTGGTTATGTACTTGCTTATGTACCTACGGGATTTGATTTGGCGCGTGCACTTACTACTTAACTACTATTTACTTATCTACTTGTTCCTGTGCATGCCGTCCATTGCTGGGCGGCTGTTTGTGCTCTGCTGTTGTTTCTACACAAGTACTGTGCATCATGAGATTGAGATCGGGGATACCACTGTGCGACTAGCGGATCGATGCGCGAGCGAGTTTCTGTGATTGTGTCTACCATCTGAACAGGTGTAACTACTCTAGAGTAGCACCTCTGCACTCGGGCAGCAGGTAATAGTTACTCCAGTCTCCAGACTCCAGACTCAATTGTATGTAGCAGTGGACGCCACAGTTCGTTTGTGCATGTATTGTACTCTACATATCTACATAGAAGATTGCACTTGCTTCTCAGTGCGTTTGTCAACGGTCAGTCAGCCGCACTTTACCATACACTTTACTTTTCACGAGCACTCCCATAGTTAGCAGAGGAATTGACGCGTTACCGTTACGTTGAACGCGTCAATCCCGACAAAAAAGCAAACGGGCGCTTCTTTCCTTTTCCCTTTCCTTTTCCGTCCGATCTGATCTGTCGTGTCGGTTGGGCTGGGGCCTGGGCACGCGCGGAAGGGCGCGCGGAAGGGCGTGAAAGTCCCGGAAGGGCGCGAAAGGTGAAACACTGCAACGTGGAAACTGCCGTGACCGCTGACCGTGAGCGGCTGCCGAATGTTGAGCGCTGGGGTGACGACTGAGGTGACGGCTGAGCGCTGAGGTGACGTAGGTGCTTGGATGGGTACTGCTGGGTACTGCTGGGTGCTGCTGGGGGGAGGTAGAGGAGGTAGGCCGGGAGTCCTCTTTCGATCGAATTGCAGCCCGCGTTTGCACCTAAGCCCGTGGACATGTACTTACTCATGTGCTTGCTCATGTACTTGCTCATGTACCTATGGACGTACCTATGGATGTACATATCATGTACCTTTGTATGGACCAGGTACCTATGGATGTATGATCATGTATGTACCTGTTCGCAACTGCGGGCTCGCGATAGGGGGCATGCATCGAACTGGACACGTCAAAAGCTCGCGGAATCTATGTATCGTGCCTATGTACCAGAGCAGAGCAAAAGGAAGTTCCCATTCCCGCCGACTTTTCCCCAGTCGGTGAGCGATCGGGTGTCCGTGGGACGTGGAGCGTGGGGCGTGGGGCGTGGGGCCGGCCACCGCCCTGCCAATGTAAGTATCGTCATCTGTCTCTCCTCAATTATGCTCCGGCCCGGCCCAGATAGGTTGGTGATCATAAGTGCTGCTCGCTATGATGGTCCCTTGGTGCTATGCTAGGTAGCTAGTAAGCAAGCAGTTATCTCTCATCTGGCGAGTTGGAGAACCGAGTCCGAGCACTGGCACTGACACTGGGACTCCCTAGTTCGATTGGTATTCGGTGCTTTTTTCTTTTTTGGAGGGGGAGGGAGGGGGCGTGTCTTCTGATCATATTTATTCCGACCAGCAAGCTCCCTCCCAGCTGCTAGATATCGTATACCTGAGGGTGATGACCACGAGTGGCCTGATCATTGATGGGAATGGCCCATGGGGAGCTTCACTCGCTCTGCGCAGGTAGGTAAGTTAGTCAAGTAGTATCATAGTAAATATCATAAGAAGCCAGCCAGCCAGCGAGCCAGCGAGCCAGCGCCGGTAGTCGGAGCGATTGAGGGCGAGAAATCCCCCCCTTTTTTATTAATTTTTATTGTTATTGTGGTTGTTATTGTTATTATTCGAGGGTTGTTGATGGCTGGTGTCTGGTGTCTCCATCCACATCGGTCCCGTTAGGAAGAGGTGGCTGGGCTGGGCTGCGAGGCCATAATAAGATGAGGAAAGGAGAGCCGGCGCGGCGCGGTGGACTGGGCTGGTGGACTGGTGGTCTGGCGGTCTACGGGCCTGCGGACTGGCTGCGAGCTGGGAGCTGCGGTCTGTGTGGACATATGCACTCGCCGTTCAAGTCCCTCGACCGTCTCTTTGCTTCTCTGCGCATATGTAGAATGAAGGAAGGGAAGGGAAGGGGGAGGGAGGAGGGGAGGGGGAGGAGGGGGAAGGAGGACTGTCGTTTGGTGTTTTTATTTTGTTGCTATGGTGATGATGATGTTGATGATGTTCGGCGGCTGTCACTGTCTCTCGAATCCACTTTACTTTAGACCGCCATGCGGAAGCAGCAAAGGAAGACGGTTAGAACCTTCTCCGAGTTCTCTCCGAACGGTTTGACGTTGTGTCTCTGGCGCGTGGTGTTGCACTTGTCTTGTCTTGTACTCTACTCTAGAGTCAAGTTGCCCACGGCCGCCCGGCCCCCATGCAAAGTTCATTCATACTGGGTCCTAACCAGAGTTGTCCTTCCCACTTTCCTCCCATCGTAGAAAGGGTAACAAAAAAAACTAAAAAAAAATTAAAAATTAAAAAAAAAGCCGAATTCGAAAGATGAAGAGAACTTGAGAAAATTATGTACGAGATCCAAGCAAGCGCAAGCTCGGACCAGGCAACTGGCACTACGACCATTCTCTTCATTTTCCACTTCATTGCCGGACAACAAGACAGGTCAGAGGAAACCACAACTTCTCGTACTCCTCTCTTCTCCCTCTTCTCTCCATCTTTACTCCCCTCCCTAACCCCCCCTCCCCTCCTCCTCTCGCCCGCAAACCCCTCCGTCAACTCAAATCCACCACTTACTCTACCTCCACCACCTCAACCTCAACTACCACCACCACACCCCCCATTCTTCCCCGTGGTCCCGACCCGCTCCACACAACCCCTTCTCATCCCGTCTCCATCCCTCCACTACTCCCCGGCAATCTCAAACACATCGCCCGCCATCATTATCTGTTAACGGCCTCCTAACGACTTCCAGCCCTTTGTCCTTCTCATCGACTCCCTCGTCCAGTGCCGTCTCGTTCGAAAGGCACCGAGCATTTCTTGATCTCACTAGGGTCTACAGTCGCCAGCGAATCAACAACCCCCCCGCAAGACGTCCGTCCGAGCCAACAGGTCACACTACCTACTACTACCTACGCCAGCCCTCACTCTACACCTCCTTCCACGGTGTTCACTTCGTTTTGCGGGAGAGAAGAGAAGAGATCGGTTGATTCAACAAGATGGATCGATATGTGGTTATTCACGTGGCAACCACTTGCGATGAGCACGGCGTCTACGTAACCAAAGATTCCGCGGAGGTCATTGAGATTGGATGGATCTTGCTGAACGCAAAGACACTGGAAGAGGTCGGTGCCTTCGATGTTGGATGCATGATGGATTGAAACTAAATCGCCAATCCCCCCTTGGCGATCAGCCCCCATCCCCCGTATGCCTGAGATGCTAATGATTCTGTCGGACTGCAGCTTCACCGGGAAAGCATCCTCGTACGGCCCGTCAACACACCCATCACTCCGCTATGCAGTATGTCTCCTCCGGTCGTTGAGATGATCCCCTAACCATGGCGGCCACGGCTACTTGGCGGAGCTATATTGCCCGGTTGGAAATGAATGGTGCTGATGATCGGCAGCGAGTCTCACGACCCTCACATGGGAACACGTTAGAACTGCGGGCTCTTTCAGGGACGCCGTGAACCGATTCGATGCATTCGCCCAGGAGATGCTTCTCTCTCAGAACCTCGACTTCACCTTTGTTACACTCGACGCCTGGGACCTCCGTGTCCAATTGCCTCGGGAGGCTCGGGACAAGGCGGTCGTGCTACCCCCGTACCTGCAGCATTCCCGCACCTTCGACCTCCGGACGGAATACACGCGCTGGCAGTCCCACCACCCTGAGTCCCTTCCATTTGGCCCCTCTTCGCTTGCCAACATCTGCGCTGCCCTCGAAGTCGAGCCCATTCAATCTTCGGCCCCGATCAAGCACAATCTCCCGTTCCACTTGCAGGCGTTGGCCCCCGCGTCACCGCGTAGAGCGTTGGACGAGGCCATCACCCTGGCACGGGTGCTCAGGGGTCTGATCAAGAAGTCGCAGCCCCCAGAGCAGCACCCGGATGTGTTGGCACGCCCGATGGACGCCCGTGCAGACGTCAGAGCATTCCTAAGCGAGAGAAGTAAGGTTCTTCACATGAATGGATTGCCCCATGACACCACACAGTCAGAGCTGGAAAGTTGGTTTACGCAGTACGGCGGAAGGCCCATCGCCTTTTGGACGCTCCGGACACCAGATCAACACAAGCCCACCGGAACCGGATTCGCCGTGTTTTCCTCACACGAGGAGGTAATTTTTTCACTCACCGGCGTGACGGATTGAATTGTCGGTTGGGACTGACACTATGCTTGTAGGCTGCCGAGAGTTTGTGTATGAACGGCCGCGCTCTGAACGAGAAGGCCATCGAAGTCTCACCGAGCAGCAGTCGCGTACTGGACCGTGCCTCCGAGATTCTGACTCCGTTCCCACCCAGCAAGAACCGACCGAGACCTGGAGACTGGACTTGCCCTTCTTGTGGATTCTCCAACTTCCAGCGGAGGACTGCCTGTTTCCGTTGCTCTTTCCCGGCGGTGGCTTCGGCGCCTAGCGCTGACCCCATGTTCGGGTACTCGCAGTACTCCCCGGCCTCGATGGTTCCTCCCCAGCCACCGTCGATGAGCCACGGAGGCGCCCACGGCATGCCTTCCCGGTCGATGCCGAACAGCGGTGGAATGGTGCCTTTCAGGGCCGGCGACTGGAAGTGCGGTTCCGACAACTGTGGCTACCACAACTTTGCCAAGAACGTAAGCTGTTTGAGGTGTGGCGCCAGTAGGGCTGGTGCCGCAGTTGTGGCGGACACGGCTTTCCCTTCACCGGTCGACTCGCAGTCCGCATACGGTGGAGTTGGGCTAGGCGGACCCAGTCACGGGATGGGCGGACCTGGGCCGATCGGTGGTCAGTTTGGCGGCGGTGGCTTCCCCCAGCAACATTTTGGAGGCCAGCCCAATAATAACTTTGGGTTGCCATCTGGACTCGGTGGAGGCGGCGGCGGTTTCCCTCAATTGAACACTTCGCTCGGCCAGGGTGTCGGCCCCAATTCGAGCGGCCCCTTCGATCACCGCACCGAGCAGGCGTTTTCGTCCGGACCCAACGGCAGTGGCCTGTACGCCGGACTACCGGATAATGAGGCGTTCTCATTCTTGTCTGGCGGACTTGGAAGCCTCGGTCTCGACGACAGGAGAAAGGATCTCAACGGCGGCGGTAAGTCGCCTGCCGCTTAGGTTCCCGCAGATTACGAGACGTAACCATTCGTTTGGTGGCGCTCGTTGTAGAAGGAGAGAAGCACAGAGCAATTGGGTTTCATCCATTGGTGATTAAGACGCAATTTGTTTGTTGGTTCATATAGTGAGTTGTGTGCGCTTAATGGATTTGGAGTTGGGGCTGCTGTTGTTGGGTGTGCGGGCTTCTTTTCGGGTGGGGGTTTGCGTCGGGGTTTCTCTTTATGCTTGATTGGTTTGGGCGGGGGAGGGGGGTTTCTGCAACAGGGAAGAACAAGAAGAAAGCTGCTGCTCATCCATACAAAAGAATGAGATGGTAGTAGTCTTTTTTACTCTTCTCTTCTCTGCCATGATACCTGCCTGCCGTTTTCAATTTGTATTCACGCGTGTCTTCTCCTTCTTCTTTCTCTCTCTCTCTCTCTGTTGTTTTGTTTTCTCCGGTAGCTGCCACGAGTACGGGACGGGAATGGATGGGGCTGGAGTCAGGGGATATGGGGGAATGGGATGGGAATGGGTCGGGGGGTTGAAATATTTCTCGTTTCTTTTCCTTTATTTTTCTTTTCTTCTTCTTCTCTCGTCTATGCGTGTGTGTCTGTGTGTGTGTCTGTGTGTGTGTTTTTGTTTCCTTTCAGTTCAGGGCTGCCGTTTGGTTGATTTGGTTAGGTTGCATCTGGGCGGGGCGGGGGGGCATTACATGGCTGGGTGCGGGTGCGGGTTTGCGGGGCTGGATTGGGTTTGCGGGGCTGGGTTGGGTGTGCGGGCTGGGTTGGCGTGCGGGCTTGATAGGGCTTGATAGGGCTTGATAGGGCTGGTGCAGGGCTGGGTGCGGGCTGGGTAAAGAAAAGTTGGTCTTCTTCTTCTGTTTCGCCTTCGTCTTCGTGTTTGGATTCGCATTTTGATTCCGGTGCCACGTTTAGTGAGATGATATGAGATGAGATGTGTGGCTCGGTCACTAGTGAATGAGCTTTGTACGGTTCTCGGGGGCATTGGGTTTGTAGGCGGGAGGATATGGGGATTGTGGGAGGGGGAGGTGTTGCGTATCGTATCGTAAAGGGATGAGATGGGTTTGCAAGTAGGCGTGATGGGCCAGGCTGTATCTGAATAATATTTGTCGAATCTTGAAACTTTGACCATACCTAGTGCGGGCGAGCGGGCGGGCGGGCGGGCGGGCGGGTGGGTGGGCGGGTGCGGGTATCTACACGGCATAAGTGCTCCTGGTGATCCATATACCCTACCGGAGCCTGTGGAGTTCGCTAGGTACCACTCGGATACCGATACCGAGTACGGCTGGAGTCTGAACAGCGAGTGAGCCACTCGGAGCTGCGTTGCAAGAGCAGAGCCACGCGGAAGAGCTGGACGTCTGGATGTCTGGTGCCCCTGCCCCTGCTCCGCTCGTGAGTGCCGCCGTCTACGCCTTTTCCGGCCCATACATAGCCCAGCGGAGTCCAGCGGAGTACATATGCCGTCGAGTAGTTCGGGACCGCGAGGTTCGGGGCGGGGAGGTTCGGGACCGTCGCTCCGCAGTCCTCAACGCCCACGACTAATAGACGCAGTAGATCTCTAAGCGGGTATTTGTGACTTTGAGCTGTGAAGAAGCCGATGTAAATGGTGGGATAGTCTGAGTGACCATAAGTAGCTGTACGGCAGCCTGTAGAGTAGAGCAGAGTAGCGACATACGAGATGGAAAATGTAGCACAGATATTCACTCACCCTCTTTACTCTATGTACCGTAGGTGATAACCATCACTCGGTAGCTTAGTCATGTATATAGTAGTAAGAGGGGTGGTCAAAAGCTGTGCTGAAGCAAGAATAGGTCACGTGAACGGCACAAGACTTAAGCTGAAGCCTTACTCATCAGCACATACCTCATACACCGACCATTACATCAATCATTACATTCAAGGGTTTCTGATAGCTTTTTCCGTTCGTTTTCCGCTTCGTATATCTTCCCATGTGCTGTATAACCTGAGCGAGGTTCTCCCAAACAGCATGTGCACGTGTGTGCGGGCTCTCGTGGCCGACAGTATTCACACATGTCTGCATGGCGGCCACTGCCAAATTTTCCGCCTGATCCCACTTGTTCTGTATCAAGCTGAATCTTGAAAGTAAGATGATCGCCACAGCAGTTGACGGGTGTTCGCGTCCAAATACCTTTTCCGAAGCAAGCTTGTAGTCCCAGCACATCTCTTCCGCCTCACCGGTCTTTTCCAGTAGATCCTTAATCGAAAGCGAACTCCTCGTGAGCTCGATCCCCAGCGCGTGATCTTTTCCCAATCTCTCCCGAAGATCTTTAATCTCTCTCTGCAGATACACTTCTGCTTTCCGCAAACCTTCAAATCCACCATAATCCTTCCGAGGGTTGCTTACGCCGAGCACATGCATCATGAAATCCAAACCCCTTTTGTACAACACCTGGATATCGGATCCAGTCGTATGTCTGAGGGAGTCGATTTCCTTTTCCAGCTCAGCAGCTTCAGGGCCGCTTCGTTTCAACCACGAATTGGCCATCCCTTGGTCGGCGGGGACTCCAAATCCAATGGCACAACAAACTGCGAGCTCGAAGGCACTCTGTGTAGAGCATGAGCAACCTTGCTTGCCATCGAGATTCCATTTGTTTTCTAAACATTTTACGATGTGCACTCGGATGCGGTACCTATTCGATTAGACTGAGTGGAAGGAACATGGCCGTCACCTGGAGTAAAGAACTAATCTTAGCATCCAGAAGGGTAACAATGGTATAGGTACCTACCTATGCCATCCCGCGGAGTTGGATGGAGGCGCCGACGTCAACACCGTGAATAAGGATGGATGCACCGCACTTGACTGGGCTGTGCAGAATGAAAACGAACAGATGAGAGAGCTACTGCAAAGCTATGCGAGTCGCATTTCGGCTCGCGTGGAGTGATGGCCAAGAGAAGATCTCGAAGACCGCATGCTGCCCATTCTGAGCGATGAGATGGGCGAGTCTTTGCCAAACCTTAACCTAGGTATCTACTAACTTCTACATACTTCACAGTCCCTGGAGCGCAAGGACTCCCGGCGCGGAAACCAGGCGGAGGTCTATCGGGAGTTCATCCTGGGTAGACCATGGAAAGTCACCGAGAGCCGAGTGAGAAGAAATGAGGCGACCATATTTCCATCGAGCAGTGTTCTCCATAGTCCAGTCCGTCCTGAGCCTCGGACTGGACTGTGTCTTGGCAGTCCGCCCGGGAGTTGTTTTCGGACGGACTAGTTATGTACTTTACGACCATCACCATCACACTTTGTTCATGGACTATCTCTACCCACCTATTCGGGCGGATCTCTCTGAACTGCGGCGAGGACATTAATTCAACAGAAATTATGAAATTACTTGAGCTTGAGAATAAAGACAACAACAGAGTACGCATTACGATATTTACTCCTCCAGACTGACTGCATACGCATTCCAATTGCGTTCCAATTCTGATACCACCTCCGTGTCAACTTTGCTCTTGAATTCATCATTGTCCAAGGATTTAACCGCGCTATCCAGGCCACGGATACAACGCCTCACAGCACCTCCATATATCTCTCCAGCCTCCTCTTCTACGACCGCAACGAGTTGAAAAGTTGAGACCAAGTCGTTGACATACTTATTGTCGGAAACTGCATCTTGGGGCTTGAAAAGGTTTTGAAGTCGTTTTCCGAACCAGAGCTCAATCAAGACAACGCCGAGCGAGAATAGGCTCTGGTTGCTCGTCAAGATGGAAACTTCTGCCGTCGCTTTCGATTTTTGCCGATAATGCCGATCAGGGTGGAAACTTCGCCGAACTACAGGTTTTCTCAAAACCGCCCCTAGGATCATGATCTCTTCACCGGAAACGCCCCGCGCCCGGGTGGCCTTCTGAGGAAAAAGAATATCGCACGCCCCCCAGCTCTCATCCAGCCAGTCTGTGGTGTGCAAATGCATCAGCGAGAACGCCAATTCTACGCCGAGTCTTAATCGATCACCGCGGTCGAGATCTTCTCTTTGTAAGAGTTGATCGAGTGAGACAAACTCGGCCGTGTAGCCTTCGCAGGACGTCGGGCTCGTCCGGATAATCCAGCTCTTATCGGAAGCGAGTACTCCTAGGTCGGGCGAGTTACCTTCGGCGCTCGCGATGAGTGCACAAAGGTCGGTTATCTCTCGTGCATTCGGTGGGGCTTGGATCGTCGCTTTTGGCAAAGTCTCTATGGCGAACGAAACGGCTTTCTTTGCCTGTTCACTGAAAGGGATCAGATAAACTTCAATCCAAACCGACACTCCAAGGCTACCTACCCCTGGGTCTTGACCGTTGGTAAACTGCTTGTGCCCCGCGGTACTGCGGAGACGTCTCGGTCGAAAGAAACGGCTTTCCTTATCTTTTTACTAACAGATAATTAGCTTAATACGACAATCATTTGATGCTATGTATGGCCGGTTTCTTACTCTCGAATCGGTGTCCGTGGGCTACTTCTACCTCTGAAGATCGACCGGAGGTAAATTTTTAAGCCTTCGAAAATGATATCTCGCCGTCTTTCCACCGGCTTCACTATAGCCGGCGCCGGAGTGGGGGTCGCAGTGCGTCTGACTGGAGTAATGGGACGTATCTCGGTGTCTTTGCAGGCTGTTTCCAGGCCGTTGCGATCGCCGAGAGGCCGAAATTCGAATTCACGCCATGCCAACAGCAATTCGGATTGCATGTCCGAACAGACGTCAAACGACAAGAGCACACTGAATCGCGGGCTCGGAGTAGTTGACTTCTGGTTTGGTATTCTTTCTAGTCGTAAATTTGCATTGTGCGGTGCTGAGCAACGGCAGGTTTGCTGAGCGCGAAAAGTTTTCAACAGCGTATCATACAGGTCGATCGCGTTCTTTCGGAAGCGGCTGTAGATCTTTGTATTCTGTCGGGGTGGTTTCGTGACCGAGTTTGTTCTGCATTGTGCCAATCGCTCGAGAAGCCGGAGCGTTCTGGAGATGTCGTTCAGCGCGTCTTCCTTTCGAAGCACAACCTTCATACGGCCCCAGGTCTGGCGGTTGGGTTCCACAGACTGCACCAGGTCAGCATCGAGCACATCTATAGTTCGGCTGGAAATGTTTGGAATCACACCTCGTCGTGAATCCCAAGCTCGTCCCTAAGTTCCTTAAGCAGCTGATGCAGCTCCTTCATCAGTTCTGTGAACCTTGCGGTAGCCTCAGAACCTAACCGCTCCCGGAGCTTGCGTTGCAAATCGGGGTCATCCCAGGCGTTTCCATTCATGGGTTCCGTCGCGTCCCTCGATGATGCGATTCCCTCGAGAAGCTTGCTGCAAACATCTTCGAAGCAAATGCATTCGACATCCAGTTCCCTGACGAGTCGCTTGAGGACACTCCTCCAACCCGCCAAGTCCTGGATCATTTGTGCGCCATCCAGGTAAACTTTCAGGCCTTTGAGGATTAGGGGAAACACCGCAAGAGCTAGCCCCGCCGCTTCGATACCGGTAACCATCGTCGTAAGGAGAAGTGCAGAGGACACGACTGCGGCTCAAGCCCTTGCAACCAACCTACGCTTATGTGATTGGGGTGCTGCCCTCTCATTGGATGAAGGTGCATGATGGTAACTTGGGCTGGCAGCGTTCCCCCGCACGAACCGAGCGGCTGGGTTGAGTTGGGAAGAGGTGTCCTACATGCATAGGAACAGTAAAGTCATGGCCGAACTCACCACTTTGCCGCTTTGCAACGAATCCCTGAATCTCTTCGTTCGACTTGTCCGGCTTTTGGGGAACTCAGAGGCCCTTTCCCCACTTGTGTCCAAGGATCGTGGTACTACGGCGATAGGCCCTGCCATCCGGGACGAGTGTGGACGATTCAGAGTTTGGGCCGAGAATGTTGGAGCCCACAGAAGAAATCATCGCCTATCGCTCGATCACCGTCTCAGGGAAGCAACACGTGTGAAGAAACTGGTGATCGAACTATTGAAGGACTTGATCACTGCACTTCAAGATGGTTTGTTTCTTCACCGTTGCCGTCTCTCGAGCGAATCTGACGTTATTAGCGGGTGACATCATATCCGGCAATTATCATGATTCCTACCTACCTAAGTCCGATGCCATATCTTGGTATTCCTTGGAGGCCACAGAACTCGAGGAAGAACAGACGCTCCTGCGGACTCCATTTGAAGAATGTTTAACCGAAATATCCCATGTCATCACTTGTCTGTACAAGTTCTCGATTACCACCCAAAATCCAACGCCTCGTGATAGGTTCGAAAAGTGTGCCGCTATCGACATGTCCCACTTCAAACACTTCGACATTTCTCATATCATGGAAAAGTTTCCAGAGATTGAAGGGAAAGATTACTTGATCCAGCGCCTTGGGAAGGCCAATACCAAGCGGCGACAACTGCTTCGCTACCACAAAAAGCATCATGAGAAAATTGTCGGCCATTGGCATACGACGAACGAAGCCGACCTCTTTGAAAAGACGACCTACAAAGCCGATCCCCTCCGTTTTGAGAGTGCATCTATAGTTCAGCCTAGTACTGAGTTTACCCAGACCGCCACTACAGTATCAACCTTCGCACAGCCGACCATACAGGAGTATCACGAACCTAGCCCAATTGAATTTGAAGGAACTCCCTCCGAGGGTGGGCTTTCGCAGACTACTTACACATCTTCTTCTTCTTCTTCCGGAGGATCGGCAAGACAACTTCGTGTCCCTGATCCTCCCAAGGACGATCCATTCGACGGCGTGCCTTTCCAATGCCCATACTGTTTCACCTTGATCTCACTCACCAACCAGATGTCATGGATGTAAGTGCTGCTACTACCGCGCAGTAACACATGTCCTAACACTCAACCCAGGAGACATGTCTACAGGGACTTGCGACCATATATTTGCACCTTCGAGTTCTGCGTCCGATCCGAATACCTATTTGCCAGCCGCCAGGAATGGTTTGAACACGAGCGAGCCTTTCATAGACGGGAGTGGAACTGCAATGCTTGCAAAGAGTCATCTACTTCGAAAGAAATGTTCCGCCAGCATCTACAAACACGGCATCCAGACGAAGTACAGACCGAAGTGTTTGTCCAACGTGCCGAAGAAGCGATCGAAGCTGTACAAGAGTGCCCTCTGTGCAAGAAGACATACTTCCCACGCCGACTCCAGAGTCACCTCGGACATCACATGCAACAGATAGCCTTGTTCATACTTCCCGGAGCCTCCAGCGACGATAATGAGAAAGAGTCTGTGGGAGAATTTTCGGAGTCGGATGCGGACGACTTTGAAAAGGAGCACGGTCCGGACTCGCCACCTGCGATTGACACCAGCGAAGAAGGCTTTCATGCCGCGATCAGAGACGGGAACCTTGCAGTTGTCCGGACCGGGTTATCGACCATGAAAAATTCTCCCGATGCCGACGGTTACCTGCCAATTCATCGCGCAGCACAGGCCGGTCATGCCAACATCGTCGAAGTGCTGTTACAAGCTGGAGTCGTTGTCAACGCGGAGGTCGGAACAGAAGAACGGACACCACTCTCCTGGGCGTCAGGGAATGGACACGCGGATGTAGTGGACCAACTGTTGGAGAAGGGGGCCGATGTCAACGCAAAACCAACAGGGATCCACGGAAGAACAGCCCTACAAGCAGCATCGGACGGAGGCCACCTTGCGGTAGTGGACCGACTCTTGGAGAAGGGGGCCGATGTCAACGCAGAACCAGCACATTATGACGGAAGAACAGCCCTACAAGCAGCATCGGGAGGAGGCCACCTTGCGGCAGTGGACCGACTCTTGGAGAAGGGGGCCGATGTCAACGCAGAACCAGCACATTATGACGGAAGAACAGCCCTACAAGCAGCATCGGACGGAGGCCACCTTGCGGTAGTGGACCGACTCTTGGAGAAGGGGGCCGATGTCAACGCAGAACCAGCACATTATGACGGAAGAACAGCCCTACAAGCAGCATCGGACGGAGGCCACCTTGCGGTAGTGGACCGACTCTTGGAGAAGGGGGCCGATGTCAACGCAGAACCAGCACATTATGACGGAAGAACAGCCCTACAAGCAGCATCGGACGGAGGCCACCTTGCGGTAGTGGACCGACTCTTGGAGAAGGGGGCCGATGTCAACGCAGAACCAGCAGGGATCCACGGAAGAACAGCCCTACAAGCAGCATCGGACGGAGGCCACCTTGCGGTAGTGGACCGACTCTTGGAGAAGGGGGCCGATGTCAACGCAGAACCAGCACATTATGACGGAAGAACAGCCCTACAAGCAGCATCGGACGGAGGCCACCTTGCGGTAGTGGACCGACTCTTGGAGAAGGGGGCCGATGTCAACGCAGAACCAGCACATTATGACGGAAGAACAGCCCTACAAGCAGCATCGGACGGAGGCTATCTTGCAGTGATGGAGCGGTTGCGAAGGGCCGGCGCGATTCATCAAGGTAAAATAAGGCTCAAGCTACTCCAAGAACTTCCTGACTGATGCTCTGCGAAGTGTCTGATCGATAACCGACTGAAGTGTCCGATTAAGCTACACAAGTGATGGTGAATTTCGTTGATTCTTGACGAGGTACATGAAAGAGTGCGATGGTGTGTTTCTCAGTTATTCAAGTGGTTTTAGTGCATACTTACCTACGTGGTGAGCGTATTAGTTGCGGATTTGTTATGTACTGTTCGAGCGCGAGAGATTTCGATGTATGTATTGCCCGCAGAGAGAGAGAGAGATCTTCAGTTTCTTTCGCATGCGTAGTTTTGCCCGCAGGATTGCAAGGAAATCAGTCCGCGTTTGGTGAGCGAGTGATGGCTCCAGAACCAACAACCTCAGTCCGAAAGGGATATACTTGGTACCTCCAAGGCTTTGTGGGTTTGCCTTCAAACAACCAACATACAGTACGCTATATATTGCCACCCCATATTTATAAAAAAATCAAAGGGAGTAGATAAGTACTAGACTCCAGTGGTTCTTCTTCCGATCAACCGTATCCCATTATCGACCGATTGGCGTTTTGATCAGTGAACGAGCGCGGAGACTCGAGCTGGACTTGGACTCACGAAGCAGTCCGGAATCCAGTGTCCGGATCGGCGGCATCGCTCGTCGTGTAGATATACCATCTCTGTCGCTGAGCTCCGAGCTCCGATCCTGCAAGGCTGCAATAGTATTTACCTACCTCATACTTCGTACCATGGCGTTGCATTCCGCACCGCTCCCGATATTTCGTCTGCGGCCTCATCGTGCTCCGTGAGTTCGTGGCGCCCATGTGGATCGGTGTGGTCATCCGGTTTTAACTTCCAACTTCCACCTTCCAACTTTTGACTCTCGAGCTGTCAGTGATATTGCAGAATCGCAATTCTGGATTCTTGCGGAAAATCTCCGCCGCTCCGTGCGGGCGGGCTGGGTTTGCAATATTCATGTCTAACTAAGTAGGTAGCCAACGGACGGCAACCAAGGGCAAATTCTTGGTCTTGCGTCTCGACTCTCACGTCTTTTTCTTCTTCTTGCTTTCCCGTTTGTGTTCCCGTTCGGCTTCGGGATGCTACCTACATTGTAGTATGTATAGGCTAGATACCTGTATTTGTGGGGTATGGGTATGTAATATGCAGTAGGTAGTAGGTACATATCTTCCGAGTGAGAGTGAGAATTTCCGTCGCTGTCATGTGTGTTTGTATGTTTGTGTACTTTTGTATTTGCTCTCCGCCATTCCTTCATTCCATAATTCATTCCTTTCCGTAGATACCGTAGATACCATATCTACCGGTATTCCCACCCGCTCTTTTACCTTTCCCTTTCCCTTCCCTTCCTTTCCCGCCTCCCCCATCCCTTTCCCTCGTGGAGTTACGGTATAGGTATACCGGCCACCATACCGCACAGAGGCACCCACGATTCACAATTCACAATTCACAATTCACAATTCACAATTCACAATTCACAATTCACAATTCACAATTCACAATTCACAAACATGCCCGAACGAAGGAAGGCATCACTGCCCCTCCAGCCCAGACAAGCCCAGACAAGCCCGCCCTTCTCCACGCCCTTCCCCACGCCCACACCCACACCCACACCCACGGTTCCTACATACATTAAGTCAGTAGTTACGGCAACAGCCGGGTGCTCATTCACATCACATACGGCATCTCCACCCCCGCCCCCCCGCCCCCCCGTACCCCCGAATCGTGCCGTTCAACTATTTCCCGCTATATAGTAGTTACGGCCGTGCCAGCTATGTAGTCGTGTCCGTGCCCGTGCCGATTCCCGCCCAGCGGCGCGGACGTCTACTACGGCAATATTGCAACAACAACAAAAAAAAAAGCCAGTCGAGGAAACGCAATAACAGACAACAAACAACAGATCAATCCCGTCGATTGCCCCAGCTACCAATAGTATCTATGGCACCTACTTCCCACTTCCTAGTAACCACTCAAGTAGTCTGTATAGAGTACCTATCATACAAAGCAAAAGCAAAAGAAACCGATTATAAATCCAGTACCAGGTACGTAGAGCAATGATAAAATACACTGAGTACCTACCTCATAAGTAACCCGCAAAACCAAACCAAGCCACCGTCATGCATGATTCATCGTTTCTATGATAGACTAGGTACCTAGGTAGGTAGAGTCCAGAAGTATCATACATACAAACAAACAAAAGTCCTCTGGCCGATATGGTAGAGTAGAGTAAAAGGCTCCTCCTGCCTAAGTACTGAAGAGTACTGAAGACAACTACCGAACCTGAAAGAAAAAGACAAAGAAAAAACAAGAAGAAAGCAAAAGCGTATGATAGGTATAATAGCAACGAACCCTCCGAACAATCCCCAGCGGAAGAAAACGAAAACGAAAACGAAAACGAAAACAAACAAAGAAAGAAAAAAGAACCCCAGCCCAGCCACAAGCAGCAAGCAGGAAAGCAATAAAGCAAGTGTACCGACGCCAACCCCCATCCCCGACTCCCATCCCCGCCCCATCCCCAAAACCGCAAGCAAAAAAAAAACATCAAAATCCAGAAAACAAGCAAGCAAAAAACAGAAGAATTGATAAAAAACGAAAGGGCGACGAAGTACCTATCTGAACTCATCATCATCATCGGTACTATGGGGGTCCCTATCGATGACGGGCCTCAGGCTTGTGGGGCCCGTTTCCCTCTCTCTGCGCTCGAGCAGACTTCCGGGCGCAAAGATGCTCCTGGGGCCCACATCCACGAGCGGGCTGAGTTCGCCGTTCTTGGCCATCGCATCCCTCTGCGTTTTGATACCGTGCCCAGTCGCTGCCGTACCGGCGCTGTGGAAGTTCATCGCCAGGAGCCCCGTGCCCGTGAAGGGACTGTATTCTTCCTCTGAGCTGTAGACTAGCGGTTTCTTCTTCCCGCCGGTAGTGGGTCGCCGTGCGAGCGGGGAGGTGGTGGCGGAGGCGGGGATGGGCGGGATGTCGGAGCTGGTGGCTAGGGAGATCAAGCCGCCTTCGCGGTCGAGGGCAGTGTTGTCGCGTCGCCGGTGATGGGGGAGCGCTGTGGTGATTTCGTCGGCGCCGAAGCTGAGGAGCGTGCCGTGGTTGGCGGCTTCGCGGCTGCCGGCTGTGGAAGGTCGCTTGACGGTTCCCCGGCGCTGCAGCGCGGCGTTGGGTTCCGAGGTGTGAGAGTCGGAAGATTGCGGGCGATCCGTTGGTGGTGGCTTGCGCATTCCAGTCGTCTTGGAGCGGTGTAGGCCCTCCTTGGCTCTCTCCTCTTTGAAGGCCATCAAGGCCACTTTCCTCTTCTCTTCATATTCAGATCCCAGAAGACCACCGGGGGAGAACACCTCGCCCATCGGCAGTCCGGTCGGGATCACCGGAACTGATGGTGATCGGTCCCTTCTCGAGTGCTTCAAGGATTTACCGCGATGCAACGATTTGGAGCGTGCCATATCAGCCAATGGAGCAGGTGGTGCTGCCAGCTCCTCGGGAGAGATTAGAGGCTTCACGTGGTGTCGTCCGCGCTGGGGACTGGTCGGCGAGGCATCAGCGAAGGGATTGAGGCGTTCCTGGCCCGGAGACTGCACAGGCTCATCCTTGGAAGCGGTGATCCAATGGGCAATCCCCTTCTTCTCTGCGAGCAAGCGCGCCTTGAAATCCCGAACGATGGCATACCAACGAGCAAAGACGGACTTGTCATCTGTCGCAAAATAATACGCAAACACCGAGTTCTTGCTAAACAGACTCTGCTTGTGCTGCGATTTCAGCGCGAAACAGAACTTGGTGGGACACTTCAGCTGTTTGCTGGGTGCGAATGTCTCCGTGAACGCGTATACGTCAAAGTTGTCAAGGTTGATTGTCTGCAGGTAGTCCTTGTCGTATGGTCTGTCTTTTTTCAAGATCCTCAACTGGCTACCGCCAATACTGACGGAACGTTTCGACCATTTCTTGTCCGCAGTAACGTAATAGTAGAACATAGTCTCGTCGATGGTCGGCTCGGCCTTTGGGAAATCCTCAAGTGTGGCCATGGTCTCTCCCCACACGTTCTTTGCCAACCGCAGGTGCGGTGTAGTACCGGCGTCCCATGTGTTGACAACATCCGACACTTGCTCAAAGTAGCGAACCTGACGCTGGATGCCGAGGCTCGGCCACACTTCCATCAGACACCGCTGATGACCTGGCCGCACTTTCTGCAGAAGCGATCCGGCATCGGTGCTGTAGAGTATCGGGTGAGTGGTTGGGACGTGCGCTTCATGGTGGAGTTGGATTTTGAGATCGTAGGCCTGAAAACAATGGGAACGAGACACGCAAAGTCGTCAGCAATGGTTTTTTTCACCAGATGGTTGTGATTATATTGTGTGCTACGGTAGTAGCTGCAGTACCCAGGGGAAACTTTCTCTCCCTCTTCCACTTCTTTTCTGCCCACAACACCACCAACAACACCGCGAAAATATAGGATATCAAATCTCACCGTATCATCCAACGGTCTCTTCGGTTTCGAAGGCCGTCTCTTCTTCCCTTCCAACGCCGCAATAGCATCCTCCCTTGCCTTCTGCCTCTCTTCATCCTCCACGCTCTCGGCTAACCGAACCTCTGATCTCTCCGGCGACTTAACCAGCTTCCTGTACTGGTCCCGGTCGCGGTGCTGCGCAGGAGTCGACAGCGTCGCAGTCGGCGCCGTGTGATCTTTCGTGGACGTGTTCAGACGCAGTATCTGCCTGAACTTCGATCTGTGTCTCTGCAATTGCTGTGGCTGGTCGTCCACGTGATGATGTTCCGAGTGGTCGGCCCGTGGCGACGAAGTCACCGAATCGATAAGCAGCCTCGGAGGAGCCGCCGCCGACACTGTCGGTCGCGTCTTTCTTTGGGGGCTGGACGGGGCTGATTGGACTGGTGCCGCGGCGACGGCGGCGACGGCGGCAGCAGCGGTAGTGGCCGCCGGTTTCCGACGGACTGTCTTGTAGCGTGATGGGGGTGCGTGTCGGGACGTTTCGGTTTCCATCATTGCGGTTGCGGGTAGGGCTGGGCTGTTCTGGAACTGGTTGATATTGTCGGCTATAGTTTCGGTCGCGTGTGCGGTTTAACTGAATCGGAGTAATTCGACAGGTTGGTACTGTTACTATCGATGGCTGATGTGATATGGTTCAGCGGGGAGAGGGAGGGACGGTGGACGCAGGGAAAGTGAGATCGGGATGGTGTTCTGCTCGAGTGGTTTCGTCTTCGACGTAACTACGGGGCGTGTGGAGATGGTATGGTATCTAAATCTAATTGTGGGGGATGCAGGTCGGTTTAAGAACCTGGGAAGAGACGGGCTTGTGCCTTCGACAACAGGGGTGGCAGTGGTTAGTCGGATGTAGCGCGGTGGGCCGTGAGAGATGGCGGGACGGGGATGGAGGGGAGAGACGGGGGTGGGTGGGAAGGGGGGGCCTTCTCGCCTGCCGTGCACCGTTCGACGGGCTGTGGTCTTCCTCTCCATGGGAACGGACGGACGGCCACATGAATTCCGACACAACAACCGCAACCGGCAGAACGACACAGAGCCAACCAAACCATCACCATCACCACCGCCGCCGCCGTGGTGCAACATGGCCACCACCACCGTGAGAGCACCCGCGCGCGCAGGAGATGGCGAGATGCATCTGGGGGGATACGTATGCCCACGATGGAAGTGTACATATGGGGATACGTACGCCCGCGATTGCAGTCCGAATGGAATACCTCCATCTGCGTGCGCCCATTGAAGCAAAGCCAAGTCCAGAGCACGAATGGGTGCTCTAGAGTGACTTAGCATCAGACTAGTAATTCGTACACCGCCGGTGCGCATTCGGCCACTCTGCGGAGGCGGTTGGGGTTGGCAGGTATGTATCATCAGACACACCCGATGATCTAGCGGCTGTCAGCGGATCATGGTTCCCCACTGGATGTCATGGTGCATCGTGACATTCGACGATCTCTCGTCGGTGGCCAATCAACACGCAATACCCCCCGCCGTCTTCCAATGCATTATCCTCCTTGGTCTGGGCGACATAGTTGCAATCATCCCCATCCAGTCACGATGGCGCAGGTGTGCGTGCGAAACACGAGCAAGCAGGATGTTTGGACGCCTCACGGAGCATGAAACAATTGCCATCGAATAATTGCAGGAAAGAGAAGTAAAATAAGCATAAGCACACGATACGGTTACGATGCGATAGAGTAGAGAGGTGCCAGCCCACCCCATGTCCACCGCGTTTCGTGGGCCTGGCAGTTCCCAAAGTAGCCACCGGAGGATAACAGCCAATTGCGGCCCTCGTCGATAGTGTTGACCTGGCCTGTGGCTGTGCCTGCCAGCAGGGCTCTTCACCGTGGACAGACGCGAAGAAAGGAGATGCCTCGGAAGGGAAATTGGAGGCGTACAAGCGCCGTTTCAAGCCCGGGTACGCTTAGATGGATGTGCTTTCGTGCACGGCTCGAGGAGCCGTGCGAACCTACCGCGCCGTTGAATTGCATCGCGAAGGAAGCGTAGAGACGTAGGTAGAGCAGAGCAACGTATGATGCCGTAATATCTCACTCAAGAGGTGCTCCAATAGTGTAATATATCTGGCATCTTGGCCTCTGATATGAACAGAGATTCTGTACTGTTGCTTGTTTTACTTCCCGTTCAGGTAATAATCTGTGCGCCAACAGCAAAAAATGCCAGATCTGAGATATTGGCTACCTCGTAAGTGAGTGAATACAGTACTACTAGTAGTAGCAAGTAATACTCCAGAGCAAAGGTACAAAATGTCCAGTACTCCGTCAGTGGATCTATCTTGGTGCAAACGTACGGCCAGCCGAGTGAGTACGAGTAAACGGGACGCCTTCTACCAAAACCCCAGCGCAGGTGTCCAAAGACTTTCGCCACTTGAGTACATACATCAGCGGAGCCGGTAGAGTATCCATGGCAACCAGCACATCTCGTTGTCCTCTTTGTTCCTCGATGACGAAAGTAAAGTACAGGCGAAGCGTACTAGCACACACGAAAGGCTTCGGCTGCGTCGGATGCAGGGCTACCCAGATCAACGATGTCGGAAAAACATGGCCGGAGCTTACGGTACTCCTCCCACCCAGTGATGGGACCGATCGAATGGCTTGTCCGTCCGGCGGCGGTGGCAGACAACCTACTGTATGTATGACCCGCATCTGCGCAACGTGGTCGGCGAGCATGTCGTCATCCGGACCCACCAGCTTCTTGTGTGCGCCGTTGAGGTGGCGCAGGGCTTCTTTCTGTCGGCGCCGGTTGCGATCATGACGAGTGTGGGGAACTACCGATATAGAAAGTGACATACCCAATCGGATGCCAAGATTTGGCGCTGGAGCGCAGAATCGTCCTCAGGTCCGACCGATTCAACGGCAAAAACTAAATCAACGACTTGAGTTTCTGCACGCGGACAGAGCTGAATGCCGAATGCCTATATAACGTTTTTGTCAAAGTTGGTCGCCCGGAGATCTAGGCACGAGTTAAGGTTTGGCGGTGGAAGAGTCTCGACGGCCACGATGGACCATCGACGAGTCCATGGTTACGAGGCGGCGAACTCTGATGAGCGGGCCCGGCGAACTTTGATGAGCGGCGAACTTTGATGAGCGGCCAACATTGTTCGGCGGCCAACTTTGTTGGCCTCTCAGTCTTAAATAGAGGTCTTCACCGTAGACGATAGGTTCTTCTTCTGTATCGAATAGAAGATCATTATCTATATACCTGCCTATTTTCAACAGTTATAACTCTCTTCTCGGGCTCTGGGAGGATCGGACCGTGACAAAAACTGGTGTGAATGGTGTTGTCGAGACGTTCCGGTGCTTCTCGGACTGTCACTCTGGAACTCTACTTCATGCTGATCACGCCGCCAAGTTAGCGTGCACGCCAAGCCCTAGCTACCCCTTATAAACCACAGCTGTCCTTTCAACTCCCCTTTCCGCCCCTCCTCCTCCCTACCTTACATACCCCACCCAGCACTTTCCCCCTGACTTCCCCCACCCCCCTCCCCCCCAATATACCCAACGCAAACTATGTTTCGTTTCCCCGTCTCTTCCTTGCGGTACTTATACCTCACTATCGTGCCATCTTTTTGGCCCTGCTCATCCCTGCGCTGCGCTGTCCAGATTGGTCGTGAAAGCTAAGCTTTGAGGTTCACTGCTGACGCCACGACAGTAGGCTTCCAGGAAAGAACATATAGTTTCCTTGGTTATCCTCATCCGCGCCGATCGAGATGAGATTCGCTTCCCGAACGGTTTCTTTCGAGTAGGACATCGGCCAATGTCCTCGGAATCGAAACGTCGGGTCGACACTCTGAGCGATACTTAAAGCGATATGATAACAACAAAACAAGAGTCGGCTAGAGATTTATCTCCGCCGGACTAGATTTTGAATGTTAAGCTATGCTGCAAAGTATGTGGATGTCGCACCTGTCCGTCCTGTAAAGGATAGATGGGATTGTTGAACCGAATCTTCTTTTAAGAAGAGTTTTCGGATGGACCAGCCAGCTCGGCCTATAGAGCTTTGAAAAAAAAAAGAAGGGTGGTTCCGCAACGGTCGAGCGTTCCGGCTGTTCGAATACCCGCAAAAACCGGATCGATGTCCTCGGAGGTGTGGTCTCGTCGTCACTTCGGCGTTTGATCACCTCCACAGTCACTGGCAAGCCAAGCTAGCCAGCAGACCCCATCACCACACACCAGCAGAAGGAATTGTCCGAATGCTAAATCATGCCGCGAGGAGAATCACCGCTACGACGCCCTCCGGCCCGACGGTACGCACCTTTGATTCTGTCTCCTGTCCAATGTTGCGCTCTTACTAACTCGCAAACCCATCAATTTAGTATGAATGAGATACCCGTGCCAAGTCTACCTGTTTTATGTGTGGGCGAAAACACTGAACGGAGAGATGACTTGTCATTTGGGGTATGAACAATCGTATGTGGGCATAAGTGCTGAGAATCAGCCGGCATGTTTGAATGGTAGGTGTCATCATTTTCTTGAATCTCTGACCGATCTTGCTTTTATTTGCTTTCCCTTTGATTTCGATTGTTCCCTGTGCTTGCTTTACTCGTTCCACACAGTGTCGGCGTTGGTCTGGGAGGTTGTTGCTGTGGGAGGAGGAGGAGGAGGAGGAGGTGGTGGTGGTGGTGGAGAATGAAACTTGCGGCGAGAAGAATTTGGGAGGGAGATAGCCGTATAATTGTACCAATACGACATGGCTATTTGGTTCTGCCATTGATGAAAACATGATCCGCGAATGTGAATAAAATCTTCAACCGCGCCCTGCCAAGAAAAGTTGCCGTTCATGTGTAATGAGAGCAGACAAGTGGGCTACTCGATGAGATCAGATAAGATTTAGCGAAGAGCATATGTTTATCGCCTAGGTATTACGCCGAACTCTTTTCCAAAAAACTGCACGAGCAGAGTACCGTTTGCAGCACCCGATAACCCAAATAAACCCGTCTCCACCGTCACAATTCCCCATCACCACCGTCACCCATCCGCCACCACCACCACTGTCCCCCCTCTCTCTACGAAAAGATGTTTCGTCAAAGCATCCGCCGCTTCGCCACTGCAGCGGAGAGCGCCTCTCCATACGGCATTAAGGTCGGCAAGGTGCAAGGAAAGGTTAATGGCTTCGTCGGCGGTACGTTTTCTCCGCCCCGAGCAGCCAAACTTTACTGACGATAGTAAACCATAATAGCCATTGGAAACACGCCCCTCATCCGGCTCAACAAACTCTCGGACGAGACCGGTTGCGAAATCCTCGGAAAGGCCGAATTTATGAATCCCGGAGGCTCTGTGAAAGGTGCGTAGATAATTCTAACCCCACCCCCGCTGCTGCAGCGCTACCCCACCTCCCCCGCCACCACCTTCGCGACTAACAGAAAGAACAACCACAGACCGGGCCGCGCTCTACGTAATCAAAGACGCCGAGGAGCGCGGGCTGATCCAGCCTGGCGGGACGATCATCGAAGGCACAGCGGGCAACACGGGCATCGGACTGGCGCACGTGTGCCGCGCCAAGGGCTACAAGTGTGTGATATACATGCCGGACTCGCAGTCGCAGGGGAAGATCGACCTGCTGCGGCTGCTGGGCGCTGAGGTCTTCCCCGTGCCTGCCGTCGCGTACGATAACCCCGAGAACTACAACCACCAGGCGAAGCGCCACGCCGAGCGCATGGAAAACGCCGTCTGGACAAACCAGTTCGATAACACCGCAAACCGCAGGGCGCACATCGAAACCACCGGCCCGGAGATGTGGGCGCAGACCGGCGGGAAGCTCGATGCGTTCACGTGTGCCACTGGCACGGGCGGGACGCTGGCGGGTGTGACGCGGTATCTGAAGGAGGTGTCAGACGGGCAGACGGAGTGCTGGCTTGCGGACCCGCCGGGGTCGGTGCTGTTCTCGTACATCCAGAGCGGCGGGAAGCTCAGCGAGCGCAGCGGCGGCAGCATCACCGAGGGAATCGGCCAGGGCCGCGTCACCGACAACCTCAAGCAGGAGATCAATCTCATCACGGATGCGCTGAGCATCCCCGACGAGGAGTCGATCAAGATGGTCTACCGCCTGCTCGACGAGGAGGGTCTCTACATGGGCGCCTCCACCGCGCTGAACGTCGTCGCTGCGTACCAGCTCGCTCAGAAGATCGGCCCCGGAAAGACTGTGGCTACTATTCTCTGCGATGGCGCGTACAGATATGCAGACCGCTTGTTCAGCAAGAAGTGGCTCAGGGAGAAGGGGCTGGATAAAGCCATTCCGTCGCATCTCGAGAAGTACGCTGTTCTGGACTAGAGAGTGGGTAGATCCGTGGGAGGGCTGGCTGGCTGTATATACCTGTATTACGGTTGCGTTGTGTTGCGTTGTGCTGTGTTGTGGTAATTTGTCTTTTTCAGTTCCAGTTCTCATTACCTACCTACCCACCTTTCTTTCTTCCTCATCTGTTCCTTTTGTTGTTTCTAAATCCCCCCCACTCATGGCGTTTTTTTCTTCTCTCCCTTTCTTTCTTTTATGTTTTTTTTCATGGTTGGTCCGTTGAGACGGTGTCGATTGATGGTTGATGGTTGATGGTTGATGGTTGGATGGTTGGATGGTTGATGGTGGGATGTGTATGTACCATGGTGGGGCCGAGAGATCCCGGGTTAAACGAATGAAGCAGTGTTGGTTAGAGACCGATGCACCGTGTGTGCGTGTGTGTGTGTGCTTGCGTGCGCATGAAATGAACGGGGCAGACATTAACCCGCCGTCGCGATTGAAGATCGTCCCTTGGAATAGAACAAGGTAGGTACATAGCGGTGCCGCCTTCGTCCCGATGAAAGTGCTCCCAAATTCCCAAATTCCAAATCAAAAACACAGATGAGCTCCACCATGGTCCATCAATGATCAGTGGAAGTTGGAGTTCGCTACCTACCTATACATAGGCTATTAGGTATCCAGACCTGGCAGACCGCGGTATGTAGAATAATTGCATGTATGTACGAACCAATACCTACCGGTAGGTATGTGCTTGCTTTGTGTGGAGAATGTGAGACCGTAAGATACCTACTGTACTAGAGCAGAGCAGAGCAGAGTGTTTGGTCGTTCATACGGTGGTAGGTAGCTTCGGTAGATAGGTTAGGTAGGTACTTAATCACTCGCCGCCACCACCACCATCGGTAGGGACCAGTAACTCGACCGGTAGTTACTATGTAGTTAGTCCGGGTCGCCGAATGTCTGTCCGGGACATCCATGTCCGAGATTTCGCAGTCCGGTCCGGTCCGGCAGCGGGACGATTCGGCGAGGTCATGGTATCACTAACCAGTGTTCTCCATAGTCCAGTCCAGTCCAGTCCAGTCGGTCCGGACCCTGGACGGGACTAGACTACATACATTCAGTCCGTCCAGAGGTGTCTGTCGGACGAACCAGTCCACCAGTAAGGTCGGATGGGGCGGGGTAAGTGCCGAAAAGAGTGGCACTTTGTTTCACCATCGGACTGCAATCGACTGCAGTCCAACCCGGACCAACAAATTGGCGGACGGGACGAACTAGGTACTTTCATCCCGTCCTCAAACAGGCACGGACGGACGGGACTGGATCAAGCTTGGCAATCCGTCTCGTCCTGACTGCAGTCTGGACCGGACTACCTATGGAGAACACGTCACCAACCGGCTTTCAAGATCCACAGCTACCTAGTCCGAGATGTAGCATCAGCCTGCCTGCACTGCACCGAACCGACGGAGCCGTGCGGCGGTGGGCGGGACGGGAGTAGCAACCCTGCAGTGGACACGGCACCGATCCCACGAGCGTACATAGGCAGAGTACATGCTACCCGAGCGCTGAAACCACAGCGGCCCACGCCCGTTGGCCGCCCACCCGCCCGCCCCGTCGCAGACAGTGCTCCACCCCGCTCCCGTCCACCGTCTCCGTCCACCGTCCACCGACCACCGTCCACCATCCACCGTCCACCGTCCACCGACTACCGACCCTCATTTTTTTTGTTTTTTTGTTTTTGAGTACTCATTATCACCTACCTAGTAACATAGTACATACTTCCTACGACCTATCCAGATCTTCGCAATATCCGCCCATACCGGTATATGGTGAGTACACACTCCATTTCTCCATAGCTGTCCAGACTCCAACCCGACTTTCGTCGAGCGGCCCGATGTACCTAGCTTCCCCTGGGTATGATGGGTACCGTCACGTCACGTGCCCGCCCGAGTGCTCGCCCGAGTGACCGAACCACCGAACCCCCGCCCATGACCCGCATCCCCGTATCCCCGAACCACCACCCATGACCCACATGACCCACATCCCCGAACCACCGCCCATGACCCGCATCCGCGATCCCAGCCCATCCGCGATCCCGGCCCATCCCGGCGCGTCCCGGCCCCCATCGTTCAGCCCCCCCAACCCCGCTGTGCAAACAGAACAGAACGTCAAATCTACATAGAGTACATGCGCGATAAAATCCCGGCGAAACCTAACATACCTAACATATGTAGACAGATGCACACCGCCTCCCTCCCCGAGTTTCTTATCCTATCCTTATCAGCCAGCCCCCCTCCCCTCCGCTTCAGGGCCCTGCATATGAAGTTCGCTCGCTCGTTTGGGGAAGCGGAGCGGGAATCGGGATGCGAGCCGCCACCACCACCCAGCACCCAGCACGCACCACCCGTCACTGCCGTCATGTCAGACCTAGAGTATTCATGTCATAGGATAAGGAAAAAAAGCCACCGAAAAAAAAAACGATTTTGAGCAAAATTCGCGCGCTTCACACTCGAAAGAGAAAAAAGGAGGTGCAGAAAGAAAAAAAGTTCGAATTCGCCACTGATATCGTTCGTTCCTCCACCTCATCCCCATCCCATTCCATCCATCCAGTCCATCCAGCCATCCATCCAGCCATCCCAAAGATTCCATCTGCCCCTAGATCCATCGAATTTCCCGAAGGCCGAAGCCACCCATCCCACCCCATCCCATCCCATCGATATCTCCATCCCATATACACCCCCACCCTACCTCGTCATGATACAAACGGGCACAAATCCGAAACAAACGTAGCAAGCAAAAGTACTGTCGAAGCACAATGCAGGCAGGGCATAAACGCGGCAAAAAAACAAAAAGCGACAACAGAAAAAACAAATCAACACACACAGAAGCGCACCCAGTCAGGATCAACATAGCCAAAAGTTACAAAGCTCATCCAGTAGACGGTCAGCAAGCAGATGCAACCAGGGAAGGAGAAAAAAGAACCGAACAGAATGAGAGAAGCTACAGAAAAAAGAATCCCCTCTATCACATACGAAAAAGTTATCTGCCGAAACTCAAGAGAAAAATGCCCATCCATATCTCATGTCGAAAACCACCCCCCATCTATCCATTGGAGAGAAAGGAAAAAAGAAAAGGTAAAAAAATAGCCTCATTGCGTCATTGCGTCATTGAATAGCTCGAACTGTGAGCGCCGGATATTTTAGGCACAAAGCTTATGCAGGTACCGCGCCGTTGAGAACGTGGGTGCCGGTCGTCTTGGGTTGCCGAAGGGTCAAGGGGAAGGGGTAGTCATCGGTGTCCTCCTCCTCACTAATTGTACGTCAGTGCATGAAATCAATAAGGAATGTCGTGGGTTACGAACGGCAATCTCCAGCCAACGTAATCGTCCGTGTCCAAGTTCTCCATACCCTCCTGCAATGACGGGAAGTCACCAGGAGTCATCATACCGGTGCGGTCCCGAGGGGAGCCGGGCACCGACAACGGACGGGCAACCTTCTGCTCGGTACCGTCGAAGAATGGGAAGGGCTCCTCGTTCTCGAACGCGGCCGGGTAGGCTAGTGAGGCGTTAGCTTCCGATGCAATCATCCAGACCGTCGTTGGATATGCTTACCTCTCCTCAGAGCCAGCTGTCTGGCCTTGACGTACTCCATTCCCATGCGCTTCCAGTCCAGGAGATCACTGAGTCTCTCAGTGCGGTTACGCTGGTTGATACGCTGCCGTCTGCTCTTCTGGGCAAAGTCGAACATGTAGTCGGCAAGCTGGTTGACACTATCATCCACACCCTTACTGCGGCGGTCCACAATGTAGATACCGTAGTCGGACGCGTTCTCGATCAGCTCCTCCATGTAGCAACCGAAGCCGGAAAGGTTGGTCGTGATGGACGGGACACCCATGACGGTGCACTCGGCGGGGGTGTAACCCTGAAGATTGTTAGCCAGACTCATCCATGAAAGCACGAGACCGAACGACTCACCCAAGGTTCGTAGTACGAGGGGAAGACACCCAAGTGGGTACCGCGAACGAAATCATCGTAGTCGAGGGGAAGCACGGGGTTGGCCGAGTTCAAGAACTCGGGGTGGAAGATGACCTTGACACGGTCCGATGGGTGGTTGAAAAGCTGCACCCGTCGGATCTGGTTCAGGATGGGATCCGTCAGGTCGTCGGCCATGTTGTGCGTAACCACGGGGGGCAGTGCGTTCCTCTTGAGGGCAAAGATTCTGCGCTTAAGCATGATCTTCTCCTGGTTGCTCACGAGCTCCTTATCGGTCGGGAGGTCCTCTCCGTCGTGCCACCTCAGTGCGCGCTCAAACAGACGCTTTCCGACACCCTGCTCAACAACTCCAACCGCATCTCTCAGCGCCTTGATGACCGCCTGTCCCTTCAAAGCCTCAACGGTCAAGGAGTGGGTCTGGGCGGGCATGATAATGAACGCCACAACTGTGGTCTTGCTTCCAGACGTCTTGAGACGGTGGTTCAGACGTGCAAGCGACTCGACGAACATGTCGACACCCTTATTCCGGTACTCGTAACGACCCGCAGTGAAGAAGTAGAGGGTGTCCTCCAAAGCAAAGTCGTTGTGGCCGTAGAAGTGCCCCCGCGCGAAATCGTGGATCTTCTCCTTCGCCTGGGCGTGGAGGTTCTGGAACTCGTGCATCGCCGAGAACTTGACAACGTTCAATCCGTTGGGCAGAACACCGTCGGGCTTGCGCTTTAGCAGATGCTCGGCCTCGTAAGCGGTGATGTGAGAGACGGTGGTGAAGACATCGCAAGAATGCGTGGCGGCACGCTCGATGCAGTAACGGTGGTAAATTCCACGCTTGCCAGCTTCGGCATCCACGTCGAAATACTGGAGGTTATTGTAGAAATCGACGGATCCTGCGCACAGGTAACGTCCGAGAAGCGTGGCGTGGGTGGTGAAGATGGTTGTGACGTCGATACGGCGCTTGCGGCAAAGCGGAAGAGCTACACCTGCGAGCCACTCGTGGAAATGCGCGATGACGGCCTTCTCGGTTTCTTGGCTGACGAACTAATCACGACGGACCAGTCAATCCCCGCCCCCACTTTTTTCCGGAGAATCCCCGTCCGGGGAAGAAAGAAAAAAAAAAAGCGGCTCACCTCCCCCAAGAACCAAGCGACCAGGTATCCGAACACAACGGCCTCGTTAGTCTCATCATCGCCGGGAGGGCAAGGAATCATGGCAGCGCTCCATAGATCTCCCTTCCACTCATCCAAGTGCTTGTAACCGGTCTTGGTGTCGAACAGGAGCACCCTCGGGGCACCCTCGATAAGCCAGCGTCCGTACACGTAAGTGATACCGCGCTCGGCCATGGAGGCGAGCGTCTTCTTGAGCGCCTCATCCTGAGGTTCGAGTTGTTCGACTTCCACCGCGGCCTGCCCAAGTAGATCGTAATCCGAGATTAGTGGTGTACTCGGAGGAAGAAGGGGATGCGCCAACGGATGAAAGTACGACTGAGAGGGATGGGGATGGATATAAGGTGGCGGGGGAGCCGGAGGAGGAGGAAATTGTGAGGGGAAAGGGGACATAGGACGAGAGGGGAGTTGATGAGCACGCACCGAATGGCGGTTCAGAGGACCAATGAGGCAGTACCGCTCGCCATACTCGGCAGTTGTGATGGCAGCTTTGGACTTGATAACCGAGTAGATACCACCGACTGCATGTCGCACACGATCCAGTCAGCAGCTGTTCCAGAGCCATCACCAAGAACCAATCAACGGGGTGGAATGGTATTGGAGATGCGCACCTCGGTTGGCGACCTCAGTTGAGATCTCGAAGAGGAGATGGTTCTTGACGTCTCGTGATCCGGAAGCCATTGTGATTTTATTTATTTTCGTAGCGTGCTCAATCGACACTCAACCCTTCTGTGGGAGGAGGGAGTAGGAAGATCTGGAACAGCGGACGGGGTATCAGCAGCTGTGATACTTAAGTAGGTTTCCGGATTCTTAAAGCAGTGGGCAGATGTCAACGACGCAATGGGGGGAAGCCGATGCGGTGCAACGGACGAGGCACTGAGGGGGGTGTGCGGGGGGTGGGGGGGGTATGTGCGGGGGGGTGGGTAACGGGTGGATTGAGTTGCAATGACGAAAGCGGCGAAAGTTGCGGAGGCGCACCTGGAACTGGGGATGGGGATGGGAGGGTGAGGTTGTGAGACACGAGAAGTGCGTGCAGTTTTTCACAGCGAATGCGGTAAACTTGGATCGCAGATATTGGGGGGGGGGGAGGGGGGGTCTGAAGGAAAAGCCGTGCAGATGGGGAGGTTATATACGTTGTGGGAGTGGAGAGAGTGTGTAGGGTTGTATTCTTGAGGTGGGGTTCAAGAAGGTGGTGGGACGAACGGATGGATTGGTGGAGGTGGTGAAGATGATGGTGGTAGTGGTGGTGGGCGTATGGAGCTGCTTTTGTTTCCCGCTGGAGGAGAAGGAGCTGGAGCTACTGGGCAAAGGGGTGCAATTGCGCAGTGGAGGTGGGGAGGAGGGAGGAGAAGCAGGAATAATGTACTGCGCCGTGAAGCTGGGCAACGTGGAGGGGTAGGGGGGGTGAGGTGTGTGTGTGGGGGGGTGGTGGGTGAGGGGCAGGAGGGGGAGGGTGAGGGGCAGGAATCAAGATGCCGGCAAAAGAGGATGAAGGCAGGCGCGAGTTCGAGGAGGAGGCCGGCCGCATGAACGCCAATAACTGTTACCGGAATCCCTCCCCTGCTATTGCTTCTTCCATCTTCCCTTCGCTTCAGTCCGGCGGCCAGGGGGGGTAATGCCTGCTAGCAGCAGTGTCGTCGTTGAGTACTTTCTACATCACCTAACCGTCTGCATAGAGTGGTGGCCACGGCGGCGGCGGAGGAGGGGGACGAGGACGACAGATTGGTGGTGGTGGTGGTACTGGCGGTACTTGTGTTGGTGGCGGTGGTGCTGGTAGTACTGGTAGTACCAAGTAGTAGTGGTGGTAGTGGTGGTGAACTGGTGGAGATGGAGGAGGTGGTGGTGGTGCGCGAGAAATGTGAAAGCGGTGTAACAATGAAGTCAGTAGTGAGTTTCGTTTTGTTTAGTGCGAGTTCGGTGAGAGAGGCAAGTCGGCCAGCCCACCAGCCAGCCAGAGCCAGAGCCATCCAGCCAGCCCAGAAATCTGACCGGCCAGCCCAGCTATGGCCCAGTCGGCCAAACAGCTTTGGTCTGAGAACAAAAAAAAACAGCCACCACATCGACGGACGATATTGCCATCTGAAGGCGGGCCGTAATGTGCTCTACTCTAACCCGTGAGGTGTCTGCGTGTCTGCGTGCGTGCGTTCGCTCGTGCGGTCATGTAGCGTGGAAGTACCTAACTTACATACTCTGCGTACTTAATCCCATTTGATTGTCTATCTATTTATCTACGTGCACCCGCATCATGCTCCATCATCAATTCACTTCAATCAAACTATCGATGTGCTTGCAATGAGTGAAGAGTGAAGTGGTGCATGCCGATAGAATCTTCCATACTCTACACCCAGCAGCCAACCCCCCTCTTCGACAACGAGGACATGTGTGTGGGCCAGCTCGACCGAAGCCGCACGCGCGCTTCCCCTCAGTTCATCGCTGCGATGAGTTGAGTGAATACCGATTCACTCTAGAGCTGGTGCGGACTGAGCTAGGTATTCGGTGCGATGCCGGTTAGTTAGCTGGATGCACTAGGAGCCCAGGAGGCGGCGGTGGCGGTTTGTGAGCGTACTCATCTACATACGGAACGAAGTTATGGTCGGAGGAGTGGCGGTGGTGTGGTATGGCGATGGCAGTATCCAAGGCGGTGATGCCGATGGGCAGTGGTACTATTGAGTGGATGACCGGTGTGTGGTGTGGTGTTGATGTTGGTGTTTGTATTTGTGGTGGTGTTGATGTTGGTGGTGGTGGTGGTGGGGTTGATGGTAGTGGTGATGATGTTGGTGGTGGCCATGCGATGGTGTGTGGTAGGCGACAATCCCGATTCCAGGTTCGCGCAAAGCAAAGAAAAGAAAAGAAAAGAAAAAAAGCATCGCACGCACGCAGTAGAATCAGCAAAACAAAATAAGACTTCTATGTACCGGTATCGAAACGGCTTCGTTCCATCCATCCATCGCAGGCAGGCCATGTTACCGGTACCGTATCATACTCTGAAGCTAAAGCAGCCCCGAAAGAAGAAATTAAACCATCATCATTCCGCCCGTCTTTCCTTTGTCCGTCCGCGATGGCCTGCAGCGGTCCCGCGAGCACATCGCTTGAGCCTCCGTCCAACTGCTCTTGCTTCCCACCCCAAGCACGTAACTACTACCTGGAGTATGGTAGCTGATCCAATAATGCTGCCGACAGTTTTGTGGCTGGTGACGGTGGCGTAGTTCGCGGCATAGCTGGATGAGCTACTATTACTACAGGTAGTACTCACCCACGGAGCGACAGTTACGGGAGTGGCACACCTGGAGCACATCGCAACTTACAGCTACCTCCTACCTTTACCTACACCTTCACACCTCTGCAAGATGCTTCAGCCAAGCGATGATGACATCATGTTTCATTAGACAAAGAGTCTCGAGCTGCGATGAAGATGATGATGATGCTGGAACACGAATAGTACTTCGAGCACGGTATGTATCACAAGAAGAAGAAAGCAGAGGAAGAAAAAGAAAAGAAAAAAAAAGAAAGAGAAAAAAAAGGAAGGAGGGAAAAAAAGAAGAAACTGCGATGGGACCGCATGAAGGAGGCACGAGAAGGAAGGAAGCGCGCGGGCGGGCATTCGATTCTGCAAACTTCGACTCGAATCTCTCCTCTCCTCTTCTCCGACTCCATCGAACAGTATCAATATCGTCAATCGCCTCATCATCCCTAATCGCGACGGTTCTTAGTGGCCGGCAGCCCGTGAGGAGCGTGAGTTGTTTCGTTCCCCCCTCACACCTCACACCTCACCTCTCTCGATTGATTGCCTTGCCTTCCCTCATCTCGTCGCCAGCACATAGCTACATCTTCTCACTTTACCTTACCTTACCTTACATGCAATGAAGGAAGTGTGAGCACTCACAGAAAAGCGGAAAAAATTCTTTTCGATGCCGCCAGAAGAGCTGGGCTGAGTTTTTGAGGGAGATAGCAGATAGTACGGTAACTGCTGGGGCTGCTAGACTTGAAGCAGGTTACGCACGGAATTGATAAACGTTGTGTTTTGTCATGGGATCGGAAGCGGGCGCTCTCTGCTCTGCTCTGCTTGCTCTGGTTCTGGTTCTGGTGTGGTTGCGCGGCAGCGGGGCTGGTCGTTCGCTCGCTCGTTCGTTTTTGATTGACGAGCGAAAAACAAACTGTGGGGTAACTTAGGACGGTATGTAGCAGGCCGGCCAGCCAGCCAGCCAGCCAGCCAGCCAGACCGGCCATGCCAGCGACAACTCCTCAGTTCTCCCCCCGTCCCCCCGTTCGCTCGTTTCTCCGTTCGCTCGTCGCTCGTCGCTCGCTGGTTCGTCGACCCCGCACACCCACCACCACCTCCCCTCCACCTCGACCACCACTAGCACCCACCTTAGGACTCCTCTGCTCTCCATAGTCTCCATAGATGCATGCTCTATGTACTCTACTCTAACTGCTCTGCTCCACCCTACTCTACTCTAACTCCTGCTAACCAAGTAACCACCATCCACCACCCACCAACCCCAGCCCGTGCCCAGCCCGTGGTAGTCGATGGCCCTGGATGGATGTCCCCCCCTCCTCTGTGTCGCCGCCCCCGCTCGGCCACGAGTGGAATAAACCCTCTTTCTTCTGGCACCCATCGATTCTCCCGGGCGTCACGCACTCACCCAGGACACACGCGTTTCGGTATGTTGCGGAACGTGGCGATGGCCTTCCGGAAACGAAGGGCGAAAGTCTCAGAAAAAAAATCCGAGCGAGAAGGTCTAGAGAAGATGACGTTGGACCAACATACGCCCCCGGATCTGACGAGACGCGACGAGCGTTTTGCCTCCCTCCCTTCCTCCTCCGCGTTTAGAGTGCACTGTGAAGTAGGTAGTTCGACGGCGGGCCCTGGCTGGCTGGGAGTCGGGACGAACGACCCACCCCCACCCCCCGCCCCCCCGCCCCCCGATCCGCTACCTATGATATGGTCGCTCTATGTAGAGTGCATACATGAGTTACATATTTCTCCTTCCGGAACACGCGTGCTCGGCATGACATGGCATGGCTGGCAAATGCATGGTGTATGATGGAGGAGAGAGAGAATGGAGTCCACGATAATACTAGGTAGTAGTGAATTGCGGATTCTTGCCTTCGGCATCCGTCCATCGCCACCAGTAGGAGGTATACCTACAGTCAGCCTCGTAATGAATTAGCGCAACTACTGCTGGCTGAGGGCTCACTTGCATATGTCCCTCTCTTCTACTCTTCACACGCACACACAATCTATGTACCCACTGTACACCGCCGTTAGAGTATACTGTAGTAGAGTGGAGATGATATCGATATCTGCTCCCATATATTCGGTCTCAACTGATGACGGATTGGCCACTGGCGGCAGATGAGACAAGTAGAGTAGAGTATCCACTCTACCGTGTAGGCGATATTCCGACCGGCCGTGGGCAGTGGGCATTATTGGCCGTCGAGGAGATATCGCGCGCGCATCTCATACTCCACAGACGGTCCGTTTTTTGGCTTCCGAGTGCCGGCCAGGCTGCAGTAGAGTACCATGTAAGCCTACATGACTTGACCATCCATCCATCCATCCGCCGCATCCATCCATCGTGTGTATTTGCAGCATGGCAGCATGGCATGGTCCGGAGGGAAGAAACCTAACCTATGGATGGCATGTATCCTAAGTTCCCAAGTCCCAACCGCCTCAGCTCGCTCGGAAAGACATCCAGTCCGGCCGGCCAGGCCAGCCAGCCAGCCCAAATTAAGGTTATCGGTTATCTTAGATTTGGCTGATGGTATCATATCACTTGGCATCCATCTTGTCCCATCTGATAAAGATAACGATAAGCTTGTGCCACGGCGGAGAAAAATCCTTATCGCGCCGTAGTGGGGTGTGAAACAAACCCCTCCATCCGCATCGGTCATCCATCGGAATCGTAAATTTAGAGTCGGTCGTCGTCGTCGTTCGTGACCCCCCGCCAAATCCGGACCATCTCCCCACCTTAATCCGCACGCACGCAACGCAACGTCACGTCATTCACTCTCCCCCCTCAATCTAAAAATTGAGGAAAACGTCCGAGCGTATCGTACCGTATCACTCACTCAATCAAATGGACAACCGTACGATTGGAATTCTGGGAGGCGGTCAGGTACGATGACACTGTGACTTACAGCGAGCGCGAAACATTTTTTTTTGTCGGGGGGCCATGTTCGTTTCGTTACTGTAAGCTGATCTCGACCTCACCACACAGCTCGGGCGAATGCTGGTGGAGGCGGCGCACCGTCTCAATGTCAAAACACTCATCCTCGATGCGCCGGGCTCGCCCGCGAAACAGATCAACGCGCTGCATGCGCACGTCGACGGCTCGTTCGCGTCCGCCGACTCGATCCGCGAGATCGCCGCGCGCTGCGACGTCCTCACTTACGAGATCGAACATATCGATACCAAGGTGCTCGAGGAGCTGGATGCCGCTGGGACTGTTGAGGTAAGAATGAAGTCCTCATGGGGAGGGGGAAAGGCGGGGACCAGGGAGGCTGATAGTGAGTGCGTGTGTGTGATAGCTACAACCGTCTTGGAAAACTGTTAGAGTCATCCAGGATAAATACCTCCAGAAGGCGCATCTGATCGAGGCGGGGGTTAACACCGCCGAGTCCCTTCCCGTCACTGCCGCCACACCGGAAGGGCTCGTGGAAATTGGAGCCACTCTGGGGTACCCGTTCATGCTCAAGTCCCGCACGCTGGCTTACGACGGCCGTGGAAACTACGTGGTCAAGAACGCCGATGCGATCCCGGGTGCGCTCGAGGCGCTCAAGGACCGCCCGCTATACGCTGAGAAGTGGGCGGCGTTCACGAAGGAGTTGGCCGTGATGGTCGTGAGGACTAAGACCGGAGAGTGCATCAGCTACCCGACGGTCGAGACGGTCCATGAAGACAACATCTGCAAGCTCGTGTACGCACCTGCGAATGTTGGCGCCGGCACCAGGGAGAAGGCGAGGAGGCTGGCGGAGAAGGCGGTGGGAAGCTTCTGGGGTGCTGGTGTGTTTGGTGTCGAGATGTTCCTTCTCGCGGACGGTGAGTTGCCATGCCATCCCAACCGTGCGCCGTTTCTTTGCGGTGGTCACAGCGACTGATCTGAATACAGGCTCGCTGCTCATCAACGAGCTCGCTCCTCGCCCCCACAACTCGGGGCACTACACCATCGAAGCGTGCGCGACCTCGCAATACGAAGCGCACATCCGGGCCATCACCGGGCTCCCGCTGCGAGCACACTCCACCGCGCTTTCCACGCCCAGCACGCACGCGATAATGCTGAACCTCCTCGGCCCCAGCACATTCGACATCGCGCGCGCCGCACTGGACACCAAAGGCGCAACGATCCACCTGTACGGCAAGACGGAAGCCAAGGTCGGGCGCAAGATGGGGCACGTCACCGTGATCGCTGGCAGCATGAGCGAGGCCGAGTACCAGATCGCGCCGCTGGTCAAGATGTTCGACGACGAGAAGCAGGGCCGGTCCGTCGGCGTTGCGATCCCGCAGGAAGCTGCCGCCGCCGGTCCCGCCCCCAGGAACCCCGTCGTCGCTATCATCATGGGCTCCGACTCCGACCTGCCCGTCATGAAGGCTGGCGCCGAGATCTTGAAGATGTTCGGCGTCGACTTCGACGTAACTATCGTCTCCGCCCACAGAACCCCGGACAGGATGTGCACGTTCGCGAAGGAGGCGCGCGCACGAGGCCTCAAGGCGATCATTGCGGGTGCTGGAGGCGCCGCGCATCTGCCCGGTATGGTCGCCGCTATGTGCACGCTCCCGGTCATCGGTGTCCCCGTGAAGGGAAGCGTGCTGGATGGTGTCGACAGTCTGCACAGCATCGTCCAGATGCCGGTAAGTCCTTCCCTTGACACCTACGATTTCCTGAGCTGCAACCACTAACCCAATCCACAGCGAGGCGTCCCCGTCGCCACCGTTGCCATCAATAACTCCACCAACGCCGCACTGTTGGCGCTGCGGATCATCTCGGCGGAGAACAGCGAGCTGGGACGTGAGCTGCGGACGAAGCTGCAGAAGTACGTTGAGGACATGGAGGCTGAGGTTAATGTCAAGATCGACAAGCTCGAGACCGGAGGTTGGGAGGACTACGTCGTCAAGAAGTAGTTTCTCTTGGGAGGGCTCCGGTGCGGTAAAAGTTTGGCGTGTACTTTGTATCTACCTAGATGTTCGTAAATTGTGTGAATGCTGCTTAGAGAAACGGTGGACTTGTACGCTTGTAGGTGGTTGTACAATACACACCGCACTTCGCCCAGTGTTTTTGAGATATCACTCGTTTCTCATAATGCCACCGCGATTCGCGTCATTAGCTTTAGCACGTTCCTCCATCCAGAATTTATGCTTTTCTCGGATACCAAACCTAGTCTCCTGCCGGAATTCTAATCGTTGTTCGTGCACGTTACTTACACTCAAGCTCTCTCTCAAGCGAGCGCATGTGTTACTAATGCCGCAGGTGTGGTACAACTTTAACCAACACAACCTTGTACCTGCCGTCCGCCGGCCGTTCATTGTTCGTTCGTCCGCGCGCGTCTTCCCCACCACCACGACCACAACACCCGCTACACTCACCACATCCACCAGCTACCACAATGCCGCCGCGCGCCCCACGAGGCCGCCGCCCTCCCGCGCGAGCCTCACGCGAGCCCTCCGCCCCTCCTACCACCACCCCCGACACCCCCGCCGCCCCAGCTGCCGAGGCATACACGCCCCTGCAGCGCACGATCGCGACGATCTTCTCGCAGGCACAACGTACAACAGCCGGCCACCGGAAGCTGGTGGTGAACCTCCGCAGTTGCCTTGACCAGTGTCTCACCGGCACGGGCACGGTCGGCAGCACGATCGGCTGTCGCGATCGCGCGGGAGAGAAGATGTTTGCGCGCGACTTTTGTAGGTTTTTGAATAGAGTCTTGGTGGTTAAGAAGAGTGAGGTGGTTGGGGATAGGTGTTTGAGGCTGGCGGATCTGTTTGTGGCGAATTTGATGGGGGGCGGGGAGAAGAAGAAAGGGGAGGGGAAGGGAGGGAAGGAAGGGAAGGGGGTGGGGGGGAAGGGGAAGGTGAAAGCGCTGAAAGATGTGGATGGCGATGGTGATGTGGAGATGGACGCCCCCGAGGAGGTGGTGGAGCAGGAGGAGGAGATGGAGGAGGAGCCAAAACCGTTCGAAGAGACGTCGGCGACGCGGGTGGTGCTCCGCGTACTGAACCATATCGTCACATTTCTTGGGTCGAAAGAGCGCGGAGTGCGGTACCGTACGGCCCAGTTCCTCGCGCTGGTGCTTTCGAACTCGCTCGCGAACTTTCCCACCGACTACAACAAGGTATCGCGCAGGATCTTTAAGCAAGTCCATGCGGGACTTACCCAGCGTCTTCACGACAAGGAGGCCATTGTGAGAGTACAGGCTGTGATTGGGTTGACGCGGCTGCTCGAGATGGGCGTCACCTCTGAGAGTGATAATGAATATGATGAGGATGAGGATGAGGAGCAGTCGGGCACTGTCGAGCTTCTCATCGAGATTATGCAGAACGATCCCAGCGCGTATGTGTGCCACGGTCCAGTCTTGTTTTACGGTTTCTGACATGCGAATACAGAGATGTCCGTCGAACTATCCTCTACAACCTCTCGCCGACGCCTAGCTCGATGCCTTACCTCCTCGAACGGTCCCGCGACGTTGATCCGGCAACGCGGCGCGCGGTGTTCAACCGTCTCCTCCCGTCGCTGGGCGACTTCCGCCACCTCTCGATCGGCATGCGTGAGAAACTGCTGCGATGGGGTCTGAACGACCGCGACGAATCGGTGCGGAAGGTGGCAAAGCACATGTTCAACTTCCGCTGGGTTGACGATGCTGGCGGCGATCTCCTGGAGGTCCTCGAGCGGCTCGACGTGGCCAACGAGAGCATCGAGGGCGGTCCAAAGTACATGGCGCTCCGCGGCTTCTGGGAGAACCGGAAAGATGTCCTGGCAGACCTTACGTTCGACGATAGCTTCTGGGATAACCTTACGGTCGAGGGAAGTTTTCTGGCTCGCAGCTTCAACGATTACTGCCGCACTACGTCGCCGCAGGAGGCTAAAAGTCTCGATGTGGATTCACGCATGCCCGAAGTCACGAAGTTGGCGACGTACATGCAGAAGTACATCAACAAACTGGTCATGGCGCTCAAGAACGAGGACAATGAGGCGTCGGATCTAGAGTTCATCGTTCAGCAGCTGCTGCTCATCGCCATGACTATGGACTACGGAGACGAAATTGGCCGCAGACGGATGTTTGCGCTTCTCCGGGAATGTCTAGGGATCATTGAGCTGTCGGAGCCGGTGACGAAGTTGATCGTCAAGGGAATCCGGAAGCTGTCGACCGGAGAGAGCGACTTCTGCTTGCTCATCCTCGAAGTCATCGCCTCGGTGCACGATATCATCGCCGAGGATGAGGACGACGAGGACGGAGCGCAGAGCTTCCACTCGGCGCACAGCGACCCCGACGGCGCAGTCGCAATCGAGGACTCTATGACTTCTCGCCCTGGCGCATCTCGTCCGGCACCCGCACCCGCAGCACCCGCACAAAAGTCAAAGAAGCGGAAGCTCGAGCGGTCCGAGGACGACGACAATGTGGATGAGGTGGAGATGATGGATGTAGATGAGGACGCAGGAGAAGACGACGAGGCGGAGCTGGCCAAAACGATGAAGGAGCTCACCGTCAACTTGAAGTGTCTACACATCGCGCAGTGCATGCTGGAGAATGTCATCGGCGGCCTGAAGAGTAATACTCATCTCGTCACTATGCTTAACGGACTGGTCGTTCCGGCTGTGCGCTCGCATGAGGCGCCGGTCAGAGAGGGCGGTCTCAGGTGCTTGGGACTCAGCTGTCTTCTTGATAAGGTGTTTACATTTCCTTAGCTTCTCAAAGAGCTGGACTAATTCCTGTGGATAGACATTGGCAGAAGAGAACCTGACGCTCTTCGCACATTGCTTCAACAAAGGGCACGAAAAGCTGCAGATCGAAGCTCTTCACATCATCTCGGACATTCTCCTCACGCACGGGGCTGCACTCCTCACCAGCGAGAATTGTAGTGTGGAGCAACGGCAGTTATATAAGATGTTAGCTAAAGCCACGAAGATGGACGAGTACGAGGAAGTACAGGCCACCGCTGTCGAAGTCATCTGCAAACTGATGCTTGCGCAAGTCATCCGAGAAGAAGAAGTACGCTCCCCTCTCCCCGTGGTCCGACAGCTACTGACAGTGATCACAGCTCCTCAAAGTCCTGGTAACCTCGTACTTCGACCCGGCCACAGTCGGCAACCAGTCCCTCCGGCAAACGCTCTCCTACTTCCTGCCGGTATTCTGCCACTCGGCGAGCAGCAACGCGCTGATGATGGCGCGGATAACCGTAGCGGAGTTCCACCACCTGCTCACGCTGCGCGCGACGCTCGACGACGGCGAAGACCAGGACATGGTGTCGCCGACGCTGATCGGCGCGCACTTCATCGACTGGACGGACCCGCGCAAGGCGTCGCCCGCCGTCAAGGAGCGCGAGTACACGCAGCACGCCATCGTCGCCTGCGACGCTCTGGAGCGCATCTGCTCGCAGGCCTGTCCGAAGGAGGAGCGCAAACTCCTCGTCCTCGCCCTCATCGCCAAGTGTCACATCCCTAAAGAGGCCGGGAAGGAGCTCCTGAAGGACGTCTATGAACGCGTCACGGAGGCTATCGATGGGAAGGTGGTCGCTGAGGCTGCGGCTAGGAACGCGCTCGCGAAGGTGGAGTCTTCCGTGGGTAAGTTGCTGGCGGAGCTGCTGGAGGAAGAGGGCGGAGACCCGGATCAGACGGTCATTCATGGGCGTGGCGATGATGGGCACGAGGAGGAGGAGGAGGACGAGGAGCAGGAGGTGGATATGACGATCGTTCCCGAGCCCGTTAGGGGCGGCGAGGAGGATGAAGAGTTACCTATCGCCGACGAGGGCGTGCGGACGGCGGACGAGGACGAAGAGGAGCAGGAGGAGAGGGAGGCTACACCGGCCGTTACGGAGGATGAGGGCGACGACGAGTGATGCGTGCGTACGATATCCGTGAGAATGAATGGAGTGGTGATCTGATCTGTCTGTCTGTCTGGTTTACGATGATGGTTGTGGTTGTGGTTGGGGGCTTTCTTCTTGGGCAATGTTTGATTTTCGAATACGAATTGAGTTGGTCGGAATGAGATCACCCCTTTGATGTTTGGATGAAGTGATTTCTAACTTCCGAGAGTGATGTGACATATCGGATAACCTGGTACATGAGTACCTATCAGCCACCTGGAGATGGTGGGCAATGAATGAGATAGGAATTGTTTCTGTAGATTCAATTGACTTTCCAAGTGACGTTCCAAGTGATGTCGATTCAAGAGTGATCGCAGTAGTTCTCTAGCTGTGGTTAGCACATACATACGCCGATGGTGGCTGCCACACGCCGTGACGCCAATAGGGGAACTATATGGCATCTATGATGCATTACGTAGGTATTTAGTTTCCAGCATGTTGGAGAACATTCAACACATCGATGTCGAGATAGGTACCTAACTGGTATGTACGAAAATACAGATTTGACCCAACAGTGAACAGATCCGTCTCGGAGGCCCCTTCTATGTGCAAGTTCGATAGATACCGTCGTCGCCGATGTACCGTACTCGGCCAACACACGGAGTCACCGTAATCGAGAGTTTCCTCACTACTAGGAAGCGTAGAATGTAGAAGTCTGATGCAATGGATCACTCGGGTGTGAGGGTATGGGGTGGTCTCCGTAGGTGCATAGTGTCTCGGACGCCTAGGTATGGATTTTCAAAGAGCGGGCAGCTTGACTTTTTGTGAACGGGCATCACGCATGATTTATGCGTGTCATGTGGAATTGAAGAGCAAAAGTCGCAATCATGTTGCAGCGTGGGCCTCACCCACACGTTTGGATCGCTAGTAACAAAACAAGTCATTGATAAAATAAAACACATGGGCACGCATAGCCAGCGACGAATCCATAGAAGCATTGAAATTTGAAACATCAAAGAGTGAAGGAGCACTGTAAGAAATAGAAAAAGACAGGCCTTCTCCGTTGCTAGCATTTCAGAGCTCGAGAAGATGGTTGGCAGTGGCGCCTAGGAGTGTGAACTGTCAAGCGGTAGGTGTGGAAGTTTGAGGCAGAATAGCGAACTTCTGTACGCTTTCGGATCACAGCCACAAGATTCGTTAGCTCAGGACGGGAAGACGAAGGATGCAGCGAGCGACCGACACACCTGTTTACAACCAATCCGTCACAGTCGAGGGTGTATGTGCTCCGTCGGTGAAGGAGCTCGCGGAACTCTGAAAAGCCTCGATCTTGGGCCACAGCACTTTTTGGATGGTATCAACAGCAGAAGCACACTGCGCTCGCTCGGGCTCCGAGATGTCAAATCGGAGAGAACGTGTTTCGAAATAACGTTGCCACGATATCAACTCGGTTTCGAGTTGCGTCTGGCGAACCCGCGCAACCGACGCCCGTGTGTTGGCACTGCTTAATGCCTCCGTGAGGCGATCATTCCTCGTTTGCAGCTGAGACACTGCTCTGGCCCAAGATTCGCACTCCAGTTCCCGCTCCTGTTCGGCCCCATTATCGCGCTCTCGCAGTGCAGCTTTCAATTCGCTGAGCTCGGCCTCGACGGCTTGGTGCTGGGTATGCTGTTCTGTCGCATCCCGTTTCAGCGACTCGACCTCGGCCATGAGCGTGCTGCGTTCGGCACTGCATTCTGAATTTTCAGCCCTCAGCTTCTTGATCACCTCAATCCCTCTTAGGAGCTTTGCAGCGTAAGGCCCTATGGCTGCAGAGACCAGCAACTCTTCGGGGGTGGTAAGCTGTTGCTGCTCGGAAGTCGATCCGTTGTCTGGGGGATGCTGCAGCGGGCCCGTAATGTTCTCCGATTCCGTAGCCGCTGCAAGTGTCACCGCCTCATCCTCGCCATAAGTCCCTTCGTCCGAATTCGCCGGTGGGGAACTCTGGTCGGAGTGAGCGGTATTATCGTCGGATGTCGTCTCGGTTGGTTGATAATTTGCATACTCGTCTTCCTTCCTCTGAATAAGTTCCTTCGCCTCTTCTTGGATCTGCTTTCTGTGCTCTGATTTCTTCTTCAGCATCTTTGCTACTGCGCGCTTCCTTAGCTGCGCATACACTTCGTCCTCCACCTCGTCGTCTTCGATCACCTCCGTGTACCGCGGGTATTCGCCCTCGAACTCCTCATCGAGCCCCATGAGCCTGTCGTATTCGCTGGTGACCTCCTGATCGATCCCGATTGCAATACAGAGATCCTGGCGGGACTTATCTTCGAGCAGGGCTTCGGTCTGGTGCATCAACGCTAGGAGATGTTCGATCGCATACTTCGACGATATCGTGACCGAGACCAGAAAATCTTCCCAATACATGGATGCCGGATTCGCTGCATCCATGACGAATGCCATCGCCTCTGAACTGTCCGTCTCGCGTCGAATCGCAATAACGACCTCCTTGTCTGGATAGAGGATCTTGCAGTTTGCTGTCGGGCTTGAGTCAGACCTGGTTTCGCGAGAGTCGGGCGGTTACACTCACCCAGGATCTGCTGTCGGGTTCCCGAGATATCGGGTATCGAACTATTGGCCGGATAACACATCGATAAGCGGCTTTGGAGGGGGTTATACGATAAGTGAGAGGGTTTGTGTGTTTGTGTGTGTGTGAGAGAGAGAGAGAGAGAGAGATGGTTGATCGTGGGAGTTGGAAATGGGGTAACGCAGCCTCATGCAGTGTTACGATAGGATGTGACGCCTCCTCCCGCAACTTGTGCATAGATGGGCGAACAATTCGAGTGCATAAACTGATCATCTTCTCCGCCTGGGTTGGTATGCAGACATATGACTGGACGGACATCGGCCGAACTCAGGAGCGGGCCGAGAGCTGGGCCGAGAGCTGGAGAGAGTGCGGGAGCTCCAGCGATTCGGGCGCCACCCCGCCGCGTGGTGATTGCTCTTCTCTGTTTCTTTGTGGAGTTTGGGTCGAGCCTCTTGACGATGATGGAGTTTCGGTTGTGAAGTACTAGGGCGAAAAGGATTGGACAGTGCCCATTTTACACCAAAAATGGCCATTTTCAACCACCGATATAACCACAACGTATCGAAAAAGATCAGAGACCATCGGGAGACCTCTATAACTACACCGAAAACGATATGGAAACTCCTCAAGGAGTTCTGGATTGTTGTTGTGGAGCAATACCATATACGGGGGGAAAAGTTAATGGTTGCGAAGTAGCTTTTTGTATCGGAGCCCCATACAAAATGAAATGTCACTTTTCAACTCCTGCACAATACAACGTCGTACAGCCCCAATACGTGATGAAAGTCGTCAAAGTTTTTATTGATGAAGAATCTTGTGATTCTAACGCTTATGTGAAAGAGACGATTTTTTTCGACCAGGTGGAGGAGCAGGGTTGTCAACCGTCCGTCCCGTCCGTCTTTCAGGTTGCCCGGCCCGGGACGGAATTAGTCGGGATGAGAAGATCAAGGACTACAGTCTTCCGGGCTGGAGAAATGAGGACGGATACCCTACAGGGCCCGGAAAGGACTCGGACACTAAGTAATTCCTTGGCAGCGGCCGGAGAAAAAAATATTTTACCCGTATCCCGCAAGCCCGGCCGAATCCCGTTCTCCTCCCACTGACAAGTTAACCCAGTACCGACAAACCCATTTTCCTCCCACCGGCAAACCCAGCCAAATCCCGTTCTCTTCCCGCCAACAAGTAAACCCACCACCGAGAAAAATTCTGCTCGGCGAAAACATCTGCTCGGTTGCCGGTGGCCGCCGGGCCATTGCTCTGTAGGCTAGTAGTCAGCATAGTACGCTAATGTTATCAGGTGCCTATAGGTACCTGGCGGGTATCCGGGCATTTCATCCTCCGGACGGAATGGATCAGTCCTCTGGAAAGCCTGCCCGGGACGGGACGGGACTACAGTCCACTAGTGGACTGTAGTCCGGGCGGACGGTTGACTGCCCTGAGGTGGAGGGTAAGTATGTTTGGGTTGCATGAAAATGGGCATTTTTGGTGTAAAACGGGCTTTGTCCAATCCTTTTTGTCATGGTACTTTACCTATGGCAGGCACTACTAGGCACGTCGGATCGGCCCATTACTGCTTTGTAGGAACATGGCTCTCGGTCTATGGGCGCGCATGGATTCCAGCGGCGAGCGTGGTATTCTTCACAATGTGTGGGTAATTTACTTCTTGGTGTTCGTCACAGCTCGTGAGGTGTGCACAATCAATTTCCACGCGTGTGATGCATGATTCTCGAGTAAATACGATGCATAAAAAGGTTGCCTAAAGTATGTAGACCTGATTGCTAAAAATAATCAAAACGTAGATACAGCACCCAAACAGACCGACCAACGACCGTCGACGAACCTAGAGAAGATCCAATAATGAAAAGCATAAACCAAGACATGCGAAGAAAGGACGCATTGTAGGAAACTTTCGAATAAATAAGACGAGCTGTTGTGATAGGTATATCCAAGTATACCCAGAAACGAATACCTAGAAACTAGAAGACTGTGGAGGATAGGAATGAAGGTACATATGAATATAGCAAGAGACACCGCGAGACGAAGAGTCAAATCAGAACTTCCATGTGCGTCTGGAGCATAGCAACAGAATCTGTTAGCTCAGATGTTCTTGGGCGGAAGAGGAAGGAAAAACCGAGTGACAGACATACATATATTGTCGACAAATCTGTCGTCACAGTCGAGGGTGTGTGCGCCCCGTCAACCACAGAGCTCGTGGAACTTGGAACAGCCTCGGTTCCAGGCCACGGCGCTTTTTGAATGGCGTCAACGGCAGAAGCACCGTGTGCTCGTTCGGTACGGGAGATGTCGAATCTGAGAGAACGCATCTCGAAATAACGTTGCCATGATATCAACTCAGCTTCGAGTGTGGCCTGGCGAGCTAAAGCTTGAGCCTGTACGGCCGAGGCTCGTGTATTGGCATTATTCAATTCCTCTGCTAGGCGATCATTCCTCGTTTGTAGTTTAGACACTGCGCTTGCCCATTCCACTTCTCGCTCCCGTTCGGCATCCTTATAGCGCTCCTGTGGTACAGCATCCAATCCCTCAAGCGCAGCTAGAACGGCTTGGTTCTGTGTACAATGTTCTGTCGCATCACGTTTCAGGGACTTGATTGAGTCGGCCATGAGCACACTGCGCTCGGTGATGTACTCTGCGTTTGCAGCGCTCAACTTCTTGATCGACTCAATCCCTCCGAGGAGCTTTGCGGCGGAAGGCCCCACGGCCGCAGAGACCAGCGCCTCTTCGGGGGTGGTAAGCTGTTGCTGCTCGGGAGTCGATCCGTTGCCTGGGGTATGCTGCAGCGGGCCCGTGATGTTCTCCGATTCCGTAGACGCAACCACATCGTCACCGTCATCACTCATTTCGGACGAATCCGAAAACACAAGCACATCGTCACCGTCATCACTCATTTCGGCCGATTCCACCGGCGGGACACTGTGGTCGGGGTGAGCGGTGTGATCGTCGGAGGCCGTTTCGTTCGTGTGGGCATTGGTATCCTTGTCTTCCAGCATCCGCACAAGCGCCTTCGCCTTGTCTTGGATCTCCTTCTGGCGCTCCACCCTCTCCTTCACGATTCTTGCTTCTTCACGTTTCCATAAAAAATTCAGACTCCACCTCTTTGTCATCGATACCATCCGTGAGCGCCCAGCAGTTGTCATTTGTCGCACCAGAGACCATCTTTTCAATCCGATTACCCTCCTGGTACTCAATATTAAGCTGATATTCGGTCTTTCCCAACAGGTTTGCAAGACAGCTGTAGGTTGCGCTGCACCTCAAACCCTTATCCAGCACCGGATCGCTGGAGAAGATTACAGACGATACCCAAGACGGAGCCGTTAATCCTTTCTCGACGAGATGTGCCATGCAATAGTTCCAACAAGTACCCCTACGTGTATCGCGATCCCTACTGTGCCCAGATTTAACAATGAGCATAGGCCTGTCCGGGTAGAGTATTTCGTAGTTTGCTATTGGGCTGGAGTTAGGTGCCTATGTCTGCGGGAGCTGGGGGCGGATGATGTAGTAGTATGTGCACGCACCCATGAGTTACTTTCGGAGTTCTTTGTGTCCGTTCATTGAAATTTGCTCTTGGAGTTCCGCAATGTCGGCCATCGTGATTTTGTAGGTTGAATGATTTTCGGTGAGCGGTTGTGGAGAGGTTGTGGTGAGTTTGTGGTATGGAGGGTATGAGGTGTCGAGATGCAAGAGCTAGGTAGGATCGTCCCAAGTGTTGGAGACGCGGTGGCGGCTCATCTTCATGCTGTGTTACCAGCTTATCATAGTAGTTAAAGACACGAACTCGAAGTATAGAGGCCAGTGGGTGGATAATGGAATATATGAATAAATGATCTGTTTGCTGGAACCACCGTGAAAGGGCCGAGGGAAATAGAAGATGGAGCAAGTACATCTTAGTTGGTAGCGTGTACATTGTAATCAGAGTAGGGAACTGGGCATTGGGACATTATATATCACTCGTTAGATTGCCTCCTACCTACCACCTTAACCGCGGCGTCAACAGCCACCATCTTTGAATGTGTCTCTTAGTATGTACCCGTCTTCAAACTCCTCCCGACCTAATCCATTCGATTAATGCGAGTGTATTCAATTTCTGCGGCACAGGCTCTCGGCGACCCGACTGCCCGCCTCCCGACCTTTCATGTTTTTCCCGGGTGCACTTCGCAATCCCGTATCTATTCTTCTCCTCCATGGAACACATTTTGACCCCCTCTAGCGATGGCTGAATAACTGGTGCTCGCCATTCCTACGGATGCCCCACGCGCGAGCGTGGGACGAACTCACGTTACCACTCGCATCCCTGATCCGTCCGGTCATACCTACATAGAATCATGGACCATCGAATGAGACGCGCATAGTCTCACGATATAACTAAATCCACCTCACAGACTGAGAACAGGAAACGTGCTTCTTATGTTGCCATGATCCTCAATCATCAATAGAACACACTAATAACGACGCATAGTACTTAGAAGAGATAACCGACTGAAGCGTTCCGACAGGAACCGACAGTAACCGACAGTAACCGACAGGAACCGACAAAGAAAGAAGCATTGGAGGATAACGGACAAAAACCAAGACAGGTCATCGTTACTTATGAAATGCTCCAAAACACTAAGATCGTAGTTAATATGTAACATACGAGATGTAGAGAAATCCATTGGACCGACCCCTCTGCACGAGTCTAGAACATACCAACCAGATTCTTTAGCTCTGATGACGATATGTGGGAAAGAAACGACGAACAAAAGAAAGAAATTACTTACACACGTCGTCTACCATGGCGAGACTGTGGTTTCAGTCGAAGGTGTGTGTGCACCCTCAGTGTCCGAACTGGCGGAACTTGGAGCAGCCGTATCGAATTCGGGGGAAAGCACATCCTGAATGGAATCGGCAGCAGAAGCACATTGTGCTCGCTCAGATCCGGAGATGTCAATCCTGAGGGAACGTATCTCAAAATATCGTTGCCATGATTTTAACGCAGCTTCGAACTTGTCCTTCCAAGCTTGCGCGATTAAAGTCCGTGTGTTGGCTCTGGCTAATGCTTCGACGAGGCGATCATTCCTCGTTTGTAGCTGAGACACTGCTCTGGCCCAGGATTCGCATTCCAGTTCCCGTTCACGTTCGGTCTCATTCTCGTGCTCCCGTTGAGCCTCACCATCTTGCTCCCGTTGCGTGGCTTGCAATTCCAGGGATTCAATCTTGGTCCTCAGCATGCTGCGCTCGGCGTTGCATTCTGCGTTCTCCGCTCTCAGCTTCTCAATGACCTCTATCCCTCTCAGGAGCTTTGCGGCGTATGGCCCTACGGCCGCGGATACCACCATCTCATCAGGTGTGGTAAGCTGTGGTTGCCCGGGAGCCGATCCGTCGCTTGGAGGATGCTGCATCGAACTCGCGAAGCTCTCTAATTCCATCTCCGATGTTGGTGCCAACTCCTCGTGCTCACTGTCGACCCTTGTCTCAGCATCTGCCGGCATAGCACTCTCGGCACGGTCTTCGTCGGCTACCGTTCTGATTGTCTGCGCACCGTTATCCTCGCCTCCCAGCATCCGCACAAGCGCCTTCGCCTTGTCTTGTATCTCCTTCTTGCGATCTGCCCTCTCCTTCAACACCCTTGCTTCTTCACGTTTCTGTAGCTGCGCATGCACTTCGGCCTTCACATCTTCATCATCGATATCATACGTGAGCTCCTCGTAGTTGTCTACGATCGCCTCGTCGATCATCTGTGAAATCTGTAGACTCTCCTGGTGCTCAGTAGCAAGCAGTTGTTCGGTCCTGTTCAACAGGCTTGCGAGAGTAACGGTTGTGCCTCCTTGGAGCGGGGGCACGGCCAGAGATTTCTCCTGAAATACGGATGCTGATCCTTCCTCGATGAGATATGCCGTCCATCCGTGGTGATGTCTGACCATTGTCCACGTAGTAGCAAGAATCAACTTCTTGTCTGGGTAGAGGATCTTGCAGTTTGCTGTCGTGCCCGAGTTAGGCGCCGTATTCTCGCGAGCTGGGCAGATGTTTGTATGTGCACTCACCTAGGATTTGCTCTCGGTATCCTATGATATCGGCCATCGTAGTTTTGGTAGGCGGGAAGTTTGCGGTGAGCGGTTGCGGAGAGGTGTATGGGATAGTTGTGAGGGGGTGATGGTTTGATCGTGAGGGTTGGAGACGAGTCCGCAGCCTGCTGCTGTGGCACTGTCTGGTAGATTATATATGACGCTGTGCTCGACCCGCAGTTTACCGCGCATCGGTGACCGACGAAAAAGCAAAAAACGCAACGGCGTATAGAGTAGTTCGGTGCTGGTTACATACCGGTACGCAGTGCATAATTGGAGCACCTATCTACTTCACCGGGTCGATTTCCCATGCCCTGTCCGTGTAACCCGCCGGTAAGATCAGCTCCCAAGGATATCGAGCGCGCATGAGTCCCAACGATGCTTCTTCACCGCGCTGGTTTATACCGTACAGAAGGATAATTCCGACCCCAGCCCCGGTCCCGAGTCCACACGGCAGCTCCAGTATCTAGTCCGATGCAGAACTCCATTGAAGCCGAGCTCCTTCCCAACAGACCCAAATAGTAATACTACGGATGTCCAGACCTAATTACATACCAGCAGTGCTGACCGGTTTGAAAATCTGTCCAAACTGCATGCAACCGACTATGATGAAGGGAATATGAACCGAGCTGTATAAATAAGGAGCTAACAAGGTAGTTTGGTTTGCCGGTGAGAAGCAGCCAAACAGTTTGACCGGCAAAGTGGGATCAAATGGCGCACACGAGCGAGGCCTCGATGGTATGAGTCGAAGTGAAGCGAGTGTATGTAGGCCACCAATAATCGTGCATCGCAGCTGAGCGCAAGCGAGGTCGTTGAGAAAAGTTGGAATAGCCGCCATTCCTGAATCTCTAAAGCTATCCAGAATGACACCTTGAACCAGATTTCCGATTCGCATGATCAACCGGATAAGCAGAATCCACGATGCCAACTAGGTACAATGCCCAAATCTACTTGGTCAACGATTCATTTGAACTAGAAAACCAATTCAAATTGAAGTTGCCCCATCGGCGGGCCAGTGCCTTCGGTGACTGGGGGAGAAGGAAAACCCAGAAAGTGCGTATATTGCCATCATCTGGATAGTTCGCATGCAACTGAATGTTGTGATAAAAAATACTCTGCTGGCAAAAATCCCTAGAAGCACTTACAAATTGAAGCAAGCATGACAGAAGAACAAGAGAAGCGGAGAATCATTGTAAGAAAACAGACCAAAACAAGAAAGATTATCGTCGATCATTAAATTCCCAAATAACACGCACGCAGTAGTTAAAATCTGATGAGAAATCGTCGGATATATATTTAGAATCACTGAGTCAAACCTATCCTTCGGTATGCGTCTACAGCACTGCAGGCAGATCCATTAGTACGAATAATCATGGGGTAGTAGCCAGAAGGAGACGGAAGGAGAGGAGGTGTAGAGCAACTGACATAGGTAATTTTTTATTATATACTCTGTCGTCACAGTCGAGGGTGTGTCTGCTCCGTCTGTCACTGAGCTCGCGGAACTTGGAGGAGCCGCCTCTATTTCGGGCCACAGAACGTTTTGGGTCGTACAGACAGCAGAAGCGCAGTGTGCTCGTTCGGGTCCGGAGATGTCAGTTCGAAAAGAGCGCATCTCGAAATATCGTCGCCACGATAGCAACTCAGTTTCGAGTTTGGCCTGGCGAGCCTGCGCAGCTGAAGCGCGAGCCAACGCGGCTGAAGCCCGTGTGTTGCCGCTGGTCAATGTCTCCGTAAGGCAATCGTTCCTCGTTTGCAATTGAAATACTGCTCTGGCCCAGGATTCACACCCTAGTTCCCGTTCCAGTGCGGTCTCATTATCGCGTTCCCGTAGTGCGGTCTTCAATTCGCTGAGCTCGGCCTGAACGACTTGGTGCTGTGCACATTGTTCTGTGGCATTCCGTTTCAGAGACTCGATCTCGGCCATGAGCGCGCTGCGCTCGACACAGAACTCTGAATTCTCAGCCCTCAGCTTCTTGATCACTTCAATCCCTCTTAGGAGCTTTGCGGCGTAAAGCCCTACAGCCGCAGACACCAGCACCTCTTCGGGAGTGGTAAGAGTGGTAAGCTGTTGCTGCTCGGAAGCCGATCCGTTGTCTGGGGGATGCTGTAGCGAGCCCGTGATGTTCTCCGTTTCCGTAGCCGCTTCAGATATCAACATGCCTCCTCGAGGAATCCTTTCCTCTCCATCCGCGCGCAGGGCACTATAGTCAGAAAGAGCGGTTTGATGGCCGGGAGCCGTCTCGATTGCCTGCGCAGTACTATCCTCGGTAGAGGCTTCCTCTGCGCCCGACGACTCGTCACCATCGGCAGAAATGACGATTTCGTGGTCGGGAGCCGTCTCGGTTGCCTGCGCAGTACTCTCCTTGCCTTCCAAAATCTGCGTAATCGCTTTTGCCTTGTCTTGGATCATCTTCTTGCGTTCTGCTCTCTCCTTCAACACTCTTGCTTCTTCACGTTTCCGTAACTGCGCATGCACTTCGGCCTTCACGTCTTCGTCATCGATCCCATCCGTAAGCTTCTCGTATTCTCCAGCGATCTCCTCATCGATCTTCCGTTCAATCTGTAGATCCTCGTCAATCTTATCGGCAAGTAGTGTTTCGGTCTGACCCATCAAACCTGAGAGAGAATTGATTGTAAAACGGGTGTGCAGCCCAACCGATACTGGAGAATCGTTCCAGAACATGGACCTTGTTCCCGTCTCCCTGATAAATGACGTCATTGTGCCGGTGCGCCCATACGTCGTGGCAATAATAAACTCCTTGCCTGGGTAGAGGAGCTTGCAGTTCGCTGTCGGGCTTAATTTAGGCGCCTATAACCGCGTATCTTGGTGGGATGCATGTGCACGCACCCATGATTTGCTCTCGGTATCCCATAATATCGGCCATAGTAGTTTTGTGGGCGGGATGTCTTCGGTGAGTGGTTGTAGAGAGGTATATGAGATAGTTGAGGGGTGATGGTTCGATCCTAATGTGGAGAGGAGATCGGATCACGTTGGGCTCGGGTATGTAGAGTAGGTACAGAAAGGTTGACTGACCAGCCCTGAGTCGAGCCATGAGAGCTGGAGGCTGCAGCATAAGCCCCTCATGCTGTGTCACCGTGGGATATGACGCTGTGGCCGTCCCGCAGCCGTTGCATCGGCCAATGAAGTACTTGGTAACCGGTGCATAATCATTTCTTTCACCCGGGTTGGGTGTGTTTCTCAAAAGACCGTGGGATTTCCGGTAAGATGAACCATAAAGCACGGTGGAAATCTCTAAGGCCTCAAGATTACAAAAACTCGCAGTTACTAGAACCTTGATTATTCACCGCTCATCCCCCATAAAATGGATGGGTTCGTCGGCCCTTTCGAGATGGAATGTTCGGTATGATGATGTTGACGCCTGCGTAGACATGTCCGCGGGATAGGAGAAATGGGTTGGACCGTTGCCTTCGATTCCTTGTAAGGATCACTTGTTCGTCGGGTCGTAACTGACCGATTATCCACTGGTTAGGTTTCGTGGTATTTTTCGGGGCCCTAGGTACTTCTATCGGGCGCTTTTTGGGCGCATTGGACTTACCCAGTCGATGTACTCTACTCTAAAGGGTCTCCCGGCGAAGAACCTTTAAAGTCTGTCGACAGGCAGAGCTATTCAACAGATATCACTCATGCACTTAGTTAGTCAGCGGAGAGCTGTCGCAGGATTCTGCTATCACGTGGCGCTGCCAAGCCTATCTATAATCCAAACTAGCTTTGCAGTTACTACCTCAATTGTTCTTCAACCCTTGTGTTTCCACCTCGCGACCTCGCCTGTTACCTGCACCGAAACTTATCACCAATCACCACGCGCACCATGGCCGAATCGTCGTTAGCCGCCGACTTACTTGCCGATTTCAACGACTCTGATGAGGAGGAGGTTGACGAGAATGGTACTCCCGAGATTTCCAACGACCTTATCGACCAGCCTAATGGCCGTCACTCCAGATCGCGCGACTTGATGGAACTCGATGGCGACCAAGGGCCCGGCAATGACGAAGACGAAGAGATGACAGGGATGGAGCGGCTGGGACAAACGAAAGGGAAGGGAGAGTTGTCGATAGACGACGACGAGGAGACGACAAAGGCGAAGGTCGAGAGCATGCACCTAGTTGATGTAGACGATGTCCGGAGCGTCGCGGGACTGATGAAAGTCCTTGAACCGGTTTTGGAGGTGATCATCCCCCCTTTCCGGCTGTGGCACTGCTGAGGTGATTACTGACGTGAAAGTAGAGAATCAATCACTACAAGTCGCTGCCTCCAACACAAACTTCCCTAGGAAATGTCGAAGATAACCCCGAATACAAGCTGCTGGTGGAATCAAACGCCCACGCAGTATCAATCGATAATGAAATCATCTTGGTTCACAAGTTCATTCGCGACCATTACGCGATCCGCTTCCCGGAGCTCGAAACTCTTGTGCAAAACCCTCTTGACTACGCCAAATGCGTTTCGATAATCGGAAACAATCTCGATATTAAAGCTTTGGAGGAACAAAATGGACACAAGCTGCGATCTGTTCTTGACGGACCGACACTCATGATTGTTACTGTTGAAGCTACGACCAACGCTGGACGGCCGTTGACAGAAAAAGAGCTCGCGACTATTATGCGAGCCGCAGATATGTCATTGGCGCTGGATAGCGCAAAGCGAACCATCACGGCATACGTTGAGTCACGCATGTCCATCTTCGCGCCCAACACCTCAGCTATCATTGGCTCCCAAACTGCCGCACAGCTCATTAACTTTGCAGGTGGTCTCCGCGGCTTAGCCGCCACCCCCTCGTGCAACATTGCTGCGTTGGGCTCAAAACGCAACACCCAGGCTGGTCTCGCTACGAACATCGGTATCCGACAGCAGGGCTATCTCTACCACTCTCCCGTAATCCGACAAATCCCGAATGACTTGAAGAGGCAGGCCATGCGGATCGTCGCCGCCAAAGTCGTTCTGGCAAGTCGGATCGACTTCTCACATTCGTCCCCCGACGGCTCACAGGGAGAGGAGCTGAAGGAACAGGTTCTCGAAAAATTGGAGAAGCTCACAATCCCACCGCCCAATAAAGGAACCCGGGCACTTCCGGCACCGGATGACAAGCCGTCTCGGAAACGTGGTGGACGGAGAGCTAGAAAGGCAAAGGAAGCAACCGCCATGACGGATCTCCGGAAGGCGCAGAACCGGATGGCATTCGGCCGGCAGGAGGAGGAGACCAGCTACGGCATCGGCGACTCCACTAAGGGCATGGGGATGATCGGCCAGCAACAGAACGGCCGAGTCAGGGCATTGCAAGTCGATCAACGCACGCGTGCCAAGCTTGGAAAGAACAATCCTGGTTGGGCTGGAGTCGGCAGTGTTGCTGGTGGCGCACAGAGTCTCCTGCGCGGTTCTTCGTCTTCCAACCACGCACCCGGATTGGCAGCACTGGGCGGAAGAGGCATCATGGCGGGTACGAGTGGTTCCGCGAGTGGAACCGCGTCTTCGCTTGCGTTCACCCCGTTCCAGGGCATCGAACTTATTGATCCCAAGAAGCAGGAGGAGCGTAAGAGGAAGGCGGCAGCAGAGGAGGAAAGGTATTTCAGTGGAGGAACGTTCACGCAGGTGGGATCTGGGAGCATGTTGCCGCCTGCGAAGAAGCAGGATTCGGGTAAAGGCAAAGGAGGCCTGATGTTGCCGCCACCTTTGCCGAGGAAGTCATAAAGCTGGTTTCGCCCGGAAGAAGCATATCTGTGTATGGCCAGAAAAGTGGTAGAAGTCGTGATTGAGTTTTTTTTTTGCAGCCTCGCTATGTGTGGGTTGGCGTTGTGATCTGCTTGATTTGATTGCGTTATGTGTGTCTGCTTTGTTTGCGTTTGTTTCTCGTATCATATGGTTATCCAATAGTTATCTTGCAAGTCGCACGATCTATCGTGTCTGGGGGCAAGGGGGGTTCAGCAAGGTTCATTTTTAATGCGAAGGAGGCGACAGGAAGCGGTTATTGTCGTTGCTATGATTCATGAAGTTAACTGAGCATGCCCCGTTCAAAATGAGTCCCTGGGATCTCGTCCGTTCTGCCCTGTGCCATACCTCCAGTCCCTATCCAACTACCTAAGGTACTTACGTTATACTCGACCGGATGGTGGTGTGCAGACTCCATGGGTTAGGCAAGCTGTACCTCGCTCACTTTCTTCTCCGGCGACTTTCCTCTCAGGTATGTTCCCTATGTCCTACATCCACCGAACGAGCTGAAAATCCCCAGGACTCGTCCCGGACTGGGAATGGCGACGGTAATAAATGGCAATGGCGGAGGCAAGGTTAAGGTAGTTCTTATTAGTAGTGTGTGGATGTTCGCATGCTCCAAGACTAGCTAAGTGAAGGCCGGGGTCGCCTTAGTGAATTCCGCCGTCGGATGACGGTGTTCATCATCTACTATACCACAGGCTGGCAGAACAGTTACTCGTGGGGATCATTTACGGGAAGGGTACCGGTAGGTGCCTATCGGGCAGAAGAGAACAATTCGTTCGGCGAACCGGAGGCTTCAGCAGACGAGGTGGATTGGACGTTGAAACTACGGTATGCAGTAGGTATGTAGTAGGTATGCAGATCTGGTGATCGGATGATCATAGTGTGTCACTCGCGATAGTTTTCGCTTTGGTCTGTTCTGGTTACCGGATAACGTCGCTGTGAATGCTATCTGTTTACCTGGCGCTCGGCATGCTGCGCCGCCCAAAGTTTCATAACTACGGGTCAGATTCATTGGTAATCGATTAGGTTGGAATGAGAAGCCGGGGAAGCCGGGGAAGCCCCCATCACTGTTCCCAACCACAAACAAGCAGAACGGGACTTCTCGCTCATTTTCCCGAGGCACGAACTTGGGGTAAAGGAGATCAGTCACGGCCAGTGGCTGTCGCTGTGGCTGTGGCTGTGGCGATGGGTGATGGTTGAAAAGTCATTCAGTGCCGATAAGTCTTCACCAAGGTTGAAGCCTGGCCTTGTCGTAGCTGTCGCATCGCGCACATAGTGGCCATCGTGACGGCGACACAGCGGTTGCCGCGCTCTCTGTGAGCGGGGATATTGTCATATTCCTGGCTCTGGGCGAGGATGGCGTTTGTGTCGTTGAAAATAGACGCGGATGGCGCCATGTCGCACTACTGGGCGTAGATGGCATCGCGGTAGCGAGTTCGGGCAGCTCGGCGTAGCTACAACGTCGGACGCATCGTAGCTATCGCGACGGCGATACAGTGGTTATGGTGCCGTCTCCATGCGGGAATATCTCCGTGTTCCTGACTCTAGACGAGTGTTTCCGACATTGGGCTCAGATGGCGTCGTATCGTTAGAACTAAGCGCAGGTGGAGCGGCGACGGCGAGTTTAGGCGGCAAGGACGTGCGACACGCAGATGCTAGTGCCGGACGGAGGTGACGTCGTCCAGACCCCACGTTTTTTTTCATGATTAGAAGGGGCTTTTAGTATGACAGTCGCGGAGGACAACCCTTGACTGTCACCAGGACTTAGGCGAAGGTTCCCCATGTAATTGAACGCACTCCTGATCCCTATTTGGAGTCCGTAGCCACCCCCCAAGGTGTTCTATTATGGCTAGGTACCTCGTAGTAATGAGTTGAAATCACTATATATCACCGGGTAACATTTGCACTTAGCGGACGTTGATTGCGGAGCACGCAGGCCACGAGCAGTAGCTAACACGGTCAGCGAGTCGAATTGGCTTACTCCGTTGTGCGTCTGAGGTGGCAAGTATGCACTTGGATTAGTTGCTTATCCTCTTGCTCTGTTTTTGTGATACTCGTCGACGGTTCGGCGATCGCCAACAAAACGATCTGGAGATGAGGAATAGAGAAAGTGTAGTGGAGTTTTATGATCGGAGTCATCCAAGATCGCCTGGCTAGCTCCTCAGGAAGAAGCGAGCGATGGCAACCGACACAACCCATCACGGCTTTTTCGTCCTATCCTCTACATAGAAGGTCCTCAGCCCGTTGCTGTGGTTATACCCGCCGTTTCGTTCCGTTCACGTTCACAAAAGGCCAACAGAACCTCCCTATTGGACAAGCGATTGCAAAACTTGAGGCTTCATGCTCTTTATGACTAATTGGTGTCTTGAGTCCTGTCGTGAATCAAGTATTGAGGAATCTATCTATTATTCACATCTCTAGATCCCCGCAGCTGCATTTTCCGCTTGGTCCTTACCCAGAAAACTCTACCATACACCCTCTAAGTTCACACTCAACCTTTTCATAAAATGCCCTCTGTAGTCTCGCAGGCGTCAGATCCTCCTCATCGATCGCAAAGTTGCAATAAAAGCACCTCCTAACAACGAGGCCGTACCGCCGGCCCATAACGCGGTCGATAGTCTTAGCGAGTCCCTGGGCGCCGGCATACTCCCTGGCGTGATTCCACTCCTTCTCCGCAGCCTCCCCCTTCTCCCCCTCCATACACAGATTCTTCAAGGTATCTCCATACCCAATTTCTATAAGCGCGATTGCGAGTGAATACAGTTGTTCGTTCTTTGCCAGACAGGTGCCGGTATTGTAAGCGGGTTTCGAGGTGGATGGGTTGAAGTGCACAGAGATGTGCGGAAAGTCCAAGGCGGCGGAAGAGTCGCCGTCTTGCATGAAGTATATGTCGCCAGTCCGCCAGTTCTCGCGGAACCAGTTGGTTGTGTAGAAGCCGAAGCGGAGGAGGGAGGCAGAGAGGATCCATGCCAGCCGGTAGCGTCGTGTGGGAGGTAGGATGGACCGCGTCCGTGATAATGGCGCGCGCTCAAATACTCGTGGGAGGGATATTCGCGATACGGAAGGTTTTTGGAACTCGGTGTAGATGTGTCGATGGGCGTCTGTACTCGGAAGAGCGCCGAGGTAAGAGGGGGTGTTTATGGGAGAAGTGAGTGAGCTTATGGAAGAGCAAAGGTCCGTGAGGGTTTCGCTGAGCGAGGCAGCGGAGCCATCCGTTTCGTATACAAACTGGAGCTTCTTCTTAGGTTTCATAACTGTTGCTGCTTCCTTTGGGGGAAGTTTGGTGTATGGAGGTGGTGCCGGTGTGCTGGTGGGTGTTGGGGCACCCGGGTCTGTTCGAACGGAAAGACAGGTGCAGGATACTTTCTCTTCCACCCCGGATGGTGTTAGGAAGAGTTTAAAGCTGGTGTTCTGAACCTCCATTCGTTTTCCATTTTCCAGCCTTTCTATCTCGGCCTCCTTCTCCGACTCGCATTGCAGCTGGAAGTAGAAGCGGTGGCAAGTGCAGTTGACCACCGACGCCATCGCGGCAAACACCCGCTTCGCCGTTTTTTGCACCTCCGTCACTTGAGGCATGCGGTCTATAGCCACGGGCGCTTTTGAGGCCAAGACAGGCTTGGGTTCTGTGGCGCGGTAACGGCGCTTTTGCGAGGCCTCTCTTTGCCGTCCTACGCGAGTTAGCCGGAAAGCCGACGGGATACACAGAGACACATACGCAAGTTTAGCAGATCACCTAGTTGGGCTCGCAGTAAAGTCAAGAGCGCATCAAGATTTGGAGTCTCGGATGGCCGATGCAGTTTCTTGTACATGTTCTTGATCGATCCCGCCTGTTCCGACCTCGTTAATAACTTTTCCCCAGAGAAAATTCCCGGCCAATTCAACCCACCAGCTTCTGATCTTTGTCGGCGGTAACTGTAACCTTGGTGATCTCCTTCTCCAGCTCCTCGATGGTCCCTCTAATTATCGCGAAGGGTAGTACGCTCTCGTCGAAGAAAGCGCCGAGATGTGCCTTGAACTTCTCCTGGAAATCGCGATCTTCCCACATCGGATGGCCTTCGTTCGACAGCATCTCGCGTATCAGGGCCTCGTCGAAATCTGACGAGAAGAGGAGGATGCATTCATTGTCGAAGAGTTTCTTCTGCAGGGAGATTTGCGCATTGAGGGTACGCAGTTTCCGGGGAAAATTCTTGGTGGCGGCGATCCGGTTCGTGAGTGACTGTACCGCCTGATATGTTGGGACTATGAGGCCCACGGCACCCAAGAGAAGGCCCGTTACTTCCATACTGGCGGCGACGGAAGCGCGAAGTGAGGTGGAGGTCGAAGCGGGGTTATATCAGAACGATTTCCGGCAATGTATTTCGTCAGAGCTTCGCCACACTAGAATGAGGTCGGGCACGCTGTCGCCGATCAATCGATCAATTGCGAATCAGGAAGTTCTAGGCAGCAGGGTGCTGCGCCTTTTTTGCAAGCATCCTGATGCGATGCGGGGGCGGCGCATGGCGGGGCGCTTGTGACTGTGCCCATGGAAGGGCTCGTAAATTGCCGAAGGATTATGATCGTACCCTGCTTGTCATCCTTGCACAAAGCTGCCTGCCATATCCCGCACGCTTCGCCCCACCACTAACAACCAAACACAACCGACTAGATGTCTTTACAGAGAGCGGGGGGAGTGAAGATTTTCGAGAAAGCAGAGCAGGCGCCGCAGCTACGACTTCCACTTCCAACTTCCACCTCCAATGGTGTCCTACGATCGCGACCATCACCATAGCAACGGCAACAACTCCAGTGGTCCTTCGAAGGAGAGTGAGCCCTCCGCCGGCTTTTGCAGGGAGCTTTTCGATCTCATACGTGACCTCTTCAACGCCCTTAACCTGTCTGGAAGAGTCAGTGACGATGATTCCGAGGAAGCATTTCTGGCCCAAAACGAGGCGGGGCGATTTCGCATCTGGGGGTCTGGCTTCGACGTTGCAGATGGCGGGCTGGACGAGCTGTTGGATGGATCGGTGTTGCAGGGTGCGGTCGTGGTGCAGTTCGTTGGGATCGCTCGAAAACTGAGTCGATGTATGGCCGTTATTCCGGTGTGATGGACGGATGAGTTGACGCGAATTGCTCAGATGTCGAACGCGATTCCGACCTCTTTCGCTACCTCACATCCACACTCGAAAAGGCAGAATATCTCTTCCCCGAAGCTGTCGAAGACGGAGATGAGGATGAGTTGGATCTCCTGGAAACCCTCGAGGATGTCTCGATCCTCAATGACGGGCTATATCAGCTCACTCCCTTCCTCGAATCGATCCCGATCGAATATGAGGAGAATGGAGAGCATCAACATCCTGGCCTTATCACCACGGGCACGGCGGAGATCAAAGCGCTGTATGTCAACATCCTCGACAAATGGCCCTCAGCAGAGGTCAACATTGCGCTGGTAGACCGTCTGGCAACGTTGAACGGGCGACGCAAAAAGCGAATATGGGAATTGAAGGAAAAGCACGAAAGAGCTCCACCGGAACCACCCAGCGCAGGAGGAGGGGGGCTAGGGTATTCCCCTAGCTCATATGCCCCATCAACCAGGTACACTATGGGCTCTAGTATTGCTTCGATACCGTCGAGTCTTCAGACATTACAGGATGATCGCAACTACGCCAGGAGCGAGGCAAGCATGAGTTCACTTAACAGCATGGACCTGGCAGTTGTTGGAGTCACCACGATACCACCACCGCCCGTGAGATTGGGTCCTGGTGTTAGCTTCCAGTGCAATCTGTGCTTTGAGACATTGCACGGAGTCGAAACGAAGTATCGATGGAAGTAAGCTTGCCCCTTGCCTATGAGAGCTAATCCTATCATGTTAAACCATGTTCGAAGCATACTGATAGTGTCGAAGAAAGCACGTATTCAAAGACCTACAGCCCTACAGTTGCTCGTTCTTACAATGCCCACTACCCGTAACTCATCTCTTCAACTCTCGCACTGAATGGGTAAACCACGAATTCGACGTGCACCGATCTCTCCCTTGCTGGATTTGCATAACCGACTGCGGCCTTGAGTTCGACGACCAACACACCTTCCGCGACCACCTTACAGCCCATCTCGGTACCGAAATTCCGGATAACGAGCTCACCGAAATAGTGAGGAAATGCGGGCAGAGAAAACCTATGCCTGCAACGCAGACAACCGTGTGCCCCTTATGCCGCGAAACGATCCCGGAGACGAAACGGAGCATAAGCAAGCATCTTGGGAGGCATATGGAAGAGATTTCGCTTGCAGTCGTGCCGACGGAGAACTACAACCTCGAATGGGAAGAAAGCTCCGAAGAGGGCGAAGCGAGCTCCACAGATGAGGAAGGCGATGGGGGGATCGGTCATCATCTCACCATGGAAGCCCGGAGGAGGAGTACAGAAATCGTCGCCAGCGTGCTGACAACATGTTTCAATCGTATACATGAAAGGTATTCAAAGCTGTTAACGTCTGTTGATAATCCGGATTGGAAGAAGGGGGTATTTTCGCTCGTGAAGACCTATGATGCGAGTGGCAAGTGCCTAGATGTTATGAGGGAGGATCTTTTAGCAGAGATATCGATAATGTTAGGAGACGAGCCGGAAATCGTGGGCATCAGAAGCGCAGCTAGTTCGACCGAGGACTACGACTTGTTTCTCGATCAGAAAATATACGATCAGGTTTATTACCATCTACACACCAGACAGGCAGCCCCTGCATTTCAACAGTAGTTACCCCCGATCATTCGAGTGTGCCGTTTGTGAATGTCGCTCACATAGATGCAGATGCCACAACTGCGAAGATGTCTTCACATCGAGCAGGCGGGATTGCCCTAATTGCGGCCATAATTTCTGTACCCACTGTGGAAGTGCTATTCTTGCAGCAAGCATGCATTCTGCGGTTGAGGGTCAGCTCGTGGGATCCGTATTGCCAAAGCTCGCGAACAGGCCGCCAGTACCCAACGACCATATTGGGCCAAGCTCATATACTCCGGATAATCTTTCACACCTTTCTAGTCCTCTCCAAACCAAACAGTCCGAACCTGACGCCCCTGACGTCGTCTTGTACCCTCCGGGCCCTCCAGACCCTCCAGAAATTACCATCACACCAAGCCCAGAGCTTCAAGCTAAGCGGCCTGAACCGAAACCAACCGCCGTAGCCGGCTCTGCCACTGGAACCGATGCTGGAACCAGTGCTGATGTGGTCACTCGATCCATCGTCGTTGATAAGAAGCACTACCCCCGGTTGATTGGGGCAGGCGGTGGGTCATTCGATAAAAACCCCTGATAGGACTCCAGCTGATTCTGTTTCCGATCCCTTTCCAGGTGCAACACTGGCCACGATCATTTTAGAATCAGGAGGCCCAGTCACTAAATCAGCGCAATCTCGAGTGGTGCGATTTCCTCGATCTGACTCGCCGTCGAAACGGGTGGTCGTAACGGCAAGTCTACCCGTGGCCGAGGCCATCGTGGAACGCATCAAACTCATGGTCGCCGAGTTTGATGGGAAAGGCCCGAAGCCGAACGACCCCATTACCCCGAAGGATCAAGTTAGGGAACGTTACGAGAGGGTAGAGCAGATGGCTACTCAGGGTCGCAGCCCTGCCATATCGGAGGCGGATAGTCGGAACGCCAGTCCTAGTCGACCAACCATTTCCGTGGGGAGGGCCGCCTCTCAGACTGCAGTACCACCCCCCTCTTTTTATTTGATGTTTCCTCCATGAAAGGTTACTAACGAACCGAATGTAGGAGATCCGCGGGAAAGGAAAAGCACCGGTTATACGGCCATCGCCAGAAGTAAAACCGTGGGACGATGAAAATATAGACGGCCAATACCATCAGGAGCCAGCACCGAGGACTAAGGGTTCGCGCAGAAGAGACAGGAAGAAAAAGGGGGATTCTGCTCGTCGGGAAGCTGAGCCATAGGGAGCCTGCTCATGAAGGAAATGAGATGGTTGTGGACTGTACATTATAATGGACGGGGATGAAGTCTAGAGACAATTATAGAGGTTGTATTACAATATTTGGTATACATCTTGAGTGTAATTGGTGGGAGCTGGCACCTCAAGATCTTTCGAGTTCATCAGTCGCATGGAAATCATTCCTTCACACTGCTGTGTCGGATACGGCATCTACGGCAACGATTCACAACCCGTCCAAGACCCCGCAGGTCTACAGTACCAACCCCCGCAGGGGCAAGATCCGAGAGGCCCGGGGCCAATGAGGGCATATTCACCAGACGGAGGACGTATGGGTCCTCCGCAGTGAGGAATTCCACCGAGGACTTACGGGCAGGGGCGACGGGCAGCCACCTGCTATAACTGTGCCCGTCCGGGCCACTACGAATCTCAGTGCCAGGAGCCGAGGGCATCCGACGAATTCAGACAGTCTATCATCAGTCAGGTCCTGTATCAGAGAGCATACCCCAGTGACGAACCACCACGGAATACGTATCAACCTCATCCACCAGCCACTCCACCGAGCCTCCAGGCGTCGAGCCAGGGCAGACTCTACAGAAGGAGAATCAAATCCAGGTTCGAGCTGGCCCAATGGCCTCAGGAGTCGAAGGAATTCGGTGTACCAATTTCGATCCAATCTCTGCACTCCGAGATACGGAGGTGACAGGGTTGACCTGGGGAAGTCTCCTGGAGGTGGCCCCGAGTATACGTACTAAAGTTAAACGGGCACTAGTACAGGAGCGTCTCCCCCACAATCGATCACGAAAGGAGAAGGAGGTGGCCACGGGAGAGGCGGTAATCCAGTATAGAGAGGACGACGATATTGACATCGCACCTCCGGAACCACGCGGCATGATTACGAACTTTTATATCGTAGCCAAGGTAACTCAAAGTATGACTCCAAGTTCGAAGATCCAGCCGACGAGCCTCTTCCGGGTCACCAAGGTCATGATTGGGGGGTCCGGTCTCAACATGATGCTACTGGATCTGGCGGAGCACATGCATCTCAAGCTCATACCCCAGGATGAAGTCGTTATTATGATAACCGCCTCCACGTTTCGTGCCATCGAATACTATGTCAATATCGACGTGCAAACTGCAGGTGTAGTGGTAAAACTGCGATGCTACTGTCTCCCTGCAGGTATCCGACCTTCATTCACCATCCTCCTTGGCCGTAGCTGGATGAAACAAGTACGAGCTAAGGTGGATTACTCAGATGATACGTACTCCATTCGCGGCGCAGCCGGCAATAGATATGTACTGCAGTCTACATCCGTGACACCGACGAATATCTACGAAGAGATTCCAGTACGACGCCGTCGAGACGGCCTCAAGTACCAATACCGTGGATATCGAGACCTGCGAGGAAGTTGATTTGAGCCTAGAGGAAGGAGACGAAGGTTTGACTGGTGGATTTAATTGTTTGAAGCGGGAAGAAGTCGGTATATGGAAATCGGCAACGTTGCGATCGAAAGTACTAGTCAGATTAGAGGGTGTTAGTGACGATCAGCATGGAGGAAGGACTCGAATTAGGATCGTACGTGCGGAGAATTGTTGAAGAAAGCTTGCGTAGATTTCATCATTAGCAACTACATGTGCGGCGGAGATTTCGGTGAATTGTTTTGACTTTGAGATCAGTGAGAGAGCCTATTGGCGCGAAGAAGATTGTTAGCTAGCGAGAGAGGGCAAGGGTTAGATTTAAGAGATTCGGGGGTTTGGTAGAGAGAGGGGGTCTGTTTCTGTTCTGTTCTGTCTGTTCGTCCGGTCGTCTCATGTTCATCATAGATCATAGACCACCCGAATAATTCATCAACTTTCTTGTCTCATCCCGTTTTTGGGTCTCTCACTAGCGAAGTAAGTGCAGCCATAAGGACGGCCCGCACAGGGGAATGGACAGCGTAAAAGCAAGCACCCGGGAACGCAAAGCCGGCGGTAATTATTCACGATTGCAACTTTCCTGGTATTTCAAGGCCGCAATGATATCGAAGCGGGGTAAGTACCGATTATCGGCAATGCTGCGTTCGCAGCACTCTGAGAACATGCACTCTGGCTCCGCGGGTATGATCACGAGCTTGTCACTCGACCTGTAACCTCCGTCTCGGGAACCAACACCATGCAGGGTGGTGAATCGTCCGTCAAGACGCCAGTCGAATAGGCGACTGCGGTCTGTAGGGCGGGGCGGTTCCGGGCAGGTTTTCTAGCGGACTGGGTAGTCCGTCCAGTCCAAAGAATGAAGGCCCGGATACCCTACTGGTACCTATAGGTACCTGATAACCTTAGCGTGCTGTGCATCGGGGTTTATACCGGGAGAGCTTGGTTGGAGTACTTTTGGCACTGTCGCAGGCGGCAGAAATCAGCCATGGTCGATCATGGTTATCTTGCTTGGTCTTACGTACTATACACCACCGTGGAATCTATGCAGTATACAGGACACAGCCACGCAGCCACGCAGCCCTACAGAAATACAGTTGCACAGGTGCACAGCGGCGCCGCCAGCAGTGTCCTACTAGTGTCCCATTCCATTCCGGGCCCTGTAGGGTATCCGTCCTCATTTCTCGGGCCCGAAATTTTGTAGGTTATAATGGTCCTTGTTCTCTTCAGCCAGACTCATTCCGTCCCGTCTTGGGCAACCCCAAAGACGGACTGAAGGCCCTATTCACACCTTTGCCATCCGCGCCATCCCAACTATCCGGGTACCTAGGCAAAGTCCCAGATACCAGCAGGATAGCTGGGAAGACAGTTCCACTGGTTGAAAGCTGGTGAGATTGCGCAACTACATACCGGCAGCCTGCAAGGCTGGCAGTACCTACGGAACGGGACGAGACGGGAAGTAAGCCCGGGCAGGAGCGGCATATACTGGCCCTACCTAATACCTATTACCGGCCCCTCCGCTCTGCCCACCTATGTAAATATAAGCACTACCGCCACCACCTAGGTAAGTAAACCCTCTTTCGTCCGCCCCGGACTTCCCCCGGCAGCCAATAGGAGGCGCTCGAGAGTCGGGAGTCGAGACTCAACTTCCGTGGCGCCAGTACAGCATGCACTGCCATGAGCCCGCCCCCACATTGCCTTGCCTTGCCTTGCCTTCCGAAACTCTGACGATGAAACCGCCACTGCGTGCCAACGCCTCATCCATCCCATCCACAGGCTCTCGACAACAGAATCTCGCGGAAATGAGCACTCCCACCTACCTACCTACCTACCGACGTATGTATGTGCAAACCCGCGATGACCGGCATTATGGGGAGTCCGGATGTGCAACTCCTGCGTGCGTGCGTGCATATTCATCCTCCTGAGTTCTAAACCAGCAAACACAGGTGCCTACCTAATTTAAGCCCCAGCGGCAAATGCAGGATTATATGCCCAGACAAGGAGTTTATTGTTGACGATCATCAACCGTTAGATTGCGACACATCGTGCAGTGCAGTACAGTGGGCAACTCCCATTCCACATGGGCTGACTCCTGAGAGCTGAAGCAGGAACAACCGTCAACGTCCACTGCTGTTGGTATGTACTGCTACATACTCAATTCGAGGGAACTCCTGTCTTGCCATCTCGCCCCGTAGTTCGCAGGCACGGCACAATTCGCAGGCAGCGCCTCTCGAGGTTCCCATAGGTCTGGTGAACATGGCGGAGACCGAGACCGTTGTACTTCAGGATGAGTTCAACTAAGTTATGAGTCGGGTCGGGAAGGAGCTTGGAGATACTAGAACAGGTGCTGGCGGAACAATTGTTGGTCGCGCAGTGTGTGAGCTCAATTGTGGACTTGAGGACATGCCGAATGTTGCGTGCTCCGGCAACCAGCTCGTATGTACCTGCCAGCGGCCCGCATGCAGGTGCTACATAGCGGGGGAGATGGCAAGTCGGTTACTCATTCCCTCCGGAGAGGTTTCTGAAAATATTGTAGTGATGTAGAAACGTGGAATAAATTTGCATTCCACACAATAGGTTCTCATGAGCGGATTGAGGAACAGAAGTCATTTTTACTTTTTTTTGGTTAATCATTGCACAAGTGAGTGATGCATGATGACGTTGCGAAAGCCACCAAGATTTACCGAGTGACCGCCCATGCCATTCCGTGAATTTCACTGCTACACTTGAAGCATGCATGCCTCCAGATATGGTAGAGATGCATGAAGTACGGGGGGGAAATTCTGCATCACTCCAACTGTTAGGCTCAAGCTCGCGCGGTTGCTGCATGTTTCCGACGTTTGGATACAGTAACATATTGTACCTTTGGCAGAGCGTGATTCGTTCGCAGCGACAGGTGCGCCAACTGTCGAGAGTCTAGACTCGGGTATGACTAAGCGAGGGGAGGGAGCGAGAGGAGGGAGCGAGAGGAGGGTGTGTCGGCGGAGGGAGATGAATGTGGCTAGTAAGTGGGAATCAACGTTGGCGGCCATGGCGGGGGTCGACCGAGTCAGTCCGGCGGGGGTTTCTTCTGTTTCTTCTGTTTCTTCTGTTTCTTCTGTTTCTTCTGTTTCTTCTGTTTCTTCTGTTTCTTCTGTTTCTTCTGTTTCTTCTGTTTCTTCTGTTTCTTCTTCTTCTTCTTCCTCTAACAGCATCTACAGAATAGAAGATCAATCGCTATCTCCTCTTTCTCCTCGTGTGCTCTCCTTCTCTCGACCCGCCGCTTTCCGGCCTGGAGAGGCATTGGCAAAGAGCCCTCGCAAAACTCGACTCTTGGAAAACTACAAACCGAACGGACGCTTGAATTCCAAGAGATTTGTGCGCCATCACGACTCGCACTCAGGCTTCCGCTGTTAACGTCCACAGCATCAGCCTTCACTCTCTCCTACCAACCCACGACAACAACAACAACATACTCCCCTCACCACACTCCATCAATTCATTCTCCGCACCACCGAAATGATGCGCATCACCCTCCTTTTCCTCTCCGTGCTGATCCAGCAGGTCTTCTCAGAGCCGGCTACCGACGTCCGAGACGCTCCTGGTATCGTCGAACTCGGTGACTTCGAGATCCTGCAACTCCCCTCCGACTTCGACCCGAACCACGCCGCACTCGACATCGCCTCACAGTCCGAGGCGCTGCGACGTAACCCGCACGCGGCACTCCCGCACCTCCCCGCGCACATCCTCGCATCAGCGATCAAGATCCAAGGCTCGACGCTCACCCGGCGCAGCGCCGAGCACACGGACTCGGAAGATCACGACGGGCAGCACCACCACATCGACGCGATCGGGCCGACGAACACAGGCGTGCAGATCAATCCGAGCGCGATCCTGAAGCGGCTGACGTTCCACTGCCACCGCGACGGCGGCCGCGAGGGTGCCGACCGGCCGCATTGGTGGGACGTGGACGATCTCGGAATGAAGCTCGAGAGCGACCAGGGCCTCGGAAATCAGTTCTGCTGCCACTTCAATTATAGGGACTTTCGTACGACTATCATGACGCATAATACTGCCGCCGTAGAGTGGGCGGGCATCGTTGGCCGATGCATGAGCTGTCGCGTCATTGGGTATATCATTAGGGTCCATACAGAGCTGTGCGGCGTCGAGAACTCGTACTTCGCGGGCGGAATGGTCGTGTATGTAATCCCGATCCTACCTCTGCTCAGGCCGTTGCGGTTAGCGAGATACTCTGAGCTCATACTGATGCTGGTTTGCGGGGTTTCTAGCTTCCATGGATGGGCCGAGTACAACATCTTCAGGCCCAAAGAAGTGATTCACGAATGATTTCATCGTGATAGTAGACGTTGGAGGTTTGGCATACAGATTGGAGGATACAGTTTCGAAATCCGACTTTGCATCAATCACATCGGTGGCGGTCAGTAGTGCTGTTTCAATTCGCATAGATATCGATATCGGGGAACATGAAACAGTGCACAACAAAGCCCTCTGAGAGTCACGGACCTGGCCGCGGCGGAGCCTCATGATGACCCCAGACCTCTTCGATTGTTCCATCCATCCGTCTACTCTAGAGTCCATGTATGATAGCATCCTGCAGCCATGTGGATATATTTAACCACCAGCTCCCTGGAAACTCCACACGCACGCACATCATACGGGCCGAAGCGAGACGTGCGTGCGTGCTGTGGCTTGCATTAGTAGACCTGTACCTAAAGTATGTATGATATTCCCTGCAGAGAAATGTTCCCGAAATCTGGGCGCGGCCGGAGAGCAAGTATGTAGCACATAAGTAAAGCCACGGCTAGGCCTCGCCCGTAGTTAGAGTACAGTTGCCCCTGCGGCAGGCAGGCTGTGGGGCAGACAGACAGCCGTGGAGCCGAGTATACCTACGAATAGAATAGAATACTGCGATCCTCGGGAAGCGGGGTGTGTGTACCTTGCTGCCACAATCGCCGCTGCCCCGCCGTCGCACGTACGATACGAGAGGTACGATAGGTACGAGAGGTACGATAGGTTCGAGAGGTACCGTTATGTAAACTCAGACATAAGCACGTTTGGTGGCTGCCGCTGTACATACCTTCAAGACATACCTTCAATTATACCCACCTACAGACTACAGTTGAAAACTCTAAAATAAACGTGCTGCTCAGCCGGCGAGCTACTTTTAGGTATCGGTATCGATCAACTCAGACGCTGCGGCAGGTACGTGGGTTTGTGTGAGCGCGGGACTGCCAGACTAGACCGGACAAGAACAGAGGAGTCATGGCTTTTAGGTTTTCTGTGTTTCTCGTCTGTCAGATCTCAAAATACCCGCCGACTACGACTCTTTTTGTGGACGTTTAAGCGATCCCGGACTCTGCAGAGCTCATGGTGGGAGTGCGGGAGTGTCTGTGTGCCAATGGCTTTTGTTTGTGGCGCCGTTTGTTATCCCGCCAGAGCAGCAGCAGCAGCAGCAGCAGCAGCAGAGAAGCAGAGAAGATGCTCAATTCCCGAGAGCTCGAAAGAGCTGGCAGGTTTCGCGGGTCGGGATTCGGTAACTTCCCTACATTACTATGATAGTAGCGACCACCTCGACAATATCTACGAGCAACGAGCAACGAGCAACTTGCCGGAATTAGAAGTGGCGTGGAGTGCAATGGAGTGTCGGAGGCATCCCATCCCATCCTCAAGGCTCAAGGGGGAGGGGATGATCCTCCACAGTCCACATCCCACTCGGTACCGTTGCCAAGCAAGCACAGTCGACGTACTCCATGTACTCGAGTACTCTATTCCGAGCGAGCATATGCCCCCACTCGCTTGCCGTTGCTAAATGTGGACCGAACCGTACCATCGAAACGTGGCGGAGCCCTTCGTGTCTACTAGTACATGTTAAGTACGGTATTTGGGGGCCGGTCATGGGACAGCACTCGGTGCGGAAACTTTTTTCTCTTTCATTTACTTGATACCGTACCTACGGTACCTGTTGCTAGGACAACGACAACGACAACGACAACGACAACGGCAGCGGCAAGGGCAGTCACGTTAAATCGCAGATCGCACATCGATGTAGAGTAGAGTAGAGTGTCTGTACTCCGGATCCGAGTCCTGAATACTACTTACAGACTACTAGTACTGACCTGGAGTAGCGGGGCAGTTCCCCTCCGCCGCCGGAAGAGCGTGCTTTAAACGGACGGCTTCGAGATGTTCGAAGTTCGAAGGTCGGACCCTTACGAGCCACAGTGGCAGTGCATACATCATACAGTGTGCATGCATATTTACTACGGTAGTGGTGTATGTACTATATGGGTGTACATATGGGTGGGTGTGTGTGTGCCGGATACATATGATGAACCACCTTTCGGATACTTTCTCGGAGAGATCGTGGAAATATCTAACTATACTGCATGCATAGTGCACTAGGTCACTAGTAGTTAACACCATATTACTGTCACCGCCGGACCACGGTCGCTTGTGCGTATGATGTACCTACATAGCGCGGTTGTGTAGAACTTATGTGGTGGTGGGGTGCGGAATGGAAGTGTACTACTACTGCTAACTGGTACTAGTACATACTCTATTCACCGGAGTCCGGAGCTCACTGCACGCCACACAGCACAGAGGACGTTTTGGCGCTACGGGTATGTAGCCAACGAACCAGGTAGGTAGCCCACGGAGTTGGAGGTGATGTGTGGATAGCCCACGGAGTTGGCGGTGATGTGTAGGCTAGGTATGTATCTGGCCACCTACCTTGCTTGCAGCTATTACCGGTACATAATTAGGTAGCCGATGCTTCGAGTATGATGCACGTACCTCGCTACATCCACGGACTCCCGTGGCAGCGGTTGCAGACTCACAGTCTACCTAGCAGCGTTATCTCCTATATATGTACGGACAGCGGAACCCCGTGGCACCGGGGTCCCTCCCTGGACTCTTCGACTCCTCGAGTACGATGCGTGGGTGATGCGTGCGTGGTGATGTGTGATACCCGCCTTGCGCTAGAGTTACATATACCTGGTAGTAGTATGGAGAGTATATACTCCCACACGGAATCCGGTGGTACTGGCAGAGTACTACCCAGCAGGTATGCATGTATGGGTGTAGATGTAGAGTATGGAGAGCATGTATGATGAACCGCAGGTCCGCAACTGCGTGTGTGTGTGTGTGTGTGTGTGTACCCGTGTATGTAGCATACCTAACCTACACACTCTAATTTGCGCAAATCGTTGGCGCGATCATGGGTGGTGCGACCCGCCGACCCCACGGGCCACTTTGATCTTTGAACGTTGAACTCTGATCGTTGAACTTTGATCTTTGAACTTTGAGCACCCACACGCCCACACGCCCACACGCCCACACCCCGCAGAGCCCCCAGCGGCTGTCAGTCAGCACGAGCTTCGCCCCAATCCCGCCTTGCTCGATAGAGTCGATGGAGTCGATAAATACTCTACTCTAAAGAATATTCCCCCTCCCTCGGTTGCATCCTCCTCTGCAGCGTACATACACCCTCCAACCGAAAACGAAAGACGAAACCGAAGAAACCGGCCCCCAAAATCGAAACCGGCTCATCTCTAAAAGTAAGTAAGGCTGGCCAATGAGACGAGAGAGAAGCAACGCTAGCGGACTAGCCAATCGCACTCGGAAGGAAGCCGCTAACTACATAGTAGGTAAGTTAGTTGGATGGATTGCACGGATGGGATGGATGGATGGAGGGGATCTTTCACAGGCGAGCTTCTTTCCCATGTATGGAACCTACTGACCGAGCCGCGCGAAATAATTGTCGACGCTGGTTCTGAGGGGCGGCAGGGAGTCAGGGACAGCAAAAGCCGGCGACGGACTGGACAGGACCACCTACTAGTAGAGAGTAGTAGACGGATCTGCGGCTCCGTGTACTACATATAGTACCAACATACCAATTTGGTTAGACTACAGTCCAATGCGGCGATATTTTCCCTACCTAGAACCTACTCTATGTAGAATCTAGATATCCCACCTACCCACAATCCTAGATATCCCCAACGTCCGTGCGTGCGTGAGTAGACGACCAACTGTCGCCGCATATACTACTGGTACCGATACCACCGAGACTATAGTATAGGTAGGTAGTCTGGAGTCGTGGGTAGGAGTTCCGAGTTGGACCCCCCTTAAGAGTCAAGATGATTATGGGGCGAAACTGTAGATGGAAGCTACATACACAGACACACACGTGCAAATATAGTTAGCGGGTGGCCGCCGTTGAGACCCGTTGGCCGTCGTGAGGATGTAGTTAGCACTTAGCACTCGGCGGAAGTCCGAAGGATCGATACATGCGCTCCCCTTAGTTACTAGTACTGTAGTCTTGGAAGATCAGAGTCCACTCCTCACGATTAAACTCCAATGATTAAACAAACGAACAAACCAACAAACAAAATAAGGAAGAATCGATTCCAGCAGCAAGAGTTACTCAGTATTCAAGACGGGGGGCTCTGCGACTCTGCGACTCTGCGACGTGTGAGACCAACTTCCCTGCACCGTGACGTGCTGCGTCCACTGATTACGGCATATGTATGATAGAGTATCCAGTGGGTAAGGCGGGACTCGAGAGCCTCATGCGGCTCCTCTCCTGACGTCCCTTCCGTTCACCGGAGGGGCAACCCTATGTGGTTAATCAGTGCACAGCCAAAAAAAAAAAAAAAAGAGGCTCATACTTCTCACACCTACATTACTTAACTTAGCGTCCAACTGTGCAGACTCCAGATCAGATCAGATCCTGAGCCGCTAGCGTGATTCGCTGTGAGAATCGTCCAACGTGCGAGGAAAAGCTAGAGAACTGGGTGGTTGACTGACTACCGTTTAGTTATTTCGGTACTTGCGTGAGTGTGTGCGTGAGCAAACCGGAATCGCGACCAGTGGCCCGCTCCCGCCCGCACACCCGCTCACACGTCGCAGGCTTCTCCGATGCTCGGCGGTTGATGTTCGCTGGATCCCCCAGACACCATCTGGAGTAGGTTACAGTGGCGGCCGCTGCTGTGCTGACTGTGGATGGCACCGAAAGAGCCTCCCCCGCGATTGGCCTGCGCATGTGGCTGCATCGGGCCGTCAGCCAATTGCGACGATTTTAGTCGGTACTGTCATGTACTGTACTGTGCTGTCCTTGTCCTGTCCTGTCCTTGTCCTGTCCTGTCCACCGCCACACTTCGCATTGGCGAGTCGAATCGAGTGCCAGCTGCCTCACCCTTCAGAACGCCTCGTCTGAAGTAGGTATCCTACGTGGATCGATGGAGGGACCGCCCCGACAACCGTGTCTGTCGACCAAAAAACGTTGGCGAAGGAAGCAGAGGCACCTCCTGCTTTGAGAGTAGACTGGGCCGCAAGGCTTAGTATTATTACTTGGAAGAGAATGAAGATGACCACCACCACCGCCGCTACCACCACCACCACCACCACCGCCGCTACCACCACCACCACCACCACCACCACCATCCATCACCAAGATGGGCCCATGGCTGCTCGAGCCCATCTCCCTGTGCGCGGCGTACCATGGCCCAGAGAGAGACCCTGGCTATAGTAACCACTGTGTGGGAAAGGAAATGTACAGGCAGCCCGGAGATCCGCTACCAGCCCTAGATGTTACTGAGCCCCTTCCCTCCCCCCTTCAAACGCTAGCTACTGGGGACTGAGCCCCAATCGGCATGCAAACAAGAATACATACTTTCCATTTTTGCAATCGGGCAAGACACCGAACGGGTGGCCCTGGGAAATGCTTTCTGCTTTTTGCAGTCTGCTTTCCGCTCCAGCCATCTGCGGACGGCCGAATGATGGCTTCGGTGATGGTCAGAGCTCCCCAAGTTCGGCTTCATCCTGCCTTCCCCCACAAACCCGTTGCTTGTTCCACCATTGCTTTCGCGGGGGAGGGGAGGGGATTAATCGATCCCCCGCCCCACCCTGCCCCGAAAAAGCGAACTTGATGTGGTCTGCATGCCCGAGAACACAATTACCAAACAGCTGGAATCCCATTCAGCGTCGAGTCCGGGTCTGCAACTCGAAGAACCTTCAATGATGTGTGCATCTGTACATATCAGATGTACAATACATACAAACCACATACGCTGGGCGGCGTTGGCTGCACCCACCCCTCAAGATGATGACGACCCAACCAGGGCGGTAATTCGGGTTTTGCTTTCTTTTTTCTTTTTTTCCGCAACTCACGCTTCTCTGTTGGGCTAAGTAAGCAGTACCGTACGTACCTGGTTAATTCGCGAAGACCTGCACGCGCTTGCCTTGCATACGTTGGGAGCTCGTCAGAACAGTGAGAGGAGAGGGGCCGGGTCACTAGATACATCGAGCTTGTATCACCCTACCAACCAGTTGGTCCGCCTACCTACATATAACGTATGGCTCACCTGCTGTTGCCGTGAGCTTGATCCTTCACTTTTGCAGATTCTACATACAGACTTCAGCTTCGGACTTCTCTCTCTAACTATCTCTCTATATATCTCCCTGTCTCTCGGATAATTCCCCACAACACTTGATCTGCTACCAACACCACTTCACCTGCTCCCTACACCACTTTACCTACTACCTCCAAATCCCTAGTCCGGCAGCTTCAAACAACTTCAAACAACAGGATTCACAGTCTGTAAATATCAGACAATGGACCGAGAGCCTACAGAGCAGCCCTCAGAAGGCTACTGGCCCGGAACACCGCTTTTCGGCACTCCTCAACCGCCCAGCGAAAAATTCCAAGACGACTCATACACATCATCGTCGTCCCAGCAGCAGCATGGCGGGCACCACCACAGCCAGCAGCAACGGTACCCGCCGTGGTTCCCGCCATCGGGAGTATCCCAGTGGATGCCGGAGCCATCCGACACACTGTACCCGATGGCGCCGCAGCCACCAGTAATCTGTGGCGGCGGCAACGGCAGCGGCAGCAGCCGCTCGAGCTCGTCCCGCCGCCGCGTTCCAAGCCCCATTGGTAGTCCCAGCCTCATCGCTTCGGAACAGGACGAGTACGGCCGGTTCGTCTGCAAATACGCCGAGTGCGACGCAAAGCCCCAGGACCGCATCTTCACCCGCAAGAGCGATTGGCGGTATGTTTCCCCCCACCCCCGTGTCATAGATGACATGAGATCTTCCGTTCCCAGTGCTGATGTCGTATTGGCTACCTAGCCGGCATTCCGATAAGCACACTCGGCCGTATAGGTGCACGTACTCCACGTGCAAGGACCTAGCCGGCTTCGGCTGGGTAGGCGGCCTGAACCGTCATCTCGAGGAGCTCCACAACAGCAAAGCCCAGCACAAGTGCCCGTACACCGAGTGCAAGCGCCATGTCAATGGCTTCTCGCGCTCAGCAAACCTCAAGAACCACATGCGGAAAGTGCACAATGTTGGCAGCGAGAGCTGCGGCGGCGGCGGCGGGGGATCCGCCGCTCCCTCGGAATTGGCCGACAACAGCTGCGGCGAGATCGACTCGCCTCCTCCTCCTCCTCCTCACAGGGAGGCGAAGCGGCTTCGCCGCTCGGATCGGACAGAGGACGAGCTCGTCAGGGCGATTGGCGAGGCTGAGATGGCAGTCAATAGGGCCAACGACGGCATGAGGACCGCGAGACAGACGCAACTGGATTGTATGGTGCATCTGGAGACGCTCAGGGCCGAGCTCGAGGATGGTCGGTCTAACTCTTCCGCTTCTGTTTCTGATTCATTTCCTTATTCTTCGGCGTACTACGGTGGTGGCGGAGGTGGTGGCGGGTGTTTCAGTGGTGGTGGTGGTGGTGGTGGTGGTGGTGGTGGTGGTGGTGGTGGTGGTGGTAGTGGTGGATACTTTCAGTCGTCTCCTACGCCGTCGGTGGCGAGCTACTACGGCACTGCGGCTGTTACCGCCTCGCCGCTCTTCTACCCAGCGTCCCTTTCTCCGCCCACTCCCCCAGCAGAGTCCATAGCCTTCTATTCTCCGGGTCCTCCCTCGTGGCCAAATCACTAATTCGGTGGCCGTCTTGTCTTGTGGGAATAGTCTATCTAGAGAAGCAAGCGAAGGCACTGGTCTACGACAGTTGATGGGCAGGACAGGAGTCTGCTGAACAACGGAGATGACCGGGGACCGTCCTCCCCACTTCCCTCCCTCCCTCCCTTTCCGATCCCTCCTCCCTCCTCCACACCTTTCCATCCGTCCACCACGTTTCTTTTGTCCACCACATTTCTTTTGTCCACAGCATAGTTAACCGGCGAATCTTTGTTTTCTGTTTTCTGTTTCTGTGTTTATTTTTACCTTACTATTCTGTTTTCTGTTTTCTATTTTCTGTTTTTCTTTGGTGCGGGGATTGGGGTTGGGGATTTTCCTTTGTGGTCTGGCTGGCTGTTTGGCTTATTTGGCTATGGGTGAGTATGTAGGGGGGGAAGGCAGGGATGGAAACGGTACCTGTTAGACTGTGCGGTTGTTTGTTACGATGCAGGGGAAATGGGGGCAGCGGGGAGTGGGGGAATAAGGGGATGGTGGAATGGTGGAATAGGGGAATAGGGGAATGGAATGGTGGAGTTGGATATTGGATATCGGGTGGATGGATGGATGGATGGATGGATGGATGGATGGAGGAACTCCTGTATGGTGGTTTGATATAGGGATGGATGGAAGTTGGATATGATATGCGGATGGGAATTATGGGTATCACTCTGGGTTTTATACAGGTACTACGGATAGAATTATGGGTATCACTCTGAACTTTGAAGTATGTACGGTTACCGGTACGGATTGTAGAAATTTGGCCCCTCCGGTTTTGGGTGTGCATATATGATATGTACCTAGGTGCCGTAGATGATTCTTGCGATATACGGAAAGGAAATCCCTTCCCTGGCAGGCAGTCAGTCAGTCCAGTCAGTCAGCATGCCTTTTTCTAGGGTTTTCTGCATGGGCTCAAAACACACCTCGCAGACAAACATCCCCTACGCATACCCACCTACTTAGTCATGCAGCTGCTGTTTCCAGTCAGTCGGCCAGTCAGTGACCAGCCAGTCAGTCTCGATAGTTAGCCGCCGCAAGGGGGAGGGGATGAAATGGCCAACAGCACAGCACAAACACAACACCTACTCTAGACGTGGAGGGGTACAGGGGATATGGAAGAGAAGGGGGAAGGATCTGTCGACCTCACCGGATCGAAATATCCATTCGAATTTCCTTCACAGAGGGCCGGAGGACCAGAGTCGCAGACGATCACCCTACCATATCCACCATACCATATCCACCATACCATACCCACCATACCATACCCACCATACCATACCCACCATACCATACGTATGGATGAATAGATAGATGTAGGTAGTATGTACTCCAATCCGACCAGATGGTCGGTCACTGGACGGTCACTGGATAGTCACGGGATAATCACGGGGTAGTCACGTGATCTAGCAGGAGCCGGCCGGGGTAGGCATGGGCGGACTCGGCTAATCCCCAGGTCGGGGCCACGGCAGGTGCACGGTGCGGCAAGTCAATGGCACGGGCACGGGGGGGATTTAGTTCTGATCCCACTCTATCCACCTTACTCTATTCTCTGAGGGAGGGGACACGGACGGCAGAGTACAGCACTGAGCACCGCTTTGTGGTTGATAATTGGTGGATTGGTGGTGGTGGTGGTGCTGGCTTACCACTGACCACTGACCATCGAATACCGTACTGTGCCGTCCTTTCTTCTTCTTTTTTCTTGTTCTTTTTTTTGTTTTCTGTTCGACACAGAATTTCTTGATGGAATTTCTTGCATATGATTTCTTGCCTTGCTGCAGGTTGCTGCGAATTGCTGCGAGTTGCTAAACGGCCCCCAGGATGTTTGGTTGTTTAGCCAGATGTCGTGCATGCGAGACTCGAGAGATCCCGGCCCCCGGGTACTACGGTGGTTTCGGTGATTTGGGTACTGGTAGGTCAGTAGGAGGCAAGTAAGAGGTAGGTAGGAGGTAGGTACACACTCCCCGCTGCCCTGAGTTGATACTACCCATTCCTCCCCGAGTCCTCCGTGCGTCGGGCTTACCGAAGGGTTAAACATCGTACCCGTGGTCCCGTGGCCGGAGGTTGGGGGTCGGCGGGTCGGGAGGTGGTGGGGAGTGGTGGGGAGTGAGTGTTGGGGGTGGTGAGGTGGGGGAGAGGGGGAGGGGGATATGAACCCCTGCCTCGTCAGTCATGGATGATGGAACAGGGTTCCCACACACCCGTACTGTGGAATTCTATGTACTCTATGTAGGGTGTGCATAGTAGAGTACTGTAACCAGATGTAACTAGTGGTATGCACAGGATATATATCTCCGAAATCCCGCCGTGCCTGGGACCAACCGTGCTAGGCCGGGAAAGGCCTGTGAGTCGTAAGGCCAGGACACAGTAGTTACTAGTACTAGATAGTTGTAGAATAGAGTACACAGCACACGGAACACAGTGCCTTGTCGGTCTGTCGGGCTGTGTGGCTGTCTGTCCAGAGTATCCGTCCAATTATTGCGAGGGGGGTGCTGGATACTGGTTTAGGGCTGAAACATCACGGATGGTGGTGGTGGAAGTGATGGATGTGGTGGTGGTGTGGACACTCCACCTTCCACTCCTCCAGAGTCCACCAAAAGTAGAGTAGTTATTACCCACCCATCACCCAGCAAGAACATACGATACGATAGTCAACCGTGACCAGGAAATCGTAAGTCCCCCGGCCAGTCGGAATGTATATACGCACACACGCAGGCCCGGTATCCGGTCTGATATGTATGTACAATGTACAATGTACGGTACGGTACGATGGTTGCATGTGTTCCCATGTACGAACGGACGGGTCACGGGGCGCAAACCTCGACATTCTGGAAGGATCAAGCCTGTTATTCGGGTTCGGCGAGCATCACCGGCGGGCGACACCTACTTGTAGTGCTCAGGCCGGATGTTGCTGGCGAAAAAGAAATAATTGCATCCAGAAGATGGTCTTCCGGAATCCGGAAGATGTCGGCCTTCCGCTGCCGTTCGTCGGCCGTGGAGGAGCGTGATGTTTGTAGGGCTGGGGCCTGGGCTAATCGAAGGGATGTGCGCGCAACGGTCAGTAAGCTTATCAACGATCATATCCTGGCCGACAAGCTGGTGTGGGGGAAAGAAAAGGAAAGCTGGGCGGTGGGTGAGATTAGATGTCGTCGTTTCGGCGGTGTGTAGTGGGAACGAGAGTGAGAATGAGAGGGTGAGAATGAGAGGGTGAGAATGAGAGGGTGAGAATGAGAGGGTGAGAATGAGAGGGTGAGAATGAGAGGGTGAGAATGAGAGGGTGAGAATGAGAATGGGATTGGGACTGGGCGTGGGCAATGGGAATAAAAAGGAAGGTGAGACTGAGAAAGGAAATGGGCGTGGGCAATGAGAGTGAGAATGAGAGTCAGAGTGAGAATAATAATTCACCGGCGTCACATACCTAGCTCAACTCGACGGGACGGCCGCTACACTCGAAGCGTCTGACGAGAGTGCTAGGTTAATGAAAGCGATTGATGCTGCCTCGTTTTCTGTACTCCAGAGCACTCTGCTCGGAGTCGACCGACGATACTACTAGGCACTAGACACGAACAGATCTCCTCGATTCATGCGGTAATTCCGCCAAGCAGAGTAGAATAGAGTGCTTACTCATGACTACCGGGTTTGTGCTGGCTGGCTGGCTGGCCGGTCCTTGAGATTGTTGTTTTATCGATATACGGTATGGTAATTTGATCTGTATAAACCAGCCACAATCCGGAGGACACCCCGCAGTCGTTGATCCATAAATACGGATAGCTGTCAGAGTCCAGACGAGATTTTGAGTGTATGATATCCCGACAAGTGCCAAGTACACCGGTATCACCAAAACGCCGAGCACCAAGTAGCTGGCTACACTTGAGGAGCGAACGGTTGCACACGGTAATGCGATCATTGATGATTGCACTGTTCAGCGGCCACTGGACCAGTAGTCTTTCCCCAAGGCTAAACTTATCATTCGATCTTCCACCTTAGTTATCGAGTACATGCCAGTAACAAAGTAGGCATGAAATCACCGGTGGTCACTGGTGTGGTGGGTTCGGTCCAAGTGTGCTCATCCTCTCGTTGCTAGAGAGTCGTGTGGTTTTTGGATGAGAGTTGTGTTAGGACGGTTCTCAAATCCAGACATGTAGGTGGCGAGGTGATTAAGGAGCTGTCGGTGAGAGGAAGCGAATGTGATTTTACTTAGTAGTGGGAATCAACGTTGACGGGCATGGTGGGGTTGACTACTTAGTCACATATCACTTCATAGTAGGCTATATGAAGCCATTGAGGCAGGTGCTTATCCAAAGTCGGTATAGTATAGTGGTTAGTACGAAGCTTTGTGGTTCCAACAGATCAGCTTAGACCCATGTTCGATTCATGGTACCGACAATCTGAAAATTTTTTGCCCTTTTTTCTGCTGCCATCACTCGCACACTTCAAGAGACGGATAAGTGACGAAAAATAGAAAAAATTTAGGTAGAGAATGGTCAGCAGCGCGCATCACACATGGGAGGTTCAAACCACCGAGGAAGATCAAGACAGTCGACCCAATTCCCGGGAAATCCCCGAAGCAGCTGGCCGCCCGGTACTACCAACCGAAGTCGGGACATGCCCTCACGGCGACCCACAGTCATGGGCGGCTGGGTACTGTTTCTTGTCGGTTGCGATCCCAGTTGTCCCAAAAGAATAGTACATCACTCGCTCTTTGACTCCCGTTGTGGTATGCTGACTGTTGGTCCGGAAGGAATCAGGGGAAGCAAACGTCACACCAGCCAGCAGAGTCCTATTGAGATTTCCGTGGCCTGGAGAAGTGGTCTTGTGCTTGAAGTTCCACCGGTTGTCAACGAGCCCTTCACGTCTCGACGAGCAAAGCCCCGATTCGCAGTGCAGCTTCTGACACTCTATTAACCAAGTTTATGTAGTAATTCCGCGAATACCGCCACCCTGAAAGATACATACCATGACCCAGCCTCAAGCCCAAGAACGCATGCACACGAAACTCAAATCCCTAGCAAGCCTGACTAGCCAAATTTCTAAGTGATCCGTAGCTCCTGTTTGCCACTAGGCTTTCCACCCGCCTGTTCATAATACGCCTCGATCACGTAGTGCTTACCGCCCATATCCATATATTCCGGATCCGAATGCTTGATGACCTATGCACGCACACACACCCCGCCCACAACGTTAGCGCATCCATTTCCCTTGCCCATCACCCGTCGCCAGGACTCAGAACTTACATCGCCGACTGTAGATCTATCGTACTGCATGACCTGTCCAAAGCTCGCATAGTAGAAGCGGATCGTGCTGGGCGCGATCGCGTTCTGCGCCATGTACGACATGAGAACTTTCGAGACGCGCGTTGACAACTTCGGCTTCATGAAAGTTACGGCTGTGGTGGGCGGGGGGGCGGGGGGGCGGGTTAGTTAGTGCAGTGATGGAGAGCCGGTGCGGGTGCGAAGGGGGACGTACGCCATTGGCTGCCGTTGGGAATGATAACGATATTCACTCGTTCGTCGGCCAGTTCTTCGATTCTAGGCTCGGGTTTGACGGTAACGGAGGTAGTGCGCTTCCGGGGTTTTTGGCCAACGCGAGTAATGGCCTGTGGGGGTGCCACCGGGGGAGCGTAGTACTGGGGCCTTTCAGGGGCCACTGGGGGACTGAGATACTGGGTCGTTCCAGGTGCCACCGCGGGGGTGACGTCCATAGCCTGTGAGGGAGTCACCGCAGGAGTGACGTCCATGGCCTGTGAGGGAGCCGCTGCGGGAGTGACGTTCATGGCCTGTGAGGGAGTCGCCGCGGGAGTGAGGGCCATAGGCTCCGTCTGGCCGCGGCTGGCAGCCGAGCCGGGGGCGGTGGACTTTGCAGAGCCTGCGGCGGGGGCGGGGTCTTTGGGCTCACCAGAGACTGTGGTGGTGGTGGGGGCATTCTCTACGGGATCGTTCGTATTCACGGCGGGCGTATCCGTGAGGTTGCGGACGGGGAAATGCATTTGTTTAATTGTTGATGCGGTGCGGTGTGGGACAAGAGATTGTGGTTGTGAGTTGCAAGAGAAAACCCGGCGTTGTGAAGGAGTGCATACGTGACCCAGGTTTATATCTTCACCCCTCCCCGGCCGGTCCTGTGATAGGACCGTACAATCGTAATGGCTTCAGCAGAATCTGCTATGGCCCACATCTGTGCTCGCACATTCCACAGTTCCGCGACACCGGCTTGCGGACAAAGGGCGACGAGTCGTTAACAAAGGGCCGGCCGCGTATGGTCCTGTAGGGTCTATGGTCTGGAAGTATCGACCATAGAATACCGTTCTTACGTACAATCCATTTTCATCCGCCGGGGATGCCTGTAACGGCATGTTTGCTACCAGTATATCGTGTGTTGGAGAACGTGAATCTCCTACTTCTCGAGCTCCAGGGCACAAAATGGCCGATACCTAGTTCGTTCTTTGTCTGTATCCGGAACTTTCTTTTCAGTCTCTGATGCATTTGATCTATCTAGGAATCCGTATGCTAGGTGCTCGGAGATTGTGGAGCAAGTTGAAATGAGTGCAGAACTGAAAGGAATCAACTTTAGATTGTCGACATCGGTTTTCAAGATCAAGAACTCGGCCTCAATACCCGCAACTTCCCAATATTTACATACCATGTATGGTGTACATTACTTCGACGGAACATTACCGCTCCTACAACCACAGTAGCCTATGGTAAGAGCAGCCTCTAGAACAATAAAAAAACGGACGGCTCCTCTTTCTAGAATAGACATGCTTCTCGTTTTCCCCTTCAACGACCTTCTGCTAGTATCGGCCCCCTGCTAACAAAGGACTGTATGTGTGGTGGGGAGCAGCAGGGGAACGCTATATCCACGGCGAGGCCAGCGGGATAGCCCTATGGCAAAGCCGGATGGGTGGTTGAGCAGTACTAGAATAGAAATCGGACAGTACCTGGAATGCACTGCGCAGGAGCGGAGCAGTAGAACAATTGCCATGTCTAAGTTACCTAGGTCCACACAGAACGAGTGATACCATGGGATTCTAGCAAGCTGGCTAAAATACAGACCAAATGTCAACGGTATCTCAAAATAGTACAAGAATAAGTCCCCTATGCCCCCTCTAGAAATTTGCCGTGCACACACTGGCCTTAACGAGGAAAGCTGCCCTCCCGCCCTCTTTCAGCTCCACGATGGCTGGCGACACAAACAACGCCACTCTCTCACCCCTCGGCTCCCCCGAGAGCTCGCGCATATACTGGTCTCTCCTCGCTGCATCCATCTCACGGATCCACGAGGGGGTCTCATCCGCCTCATCCGCCTCTACCGTGCCTTCCGCCTCCCTCCCCAACGCACACCAGAAAGTCTCCTCCTCCTTCTCCGCGCTCCTCCTCCTCGTCTCCTCCTCCATCGAACGGCGATCCCGGATGGCCACCTGCTCTCTAACAGCGCGCTGCATCTCAATCGCCTCCGATGCACCCTCCCCCGCGTCCAGGATATCCATCGTCCCCAGCGTCTCCATCGCCCACAGATGGAAGCGGTCACTCCCCGGGCACCAGAACTTCTCCATGAACACCACGTCGAAGCGGGACAGAGCGCCGCGCATCGAGAGATGGACTTTGACCGCTATGTCCACGATTTGGTGGAGCTCGGCAGCGCGGTCGGCGGATGATGGTGCCTCGAGGAGGTGTGGGAGCATCTCGGTCTCGAATTCGACAGCGAGGGACCGGATCCGCTCGCTGCGAGCGGTGACGTGATCTTGGTGGTTGACGAGGCGAGAGATAACGTCTTTGCGCCAGAGGTTGGCAAAGGCTTCGGACTCTGTCTGGTTATTAGCACTTACTTACTTCTCATTACAGAAGTACTGTAATAGTGAAGGGGGATAAAAAGATACGCCTTTTACCGTATCATGACGGTCAAAATACGTATTTTGACCGTACTAATGCGATACTTGACCGTACTGATACGGAAAAAAGCGTATTTTTTTACTCCCCCCTTCACTATACAGTAAGTATTTGAGGCAAAAGAATGCGGGATAGATACCCTGCGTCGCCAACTTCACCTCCCACTTCTGCAGCTCCTCGTCCTCCGCCTCCTCCAGCCCGAAGCAGTACTTGCCAAAGATGTGGTGGTTCAGCCAGGTGAAGATGAGCTTTTCGATCACCCACGCGGCTGGCTGCTGTTGATCCAACCATATGTGGCCGTAGTAGCCCACATAATTATGCAGGCGCTGAGGAAGGCTCTCGGGATCGAGCTTGATGTCGTCGAAGTACGCCGTGGTGTAGTGACTAATGCGAGATTTGAGAGCGGTCCATTGGATGATGATGTTCTCGATATCGGAGGAGGAGGAGGGGGAGGAGGGGGAGGAGGAATAGGAGGAGGTTGCCATGCTCATGATGGTGTCACTCGACATAGCTGACAGTGGTTGTGTGGTCTTGTGGTATTGTGGCTTTGTGGTTTTGGGTTGAGGGGTCGAGGTCGTGGTAGCTGTGGGATTTTGAGAGAACTGTTGTGAAATCGAGGCTGTCTCTGGATGTGACGAAGGCCAGACACCCGCTGAAGGTGGTGCTGCTACAAGAGCCAGACCCGGGAGCATCTTTTCAAAAATTTCCCGGAATGGAAAAGGGCACTGGTCCGGAAGCAGACGGAGAGTCTAAGGAGCTGTCTGGGTCTAAAATAGGTAACCGTAGTAGTGAAACCATAGCTGTCTCTGGATGTGATGAAGGAACTAAAGGAAGGAAAGAACGTTGAAGTAGAGGAGTCAAAGCTACCGAGCTTGCGGTATTCAAGTCTCATGACAATCGGTCAAAACATTTGAATTTCGAACAGTGATTCATTCCATCTGCACCGACCAAACAACCCAAGCATTTTCTATCACTCGCCGTTTAGTCTCACCACACCTCCCTCTCAACTAGAACTTTCCTCACGCACTAGACCCTCTGCGGGTTAATCAAAGTGCTGTGGCTTGCTAGCTCTGTAGCTTTTTAATGTGCTGATTTTGACCAATGAGAAAGAAGACACTTTCATTCCCCCAGTTGGGTTTTTCTGTGGGAGTGACCGTTGGCGGTCGCGGTCAGGTCGAATGCAATGATTAAACAGAAACAAAACACACTGGACCCACCGGGCCAATAACTTTCACTTTATCGCAATTCAGCCATCCTCTCCTTCGCTTTAGCCTTTCACGCCTTTCCCAGATACCGGTAACTACACTCGAACGAATCACCGTCACCATCACATCACTCGCTCATTCTCTCCCAATGCTGCTCACGGATACGCACTCGCCCCCTCTGCCCCCTGTCAACTAATGAGATACCCCATCGGCAGGCCAGTTGACACGGTCGACAGTACCGTATAGTACCTACTATTATTATGATCCAGACAGAATACCATGAGTGATATCTCATGAGTGTCCGCCCTGGTGCTAGGTACTGATATGTACAATACAAAGAAAACTCGCTACTAAGCAGTCTTCCCCCCCTTCCCGCGGTCCTTTGCGAAATAGCCATGGCCCTCCTCCTCCTCGCCCTCTTCAGGCTCGTCCATCTGCTCGCCCTCACTAAAGCTCTCCCAAACCCACTCATCCACCTCCACCTCCACCTCTTCCACCTCCCCAGCCTGCTCCCCAGCCTGCTCCCCAGCCTGCTCCCCAGCCTGCTCCCCAGCCTGCTCCTCGCCACCCTCCTCCCGCACCTTATTCTTCTTCACCATCATGACCTTCCTCCTCCTGCGGCCCCCCTGATGTTCGGCCTCGCCCTCCCTAATCTGCCCCTTCTCGATCTGCACCCTTTCCAGCCTGCGTAGAAAATCGCTCTTCCCGGCCAACTGCTCAGCAAACGGCCACTCCTTCGCTTTGACCACCGCAGGCGAGCACTGGACCCTATGTACGCCGACGGCAACAACCTTCCCGCATGCCGGATCCTGCATCGCCTTGCGCCAGTGTTCATTCTCCTCTAGCAGCGGGGGTCTCGGCACAGCCGCCGGCTTCCTCCGCCTGCCGCCGACATACGCCGCCGCCGCCGAAAAGTCGCGCTCCGAGTAGTAATAGCCTCCGCCGGAGATGCGCGGGGGCTCCCTGTAGGCCGCACCTGCCACCCCCACCTCCCCCTCCCCATCCTCCCCATCCTCCCCCTCCCCCACCACCCCTTCAGGCGTACCAACATAAACCTCACTCCCCACGGTCCCCGCCCAGCGCCCCGCCCAAATCCTATTCTGGTACCCGACGAGCACCTCGTCCCCCTCGAGCCCCAAGAGCTGCAGTCGATCGCGGCGGGCAGTAGCGCCGCGCGCCCACTTCGGTAGCTGCCGGGGCGCCTGCAGCCGTGAGGCGCCGAGCATGTGTGTCGACTTTTGCGGGTGGCTCGTGGCGGTCGGCGCGGCGGCCTTTTTGAGGGATGCGTTGGTGAATGGGTTCGTGCTGGGACCGGCTTGGACTGGTGCTGGGATCGTGAGGTCGATTGTTATGTAGTACTCCTCTGGGTCGGCTGACGAGTCGGTTTCGTATTCGGAGTCATCGTCGGGGGTGGGAACGGCGGAAGCGTGGGGTGGTGGGGGGTTGGCGGTGGCGGATGCGCGCGGTGGTGGGGCGGTGGACAATGGCGCGGGGTGGGTCGACATCGCGGCTATGTGTGAGGTTTGAGATGGTGGGGATGAGGTGGTGGTGGGGTGAGTCGCGCCTGGCGAGGAGACTCGAGAGTGAAGCAGTATATGGAAAAGAGTCGCGTTGCGTTGCGAGCTAGTCAATGGTGGGGCAACCCTGAACACTCACCAGCAGATCCAGCAGATCCATCTCCAGATCCAGACATTTCATTCGTAAGATAAGCGCACCACCAAATGACTAGTTAGAATAGGTAGAACAGCAGGACGACTATTAAACCACTAAACCAATACCGAATCTCCTAGTTCCAAGTTCCCCACGGATTTTTCTTTCCCCCTCCCCTCCCCTCCTCTTCCTTTCCTTCCCTTCCGCTATGCCGCACACGCAAAAACGCCGTCCCCCCCGCAGAGTGAGTTCCTACACGCAAACAGACAGACAGACCGACAGACCACAAGCAAAACAAAAACAAAAAACGACGACGACGGGTAGGTAGATACATTCCCCAAGTCAAGAGAATAGTAGAGTAAGTAGACACCAGACCAGGCTTCAGATGAAAGAAAAAAGGACGAATGACAAAAGACAAAAGACAAAAGGACGAAAGACAAGACAAAAGACTGTAATTGCGCTCGCTCGGGTATGCCATGTCTGCTCTAACCCAACACCCAATAGCCCTACTCCCCGATGTCTGCAGTAGGTACGAGTACGAGTCCTCACAATCCGTTCTGGAGCCTTTCGATCTGCATCTGCATCACATCATTCCTGAGCAGCAGATCTCTCTGTTCCTGCGTCATCAGCGGGCTCCTCCTATCGATCGACTCGATGGGAGGGGTGAGGGTAGTAGTAGAATCGGACTGCTCCGAGCCGGAGCCATGCTCCTGCGCATTCGCATTGGCATTGGCGGCAGTAGTAGTCGCAGTCGTAGTCGTAGGATCGATATCGAAAGCGCCCCGCAGGCGCGCAACGACCGCGGCCGTAGCGAGCGCCGCAAGCGAGCCAGGTCCACTGCCAGGGATGAATTCAGCCTGCTGCTGCAGCAGCGCGCGGCGGACGACCCTGCGCTCCGACGGGCCCACGGAGCCGAGTCTGGCCAGCGGTCCGGACTCGTCTTCGGCCAGCCCGAACGCGCCGCGGACTTCGCGCCGAGCATCGTCAATCTCCAGGGCCTGTTGTTCGACCTAGTCAGTCGTTGATCAGATCAGCAAGTCACGCATAACGCGCCGAGTAGGAATGGAGCGACGCACCCTGCGCAGTTCCCGCCTGGTGCTCCTCAGCAGCGCAAACTCGCTAGCCAGCAGGTCGATCCGCGTTTGCATGGCGCGGAGTCTCGCCTCGCGAATACGCAGACTGTCGACGGCGCGATTCCGGTCCCGGCGGTTCGGTCCCGTTGAAGGCTCCGGCTCCGGCTCGTGCGTCATCGCCTCGCGAAGAGCAACCTCGGACACGGCATCTTCCAGCGTCGAGGTGGTATTATCGACATTGTTCAGCATTACATCCTGCAGCGCGCCGATGCGGCGGATCTGGTTGACCAGCGTGTCGAAGGAGTCGAGTCCAGCAGCAGCAGCAGCAGCGGTACGTTCAGTAGCCGTCGAGGAAGTAGTAGTAGTAATTCCCGCGGCGGGGCGGGGTGTCGGCGCTCCGGTTCCCGCAGTCGCCGCAGGTGGCAGCATCCCCGGCGCGGGCGGCAAGGGCGTATAGCTCGCCGTAGTAGTAGCCGTAGTCGCAGCCGCTGCCCCACCGGAGCCAGGGACAATGCCGAACCGCAGCCTCCCCACCGGCGTATGATCAAACAACGACCTCCTCCACTGCGCCTCCGTCATGGGCACCAGATCCCGCTCACGATCACGGTCTCTATCGCGATCACCGCGACGATCACGCTCCCGCTCGCGCTCACTGCGCCGGTGCACCAGCAGCAGCTGCAGATGTCGTTCCGCCTCGTTGCTCGCGGCAGACGCCTGACTCGTCTCCCTTAGGAACTCATCGAGGGTCAACATGCTTCCCGCGCCGTCCCTGCCGTCCCTGCCGTCCCTGCCGTCCCTGCCATCCCTGCCATCCCTCCTCCTTGCACTAGCCGTCGTCGCAGGCGGCGCAGGACCCGAAGCCTCTTCGTCGCCCGTGAGGTCGATAACGATCCTCCTTCCGGACTGTGCCGCCGGTGTCGGTGTTTCTGCGCCCGCCGCGGGATCGATCGGGTCGAACCAGGTTCCGGTCGGCAGCCTGTTGCAGCGCGCAGACGCGGAAGACTTGTCGGCTGACCGCGATGGCGGACTCTCCCATACTGCGGGCGTCAGTCACCGTGGAAACACAGCAACACGGCATAAACAGACAAGCATGGCTAGATGGATAGATAGATGAATAGATGAGGAGCGCATGCACTCACATGGTATTCCCATAGTTCACCGCTAATAGCTACCCCGAGTTGCGTTGCGTGATAGCCCCGAAGGATTCCGAAGGATTTTCGAAGGTCCTCGAGTGTTCTCCGAAGGCCCGAAAGGAAATGGTAACTTAAAGAGATGTTAGGTCTCGATGCTCGCGGAGATGAGCAGCGGCAGCGACGCGGTTTACGCTTTGTGGGTGACGGTGGGGGGAGGGGCGAGGTGATGGTCAAGCGTTCAAGGTTGAATACTCGAGCGGGAAGGGAAGGTAGCCGGCGTGGTGGGCGGTGGGTGTTGTGGTTGTGATTGCGTAAGAACCCGGACCTTACTTAGGGGGTCAAGTCCCTCTACGTCGATCGACCTATCCGGTTCCTCTCTAGTGCGTTCCGTAGGGCTGGCTGGCTTCTCGCGCGCTTTCTCTCGCCGCCGTGACGTGACGTGCGAAGTTGATTTAGAACGAAGGGAAAGGGAAAGGGCAGGGCGGGCGGATGTGGGATGGGAATGCGATGGAGTGTGCGATGGAGGGATGGATCGGCTACGTCCAGCCTACCTATGCAAAACACTCTCTATGAAACCCTACTTGCTAAATCGCTGATGCGATGCGACTGCGGCCCTGCGGGCGGGTGCTATATCGCAGCACCCCAGCTCACATGAGTACTTTACATAGCACCTGCTCCACGTAAAATAGTTCACGAACAAGCCACGATCTTCAGGCGTCGTATCCGCAACTTCACGAAAAATGATTCACACTTTATGTATATCAGTATCCGGCATTTATATTCAACAAATCTACAGCAAGAAAGGCACATTCCTTATATTGTACCCATCCAAAGCGCCACCCATTCCTGAAAACTTCAAACTAAAGGTATCGTGCAAGCCCCAAAAACAAACCATCCGAAAACTAAATCATCAAAGTATTGCCAACATGTACGGGAAAAAATTAAAAAAAAACTCCGGTAAAAAAATAAGCAAAAACACCCGTCTTTAGTCGTCGACCGCCTGGGACGGTATAGGACGGCTGAACGAGTTGGGGAACGGGTGGGCGGTGCTTATGGTCGAGCCGCGCCTGCGTATCGACGACAACTCGGCATCGCGCTGTTCCTTAGGCAAAAGGACCTAGCAGACTTGTGAGCTGTGATGGATTGAAACGTGAAGGGACTGGAACTTACAGCACGGTCAAGCTCATATGGCAGACCACGATGACGACCACGAAGCTGCATGGCAATGATAACCAACTTGCTCACAACGCTGAACTTGCCGGAGAACGAAGGGTTGAATCCGGGGTAACCCAGACTGAGTCCAACAGTACCATAAGCCGAAACAACTTCGAAAAGTACCGAAAAAACCGTGAAGGCCTGCAAAACTGATTAGTACGGATAAAGCACCCCCAAACTAGGATGAACTTACATAGTCGTTGATATTCTCGATATGCCTTCCCTCGGCAATCGAGATGACAAAGAGCCCTAGGAAGATATACCACAGATCGAAGGAGAGCTGTTTCCTCAGATGGAATCCCACGTACGACGCACCGGATGGTCCCGCCTCCATATCATCGTCTCCACCGTAAAGACCAAGGGATTTCTCCTCGTAGACGTTGGTGCGACGAACACTGATGGCAATGGGGAAGACCGAGATGTACATCATGAGCATGTAGCTAACCTGTACCGCAGGATGCAAAGCCGAGATATTCACAACCGCCAGACCCGCAGTTCTCGTAGAAGCCGCCTGGAATATCGCCCCCATGATCCGGTGGCCGACCGCTATGCTCGTAACATCCGGGTCTTTGATATCCAATACGATGAAGAGGATCACGTCCGCAATATTGAGGGCAAGAAGCACCCACAACAGAACCCAGGTTTCTCTGCTGGGGAACAACAGAGTAAAACAGCGGCGCGGGTGATCAAGAAGAAAGTTGAGAGCTTCCTTGATGGAGGAACCTGCGGGTACTATCTTGAAGAGAAGCCAGATCAGGAACCTCAAGAGGCACGGGAATCCGGTATTTCCAATGACGATCAGGAATGTCATCACCACGAGAATCCAGGTGCACTTCTGGAAAGACAGCATGGAATCCGGCGTCAAAGTGAACCCAAGATCATTGAGAGACGTCTGCGATGTGAATATGGCCCTGTTTCAGGCAATTAGACACAGATAAGCTTTCACATAGATATTCAGACTTACCACCACGTAGGACTGACACCCAACGACTGAATGTACTCTTTGTACTGGGGTGCGTTATGGATCCAGGGAAGGATACATATGATTCCGAAAGCATGGAAACAAACGTAGTATGCTATTGGGTCTGTTAGCTGGAGCACTACGTCTCGGAAGAGTACTACTTGCCAACCAGAACCCGGAATAGCAACTTCAAGCTCCGGTATTCGATTCCACCCAGCTCATCGCGCTGCTCGTCAGTCAAGTCCACAAATTGCGAGTTCCTTCCGAGCGTGGGCTGGTACGACAGATAAGGCATATCTGGTACCGGTACGGGTTTGCGAGGCGTGTTTGAAAATACACTGAACGACCTAACGCGCTTTGCGGGGCCCATGGAGAATGCCGACGTCATGGCCGCCGTTGCGTGGGGAAGGATTCTATCCGCCGTGGGAAGTTTTCGCAAGCGCATCGAAGCATTCGTTGCAGCAGCCGAAAAACTGTAAGATCTAGACGGTGTGTGTCCGACACGCGTCTCTTCTCCGGTTCTAGCGGGCGCCAATGTGTACGTATCATCGTCGTCCACTTCCGTTGCGCGATCGCCTGCGACAGGTGTGAGATGTATTCAGCAACGGGGAGTGCTCCGGGAACGTACCTTTCTCAAACTCTCGTGGGCCGGGTATCCGCAGAGCCTTTCCGTTCTGGGGAGCCCTTTGGCTCTCGACGAAAGCGATGTGGTTGTTATTGGCGGCATTCCATCCATAGTCCTCCGTACCATCACGGGTGCGGGGGGAAGGCAAATCGCTGAACTGAATGTTGCTACTAGCAGTTCCGGGGGGATTGCGGCTAGCCGTGGCTGTGTTCCTGTAGATTTTATCCGCGTTCAGCATTCCGGTTCGGACGGTTCGGAACGAATGCATCCCCTACCCATTAGCCGATGGCAACTCGGCCATCGTCGACGAGGATGCCCCTCCATGGCTCGAGTTGTCTTCTTCTTCTCTCATGGGCGCCTTGGGGTCAATTGCGGTATTTGCGGTGCTAGAGCGTTGCATGATCATTCCCTCGGGACCCTCAACAACCTCGAATTTTCCACTGTTCATGGTATCCTGGTGCAATACACGGATATCACGGCCCTGGATTCCATCCTCGAGCGCCGTGGCTTCTTTTCTACCCTGCGTGATGGTCCGCGCTCTCGATGGCTGGCGAGACATTGAGACTGTACACGAGTCCGTGAGCACTCCATGACACCCGATTGCCGAGTCCCCGATGACGAAACTCACCAATGTTCTCGAACCGTTTCTCGAACCAGTGCAGCCGGATTCGCACGACGCAAGTGTTGATAAAAATAGGAGTCGTAAGCATGGTTGCTATATAGATCAAGCTTTGCTGGTACGTTTTGATAGAGTTCGTGTCTATACTGCACATGAAACTCAGCCCAGCTCCAACGGAAGATGGCGACAGCAGTCAAACTCACGTGTTCAATCCCGATTGTGTACATGCGCCGCTGGCGAAGAAGAGAGCGTCGATATAGGGCATGTTGCTGCCGGCGAATATTATGACGGACAGAACAAGGCTCATTCCAATTAGGTAACAATCTAGAGTACGGGTCAGCGTCTCCTCTAGCGATAAGAAAAGTAACGGTTTCCGGCCTGCACTCACAGTGTAGAGTGATGAAGTTAAAATGGACCTTGAACCGTTCCCGGCGGCTTTTCTCCGTTGGCTCCATGGGCGCGAAATTTGTTGTTGACCTCAGCAAAGTTTAGTTTTGGTGGGTTCGGTGGTAGTGGTTGGTCGTGGTGGGGGGATGGAGACGGTCTTTATTGGTGCAGGTGGCGGGCCAATTACGTTCCGACAAAGGAGCGTGTCCGGAGGAGGAGGGAGGACGAGGACGAGGACGAAGAGGAGAGGGAGGAGAGGCCTCAAGACTAGGGGTTGACACGACTCGAATAATGGGTTCAAGTAGCTCACGCGGGACGATAAGAGCGGTGGCGGACCACGGGATTGTCGCAGTTGGAAGGTGACGAGGCGGCGACACGGTAATTATATCAAAGAGTGTAGACGGAACAAGCCATGGTGTATTGTGTCAATTGAGCTGGCAGTAATATTTGGGGACTGTTGGTGGTGGTGGTGGTGGCGGAGGTGGTGGTGGTGGAGGTGGTGGAGGTGGTGGTGGTGGAGGTGGTGGTGGAGGTCGCGGATTGGAGGAGTTGGTGGATGGAGGATATGCTCGCAAGCAAGCAAGCAGCAAGCAGGGTGAGGTGAGGTGAGAACTGACCAGAAGAACGGATTTCTCTTGTGTCTTTCCTTCTTCCTTTTTTTCGTGCCGGGGGTAGCGCGCCGAGACGCACTCAGCAGCTTGCTTACTTCGACGCCGTGGAATGTTTGGGATGGGTTTGGCTGGCTGGTGGCTGTTCCTTCCCTCGTCCTGCACCCTTAAACTCTGGAGGGGGGGAGGGGGGGGGGGGGGGGGGGGGCTGGCCCATTGCCCACCAGCTCTGGAACCCTCCCACCCACGACCCACGACCCATCACCCCCCCCGAATTCATCACAGCCATGACAACCAACATCTGCTCCAGGACCCCTTGACAACACGCAACAGTCCCTGGCGATCGCACAGCTCGCGCACTGCACAGGGTGGAACTCGACATCCGCATCGCGTCAAGCGCCCGTGGCGGAACAGTAGTTTCCCATGGTAGAAGCTGCGATTGCACGGCAAACAAAGGACAGGAAAGAAGTTGCAGCTGTTCCAGGCTTCCAGCCCGCTAAGCGAGTACATTCCCAAGATCTCGCTACCCAAGAGGTTTCGCCGATCCGCATGAATCCGCCGGGTGGGTGCAGCAGCGCAAAGAAAGCCGAGTCGCGATGTGTTACGTACTCAGACACTCATGCTGATGCTTGGCCTCTCTGCCGACTTTCTCTTGAGATGTCGCGATGGCGAGGCAAACGGAACATCCGGGGGAACCCTCTGCAAGCTACCTAGACGACGCTTTGAGCTCTGAGCTCGTGCGAAGACGTCACGGAACATCACGTCACTTCTTCCTCTAGGTACATATGATAGGTAGATACGGTACTCCTCCTCAGTGCTCGCCACGCCCGCCAGACCAGAAGCGCACGAACAACACGGAATGCCCAGTCAATGAGACGTGTCGCCGTCCCTTCCATTCGCACGGTGTTTCCCTCTCTTTCTCCTTCGGAAGGAAGAAACTCCCAATCAATCATCTCACCCGACAAGTCTGGATCCCTCCTCCCCGAAGAACCATGGAAGCCGGGTTAGTTACTCGAGGTGTGTGTCTCTCGAAGTCTCAGATCTCTCGCCGACCGCCTGCGCCCCTATAGCGAGTCGTCATTGTGGTTATGCAAGCAAAATGACGGGCGGGACCCGGGAACGCGAGTAGTGCAACTGCGCAAGGCGTGTCTAGTTAGTGTGGTTACACACGGAGTAACGATTTTGCGGAGAGCCAAAGCAGAAGGAGGACGCGGCGCGAAGAAGGGATGGCGAGGGATCGTTAGGAATCGTGGAGGGTCCAGCTGCCAGCATTCCATTCAACACTAACTAGCAGCCATTCCCCTTCATCGTCCATCGATCGGACGTGAAATGAGAAGACGACAACTCCACAGAATCAATTCAATCCATACGGCGCGCAATGCACTTCATCGGTCGTTTATATCTGCTCTATATACTCTATTCATCTATCGGAGAACTCCAGCTGTCTAACAGCAGCATCCTCCACACACACAGACCCCCAGAGTACATGCCGTACTTTATGCCGTACCTTATCTACCGATTGCAGAGATACCGCCCAGCATGAGACAACTCATCCACAATATCACCACGGCCATCCGGAAGTCCAGTGTACTGTACCGGCGAGCTGGTCGGTCTGCACTATGAAATACCCAATCGCCATGGCGGCGTCCTTCCTCACTCGGCAGCATGTATGTGTACGCACAATGCTTCTTACCAATCATACGGATGTTTCCCTACACGTTGATGGCACACGTCCGCACTCTACATATGATACATACATTACGGTACTCCCCATCGCGAGATCCCACTCCCCCCACTCGACCCCCAACCCCCAAATATCTGCAGCCGAGCATGGCTGCGTGGGTGGGTCTCCGGGATGCGAAACTGGAAACGCAAAACTGGAAACTGGTAACCTCCTATTCATTCCCGGGAACAGCGGCGGCGGCGGCGGTGGGTGGATCTGTGGCTCTACATACAGCCATAGCCGACCTTGTCCTTGTCCATGTCCATGTCCACTTCACTGTGTCCGTGGCTGTGGCTGTACACGGGTGCCACCCGGAATCCAATCTCTCAGGAGTCAGGATTAATGTACTCGGTACGTACTACTATAGGTACATACAGTGCTTTGCACAATCATTCATCCATCCGGCTATACTAGGTAACAGCTATACCTCCACGTGTTTGTGTTTATGTTTGCTTTTGCTTTTACCATCGCGAACAAAACAACAAATGTACATATGTGGCATAGAGTGCTCGTTTGTTCATCGTAGCGTTCCACGCGCGCTGAGCTAGAGGATATATCTATAGGGTATCGTAGTTGCGATGATCAGGCGCCACGCGAAGTGTGTATGTGTGTAGGACGGTAGTTTGGATCGGAATGCGGGGTGATGATGATGATAGATATCGACGTTTGTTTACCTATTACCGCCGCCGCTGTTGTCGTTGTCGTCTGGCGCTCGCTGCTGTGATCATTGTGATCACTACCGATGTTGGAACGGAAAAGCGAGTGTGATTGGCACCAGTGACGATGACGGACCTGCTCCGTTGGCTTGCAGGAGGAGGCGCAGCAGCAGCGCAGAATCGCGGGGTGAGACAGCGGGTACCAGTACAATCATACATAAGACCGATGAGCGCAGGCGCGGGGATGGGGGATGGGGGTGGGGTTGGGATTGACGGAAGACTGCCGCTGTTGGATCAAGTCCTACATCCTACATCCTACATACATCCGTGTGTGCCGGCGAAATCGCGCAAGTCTGCAGACTCCTGAGCCAGAGGAGAGGAAAACCCAAGCCCGCCCGCCCTGTGCTGGTGCCGACACGCGAGCAGTGAGCACCGGAATACTTCCTACACACATACACACGTTAACCGGGAATCCCGGATTGATCGGCTTCCTCGCGGCCAGCCAGCCAAGCTTTACTCTAGGTACTCTACTCTAGTTAGCCATGCAGGCATGTCCACAGTGTAACCTGCTAGTTAGTTAGACTGTGATACAGCGGCTCCAAAAAAAAAACCTCAAGCCTCAACCCCACCACTCGCGAGTCCCCACCACCCCACCACTCCGCACTGCATCCCACTGCATCCCACTGCACGCACGCAATGCACTCACGAACGGCGGCACGACTAACACAGCAGCTGCGGCCTGCGATACGGGTGACGCAGACGCAGACGCCGACGCCGCGATGCGCATCGACCGTGACGTACACGCCCTCGTCGTTCACATCTCGGGGAGGAGGAGGTCGCGAGCGGGAAGGGACTGAAGGTGCTCCACGGGAAAGGTCGTTTCGGGATCGGGATGCGCTGCCGGACGGGGGGAGGGAGAGGGAGAGGGAGCACCGGCCGCGGCGAGAGCAGTCCGGCGGAGACCGGAGGGAATACAAGCCGCGCGACACGCAGGCCGGGGACCGGGGGACGTACTCGCTGCGGCGGGAGTGGTCCGGGAAGCAGGAGGGGCGTGAGAGGCCCGTTGGGCGCGAAGGGTCCGTTAGGCGCGAGGGAGGACAATCGCAATCCGGGGGAGGTGGTGACCGGCCACGCATCAGTCGAGACGGGCCGTCGCACGGAAGATCAACGCGCGAGCGGGAACGGGAACGGGAGCGGCCAGCGACGACGGCCTCGACGAACCGGAAGCCTCGGTTGCAGACGGTGACCGATACCATCGTACCACAGCTGTCGCAGGACGAGGTCTCCAGCATCTTCTCGCAGGAGCTGTTCGTGTTCCGCTGCGATGTCACTGCCACACATATCCCCGCCGCCATGAGCTCGTATGCTCAGCTCTCCGAAAGAGAGGTGCTCACCGAAAACGATATCTCGAATTTGGCGCGCCAGCTGCATGCGCGCTTCCGTATGGACCGCGAGAAGAAGGATATCCTGCCGCATGTCATCACGCTCATCGAGGACTTCAAGAAGAAGGCGATCCCTGGACACCCGCTGGCTAGTGTGCATCTGCTCAGTTGTCTGAAGGATATGGAGGAGTTCACGCTCAGCAATGAGTTCTGGGAATGGTTGACGACCCAGGACGAGAACTTTTGCGATGCGCGAACGTATGGTGCCGCAATAGAGTGCTTTTCCTACCAGGGAGTCAGCCTCAGCGAGCTCGAGGCGATGTGGAGTGAGGCGCTGGAGAGGTTCTCGGGCACCACTGTAACCTCCGTCGCGAAGAATACGGGCAGGGGAGTTCCGGTCATGTTGCTGCAGGGCATCATCACCGCGCGGCTGTTCCATGGCGACTGGAGGGCGGCATACGAAGCGTTTGATATCTGCACACGGCTGTACCCATCCCTGACGCCCGCGCGCATCTACGAACTGTTCATCTACGAGCGTCCGGTGCGCGAGGCGTACATCGTCTTCCTGATGGCCTGCCGTGCAGGAACCCCGCCGAAGCCAGGAGTGCTGACGCCGCTCCTTAAAGAAACCTGGATGGAGACCCACGATGTGCGGGCTATGATCCGCCTCGTGTACGCGTTTGTCGGTGCCGGCGGAACACCAAATGCCATCCACCTCAACTCGCTCATCGGCGGGATCCTCGGCTCGTTCCCACCGGAGCTCAAACCCACCGACGCAGAGTACGAGCCGTTGTACCATGGCATGCTCGGCCTGGTGCGCGCGCTCATCACCGTGTTCAACCGCATGGGCGTCCCGCTGTCCACCGGCTCGTTCAACACCATCATCTCTTTGGGCGGCAAGCTTCGGCGGCAGGAACTGATCCACTCGGGGCTGAAAGAACTGATTGATGCGGGGCTTTCACCCACAATGGTAACCTACCGCACGCTCCTCAACGCCGTCGGCGACATGGCAGACGTCATGCTCCTCGAGGAGTCCTGGTCGATGCTCAAGACCGGGCGCGAGCAGCTGCGGGTCCCGTGGGACTTCAACGACTGGAAAGCGCTGATCCGCGCGTGCGTCGCCACCGGCCGCGTCGACTTCTTCGAGGGCCAGCTAGCCGTGCACTCGCACGAGCTGTCCGAGATCTTCGTGCGCAACATCATCGCCGTGCTCCAGCGCGCGATCATCACCTCTACCGCCACTCCCACACCGACCCCCGAAACCGCGCCCAGCACCACACCCCTCGACAAGCAAGCGCTCATCGCCGAGGTAAAAACACTCACGGAGATCTTCTCCTCTCGGCGGATCGCAGACTTCACCCGCGCCAGCGGCAGCAGTAGCTCCGACGGCTCCAGCCTCTCGAACGACGACCTATTCTCGCTGCTACCAAGCGACACGACGCCATCAGGCGTCACGTTGACCGCGGCGCAAGAAGCGGAGCTGCACGAGATCTACGTATCGATCGCGCCGCCGCCATCAGTGCTCGACACGGAGACGGCGGGCACCAAGACGTCGACCGGCTACGACATCGACAAGCTTCGCTTTGAGAACTGGAAGGCCGTTAACCGTCTGCTGTTCGAGGCGGAGTGGTGGGAGCGCGAGCAGGAGCGGCGGAAGGTCGAGGCTACGAGGGCGGCGTCCGGGGATTCGATCGTGCAAGAGAAGAAGGGGAAGAAGGAGGAGAATGTCGGTTATGAGTTCGTCTTTTGGAATGAGGAGCGCGCGAAGAAGAGGATCTTTATGGATATGCAGACGGTCGTCGAGGGCATGCGGAAGGGAGAACCGGACTGGAGGAGTAGGGAGATGGAGGTGAGGGGCAGGTTGGGGGTCGGGATTAGGGCGTAGTTGGGGATTGTGTGTATGCTATCTAGAAGACAGTGACAGTGACAGAGGAATTTCTCGCTGCATCGAGGTTCACGTTGTACTATCCAGTTCATGGACCGTGACTACTTCAGTACCTAGAGTAATCTCCATGTTAGGACGTATTACTCACAGCCTCGCACTCGCTAGCACACTTCAGCAGGTGGAAAATACAGGTACTGGCGGCGGCCGGCGTTGGCTGGCACAGGAAACACATTCGACGGAACCAGAAGATTACAACCACTCGTTCGCATAGCACATATCTAGATTTACAAGAGCTCTGCTCGCAATCAACCAAACGGCCAGTCGAGAAGCAGAGCCCATTCCCAGCACACCATCCTTCATCCATCAAATATCCCAAATCCACCAACCCTCCCACGCCCTGCCCGTCACTCCCACCTTCATCTCAGCAGCCCTCCACTCCCAAACCCCCCACCCCTCTTCGCCCTTGGGCCTCTCACGCTTCTTCTCCTCGAGAAACTCCACCAGCGCGCACGTATACCTCGGCCGCAGCTCGTCGACGAGAATGATCGACCCGTATGCTGGGACCACCGGCGCGGCGGGTCGGAACTCGTCGATCACTGAGACGCCGTGAAGGTGTAGCCGGCTGACTAGTGACGGTGTGCAGAGGTGTGGAAGTAGGCACACCGTTGAGCTGGGGAAGGGTGAGGTGAGTTTTGCGGGGGGGATATGGGGTTTGCTAGTTAAGGGGGAGGAGGGGGTGACTGGTGGGGTAGTGGTGGGGGTAAGAGTGGGGGTAGTGGTGGGGGTGTCGACGGGTGGGGCTCTGGTTGTGGGGGATGGGAGTGGGGGAGGGGAGGGTGGTAAGGGCACGGGGGTCGGTTGGCCTTGGGGAGTAGGTGGGGAAATGGCGGTTTGACTGGGCGAGGCGCAGACGTCTGGCTGGCTTGGTGGATTAGTGGCCGCAGGTTCGGCCTTGGTGACAAACGTTGGTTGACTATCCGGCACAGAAGACCGTTGCGACTGTGAGTGATCATTCGCCGCTGGCGGTTGACTATCAGGCACAGAAGAGCGTTGCGACAGCGAGGTATCATTCGCAGTGTACTCGATAAAGCTCTTCGCGAACAGGCCGGTGAGGTTCGTGCAGCCACTGACCGAATCCCGGCGATGCTGCTTCTTCCTCAGGGGGGAAGCATCCTGCGTCCCCTCATCCCTCTTGACCCCACTGCCGGTCTTCCGCTTCCTAGCCCCATCCTCGGGCGTCAACGAGAAAACATGTCTCGCCCTCTTCGGGGTTCCGGGGGCGAGTGATCCCGTCACAGACGGAGTAACCTCGTCCCCCCTCCTCGTTGAATTCTGCGGGGTTTCTTCGATCTGCTCTCCCACATCGCCTCGTTCAAGCTTTGCAATCCATAGTCGCTCCTGCTGGCTGCCTCCGTGAGCACCGTGCAGCGCATCGTGTGCGAGAAGCTGCAGCTCGTCGAATGACAATGCATCGCTGAATTCGCGGTCCCAGTGCACTTTGGAAACGCGTGGGTGGCGTGGAGTGAAGAAGCCACAGTTTGTCTGCCGATCGAAACTGCCGCCGCAGATCTCGAAGACGAGCGGGTGGCTGAAGATGTGTGTGGGCTTGGTGAGCGATAGCTCGCTGGGGAAGAGGAGGTCGAATTGTTCCAGTGGTGCGCCCGGCTAGGAATGGAGCGTCAACACTCGTTCGCTGAAGGATGGCAGGCGGGGGTACCTTGTACGGAATAGCATCGAAGTAGGCACATTTCTGGATCCAGCTCAGGTCGGCTTGGGTGATGCTATAGGTAACTTCGAAGACCACCTTGAGCTGTGGCTTTGCGCCGTACATCTTGACGTCCTGCTTATTCAACAGCACCGCTGCATGGAACGAGTTCAGGCTTCCAGCGGCCTGCTTTACCGTGGCCGCCCGTTTATGGTCGGAAACTCCGCCAACGATCGCAAAATCCGCAGTGTCTCCGAGTCCCACGATATAATCCTTCTTCAGCTTGACCCAGGCGTTCTCGGTTCCATAGAATCCATATCCTCGCGAAGACTTGTCTGGTCTGGTTCCTAAAAAGTTAAAATACGGAGCGTCGCATGGTTTCAACACGCATCCTTCCCAGCGGTTCAGAATTGCCCGGGCAAAGTATCGGCGCAGACGCTGACCAGCGGCCTCTTTATTGATCGAAAAGTCGATCTTGGTGCGTTCTATCTGCTGGCAGTAACCCTCCTGTGGCTCGACAAGGACTCTTTCCAAGCGTTCGAGACGTGAAGTCAACGAGTGGTTCAGTAGAGAAGTGCCATCCATCAACAGAATATCGAACAGTAGTATCATGACGTGGGAGGAGGCCGATCTTGGGATCCCATCGTTGGCACTCCCAATGTACACTCCGGATCGCGACACATGGCTCCGTATGTAATGGAACGGCATGATTTTCTTCTCACGGTCGCAGTAGACCACCATTTCCCCCTCCAGAATACATTTCTCCTTGAACTCGCGTTCATCGTCCATGTCGATCTTCAAAGCTCGATATATAGCTTCATGAAGTCCCACTCTATCCTGCGTTGAATCTTTCCCGCTCTTGGAGAATATTTTGATCCAGTTGTTCGGGCTCTTTGTGAGGTCAATGTGGATCTGACAGTACTCTCCATCATACTTGCGCTCCATCATCATCTTTCTGTTCCCAGCAAGCTGGATGGCATGTGCAGTCGAAGTAGCCTTCACGAACTCACCACGACCCACTTTGACGCCTGCTACCGGCTTGACGAAGCTGATGGATTTCTCCAGCCAGTCCTGATACTTATTCGGGTCCGGCTGGGCTATCGGACAGGCCTTGGTCAACCTCTCGTCGCAGATTTGCTGGCAAGCCTTCTCCAGATTGTCCTGGACCATATAAAGCTTGGGAAGGAGGAAGTGGTATGCCTGGAGGGTGATGGTTTCTGGCCATGTCGTCAGTCCAAGAGATTGACAGCGACCCAGCCGTTGTCAGCACTCACCAGGCATCCGAACCGGTGCAAGACTCTTGAGTATGCACCTCGTCAACCACTTCCCCTCCACCGAACTGAGCTGATTGAACAGCTCCAAAAGCTCCGCCGGCGGTGCCAGCTGGTCGGTCCTAACCCTCCGCGCCAGCTCCTTATTCGAAAAATGGCTTCTCGCAGCAAGCTTATCCAACAACTCATCAACCTGACCCACCGTAACCTTGCCTCCCTCGCAATCTACCCCACGCATAACCCTCCTCACCGCCTCGCCCAGATCCCCACACGTTCGCCACTGCGCAAGATCATTTCCCCTCCCCGTACCCGCAATGCACAGCGCCTTGGTCACTGCCTTTGCCAGGCCCTCCTCACGTAGCATATACACCCTATCGGGCCTCAGCGCGGGCTGCAGCGTCGACTGTATCGCCAGAACAGTCTTTGGGTCGCCGTCGATGTCACAGCGGTTGGAGGAGAACCACCTATAGATCAGGGCTTTGACGAGCGTCTTGACCTTTGTTGGCGGGAGGCTGTGGTTGGACTGGAGCGCTTCGATCGCCTCGAGAAGCTCGACCACACGCAGGAACGGGACGGGCATGGTGTTGCGGTTGTGTGTGCAATGTAGATGACTCGAGACCTTGCGATTTGGCGGTTATGGCTGTCGCATCGTTGTGCGAAAAACTTCAATTCTCGAAAGTCGAAAAGGAAATGCGCTACCCGCCTTACTCTTATAGTTAGGGAGCGGTTGCTGTCAGGAGATAACGGACTGGGCTGCAGAGTGTGTCCGTTTCACCGACAAGGTTGTCGGATTCTCTAAACTAGAAACGCGAACGTGAAGCGTAGACATGTGACCGTACTCGTGATCGGCGATAAGGCGGGGAGAGTGGGAGGTGATAAATGAGGAGTCGGACAGGCGACCGCCGAGGTGGGTGTGCAGTCATGGTGGCCACCGTGGATGAAGGAGAATGCATCATCAGCCAGAACACTTGAGCACTTCCAGTCCTGCCAATTCGATTGACCTCGCTCAGCCCTCATTTGGTCCATCATATGATTTCTACTCTGCTTTCTGCCCTTACTTGGCAGGATACTATCTGCGTACTCAGCACCTGCACTCCATGTTTTGTGGGGCCGCGGCCTGAGAGCAGGTGCATACATACATCCTACCGGTACTCTATTCGCTATCGACTCAGCTGCAGAGATCCTGCCTCGCAGGTCTTCCGAAATCTTCATTTCCTCGTCTTGCGATTTCAATATCCGAACAATATTCTTGGCAACCAATAATAACAATCACAATTGCTCGTATTCACCGCAAAAATGCTCGCTCGCGTTTCGTGTCGTGGGCGCGTTACTGAGACAACGCTAACTTTATTCGCTTGTCAACAACAGCGCATCACTCAGAAGGAAGAAAGAGAGAGTGAGAGAGCAGGTTAGCCGAAGGAGAGCAACCACACCCACCCCCGACGACCAACTCGACGTCAACGTCCCAACTACCAACCTCTACCACTGCTATCCGCCTCGGCAGCATTGTCCCCCGCGCGTCTCCAGCTATTGGCACGTCGTCGGCGATAGCGAGTCTAGCGCTTCAATCCCGCCCGAACAGCCAGCCGACTGCACCTCCCTCCAGCGCCACCGACCCAGTCCTCCCGCATCTTCGTGTCGCAGCGATACCCACCTGTCACTGCATATCATCGCCCCGCCCCATCATGTCGGGCGAGTCATTAGCATCCAAGTTCCAGGTTTTGGAGCTGCTCGGAAGTGAGTCAGCTGCCAGCTGCTACCCCCGCCCGCTGGGCGAGCGAGGCAACATGCTGACGCTTATCATATTAGGCGGCAGCTTCGGATCAGTCTACAAAGCCTACGAAAAGGAATCCGGAACGATCGTGGCGATAAAACAGGTGCTCACCCACCTCCTTGCCCGCGCGCAACGGACTGCGCCTAACTTGTCGGTGCGCCCATTAGATCGACCTCGAGTCCAGCGAAGATGATATACATGAGATCCAGCAGGAGATACAGGTCCTGGCGACTTGCTCTAGCTCGTTCGTCACCCAGTATTACGGTAGTTTCGTGAAGGGGTTCAAGCTTTGGATTGGTGAGTACGGACGGATTGGGAAGGAATGGGATAGGATGGGAAGCGAGGCTAACCTGGGGTAGTGATGGAGTATCTCGGGGGTGGTTCGTGCCATGATCTGGTACGTATAGCTGCGGGACGGAACGGGAGTGGTATGCAAGTTGATCTGACCTTCGCCGCAGTTGAAAGCTGGTCCATTCGAGGAGGAACATATCGCCGTGATGATGAGGGAGCTGCTGCTCGGACTGAATTACCTACACAGCGAAGGCAAGATCCATCGGGATATCAAAGGTGCGAATGATCAACTGTGCATGGGATGGAGGGGAACTGCTGCTGATGTCATCGCTCCCAGCTGCCAATGTTCTCCTTTCGGATCAGGGCAAAGTCAAGCTTGCGGATTTCGGTGTCGCCGCACAACTCACCGGCTTGAAGTCGCAGCGGAATACGTTCGTCGGAACTCCATACTGGATGGCGCCGGAAGTGATATCACAGCAGACCGGTTACGACTACAAAGCGGATGTCTGGTCGCTCGGCATCACCGCCATCGAGATGTCATGCGGTGCCCCGCCACATGCTGATGTACATCCGATGAAAGTATTGTTTCAAATCCCGAGGGACCCGCCGCCGACTCTTCCCGGGAGTGGTTGGAGCAAGGAATTCAAAGACTTTGTGGCTCGGTGCTTGCACAAAGACCCGTCCAAGCGGGCTACCGCAAAAGATCTGCTACGACACAAGTTCATCCGGGGTGCTGGCCCGGTGGAAATTCTGACTGAGTTGATAGAGCGGAAGCAGGAATGGGAAGAGGCACAGGAGAAAATAGGACACTCTCCGTACCCAAAGATGTATGAGGAGTCAATGTGCGTCGCCCCCTCCTCCGTGTCCCCGTAAGGTGGTTACTAACTACCTAACCAGGAGAACGATGGACTCGTCCGGTTCAGGATCCGATGAGGCGTGGGACTTCGACACCATCCGCAGCACAATGGACACTGTTCGAACGAATCCTTTCGGGCTGGCTGCGATGGCGAATCCGGGTACGTATCGGAGGAAATCCGCTGTAAATCCGGGCGCCCTTAGCACAGCACTTCACCAACTCTCCTTAAACGCGCCACCAAATAGTGAGAACATATCGGCCCGTGGCAGAAACGCTGGGGGAACAATCAGAGGCAGTGGCACCACTCGCAGGCGGACGATGAAAATGACTACGGAGGCGGACCAATTCATGCTCGACCGGGAGATGCGAGAGCGGGACCAGGCACTTCCCATGGGCGCGCCAGAGACAGATTATGGCAAGATGGGATCGACGGTTAGGCTTTTCAAGAGGGTGCCAGATGCTTTCGCTGCACCGCCATCCTACAGTCCCATCTACGACCACGAGCGACCAGACCTGAACGAGCACAGAGCGCCGGTAATAATCCCATCGACCGAAGCAGGCCTCTTGGGTCGACAAGTGCACTCGGACATCGTCCAGCCGGCAATCGAACAGATTCAACCGCAGACCATCTCCTCTGCCGAAAGCGATGCCCTCGCCCGTCTCGACGGCGCCTGGAAAGACCTGGATGCGATCAACCCAGAAATGGGCTTCCTCCTCGTCCGAAACCTCCTCGAGCGCCTCCAGCATCAACCCCAGATGCAATCCCTGCTTACCCCTCCGCCCACCGCCCTCCCTACCCCCCCTCCCTCCCTCCCCACCAAAGTCGGCTTCCAACCCCGCCTAAACCTCTCGGGACAGACCCTCCTCAACCCGGTCCCGCTTGCACCCATCCCGACCCCGAAAAAGGACATCACTCGGCGCAAACGTACTTCCAGCAACGCGACCACTAGAACCTCGAGCTCGGGCGGCGGTGGCAGTGGCGGCTACTCGGATGTTGACGAGGAGCCACACCTCAAGACCCAGGGTGAGAAGTTGGCCGATGTGCTGTATTCCCGCTGGCTGCAGGGACTGCAATCGAGGTGGCAGCATGATAGGAGCTTTTCTGGTACTTCGCATTGAGACTACCTTACATTACCTTTCTTCACCTTTACCGCACGTTACTGCACATTACCAACTTTACTTCTATGTAATGAGTTTCTCATACCTTTTTCTTTCTTGCTTCGTGCTTCTTGTTACCTTAGTTTCTTCTTCTACTACAGAGCGGGGCGTTACAGCATTTTTTAGCCTGCATTGAGCGCGGTTTTAGATTCGTTTCTTTCTGTCCTTTCTTTTTTCTCTTTTGGGTCTGGTTTTATTGCTTTTGGTTTTGGATCATGAGCGTTTTGAGCGAGCGAGCGAGTGACTAGGTTGGTAGGTTATGTAGGTAAGGGACCGGGGGACGACGAGTGAAGGTGAGGGGTGAATACATATGCCTTCGATGTACGTGTATTCATCGAACAGTTGGTTGGAGTGATATCGTTATACCTACACACACATGGCACAGAAACAAGAACTTCAATTGCATTCATTCATCGAATTCCAGAAACGGGACCTACCTACTACCTATGATAGCCTCGGTCTGAATTCTCTCTCGCTCTCATGGTATAAGCCCATAGTAACAACCACCCCGAGATTTTCCACGCTCAAAGCACACGCAAGAAAAAACAAAAAAGATGCCAGCCCAAACGCCATCTACACCCGTACCTTTTCAGCAGACACACCGAGCGCACACCGCACACCGCACTACCTCGCCTCCCTCGCCTCCCTAGCTCTCAGATCTCTAATCAGAGCCTTCGCCTCCTCGACCTCCTGGCCGTCCTGTGCAAGTTCCTCAGCAAGCTGCATGGCGCGGTTCCACTCGCTGCTGACGAACGCCCATCTAGCAAGCCACAGCCTCGCCTGTCCGGTGACGCCCGTGACGCCCGAGTTCTCCTCCTCGGCCATGCACGCCTCCATCCACTTGGCGGCCTCCTTGCTGTTGCGCAGCTTCTCGTACATAGTCGCGATGAGGTACAGGATCTGCGGGTCGTGGCCGCCGGCCGCCGACGGCGACAGCGAGATGAGCGCCCGCTTGAATGACTTGATAGCCTCTGTCGGCCGGTTCATGCGGTCGAAGCACTGGCCCATTGCCTGCCACATCTGCGAGTCGTAGGGGCGGAGGGCGGCTGCGCGCTGGAAGTAGAAGAGGGCGTAGTAGTGCATTTCCAGGACTTCGTAGGACAGCCCCAGCCCGTACCAGGCGCGGTAGTCGCGGCGGTTCACGTCCACTGCCCGTCGGTACGCTTCGATCGCTGCGTGGGTGTTTTTCATTTCTACGTATTCGTGTCCCATCAGGGTCCAGGCGGAGAGGAAGGTCCGGTCGAGGGTGAGCGCCCGCCGGAAGTACATCACGGCTTTTTCGTGCTCAGATTTTAGTGAGTAGTAGTTGCCGATCACGCAGCAGGTTTCGGGGCGGAATTTGTCGGTCGAGCTGGCGAGCTGGGCAATGAAGCCGAGTTTTGGGCGCCGCTCCATCACGTATAGGATATTGGAGTAATGGTCGAGGGCGTCGATCCGGTGCGGATCGATTTTGATCAGGCTGTCGAAGATTGACTCGGCTTCTTCAAAATCGCGTGCGTGGTAGTAAAGTAGTGCGCGCTGCGTTTTGAGCCACGATGAGCCGGGGAAGAGGTTGAGGAGATCGGACAGCTGCGAGTGGATTGGATCGGCGGTCTGGTAGAGCTCCTGGTTGGTGGACAGGACGAAGAGATTGGTCATGATGTTCGCTGGGAGCGACGGGAGGATGGTGTTGAGCTATTCCTGTGGATTAGCATCGCGATACGTAAGGAGGGAGAGAGAGAGGGGGGGGGGAGCGTACATCGGTCAAAGTCCCTATCGTTGCGCCCAACTCCTGCCAGGCCGACCAATTGTACGGATATAGATTGACACTCTTTAACAGTGCGCCTCTAGCCTCTTCCTCATTCTTTTGTTTCTGCAATACAATGCCATACAAGAACAACAACCAGCTATCATCCTCGCCCCACATCGTATCGCCATCCTTCTCCGCGAAAATTTCCTCCAGCGCAGTGAGAATCCCCGCAACCTCCTTATTCCTCGTCTCGGCACCATCTAGCGGGCCCAGCACCATCTCCGAATCCTCATCCCGCCGCTTCTCGCCAGCTATGTATCGTGCGTATAGGTGTAAAAACCGCGCCTTGGACGACTTGCAATTCTGGAGTACGAACGACGCGCGGTCATATTCGTGCACGTCAAAGTACGACTTGGCAAGGAGGTATTGGTTGAATTCGACGGTTTCGAGCGCGAGTTCGGCGGTGTCTGCGGACATGGGGTGGAGGTAGGCCTGCGGGAGGGCGACGGAGGTCTCGGCGGACGGAGGAGGTACGTCCATCGATGTGAGGAGTTCGGCGGCCCTAGGACGCGTCAATAACTGTATCGCCCGGTAACGGGGGAGCTTGAACACGAGTAATGGTGCCGTGAGCTCACCATTTTGCTGATTGGTAGAGACACCGCTCGCTGCATTTAAGCATCGCGGTTTGCAGGAGGCTCTGCAGCTGGTGGGGTTCGGGAATTTCGGTCGCCATGGGAGCGGGGCGGTCGTCTTGGAGGGAGGTGAGTACGAGTTCCGGAAGAGGAGGCGGAGAAGGTGGAGGTAGAGGAGGTAGAGGAGGTAGAGGAGGAGGTGGTGGGGAAGTTGATTTGGGGGGTGGTAGTTAGTGAGTTGAACACCGGTACTACCAGCGTTGTTCTTGTGCAACGTTCTCGTCGGTAGATAGAAGCGGGCCGGGGACCGGGAAGGGGGTTCGTATGTGTCTGCAGGGGTGTTTGCCGAGACGGCCGTCGCAATTGAGGGCCGCCGACACTACTGAGCCGAACCGCCCTAGAGTACCCACAGCCCGAGTACTAGTTATATTCTAACCGGAAGCCCAACCAAGTACCTACATTAGGATGTAAGTTCTTGCCTACTATTCGGTTACTGGTATGTACTGATGTTGCAGAGTATTCTATTCCTTTGACGCCGGAGATTCAATGCTTCGCCCACTCGGAGATCCAGCTCGGAAGAGAAGGCCAAAAAACGGGAAACCCCCCTCGATTCTCCAGAGACTTCCTCTCGCCAGTTCGTGGAGCCCATGAAGCCCTACCAGCTGATCGGGAGATATTCTTGCCCTCCCGTGCCGAGAGATATCCAGGCTCTCTTAGCGCCAGGCAACACTGCGGGCAAAGAGTGTCTTATTATGGTGCGCGAGAGATCGGGCTTTGACATCGAGAGTATGTGCATATCAGGCACTCTGTAGGAGAGTATATTGCAGCTTAGGCACACGTACCCAGAAGACTTTTCAGGAGATCAGAGAGATATCTAGAAGAGCTTGCGTTTGCTGTCCGCGTGCACGCAAGCGGGCGTGACCATATCCACTGGCTTTGTTGGACCGTTTGGTGTTTGGCGTTCGGTGTTCGGCGTCCGGCTTTGGACCTCCAACGGAGACAGACACGAGACCTCGATGGTTGAAAGAAGGGTGTCTCCCGCTCATGAAGATACCTACCGGAAGAAGGCCGCACATCCGCAATCGAACGGCTTGTATGTCTGACTACTCTAGTGATCTTGGCCTTTTTCGAACGCCGTACTAATAGTTAACCGTCCATTGTAGATGTGTGCTGATGGTAACTTTCTGTGGCCCAGGTTGGTTTGATTGTGTTCTGCACTGCACCCGCTCGCTCGCAGCAGCCACCCGCACGTGCAAACGGTGTCACCAGTGCTATCGTTGTGAATGGCGAAGCCGTGTGGTGATATCCCCACATCTCTCGTTGCCGCATATTTGCACGTCAGCAAGAAGCGGAACGTTATCAGATCCTTCTAACCTCAATTAGGGCTGGCAGCTCACACATCCATGTTCCGAAAACGAACCCCTGCAGCCCCCGCCCCCGGCGGTCCTCGCCCGCTCGCTGCTATTACAATACCCCCCCTACAACCCATCTCTTGCTCTCTCTCTTCTACCCATCTCTTCACACCTCTCTCTTCTACTCTTCTCTTCATACCTCTCTCTTCTAGCCATCGCCTCCTATCTTCATCAATCGACACCCGCATAGCTCGACACAATGGCCAACACCCGTCAGACCTTCGAGGCCGTCTTCAGGGATGTTATTGTCCCCAAGATCATGGAGGAAGTGCAAAAGACTGGCATTGCCCCGAATGCCTGTGACTGGGCGCAGAACGTGCGATTCTCTTCCTCTCCGCCGATTGACGTTTCGGCTCGCTGACTGCATGCATGTAGAGCATCCTCCACAACACCATCGGAGGAAAGTACAACCGCGGAATGACCGTCCCCGACACCTACCGCATCCTTAAGGGTGTGGACGAGCTCACTCAGGATGAGTATAATATGTCCTCCATCTTGGGATGGTGCACCGAGCTTGTGGGCCTCCGTACCTGGATTTTGTGGTTGCCACAATGGCTGACCCCTTCAGTTGCAAGCAATGTTCTTGGTGGCCGATGACATTATGGACTCGTCCATCACTCGCCGTGGCTCCCCCTGCTGGTATCGAATGGTATGCTCGGTTCGCTCAGAAATGTGAGGCAAAGCTCTCCTACTCACACTGCCTGCAGGACGGTGTTGGCATGATCGCCATCAACGACTCGTTCATCCTCGAATCGGCGATTTACCTTCTCCTTAAAAAGTTCTTCCGTCAGGAGTCCTACTACATTGACGTCGTTGAGCTTTTCCATGACATCACGTTCAAGACCGAGCTCGGACAGCTTCTCGATCTGATCACGGCCCCCGAGGACAAGGTCAACCTCGACAACTTTGGTTTCTCAAAGTACTACTTCATCGTCCGCTACAAGACCGCGTTCTACTCCTTCTACCTGCCAGTTGCCCTCGCAATGTACCAGGCTGGCGTGGCCACCGAGAAGAACCTCCAGCAGGCCAAGGACGTCCTGATCCCGCTCGGCGAGTACTTCCAAGTCCAAGACGATTACCTCGACTGCTACGGCGACCCAGAGCACATCGGCAAGATCGGCACCGACATCCAGGACAACAAGTGTGGATGGCTGGTCAACAAGGCTCTCGAAATCGTCACGCCCGAGCAGCGCGCTCTCCTCGACGAGCACTACGGCCGCAAGAACGCCGATTCGGAGGCGAAGATCAAGAAGCTCTACCTCGACCTCAACATCGAGACCCACTACAAGGAGTACGAGGCCCAGTCCGTCAAGGAGATCGCCGCTCTCGTCGAGAAGGTCGACGAGTCCGAGGGGCTCAAGCGTGCTGTCCTTACCGGCTTCTTGAACAAGATCGCTGGCCGCTCGCGCTAGATCGCTTGGGGGGATTGATCAGGGGATGATGTGGCGTGTGGTTGTAATGTCCTGTGTGGGTGACCGCATCACCCGGACAATGGAAGCGGGCTGCGTAAACTATACCATTAATGATTTGACTATTGCGGCTTGATTTATTTGCTGTCGTTTCGTTCGTTCGGAGCGGAGAGCTTGGTATTATCATTTCCCGGCAGTTCTATGGGAGCACGATTGCATGTAACAGAGCGTTGATTGATGAGCGGTAACTAGAGAGGAAATGATACCATACACGGCTAACTACATCATAAGTATCGATGTGAATGCCAGGGGATGGAGATGCGCCCTCATACTCCATCGAGACAAATCTGTAAGGCCGGCTTCCTTTAGAGCCAACACTAGGCAAACCATCCGGAACACTAACTAACACTGCGTCGCCATGTGCCCCTGGGGAAGGGGGTTCCGGAAGTTTATGCTCGCGTGGCCAGCTTGGTTGTGTGGGTTCCCGGTTTTGCATTGAGGCCCTGGATATGGTTTGCTTTTGTGACGAATCACGCCATGTAATGCTCTCGTACTGGTACGAGGCATACGGTAGTTGACTACTCTCCCGGAGAGAGAACGTAAATTTGTTCTACATACAGTCTTGCTGGACTGTGGCAACCGGAGCGAAGGAAACCTTTCCCACCGGGCACTCCTGTTCGGCCCTAGAGAACCCACTTCTTGTCTACGGGGACTTTTTCACCCACGTCCATTGTCCCCAAGAATTCCAGCCTTGCCTCGCTGCGGCGCTTGACTGCAGAAGGTCTGGCCATACTCTATCACCGCCGTTCTCGTCCCCACCCGCTCCGAGTACCGAGTGCCGAGTGACTCCCCATGCACCAGCCCATGGCCGAGTGAGCGGGATTCCCCATTAGTTAGCGCGGGGGTTTTCAGCCCCACCCCACCAACATCAAGTCAATGGGCGTGCAGATCCCCCTCCCCCTGCCCCGCCGACCAAAACTCTGACTCCGACCTCGATTGACTCAGAGCTTCCATTTCCCTTCTTAAACAGCTGTGCACCGACACATCACATCACAACACGCACCCTAAACCACCACCCACAAAAAAAAGTCCAATTCCTACACACAATGGCTGACCAGAAGACGATCATCCACCTGCGCGCTGAGTGTCCGTCTCTCTCCCTCACCCTCGCCCGTTTGAATGTGTGTGTGTGTGTGTATGTGGGGAAGCTGATGGGGATTGATATGTAGCGAAGCCGCTGGAGCACCGCTCTGCCCGTAAGTTCTTTCGATTTGGGCGCGGGGCAGGTGCAAGACTGATGGCGGAATGAATAGTGACGCCGACCACGGCCAAGGCCCTCCTCGACGCCGGCTACGAAGTCCGCGTGGAGCGGAGCACGCAGCGCATTTTCGACGACGAAGAGTTTGCTGCCGTTGGCTGCCCGCTGCTGCCGGAAGGCTCCTGGACCGGTAAACACCCACTTCTCGGGTGGATTACTGGGTGGATTGCTGATGAGTCGCAGAGGCGCCCGCCGACCACATCATCCTCGGCCTCAAAGAGCTGCCCGAGGACATCTTCCCGCTGAAGCATACGCACGTGCAGTTCGCGCACTGCTACAAGACGCAGGGCGGGTGGGCGGACGTGCTGTCGCGGTTCCCCGCCGGCAAGGGGACGCTGTACGATCTCGAGTTCCTGCAAGACGAGTCGGGGCGGCGTGTAGCGGCGTTCGGATACCACGCCGGCTTTGCTGGCGCCGCGCTCGGTGTCGAGGTCTGGGCGCACCAGCAGGTGTCCGACGCTGAGTTCCCCGCCGTGTCGCCGTACCCCAACGAGGACGCGCTGATCTCGCACATCAAGGCGGTTGTGGGCAAGACCGGGCGGCAGCCGCGCGTGCTCGTCATCGGCGCGCTGGGAAGGTGCGGCCGCGGCGCTGTCGACCTGTGCATCAAGGCTGGCATCGCGGATGAGAACATCATTCGCTGGGATATGGCCGAGACGGCAAAGGGAGGCCCGTTCATGGAGATCATCGAGAGCGATATCTTCGTCAACTGCATCTACCTCTCCAGCCCCATCCCCCCGTTCATCGATGCGAAGTCCCTGGCTAGCCCCAGCAGGAAGCTCGCCGTAGTCGTCGATGTCAGCTGCGATACCACTAACCCCCACAATCCTATCCCTATCTACTCCATCAACACCACCTTCGATAAGCCCACCGTTCCCGTGGAGGTCACGTATGTCTCCCCACCCCTGTTACGGTCACCAGCGGACTAACAGAAACCAGCGGCGAGCCCAAGCTGAGCGTGATCTCGATCGACCACCTGCCCACACTTCTCCCCCGCGAGAGCAGCGAGGCTTTCTCAGCGGACCTGTTGCCGTCCCTGCTGCAGCTGAAGGACCGCTCGACCGCGCGCGTGTGGTTGGAGGCCGAGAAGCTATTCAAGGACAAGGTCGCCACTCTGCCGTAAATGCAGAAGTAGAAGCGCAAAAAAAAAGTTAGATCGGTAACTTTAGGGAGCATTTGGGCTAGTCATTTATGTACTCTACAGCGGCGGTGGCGGCGGTGTTGGAATGGAAAAAAAACGATGACAGTCCAATCGTATTGAACGGGGGTAACCACAGAGGGATATTTGAAGAAAAAAAGGTATTCTGACATTACAACAAACTCCCCACCACCCTCCCCTTCCCCAACATGCCCGTAACTCATCCCGTCATCCATCATCACTCAATAAAACCAAACAAACAAGCACGAACGCATCGCATCATACATAAATCGTCAATCTAAGAGTGTGAACCAGCGATACAACAGAAAGGCCCACCCACCCACACTGCAAGAGTAGTAGAGAGTAAGTAGAAGCCAGAACACAAAAATGGCCTGTATAAGACTGCACCACATCTATCCTATAACCTCCATGCCAGCCCCCAGTCCCTCTGGTGATCTCTAGCCCACGCTGCTGACAATCTCCTGGGCTTTGGTGAGCGACTCGACCATCTGCTGGCACTCCTTCCGTCGGCGAACTGTGTAGTCGCTCTCCTTGAGCAGAGTGTCGAGTTCGTCAGACTTGTAAAGGTTCTCAAGGAGCTCGCGTTGCATCTCCTCCTTCGAGAATCTAACCAGAGTGTCAGTTACTGCATGAGTGCTAGGGAATGGTTAAACTTACTGGACGAGGTTCAGCATGATGGCCTTGGGCACCATGTCGATCATGGTCCGCTTAACGATGTTGTAGTACGATTGGATCAAGAGTTTGATGACCTCGACCTCGAGGTTCTCGCGCTCCGACAGGGTACCGGAAGCCATGAGCTTCGCTGGCGGAGGCTCCATGGCAGCCATTTTCTTCTTGTTCTTGGCGGCAAAGAAGGAGAAGAAGAAGCCTTCTTTCTCGCTGTCGCCGGCCATCAGACTCTGCGGGTTCGGCGACTCCCGTCCACCGCCAGGCAGCGGCTTGCCGGTCTTGGGGTCGACTTGGACGGGCTTAGCCGAGCTGTGTCGCTCGTTCACGATTGCCATCGCCCTGTGGCCGTTGATGAAGTCAGGATGGCCGGTATTAATGTAGCAAGATTCCATCGACACCAAGTCGGTCACCAGCTTATTGGTTGGCGTCATGGCCTTTTTGAAGAACTGAATGACGACTTGGTAGAACTTCTCCTTCAGTCCTGGGTACCGTCTGAAGAACTGCTACATGCGTTAGTATCAAACTCGTGAATACCCCAGAACCACTGAATACACCTACCTGCTTCTGGAGGAGCTGCGACAATATCCGAACCAACTCGTCGTAGACTAGACTGGCACACTTCAGACTAGGATCCTCTAGTCGCTTGATCTGTTGCTTGACGATGAGCTCGAAAGCAGTGGTACCGACGAACAGAGCAGGTGACGATCCCGAAGAGTTGTACAGGATGGTTCGGATATGCGTGTCCTTAACATCTTCGAAAGGATCCACAGCCTTCACACCGTTGGAGTACAATTCGTGGAAAACGAAGCTGATACGAGCACCGCCCGATAGCTCCGCGCTAGAGAGCTCCTGGTTGTTACCTTCCAGAACCGTGCGGTACTCATTGCAGAACTCGGTGATGATGTTGAGGATAATGTTGGCACTGTTGCCCAAGAGGGAGTCGCCCAACTGCGCCAGTTCGGTTTGGTACTTCGCGAGTGAGCCCTGGATGCGGGTTCTGATTTCGGGAAGCGTATTCTTAATGTGCATCATAAGGATCTAAAGTATCGTCAGTGTCGGCATCCTTACTCGGGGCTCGCTGGGGATGAATTTTACCATGTTGAGCTTACGAGCAAGATAAGGTGTTCCACAGTAGGCGTGCTTATTCCTATAAGCTCGGTGGTTCTCGAAAAATGCCTTCTCGTGTTCCAACGCGGCAGCAATTTGTTTCCTGCTCTCAATGTCGCGTTGACCACGGTTGACAACTGGAACGTAACCGAGCCGTAGAGGAATAATGCGGCCAGCAAGAATATCGACAACGTCGGTGCCCTCGTCCATCAGGTCGATCTTGGTGAGAACTCCGATCGTCCGCTGTCCATCGGGATCCACCTCACGAGCGAGCTTAAGACCGTCCGAGTTCGCCAAATCCGTATTTGCTGCTGTCACGGCCAGGATGATCGAGTTGGTCTTCTGGATCTGCTTCATCACCATATCCCTGATCTGGCGCTCGATATCCACCGGCTGGTCCCCGACGGGCACTTTCGTCAAACCCGGCAGATCCACCAACGTTAACGTCAACACGCGAGGAGAGTATATACGAAGACCGATCGGCTTAGGCGACAGTCCGACGTTCTTGCCCGCCTTCGCCTCGGTTTCCCTAACGATCTCCTCGCGAATCTTGTTGAAGTCATGGAACTTTTGGCCCGGAATGTGCAGAAACTCGCCCCACTCGTCGACATTCGAGGCGACGTCTGTGGTCTTCATATCGCCGTTTTCGCCATTTGTTTGTGGTACCGCGGGACGGTTAATGAGTTGAAGGACCTATCATCGCTACTTGTTAGCACACGCGCGTGATCGATCACCCAAATAACTCCCCCGGAATCAACTTACAAGTGGTCGTCTCGTGACGATACCCGTGCCTCGAGGAAGACTGTCGCACACATACGTCAGCTCCGTCGTCCATCTCGCGTGCACCCGATGAGCCCCTTACAAGTCTCTTCCGACGATGTTCTCCAACACTGAACTCTTTCCACTGGACTGAGATCCGACGACGACGATTTGGGGCAGATCGATGGGGTTAGTGGACTTCGAGGGAAGGTATGTTAGCACGCGGGAGGGACCAGTGAGTATCAGGGGGAGGTGTGGATGATCGGGGATAGCTCACCCCTACTGTCGCAAACACATCTTGTAGCTTGTTGACGAGTGTGATCAACCCGGGATCGTTCACGTTAATGCTCCTGTATTGGTCAGTGATGCTATCCTCACCATCGGCGGCGGTGGTGATGGCTCGAGGCGAGGAAGGCGTAACGTACGTTGGCTGTGACATCGGCGCTGGTTGGTGGGTTGGTAGTAGGGGGAGGGGGTTGGTTCGGTAGGATGGTGGGGTTTGAGGATGAGATGCGTAGTCGAGTTCTTGGTATCAGAAAGCCCCTACGGTCCTTGTTGGTTGAATCTTTGTGAGAGATGGAATGTCGTAGCGGGGTTGTGTTGGTATCTCGAGACAGGTGGCCCACTTTTTGGGGGGAAGTTAGGTTGGGTATGCGCTGGATCTCCAAGTGAACCTATGCCACAAATGACTAGGGTTGCACGTGATCACATCTTGTGTAGCTTACGCAGGGGGTTACGTGGATGCATCTACTGCCCATCCGCGCGTCTGTGCGGCTGTCGCCCACCTTCGAGTGACCGGGAAATAATTGTACCGCGCCGCTGGATGGAAGGCTCTAGCCTTGGGGTAGACCATTGTATGTGTCATACCGGTCGAGAGGAAATGGCCGGCAAAAGCCAAGGTGTTTTGAACGGGACGTGCGAGGACTCCCTCTGTCTAGTGCTCTAACTATGAGAGCTATGGTCGAGGGATCCCATGCTTCACAAGTCAAGCGAGTGCTTGCGAGCCTAGGCAAGAATCCATGAATCATAGATTTGAATCATGAGGCAAGCGTCAATCCGCTTGCAGAAGACAGAGGCTAGGTATATACCACAGGGAGGCGAGGGAGAGCGGCCGATCTGCTTTCTTGCGCTCGTTCTCAGTCTACATCTCATCCACGAGCGACTGCAGGGCATAAGTTCAGAGGTCGGCGAACCCTTCGAGTTTGGGCACTCATGGCTAGGAAGACGCGGTAACAGCGAAGATACTGTATTTACGACTTTTAGTAGCTCTAAAATCAATGAGATGATCCGATTAGATCAGTAGGAGACTTGATGATCTGCAGAATACGCATCACAGGCGATCGCCGTCGTGTTGACAGTCAGAGTGATATTTCATCACGTGCCGCGGTACCGGAGAATCCAGGCCTTCAAATAATGTGCTGATGATCGAACAAAAAATAAGGGCCTAGCCGGTTGCCAGCTGCATTTTCAAACATTAGGTTTCTGATGAGTTGAAGGTTACCAAAGCTGCAGCTGCAAACTCCCATCACCCCCGATGACCCGTTCAGAAACCCAACCTAAACTGAAATGGAATAAAATTTCGAAGGAAAGGCAGGCACATACTGTACCGATTTGTCCGCCTAGGTCCAGGAATACACCGGGACATAGTGTTACCGGTAGCCAGAGCGTCGGAACTTTTGTGGCCAGCCCACTCTACTATACCGGTACTCTGTCTTTATGACCAGAATCACGGTGACTCCAACGATGAGCATCTCGGCGAGCCTTAAGGTCCGCTGACGTCATTAGAGATGCCACCGACTAGTCGATCCTGTCACTAGAGTACATGGCAACCGTACATCGTCTGCGTAAGCGTTTTGGTGAACTTCGTCCGCTCCACAGAAGAAATACGAGTCGCTTCCCCGAGTAAATCTATCTCTCCAGCACTTCAATAAATTCTGGTGCCTCAACATAAGCCTTGCCGTCAGTGCCTCCGATAGTCCAGTCCAGTACGTCTTTCGGCAAAAGCTGGACTGGACTGAGAGGTTCAGTCTGGCAGGAGGCGTGAACTGGACTGGGCAGTCTGCGCAACCGGCAGGTCTGGACGGACAGCAGCCGGGCTGGACGGACTGCAGTCGACTGGACGGACTGCAGTCGACTGGATGGACTAGTACTTTCAATAGAAAATGTTTGAACTCAGTAATGAACTTTTTATACACGTATAGTACAGCTACTGCAGATCCCCCTCGCACAGTGCATTGAGGATATATAGTCTCCATCTCTCTGATATCGCCCTTTGTAGTAGCTACATACATGACCATCTCGTTGCCAGCTTTTGAGACACTCCAGGGCCTTCAGTGGGTCCTCACCCATGCAAAAGCGACGATGAGAGAGACTGATTTTAGCCCCACTAAAACTCATTCCGGCTCTGCTCTCATGGCGGGAATGCTCCAATACTCGAGGGCTATTCTGTCGAGATCTTTCCAGCGAGGTTCATGTGATTTATTCGCCGGGTACTGTACCCCATTGTCGATGGAATCGCATGGGGGCGGTTCCTGCTAGAAAACCTCCATCATATCTTTATTCAGACAACGGTGGGGTAAGAGATAGAGAGCTGGCATGGTACGAAAAGAGAACATTTGATAAGTTGAAAGAGTGATGCCCGCTAGCCACATAGTTCGGCCCAAAATTTTCAAAAAGTGGCAGTCTGTCAGTCGACTGCAGTCGACTGCTGTCTGAGACGGCAAATCTTTGGGACGGACTGAATTCAAACCGTCCTCCAATTTTATGGACTGCCGTCCAGACTGGACTATCTGGAGCACTGCTTGCCGTATATACGGTTCAGAATTGTGCTTTGATGTTTATATGATATGAATATCTGTTCCGTGGGAAAGAACGGTCTATTAACCTAGATATGCATACCCGGGCGAGACAGGCGTACGGAGCCCAGAAGTACGCAATCTCGAGGCTTCTCATATGAATGAGTGACGATATAGAGCGCTGTTGCCTCTTTCCCTCCTCCACTGTTGGTTGATATCTCGAGTCATAATCCATGCCGCTCAAAGCACTACCTATGCCCTGCACAGTCGCAGTGAAAACCACGGGTTTCCTGCATCTCATGGTGATTCGATGAGAGCTTTTGGTATTTCCTTAAACTTTACGCCAGAGCTCGGATGAGGTCATGGATTATAGGGGGATGCGGAGTGGTAAATACGGTGGCGGGATCTTTTTGTATCACCATTCTGTATTCGGTAGTCGGGCCTTGGATTCTCCTCTTCTGTTCATCATTTATTGCATACGGCCTATCCAGATCATAGTAATCCGTGTCCAAACCGCCCTATCTGCAGTCCCGTTGACGGGCTTGGTGCAGCACTTCCCCCTTCCCCACGCCTGCTGCCTGGGCTCGAACAATTATCGCACTGAGGAAAGACTACCAGTATCACCCCTTCACTTTATCCCTCTCCCCGGTCCAGCCCCGCCAGCATGGTGAGGCTTTGGATGATATGCAGTGAATGGAAGGAATGGTATGCCGAGTGCTGGTCTGTGCCATGTCTAGGTATTTTAGCTTCCCTCTCGAATCTACGCCATACGTATCAGTGCTCAGAATCATGCCACGGCGCGATCTATAGACACATGGAATTGCATCTTGGTTCAACGTCCCACTGCGGATTTCAAGTATTACCGTTTCGATCGGTTTTTTCTTTCTTTTTTCTACAGGGTTTACTGGAGACGAGGCAGCGGAATGTGCATGTAAACGCATCTGCGGGAGATCGGGGCCACTGTCAATATGCGGCTCATGGTGCTCCATCGGGGTGCAAATATCCACAGGCTGTCGTACTCTACATACACTCAAAGCATCAGTGGATTTGAGGCTGACAGGCAGAGGTGACAGGTCTCAATTGGACCCTGCCATCCCCAACGGTGTCTTCTGGTCCGAAGAGCAACAACCGGCTACGCCGCGCACGCTAGAGGTGGAGAAAAGCTGGATTCGGACTGCTGCACCGGCATTGCATGACGGTGTATTTCTTCTAGCCAGCCACACACGACGCGAGCCGTTGTCCGTGTTCACGTGAGAGCTGGCACAAGCCTTTTTAATTCGCAGCTCTCGGCCGTGCCTCGAACTCAATTGCTGCCGGATTCTTGATAGAAAAGGGTCCTCCTCGACGACGACGTCTTCTCCAGAAATCCCCAGCTCTACACATATAGATCTACATATTCATTGCTTGCCCTGCCCCACCACCCCCCCCCGCTCCCATTTCGTCATCCGGGACCCTACTAGAGCACTTATCGATAAGCTCGATCAGCTCCCCGCCGCGCCGCCGCTACCCGCTACACCACAACCGCGGCCTCCACATCCAATTCCACCGCAACCCCATCTACATCGACATCTACATACGCCCACGCCCACGAAACCCACATGCAGAAAATCACCGACAAGATCGCGGCGCTGCCGCCAGGCGATGTGTACCACAGTCTTGAATTTTTCCCTCCAAAGACAGAGATGGTTCGTGACTCCGGGGTGATCATCAGCTCCCCCCATCCCCTCTTGCTAACTGTGGGGGCTTGCCTTAGGGACTTCAAAACCTCACTGCACGACTCGAACGGATGGCGCTCGCCTTGCGGCCGCTCTTCGTGACGGTGACGTGGGGCGCCGGCGGCTCGACAGCGACCAAATCACTACAACTCGCGGAGATCTGCCAGAGCCATCTGAACCTCACCACGTGCCTACATCTGACGTGTACGAACATGTCGAAGAAGACATTGGACGAGGCGCTGGAGTCGGCGAAAGAGATCGGGATACGGAATATCTTGGCGCTTCGGGGGGACCCGCCGAGGCACGATGAGTATTTCAATCCGGCGACGGATGAGAAACAAGGGGAGAACGAGGCGGAAAGGAGGGAGTTCGTGTGGGCAATTGACCTCGTCAGGTATATTCGCGAGAAGTACGGGGATTACTTTTGTATTGGCGTGGCGGCATACCCGGAGGGATACGCGGAGGGGACGTGCCCTGAGCACCAGGACCCCGTGCACGATCTTCCATACCTGATCGATAAGGTCAAGGCCGGTGCGGACTTCCTGATGACGCAACTGTTCTACGGTGTGGACAAGTACGTCGCGTTCGAGAAGATGCTGCGGGAGGATCCGTCGGGGGTGTTTGCGGACATGGTGATCGTTCCCGGCCTGATGCCGATCCAGAGCTACTCCATTCTCCGGCGGACGACGAAGCTTTCCAACGCCTCGCTGCCACAGAGTCTCCAGGACCGTCTCGAGAAGGTGAAGGGCGACGATGCGAAGGTCAAGTCCGTCGGCGTTGACATCCTGGAAGATATCGTTACCAAGCTCCGCAACACTCTCCCCACCCGGCCCCTCGGATTCCACTTCTACACTCTCAACCTGGAAAAAGTCGTCTCCCTCGTACTGGAGCGCTGCAACCTGATCCCGCCCCCTGACGAGACGGCCATAATCGAAGACGACGAAGCCGGCACGATAATTGTGCACGGGCAACGACGGGACCGCAGGACATCCTCCCTAACAGTCCCAGACAACCGCCTAGTCGTCGACGGCCTCGAAGGGCGGGGCGACAGCATGCTCCTCGAGACGGCCAAAACCGCCGGCTTCCTCCAGAACAACAACCAATCGGAGCAGCGCGCGGACGTGACGCTCACCATCTCCGAAGGTGAAGGCACGCTCGGCCGCGAAGCAACATGGGACGACTTCCCGAACGGGCGGTTCGGCGACGCGCGCTCCCCCGCCTTCGGTGACATCGACGGCTACGGCCCGTCGCTGCACATGTCGCACTCGCAGGCGGCGAAGCTGTGGGGCTTCCCCGCCGCGCCCGAGGACATCAGCGCCTTGTTCGTGCGCCACATCACGGGCGACCTCTCGGCCATCCCCTGGTCCGAGCAGGACCTCAACGAGGAGTCGAAGGTGATCCGGGACGAACTGGTTGCGCTCAACAAAAAGGGCTGGTGGACGGTTGCCTCGCAGCCCGCCGTAAACTGCTGCCGCAGCGACGACGCTACTTTCGGTTGGGGCCCCACCGGCGGCTTCGTCTTCCAGAAGGCGTTTGTAGAGTTCTTTTGCTCGACCGACGACCTGGTCCGCCTCGAGGGAAAACTAAGACAGCTCGGCGACGTCGTCAGCTTCTATGCCGCAAACGACGCCGGCGAGTACAGGTCCAACATGCCGCCGAGCGAGGAGAGCCTGAACGCCGTCACATGGGGCGTGTTTACAGGCAAAGAGTACGCTCCCCCCCATTTCCCCCTACCCCTACCCCATCCCCCCCTCCTTGCGATCCCCCGGCTGACAGCAGTAGGATTATCACTCCAACAATAATCGAGGAGGTAAACTTCAAGGCGTGGAAAGAAGAGGCGTTCAGCATCTGGTACGAGTGGAGCCGCGTGTACCCGCCAAGATCGCCGACCGCACAGTTCCTTGCCGGCGTCGCGAGAAAGTACTGGCTCGTTAATGTCATACACCACGATTTTCCGGAGCCCGCGGCACTGTGGGAGTTGTTGGCGGGGTTGTAAGAGAATGGGGACGGGGGAATGGGGGGTTGTATATATGGTTACTGGGGGAGGAGGGGGGAGGGGAATTATACCTACATGGTTTTTGATTACTGAATGTACCTTTTTGGAAAGTCACTCGTGATGGAGAGTGAAGGGATGGGAATAGGTGTCTGTGTCTCCGCTACATGATCCATTGTCATGACCTACTTGCTTAGCTAGGTCGCACGCAATGAATGAAATATTCTACATAATCCAAATCCCCGGTTATGTGAATGCACCCGCTATAAACCGAACGCCAAACCAAAGCCCAAACCAAAACTCCGTCCACTACCCAACTACCACATCGAGCTCCCCGCCATCCCCTCAGCACCCCCCGCCCTCCCGGCACGCTCCACAAACGTCAAGACTAAGCACCTGCCCCTGCGATCCACAGCAACAATCCTCCTCCCATCCGGCGTAAACGCCACCTTCCCCGCCTGGGGGTCTAGTAGTCTAGCATCACTTCTTGCGGGCGGCAGCTCCGTGAGGTTATCGTCGCCATCGAGCCAGACCAGGGGTGTGACCCAGACAGTGCCGTTCCTGCCGAGCACTGCCGCCGCATCGCCGGACGGGCTGACCGCCGCGTGGAAGATGCGCGGCGGGAGGAGCGATAGCGGCCGCTGGCTTGCCGTGCCAGAGAGTGGTGAAGCGTACATCGCCTCTGTGAATGCGCCGGCCGCGGCGAGTGCGTCTTCGGCGGCCGCGGCGGAGCGGTGCTTGGTCGAGTTGCTGTTGGGGGTGAAGTTCGCGGGGAGCGTGCTGACGAGGAGGTGCCGTGCGTCTGGCAGGAGTGTGACGGAGGTCAGGTGCTCCCCTGAGGTCTTGGATGTGGCGAGGTGCTGCGGCTCGTGCGGGCGGGAAATATTCCAGACGAAGTAGTAGCCGAAGCGCGGGGTGGCACAGGCGACGTGACGCCCGTCTTTGGAGAGTGTGAGGATGTGTGGCGAGTCCTGCGGCTGCCGCGGGTGGATCGGCAGGTGGATGTCTTTCCCCACGCACTCGTAGCGGTGGCCGTCGTAGCTGTGCGCGTTTTGCCGGTAGAGGCGGAGCATGCCGATTGCTTCGGACTTGAGGGGCTTAGAAAGGCCGACGATCAGCACGGTGCTGGAGATGGAAACTGCGCTGTATTCCCAGCCTTTTATAGTGTCGTTGTAGATTACGTGGTTGTCGGCGGCAAGGTCGTGGACTTGTAGCTGGGGAAGTCAGTCATGGAAGCAATGGACACACGAAGGGAGGGTGGGGCATACCCGTTCTTTGGTAATCGTAACAACGTAGGAGTCGGAAACTGCCGCAGCTATATACTGCCACCGGACCTTCCCCTTCTTCAGACCCTCCCAGTCTCCCAGGCGGTAGTGGAACTTCGGCTTCAATGTTGAGGCCGGTCCCTGTTCTGGCGTGGGGATAGCAAAGACCTGGAAGCTATGAGGCGAGAGAAACACCGCATGCTTTCCATCTGCAGATATGCACGTGCTGAAACACGAGTCTTTCGAGTGAAATTTGTACATTGTCTCGACTGCAGGTTTATCATAGTCCGCCACGGGGCCTGGGTGTTCGGTCACAGACTCGACACAGATATCAGCAATCGGCGGGAGCGGCGAAGAACCACGACCGTCACCACCACCGCCGAATTGAGATTGCTGCAGTGTGTGGAATCCATACAGCGAGTCATAGTTAGATGTCTCTACGTTTGTTCCTAGTGTATTTTGGAATTGGTCTGAAATGGGTAATTGTATTTCCGCCAGTTCAGGCGCATTTTCTGCTGCTGCCGCTTTCTTTCTCATTTCTGAGGGTTCCACGCCGTCAGCAACTGGCGGTAGTGATTTATCAATTTGGAGACTCCATGCCCGTCTAGCTACCGGTCTTCGGGAAGATGTGGACTTTGTTTGTGCAGATGCCATGCGGGAGAGTGAATGTGCGGACCCGCTAGAGTGCGAGGATTGGTCCGCGAGGGTGTCGCTTTGGAAGGATCCTACCGTCTGGTCGGACTGGTTGTGCTTGTTCGTGAATGGCAGATCTTGGGCAGAGTAGTACGATGGGCGGGACACTGGGACTGGCTTCCGAGTTGGGTTGAGACTTGCATTCCGAGTTGGCGTTATCGGGGTAATTTGGCCTTCGCTATCCTCTGGTTCATCGAAGAGGGAAATGCTAGAGGAAAACAATTGGCTCAGTTCGCGGTGAAGGTACGGATCAGTATTCTCTGGCTCGGGGGAAGCTGTGGGAAGCCTACGGGGGATCGTAGGGGTGTAAATCTGGATTATTGGGGATTCCTTGGGAGAGCAAGAAGAAGGAGATACAGGACTAAGAACGATATTGTGTGTATTGATTGCTGACGGGAAAGGAAATTCGGACGATCTGATTGTGCTGGGTGATATCGTCAAAGGCTCGTATGTGGGAGTGGATGTAGGGCTGTCACTAGAAACGCTTTCCCAGGATTGACCCTCCGTGCTGAAGAGTGTTGGAACTTGGCTTGGTAAACTGCTCGGGACTGGGCTCGCGGTACGTACATCCTCTATTGACCTGGCCGCGATTTGGGCAATTTCGCCGGGTGACGCCTGCATTTGAGGCACCGTGTTTGCTTGCAGACGTCTCTGGATTGACTCTGCCGCTCCGGTGGACAGCACATTCTTTTTCTCGCAGCGGTCCATGGCTTCTCGTTTCTCCAATTTGAGCTGCTGCACCCATTCCAGCTTTTCCTCCATGGACCGGGCATCGAGCACATCGGGCGCAGAGGTCATCTCTATCTCAAACTCTAGGTTACGCATGGTGTCATAATACTCCTTCTCGCCGACACCCAGCGTAGAACAGATAACGATTTCGAACTAAAGGTTCACCCTCAGCAAAAATCCAGTAACACCCCAAGTCCTGACAGCAGTTCACGTACACCTTTGTATCTGAATGCCTTCTCGCCCGAAGTCCGGATAAGTCTTAGCGCGAGAGCTCTAGCACCTAGAACAATATCCTCCGATCCTGGGAATGTTGCTACCAACTGGCTGAGGAGATCCAAAAGGCCACATGTGAATATTTGCACATCCAATTTGGAAAGCCCGATGTGACTGCCGTCTGCAGCTCCCCAATTGTTTTCGTCGTTGCCTCTGTTTTCATCGAAAGCCGCGAGCTGTAGCTCCAACCTTTCGATGATAGTCTGAGCAACGGCGCTGGCCCGAATTGCAGCCTGTAGTGAAGGACCCTGTCTCAAGTTCGACGATCTTTCCTGGTGATGCAGGAGGATGGCGTCGACTGCGCTCTCGTAGAGGCCCCGCATGTCCTCGAACCAGTGCGTCGGCGGAGCAGAAACCCTGGCAAAGACCGCGGCGATCATCTGCTTGCTAGGCTGGGCCTCCAGTTGATTCTGGTACTCGTGTGAGCGAACGGATATATGTAGTAGCCAGCACGTCATTGCCACTTACGATGAACCCCGCCGCGAACAAAAAGTGAATAGCTTCCCGATTCAATTCCTTTGGTATCGGAAGCTCTGCCTGCAAGCACTTGACCAGGTCACAACCGTATCTCGTAAGAAACTCATTCTCGCCGGCCCTAAAGCTGTCGGGCCCACCCTGCTCCCGCTTCGCTTCGTTGTGCGAATCTCGCTCGGTAAGGTTCCGCAGCAGCTTGGTATGTGAATCGCTGTCCAAGTTCCCGGAATTCAACTGGTGCAGCAACGAAAGTGCAGATATGAGCGTGCGCAGCTGCAGTTCTCGCGAAAGCGACGCGGCATCGCTATCCTTCTTGGCTAGTCTTCCGGACAACACGCAGGCGATCCGGATGATGCCATGTTCGCTGAGCATCGCCTCGGGCGACACGGGCCGCAACGGGAGATACTGCGACTGCAGATCCAATATGATCTTGAGGAGGTAGACCGAGTTGTAAGCGAAGGCCTTCTCCATCCTGTCCAGCGTGCTGCTGACGATCCCATTGATTCCCGGCAGCAGCCACAGCATTTCCTTGACGGCGATGAACGGGTCCACATACTCGGTGGTGGTCGGCAGCGGCGTGTGCAATGTGAACTGCGAGTGCTTCGAAAGCGGGTTCAACACGCTCAACGACATGCGGTTCGACGCTGGAATCGGCGCGGGCGAGGCCACCGACCCTTCGCTCCCGTAGTAGAACGCTTCGGCTTCGTCCTGCGGAAACGGGTTCTCGCGCGAACCATCGCCGTCGCCGTGCCGTATTCCGGAGCCGGAGGTCAGGCCAACGATCGTAGGTAGCACCATGGTTGCTCAGAGGATCATATCAGTACTTTCGCAGTGTTCGTTTCGCGTTTGGTGAGTGGTTTATAGGGACGAAAGGCGAACTGTCCTGGGGGGTAAGGTAGTTAGGGAGGGAGGGGGGTGAAGGCAGTGTTCAGCTCGCTCGCAAGGGGATGACGGGATGCATGCGTTTTAATTGCCGGCCATGCCAGGCGGTTGCACACGCAAGGCGCAAGGCCTCCAACATCATTGGATGATTAAGTCCGCAGCTGCGGATTACCTTCACCCCTCCCCCCCTCCAAACGTCGTTTGCGGACAAAAGGAAACCACCCCCGCGTGCGCAACAGCACGACATGTTGCGTGGACCCTGCGCATCCAACTGAGCGTGCATAGCTTTTGTTCTGCATACAAAGTAGGAGCAGCCGGCAATTTATCGCAGGTGCCAGGTGCCTTTTGGCATTTAAAGTATTTACTTTACTAGTACCGTGCGGCGTGATCCATACTAACTTTGGGCCCCTGCTTGTGAAATAGTGATACTTATGTCATATATAGGTGCAATGCATAACGTGAGCTCGATCCTCACAGCGACAACAACGACAACGGCATCCTCCCATCCCACCATCTCCTTTCCCCTCTCGCAACACATATTTAACTCCTACAAGAGCTTCAGTACTTGGGTTGCCGATTACCAGATTTAAAGACAAAAACACAATGTTGTTGATAGCATAGCACGATCACCGAAGAACATGTCTCGATCTCCGGTTTTTGCTATTCTGTACAATGTATCAAAGCTATAGACAAGGTGGAAGAAGCTCTGGAGGGTAGTAGGGACGGCGGGGGCACGAGTAGTCACTGAATGCTTGATCTATACGAAGATATTCCATTGATGAGGCGGAAAATGGTTACGTAGTGACCTCTGCCAGTACTATCTGTACTCATGCACAGGTGAGTCCCCCGTGGTCGCCCGTCTATTGTGCAATACCGGATACACCGCAAGTCCAGAAGTCCTCACAGCGGACAACACGAGAACAACCCCATGAATTCCGTGTATGATACGAAAGGGGGTTTCCCTAACACCGACAACGTACCTCCCCCCACGGGAGCGAATATAAACTCGACACAGCCCACAAAGAACCTTCACAGATCCAGGCCCACCAACGTCGAATGGGCACAGCGGGTGCGAGGGCGGTAATCCAAGTTGTTCGGGGCGTGGTGTATCCCCGATTACTCAGAGAGGCGTAGAGAGCCGTCGAGGAGGATATGAATGGTCTGGTACTATTAGCTGAAGGGTTAGAACATGCTAGAGGATGATAGAGCCCATACCTTTCGTGTAGCACCCGTGACGACGAACTGATAGGTAGAGGCATTCAAAAACCAGCAAAAACTCACGAAGGCCTTAGGAAGAAATTCAAGATACCTATACAAATCTTGAATACGCTAACACACATACAGAAAGACTCTTCTTCTATACATCACAGTGCCGTTCTCCACAGAAACAGACCTTTATGGAATAACAGACCATACAATTCAAGCAACATAAATCCAGACGAATTCATGGATCCGTGCTCGAGCACCGCTGAGTACATAGCCGATCCTTAACCGGCCGGCCGGTAGTCGTTTTGCAGTTCGTTCGTTCGTGGCGGGCGATAGGTTTGGTATGCCGGAGCCGGCGTAGAGCTAGAGCTATTGCTGCTGGTGGGTAGGTATCAGCCTTCGTTCGTGGCGGACACCGTCACACCGACAGCAGCACGGGCAGCCCTACTTCCGAATCCTCGAGCATCTCGAAGGTATCTGAGCTCAGAGAGTGTATCGCCGCATCCCCGCACTCACGCTTCGTATGTTCACTGTATCTGGTCAGCAATCCGGAGGAGAGCAGGGAGGAGATAACAGGTGGTGGGAGAGCTTACACTAGCTCGACAAGAGCGAGCCTGATCCTCTCCAGATGATCCCTATCTGTGTCTAGATTCACCGCGACGGCTGGGTATCTTTTCCACATGTACCGAAGCATCCCGGCGAGCGTGAAGATGGTCTGGATCTTGTTTTGCACGTCCTCGAATGATTGAAGTGTGGGTTCGCGGATGGCACCGGGATCAGGTGCGGCGGGCTGGCACGGACAGGAAGACACTTTCATTTTGAATTGAAGAGTCAAGGAAGGAGATGAATGGGTATTGATTTTGCTTCCGGAAGGGTAAAGTATGCAACTTGGTAAGGGGATGCTTAAATTATGCTGGAGAAGAGAATGAGTGGTCTGTGGTTGTTGTTGATAGGTCGTGGAACTGGAGTGCAGCAGCTGCTACGTCCAGGCACGGCAAAGAAAAGCTTATGCAATGGCGTACCCTGTCAACTTGAGCTTATATAAAGTGTACTGTCGTCATATAAAGTCTGGCCGCCACTCCACGAGACCGAAATAACCTCCGAGCTCCTATGTGTCGGTATGTTAGACAGACTTATGCAACTGGTGCAGATGCAGTCCCGCCGCCACAGCTCACCTCGCTACTTGATGACTCTGATGAGGAGTTCCGCTTGAAGCCCTTCAAGTACTACAATGGACTGAAAGACGTCTTCACCAGTATGAATGCAGCAGATGCGGTTCCGCTGTCTCAGCTCACCTCGCTACTCAATGACTCTGATGATGAAGAACCAGTTGAAGTTTCTTCTTCACGCAAGCGGTCCAACTACCTTTCTTCGACGATGGGTACACCACGTTCCCGCTCCGCTACGAAAGGGATGCATAAGCGCAAACGGGTTCACAGTCAACCTCTGAAACAACCGGCCAACCAGTCCATCGCAGCTGCATTACTGGAAATCAGTAACCGTGCGACAGCCCTCAGCGAGCCCCGAAAGTTCCAATTGAGGAGTATTCAACCCTTCCCAGATCGAAGATGTTTGGCCTATTACTACTGCTTGAGGGCAACATGAAAGCTACGCACTTTCTGAACATGGAAAGAATAGCAGAAGACATGTGGCGCGACTACAATTTGTATCTAGAAAGGTAGAGAAGATGTATAAAAAAAAGACATCCTTCTACTCCGAATTTACCCTCTTCTCACCCAACTGAAGGTTGATCCAGCTAACGCGAAAGCCTCTACCTTTCTAGATACAAGTTGTAATCACGCCGCATGTATTCTGTTATTCTTCCATGTTTAGAAAGTGCGTAGCTTTCATGTTGTCCTCAAGCAGTAGTAAAAGGGGAAACATCTTCGGTTTGGAAAGGGTTGAATACTTCTTCAAGTACAATTTTCAGGGCTCGGCTGGTCTGATTCTGGCCGCTGAGGGCTGTCGTACGGTTACTGATCTCCAGTAATGCAACTGCGATGGACTGCCGGCCGGTTGCCTGAGAGGTTGGCTGCGAATCCGTTTACGCTTATGCATCCCTTTCGTGGCGGGGCGGGAACGTCGTGTACCGGATGTTGTTGTTTTTCATCGTCGGAAGAAAGGTAGTTGGGCCGCTTGCGTAAAGAAGAAATGTCAACTAGTTCTTCATCATCAGAGTCATCGAGTAGCGGGGTAAGCTGAGATGGCGGGTCTGCATCCGCACTGGTTACACTTATACCGGTGAAGACGTCCCTAAGTTCATTATAGTACTTGAAGGGCTTCAAGCGGAACTCGTCTTCAGGTTGGCTTTAAGAAACATCTCCCAGACATCATCGTCTGCTGTCGGCACACCACGGACTTCATCCCACCCCAAAACCACTGAACGTAAGCATTCCTGCAAAGCTATCGAATTTCTTCTTCAGCTAGTATAACATACACCACGTGTAGTTGGACCGCTTGCGTAAAGAAGAAACTGGTTCTTCATCATCAGAATCATCGAGTAGCGAGGTGAGCTGAGACGGCGGGACTGCTTTCGCACTGGTTTTCGCTGATCTGTAGAAGTGACGCCTGTAAGGTAGTCTGCGATTCCGTCGCCTGTGGGGTATGTTGTGATGACGTCGGAGTGAATGGTGCTTCAAGCTGAGAGGGTGAACTTATAGAGGAGTCCATGCCGGCCGACCGCTGAGTTGCCGCTGAGGATTGCCGGTAGGGAGAACTGTCCGCTGAGTTGCCGGTAGGGGGAACTGTCCGCTCCATGATGGGTCTGTCTTCATGTCAGTAATGGTTCACTTGCGCTCGCTCTCCCTTTAAGCTTCTGTGTAGTAGATGTGGCTGCTAAAAGCATTATGTCACGAGAAATTCTTGGCACATCCACATAACGACATTTGGAGAGTAGATAGAGAATTGGCCCTTGGAAGTCAGAGATCACGATGCGTTGATTGCTATGTACCTCCTTGGATACCTATTTCCTTAAAGACTTCAACAAGTACTATTCCCGTGTTGTAGCTACCAGTCGCCTAAGCAACCTCCGACCTGTCACCTGCCTCTACATACGCCTTCAAACTGCCCGTTGTTGCAAGGGATCATATCTTGGATTTCTACTGACGTATGTAGGTCTGGAGCAGCTGTATGATTATGTAACCGGTGATACCGATGATCTGCACAGGGTTTCGCGTGGTGTTGTCGCACAACGCTGAACGACTTTCATGTACATACCGTACCTGTCCAGCACGCAGGGAAAGTCTCCGTCTGAAGTGCGAAGGCATCGTTGCTGATGGGGTATCCCGGAGAGTCGGTCGTTCGGGGCGGCATAGTAAACACTCTACTCGCTGCTGCTGCCGGAAAAGAAACGGCCGGTACATGGTGCTCTGGAGTGCCCACGCCTGTGTTCGACTGCACATGTACCATACCTACGTCATCAATCTTTGTTCGAACCAATTTCGGTGTTCTGACTTCTGACCTTCATTCACAGCGGCACTTTTGTGGAGTTCATCCCGATGCCTCATCTCGGCCTCATCGGTTCCCCCGCTTGCCCATCTCGACTCTCAGGGCGCAGCTGCAGTGTCGGGCACGAACCTGAACTCCACCATCACGTGTATGAGGCGTCACCCCCGGCAACTGTAGTCCCGCTGATAATTCAGGGTGCATCAACTCCTCCGGGTAAACGCTGCACCAGCAATTTTTTCCCGCGCGCGACTACAAAAGCCCGGCGACCCCTCATTTTCCTTTCTCCTTCTTTACCAGACACACACGGCATCATCCAATATTCGTATTGTTTGAATAAACAAATCCGCCAGCAGAACGCTACAACTCCGCTGGCAACACTCGAACTGTGTGTCGAGATCAGATTGCGGTTTTCATGACCAAAGTTCTCCTTAAAAACCATCGCGACGAGACGCTCGTTCGGGCTTTGCCTGAACTGATGCTGCTCCATGACCTGGTGATGACCTGAAGTGAGGAACATTTATATCTACATCCGTGCCGATGTGTGACCGAAACGAGATTCGGAAGTTTGTCTTTTCTTGTATGTAAGCCGAACACCCTCCTCCCTCCCTACACCGCCCGCGCGCAGACGGGACGACCGCATCGATTCGTCCTGCTCGTGGAGATGATACAAACAGAGCTCTGGTAATTAGAACCAACCGGTCGGGGCCTGTCTGGCTCCGATACTGGTAGGAAATGACATCTAAAAAGGCACAGTCTGAACCAGCAGGATCATACCGAGTCGTCCTCGCCGTGCGTTGTTAGAACAAAACCTGTGGGATAATTGAAGATTTCTGACTCGGAGTGAGATCGTAGGAAGCAATACCGCAGAGATGTACGGAGACGTACGGACATAACGCTCGCACGGAAAGCACGCTCGCACGGAAAGCACGCTCGACGCGATTGCGCGGCGCCGATTGCTCGAGATGTGGCCGAGCACGGCTGGAGGTTGCCGACGAGGCTGGCTGGCTGCCCGGCGGGAACGCGTGCCTCTATCAATCGCGAGAACCTATTCGGTTTTTTCCACGACACGCAAATCACTTATACATACACACCTCCTATATACCCACACATGGTGCGGCGGGAGTGGAGAATTATATATGGAAATGCAGACGGCTCCGTGGTCTATTACAGATGCAGCATAAGATCTCGCTCGTGAAAGATCCGAACGAAAATGCTGCTTCACGTGCCGCCGCGTGACGTTGAAACGCGACGGTAGAATGGACTCGATAGATCGAAAGGGAAGGGATATATGATTCGCCTGAAGTAATTGGGGAACGGTAATATTCGCGGTATAATAATTACCTATATGGTGTGCTCGCACTCTACGTGCTGTACCCCAGATCTTGCGCTGCAACATGTACCTGTGTAGATCTGGTTTGTGCCGCGCCGTCTTGAATTGGAACAGATACCCTCAGCGAACTCAAATATCCTGATACTGTTGGCCATTCCCTAGGCTATAGTGATGATTAACAGAAGTCAAACTTTGTTTGGCGGGAAATTCCTTCACAACTTTCCGATTTTTTTTTTTTTCGTGGGCTTGTTTCTCCCATTAACCGCAAGAATTTCCCAGGTGACAGGTGATGGCCGTCTGCAAGGTTCCTTCGTTCTTGGCGAATGACAGTCGTCTCCTCTTCTCTCCTCCTTCTCTGATTCTTTCCTGTGATGCAACAGCAAGAACCGTTGCAGTAACTCTACCTAAACCCCCCTAACAAACTCATCCTACCCACCGCCCCCCTCCTTCTCGTCCACCCTCCGACCCCATACAAAAGGAAAAAACAGTTTGTTCTCTCGAATCCTCCGAACTTTTCAAGCCTTCTCTAGCCTTCTCAAGACTTCCCTCACCACCACACTCAATCAACAAGAACCTTCCTACCATCCCACCTCGTCAGGAACCACCACCTACCTACTGAACTTTACTACCCGCACCAATCCCACTCAATAGGAATAACGGATCCACCCAGCAAATCGTCATTTTGCGTGTCCTCCCCTGTCAACTAAACTCCTCCTTCCTTCACTTCCCTCCTCTCGGAAACTTGACGCCGACGAATTACCCCCCGCCGCCGTTGTCCATCATCCTCTCCATCCGTCATCCCGCTAACACCACTACCCTTACCAACCACAACCCACCACACAACACAACACCCGTCTCTCTCAACTCTCAATCAACTTTCTTCGCCGCGCCCCACAACCTTACAACCTCCCACCAACAAACGCTCTCACTACCGCTACACCACAACCACAACCACAACACCCATAGCAAACTACTTCGATACTTCACCTGTAACTACTACAATACCACTACCGTCTTACGGAGACTTCTCCTTCTACGAATCACGTCTTGACCTCGTCAATCGCATCAACAACCCACCCCATACTTTACCATCTGAATAGTCCACTCATCGCCTGCTTCTAGTTCATCCCCCTCCTCCTCCCCCTCCCTCCCTCCCTCCCTCCTCTCCCTTCCTCTCTTCCCCTCCCGCCGCCGCCTCTTCTTCACGTCTCTTACGCCACCTTCTCATCTCCCTCTTCTTCTACCTCTTCGCCATTCCTATCTTCTCTTCCAAAGCCCTCGTCTCAAGACCGCCGCCGCTCAAACTTCTCAAGCCGTTCAGTTACTTGCCGCTCGTTTATCCTTTTCTCAGTAGTGATACTCGAGCACACTTTTCAAGCTCTCCGGCATTCCAATGGATACTTCCAACCCGCTCTGGAATCGCCGCTCCAACAAGTAACATTCCCGGCCGTTGTTGAGATTTGATACCTTCTTTTGGTTTGTGCGCTGACACGTTTTCTCTTTAAACAGCTCGACCAAACTTTCCCTTTCCATGTCAAGTGCAGCCGCCGCTGCTTCTTCCACTACAACCACGACTACTACTCCAGGTGAATCGGCTGCCTCCAGACTTTTTGCCGGTCCGCCGTCGGCACGCGTCACTTCCTCGCACCGTGCCAAAAATCCTTTCGACTTGCATTCCATCAACACCAATAATGCTCTCCCCTCACCTACCACCGCGAGTGGCGCCAAGTCCGCTTCCGCTGCCTTTAACCTGGGTGCCGGAGGTGCCTTCGGTTCCTTTGGGCTTAAAACACCCAAGACTCCTGGTGCCGGTAGTGGCGGTGATGGCTTGAACGCTGCCGGCGCGGGTGTGGGCGCGGCTATCCCCGGCTTGCCCGGTAAGCTGACCGCATCGGAGGTGGTTGCTGGTGGTAAGAAGGTGACTATACCTCCGGTGCAGGAGGTTCACCCTCTCAAGAACACCTGGGTTGTGTGGTACCGCGCGCCTGGAAACAAATTTCAGGACTACGAGAAATCTACCCACAAGATTGCACACTTTGGGACAGTGGAGGAGTTCTGGACAGTCTACTCGCACCTGCGGCGGCCTAGCACCCTGCCGCACGTGAGTGATTACCACCTGTTCAAGCAAGGTATCAGGCCGGTCTGGGAGGACAAGGAGAACCGGAACGGTGGCAAGTGGAACATTCGCCTGAAGAAGGGTGTTGCCAACAGGTACTGGGAGGATCTGATGTTGGCTATCGTCGGAAACCAGTTCGGCGACGCTGGCGAGGATCTCTGCGGTGCGGTTCTGAGTGTCAGGGGAAATGAGGATGTTCTGAGCGTGTGGACGAGAGTAGACGGAGGCACCTGCTTGAAGATCAAGTATGTTCATCCCTTCGATCCAGGCGCATATCGATGCTAACTATATTTGTTCTAGGGGCACGATCATCAACAAGCTCAACCTACCCTCGGGAACGCGCATCGATTGGAAGTCGCACGCCTCTTCCCTCGAGGCTGTCAACAGCAAGACTCAGCCACAGACTCAGCCACAGGCCCAATAGAAACCGAATTAAAGCAAGGGACTTAGGCCCGATAGCTTCAAATCCCGTGTGCTCTTGTTGCGTATCCCATTGTCAGCCTACCCGCGCGCGTCTTTGCAAAACTCGAGAATCTGTTGTGTTGTAAACTAGCTTTTCTATGGGGTTGGGTCCGGTCCGAGCCCATCTTTCTTTGCCATGCCATCGTTTCACGCTTGGTTCTAGGGTTTATCTTTCTTCATTTTCATTTCGTTCTGGCCTTTTACTTCCGATTTCTTGCGTCTTTGGGTTTGATCTTTGGGATTGCATTGGTTCATTGAGCGAAACTATTCTTTCTTGGATACTTCTTAGGTTTTACTTTTGGGGTTGGGTTAGTAGTGATGGGTGGGGGGAATGTCGTGTTTTCATTTGTGTGCTTTTGCGGTTTCCAGTCGGGACGTCTGCTGCCTTTATTATTCCGTCGGTAGGGTTGGCTCTTTCTGCTTGTTCAGATATCTAGCGCTCTGGTTGGTCTAAGGAAGGGGGTGGGGAAGGGGGTGAGGAGGAGGGAAGAATTTGAGGTGTATGGAGTATGGGTTAGGTGTGTGGGTAGATGCTTCGACCATAGTGTCGAATCATGCGAGCAAGAAACATCATTACAATGTAGCTGGATGATCAGATATCAAGTCAAGCCATCTCGTTCCTGCAAAACCCCTAGAGTAGATGACCGTCATTCGATTATTCGATCCTCCGTAGCTCATTCTTCTTCGCCCAAATCATCGCCCTCACCGCCAGGTCCTCCACCATTTCTGCGACCTTTTCGATCCCCTGGCCTGCATCAACGACCGTCCACCAGCCGTGCCTTTCCCCTGCCCCCTCCCTCCTCCTGACCTCGTCAAAACACCCCCTAACCCTCTCCTGCACATCGGACCGCTCATATCTCTCGCCGCCAAACCCCGCCCTCCCTTTCGCAACATCCACTGGCAAATCCAGAAACACCACCGCGTCGGGACTCGGCAGCCCCACGTCCGGAGCCCGCGCATACTCGTATCCCAGCGTCCCCTTGGCGATGCTGAACGCGATGCCGGAGTAGATGTAGCGGTCGAGAATCAGGGTCTCGCCGGCCTCCAGTGAGGCGAGGAGGGACGGTAGCGCTTCCCAGCGGTTCGCGGAGAAGAGGAGGTGGATTGCGTGGTCTTCCAGTAGAGGAGAAGAGTCGGAGTCGGAGTCGGTGGTTAGGTAGGTGTTTATCACCTGGCCGATTGGAGTCGTGCGGTCTGTGGAAAGAAAAGGTTAGCGAGAACAGAAGGGGGGCGGCGCGGGGCGGTGGAACCGGGGAATTTGATCAGTCGGCTGTTGTAGAGCCGCGACTCCAGGAGCGCGCATTGCGTCGTCTTCCCGGCGCGGTCGAGGCCTTCGATCACGATCAGGGCTCCGCGAGGCATTGTTTTCGTTGTTTCTCCTGTTGTGTATATGGGTGAGGCGGGGGGTGGGGGGTGGGGGGTGACATAGACAAGCCCTAGCAGACTGCCCTACGCACGCATCCCCATCCGGCGCTTTGCTGCCGAGTTCGGTCCGCAGCTTTCCCCGCAGTGTACTCTACTCAACACCGCACCCCGGGCATCGGCCCGAACTCTCAATACGATCCGATCCGAATCTGATTAAAATAAATTTCCCACGTCCCACGTCCAATCCCACATCCGCCCGCCCCGCCACGCCACCGCCATCTCCCCCCACCACTACGAGCAATCAACCACGACTATGACTATGTCATTCGCGCGCCTCAGCAAGTCGCTCCTCCGCCTCCGCGCGCTACCCACTCCCGTACCACGAGTCCGAGTCGCCCCCCGGATTGCCCCCGCGCCGTTAAGGAACTTCACAGTCTCCGCAGTGCGCGCTCACAATGAGCTCACCCCGCCAGCTCCCGGAGAGGAGTCAGTACCCTCCCACCAATATTTCTCTACATGCGAAGATACTGATATGGCGATAACTAGACTCAACATAACCTTCCTCGACAAGGACGGCACCTCGCACACCTTCCAGGTCGCCACGGGCGACAACCTGCTAGACATTGCACAGGCGAACGATTTGGAGATGGAGGGTGAGTAGCGCATTTTTCCAGGAGGAATACACAGAGTACTTATCGACTCCGGGTAGGTGCCTGCGGCGGATCGGCCGCCTGCTCAACGTGCCACATCATCGTTGAGGGCGACGAGATGTACGATCGAATTCCGGAACCGAGCGATGACGAGAACGATATGCTGGACCTCGCATTTGGGTTGACGGAGACGTGAGTTATCCAGATCAGATGACGATGACGGGCCGGTAGGGATTTGAATGGAATGGGAGCTGACACGGGTGGTGTTGTGTGCAGGTCACGTCTCGGGTGTCAGGTGCTTATGAGCAAAGACCTGGATGGACTGACCGTACGGCTGCCGAGCATGACCAGAAATCTGCAGAGCAGCGATTTCTCAAAGAAGTAGAGAGCACTGTCGTGCAGGCGAGACGACGACGGTGGTGGTGATGGAGCAGGCTGATATCTATGCGGGAACCATGTAAAATAACTCTACGTGTGGTCACTGGGATCATTGTACGATTGATGAGATTTCGCCAGGTTTTTGTGTTCGATAGACAACAACAAAAGGAGCGCCGGGAAACTTTTATAATGTACAAAAAGGAAACAAAAAGAATCATCCCAACAGTCATTACTCGCCGCAGCCGCAGCCTTATTTCGAGGCCTGGATGAGATCCAGGAAACCTTGTTTTGACATCTCCGTGACTACAATGTTCCGTCAGTATTCCAGGCCGCTTTAAGGCATGGAGAAAGAAGAAGAGCTCACCTTTTGCCTCCCTATTATCCATCCCCACAATGCCCTCCTTCCTCACGCCCTTCGCCGCCTCCTCGCCCTTGATCTGCGCGGCCCTGACGGCATTATACAGCTTAGCCACACCACTCCTGGCAATGGACCTAAGGACCTTCTCCTTCTCAAGTGCCTTTCCGGCGGCCTCATCGTCATCCCTGGGCACCAGGTCTCTGACACGGCCCTTCTCCTTCTCCTTCCTAATCTCATCCTTGAGCACCCTCCTCGCCTTCGCCTCGATCTTCCCCTCGTCGACGTGATCGGCGGTCTGCTTCGCGCGCACAAGCACAGGGTCTTTCCGCGCCGCGGTTGTCAGGTGCGACCCGAGGATCTTCGACATCGACGTGCTGAACGCCAACGGGTCGTTGCGCTTGCGCTTCTTCTTCGTCTGCAGGTTCTGCGACGCTACCAGCGAGCTGATCGAGTCGTCGCTGTCGGAGCCAGAGCCGTCGAGCGAGAACTCGTCCCCCTCCTCGTCCTCGTCCTCATCGAACTCATCTTCGGATGACGACTCGGCAGAGGCGTATTTGTCTGAATCGTCGTCGTTGGCGGGCTTCGAGGGCTTGATGGGCTCGGAGGTCTCCTTGGCGGCTGCTGCGGCGGCGGGTTTGGGTGCAGGTTTGGGTTTAGGTGAGGGTGCGGCGCGGGCGGGCTCGCTGAGTTGCGCGGCGGCGGCGGCTCCACCGCTGGTCTTCCGCTTCTTCTGGGCGCGTGCGTGGGGTGGCATTGTGTAGTGTGTCGTGTGTGGGTCGCGGTGGTGGTAACTACTTCTTCGTAGTGGAATTCGTTCGTCGGTGAGAAAGTTCAGATCTTTCTTTGGCGTTGTGTCACCTCTAGTTAACCCTGCAGCCCATGTACGGTAGTTACCGCACGCTCCAAGTGTTAGATAACTCAATTCTCACCCCACATCCGTGACGCCCCCCACCCCGCCAAACGATCTTTACAGCAACCGGAAACAATGATGCGGCCTTCGTTGTTGATACGCCAGCTGCGGATACGGCCAGCGTGCTCGCCGAGACTGTTCTCGGTCAATCGCTATTCCACCGCCACCTCCACTGCGGCGGCGGCACAGACACCTCCGACAGTACCGGCAGGGGAGAAGCCGTACTACATCACCACGCCGATATTCTACGTTAACGCGGGTTGGTATTCCCGTGTCTCTGTAGGGTTGGGGATTGCGGACTGATGCATTGATTACATTACAGCCCCCCATGTCGGCCACCTCTACACCATGGTCCTCACCGACGTCCTGAAGCGCTGGCAGCAGCTCCACGGCCGCCCCGCCAAGATGTGCACCGGCACGGACGAGCACGGCATGAAGATCCAGCAGGCGGCGGCAGCCGCCGACATGGACCCACGGACATTCTGCAACACGGGCGCGAACAGCTTCAAGTCGCTGGCGAACCTTTCCCAGTGCTCGTGGGACACGTTCATCAGGACGACGGATAAGGAGCATCACGATGCGGTCCAGTATTTTTGGCAGATGCTGCTGCAGAGGGACTATATCTATGCCGGGAAGCATGAGGGGTGGTATAGTGTCGGCGATGAGACGTTTTATACGGAGGGCGGGGTGGAGCATACCCTGGATCCGGCGACGGGAAGGAAGATCGTCCTTTCTAAGGAGACCGGAAGGGTCGTCGAGTGGACCAGCGAGACGAATTACCACTTCCGACTGTCAGCGATGAAGGAGAAGTTGTTGGAGTTTTACAAGGCGAATCCAGAGTTTGTTGTGCCGGCCGCAAGGTATGCGGATGTCGTTGCGGCGGTGGAGGCTGGACTCGATGATCTGTCTGTGTCCAGACCAAGGGACAGACTTACGTGGGGTATTCCCGTACCGAACGATGACACCCAGACGATCTATGTCTGGCTGGACGCATTGGTGAACTACATCACGGCATCGGGATACCCATGGACCCCCGGCCAGGAGCGGAGTGGTGGGTGGCCGGCGGATCTCCACGTCGTGGGCAAGGACATCGTGAAGTTTCACGCAATATACTGGCCGGCGTTTCTTCTTGCGCTCGACATTCCGCCGCCAAAGCAGGTGCTCACGCACGCGCACTGGACGATGAACCGTAAGAAGATGTCCAAATCCGACGGCAATGTTGTGAACCCGTTCTACGCCATCCAGCGCTACGGCGTAGACTCGATGCGTTTTTACATGGCACGCGATGGCGGGATCCACGACGACGGCGATTATTCAAACGAGCATATCGTTGAGCGCTACCGTCACGAACTCCAATTTGGCCTGGGCAACCTGACCAACCGAGTCTGCGGCGTCAACTTCGACCTGGACCTCGCGCGCGCCGAGGCATTCACCGACGTGTGGACGCTCTCCACACGCGACCAGCTGATGAAAGCGCTCCCCACCACCACCGCGATCGATGTCGCCGAGCAAATGGCTGCGCTCGACGTCCCCACCGCAGTAAAAACCATCATGTCGATCATCCACGAAACGAACAAGTACATCCAGCACTCTGCGCCGTGGTCGCTCCGCAAACCGGAGCAGAAGTCTGAGCAGAACATGGTCATCTTCCTGAGTGCCGAGTGCGTGCGCGTGGCTGGCATCATGCTCCAGCCCTTCATGCCCGACAAGGCAAAGGCCGTGCTCGATCAGCTTAACGTCGCCCCCGAGAAGAGGTCCTTCGACTTCGCCGCTTACGGAAAAGACGACTCCTACGGCGTCGGCACGAAGGGGAAGAAGGGGTTGATTTTTCCGCCGCTGAGCGAGTAGGTCCGTCCCCTACCCCCACCTTCCCCTCCCCCACGACACCGCAGCACTAACCACCAATTTCGTGTACTCTCCAGCTGGCAGCTGATCCTCCGCCGCACGGAGAAGGACCCGAACTTCCGCTTCGTCGAGTGGAAGGCGCTGAGCAACGTGCAGCAGCGGGTGCTCAAGTTCGGCGGGACGATACGCGACGAGCAGGGGAAAGATCTGGACGAGGAGACGTTGAAGGTGCCGCCGCTGCTGCGGAAGGTGCAGACGGTGCCCAAGATGTGGGCCAAGAAGCTCGAGAAGACGAGGAAGTGGAAGGAGAATATGGAGAGAGTGAGGTCGCGGAGGGAGGGCCAGGAGAGGCAGCGTGAGAAGTGGGAGAGGATGGAGAGGGAGGGGAAGATGCTGCAGGAGAGGGAGAAGGATGAGAACAAGAGCAAAGAGTAGGGCGAGGGTGTATGATTACTGGGTTGATTTTGGATTGGTTGGACGGACGGGTTGGGAATGTATCATAGCGGCGTAATTGCAACTCTTCTTCTTCCTCCTCCTCCTCATCCTCCTCCTTCCCACCTGATAGCAAACGAGCAAGAGATTTGTTTGTTATGTGTGTATGAGAATATGTACTCTCCACCAATCCCCTCCCATCTCCATCATCCCCCAATTCCAATCCACCACCTCCCATCCACCACCTCCCATCCACCACCCTCCCCTCCCGTCTATCACAATCCGCCAACCCGCCAAAGAAAGGCCGAATGTGTATGTACCAGAAAACCAAGCCAAAAAAAAAAAGAAAAGCGGAGATCATATCGTAACTGTCATCAACTGGCCCACACTGGCCCACACACTGTCTATACCTTCTAAGCTAGGTGAGTAGGTAGAAGGTGTAGTAAAATAAGTGGGTTATTCCACCCCCTTCCTTCCTTCCTTTCCCCCCTCACCCTTCACCCTTCACCGACCAATGCAAACCGACCAACCAACAAAGACAAAAAACTCCAAAAAGAAATAAAAGAATAAGCACGCAAACGCTTCCCTTTAAACAGTAAAGTAAAGAAAACCCCCATCGGAGAAAAGAAAAAGAAAAGTAGAAATAGAAATAGAATAGAACAATGCCGAAATACCATGCCTCCAAACAGGAAGGAAGGAAGGAAGGAAGGAAGGAAGGGAAAAGGCCACACCGCGCCACACCGCTTGCTTTCACCAATCAGAACTCGTGCTTAGCACCACCCTGGACACCCAGCAGTCCAAGTCCCAGCACGCCCGCATTGCTCCAAGCACCCACGCGCCATCCGCGGTAGAGCCCCTCGATGCCCCACTTCCCGCGCTCCTCCTCCTTCATGAGGACCCACGCGGTGCCGACGACGCCGGCGTAGCGGCCCACGGGCACGATTGTTCGTTCCGGTTTTGCCTCGGCGATTTGGGCGCGGCGGAGGACCGTCTCGAGGGGAAGGCGGACCGAGAGCTCGACGCTGTTGGCGAAGAAGGTCAGGATGTTGTAGGAGGCGGGGGTGAGAAGCGGGTCCAGGTTGAGTTTCGCTTTGAGAAAGTACGGGGTGCCGAGATTGATTAGTGATGGCAGGATGGCATGGAGGGTCGTCGGGAGGATTAGGCTGGTGGGGATGAAGTAGCTCGGCAGTGCGCGAAGCGATGGGAGGAGATTTCGCGGTTTTGAGGAGCGGGGAGTAAGGATTAGTCTGAAAGAAATTGTTAGATCAGATGCCCGCTTCTCAATTTTGGGGTGAGGGAGAATCCTACTTTGTGCGGATCAGATCCAGCGGGGCAAGCAGCAGTGCAGTGAGTGCTGATGCGGCAATTGCAACTCCGAGCGACGCCAGTGGGTGCGTAGAATCGGCAATCTCGGTGACACCCGGGTCCGGCAGCGATAAGACTGCCGATAATAACGATGTGGACCACGCCTCCATTGTCGACACCAGGAAAGAGTGGATGAATGTAGCATTCGTGCCTGTCGCGTGTGAGTTTAATTCCTCTATGGCATCACAGAGGGGCCAGCGGAAATACCTTTCCAGACACCCCAAGCGCCCTCCTTAGCCCATAGAGCTTTGAGAGCATCGTTGACGGCACTGCTGCTGCACTTCCGGATCTGATAGTCCGGTCTTGGGGCAGTCTCCTTCTCCTCGATCACGTAGCCGGCTCTATCCGTCGTCTTCTTCGGGCCGGTAGCCAGCACCTTCGACGGCCCGACTTTTGGCGAATCATCGGCGGAATCGGTCGAGGCAAAGTACTTTGGCTCGTCGTCTGAATCCTCCGCTTCCTTGAGAAATTTCATCCAATCAGTCTCCCGGGAACACGCAGGCCCATGATCAATCGATCGATTGATCACACACACACACACATGCACACACCTCTTCTTCGAACGTAGTCCACGGATTATCACTTTCCTCCCCCTCGGCACTCTTCTCCTCGTCCGCATCCGACTCGTGGCCCTCCTCCTCCGCAGTCGCCGACGCCCCACGCGGATGATGATGCTGATGCTTCCCCTTGCCCTCCTTCTTGGGCACGTACTGGCACTGCAGGACTGTTTTTGCCACCTCGAACGGCTGGCTGATCAGGATGCTGGTGTACTTCAGCACGGCCTGCTCGAGGAAGTTTCGCATGGCCTCGCCGGTCGACGACGGGCTGTCGAGGTAGTCGGCCGAGTAATCCTGGAAGTCCTGGAGGATCGTGAAGCTACTTGGCGCCCCGCCATTCTTTGGCAGCAGGGAGGAGGATGATACGGGGATGGCCGACGAGGAGGACGTGGGAACGGCGGCTTCGAACGGGCTCGGCGTCGTCGGTACGTAGTACGGTCTTAGCGGATTCGGACTGTGGGCGTAGTGGTGGTGGTGATGGTTCTGGTGGTTGTTGAAGGAGGCCATGATTGCTAGCTGTCTGTCGTACCGTAGTCGTTCGTGGGCCGTAGTCGAGGGCGTATGTAGGGGTGGGGGTGGAATATCCTTTCAACTCGCTCACAAGCGGGAAGGAGAAAAAAAAAAGTGGGAAATAATTGCCCTTCTAAGGCTTATGTCGTGTGTGGTGTGTGTGCTGTGTACACCCCCCGCCATGGGGGGCCAGGAGTTCCGTTCCGGGTAACTACTATAACAAAGCTTATCTTCACATGTCTGTCACTCGTGAACAACTCACACCCCCCTCTCCCAGTTCCGCAACCCAATCCAATCCAATCCAATCCAATCCACGCACCCAGCCCATCTATTAAAGTAACGGCCCACCTCCCCCAGCAAATGACAGCGAGGCAGCAGCAGCGAAAGACCCCGCAACTAAACTTCGTCGAGCCAAGTTCGAGTGACGTGGAGTGTTTTTCAGCACCGGTAACTACGCCTTTGAGGCCTCTCCACGTTGCGTCGCCGCGCGCCCCCCGCCCAGGCCCCCGCTCAACCACTATTCATCCGCCTCATGCCGCTCGTCAGCAGATTAGAATTGGAATCGACACTGCTGCTGAAGCTGCTCCCCGACCCCGCAGTGATGGGTTCACTCTACCGTAGAGATAGTATAGTACCTATCGACTCGATCCCGCGGTCTCGCGGTCTCAGGAGATATAAACCCATTGGCCAACCCATTGGCTATAGTAGCCGCTAAACCACCTTTTATCCTCGAAGCTTCAAGAAAAGGATCGAGATGCCCAATTATTATCACTATAGAGCCGAAATCACGAGCTCCCACGGCAATAAATCCGGGTGAAGGAAGTATAGGAAGACGTCCAATGGCATGACTTCAGTTTCCGTCTTTACATAAGCCAATGATTCGCCACCAACCGCGTGCACCAACCCGTTGAAGATCCCCCATTCGCTTATCTCGGCGCGCCGGGTGGTGGTGGTGGTGCTAATTGCTCACGGCACGGCGGGAACGAGCGAGCGAGAGAAAAGAAAAGAAAGCAATTGGAACCCAAATCACACGTCAGGCGATTGGGATGAACTCCCCTCCCAGTGTATGTGATGTATGTGATGTATGCTCGTAGGGATTTTTGTGCCAAATTCCGGAGACCTCCATTTCTATTAAAAAGCTTGCAAAAACCAAAAAACCAAGAAAAACCACAACAACTCTACCATCAACATCAACTGAGTGTGCTGCCGTTAACTAAACCGATTCGCTGAAACGAGCAAAATAAAATAAAAATAAAAAAACGATAAAAAACGATAAAATCCAGACACAAGAAACAGCAGAGCAACTTTTCATCGAGGCGATTATCCAGTAGGAAAAGATGGTAAAGTGCTTCCCACCTAGAAACCCCTGCAGGCTTTTGCTCCGCCGCGCCAGTCATCGCGCTCGTAGTACCTAAAAACGAGATCGTAACCGTCAAGCTCGTGCACAATCTTGTCGATCTTCTTGTAGCCCTTGATCTTGTCCATGCGGTGCGCACGGCGGGCCGCGGTCATGTCATGGAATGCCTCCCTGCCGGGGCGGCTCTCAAGGGCCACAGGCTTAGCCTCGAAGAGGGTGACTGAGAAGCGTCCGGGACGGAAGATCTCGACCACGTGCTCCAAGATCTCGGCGGTCTCCCGTCCAGACTGGCGACCCGGAACGTTGGTCTCGAACGAGGCGTATGAGCAGTGAGGCTCGGGGGTGACGTGCACGGTGAAGTAGTGTGTGGTCGTGACGTTCGGGTCGGGGGACGGAATGACACCGTTGGCTGAGAACCCGCACGGGGAGAAGATGTACGAGTCGACGCACGCATCGGGGTACTTGGACCGAGGGTATGCGTCGTTGAGTCCGCATGCCTCCGAGACTATGGCGCCCAGGGCGTGGCCCTCACTCCTGAGGTTCTCGGGCAAGTCGGCGACCCCGCTGTCGATCGACTTTCCGCAGTCGTCATCAGACTCGTCGGCTGAATTGTCACCGTTCTCCTTGCGGTACTGGCCTGCTGCGATAGTACTCGCGTCTTCGAGATAGAACTGCCTGGCCTTGACTGGGTCCAGGTCCGTCATCAACACCTCCAACGTCTCGTCGAAGATTCCGTTTCCACTGCCTCCGTCCCGACCTCCGCCAATGTTCTTAAAGATGGCGGCTTCGTCTTCTCCGGGGAAGTGCAGAATCTTAGTCTCGGTTTGGTGGAGCGCAAACTCCATATCCTCCATCTCACTCTGAGGAGTGAGCGGGGGAGACAGCTCGGAGCCGGGAGTGGTCATGTACAGGTACCAGTGCTCGCCGTTGGTCCTGCCGAGCATGTAGGCGCTACCGTTGCCAAACCATCTGTCCAGGAAGTCGACCTCGTCCTTCCAGCTCTGGTGGGGGTGCATCTGCTTCTGGGGGAACATGAACGACTTGCGCGAGTAAAACACCCTGTACGGAGTGGCTGCAGCCTCTCCGGCATCGGTGAATCCGGCCTCCTGGGCAGCAATGCGGAGTAGCTCCGGGAGTCCGCTGAGAAGGGTCGTGGTTCCACAAGTCTTCAGGATGAGCTTGTGGGGGAAGACGAACATGCTACTCTCGCTGAGCAGGTACGCGTCGACGTGCTCGTTACGCACGACCGAGAGAACCTTGCATCGGACAATGTCCAGCATGGCCTTCCACGTGTCTTCCGAGACCGATTTGAGACCGTCCGGCTGGGCAGACATCGGGAGGAGTTCGGGAGACGGCGTGAACCAGACTTCAAGCAACTTCTCGGGCCCTTGAGGAAACCGTTAGTACATACAATCCACCTCACAAGTGCGGGGGCCACCACGGCCCCATTGGTAGTGGAACATACCTTCGAAGGCATTGGTAGAATCCAAATCGATCGTAGCCTCGTGATTGATCGAGTAGGTGGTGAGAGGCAGGGAAACCTCCGGCATGGCCGATACGTCAACAGTAGCCACCATTTTGCTGAAAATCAAGTTTTCAAGGCGATCTTGCGGGGAAACCTGCTTCGAGATGCTGAATCTATCCAATTACCGGAACCGAGAAGAATCGGAAACGCAGAGGATGAGGATTAAGAGGAGAAGGAGGAGGACGGTTTTGAGTGGTTTTTGTTGATTTATGGATGGGCGGAAACGATTCGCCGCCCCGTCGTCAAGATACCGATACCTCTTCGTAAGTATCGGTCAAGCAGACGAGGTGTGCTTGATGGGGAACGCGTGGATGGGGTTTCGTAGGTTCAACGAAGTTTGAATTGATCTTGTAGGTTGGTTATCGGGAGTCGTGTTATCTGGGCCTGTGGAGATGGGTAAAAAAGACCATGGTCAGTCCATTGTCTTTAGAAAGAAGCCCCGCAATGGTGGAATTGAACTATGTCACTTCTCCCAGCTACCGCCACACCACCACCGCCACACGGCCTTTGCCGGGGGCATCACGTCACAAACACAGAACGGAGGAGAAAACCTACTTCTTGCGGAGGCTGAGGAATCGAAGCAGTTGCCTTCGGCTCATAAGAATTGAAAAACTTTGGAAATAAAGAGGTTTGTTTGGCTTTCCAAGCCTAGAGAACGGTGCCTGGATAGTTCGCCAGAACTAATGTCTAGACGAACAAACCTGACAGCCGTCGACGGGGTGTTTGTTTAGGACGTCGAGCCGTGGGTCCGACAGCTTTGCAACTTTGGGGTGGGCGGTGCGGGGCGGGGCGGGGGAGGATGAGTTGAATGCTGACTAGAATTAAGGTTGTTGTTGTAGTGGTAGGTGCGAAGCCAAAGCGCAGTATTGATTTGGTACGGGAAGTTGCGTGAGGATTTTTTTTGTCTGAGGGGAATTTATCGATGAGGGTGGAGATGGCGATGGAGAAGACAAAGGATGGGGGGATGGTTCGGTTTTTTTTTTTCTTCGGGGAGTTGGTGGGAAGGAGGGAAGCGTAGTAGTCGGGGAGAGCGGTGAGGAGCGGAGCGGGATTTATGGCACGTAAGTAACAAGTAGGTTCTGTGGGACAAGGACGAGGAGGGGAAGTCTAGAAAAAAAATCTGGGAGGCGAAGTGGGGTTGGTTGGGCGGTGGGTTGATCTCTTTTTTTTTTCCCTTCTTTTTTCTTCTTTTCTTCTTCTTCTTTCCTTTTCTTATGGTGATGCCCGATGGTGGACGGTGGACGGTGGTCGATGGCCCTTTTCTCTGCTCTTGTAAGTCAATCCTGTCAAAGGCCTTTTTCCCTGTCGTGTCTTGTTCCTTCTTTCTGTTTTCTGTCTCTCCGAAAAAACGTCTGTGGGCCACTCATCGGGACGAGTAGAGTGCGATGTATGTATGGATGTGGTAGCTGGTACTCGCGCCACCACCCTGCTTGCTGGGAGAGACAAAGGGAATCCCTGCTGTCGTATTCCTATTCTATGTAACAACATCACTTGCAGCGCAGTGGACGCCTGCTTCCTGGCATGTATTCCTCCTAGCCCCATGTCACCGTCACCGCCCTTTTGCCTGTGCGGCTCGCCGAGGTGAAGATGATGATGTCGAGAGAAGGAGGAGGGAAGCCCCCTCAATGCCGCAAGCGAATCTTCCCACACAAGTCACAACTTGGCTTGGCCACAGTTCCACGCTAGTTGGTCCCCCCGTTGCGACGACGACGTGTTGGTGGTGCCGCTCGAACGACCGTGCCCCCCGCCCCCCGGCCATAGTGTGGTCGTCGGGACGAGGGTAATACTTGTTCAACCCGCCTACCGTCCGTGCCCCGAGTTGGTCTCACGATCGGCTCTTAGCCTCTGGATCACGACAAGCGCGCGATCAACGACCGAAGCGTGCCGCCGAGTGCTCGGCCCACCGGCCCACCGGCACGACCGTCTTGGCCCCGCTCACCAGCCATGTCCTCGGTAAAAAGCTCTCCTCTCTCTCCCACCGAAGCAGATTCGACAGCTGTGCTTCTCCGTGCAACTGCGAAGCGAGCTGCCCTGAAAAGAAAAGGTCGAATCACTGCGCCTCACTCGCCCGCCCCCCTGTCCCACGGGGATATCGTGACGACACGGCGGAAAATTGCACTTTTTAGGAGGGCGGCCACGGGGGAGGCTGCACTACGCTACGGGAGCGGAGGAATTTTTTTTTGGGCTCCATCTGGGAGCGCGACTGCAGGCGCGGCTGGATGGGTACTCATGTATGTACTGGTACCTTGCCGTACCTGTGTGCAGTAAATACGGCTAATGCTGGGCGCCTGGAAGGCGCTGCGAGCCTGCGGTACTATGTTTAACTACTCTAAGGGCCAGATATCGCGTTTTAGCCTTTCGCACAACAGCCTCTCTCTCGACCCCGGAGTACAAAGGTACACAGGTACACAGGTACATGCTTCAACTCCTGCGCAGTGTGGAGATGAAACTTGGGGAAAGCCCGGGGATGGCACGAGAGATGAGTAATGAAGCACACTGCTGCAGATGGCCGGTGGCATCACGCTTGGGCAATGGGGAGGGGGGACTTGGAAGTTGAAAGTTGAACTCTCCTCTAATAGGTACATACAATGCACATGGCCACGGCCCATGGGTCAATGGATTGGCTATGGGGTACGGTACGGCTGGCCGCAGTTCTCCAGAGTCCAGATAGACACGTACTCTATATGTACATCACGTACACTACCCAGGTGTGTGCACTGTACAATGCATGCGGTTCAGGACTGTACCCGTCATAGGTGCCTAGGTATGATACTTGAGTGTCCATGTGGGAAGTAGGTATGTGTGTATGTACATAGCACAACCACACAAAATCCGCAGGGACGTACGTACGGATACTTGTATGTACAGTACATAAGCAAGTTCCTACCGCACCCACACCCACACCCACGCCCATCCAGTACCGGCACGGGAAAGCAAAGAAAAGAAAAGAAAAGAAAAGCGCGGCCATCATACGGATGGAGGGGATCTCCAGCGAAAAAGAATTTTCCCCCATCCATCGAACCGATGCGATGGGCGAGCGAACGAACGAGCGAAAGAACTTAGAGGAGGGAACAAACGAATTGATACTCTACATACGCATGCGGTTTCCGCATTTTAACCTCTAATCTCCAACGTCCAACCTTTAACCTTTTACCTCCAACCTCCAACCTTCACCTCCGACCTCTGCAGCGCAACGCAATGCAGAACCCGCGGCGGCTGGCTGGCAGCTCATTGCATCGGTATGTAATTACAGAGTACTTAAAAGTTAACCTACCATCTCGCGATAGAAAAAACCTAAATAAAAATAGAAAAAAACAAGAAAAAGGGCAGCGGCTTCTTACCGTCAATTCTACTACATATACCGTACTTCAACGCATGTGGACTTCCGATGGGCGATGGGGTATGAGAGCACTGGAGCAGCGCTAGCATTCAGCATCCAGCCTTCAAAATCCAGCCTCCAAAATCCAGCCTCCAATCCAATTGCGGCCAGTCAATCGGTCAGTCGGCCAGTCGGTCAATCAGTCGGTCGGTCAATCGGCAGGAAAGCAAAGTAACGAAAAGAAAAGAAAGAAAAGAAAGAAAAGAAAGAGAATAGCACGGTGTCGACCGTATGATACCGGTATGTAACCCTGCTAGGTATATCCCAATCCCCATCCCCATCCCACCCCCCGCTTGCGCAAAGCAACGTCGTCGTGTATTCCTAACCGTCTCCGCAGCACGTACATCCATCTTGGCCCTCCCCTTCCCTTCCCTTCCCTTAGCGATCCCGCTCCTCCGACCTTCAAATATCTACCCAGCGTATGTACCTACCGTATGGACATTGGACCTATGTACTCCAGTATGCACTCACAATCACAGACACAGACTCACAGGTCGACATACATACATAGTAGAGTATCTATGCGGGGTTTAATCCCGCTGTATGTGGAGTGGAGTAGAGTATCCAGAGTACCTATCCAGAGTATGTAGAGTACCACCAGTATCTATAGATGTTCATCATATCAGGTACGCCGCCGGTACGGTGGTTAGCTGCTATAATAGTAACAAGTAACTATTACTCTAATAATACTAGTAACTAACTAGTAGCCAAGTAAATAAGGCTGGCGAGCGAGCGACGAAAAGCCGTGCGCGAAATCGATCTTGACCACATGGCGCGATCTTTAGGAATAATAACCAAGTCCTTACTACCAAGTATGGAATTGTTTTTCTTTCTTCTTCTTTTCTTTTCGTGTGTGCCCGACGCGGCCGCCATCGTTTGTCCAATGTCCAGCGGCCAGCCTGTAAATACTTCTCAAGTAATTAAGCGCAATCCGGAGAATTCGTATGATGTAAGCCCTCCCCTTTACTATTTCACTATACCGAATTAGTTGTTTAGGGCTAACTAAAGGGCTACATAAGTTAAAGAGATGAGTGAGAGGAGTGAGAGCGCGAGAACGACTGTGGCTTCTTCGCAAATCCGAGAATATATCCCGCCGCCTGGCTATGTGCATACTGGCTGGCTGGCTAGTAGGGTTGGTGGTATATAGGATTGATGGTAAGCACTGATGTAGGTACCAGTACGTCTAGTTACAGGTACTCTATTCGATACATATCGTACATGTCTCCACGAAGGCGGTGTACCGTAAAGGTATTTATTGTACTTGCTTGGGTACTAGGTAGTACTCTATCGAGGTTCGAGAAAGGGAAGGGATGAGAGGGAAGGGAAGGGTCGGCATCTGCATCTACATCGCACGAGTGAGTCGCGACCACCAAGATCCGGCGCACTGCAAAAGCCCCAGTGCCCAGTGCCCAGTGCCCAGTGCCCAGTGCCCACCCGCCGAAGGCCGAAGGCTGAAGCCTGTACCATGGACCGGCCCACCCAATTGCGGCCGCCATATTGAAGATATCCGATCACTCCCCCTTGAACCCACGAGGCACGCCTCGTAACCTCGTAATCTCGTTCTCTGGCGGGTACCGGTACCGGTAGCTAAGTCATCTCAGGTACAACCATACAACCGTACAACCGTATGTATTGTGCAACTCCTTCCCTGAGCCCTTCCCTGAGCCCTTCCCATCCCGCCCTACAGCGTCCGGTGAGAATCCCAACGGCCAACGCCAAGGTCTAACGGCCACCGATCCGGAAACATTATTTTTCCCTTTCCCTTTCCCTCCATCCCTATGTACGTAGGCGGAGTAGAGTAGAGTAGGCAGGTATTCACTCGATGAGCATGGTCATCGGCATCGGCTAATGCGCAATTCTCGAAAACATGGGCATTCAAAGTTCCAAAGTTCCAACTTCCAAAGGATCGGTAGATTGAAGATTCCTCCATCGGACATCCCCTCTCGCCCTCCCCCCTCGCCTTCCCGCTGCCGACACTCTCTCGAGAGACTCTTGTTTCCTGAAAAAGCCGCCTGGGATGTTTTTTTCTCGCACGCGCAGGCGGGGAGTGGAGGGGGAGGGGTGGTAATATCAATTCGACACCTGTGGGCACTGGGAACACCTAGAGTACCGTACATACCGTACCTTCCATTTCTTCCTCCTTTAAAATGCCGCACCCGTTCTCTGCATGGCATGGAATGCCTCTTTTTGTTTCGTTCGGCTCAGGATCAATGCAAGGTCTCTTGTGGGGAGAGGGGAGGGGAGGAGAGGGGGAGGGGGGAAGGGGGAAGGGGGATTGGGTTTTCTCATTTTCTGGGCTGGAGGAAAAAAGAAGGAAAAAGAGAGAAAAAGAAAGAACGATAGGTAGGAGCGATACAAATCGGAATCACCAAAAACAAAACCGGACGGAACGGAAAAGGATTAACTGCCGTAAGAATAATAGTCAACTCCAGTAGGTATCGGCGACGACCACCCCACGGGCCAGTGCCAATTGCCAATGCCAATGCCCAATCCCAGCGGTGTACCGTCCTCCGATAGTATCTCGACTCTCGAGGATCTTTCTGTCGTCGCCGGTACGTACGTAGGTAGCAAGTACACAGTCAAGTGAATCCATGAGCTCTGCGGAAAAACCAAAACCAAAACCAAGGAAGAAAGATCCTCCTACCACCCACTACCTACCTAAGTAGGTAAGCATGAGTACATACATACCGATAGTTAGACGTTTCGTCGATTGCAGCCGGCCGATCGAAACACAGCCCCTCCCCCTCGCCGGACCAAGCCACGGATGCACGGCATTGCTCTGTGCTGCGTGGTGGCAGACTGTAGTTATATAGGTAAACCCCGATTCTCTCGCCGGTGGGCTGTTTTGGAGGGGGAGGGGCTGCTTGGGGGAGGGGCTGTTTGATGTTTTGAGGAACGTCGTCATCCTGTAGAATATCAGCTCCGCCGCTTTCGGTATGTGTAGTGTAGTGTACCGTAGTGTAGGTATGATAGTGCAGTGTACATACCGATATACTGCTGCGATGGAGGAGGAGATGGGAGACACATCGAATCATCGATTAGGCAGCAGTGGCCTGTAGTTACCGTTGTACCTAGTAGGTAGAGCTGAATGCTCCGTACCAACTGCCAACTGCCAACCCTGGCTGCCAACTGTAACTGTAACTGCGATTGCGAATTGCGATTGCTTGAGCGCGAGCTGGAAACTGGCATTGGACGCAAGGTAAGGAGTTGGCGCGGGCCGAGCCGGGCGGGCGGGGCGGGGCGGGGAGGGGGGTATAAATCCTACACCCCGGCACAGGTCGTCGTGCACGGGGTTGTACCATATGTTGCAAGTATTCCGTTCTCAATCCTCCCCCCGCCCCGCCTCCGCCGCAGCTCCTCGTACAACCAACCCCGATCTGCGCAGATCTGTAGGTCCCATACCATAATTTCCAACCCAACCAGTTACCCCACTCGTTCGTGAGCGAGCGAGCGGCGTCTAAAACGCTCGCACGCACGTACGCAAATAGCACTCCCCCTCCCTCGATCACGATTACGATAGGCGGGGGTCGCGGGGGCGGCAGAGCTTTAGGCTTTGACAATTGCGATTGTTAACCCCGACGCGGCTGTGGTAGGTAGTGGGGGAAGTGGGGGGCACTCTCTCCCCGCGATCGGTACCCATCGCATCTACTCTACTCTAGGTACTTTACTCTACTATTACTTAGCTGTGCAAGCAACGCACGCACGCGTCAGCGGCCCAGTAACGGTAATGCCACGAGCAGAGTAGAGTACCGTTTAGTAGGTATACCCAGCACCGGTATTTACAGTACTATACAGTACAGCTCTCGCTGCAGACTGCAGTGCATCGGGATCGTGCGGCTTGCGTGCGGCTTGCGTGCGCTGTCAATGGCTGTCAATGGCCGGTAAGGTAAGGTGCACCCCCTCCTCCCTCCCCGCTTCCCCCGCGGCCACAAGAAATACCCAAATAGGGAAGAGGTCCGGGCACAGGTGCGTGATATTCCATGCTGCATCTGCGCCGAGGTGGTGGGAACCGCGGAACTGACGAAGCAACGGCCAGGCTACAGATGGCACATACCTACGGTAGAGTAGAATATCCAGCCGTAGTTATAGTAGAGCTGGTTGCTTCGAGCAGCGGTACACCCACGTGCATGTACCGTAATCTGTGCCGACGCTCCGGAGCCACTGCTCAGTGGTTATGCATACCTACGACTATGTACCTGCCGTCAATCCTTCTATCCTTCCTCGTATATGTCACCACCATCCGCCGGCGCCGACGCCACAAAGCAAGCAAGTAAGCAACAGTAAGCAACCCGTAAACCATACACCGTACACCGTACACCGTACACCGTCAACCATGCACCGTACACCGTCAACCATACACCATACACCATACACCATACATCATACACCATTCCCATCTATCCCATCTATCCCATCTATCCCAAGTTAGAGGACCACCATCTACACAGTATAATGCAAAGCCAGGAAGAAAAAAGACCAAAAACCAGCCAAAAAAAACCATCAAAAAGACGCGAACAGCTTTCCCAAATTTCAAATTTCCAAATTTTAAGAAATCCTCCAAGAAAAGCACCCAAAACAGAAACAAAATTATACTCCAGCACCAGAAACCAAACAGCTATCCTCATTCTTCGAGTCCAAAATACCAAAACACCAAGGTATCCACATTCTTGCTTTCCAGTCCAAAGGGCTTTCATGTACGTACGCCGAGCAGAGCAGAACTCTGAGTTACGCACATGAGAAGTCCAGCTGTCCAATCACCGGAAAAACTGAAAGAAGGTGCAACGTTGAAGATTGAAAACGATGTCGATGTCGAGGCGGGATTCGAACCCGAGTGGAGGTGAAGGAGTCCGAGGAAACCGGTCGGAGAAACAACAAAAAAACCACAAAGCGGCCCGAAATGTCGAAGGTATAGCGTATGGGTGTACCGAAACCAAACACTTATCCCTATTCTTCCAGTCCAGTCCAAAACATCGAGGAATCACCATTCTTGCTTTCCAGTCCAAAGTGCTTCCATGTACGTACGCCGAGCAGAGCAGAACTCTGAGCTACGCACACGGGAAGTCCAGTCCAAATACCGGAAAAACTGAGAGAAGGCCCAGGGTTGAAGACAATGTCGACGTTGAGGCGGGATTCGAACCCATTATGTAGTGAAGGAATCGGTGGAAACCTGTCGAGAGAAGAAAAAACAAGAAAAAAACAACCAAAGCGGCCAGAGATGTCGAAGGTATCGTAAAGCAGAAGAACCGGCCCAAAAGAAAAAGCAAAAAATGAAACCAAAGCGGCCCGAGATGTCGTAGGTATCGTAAAAGGTGTATCGAGATGTCGAAGGTAGCGTAGGTGTGCCGAAACGAAATCATCCAAAAGAAATTAAGTATTATATCCGGTCGCCGTTGGTCGAAAAAGGAAATGAGATGAAACTAGGTCTTCATCAATGGTTCTTGTCCACGTGGGAACTGAACTTGGTATCTTTTACCAGAACTGCAGAGTGTCAGTCAGTATCCATCACTCGCACGATCAATTGATCTAAGGGAACGGGAGGAAAGGAAGGAAGGAAGGAGCGCCACGCCACACTCACATGTAAAAGTACTCTTGCTTTACAAGGCATTGGGCACATCGGCCGTCAATGGAGGTAACAGGTCGTGATGGTCGGCAGGGAGGTCATGTCTGTTCGCCAAAGCTCGCTGGATCTTTGCTTGGACCACGGGGCTCTTGAACCCGTTCGAGTTCGTGTTCTTCATCCAGAAGGATTGGAAGCCTTGAGCTGGGTCCTCTTCCCGGGAGTAAATATGCACACAGGCATTGGATCGCCTCGGCGTGGCCGAGTTCCAGCCGTTCGTCCCGCACACATATACGGATATGTGCTTGGGCTCTGTGGCATTGTGATTGCTCCGGTGATGAAGCGAGCTGGGCGGCCGGTGTCAGTATGCATACCTCATATACTGGTTAATAGTGGGGGAGGTCGAAGCAAACATACCTTACAACCAGCGTGACCGCTGGATGTGCAAGTGGTACCGAGCTCGGAAACTGGTTCCTCCGGCTAATAGACGTCCCGCTGCGGCCAGCGTTGCCTGCTCCTCTGTTACCTCTGGTCGATGTCCCCCTCTGCTGCCTCTCGCTCGAGGACTTGTCCTTATTCCACCGATCTGCAAACACCTCGAGGACACGAAGGTGCTCCCCGACGCACCGCGCCATCCACGGGTCCCCTTCCGGAACCTCATCGTAGAGGAAGATCACCAACACACCGCATTCCAGTATGTAGGAAGACATGGATGGTGATCTTCCACTACGAATGAGGATTGATGACTTGGGGAGATATAATTTAGTCGTCCGATTGACGACTCCTTCTCAAAAATGACAGAAGTATCCGGTGAAAATTGGGGAGGCGGGGAGGCGGGGGGTCGAGGGTTAGGATGTCGATTGTATTCCGGGTGTACCGGGGAAGAAGGAAGAGGGAAGTGGGTGGGAGGTGGTGGAGAACGAGTGGTCCCTTTGTGTGGGGCAAGTGTGGAGCTCTCATCTTGGAGTAAAGCCACCGCCCGAGCCACATATTCGTAGCTCGAACGGCTGAGCAAACCTCACGGTTTGCTCCAGCCTTTGTCACCCAACCGGCCCCCAGAAAATCTTCGCCAGCGGCGTGCCCGCTTCGACGCATCCCACCCTGCAGCTGCCCGTCTCTCCCTCCGTCAATCCCATGCACCCAGCTGGTGCACTCCTGCCGGTGCTGTGCACCGGCCCGCCTCACACATCGGGGGAAGTTTGTTCCCCATTTCAACCCCATCTTTTTCATTGTGGGGGCATCTGCCGTGCCCGCCACACAGTGCATCACTCGGCGCTCGCACCCGCTCCCCGCCGACACAGACTAGCTATTAGGTGACCACCCTTTGTCCGACCGGCGTCCGTGCGCCTGTACACATGCCTGTCAGCTTGCCAGCCGCATCACCCGATAGAGATACCCGGCGTTTGTTGCGCTCTGCGTACCTAGTCAGTCGAGGTGCGCATGCATTGCGTCTCCTGTGGTCTGCGAGCGGTAACTCGCAATGAAAGAACCACCACGTCCCCCCGATGCTGGTGGTGGGTCGAACCACTCGATCTCCTCCGGTGGTGCTGGTGGTTCGAACCCCCCATTTCCGGCGGTGCTGGTGGTGGGTTGAACGACCCCATTCCCGCCGAACGGATGCGGCACCTTTAACTCCCGCCGAGGGTTCCAAATCCTCCCGGGATCGGTGCATGAATCCGTCCAGAGTCCGGCCATCGCTCTCTCCGACGACCCCTAGGAACCGAACCGAAAGCTAAAGCCTTCGCACGGCCGCCTCTTCTTCGTTGTCGCCGGTGTGAGGTAAATAAGTGTCTACCGCAATCCGCGCCCCAATCGTCTTCCGCGATGGTTCGCGGCTTTTATCCTTTATGGCGCCCAGCGCGGTGAACCGAGTTGTTGGTCCCCCACTGTTCGCCAAAGGTTTGTGTTTGTTTGTTTAGAGAGGAGTTTCCTTGCGGGAAAACTCACGATGTTAGTGCAGTTGGTGGGCACCCTGGGGGATGTGTATAGCCAAGCCTATCCACTCCGCACGATCTGATAAGGTCCAATTCTATGATGATCAAACAAATCCGCACGAAGGCTGTGAGGCAAGCCTATCCATTCCGCAGCGAAATTCAAGGGCACGAGAGCCCCCGAACACCAGTCTTCCACCGCCTACGCATTCAATGCTGGAGACAAAAAAAAGACAAATCTTTGGTTTAGATAGTTCTACAAATGCGTATCACCACCCTCTCCTCTTCCGCCTTCCGTCTATGACAAAGACCAGCCCCAAATCCTGAGGCAAGAAAACAGAAAAAGACAGAAGAAATCACACCATTCCGAATCTCATGTCTAGACAGACGGTATCTCGCGAGGATCTAAAATCGCACAGCACACATCATCTAAACCCTCCACTCTACCGTTGGCGGTAAAGCATGTGTTCCCTTCCAGGACCAACACCAACCCAGTCCACACGGACACCGATGAACTCCTCGATGAAAGCGATGTACTCCTTGGCCTCCTTGGGGAGCTGGTCGTACTCCGTCAACTTGGTAGTCGGCTCAGTCCATCCGGGCATGGTCTTGTACACCGGCTCAACCTTAGCCAGAGTGTTGAGATCAGCAGGGAACGACTCGAGCTCCACACCGTCAACCTTGTAAGCAACTGCGATCTGGAGCTCCTTGAGGCCGTCAAGGATGTCGAGTTTCGTCAGGTTCAGGCTGGTGTAGTGGTTCACGGCAGTCGAGTATTTGACGATGACAAGGTCGAGCCATCCACATCTGCGCTTGCGGCCAGTGGTCACACCCCACTCACGGCCAACAACTTGAAGGTGTTCGCCAGCTTCCTGCAGGGGGTCAGTGAATTGAATCTTATCGACGTGCACACCGGGTGACTCACGTTCAATTGCTCAGTGGGGAACGGTCCAGAGCCGACACGGGTGGTGTATGCCTTGACGACACCAATGATGTTCTTAATGTTGAAGGGAGAGATGGCAAGTCCAGTGATCACGCCTCCAACTCCAGTGTTGGAGCTGGTGACATAAGGGTACGTGCCGTAGTCGATGTCAAGCATCAGAGCGTTGGCGCCCTCGACGAGAACCTTCTTGTTGGCCTTGAAGGCAGCCGCAATGAAGGGGACAGCGTCGATAACGTATGGACGCAGAGTCTCGTAGTAGACCTTCGCACCAGTCATCAGAATTGTCCAGTCCACCTTCCCCAAACCAGACAGATATAGGCACCCACCTTGAACTGCGCCAACTCCTTCTCGACGTCGTACTGCAACAAGTCTCCGAACCTTTTCTTGTATCCGTGCTCAAGCGCCCTCAACTTCTTCTCAAACTCAGACCAGTTGAAAATCTCGTAGACACGAACACCGCTGCGAGCAGCCTTGGTGGAGTAAGTTGGGCCGATTCCCTTCCGGGTGGTGCCGATGTTCTGTGCCCCCAGCTCGATCTCCTCGAGACCGTCAACGAGCTGGTGCAGATCGAAGACGAGGTGGGCGCGGTCGGAAATGAAGATGCGGTCAGTCGAATCGATGCCCTTCTTCTGGATTGCCTCCAGCTCGGCGAAGAACGACGGGATGTGGACGACGGTGCCGGTACCGATCAGGTTCAGGCATTTGGGGTTCACCAGACCTATATGGGGTCGGTCAGTCAACAGCCAGTCGGATCGGGCACCATTGGCCGGAAAGCCAACCACCAGATCGGAGTCATATGGCAGCAGTAATCTATGACACGAGCAGGGTACTCGTAGCAGCAGCAGCAGCAGTGGCCGTAGCCGTGGCAGTGGCAGAGGGATGGATTGACGGATGGGTTATTGACCTGACGGCAGCATATGGAAGTCGTAACTGACACCGTTGACGACGATAGTGTGCCCAGCATTGTTTCCTCCAGCGCAGCGAGCGCAAACCTCGACATCCTCACAAAGGATATCGACGAGTTTTCCCTTGCCCTCGTCACCCCATTGACTTCCAAGCACGACGGTAGCCATGTCCGCGCTTCCGTCTCTCTCTCTCTCTTCTGTTGTAAAGACTTGTCGTTCCGGTATTTGCAAAAGTACTCGCAGGGTAAGAAAAACTCGTGATCGCCGCCTCTCGAAGAACGAGAGTAAGAAAAAAGGGAAGAAAGGGCAAGTTCAGCGGATTAATTTTGGCTTTTAGGGTGATGGCGGGGCAGGACGGAATTCGGGCTAAGGTGCGGGGGGGTGACCGGAACCAGGCCAAAACCTCTTCGCCAAAGCATCCAAAAAATTTGCTCCGATTTTACGTGCTCAGCCGTGTGTGTAACAACAAAAACCCCCACTCCAAATACATCTAGCGTCGACATCATCGCGCTTCAATCCTTGTTATTGGCTGTGGGAACGCGGTTGGATCATTTGGGGTCACTCGATATGAGGCATAAATGCACTAGGACAATTGCAGATATAAGGCTGCTGAAGAATTTCTTGGTAGGCAGCGGTGCAGTATCGAGCCGAGGCGATAACTGGAGCTTTCTCTTTACCCCACGGAGCTGGCAGAAAATGTTGGGAAGTTGGTGGTCGTCATGGTCTAGTAATGCCGCATGCGACAATAAAGTGATGTTCTCTCTATATAAGGCTGTCGAAGGATTGTTTTCTATGTAGGAAAGCTGTCGAAGGATTGACTTCTGTGCAGGAGCTGAGCCAAAATAAAAGCATCTAGATCTACTTCCTTCTAGCCAGGATGACAGCGTGGCCCCACGCAATATCCGCCCGCATCTCTCTCCAATCATCGCCCCATCCCTCGACCTCACGCATCTTCCTCATCATCTCATCGACGATATCTCCCTCGCCGCCGTCGGCAATACTCGTGGCCTCAGGATGCGTCTCCTTCCACGCATGGCACGCACTCCACGTCCTGATATAGTGCTCCACATCCCCCATCTTCATCGTCCTTTTCATCAACCCCTCGTGCTGCTTAACTAGCTTCCCAAAGCCCTCCACGCCATCATCCCCGAGCACAGGCCTCCTCGCGCCCTCCCCCGCGCCGTCCGCAGTGTCCACCTCAAAATCCGGCTCATGCTCCCAGCGCAGCACATCCTCCCAATCAGCCGCAGGCGGCCTAACCGCCCTGAGTCGATTCTCAACAATACTCCGTCCAGGCTGACCCCAGTGCGGTCCCAGGGTGTTCTCTCCGTACGAGTACGTCCTGAGGACCTGACTGGCGCGCGGAAACCTCGTGAAGAGGAAGTCCCTGTATCCCCAAGCGGCGAGGGTACCGCCCTTCCTCACGACCCGTCGCATCTCCGCCCACCACCGCGGCTGATTGAACCAGTGCGCTGCCTGCGCCGCTACTACCATGTCGACTTCGCCGTCGGCGAGAAATGGCAGATCCTCGGCGGCTGACGCGCGGTATTCCACGCCCACGTACTCGGTGGACGGCGTGAGCTTTCGTGCGGTGGATAGCATGACCTCGGATGGGTCCGTGCCGATCGTACGTGTGAAGTAGGCGGATAAGGGCCGTGTTACGGTGCCGGGGCCGCAGCCGAGGTCGAGGAGCGTGGTGCGCGCGCCCGTGTGGTACGGCAGGAGGAAGTTGGTGTAGAGACTGGTCGGATAGGTCGGCCGGAATGAAGCGTACCGGGCTGAGGAGAAGGTTGCTGCGGAGAAGGTAGCCATGGCCGGTGATATGATGGGCAGATAGGTGCGGTGATATTGGTTGTTGTTGGGAGCACAGTGTCGAGTTGTGTATAAGTACCTCCTATTTACCGGTAGGTATCTTCTCCGCAAAGCTTATATCCGAGAGATAGTGAAGCATTCTATCAGCAGGGGTAAAAGGGTAGGTCGGATAACATCTGCTGTCTGACGAAATCCTGCATGAAAGCCCGGTTAATGTATGTAGGATGACCCGTCGAGTGAGATTTGTGAAGGATTGCCACGTTTAACAGGCAGCTTAGCCAACCATTTGTGCAGACAAAAAAAAAGTACGTAGAGAAATGATTGATGTCCTGAAAGACCCCCCAGAATGAACCCCAATAAACTCCAGATATGGTATAAATACAGAATGAAGCATCGCCCCCAAGAGAATGGCGTTGAAACAGGCGGGCCTCCCTCGCTGGCTACTTCTCGGAATCAAGAACGGATGTCCAGAGCTGTTGGAAAAGTTAGCATGAATGGAGCAGAAGCCGTGAATCGACAGGGATACCCTTACATCCTTCTCATCGTCACCGAGCGAAGCTGTGCTCGGCGACCGGTGAAATGGGGTCAAAGGAGGTGTCTTGAGACTGCTGAAGAATCCCCCGCCGGTAGACTGTGGCGAGGTGACAGTTGCTGCCGTGCCTGGCCGCAAGAGGCCAGCCTTCTCTCGTTGTTCTGGAAATATGCATCAGCCTCTCCCCTTGGCACATGTGGAGGATGATAACCAACCATCGTTCCAAGTCAACACCGAAGCAATCAACTGCAGAACCTCGTACTTGGTCGCATCTCCTCGTTGTTTGCTCAGGAACTGGAGGAAGACATTGGTGACCAGCTGCTTGTCAATCTTGTCGTCCGCATTGTCACGCTTCAGCATGCGCAAAGCTTTTCGGAGGTGGTCGTTCAGAGTGACAGCTTCGTGTTTAAGCTTGCCGATGAGGAGAACTTTCTCCTTGACCTCTTTTTCGAACGGTAGCACGCGCTCGAGATCTTGTTTAGCATCCGCCAGATTGGATTCCGCTTCCTTCGCCGCTTTATCGAGGGTCTTGCACTTCTCGGTGAGAGCGTCGATCTGTGACTGGGTATTTTCGACAATTTCTCGTAGCTCCTTCTTACGAGCTGCACAGTTGTCAGTCACCCGCAAGTCTACAATCACGGCCATCAGGTGCACATACCATCTTGTATCTCTTGTAGAGCTCTCTGCAGCCCGTCCATCGAACTGCTTTGCTTTTCGTGTTCGGCAGCCATGCGATTGTATTGTTCTTTCCGAGAAGCCAAGCTATCTTCCAGCTCGACGACGCGATCACTCAAAGACTCTCGGACAGCCCGCTCCTCTGTGGCGATAACCTCCCAGTCCTGCATAGCTCGCCGTGCGACTTCGTATTCTTCCCTGGCGAAACGTTCGGCGTTGGTTAGATCCTCCCTCTCCTTATTCCAGTTCTGCTGGGCAAGGTTTATGCGGTTCCGCAGGGTGGAAAGTTCCTTTGCGGTGGCATCTCGCTCTTCGTGCAGCTTTGCGATTTGGTTGCTGAGCTCCTCTACGCTTTCGCTTAGTGATCGGTTCTGTTCCTCCAGCTCCTCGACCGTCTGTTTGGTCTGTGCTAGCTCTTCCTGGACGAAGTGAGCATCATGCAGACGGGGGGACGCAAGACACAAAACTTACAGCGTCTGCCTTCATCCTCTCGCCCAGAGTCGTTCTGATGGTCGACACTCTACCCAGCAAGCTTTTGTACTGCGCATCCACGTTCTCCTTCTGCTCCTGAATCTCCGCAATGCGGTCCTCAGCGTCGGCCGCGTCCCTGGCCCGCTGTTCCCGTTCGTATTCGAGCTCGCTCCGCAACCTCTGCAGTTCCGCATTTTCCGCGTCACTATTTTTCGATTTCCCAACCTCGACCAGTTCCTTCCTGAGCGCCTTGATCTCGGCATGCAACCCCTCAGCCCTGGTCACCTCCTCCGCCAGCTTCGCCACGGTAATCTTCATCGCATCTGCGCTCACCGAGGCGGCCTGCTCAAGCTCCTTCCTCAGCAACTCCGTCTCCTTCGCCAGCGTTTCCGCCCTCGCAGCGTCCTCGCGCAGCCTCGGGATCTCCGACACCTCCTTCCTTAGCGCCTGCAGCTCTTCCTCCAGTATTTCCGCCTTCTTTGCCGTCTCTGCCGCCTCCTCCGGCGATTTTGTTTTCGATTTCAACTCCTCCGAGAGCCGGTCGTACGACGCTTGCAATTCTGCGCTCGCCCGCTTCTGCTCCGCGAGCTCATTCCGTACCGACTCCAACTCTGCCGTCTTTCGCTCCAGCTCCTCCCTCACTCCCTCGCCGTCCTCACTCCCATCCCCACTCCCATTTCCGCCCCCAACACCGTCCTCCTTCTCGCTGTGCTGGTCGTGGTGGTCGTGGTCGTGGTGCGTGTGCTCGTCGCCATTGGCGCCCGCGACGGGAACTTTATTGCCATCACCATTCTGTCCGCGCGTCAGCTCCTCCTCCTGCCTCTCCCCCTCCCTCTCCTCCCCATCCTCCTCCTCTCCACTCGTTGAAGCGCAACATACCGTCTTCCCTCCAGCGCCATGTTTATTCTTGCTCTTGTTCCTGTTCCTGCCCTTCGAAGCTTTCGCTGCCGGCGTTGTCGCTGGCGTCGCGGGCGAGGGCGTAGCTAAGTGGTGGGGGAGGACAGATTAGCACAACCATAACCACGACTACAACCATAACTACAACTACAACCACCATCCACAACTCCACAACTGTGTACCACCCACTCACTCCCGGCCACTGAATAGAGTAGGAAGAATTGCGACTTACTCGTCTCCATTGCGATTGCGGATTCCGCACGTCCGGATGCGGGTGCGTGGTGTTAGGCGTCGGCGGGTGCGGCGGCGGCGGTTTCGTGGTAACTGACTACCAGTGAGCGGGTGAGCCGTCGTGGAAGTTGGTGTTCCTGGTCTGCGGTGGTGGTGGTGTCGGTGGTGTCGCTGCTGCTGGTGTTAATGATGGTGGTGGTGGTGGTGGTGGTGGTGGTGGTGGGAGGAGGTGCTCAGTGCGAGCGCTAGCAGGGTCCCCGACTCCCTGCCTGGCTGGTTGGGACTGGAAACTCTACTCTAGTTAGGAACTCTCCAGATGGCTGGATGGCTGGATGGCTGGATGGAAGTCTGGGCATGCGGCAGAGGACGGGAAGATAAGAATATAGTAGGTAACTGTTCCTTCCTTCACGACTTTACATAGATACGATGCTCATTCGATTTGGAAATGCGTGTATGGCTCAGGGTTCGGATGTATAGTACCACATAGGTTCCTATGTAGGAGAGATGTAGATACGCCACACGCTTCGGACATGGAACAACCCTTCGATTTCAGAGCACATACTCTCCACGAAGGAAAGGAAGGAACGGTATGTATTCAAAAAATTACGGAACTATATCTAAGCACTCTACTCCTCTAGCAACTGGCACGGTACCTTACGTATGTTGAAACACTCCACGGTATGTACGATATCTACCTCGTACGTACGTGGTGGGGGAGATGTACACGCGGCCACCCAGGAAGGAACGAACTGGGTGGTCTAAACCTCTCAACCCACCATGCGGTCTTCTTCGTCGTCGAAGACCGCAGGGGACGAGGAGGAGTCCGCGTACATGTGGAACTGCACAAAGATCTGGAGCAGCGTGAGCTTCGGTTCGGTTTGGTCGAGGCAAGGGAAGGAGGGAAGGAAAGATGGAGGGAAGGAAAGAAGGAGGGAGGGAAGGAGTCTTACGATAACGTCTTCGGCCATGGTTCCGAGACTGCCCATCAGCCAGGGGAGGTTGTCCATGACATACGTCCGCTCGGACGAGTGCAGAAGGATTCCGGCGCCGTATGTGAGGTTTCCCAGGAGCGACAGGAGGAAGAAGAGGAGCGAAAGACCTGTAGCCATCCATCCATCCGTTAGCATGGGATGTAGCTATGCGACCGAACGACCATATGACGACTGACCTTCGCAAGACTTCTTCTGGTAGTTACGTATGATCTGGGGGATGCGCGCGGTGAGGTACAGCACGGCACTGATATATCCCAAGATCTCAGCGCCCACGGGCATATTATCCTCGCCGCCAGCAGAATTCCCGCCGTCCTGGACCTTCCACGCGCCCGACCACCAGGCAAACCCCCATCCCAGGGCGCCCGCGGCGACCACGCCCAGGATCGAGAGGGCATTGCGGGCGACAGCGGGGTAGGAGTTCTCATCCTCGGTGAGGATAGCGGCCTCCAGCGAGCCGCGCCTGCTGCTGCTGCGACGGGACGCGACGGAGCTGCGCCGGCGGTCGCGCGCCGCGATCAAGGGCTGCGACGGGTCGTTGCTGAAGACGCTGCTGCGGCGCCGCGCGCCGCCTTTCTCCTCCGCTGCGATGCGGTTGTAGTAGATCGTCTGCCCCATGAGCAGCACATCGGCGAAGCAGAAGTAAACGGCGATTGCGATAACGGTCGGGAGGAGACCGCCCCATAGGGCACCTGCACGCGACAGAAAAAAACAACGGTGAGCAAATCACGGCCATAGATACAGTAAATACTACGAGTTTTGAAGGAAGGCTCTCGTCTGGGCGGCGATGTGTTGCACACACATGCTGGCGTGGATCCCTTCCGTCCGTGCGTGTTCCCGCACGCGGCGGCGGTGTGCGGCGGCGGTGGCCTCCGCCGCCACTGAATGCATCACGCACATAACACGACACGCCAACGTTTCCGTTCCCTCACGCGCGCGACGGATGCAGGAACACACATACCGATCAGATTCGTCAGGTCACCCACGAACCAAGCGGACAGGAAGACCATCGAGAGGGCATCTGCACGGCCGTTCTTGTAGTTCTCGATGAGTTGCGGTAGCTACGAGCAACGCACGAACGAGGATGTCAGTTTGCCGATTGTTATTATTATTATTTCGTTTGATTGCCCGGGGGAGGATTTCGCACGCGACGACTGGATGGGATGGAGTGGAATGTAGAGTGGAAAGTAGAGCAGACGAAACGATGGCGAAGATTTCGGGCTTCGATGTGAAGTACGTACGAGCAGGACAATCCAGGACACGAGAGAGATGGAGCCCGCGATGCCGGATAGAGCTTCGCGGAGACTCACGTCCACAGCGGCACTGCTGTTGTGGCTGATCATGAAGGAGGAAACAAGGGAGTAGGTCGCCATGGCCAGGAACGGGACACAACGGTCTCTGGACGTCGACGGATGGGGAGTTTGAAGTCTGGTACCGCTCGAAACAGAAATCTCTGTTGGGGGACCAAAGATGACCTTTTTTGCTTTCTTTTTTTTGGCATTTTTTTCGCAGGCGGGCTGGGGGGTGGGATGGGCTGGGGGCGGCCGTTACGGATCTCGCCGCTGCGCATGACGGTAACTATCGCTGTAGGCCCTGCTTTGTGCGGTCTCTACAAGAGCAAGATAGAGCATCGTAAGCGGACGACAATGAATTGCTGCATCCTGATTCTCTGGTTTATCAATTTGTATCGGATCTGCAGTTCTTTCAATCATGGGGTCTGGTGACAGCTTAAGGGCAGCACCAAGAAACTTGGCAGTAACAGTGGTCGATATGCACTCGGTATGTATGGGACTGCGGTTGCCGACGGACGATACGCGTAGAGTGCGGTTATGATTGTCCGAGGTGTGCTTCCAATTCCACGGTTTCCGCAGTGCTTGACGGGTTCGTATGGTTGCGGACAGACTACCGGTACATATGCCTCTGCAGAAGGGCAAGGCTTGACGGCGGAGGGCGGAAAGCGGAAGGCTGAAGGCTGAAGCTTGAGGCTTGAAGTCGTCATCGTCGACATGAAATCGGCGCTGGTCCTTGCGAGGCGTTTCGCTTAGCGTCGTCGATGGACACAGGATCACCGCCACCGCTTCAGGGACCTCTTCTTGGTATCCTCACGGCCCACCACCGCCGGCTGTTTCGGAAGGTGACATCTCTCTCTGCTCGGAGTCTGTGTTTTCCGCGCCTTCCGGCCACTCTACTCTACTAGCACCTAGGCTCCGTGACGAATCAGAATCGCACGTATCTAACACCAAAATGACAAGCCGTCCAGGAAAGCTGGGGTCGGAGTTTCGACTGGCTCAGGGAAGGAAGTAAGGAGGCAAGGAGGGGGTGAGGACTCAGGGAGCAACGCACAGCGCACGCTTGTTTGGTCCCTGCAACGCTCGAGTTCATTTTGTTCTGCTTGCTGCGAGGGATCGCAGATATACCTGGGCAAGCAGGTAGATACGGGTACTTTCTTCCAGTTATAGTGGTAGAAGGCGAGGGAAGGAGCTGCTCTTCTATTACCTGCTCTACTCCGTTCCGTTCTTGCTGTGTGCTACGCCATCACTTCCACCACCAACCACTCCCCAACTCATACTCACCACCACCACAACCACAACTACCACAACCACATCCATTCACCTCACCTTCGCTTGCCGCCGCTTGTAGCCAACCACGATCGACCATCAAAAACAGCATCTGTCGCCAGCCCCTCTCTGGCCAATCCGAGCCTTCCGAACAGCGCCACTTCAACTGCGAGTCGCGCATCCGCATATCATCCATCCCCTTCGTTCGATTCACCTCGACCCCGTCGCCGTCGCCGTCGCTCGTTTGAGGCTTCCGTATTTTATTGCGTAAAACCTGCGCTCGTTGTTCTCTCGCTCCTTCAGAAAAACAATATTCGCTACCGTCAATAAAGGACTTCCGACTCGGCAATTCGACATCCGCGCGGGAAAGAAAAAAAAAGAAAAAGCAAAGGGCGCATCACAGCTCGTCGCTCGCTCTTTCAACCGGTTCACACTTTCGATAAGCATCGGCCTTCAACATGAGGATAACACGCTCATTCCTTGTTGCGTCGCTGCTGCTCTGCATGTCCGTGACCTATGTGGCAGCTTTGGAGGACGACATGGAAAACCACGAAATCGTCGTCGAGAGGCGACAGGACAGTAACGCCACATCCAACTCCACGCCGACAACGGTCCCCTCGGTCACCCTTCTTCCTTCGACTTCGTCGGATCCGACGACAGCCGACCCGGAAACCACCCCTACTACTACGGCCCCGACGACGACGACGCAGCCCCCGGAGACGACCGAGAACACTACTCCGACGGACGGTGGCACCGACAATACAACCGCCCAACCATCCACTCCGGACAACCCGCCAGAAACCACCGCCACTACTAGCACCCGCCCCACTGTTGTCGCCACACCGAGTCCCACCACAAGGGTTCGCACTACCGTCATCGTCACTCGCGTCGGAAATGCAGATGTCACGTCCACGGTCACCACCACGGCCGTCGATATGGTCACTCCCACCGTGGATCCGGCAGCGTCAGCATCCGGTTCCGGCACCGCTACGCCCGGGACTGCCGGGGGCAGCGATAGCGGTGGGTCCAGCGGTCTCAGTACCACCCAGAAGAATGTTGTTATCGGAGTGGTTGTCGGTATTGGAGGTGCTGTTTTGTTGGGCGGGTTGGCGTTCGTCTTCTGGCGGTTGAGGAAGCGAAACACCAACCCCGTCGATGAAGATGACTTGATGCGGAGAAACGGGTCGCCTTTGGCGGGGTCGTCAGGACGGGAGATGCATAGCACTAGCCCAGAGGCGTCACCCTTCCAGGCTACCCTCGATCAATACCACAAGCCACCCGGACAAGTCAACACCGCGGCAAACTTCTAGTTCGGGGTCGGATGCCATTCTTTATTTGTGACCGGGTGTTGGTTTTCGGGCATTTTCATTCCATCACCTTCTTGCTTTTTTCTTTCTTTCTTTCGATGATGGCTACAACCCATTCTGTATTTTGTCCCTCTTATTTACCTTATTGATACCCATTGTCGGCTTCAACGTCGACCTTCTGTACGTGCTGTTTCCAGACAGTTGTCTGATTCCGCTATAATCGAGTGATCTACCATATGTCATCTTTCATCTTTTAGCCTCAACTTCATTCCCAATTTCTCTTTCCACTTTGGCTTCCTTTTCCTTTTTCGGGGAGCGTACATTTTTATAGGGTGGCTTTGGAGCGTCAACGACAACGAGAACCAAGGTGGCACTTACTGCCTAATGATTGTGTGGCCGCAAATGTATCTCAGAATACTACATCTTATGTATTGGTGATCTTTTTGCATCAAGTGCTTACTTGCGTGCGCGAAGGATAGATGGTGAGCATTGAATGTAGATAACGGCTGTGATGGTGGTGGTAGTAGCAGGAATGATGCTGTTGATATTCGATTGTTTGAAAGGGGCACATACAGAACAAAGCGTTCCTGCGATTGGGTTAGTTACTGCCAACCAACGACCTCAGCTAAGCGGACCACGTTTATGCCCCTCCCCCATCCTCCCACTCCGAGTGAAGCCCTCACTCGGTTTGTGCTTTCGTGATGCTGCGAAAAATCGGTGACCAATTCGTATACGAGCTACAGAAACCCATTTACCGCGGTTGGCTGCAAAATATTCGCATGCACCCAATAGTCTGTTCGCTATTTTACGCAGGATTGCATCAGACAGAACGGGCGGATTCAATTCTGCCTGTCGTTTGGCGTTTCCCGATGCCCTGAACCCTGAAAACGGCTTGCTAGACTTTGCGGCTGGTGCGATCCGATTCCTCCCTGCCTCTCGGCCTTCTTCGGTCTTTCACCACCACTAGATCCATCTTCACCGCTTCCTCCCAGCCCACTATTCCCCCGCCCCGCAACACAGCTCAGCATCTCCTTCTCCACAATCTCAAAATCATCCGCAATGGCTCCCCCAGCTTTCTCTGACATCGCGAAGTCGTCCAATGATGTACGTCGTTTACGAAATCCACCTCACCTGCTGCTTTTGCTGTGTGTGAGAGTGCGTATGTGTGCTACGACAGTATGCTGATTTTTTTCCCACGCGAAAAAAGCTCTTGACGAGGGACTTCTACCACACCGCCTCGGGTTCGTTACAAGTCCTATCCTACAGACTCAAATGTGGAGGTTTGAATTTAAAGTTAACCAACGCCGCAGCCAACCTCGAGGTTAAGTCGAAGGCTCCCAACGGTGTTGCTTTCACCGTCAAGGGAAAGAGCGACCACAAGTCTGGTGCCATTGCTGGCCAGGTACCGTATTCCAAAAATTACCCCCTTCCTCCCCACGCGAACGTAGGCAGGTTCCTGACGACCAGCGTGTAAGCATAGATCGAGGCCAAGTACACCGACAAGCCTACTGGTAGCTTCCCCCATCATCATCATCGTTCTATTCCGATGTACAAGACAAAGCGCGGTGTCTGACATTCTTGTAGGCTTGACCCTGACCCAGGCGTGGACCACCTTGAACGCTCTCGACACCAAGATCGAGCTTGACAACACCATCGCCAACGGCCTCAAGGCTGAGGTTCTCACTCAGTTCCTCCCTGCCACCAAGGGTAAGGGCGCCAAGCTCAACCTCCACTTCCGCCAGCCCCTCTTCCACGCACGCGCCTTCTTCGACCTGCTGAGGGGCCCCTCCTTCAACGGTGATGCCGTTGTCGGACACGATGGCTTCCTTGCCGGTGCCGAGGTTGGCTACGACGTCGAAGGAGGAAAGATCACTAAGTACTCCGCTGCCGTCGGTTACAGCGTCCCCGAGTACACCGCTGCGATCACCGCTACCAACAGCCTGAACATCTTTGCTGCCTCTTACTACCACCGTGTCAACGCTCAGGTTGAGGCTGGTGCTAAGGCCACCTGGGACGCCAAGAGCGGTTCCACCAGCGGTGTCGGTCTCGAGATCGCCAGCAAGTACAAGCTCGACCCCAACGCTTTCGTCAAGGCCAAGATCAACAACCAGGGTATCGCCGCTCTGGCTTACAGCCAGCTCCTCCGTCCCGGTGTCACTCTCGGTCTCGGTGCCTCCATTGACACTCAGCGATTGGCCGAGCCTGCCCACAAGGTGAGTTACTGTAGTTCCCGCAGGGTTACGGATGGAGACTAACGAGCTATATATCAGGTCGGTCTTAACTTTGTCTTCGAGTCGTAAATGTTTATAAAGCGGGAAGATGATATCTTACGATTTCTGTACGTTACTTTGGAACCCATATGGTTTCATCAGGGAGAATGAATAGGAAGTAGAGAAGGGCGGGCTATTTTTTTCTTTTTCAATGGAGGTGCTGTAGGGTAGAAGTAAATCCATATTACGCCATACGTGCACCGAAAACGAAAACGAATCGAGTGACTGCGCCTACCAAGGCCGGTCGATTTTCGGGATTCAGCCAGACGGACAGAGAAGTACATAAACAAAACGCACCCGTCCAACGTCATCGGACAATGATGGTAGATGCCAAGGCACTCGTGTCCTGACGTAATATGTATGTGCGCCACAAGCATAGTATGTATTGTACATAGAGTGCCTCTACCTCTATCATCGCTATCACGCCTCCTCTAACCTACACGCCTACACACTCCTCAACCGCCCAGCAAAGCAACATTCCGGGATGACATGCTCTCACGCCCGCAATTCACCTTAGGCCTCAGCCTCGGCCGCTCCCTCTTCCTCCTCCCCCGCCACCAGCAATTCCACACATCGCACCCCACCGCCGCCGTCGCCGCCGACCCACCATCCCACTACGAAACCCTCCAGCTCCACGAGACCGCCACGCGCGCAGATATCAAAAAGTCCGTATCCCACCCCTCCCGCCCCTCCCCCTCCCCCACCCCCCCATCTTTCCCATCCAGTAGCGGTACTAACCCCACCCAGACGTTTCTACGAACTCTCGAAATCGCACCACCCAGACCGACTGCACCTCCGCGGTGGCGGCAGCAGTGGTGACAAGAAGAAATTCCTCGAGATCTCGGGGGCATACCAAGTTTTGCGCGACCCATTGCAGCGGCAGCGCTACGACCGCGAGCTCCTGCGCGCACGCGGACATCGGCCCACGGTCGGAGGTGCGAGACCAGCGACAGGGCTCTCCCGTCGCGGACCCGCGCCGAGGGGGCCGGTGCAGAGTTATTACCGTAATGCGGTGGCGGGCGCGGGGCCAGGGGCGTTTAGGGGGTCGGCGGTGAGGAAGGAGGGGGGAGGGGTTGGTGGGGTGGGAGGCGGCATGGGGGGCGGCATGGGCGTTAACGGCGGGGAGGGAGAGGTTAGGGGCTTTGATGTCAAGGAGAAGCAGAGGATGCATGAGGCGCATGAGGAGCGGAGGAATCGAAGGAGGCAGACGGGTGGTGATGGGTATGATCCTGGCGTTATTGTGCCCATCGTTGCTGTTACGGGGATTTTGGCATTTACGGTTTGGAGTGGGACGAAGGCTTTTCACGGCGGCGGGAGGGAGGAGAGGAAGTGAGTGAGTGTGTTGTACGATATATGATAAGATGGTCTATACCTAGAGGTGTATATGGGAAATGTGTGTTTAGAAGTTGAGTTTTACAAGGTCGACTGCAAGTATCTATGCTATCCGCCCCAATGCCGTATTTGCGGGGTGAGCTAACTGATACTATACAAACACTTCTCCCCATCACCAGTATGATTGCTATCTACCAAAGCCATACTTCCGTGGAGAGAGATTGTCTGGAATAAAGAACGATGAGTTCGATAGACTGTCGTACCATAATCATGAATAAATTAGCTGCACAAATGCTTATACTGACCAACCGACTGGTTCTCGCAATGTAAAGAACCCATGACGTCGGCGCAGCACTGCAGCAGCAGCAGCCACACTTTGCGCTAGTTAGTTAACCATCGTACCGCGCGGCGCGCATAGCAACGGTAGGTGGTGGGTCGGTGCAAATAGAATCCATGTGAGTCGGTAGGACTCAGTGCGGAGCCACAACACCTCAATTTTTGCCCCACCTCAACTCCAACCACGAGCGAGCGGACAACTCATTACTAGCCACGATCGATTCCCCACAACACTACACGAAACTACACGACACTATACTACGCTCGCAATGGCGGAAAAGGTCGACGATGTTGCTGCGCAGATGGAGGAGGTGAAGTGTATGTGTGACACCTACAATGGGAATACACGTGAGAGGGGTGGGGTGTGGAGTACGACAGCTAACACCCGCTCGCTGCGGGCTGGATGTAGTGCAGAACGGTGGCACCGATGCACAGAAACACGAGAACGCTGCTGCTGCTGCGGAGGACGAGTCCGCTGACGAGGAGGACAGCGCTGCCGCTGGCGATGCTAGTAAGCGATCCCCCCGCGCTCAAATTGTGGACGGTACGGTACTGATGATCCACCCCCTGCAGCGGCCAAAAAGAAGAAGAAGAAGAAGAAGCCCAAGAAGAAGAAGGCGTCTGGCTCAGCGAGCGTGCAGAGCGACCCACCGCGGGTTCCGGTCGACCAGCTGTTCCCGCAGGGCGTGTACCCGATCGGCGAGGAATGCGAGTACGCCGGCGACAACCTGAAGCGGACGACGGACGAGGAGAAGCGCCACCTGGACCGCATGAACAACGACTTCCTGGCCGAGTACCGCAAGGGCGCCGAGATCCACCGCCAGGTGCGCAAGTGGGCAAAGAAGGAGATCAAGCCCGGAATGACCCTGACGCAGATCGCAGAGGGCATCGAGGATTCTGTTAGAGCGCTCACCGGTCATGATGGCCTCACCGAGGGCGACTCGCTCCTCGGTGGAATGGGCTTCCCCTGTGGCCTCAGTCTGAATAACTGTGCCGCGCATTATACTCCTAATGCGGGAAACAAGATGGGTACGTTGTGGTTGCACCTGTCCATTCTGGCCGACAACTGACCGATGGAACTGCAGTCCTGAATTACGAGGATGTCATGAAGGTTGACTTCGGCGTGCACGTCAACGGCCGCATCCTCGACAGTGCCTTCACCGTCTCGTTCGACCCCGTGTACGACCCATTACTAGCGGCCGTCAAGGATGCGACCAACACTGGAGTCAAAGCGGCCGGCATCGACGTGCGGATGTGCGACATCGGCGAGCAGATCCAGGAGGTGATGGAGAGCTACGAGGTCGAGATTGCCGGGCAGATGTACCCGGTCAAGTCGATCCGCAACCTCAACGGCCACGACATCCACCAGTTCCAGATCCACGGCGGCAAGAGCGTGCCCATCGTCAAGAGCACCGATACCACCAAGATGGAGGAGGGCGAGACCTTCGCTATCGAGACCTTCGGCAGCACAGGAAAGGGCTATGTCCACGACGATGGCGAGGTCTCGCACTACGCCAAGAACATGGATGCGCCGAATGTGGCGTTGAGGCTGTCCTCGGCGAAGAATCTCCTCAAGGTCATCAACAAGAACTTTGGCACCCTGCCGTTCTGTAGGCGGTATCTCGACCGCATAGGACAGGATAAATATCTTCTCGGAGTGAGCTTGCCCTCCACTGGTCGCATCCAACTCCTGCTAACCTGTGATGCTGCAGTTAAACAACCTCGTCCAGAGCGGAATCGTCGAGGCATACCCCCCACTGGTCGATATCAAGGGATCCTACACTGCACAGTACGAACACGTACGTCGTCCCCACTCCCGTCCCTATCCCTATCCCCCTCATCTTATTTCTGTTCTGACATGTGGTTACATATAGACCATCATCCTCCGTCCCACATGCAAGGAAGTTGTCAGCCGAGGTGACGACTATTAGGTGGGTGGATGGACTGGTTGGACTGGTTGGATGGATGGACTGGTACATACTACCTACATAAAAAAGCGATCGTTTATTCTCCTTTGTTTTTGAGTGGATGGCTGGCTGGATGGCTGGAGTACGAATCTGAAAAATTTGCGGTGCACAATGGATGGATGGATGGGCTTGGCTGGATGGGCTTGGCTGGGCGGAGGTTGGGCTGAGGTTGGGCTGAGGTTGGGCTGAGGTTGGGCTGAGGTTGGGGAATGCGCAGGGCTGTAATTATGCTTACTTACCTACGTATTTACTGCCTACTTGTTGCTTAGTACTTGTTACACGTGCGGTTTATCGTCTCGTGAGGGGAGATATTGGAGGATGGGTGCAGTGGGTCACTCAGTGATCCATAGTCCGCGAGGGAGGCGGTGAGGTGTATACGGGTGATGTATGTAGGTGAACCGTCCCTGGAGTCGGAATACTGTGATTTGTATATCAGAATATATGCCATCTCTACTCCTCTGTGTCATACGTTCCAGCTTTCCACCTCCTAGCTCTACATATACCATCACCCACATTCATCCATCTAATGGCTGTCAACCCCAATCAATACATTCACGAAGAGTGCCAGCAGCCACACTCCTTTCACCTGGTTGACGCGCTCCTTTCCCGGGGTCTCGTCTGCGGTGGACGCACCCAACGCAGGGCACAGGGCTGAAAGTGACAAGTCTGCGCATTGGCGGTGCGCACTTACCTGGGTGGAACACGCACGATCGAAGCGGAGAACTCGCCGCCCTGTCCATTGCTACGACGACGACGACGACGACTTGGGTGGACATGAGAAAAATGATACGCGCCGAGTGATATTTGTGATGCAGCATATATTTCGTAGCCATCTAGACCTCTCGAGTACATGGAGAAACAACCTTCACCCCTAGGTAACCGGGCAGTAGCCATTACGTTATATGTCTAAGTACCTATAGGGGGGCAATGCTTTTCCTTCCCTCCTGCTAATAGAGCACAAGCTTCACTGCTACATAGCAGCACTCGACCGTCGCTCTAAAGTTCGGACTCAGGAACCACTAATTTCAATTCACCTTTCGGATCGATTTTTCGGCGGCCGAGTTTCATCTTTGTTCTATGCTGGTGGAGCTGTCGAGTGTCCAGTGAGTGAATCGGGGCAATGGAAGGGTTGCCACTTTGGATCATATATTATCACTCCTCTACGGCTGGAGTACGGTACCTATGAAACCGGAAATCTGGAGACTGGAGACTGGAGACTGGAGACTGGAGACCCGGGGCCGAAGATCCAAGGCTCGGAGAACCCCAGGACAATCCGTCGTCTTTGTCCAAGCAGGCCCTGAACTGGCAATTCCATCGGTCCGGAACCGGCCACCTACTCCTGGTACTGTTACCCGGAGTTATGGCGGCCTTGCATACAAACCGTCGATGTTGCCTGCCGACGACTTCCACATGCAAGGATTTGACCGCCCCTAACTAAGTGACGACTCATGATGCGCCCCATGGTTACCAGTACATCTCGTCATCCGCCAAGCCAGGTATTCGGTCCGCACTTCGATTCTCCTTCTAGAAAAAGTCGATCGGTGCGCAAAACCCACATTCCGAGTTTCAGAGTACTGTACTCCGTTTGGGGGCTGAAAAACTCTTCTCTCTTGTTTTCTATCTTTTTTCCCTGGCTGACGCGTTCTGCAGTAGATGTTCAGAACGCCACGGCGGATAAGCATGCAGGTTGGTGATGACCGTGCGGTTTGGGAAAGTCTCAGGCACCAGGAGCGGGGTGGCAACGAATGGACGGACCCACTCTGCCGCCCGCCTCTCCCCGCTTTACTGCATATCAGACGGCGGCGGGAAGGTTAGGATAGTTATCTACCGCTTGCCGCCCGTGGTGCCCGAGAAGACCGTGGAATACAGTACCAGGTATACTACAGAGTACGGTAGCTACCGAGCTTTGCTCACCAACCTTGCTTTGGAGATTGGATAGGGTTTTCGGGAACCACAATCTCAATCCTCCACGCCGATTTGCTGTTCTTCCCCACAAATGGACCGCGTGGAGATTTGACGGCACGGGATAGTCCCCCAGTTAGCTAGAAATCCTCACTTTCGGGTGTGTGCGAGCGTTGCGAACTTGCGAGGATTTTCTTCAGCCGAATTCCGCTGGAACAAGGGATGGAATCCCACCATGTGCTAAATAGTAAGTTACGTCTGTCCCCTGTCGATCTCACTCTGGAAGCAAAAACACCCGTTCGTTACACAACTCTCCTCCTTCCAGCAGCAAGGGAATGCAGCCTGTTCGTGTTAGTTACATAGGGGGTTCGACTGGAAATCACTGCCGCTTGTTAGCGGATTACTAAATAACCGAGCTGCCATCCTCGACACCAGAGCTCAGAGACATGGGCTCCCCATCCTCCTGCTCTTATGGTACTATAACTGCCTATTTCCCCCGCCGTCCCGGATCAGTTCAGCGTCCAACGGTCAGCGGTCAGCGGTCATTGTTCAGCGTTTAGCCGGATTCCTTTCCTTATCATAGCATTTTCTTCCAGTCCTTTTCAATACACACACACCTTTGTTTCGTCTCGCGAATTCCAGACGCCACATATAGAAGGACAAACAGGGCCTTGCTTTCTTTCCCGGGGTTGACATTTCTTTACCGCTTCTCATTGTTTGAAACGTCCTCCTCCTCGTTCTCCTCCTTCCGCTTCTCTTTCCTTCTTTCCTTCCTTCTTAGAGTAAACTTCCCATTGTCCCTCCCGAATCCTCTAGTCGACCATAGAGTATGTGGTTCTCGACATCTACAGGCTTCACGGCAGCCATTGCCGTGTCGGCGCTACTACCCGTCACGGTGTTATCGCAGAGCGATCCGTGTGCGGAGTTCGCGGAAACCAGGGGCAACAGTAAGTGGCATATAGCTCTTCCCTTCGTCTATCGATCGTGTGCTGCATGAATAGATTGTACCGCAGGGGAGGGGGGGAGGGGAGGCAGTTGTAGATATTGCGGGGCTGTCACTATAACGGGGTTGGGCTAATATATCTGCTGTGCTTGTTGTAGGAGTTACTGGTCTTGATGCGAACCTGTTTCGTCGGTGTATCCAAAGCGTGCCCTTCGATGAAGACAAGGCGACACGGACGTTGCATTATCTTCGCATGTTCCTTGGGTTGGATACTTATGCACCTTACCTGGTCGATCCGCCTGTCTCGGAGCTTGGTACGATATATTCCCCCATGAGGGTTATGCATGTGGTAGGAGGAATTGTCTGACATTTGGGCCCTAGAACTGGAACCTTTCAACCTCAATGAGACTCTGAGCGAGATCGAATCCAACATCAAGAGCGGCTCGTACGAGAATAATTGGTCGTTCGACTACGATGTCGTTCGGATGTTTCAGATGTTCCGAGACGGCCATACAGACTACGAGACGGTGTGTTCTCACGGCTTCATATACGTCCACGAGTTTCCCATCGCCTCGATTGCTTCCGGCGACGGTACCCCAGAGATCTACCATGTCATCAAGAACTTCGCCGCAGCGCAGTGGGAGGAGCCGCGGCTGGGGGCTAAGATCAAGAAGATCAACGGAAAGGAGCCACAGGAATACTTGACGGATTTCATAAGGAATTCACCCGAATCTCTGGATTGGGTGGATCCCGATGCTAGGTACAATGAGATGATGTACGGCTTCCCCGAAGGGACCTTCAGGGGTCGGTTCGCCAGACGCAACATGTGGAATGGGGAGGACCTGACAATCACCTGGGAGAATGGCACCGACACGAAAGTCGAGTTTACGTTGCAGCTGACCACGAGTATGTACAAGGACGGGGAATTGCTGTTCAACGATACTCAGAGTCTTATCGACCTATGCTTCCTCAGCGAGACGGAAATCGGCAATTCGGGCTCAGCGGCAGTTGACGATGAACAGGCGGATGATCTGGACCTGGTTGTTCGGCAGACGGACGACGAGAAGTACCGTCCGGATGGGTATCCGACACCGTTGAATCATTCCAGTGAGTATGCTATGGCGACTTTTTCGGTGCCCGACGACAAAGAGGCGGTCGTTCTCGCAATCCGTACTTTTGATCAGGAGGATTTATCGGCCGATGACTTTGTCCACGCGATGTCGGAATTCCTCAAGGATCAGGTCGCGTCCTGGAAGAAGTCTGGCTACAAACGTCTCATCATCGATGTGTCCAACAACAGCGGTGGCAAGGCGATCCTTCCATACGATTTCCTCAAACAGCTCTTCCCCTCCAAGGAGGACTTTCCGCCGGTGAACATGCACTACTCCCCCGTGACATGGGCGTACATGCACGCCATCAACGGTGGAAAGGAGTACGAGATGTACAAAGACACCGGGATGAAAGACTTTGCCGACATGGCGGACTTCCTCGGACCGGTGCGGAAAGACAACGAATACTACAGCAAGACCTGGAAGCAGGACTACGAGCAGTTTGGCGAGGTCAACTACAACCTCGAAGTCGCGGCCGCCTCCAACGAGCAGCCATTTAGCGCCGAGAACATCGCCATAATCTCCAACTCGCACTGCGCATCCGCGTGCCACTCGATCGTCGAGTCTCTCCGCAACCAGGGCGTCCGCGCCTTCGCATACGGCGGCCGCGCAAATGCGTCGACACCGATGCAACCAGTCGGCGGCACCAAAGGCGGCAAAGTCCTGCGCTACGACAACGTCCGCGGCTTCCTCGAGCGCGCACAAGACGACGACACGGTCCTCGAAGCCGCCGGTGACCAGAGCACATGGCTCCTCCAGACGCTGCCGGTGCGCATCAAGAACGTCAATGTCAACTCGGAGAACAAGTTCCGCGAGGGCAACCGCCTTCCGCTGCAATTCGTCTACACCCCGGCGTGCAACCGGTTTTTTGTTGATAAAACCATGTTTGGCGATATATCCGCCGTGTGGAAGAAAACCCGCGAGGTTGCCTGGGGCTCCGATGGCAAGGCGGTGGATTGTGTCGATTATGACCCCATCGAGCCCGAGGATACGTTCTTGGAGAATGACGAGTCCGCCAGCACCGGAAAGGATAGCGAGAAGGAGAGCGCTGGTCAGGTTTCTTGGAAGATACCCGGTTGCGGGTGGCTCGTGGCGCCGGGGCTGCTGGCTTGCGCACTTTTATACATCTAAACCCTGGATCATGTCGAAGATTGCGGGCGGAGGGGATGTGGTGGGGCGATTGTCGATTGAGTAATCACTCAGCTCACAATAAACGGGAGACGCGGAGAGCGACAGCGAGAAGGGGACGAGGTGTGCCCGGTGGGTAGACGGGCGAGCCGCGACGGCCAGAAAATACTGGCGAGTGGGCGGGTGAGCAGTGTTCCGGAGGTTGCATCTGAGGATGACTTCATCACTTTCATTTTCTGGGGGTTTTTTATCATTCATTCATTCGTTTCATTTATTCATTCACTCATTCGTTCGTTCCGGAGGCATCACTTTGGACTGGATATCATTCTTTGGCGTTCTTTACTTTGCTTTACTTGGGATTGGGATTGGGATTGGGTTTGTTGCGTTATAGGTACCTAATGTACTCATTGTGTGGGAGGGATTGGGATTGTGGTTTATGGGGTGGGAAAGGAAGGAAGGAAGGAAGGAAGGAAGGAAGGAAGGAAGGAAGGAAGGGAAGAATTACCACCTAGACTAAGATGTATCTGTCGATGAATATAGAGTGGAGTATGTAGACTAGTATAATAGGGAGACTGGCTACATTTGTAATATATATTATGCGGATAAAAGGACAGACTGCTTTGTGAACATCTTGGTAGCTGTTATGTACAAGTATGGAGAATATTTGACTGAAGATAAGACTGGAATTGCATAGCCTCATACCTACTCCTTCCATGATTTGGCAGCTCGACTCGGACCACAAATCTGTCAGATAATACTAGTAGATTCCCTTTGCGCTTTCCTGGCTGCATTTGGAAATAGAAGCTCAAAGTTATTCTCGCTGATACCAGGAACAATAGCAAGGGGACCGAGGAGAGCTCTCGTCCCTTGTATGCATACTGTCTACGTACAAAAAGCACCCCAAGACCAGTTCTGTTCTGCCGGAAAGGAACAATAGACAGGAGGCCACTGGCCAGCAGTGCCCGGGAAATATCCAGTCAAGATATACACACCTACATACTCAGACCAAGAAGCTCAGGACGTTGAACTAGGAACCATACTCCCCTCCTCCCCTTCTCTCCCCACCCTTACGAGATATGGGCTGTCTGGTTTAGCCTCCCCATCTGCGTCTGCCCGGCTGCCTCTGGGAGCAGAACACCTATATATGTACAATACACCACCCGATGCATCAAGCCCATCTTTCCTTCCTTCTTTTTTCTTTCTTACTTTCTTACTTTCTTACTTACTTCCCTCGGCCCCACGTATCAAAAACTGGGAGCCAATAAAAAAAAAAAGTTTATATAAAAAAAAGAAAAGCAACTACAACCACACCAAGGTGTAATCATGAAATCTTGAGCGTCTGGGACAGCAGTTATGGAGTCCAGGAGTGCAGTTACAAACTGCAAGGAAAAGCGGCTGTGACCGGCCGGCCCAGCGCTGCGATGAGGGCGAGGCGAGCGTCGAGTAGTAGGATGCACGCGTAGAGGCCGCCAGCTTGGATTGTGCTCCAGTGGAATAGAACCCGAAAACGACGGGGTGCTAATGCCGCAGTACGCGAAAACACCCCGAGGCGGACTTTGTCCGCTGGATGTGCCTTCGCAGTCGCAAGTGGCAAGTGCCAACTCGATAGACCCGCAGGCCGTCCATGACGATGGAGGTGGAGGCGCTTCCGGGTTTCCAGAAATCTTCTTCGGTGGTTTGCGGAGGAAGTCTGTTGTGAGACTCTTCGTCTTCCCCTTGGGACTAGTCTGGCCTCGTTGATGTTCCAGTCTCTGTTGTTGTCCTGGACGATCTGATCGTCCCGCTTGACAACACATTACCATCACCAGGGTGGAGTATTGTCGACATCCGTAAAACCAGAGTTGTCTGGCTTGCGGAGGTGGATGTGCCTTGACAGGAGGAAAAATGTCAGTAAACTGCTTGTGTAAGAGGGAAGCGCGCTGGATATACCTTCGACTTGATCACCACATAAATGTGCCGCTCTCAACCGGCCCCCAGATAAGTTCTGGAAGGCCCTTTTCAATGGAGATGGAGGATGATGAGTGGGGCAATGTGAGGAGGAGGAAGAGGGGTGGGTGGATGGATAATGGTGTATGGTGGAGAGTTGGTTGTGATAGAGGAGGGATGATGGAGGAGGGATGATGGAGGAGGAGGGATGTCGGAGAAGGCTGGATGTTGCAGAAGTTGCATCGAAAAGGTGTGTTAGGATTACCCCGAAAGGCTTGCGGAGGGAGTGGGACGAAGGGTAGGTGGGGCTGCGGCTCTCTTTGTGGGGTTTGTGCGGGAAACAACGTCACAGCCTCGCAGGAGGGCACGATGCCCCAACCCCATTCTGTGAACACTGCAGCCCACGGCTTAGGGTACCTACCCCGGGTTTAGGGCAACGTTGCAGATGCATTGAAAGACATGCATAAGATTCCCGCACAGGACCTCGCAAAGTCCCTGGACCCGAGACCAACTCCCGGCTGGAGTGAACCTCCCGGCGCCGTCTCGTTTGGTCTTCTCCCGCACCACTATCCAAGAACATATCTTTGGACAAAGGAACCGGAGAAGTGGATGTTTTGACCTTCCAGAATCAGCTGCGTACAGATACCGCTTGTCAGGGAACATACTCAGTAGTGTCACATCCATCTGACCAACCACCGGATCGGTACATACATTAGGTACTTGCGTCCACAAAGACCTGATCCGACAGGTGAGTGAGCCAAATCCCCCGACATCTACAGACTACATAGCAGATCCTTCTACCTTGAGAAATTGGTGACAAACCGGAGGCGGAACTCCAACACATGTTCACCAGCGGATGCCTACTCCTTACCTATCATCCGCTCCTTGGCCCTGGCCTTCTCGAGCTCCCTCCCCCTCTCCTCCTTCCCTTCCTATCCTCCATCTGTAGCAGCTTTCGAGGTCGACATCGGCCGCACTGTCCAATGTTCTTGGTTGCCCACTCTAAAGATATCACAGACGTCACTCGATCCGACCAATCCAGCGAGTGATCCATCATGTGTAAGTACACCATACGTATTCTCATCTCCCAACGCCCCAATCATCCACAATCCACCCATTTCATCCACGCTATTCACATCCATCCCCATCATCCTTCATTCTCGCCACTTTAGGTACCTAGCAGGAAAAAAAAGGTACAGTTACAAGTCAAGTCGGAAAGCAACAATACGTTGCTGCACGAGGCGGCGGCGGCGGCGAAATAACGGAAAGAAAAAGCAAATCAACGATATAAACTACAAGAAAAATAAGAAAGCAAGAAACGCCCCATATGTAGCAGGTCAGTTCCCGCTACCTGTGCACACACAACTGCGAAGATATATGTGCTTCATCGTCGACTAACAACATCTACTCCTCGCTTCTGGTCCTCTTAGGATCTGAACCTGTCGTGTCATCGCTAGCACCACCGACAGCAGCTTCAATCTTCCGTTTCACCGGTACGACATTCCCGTTACTACCCTCAACCGGTGGTCCCGTAGGATCGTATTCCGCTTGTCCCTGTTTCTGTCCCGAACGCTTGGCCACTTCTCTCGCTTCCTTTGCCTTCTTGCGGTCTGCATCGTGTCGCTTCTTTTGGTTGTCGCGCTCTTTACGGCGCTCCATCTTAGACTCGTACTCATGCCAGTCACCACGGAGGTCTCGCAAGCTGATCGAGAAGCGTTAGCACAAATTCACCATTGATAGAGCTATATCCAGTCGGAGACATACCCAAGCGGTGGCTCCGGAGCCGGGTCCTCGGAGAAGTATGGGTGTTTTAAGCAGTCCTCAGCAGTCGGTCGCCGTTCGGGGTTGTATTGCAAGAGTTGTGTGATCAAGTCCATGGCGGATGGCGGAATTTGCCTGGGAAAGAATCGTCAATCACCAACCCTTCATCATCACAGCGATATCAAGGATACAACACATACTCGGCAAACTTTTTCCGGAATCTGTTCTTCCGGTTCAGACCGGACGTCCTCAGGAGCGAGTACCAGGGCATTTGTTTCAACTTCGGCCACACTTTCTCGGTAGGCTTGCCCAGAATCTTATAGATGATATCCAGCTGGTCGATTTCCGTCCTGCCCGGAAACAGTGGGACGCGGGTGAAGAGTTCAACAAAGACGCAGGCGGCGCTCCACATATCGACAGCGGGACCGTATGCTGTAGCACCGAGAAGAATCTCTGGTGGACGGTACCAAAGGGTAATGATCCTATTCGTATAATCCATTTCCTTCTTGCTGTTCTTGGTGTAGAAGCGCGCCAGACCGAAGTCGGCGATCTTCAGCTGTCCGTCGTTGTTCAAGAGGATATTGGAACCTTTGATATCGCGATGCAAGACACCACGGTGGTGCAAGTAGTGCAATGCATCGAAAAATTGCCTCGCCAGGTGCTTAATGTGTGTGAGCTCGAGTCTGAACGTGGGGTGGTTGAGAATTCCGGTCAAGTCGTGATCCATGTAGTCGAACACCATGTAAAAATCACCTGGCCTCTATCAGCCAATTGAACCGCGAGACCAATGGTTGGTTGTACTTACTCTTTTCCACCATCATTTCCAACAATGAAACGATATTCTCATGCTTGAGCGCTTGAAGTAGTTTCATCTCCCGAACAGCGGTGATCGGGAAACCGTCCTTTTCATTTTCCATTCGAATCCTCTTTAGTGCTACCAACTCTTTGGTAAGATTGTTGGAAGCTTTGTAGACCTTGCCGTAAGTTCCCTCTCCAACCATGCTAACCCTATGATATATCGGCATATCCTTGACGATAATCTCGGGGCCCGGGGGTGGAGGGGGAGGTGGCGGCGGCGGTGGAAGTGGCGGAGACGGAGCTCTGACATGTCGCGGTGAGTTACGTCTGCGTCCTCTGCGGGGACCTTCGTTCGGCGTAGGTCTCGGTTCTGGCTGTCTAACTCGGGAGAGCCTGGCCGTGAGGTCGATAGTCCGACCCCCCAGTGGTGCGCTATTACTGCCAGTCGCAAACTTACCCATCCTCATATCTAGGGCCTTTGGTGCTGGTTTCACGGGCTTGGAAGACTTTGTAGGTATAGCCATGGTGAACTTGATCTTTTCCGCTGCGGGGGCCGTAGGAGCGTTTTCAGGAGCGGTGTTGTCGGGACCACTAAGCACCTTCTTAAAAGACTTGACTGGCTCTTCCCCAGATACGGGCTTGGTTTCATGTTGCATCTCGGGCGGCTTTTGGTCGGCAGCGGGACCGGTAGGAATCGGACGTTCGCCGTTAACCTCTGGAGACAGCTGTTGACTTGGATCGTCATGACTGCGAGCCCCGGGAGACCCGCCGTGAGAGTCCCGGCTCTCAGACTGCAATCGGTCTTGTGTAGGTGCTGGAGGAGATTGGTCCTGCCGTCCTGGAGCTTCAGAGTGGCCACCGCCTCTACCACCTCTGGCTGAGCCCCGCCCTCGAGCTGGGAATTCGCCACCGAAGGTCCTGAAATCATTAGCTTTTCATCACGCATTGGCATTTAGGGTTTCCTACAATGGCTGGTTACGATGGTGATCTGCTCCACCACGACCACCGCGACCACGACCTCGACCTCGACCTCTTCCACGCTCGGGACGATCCTGCACCAGACGTTGTCGCTCCGGGTTCACATATGGTCCATTACTTGGACCTTCCGGTTGCCCCTTGCTGCTAGAATCGCCAACGGTGGATTGTGAGTCATGGACATCACTACGCCGACTAGACGGTCGTTCTGCTGTATCACGCTTTGGCGACCTAGGGGGAGTCCGACGACGGGGTGGGCCACGGTTTGAATCTCGCGAGCGACTCCGTATTCGTCCTTCGGATGGGCCGTGATCGTCCTCCCGCCGACCTCTGATCCGACGTTCCGGTGGTCCACGATCCAGAGCCGTGCGATTGGACCTTGATGACGCAGCCGGTGGCGATGGCCGTCTGTCAGGAAATAGTTCGCGTGGTGGTCGACCGGAACGTGGAGGCGATCGTGTACGCATGGGAGGTGGTGAGTATGCTGCGTGTACTGGAGGGGAACGAGCACGTGTTGATGGCGGTGGCGGTGGTTGATCGGGCCTGTCACGATATGGTGACCTGTCCGATCTGCTCTGTGAATGTCGATGCCGGAGAGGAGGATAGTCCGCATCATTCTTCTTCGAAGGTTCCCTCCGAGGCGAAGAACCTCTACGCGCGGGCGGGCTGACATATCTAGATTTCAGGGGAGGAGGCGATGGTGGCCTTCGGGACCCCCTCTCGACTGAGTATCCGCGGGAACGAGGGGGCAGTGGTGGAGGTGAGAGATCAATAAGAGGTGGTAGTGGAGGGGGGGATCCGGGTTCGCGTCTTGAAGGCGGTGGAGAGCGCTTGCGGTAAGCCGCTTGCGGAGGCGCTGGAGACGCAGCATGTCGACGAGGCGGTGATGCCGAACGCTCCCGGTGACGGCCCGATAATTTGTGTTTTCGTGGCGGAGAGCCTGGTGCAGGTGGTGGTGAACGTGAGGCATCACGTGTCCCATGCTTGATGTTGGATGGCGGACTTCGAGATCTAGTACGTGGTCGTTTTGGCCTCTTGTGCTTGGTGAAAGTATGACCCGGAGAGCGACTCCGCCGTCGCTTATCTGTGGGTGATATCGAAGCATGCCGCTTCCTGTGTCGATGGGATCCGTGGCGTGGTGAGTGTGAATGGCGATGGCGCTTTGAACGGTGTGGAGAGCGTTCGTCATGCTTTGCAGAACGCCGAGTCTCCGCACTCCGACTTCGTCCTCTCGAGCGTCTCCTGGTAGCTGTCGGCGGTGGGGGCCTCATATCATCCCTTTTCCGCCGCTCACGGCTCCGTTCCCTCTCCATATCAACGTTTTGCCCATGCTTTCTTGCATGCGGCGATGAACCTTTCTTCTCCCTAGAATCGGAGCGCGCCCGCCGACCTCTGCCTCGATCCGCATCCTCGTAATCGTACCGCCCCGGACTCCGAGCGTCATGATTTCTGGAGGTCTTTGACGACATGACTGGTTGGGGAAGGACGGGTGGGACACCTGCGGGTTGGGGAGACAGTTCACGTCAGCGATCTGTTGCACAGCGATGTTGGGGATTCTGCCAGACGACATACTCGAGAGACCGCGACACACGCACACACGCTAGGCAGTACACCTGCCCTTCTTTTAAAATTATGTGGGCGTTAGGTTGTAAACCGTAAAGCTGGTTGTTCTGGATGTTTGATTATCTCAGACTTTTTGGTTGGTTAGGTTTGGTTAGATATCAACGCGGCGAGTCGGGAGTGACAAGTCGTTCGGGGTCGGTCAGAAGTAGAATTGGTGAAGTGAAGGGCGAGCCAGCTGCAGTGGTGGCTTCAGGCTTGGCACTGTCCGGACGCGCCCCTCGCTCGCAAGTGTGTGTAGTGGTGGTAGTGGCAGCTGTGGTGAGAAGCGAATCCGCATAGCGAGAAAGGCGTCCGTTCACTCGGCTTCTTCCCTGTCCTCCTCTTCTATCTTCTCTTCTCTTCTCCGCTTTGGAATGAAAAGAAGATGATTAAGATCTGCCCCGCGTTTCTCGCTCTGGGGGGAGGGGGAAAGTGAAGTGGCGGGTGAGATTGGGGCAGTCACCCGCCCATCCGCTCCGCCATCCCATCATCATCACCACCACCACGACCACCACCACCCGTACGTGGCCGGCATGCGAGAAGCAATCGCCGCCACCACCACCACCACCACCACCTCTACCTCCAACAGGCAGTGTGTAGAAGTATGCAGCATGGCCTCCTCAGCCCATCCGACATCCACCTCAGCCCATCCGACGTTCCCGACTCCATCCATGATCTTCCTCTTTCCTCCATCTTTGACCCCACACGATTCCCAAAGAAAACCCCCGACCCTCATCGCCTGCATCTAACTCGGCACGATAAACCCCACAGGGACGGGAATCTCTCTCTCCCTCTTTCTCTCAGAGAATTTCAAAAATGAAGCCCCTCTCTCCCGTCCATCAATCCAGACCGAACCAATCTGTCTGGCAATGATGATGACACGGGCAGCATAACAACATATCAAACACAGAAAAAGGACAGAAAAATAACAATATCCAAACCGAGCATGGCTCTTTCTTCCCCTTCCTCTTTTTTTCGTACCATTGCACAGCCCGCCGGGCTGCAGTGTGTCGGTGGCAGACAAGGCGAGGCAACCCCCCCTCCCCCCGCCCCCCCCCCAGGCCAGCTCTTCTCACAGCCGCCAAAATCTGGTTGACGTCGCGTGTGTATGTAATCGGGTCACCGCCGAAGACCCGTCCCCGATAAATGTGGCCGAATGATCTCCGTTTGACGACCAGCGACGACGACGACGACGACAGACGATATATATCTGCCTATCTGCCTGTTTGTCTTCCCGTCTTTGACGGGCCGTTTTCTCGAACCATCATGGGAGCTCCAGGGAGGGTGTGTATCTACTGCCGAAGCTTTGGAAGGGACAGACCACCACTGGCAACCGCCAATATAAAGTTGTGTTGTCTTCTTCTTCTTCCTCTTCTTCTTTCGCGTGCGCGTCATCATGACCCCTCCATACCATCGCCCATCCAGTACAAGAATTAGTTCTGTCGGCACCGTGCTGCTTGCTGTTTTCGTCGCGAAAAAAAAGCCGAGAGACAACGGCGACAACGACGACGGCCGGTCGACCCTTCCTCGGGGCTGTATTCCTGTGTCTGCCTGATGCTGCTGCAGGTTGCTTCATTCCCTATAATCCGAGAAAACCCGGCGCCATGTTCGACCCCGCGGAAAGCGGATAATGATCGGAACAAGCGATAATCGCGTCCCATCCCATGCCATCCCCTTTCATTTCGTTCCGTTCAGTGCCTTTGAGTCCTGTCCCGTAAAAGTTGGGGTTGGAGTTGGAGGTGAATATCAAGTCTCTGCCGGGCGCCGTGGGGGGTGAATGAAGTGAAGTGACGTATAGATATCAGTTCCAGATCCAGTTCCAGTTTCCTGGCGAGTTCGCATCGCCGCGCGACCACCGTCGCCGCCGAAGCTTCCGTTCCGCGACGGGACCCATCTGTCACGTCAGTAAAACACTTAAGAGCCCCAATGGCATGCGGGTTCTGTTCTGTTGCGAGCGACGACGTTCGGATTCGCAGGGCGTGGTGGGACAGTGGGTTGCGGTTTTGGGGGTATTAGGAATCATGGGGCGGTGGTGGGTGTGGGTCTTGGCTTGGCTTGTTCTTGGTGGTGGCTGCATCTCAAAACATCGAGGAACGCTGTGAGTGATCGATCCTCAGAAAAATTCACCCACACAAGAAGGGAGCAAATTCAACAGAATCCCAACAGTCATCTTCAATACTATATTAAAGGGCGCTTCAAGAATCTCACTTCGCTATATACTTTGGTATATTCCAAGCCCCCCATCGTCCACAAATAAAACTCCATCAGATATGCAAACGCCCAACAATTACACACATACAAACACCTAAAAGAAATTCTAGTGCACGCTCCCAGTTCCAACTACGCTAGCATATACGAAAGATCCGGCAGCCCGTCAATGATCTTTTTGATTATCTCGCCTTCTTCCATCTCCCTCTTTCCCTTTGTCGGGGTGGGCGGCACCGGAGCATCCCATAGATCTTTTCGTACAGGCGGTGGTGGCGCTGGTGGTTGACTTGGCTTGTCGAAGAATGAGAGGTCCCACTCGGTTGATGCTGGTGCTGCTGTGATAGATGTGGTTGTGGCTGATCCTCCGAAACTAAATGCAGTGCCATTGCTGCCCAAGCCCGTCGCTACCGTTGAGGTGTTGGTTGAGAAAGCATCAAGCCCGTTGAATAAACTCCCACCAAGCCCTGCAAACAGATCCATACCAGCGTCAGAGGATATGGAGGGTTTTGCCGAGTGAGATGGAAGCGACATGGGCACTGGCGTCTGCATGCGGGAGGTATTATCAACAGATTTAGTTGGTGACTGCATCTCGCCCCATTCATCGTCGTCGCGAACCAGATCGTGATCATTATTTATAGCGATTGACAGAGCGGAAGGTTGTGGTGGTAGCGGCTTGTTGGTGGTCTCCGGGGCTGGGGGTAGTTGTTTGGCTATTTCCACTGGTTTTTTCGTGCTGATGACACTGTCGGGTCGGGAGCTGATTGTACTATTGCGAGATGATATCGGCGAAGCGGGGCTTGATGGTAGTGCTGGAGGGGACGTTGGCTTGATCGACTCGAAGGCAGCCCATCCATCGCCTGAATCTCGGGGCAAAGGGGTTGTTGCCTTTGATGGTGTTGAGACGAGCGCCTCGAATGCACCCCAGTCATCCGAGGATTGCGATGCAGGTTGAGCATTCACCGCTACACTCGGGGTACATGGCTTATTGAAGCTATCAAAGCTATTTCCCCAGTCGTCCATGCTTGATGTGACTTGCGTAGTCGGAGGTATTTCGTCTTTGGCCGGAGGCTCAGGTGCCACGTCGTTTGGCACTTGCATCTTTGGTGTTGGGGGGCCGCTGGCCATTGCGGATGATGCAAATGACGCTACGGTGGGCGAATTTTGCCTCGTACCGCGTCCAAGAGTCAATGAGACTCTCCGAGATGCAGGCCTTGAGTTGGCAGCGCTCAAAGGTAGCACATCAAAGCTTGACTTTTCAAACGGTGAATTGTGGCCGCTGAAGCTTGCCTTGGCTAGCGGGGACGGATGGTTGCTCGAGCTAGCCCATCCAAAGTGAGGTGTAAGAGGTGAAGGGACGGATGATCGTTGTATCGACGGGGGCACCGTTGACGTGTTGAGCGGTAGAGGTGGTGTACGCAGCCCGCTCTCACTGGTGTGTCGGGAATGTGTTTGCAAGGCAGGAACAATTTTCGGCGTACCGAGAGAAAGTCGTTTGTTGGCCTCACTTGATATCGGCGACGGCGACGGCGACGACCCAGCTCCCCATCCAAACATGGAACTCAGATTCTGTACACTTTTACGCCCATGCCCTCCAGTGCTTTGTGTTTCGGTCAGCCACTTGGCCACAATCTTGTGCACCTCGCCTTGCACATTTGACCCAGGCCAGGTGACGCGGACGTAGTCGTCGTCGTCTACAGCGTTCTTCTTGCGTAGCGTTCCGTCTTGCGTCAATCGATACCACGCTTTCCGTCTACAGAGCTATTGTCAGCAGACGGTCATATTCTACCTACGATTCAGATCACTCACGCTCCAGTGGTGTGTATCACCTCGCCCTCTACCGGAGGCGGATCGGGTGAGCTAGTCGGTATGGGGTAGAGTTTGCGGACGAGTGATATGTCTATATTGAATGCCGGGACACCGTCTGAGGGCGGCGGCGGCGGCGGAGGTGGGGACGACGGGGCTACAGCCTCGGGCTGTACCTCGGGCTCGGTTCCAACAAAGTCATCGAATTCCGCCTCCTCGGCAAAGTCTCCGAAATCGTCATCACCTCCGGCATCCTCGGTATCTGAAGATTCCTCATCGTGCACTTGAGTGTCGGCGGGTGGCTTGTCTTGGGTAGTGTCCGACGACAGCTCCACCTCCGTGACTGACCCATTGACGTCCGTATGTATAGCTGTGGTTGTTGGTGTTGTTGGTGCTGCGGGCGGCTCAATTTGCGGGCTATCTCGGTCTTCCTCTTCCCTTTCCTCTTCCTCTTCCTCTTCCTCTTCACTCTGCTCACTCTGCTCACGAGTCGGAGAGGAAGGAGAAGTTTCGGGTAATACTTCCGCGGACTCCGACCTTTCTCCGACCTCCGCCACCACCACCACCACCACCACCACAGTCTCCGCCTCTTCCTCTTTCTCTTGCCCAATTTCCCCCTCTTCTGCTTCTTCCACCTCAGCTTCTTCTACATCAGCCTCCTTTACCTCTGTCACCTTCTCCACTCCGCCATCAACAGCTCCCCCCACATGTATATCCAACCCCACCTCTTGCGTCTGATCGAACGACGACCCATCCATCTCCACCTTCTCCAGCACCGGCGATGTCGCCGTCTCCACATCAGGCTCAATCTTTGAACTTTCCGCCCTCTCCGCCACATCATCAAGCACATCACTCGCCGCGCTCCACTCGACCTCCTCGATAGTCGGTGGCACCGGCTTCTGCAGCTCTAGGTCAAGCTGTGGAGTTTCCACGGGAACCGGCACCTCCTCATCTTCCCCGTGTGTAGAGCCCTCATGTATAGAGCTAGCAGCACCCCACTCCGAGCCGGCCCCCCACTGCTCATACCCGTTCCCGGGGCCGGGCGAGAACCCCTTCACTCCCGCCGCGGCCCACAGCCCAGGCCCATCATCGTCGGCGGTATTCGCAACCGCCCAATCCGAAAGCGGCTCGGTAGAAGTAGTAGTCGTAGTCGTCGCCCAGGCCGACGTCTCGCCAAAGCTGTCCGCCCACGGATCCTTCGATTTCGCGGCCGTGGAGTCGTCGTGTTTCTTCGTAACAGTAATCGTGGGGGCAGCGGCAGTGGTTGTGGTGGAAGTGGTGGCAGCAGTCGTGGTCGTGGTCGTGGTATCATCCGCCCACGGCGAGCCCCAGCCGTCCGCGTCGTCGTCCATGCTGCAGCTGTGATGATGCCGGTGGATGGGATGGAACGTCGAGCATGTTCCGTTCGTCGCGGTCCGGTGGCAGGCGACGGGGGGTGCTGTCAAAGCGGGACGCTAGATGCTGTGGTGCTAACTATAGTGGTCGTTGGTTGGCTGGAACGTGATGACACTCTTTTGCTTGCTTTGCGCCCCTGGTTGCGCTGGCCGGTGGCTGCACGTGCGCGTGGCTTGGCTAAGGGGACTATGATATGGAGCTTGAAACATGATTCACCATACTATGGAGACATACTACCGCAACACAGCGCTGATACTCTAGATTACCTCGAGCTTGCAAACGGATCGATGACCGGTGACCGCGTCTGGGAATAGGAGACTGGGAGGTGTCATCGCCGCCGCCGCCGCCCACACGCCCACAAGCCGTGTCGCAGCCGCAGCCCGGATCATCCTATCTTCACGCCTCGTATGATGCCTCGTATGATACTACTCTACATACACCTACACAGAAGAGCACTCGGCCAGCGCCGGCAATAGAGAAAGTACTCTGCCGGCCCTTCTTTCCCAAACAGAACGGCGCGCGTACCTTACTCAGCTAGGTAACAAACGTAGTGTACCTACTGGCACACACACAGTACGATTCAGCAGAGATCCGACCAGGTACTTTTGTATGTAGAACGCAGCATCGACCCATGGACCATGGACCAGCAAAGCAAAGCAAAGCAGAGATATCACACACATGACAGTAGCTCAGCTCCACTACCTACGGCGTTCCTGCATGCAGGAACTTGGAAGGGCTAGGTATCTTTGCCCTAAGCAAGTGTAGGTACGTACGATGGTACCGTAGGTGTCCATATCCATGACCTGGAACCTGGTGCTGGCCGTTGAAACTTGACCGTTGGCCGTTGAACTAAATCCTGAGATCATACCTGTTCTTTGGGTACATACATACCGTACCCTAGTCTCTAGAGTGCTTATGTAGGTACAAGTGGCCATCCTCGGCGCTGCAATGCACTGTGATTCTGTGAATTGAAGTCACCTAGGTACCTATGCAAGTGATGGCCCATGAAGGAGTCGCTGGATAAATAACTCAAATCAACTCGCAGGGTCGCAGTCAGGCTACGGACATACGGTGCAGAGTTACAGCCTTCATATATGTACCTAGGAAGCTCCATTCCTCCTGTGGTCCATCGGGACTAACCTACCTACACACAGGTAGAAGCACAGCTTCTCGGCCAACCACATGTGCAGAATCCGGCAGAGGACTCTTCACACCTACCTGGTATGATATGTAGCATGCAGAACGCAGAACGCAGAATCCGACGGGCGACGCTCGTTCCTTCTTCCTTCCTTCCTTCCTACCAGTACCGGTATACCTGAGGTGATTATGTATGGCTCGCCGCATTACGTCCACACCCACCCGCACACACGCAGGCCGCACGCCGCGCTGCACCGCATTGACCATTCCACCACCCACCGTACAGCGACGTACCGCGACGTGCCACGTATCTTGAGCGACCATGGACTTGTGCACTCTTGTGCACTCCTGTGCAGCACAATGTTATGCAAGCTCCACCACCCCCCACCACCACCACCACCACCACCACCACCACCACCACCAGCTCCTCCTCCTCGTTCGGCAACGCGGAACACATAGCTCAAAGCCCACAGCCCATCAAAGAGGACCGTTGACGATGCTCATCACTGGGCGGAACCAGTGGCTCCCCTTCCATCCATCCAGCCAGCCATCTTGGCCCGATCTCGTGAGATTTCCGAGCTTGCCGAGGTTTTCGTTACCTATGTATGCATACATACGAAAGGTGAGTCCAACTGTCGGAGGCGGCCGATGGATGGATGGGTGGGTGGATGGGTGGATGGATAGAACGTGGCTGGCCAGTGGTGTCGTAGTGAGAAGTGAGATGCGACACACTCCCAGAACTTCCCACGGTTTAAATTTCGGGATGGATTTCGGGATGAATTGAAATGAAAAGAGGGCCGGGGTTTGATCTGATTCGACTCAGGCCCAGGCCCAGGCAAAAGGCATGAAGGCCAGAAGAAACGTGATACCTGGGTGCCTATGACGTTGTCTGCCAGCCTGAAGTGACGGTGACGGTGACGGTGCTGAGTAGAGCACCTACCAGGTATAAGGTAGGTCGCACCGGGCTTCAGCCTTTGAACCCGGTGATCTCTCGAACGACCAATGGGCGGACACCGGTACATACGTTGGGGGTCCGACATGGGGAAACTTCCGGTGCGGGCAGAGAAGTTTCTGCCAGCCTGTGGCCAGGAGCTTCTGAGATCTCCATCCACCCATCCACCCATCCACCCATCCATCCATCCAGCCCTTAGACATGCTCGTGCCGAAGAAGAAGAAGAAGAAAAATGCAAGCCGCTATTTACCGAACCGTTCGCTTCAAAGTTCAAGCAGGCAGGCTCTTGGCGGACTGAGGCTCGCTCGGCTGTAGCTGGCGAAAACGGCAGTGTAGCAAGCAGAGACATTTGATGGGGGGCACTGGGGCACTGGGACACTGGGGCACTGGGGCAGTGGAAGGCAGTGGAAGGACGCATAGGTCGGCATCAACGTCGTGAAGAAATGTGACGATAGTTAGCCTTTCTATGTAGATGCTTTGCCCTAGGTACCGTAGTGTGCTTGCTGTACCGGTACCACCTATGATAGGAATCGCTCCGTCTCTGCCGCTAACTGATGCCCAACTTAGTGCAGAAACAAGAGTTGCGGCTCCTTGCGGCTCTCCTACGACTCGGCTGCGGCTCGGCGGGAGAGAGAGAGAGAAAAGTAAACGAGACAGCACGTTCCGAGACTTAACCCGTGGCCCGCCCGTCGGCATCGTCTACCAACCCACCTACGTACTCTGGAGTATGGGCATCGGTCGGATCTCGCGAACGCCATTCGCCTGCGGCTACCCTCCCACCGTCGAGATTAAAATATCTGCAGCCTCCAGCAAGTTGCAGCAAGTGCAGCCTAGAAGGGAATGGTCGCATTGATGGCGGTGGTCGCATTGGTGGGCATTAGTGTGCGATTTATTGGAATTGGACGATCTGCCCTGCCCTGCCAGCGCATCACTTTTTTCTTCATGCATGCTCGACTGGGTGCAGACAGGGTGGCCTATCAGAAGAGGGCTGGGCTGGGCTGGGGGAGGAGGGCTGCTAGGGGGAGGATGGGCTGGGGGATATGGAGGGGAGGGCTGCTGGGGGGGATGGAGAAGGGGAGGGGGGAGGGGGAAACATGTGACTTGGGCGGTGATGGGTCGTGATGGATATGGGATATGGAGGTTCGGGATTGGAACACTTCCTTGTTGATGGGAGCTGCGGATGCTCTCCACTCTACTTCGGACAACTCCACGGCGCACGCCGGAGCAGCAAGACGTGTCGGTTGTGATATCGGGCTTCCGGTACTAGTAGTTAACACCCCAGCACCCGTCCGCGAGCCTTCTCGGCGGCGGCGTCATCCCGCGTGCCCGCCTTTACTGTCCGCCTTTAGAGCACCGTCCGCCTTTACCGCCCGAATTAAATACCGGTAGGTACTAGCTGTAGAGCTCACCCGTAATGGCGAATATCGATTCGCTCGATAACACTAGGAGCTTTGCCGCTGCTAGAAGGGATCAAAGAGATGGCTGAAGCGGCATGGAGTTCTGGTGGTGTCGTCGTCGTTGCGAGGCTAGGGACTGTGGCTGTGGCGGAGGATTCGCCGATTCCCGAAGCCTTGAACTGACTGACGAACGACGAACGGCACTGTGAGATTCATCATTCGTAGAGCTGTCTGTGGGCATGCTTGCTCCTATGTACCTATGGTGCTGTAGGTGCTTTAGAGTACCTACCGGTACCGATTTACCTCACCTTACCTCAAAGCCATGCTGAAAATAAAACATCCTTCGTCTCCAACTGGAGATCCAGTTCAATGGGGAGCCCTACATGAGTAAGTATGTTGGTAGGACGTCTCACCGTGGTTGGAACTTGGTGGTGTGAGAGCCTGAGCACCGAGAGTGAGGAACTCGCCGGACCATCTACGGTATCTACGGTAGTAGCTACGGTAACTATCCTGGTCATTGCGGGGTGTGGAAGGCTGGAGCCAATAGGACCCTCCCGAGTCCCCAGTGCCCACCACCTAATTCGTGGATAGATAGACGTTTCGCTAACCTCCACCATCATGTTTTGTTTATACCCGCGCCTGGTGCGCTTATAGGTATATGTTTCGCATCTCCAGCTTCATCTTCAGCTTCACGCTGCTGCACCGTGGTTACTCTAAAGTGGGTATATATTACAACCCCACGGGCCTCGACACGCCGATTGATAACACCCAGGCATGAAGCATGTACTCTATCGTCGAAGCTTCAGCACAGTGACTCGACAACGTCACGGTGGCTGACGTTCACGGCTCATCACCGTCGTCATGGGAGCGCACGTTCCCGAATCGAGTCCCTTCCTCATCACATCTCACCTGGCCAGCCAGCAAGTTACCTACATCGAAAACGCCCGTTTGACCATACCATCATACCTAACATCATGCCATGCCATCTCGGAAACAGAAGGAACAGTCCGAACAGAAAGTTCAAAGTCGTGAGACTCGTTGCGGATGCGGAAAGACTCGGGTGGACCGTGGGGGACGGAGCAGGTAGGCACGAGGTAGACAGTCCAGACTCCAGACTCCAGACTCCAGTGCACGATTAGATACCTGATGCAAACACCCAAACGCCCGCACCCGGGAGGAAACGACATCGTTGCGGAGGCCGGAGGATCACAGGTTCGCATCTTCACCAGGTCTTATCCAAAGATCCAAAGCGGTAGGGGGTATCAAGTTCCACCTACCTAGTCAACTCGCAGTCGGCACGTCTAGCTCGCAGGCGCCATTCGCTTCTTCATCCCGCCGAACGCCATGTTTTGGGCGGGGGTGATTCTCGTCACAAACAGGCCCCGTGGACAAGTGCCGTATCGCCAAGTCCGACGTAGGTAGGCGGTGTACGGTATTTCAAGTTCTAAAGGGCGAAGCCGACGATCTACATACGCAGCAATCTACTCTATGTATGTAGGGCGATTGTCGGGTTTAGTGTGCTCTCCAGCTCTAAGCGCGGGCCGGGTGTAAGATATGTGAGGCACTGAGGGGTTGGCGGGAGGGGAAGTGGGGAGTGGAATACGACCACCGAGTCACCGTGAGCTGTTCAGCCTTCCTCTGGCCTTCAAAGTTCAAAGTCCTGAGTGATGTGAGGCTACATACTGGAGGAAGCGCGGTAAGGCGGCACGATGAAGCCATCCGCAAGACTCCGCACCTTGCCTACGATAGGTATTGCGAGTTGCGGGGGGCTTTTCAAGGTTGGGGGTTCGGGTGACATGCACAAGCTTCTCGAGATCGTTTCACCCAAATTCCCGAGCAGCGTCAGGGCGAACCGATGGCAGGGTACTCGATAGTACTAGTTGGTGACTTGCAGCTGCTGACTGTCCTCGAGATGTTCCGACGGTGGTGGTGGTGGTGGTGGTCGGGGATGCCGGAAGGGGTGGGTAGGGCTTGAAGCGGAGGTGAGGTTCGACTCCTCTCTCGTCACTCTCCTCAAAGTCGCATGTGACCCCTGTCGCTGCGCTGTCGTTTCGTCGTCCGACCAATCGTAAACGGCTGCCGAAAAGCACCGTCATGCAGCCGCACGCAAGGAGTCGAAAACAGACTCCTCTCTCTCGCTCTCTCCATCTGTTCCTTGCAACACCTGACGGCGCGGCATCGAGCAGCAGCAGCATCGTATCACAAGCAGCGTTCAGCAGCCCGGACTGGCCACATTGGCCAGGAGTTGCGAGCACGGTGCGAGTGCAATCTGATACCCGCAGCGGGGCCAGGTGCAGACATGTATCGTATCTATCATAGTATTTGCCGGTCTCTCTCTGCGACGTTCGGCGGCTGGCTGGATGGCTCGACGGAAACGGGGGTGCTGGCCAGGGAGGGGGAGAGGGAGAGGCAGAGGGAAGGGAAGCAACGGAAAGAAAAGAAACAAAGAGAAACAAAGAGCAGAAACTCGACCCGAGATATCCCAAGCAATGACGCTGGTGCTGATCCGCCACCGTGACTCGATTATGTAGTTGGTGGTGGTTGGCTTGCCCACCGCGTCCATGACGGCCGCGAACGAGCACAGCAGAAGTCGAAGAACGACTGAAGAACAACTTCCCTCATAGCCCCCCTTCCCCGTTCTCCCGCAGTCATCGCCATCATATGCAACTCCTCGCACCGGCCTCGTAGAAAAGCCACTCGTCATCCGTCTTTGCACCCTCTGGCGTCCAAGTCACCCAATCCCGTTCGTCGCCAGCGCACCCTCTTCTTCTTCATCCTCTTCATCCTCGCCATCCATCCATCCATCCCGCCCACTCTCCGCCTCCGCCCCCTCCCTCCCCATCCAAATCCCGCGCGCGAAAAGAGTGCGGCCCTTCGACTGCATATCTAGTCCGCAAGGCAGTTGGATCTCGTCTCGACCCCCGCGACGAATCAGACCGCCAGGCACTTCGTCCACAGAATCCGGAGAGCAAATCGCTTTGCTGTCGAGTCAGCACGGGCAGAAGTGGCAGCAGTAGGCCCAGCATCATTTCCCTAAGGCAGGTAGAGTACCTAGAGTCGCAGCAAGCAAGCACGCAGCAAGCACGCAGCAGCAAAAGCACAGAAGCACCGCGACACCAGCCATACACACGCAACTGCCACCCCCCCTCCTAGCACCCCTCCCACCCCTCCACCTCAGCGCGACTCTCGCTATCCGATTCACCAGTTCTGCGATTCCATCGTCTTCGCCCGCAACTTCCCAGTCGCTGTCGCAATCAAAGCCATCTATTTTCCCCCACTTCCTTCTCTTGCCGGGGGGCTATCGTTCTACCTATTCAAACTCCCAAGTAACCTATTCTCAGCTCCGCCCGTGATTATCTGTTGATTTTTTTCTTCTTCTCCTTCTTCTCCGGACTACTGCTGCTACTACTGCTACTGTGTCGTTGGGTGCCCCCCCCCGTTCGCTCTCTTGTCGTCGAGCGTTCCCGAGTCCAGAACTACAACTTCTCACGCCTTCTCCGAACCGGTTACGCCTGGTCAACCTGCTGTTTACTTGTCTATATTGAACTTCGACTCATCCCGTCCCATACCTCCATGGACTCATGAAGGAATCTGATCCTCTCCCTCGCTCAGCCACCTGTATGTTTCTCCCCCCTTCCTGTCTCGTTCGTTCGTTCGACCAAAATCGGCCGATCGGTCTCCAGCGGTGTCGTCGGCCGGTTTGTGGTTCGGGCGTGGGTTGGGTGTGAGGTCTGGCGGCGCCGGCGGTGGTGGTGGTAGTGGTGGTTGTGGTTGTGGTACTGGTTGTGGTTGGGTTGTGCGCGCGGTGGCCTTAGTCGCTCGCTCGCTCGCGCGTTGGACGTCCACCGCTGCCGGCCGGCCATGCTTGCTTGCTTGGATGGGCACTGGAGCAGCAGCTAACGTGGCAATCGTCCACTCTTCTTGATGATCGATGCTGCTGCTGCTGCAACCTAAGCAAAAAAAAAGGGCATCTCATAGCTAATATATCATTTGGCCTTCTCTATAGCCCTGCTGCCTGCGCCCTCATCGCGGCCCTCTTCTCCATCTTTGTCGTCGCCGTCCCCTGCTCCGCAGCAACAACAACAACAACAACAACCACCCCCGCCTCCTCCTCTCGCTTCTCCTCCTCCCCTAGATCCTACCTCCACCGCTCCTACCAAACCTCCACCACCGCTTCAGCAAACCCAACCGCCGCCGCTGCCACCGCCGCCACCGCCACCCGCTCCTCCACCTATACCGACCATAGCACTGCCCGTTGGTACTCCGGCGCCTACGTCTCGCCCTTCGTCACCCGCGCCGTCGCAAGAGATGACCGTTGCTGGCGGGCGGAACTCGCACAAGCGGTCGTCAAAGAAACAACGTCCTTCTCTACCTGCACACCCAGCAGCAACCGCTCCAGCGGGCCGGCTGCCTCTCGTCTCTCCAGATTTCTACCACACTCCTCCCCCTTCAACCATACGCACAAATGCATCCGTGTCGGAGTTAGCACAGCTTGTGAAGTCGCAGGCCTACCATGAACAGAAATACTCGCAGTCCAAACTGCGCCTCCAGAAATCGCTGATAGCGAATGGAATCTCGGCGCGGTTGACGAGAACGGGCGACCTGTGTCACAGGATGTTGGTGGACCACTTCAAATCGGATCAGAAGTCGGAGTTTGCCACTCTCTACAATGCGATCCATGATGTGCGCAATTCGTGCGAAGCCAGCCGCCGGTTCGCTATGCTAGAGCCGGAGTTGAACTCTAAGGCTTTCAAGTCCAACGACGATCAGGATATCCATCCGGCTGGCACCTCGTTCCTCCAGCAGCTGCCTGCTCAGGCGCGAGAAACAATCTTGACGTTCATCCAAAGCATTAGATCGAACCCGTCATTCCTCGCTAGTCGGTTGAGTCGCTTGTCCAACTCGGAGCTCGAAGCGCTTTCCCGGTTTCACCATCAACCCAACCCCCAAGAGTCGATTCTCCCACAGCAGGCCTCGAGACGAGGGACCGGATCGGTGAGGGGTCACCCGCAGTTGGGAGCAATGCCGAGTCCGGTCGAACGGCTCCTTGCTTTCCACCGTAACGACCCACTGTATACTCTGCTGCACACCGTCTTTGCCAATTCCACCGGACCCGACTCTCCCGAAGACTCGAGAAAATTGGACATTTGGGCGACCACTTGTGCTAGGTTGATCGCTGAAAACAAGGGAGAGTCGTTTCTGATGTGTGTCATGGATTCGTGGACTGCGATGCGAGAATGGCCGGCCAAGGCGAATCTGGAGATCTGCATCATGGATCTCGTCCAGGAAGGCTCATTTCTTGTGGAACGAGCCGAAGAACAAGCGACCGGTCGGTCATCGGACGTGCGAGGAAAGCACGACCTTCTTGCCGAAGAGTTCTGGACCAAGGCCGAGAGGAGACTCTTTGAGGTATTGGACGATGAACCTGGTGCTGGTGGTATTCCGGAAGGTATATTGGAGCTGGGACATGCGATTCTGGAGAAGATGGAGGATCCAAAAAAACAGCGCCAAGCCGAGATCATGATTGTCGTGAAATGGTTCTTCAACCGCTTTCTGGCGAATGGCGTCGCTTATCCAGAGGTAAATTCCGGGCGCATGTCTCACTGTCGTTAATGCTGCTAACCGGACTGAATCATCAGTATCATGGAATCATGACTGGTCACCATATCAGCGAACATGCCCGACTAAAGATCCTGCGGCCCGTCCTTAAGAAGATGTACAATCACGCTGTCAGTGTGGTCTTTGGCGATTGGTATGATTGATATCTCTCTTGGCAGATATAGCCCTCAACGACTGACCTGTAATAGGAAAACCAATTCTCCCGTAGAGCCTGTGATCAGAACTCACATCGAGAACTTATTGGAGAGATTCCGCTGCCCTCGGCCCATCAATACACCTCCTGTTCTTGTCTCCACCAAGGCTGTTGCATCCCCACCGGAAACATCGGAGGTGCAACCTTTCCTTGTCGTCAGCCCGGCCGACATCATTACTCTCTGTAATGCTATTTATCCTAACTCTCCCACCACGCAGATAGATCCTCGCGATATCCAAAAAAGATTGTCTAGTCGAGCATCTTCCCGGATGCAGGCCAAGTCGCCCGGAGGCTTCGATATCGGCGCAGGATCTGTCCTGAGCGATGGCAGTTCTTCTCTGACTAGCGATACTGCTTCGATAACCGCGCCTCTGTTGGAGCGCGGGAGTTTCCAGGATGATAGACGGTCCTTCATGTCCATCCCGTCGCCTTCACCTTCGTCTTTCAACATGGCCCCACCTTCTTTGGCAGGAACAGAGACCCCCATGACCATCCCCGAGAAATCGGGCGCTGCCGAGGTCAGGTCGGCGGTGGAAGCCATGCGGGGACGACTGGGTTACGATGCTGTCTCTGGGCGTTGTCACCCGTGTGCCGAGAAGTGGGCTGTTATTTACATTTCTCCGGATGGTGAAGAACTGAGCCTACGGATGCGCAAGGAGTGGGAAGACGATGATGAAGACGACGACAACGACGAACATGGTAGTGAGAGCGAAGACGAGCAGCCTACAGAGCTGGACGGACTCGATCGCGACTACGACCAACTGAAGCAGGCCATCCTGAAGCTGGTTGATGAGTATGAGATTCCCGAAGAGGCCAAGAACGAAGGCGAGCCCGAGGCAAGACCCGTTCTGAAGAAGACCTTGAGCACCCCCGCCCCTTCGTCGTCTCCCCCAGATTCTCAGCTGGATCCAAGTAATCCATTCCACCAGAGCAATTTGACTGCCATGTTTGCCAAGAACCAATCTAGACCGCCTGCTCCCGACAGGTCGCGAGGTGTGCCCAAGGACTTGGAAAAGCCGAAGAGACAACAGCCAACTGGACTCCTCGTGACCATGCTCCAGGCTGCATATAGCCAGTGTTACGCCAGGGGAGACTATGTCTCGGCGCAGATGTACTTCCGAGCTGGAATCCAGCTCCGCAAGGTTGCGCCTTCTTTGCAACGAAACGAGTTCGCCCCCCTGCTTCACATCTTCTCTCACTCCGCCCGCCGAGCCATCGACAAGTGGGCGGCAACGATGGACGAATACGAACACTGGTTTGTCTGGGCCGCGCAGGCCAACGAGAGACTTGACTCTTCAATTCAAGATATGATGAAGAAGATCAAGGACCTCCGAGACAAGATGTGGTATGTCACTGATGTTCGCAACTCTGCCGCCTACGATGAGGCCAAGAATGTCGCTCTCGCTCTGAAGAGGATGGCCATGCCGCAACCTGCAAAGCCACCTCCGACGAAGGCTACAAGCCGAGCTACCTTGACGCACCGCATGTCGACAAGCAGTTTCTCTCTCCTCAAGTCGGACACGTTGATCGACATCCTGGCGGCGACCAACGAACATGGTGGTCCAAACAAGCTTAGCGATGAGCAAGCAGTCATGACCTCGGAATACCTGAGCAAGTACTCGGTCGAGAACTTCTGCAAAGGTGAAGAACGTATCCATCGGTTCTGCCTGGAAATCGATAAATGTGTTACCAAACTGGTTGGCGATGGTATACTCGACGGGCCTGTCCTTTGGTCGAGCGAATTGTTCTCGCGTGATGATCGGGAGATGTCCCCTAACCGCCCGAAGGGCGATCTGTACCTTGCCGGAGTGGGCACATTGAGCGTCACAGGTGACGAGGACATCGAGCCGGAGCGCGAAGATGGCCGGAGCAGTCGACGGAGCATAGAGATGTTGAGAAGACCGAGCACAAGCGACCTGTTCGGCAGGAATAATAGGTCTGCAAACCTCGTTGGCTCTCTGCACGATCCTCCGCAAAGCCGTAAAGGGTACACTAGATCGAGCACTGGGCTTATGGATGCGGTGGGCAGACAAGATCTATTTGGGATGCCGAGTCCGGCCCTGCCGTCGGAATCGCACAACACGTTCTGGTCGCCGTTTTCGTCTCATATCACCCACACTGCCACTGCGGGGCGGCCGAAGACGGCGCACTCGCCGACTACCCTACTGAAGACGTCGGAAATGATCACGCAGGAGAAGAAGAAGTTCCTCGCCGAGCTGAAACAGTCGTTGACTGGGCTGCTCCTGAGCGACCTTGGCCTCGAAGTTTTCAGCCGTGGAAGTGAAACTGACGCATGGTTTTCCGGCGGTTTGGGAGACGACTGCATCCTAAGGAAAGAAGAGCAGGAGGAGGCCAAACGGAAAGAAAGGGAGAGGGAGAGGAAGAAGTCCAGTTCTGCGGGTGTGCGCAAGGGATTGTCCAAGAAGAAGAGCACCAAAGCTATGCGCAAGGACAAGGCAGGAGGCACTCTTGAGGCGCTGGGCCTGGGCAAAGATAGGAAGGGCGAACTTGCTGCTCCAGTCGCCACGTTCGAAACAGTTGGTCGCGAAGCATGCTCAGGGGAGGAGAATTCATCGTCCAGCGATGCCACAGCCCGGTCATCCAAGTTCTCGGTGACGAGGAAGGGTGGTCTAATGGCTTTCCCCTACGGCCACGCTTTCCGAAGGCTCCTGCTCAAGTTCTCGACGCACCCCAACCCATTCCAGAAGCTTCATGCTCTGTATGAACTGGAACGCCTGATCGTTGCGTCGCTTTCTCGACATTCGTCGTCTGATAGGCCAACGCTGCCGCCGCTTCCAACCTCGCCTTTCCTTGATGCAATGGGCGATTCCACTTCCCGCGTCTCCTGCGTGCAGCTCTCTCAGCCCACCAATATTGAAGAGGCCATCGCTAATCTCGAGGAGCGTCGGTCGAATGCTACTAACAATGGTGGCGTTAATGGCGCCCGTTGTCCATCGTCGCCGTCTGCTCCTAGCACCGATATGATTGTCGATGTTCTCCAGAGCCTCTTCAGACAGGCTGATATCCGTCCTGCCACTCTGTTCCGCGATCTTCAGTATGTTGCTGCCTTCGTACCTGCGTCTATCCTGGACATGACGGAGGTGGGCAAAGCCTTCTGGGATGCCGGGCTCGCCGCACTGGGACTCAAACAGGATGTCTGCCGCACAATGGTCGAGATTGCAGACGCGATCGTCGCCGGAGACGCCAATGGCAGAGAATCCGAAAATGCTGGCAAAGAAAAGGGCACCGAGAACGCCGACTACCTCCGCTACTCGATGCAGGATGCCGCCAACATGTGGATCATCACCGCTCGGGAAGGAGACCCTACCGCCCAGCGCGAACTGGCCATCTTCTACCTGACCAACCCGTCGCTGCTTCCTAGGACCACAAAGCCTCTGTCCAAGCCGAAGGACACTTTCCGGCCCGACATGATGGTTGCCAAGGGAGAAGACCCCGAGAAGAGGGATCCTGCTACCATGTGTGTTGCATACCACTGGATGGAGCTGTCCGCCCAGGGAGGCGACGAACTGGCGCGTAAATATCTGAGGTCTCAGCGAGAGGAGTGGGCTTGATTCTGTTTTTGTTTTATTTTCTTCCTCATTTCCCCTTCCGTTACTTTCCCCTTTCGCTTTCGTTTTCTTGATTCCTCTCATGTTCAAAAAGTTTAACGGTTTCGGTTAGACTGTGACGGCGTACTATCTGCTTGGTTTGGAACAACATGGACATGATCCCTTTACCACGCATGTTTATCTTCTAGTTGTTTATTTCCGTTTTCTTCTTCCGGGTTGCTTTCGTTCCGGGAGCATTCGCAACCGTTACTTTACTTTGCTTTATATCCAGTGAATTAGGTCCCCTTTACCTTCTTCTTTCTCTTCAGACGAGCAGCATTTTTTTGTTCGGGTTTCACATTATTCGCTCTTGCGAAGGAGTTTGTAATTCTTCAGGGCATTGATTGGAGTTTTTGCATCTCGTTTTTTCGTTTTTTGTTTTTCGTTTTTCCTCGGTGCTTTCATTTCATGTCTTTCATGTCTTACATAGGCCGCCTTTGGCATCATACATTCTGTGATTATCATCCCCCCATTGCATCGTTATTCTTGTTCCTGTTTCTGTTCTCGATACCGTGTGTTTTTTATATAATCGTTGTTTCTGTTTCCTCGGTTCCTGTTTCCTTTCGTGGGAGCAGCTTGTGTGTGTGTGTGTTCACTTTTGCTTCTATTCTAGACTTTCAGGTTTAATACCCCCCCTTTTTTCTTTGATTTCTATCTCATCTCATCTCTCCATACAACTGTGATATCGATCTCAGCACTAGTTTTCATTTATGACCTGTTACGAACCTGTTACGACCACGAAGTTTCTTTACGACTGTTATGAGCTCGATTCTGTTGACACGATGGCTACGATTTCTTTCTCTCTTCTCTCTTCTCTCATAGTAAAGCTGGAGTATTGGATGGCAGTGTGGCAAGGGAATGGACGGTGGAAACCTTCTCTTCTGAACTATACGGGAATCAATACATTCTTTTAGTTGCTCACCCGTGGTCCCTCATCCGCACAAAACCTGAACCCTAGCCCCTAGCCCACCACATTCGGGTAGGGTAGCCTCCATGACGGCCTCCACCTCTCTCATACTCTTAAAAAGTTCCAGTTCCAGTTCCAGCTCCGGCACCTTGCCACGCACCTCCGACCGGAACCACTCACGCCGTCGCTTGCCCGTACGCCATGCTCGGTCCACGCCTACTCGGTGTCCTTCGGGGACCCTCCGTCACCGCCGCCCGCACGCCGTCACTGCTGCTCCGCTCATCAATCCTCTCCGCCACCACTGCCTCCCCGCTCAAGGCCCTCCGTACCACCACCCCACCACAAACCATGGCGGTCCTGAGCACAATCCAGGCTCGTCACGCTTCGCACGCCACCTCCGGCCGCGCCAATAAGGCGAAGGACGGGCCGGGAAAGCGCCTGGGTGCCAAGAAGACCGCTGGTACCTTATCCCCTCCCCCATCCATCCCCCCTCCGTCTGCCCTCCCCGCTGACCCCACCCCCACCATCCAGGCGAAAAAGTCGTAACCGGCATGATAATCTACCGCCAGCGTGGGACAGTGTGGTACGCGGGCGAGAACGCGGGCATGGGGCGGGACCACACGATCTTCGCGATGGCGCCGGGTTTCGTGCGGTACTACAAAGACCCGTTGCATCCCTCACGGCAATTCATCGGGGTCGCGCTCCTCGAATCGCAAGTCCTCCCTCGTCCCCTCAACGCGGCGCGCGTGCGCCGCCTCGGGCGCATAGAAGTCCCGCTGGAGAGGCAAAGGGAAACGGTACCGTTCGGTACACCGCTCAAAAAGAGTGACTCGGAGGCCAAGGATGGGTTCTATGTCTATAGACCCCCGAATTGGAAAATTGGACGCACCATGCCGAAGGTGGAAGTGAAGAATAATAATCCCTTCGCGAGGTGGCAGAAGAAGGGGAAGAGAAACGCGGCGTATAAGAGGCGGAAGGGGATTGCGTAGGCGGGCGGTGATGAGGGAAGGTGGGGGTGGGGGGGATGGGAGGGGGGAAGGGAAGAGAACGGGTGTATTTTTAGAGGGCATTGGAGCAATATACTTGGTGCTGTTCGTTCGTTTGTTCTGGTACAGCTGCTTCTGCAGCACTCTGTGGGTTGCTGATGCTGATTCGGAAGAAAGGAATTGGCATGGAATGGAGTGGCTACTACCGATCATGGTGATATCCGATGTTTGGCGAGGTGTATACAAACAAGGCTTCAGCCAGTCCATCTCAAGGCCAGGGATCGGACTATGCAGCCGTTATTCTCTGGCCTCCCCTTGATCGCCATCACACGACAGTCCAGTCGCCCGCGCGGAACAAGCCCCTCAACTTTCCCGAGCAGTGCAAGATCGGCGTGCACGTTAGTACTCTACGTTACAGCATGACCGCGTCATGGCCGCGGCTTCGGCCACGGGAGGATCGTGGTAACATTGACGTCACACGGCCATAGCAACAGCAACAACCACCACTGCCACGATAAAGCGAAGTGAAGCATCCGGCCAGTCAATGCAAGACTTGACTTGACTTGACTCCCCTCTCCTTCGCCCGTACAGGATATAGATATAACTACCCCCCACAGCAATCCCACCCCCATTCTCATGAGACCACCATCGCGACTCTTCACCAACTTCATCCGCACCGCTACTCCGGTCAGCACCAAACAGCACCAGCAAATCCGGCGCCTCACAACCACCGCCACCATGTCCGCCGACACCCCGCACAACAACGACTCCGACACGAGCGGGCTGCCGGAGGCTCACAAGCGAATCGTGCACCGCAACCGAATGGACCGGCCTCCCTACTCCGCCGCCCCCGGCGGCTCTTCCCCCTTCCCCACCGTCCTCACGGCCTCCTGTTTCTGCTCCACAGTGCAATACTCCCTCTCGCGCTCCTCCCCGCTGGACGCAAAGTTCTGCCACTGCAGTACCTGCCAACGCTTACACGGCGCGCCGTTCCAGTGGGCGGCGATAGTGCACAAGACCGACGTGCTGTTCACGAAAGGCCGCGAGGACCTGGTCTACTACAACCCTGGCGAGAAGAGTAGTGAGTACACGCTGCCGTGTAAAGTCGCCTGTAAACGGTGTAGAACCCCGATCATGGATGAGGGGAGGAATATGCTACTGCTTTTTCCGACGCTTATCAGGTTTGGGGGGGTGGCGGAGAAGAGGAAGTGGTATCCTTCGTAAGTTGGCTGTGGATGGGAACGGGGAAGGGGGCTGATGCGGAAAATAGGTGTCATATTTTTTACGCGCAGAGAGCGGTCGATATAGTCGATGGGCTGCCGAAGTTTGAGAAGCATAAGGATGAGAGCGACTTGATGCCTGAGACGCTGAAGGAACATGATAAAGATGGGACGGGGAGGGAGGAGAAGGCCGAGTTGTGAGTGGGTGGTGTGGGGCGTGGGGTGTGGGGTGTGGGGTTCTGCATAGAGAACGAATCTATCTGTTTATACATGTCAAACGGCGAGTGAGCGAGTGAGATATTGTGAAATTTCATCTGCCAGTAGAGGTGAAAAGTAGATAGGAGGTAAATACGCTGCTCCGGCAGTGGTGGTGCTTGGTGGAGGGGTTTATTCTATTGTAATGGTCCATAAAGCAATGTATCGTATTGTACAGCAGTCTGGAGCATGCTGGTTATGCGCGACAAGCGAGTGACGCTGGCAAGAACGACCGTGGTGGCGAAGGTGCGATGCTACCTCACACTCGTTATGCACACCGGGAACGATTGGAAGTTTGGAACCTCACCCAACCCGCGCGATGGATCAGTGTGTCAGTGTTCAGAATCCAAATGCAAAGACGAAGAGGTTCAGCTCCATAGATGTTCAGACTGGTGCGGTGGTGGAGATGTTTTTTCTATGCGGGCTTTCACGATGGGGTTCTCCTACTAGCACATACTGCTGTGAGGAAGAGGAGTGTTCATATTCCGTTTTAGTGATAAAGATCTAGATCCAGATCCAGGGGGTAATATGGTGATGGTGTTGATGGGATACGGTATGGTAGGTACGGTACAGAACGAGTGATGGAAGACGGTACAAAAAATACTATGGCCAGAAGCACTGTAGACCACCGCTTGAGAAAGTAGAGACTTGATGGACGGTGGCCCACAAAAACACAGACTATGATAGTATAACTCGATACCTACCGCAAACGGACGTCCATCAACGGTCGGTACTCTAATACCGGTAGGAGATGAAGAACGGTATACGGTATATAGTAGACACGCAGATTACCCCGGAAAAAAAACGGAAGGAGCTTGAGCCGTACGAGATACGCAGTTACTACATGTAGGTAGTGCGTAAGAACCTTATTGACTGAGTACGGTGCATGTTCTAGCAATGAAGTTATGAAGTTAAAGGTCCATGAGCTTTGAAGTGTTTATGTAGTCGGAAGGACGTAATCTAACACCCAGATCATCAAGTACCTACTTTGGATAGTTGTCCCTGGAAGCTATCCCGAAGTTTAAGTAACCATAAAATTTGAACTCGGAAGCGACTTCTGCCGTTCACCAGTACTATACGTAAGTATTTCGTTGCATGCGTCTGAAAGAGCGGTGAACAAAAGGCCTTTTCAAATACCAGCAGTGCAGTGCAGTGCAGTTCCATCTTCCGTTCCTCACAGCAGCCGTCGGAACACAAACCCTTCGTCCCCCGCCCCTCGTCCCTCGCTGATCCCCTCACAGAGTCGTAGCACTCACGATCTCACGATAAGCTTTGCTTATACTCCACTCTCGAAATCCACTCCCGGCTGCATATATGCCGATCGCCGCAGGCTCCTAGAATCTCCCCTAGAATCTGGTCGATGAGTCTTCTCAGTCCTCAGTCCTCAGTTCTCCGTTCTCAGTTCTCAGTTCTCAGTTCTCCGTTCTCAGTTCTCAGTTCTCCGTTCTCAGTTCTCAGTTCTCAGTTCTCCGTTCTCCGTTCTCCGTTCTCCGGCTTCGCCGTGGATCTATCGTTCACATATATAGGGGCTCGCATATCTACTGTAGTTATATACACGTGCTGGCGCTTAAGCCTTAAGGAAGGTGCATTCTGTAGTTATGTTGTCTGTATGTATCTATCCCCACCGCGCGCTACCCGGGAGCCTTGGTGTATGTAGTAGTGCTATCACGGTGCAGTAGGACTAGGACCGTGGGTTAGAGTAGAGTACATTTACTAGTTTTCTTCCAGATATTTAGGGGGGCAGGGGAGACAGATGGGAGAGAGCAAGGAGACGGTTCGAGCTGAAGGTGGAGCTGAAACGTGAGATGAAGGCGGTGGAAGCATGCACAAGTACTTACAAAGGTAGGCATGGGCGCGAGGATGGGATGGGGAAATCGGAATTGGGAGAGTTTCGGGGAAAGTATTTGACATAAGTAAGGACGATGTTAATCATGTTATCGCCGAGTGACGTAATATGGAGCTCCTACCACCCCATATGTACACTCGGGATTTCGGTTGGTTGTCTGGCGCGCGGGTAGGGGGAAAAAGTTAAAACTCAGTTCGCGCTCCACGGGTGGAAAAGGTATTGGAGAGAGCGCGACTTCGAGGAGAGGAGAGTACGGTTCGATATCTGCCAGATTCCGAGTCACTTGGGCCACGCCCCATATGCGCTGCAGACGCATCGTCGACGACGGATGAGCGCGGGTAGTATCTGCTTAATGTACGTCGGTACACGCCATCGCGAGTTCACGAAAGATGAAGCAATGAGACGGAAGCGGCGGCAGCCGTTGCGCTGTTCAGCTGTTCCGTGATTCTGCAATACCACGCATGTATGTAGGAGGCAGACGAATGTAAGATATAGAGTGTCTATGAGTCGTGAACCCTGGTGCCGGTGCCGGCGCTCAATGCCCAATGCCCATATCCATATCCATGCCGTGGAGGTGAATTTAAAGTTGTCTGAGCTGCTGCAGGCGTAGGTACCTACATAACTAATCATATCAACGGGTCAGCATGCTTTCTTCGGACACGAGCTCGGGCATGCGTTGGAGATATACAAAGCTGACCTGCGTATCTCTCCTGAGTCCTGGCTGCCGCGTTTTCCCACGGGGTGGCATTTGCGGGAGTGGCCCCCCCTCCCCGCCCCCTCCTCATGTTGCCGTAGGCCTAAGCTCGATCAGTCACTCGGTAGTTAAACTCCACTTATTCGGTTTGGTTTATTTTTTGCCGTTGCGATTTTCTTTGTTTTCTTTTTTTTTTTTCTTCTTTCGTTTTTCGGGGGGGGGGGGGGGGGGGGTTTTTCGTTTTTCGTTTTTCTTCTTTTTTTTCCTAGCGAGCGAGGAAATCTCCGACCGATGACGATGCACAGCACAGCACACGGACAAGCAGGCAGGCTGGGTGCAGGGACTGTTTCAGCGGAGTCTTCTCTTCTGTCTCCACCTATCATGGCCCAGCGGTGGGTGTCGTCTCCTTTCCTTCCGTAGGGACGACGTTGAGAAAGGACCGTTGATTCGGCTGACGTCGTGGTGTGTGTGACGGCTGTGCTCGTACCTGCATCGTAAGTGCGATTTCTTTTCCCTTTGTCACCACCCTGGTATCTCCCGATAGCTGCTGGGACTACTTAGCCAGTAGTATGGTAAAGCACCTACGCGGCGGCGGCGGCGAGTTGCTGGCTCATACATACGGTACATGCTGGTGCCGGTTCTCACCCGCCTCTTTCCTTCTGTTGCCCCTTCTTCATCTTTACTCGCGCCGGAAACGCAATCTCCCATGGCTGCTCTTGGGTGCTGCGAGTGGTGATGCGATGGAGCGGTGGTGGTGTAGATAGACTTCTGCTAGCAACGGTCCCACCACCAAGAGGGCAGGAATGACGGCGTTCTGGGCAGGTCGTGGCTGTCTTGTCTCTCGGCAGGTGGGTCTACCGTGAAGCGACGGTTGCAATGCTGGGGCCAGAACGATCCAGCGAGTGCACCGTCGAATTGGAAAGGGGTGACCACGGCGATGGGTGGCATAGTGGGGGAGGGTCTTTGTCGGAGTTGCCGGCGGTGATTGGCTGGCAGGATACCTAGCACGCACATCCCCCTGCAGAGCGATGCTCGTCTGCAGATGCGAGGAAACGATGGCGCGGGATATCGAACACGCCAAGTTAAAGAATTCCTTCTGTGAGATTTGGGCACGGGTGGTGGTGGTTGCGATGCTTGAACGTGCTAGCTAGATATCGACATTCAACATTCGACCTCTTTCGGTGTGGCGGCTTGTCACTCACTCCGCTGGCGCACAATGCAACGCCGGTTCGTCCGAAACTGCTCGTCCGTTGTTGCTACTTCTTCTCGTCTTCTCCCCCTTCCCCCACAACATCCTTTGTTTTACTCTTCATCCTCACCGATCAAACCTCACTCTCGTTTCGACTTCGCTGCACATCCACCACATCTCCCCCACCACATTCTTTGACCATCTGTCACTCTTTTTGATCTTTGCGCTGCTCAAATCACAACAGAAGAGTAGTTTCAATCGTTACGCTCAAACACCACTACAAGGAAAAAGAAGATAAACATGGTTTCCATCAAGCTCATCGTCGCTGTGGCTACAGTCTTCGCTGCTGGTGTGTTCGCTCACGACGGACACCACCACATGCACCGCCGTGGTGTCATCAACAAGAGGTATGCTTATGGCCAGAACGATACCATTACCACCGGCATTGTTGGCACTGGTACCGTCGGCCACTTGGAGCCCGTGGTTACGCAGACCACCTACATGGCATCCACCACTTCGTGTGTGACGGTAACCTACACTCTTGGTGACGGTCGTGCCATCACCAAGACGATTACGAAGACGATCGAGGTGCCTACCACCGCCTACGAAACACACTACTATTCCACCGCCCCCGTCGACCCAACTGCGTCTGAGACGACCACCATCTACCACTACATGCCGTCAGCTGCCCCCGAGCAGACCGATGAGCAGGACCGGGAGACGATCACCTCGACTACCACTCGCAAGGTCACTGTTCCGGTGTACCACACCGACACCGAGTACCAGACCAATGGCCCCGTCGCCCAGCCGTCTATCGCTCCCGTCGAGTACTCCGAGCACCCCACCACCACCAAGACTGTGACCGCTACTGCTGTGTCGACGGAAGTCGTTGTATGTGAAACCCGAGCAATTCCTCTTTGTGATCTGATACTAACACATCACAGCATGTCACTATGACCATTGCGCCTCCCGCTCCTATCTACCCTGTTGTCAGCTCGAGCTCTATCCCTAGCTTCAGCTCCAGCTCTCTGCCGGTTGTGCATCTCCCTCCCTACGCCAACTACACCATGCACACCACGGTCAAGAGCGGTAACCCGACCACCTTCAAGCTGTACACCACCGACAAGGCCGCCCCCGTCGGCCCCACCGGAACCGGACTGGTTGGCTGCTCCACGGGTCAGACGACGACCATCACGCAGTCGGTTGTCACTACCGTTGCTGGCCCTACTTCCGTCGAGACTGTCTACCAGTACTACTAGAACGATTCCTGCGGTGGTTGTTTCGGTAAGGGTGGATCTCATGCGATCACTCGGCGTTAGCACCTCATCCTTCTAGTTTTCTTGTTCAAGTTTTTTTTCTGTTTTGTCGGCAGCTTGAGGGGAAATAAACCTTTGTAACTGTGTGTTGTGTTCTTTCTTTTCTTTTCTTCTTCTTTCATTCATTCTTTCATTCTTTTGCTTCTGTGTATCTACTTCGGGATCTAGGGGAACGATGTGATGCGAACCGCACGGACGGCCGAAACGGAATTAAGTGTTTAGTGTTGCCAAAGTGTGTACGTTTAACGTGTGCTGTGTGCTGTGCTGTACGAGGTGCTTCGATAGGAATCATCTGATTGGAGAACATCTACATACTATGCTTGCTCTACTATGAGTGTTGGGTTCTGTGTGAACGAGGGTGGTTGGGTGTGAATGGGAGCTACGGTACCGGTATGGTGCTTCTGTGAATGGTCCGTCGACCTGGGGGGTTTCATATCACACATACACCGGTGAAATAAAGATATCTCGATGATCTGGTTTCTAAATGGTGCCGATAGGTATCTTCTCCAGGACCTTTTCGGGATAAGAAATGGTGGGCAGGCTTAGCTTCATGCTTCCCCAGGCCTGGCTACCTACTCCACGGTGAAACAAAGATCTCTCGATGATCTGGTTTCCAAATGGCGCTGATACCGGTATCTTCTCCAGAACCTTTTCGGCATAAGCTGTGGTGGGCAAGCTGAGCTTCATTCTTCCCAAGGCCTGACTACGTACTCAGACTCTAACGTATTTCCTAGTCAAGATTACTTCTTAGCGGTGGGACAAAGGCTACCACATCTTCTCCAGGAAATTTCAGAGACAGGTATCATACATGGCGGCGAGTGAGTTGAACCACATTCTCCAAAGGTTGAGCGGCATCCACGATGTACTGGGTATTTTCTCAGCGGCGGGACAAAGGGCGTGAACCTCATGATCTGTCTCCCTTCATGCGTCCATATTCTCCACGGCCTTCCGTGGCTAGGAAACTACCGGAGCAAGTTGAACAGCCTGTGATTGACGCTTGAGGTATAAAACATAGCGCTGTCCGCGATGCCAGGGCTGGCGCCGAACCTATGCGAGGCAATCGTGCTCGCTGGCTCCTTGATCCTGCTCACCTGGGCCAAGGGAGTGCCCGTGTTTTGCACGTGGTTTAACAACGAGCATCCCGATCGCTGCGAATGCCTAAGAGACGCTGTGTGTCACCAAGAATTGTGGAACTCACGGGGGCGGGGAGGGTGGTGGGAACGAGGGAAGAGGGTTGGGGAGTTGATGGGTTGATGGGTTGAGGACTGAACTGGGACTCGACGAGGCGTTGCTTTAACCTCAGACCAAGCGATGCTGAGGAATACACAAGTAGAGTACCTAGATCCAAGTGGGGTAGTTCATATGTTTATCTTAGCATTAACTTACGCGAGGGGCCGGTGAGAACTGTGACTTGAGCTTTATCTTTTTTTCGCCTAGAGTCTACCCAGAGTAACGCAGTGACGTTGAGGTAGAGTGCGGCAGATGACTCGAGGAGATTCTTTCGAAAGGGTTCTGTGCTGTAGCCACCTGCTTGCCTGTGTCAGCCAGCTGCTCTACTCTACCTACCATCCCGGTCAGTCGTGGTAGCCTCTAGTCTCACCGACGTCAATATCACGAACCCCTCCGCGCTGTAACAAACCGCCCTCCCACCATAGACCGCCCATCCCACCATCCCGCCATCCCCCCACAACTTCGCTCCCAATCCCACCCGACCTCCGCACAACTCCACAGCACATTTGCACGCCCATCCGAAGCTTCACCAAGACCTTACGCAAACCCATGTCCTCTCCCAGTCCCGACCTTCCAGCGGCGGCAGATGCAGATGCAGTGACTTGCCCCCCTCCCCCTCCACCGTCCCACCACCCCGCCGAGTAACACCTAACTGACCCCCGCAGATCCGCAGCAAACGCTTAGCCCGTCTCCAAGCCCTGCAGCAGCAGCAACAGCAGCAGCGACCATCCGCAGAACCGAGCCATCCACCGCCAGACGCGCCCGACGAAGCTTCAAAGTCGGCCACGACGCAGCAGCAGCACCGTCCGGAATCGCGACTTCTCGCCCCCACCACAACAAATCCCGAGGTTGCGTCTCCATCGCTCAAGCGCGCGGCGTCCCCCACGGCAGCTCCGCAGACCATCAGGATCGCGCCGGCGGCGGCGAGTGCTGGCCCGTTGAAGCAGCTACTGGCACCGGAGGGCGGCCTCACACAGCAGGAAGCCTGGGAGGATCAGAAACTCGGGCAGATTTTTAAGGTTGCGCTAAGGGTATGTGCTCCCCATCCTATACGTGATGTGGACACGTTGCGTTCGGGTGGGTGGGTGGGGGTGCTGATGGAGGGGTTGAGCTACAGTCGAGCCCGAGAACTACTTCCGGGGGTTATTTGATTCTGGATGATTTATGCAGAGACCTGCAGGACGAGGTCGAGCCGGGGAAGGGTAAGTGGAAGGAATGAGATCCTGCATGTCGTGTGCTCGCTCATTGATGTGCTCCTGTTCCAGTTCCCCACCTCTCGGTGTCGATCCTCGACCAATTGATCCTGAGCATTTGCGGCAAGAACGTGGTGCCGTTGAATCATCTGATCGGATCGTGGAAGCGAGCGATGGATATCCAGCGCAAGACTCCAGCGAGCAGGTTGGACGCGGAAAAGATTGGGATCCTGAAGGAGGTTAGGCGCATGTGCTCCAACTATGCGCTCTACTGCATCACGATGCCGGATATGTTTGGGTGGGTGGTCTTTGTGACGGGACACGGTGCGAGACCTTGCTGATTCGCGTATAGCGGCAATCAGCCCCCCGTACGGTTGGACCAGCGGTTGATCACCGACCCGGAAGACGACCAGGGACTACCGCAGGACATCTTACTGGAGTGGGTGTCGAAACTTGACGAGGAGCCGGAGCTGTTGGGTAAATTCGAGGAAGCCTTCGTACTCATGAGCACAACACTAGCAGACATGAGTATGTGCGACGACTATAAAGTATACATCTCTGCGCTCAACCGAATAGCACATATCAAGCCGCTGGCGGACATCTTCACCGGCCTACCTGAATTCTTGTCTGAGACGGAACCACAGGACATGGAGACGACGATGGTGCTGGGCCCGTTCTTCCGGATCTCGCCACTGCAGGCCGAGGTATCCAGGCAATACTTTTCCAATGGCAAGGCGAAGGCAGCAGTCACCATTCGGGACACCACAAATGCCCTACGCATGGCCTCGAAATCGCTGCAGGAGGAGCTTGCGCAGATTGTGACGGCACTGTGCAAGGCTTCTGATCGGTCGCGCGGACGGGTGCTCGACTTCTTCGCCGCAGTCATCAATTCAAACAGGAAACGTGCTGCACTTCACGTTGACCACACTACGGTTAGCTCGGACGGGTTCATGGTCAACATCTCGGCGGTGTTGACCCGTCTGTGTGAGCCGTTCATGGACTCGACATATTCCAAGATCGATAGGATCGATGTGGACTACTTCCGTCGTAACCCAAGGCTAGAAATCGGCGAGGAGACAAAGCTGAATGCCGACGATCAATCCTCGAAGAAGTTTTACTCTGAGGTCGTAGAGGGAAAGGATAGTTTCATCACCGAGATCTTCTTCCTCACCGTCGCGGGGCTCTACTATGGCTTGGGTACGACGGAGTCTGAGCACGACGGACTTGCTAGGGATATTCCCGAGATGGAGAGGCACCTGGCAAGAATTCAAGAGGACCGGCAGAGATATATTGGGGTATGCTATTACTGATACATCATGTATCACCCCACACTGGAAGGCAGAGACTAACCGTGACGATAGACTCCCGCTTTGGCAGTTCTCGACCGGAACATTGCCAAGATCAAGGACCGGATAGATGGCGCCATTGCATACAGATTCGCTCTCGAGGTGGTCCTGTGGGATCGCACCATACAAGCTTCGGTACTGCTGTTTATGAGGTATCAAATGGTTTGGCTGCTCAGACTTGTTGATCCACACCATCAGTACCCGAATAAGCTCATCACGTATGTCGTTCCCCCACCATCCGATGCCCGTGGCGAACTGACCAATGTGACAGATTGCCACTGCCCGACCCTCCGGCGCATGTTTTCAACCATCTACCAGAATATATGGTCGAGTCCGTTGGTAACATCGTCAGCTTCGTCAGCGTGTACACGCCCGAGGTTCTGATCTCAACACAGTTGACGGAGCTCCTGGTTTTTTCCGTGACTTTCCTGCGGTCATCGAAATACATCATGAAGGCCACACTCAAGTCGAAGCTCGTGGAAATAATATTTTACGGCACTCGACCGGGTGGCCCGTCTCGCAGCGGTAATGGATATTTGGGAGAACTGGTCCATGGGAACAAGTTCATCCTGCAGCATCTGATGCATGCGCTGATGAACTTTTACATTGGTTTGCCCCTTCCCCTACCTATCCGACTGATGGAGGCTAACAACAACACAGAGATCGAGAAGCATTACTACGAAAAGTTCAACGTGCGCTATCACATCTCCAAGATCATCCAGCAGCTCTGGCCCAACCAGCAGTACCGGGACAAGCTCGAGCAAGAGAGCGAACACAACGTGGACTTCTTTGTCCGCTTCGTGGCCCTGTTGCTGAACGACGTGACATACGTCCTGGACAATGCTCTCGCCGCACTCATCGACATCCGCAAGTACCAAGATGAGCTCGAAAGCAGTGCGGCTAGCTTCCTTACTGAAGAGCAAAAGTCCGACAAAGAAAAAGCTCTGGCCAAAGCAGAGCGCGACGCACAATCATACATGCAGTTTGGCAACGAAACCGTAATAATGCTCAACCTCTTTACGTCCGCCATCGGCGATTCCTTTGTACAGCCCGAAATCGTCTCTCGCCTCGCTGGCATGCTCGACTACAACCTCGAAGCCCTCGTTGGGCCAAAGTGCAACAACCTCCGCGTCCGCAACCCCGATAAATACCGTTTCAACCCCAAGGCGCTTCTCGGCGAAATCACAGGTGTATACATAAACCTCTCCTCCAAGCCTCCGTTCATCGAAGCCATCGCGCGCGACGGCCGCTCCTACAAGCCGCAAACCTTCGAGCTCGCCATCTCGGTACTGCAGAAACACCACCTCCGCAGTAACGAGGACATCGCGGTCCTTGCCAAACTTGCGCAGGAGGTGGAGATCGTCAAGGCGCGCGAGGACAAGGACGAACTGGAGCTGGGCGATGTACCAGACGAGTTTATGGATCCGCTCATGTTCACGCTCATGGAGGATCCTGTCATCCTCCCTACGAGCAGAACGAGCATCGATCGACAGACTATCAAGTCGCATCTGCTCTCTGATGCTACAGACCCGTTTAATCGTGCCCCGCTGAAGATTGAGGATGTTGTGCCTGGTATGTTAACTTCCTTCCTTCCTTCTTTCCTTGGAGAAAAAAAAAGAAGGGTGTGGGATAAATGGCTGACTGACTGACTGCTGGAAAAGATACGGAGCTGAAGGGAAAGATCGATGCGTGGGTTTCTGAGCGCCGGGCGGCGGTGAAGGCTCAGAAGGTGGCGGCAGAGAGCGGAGCAATGGAGATAGATGGTTGATTTTTCTTTCTTTCTTCTTTTTAATTTTATTTTTGCTTTCCTTTTCCTTTTCCTTTCCCATTGTTCGATCGTTCGATCGTTCTACCTATCCTTTTCGAGTGGGCAGCCGTGTTCGTGTTTTGGCATGGTTGCGTGTAAGGCTTTGTACCTGTGTATGTACAAACGTGTTGCCGTGGAGGCAGTTATTCATGGAGGTAACTCATGGCCCAGTACAGTAGGTAAGTAGGTGGATGAATACCTACTCTACTCTACTCTACATACTGCAGATTGATGGTACTGTGTTTCTGTGCTCCCTTCAACTTCAACTTCAACTTCTTTAACTTTAGCTTCAGCTTCATCAATAAAAGTAAAAGTCTCCAGGTAGAACAGGTAGAAGTAAAATAGCATTATAACCCCTCCCCCCTCCTCCTCCGTATCTCCTCCATATCATCATCATCCCTCCTCATCATCCTCCCAGCGTTGTACATATCCACCGCTCCCCTCACCTCCCAAATCATCACGTACATGGGCACTCAAAATCAAAATCAGAATTCAATGATAGAGTTTGTAGAAACTGGAAAACGGCGAAGAAAAAAAAAGGGAATGAAATGCTACAAGCTACATAGAGTAAAGAGGTATAAAGGGAATAACACAAGAGCAACATACAAAGCAACATACAAGCAAAGCAACACAAGCAATACAAAAGCAACAAGTAAAGCAAGACAGCGCAAGACAGTAAAAGCAAAAGCGTGTGATGTGTGTGTGTTAAAATAAAAAAAAGAGAGAGAGAGAAAAAGAAGCAAGCAGATTCACGTCACTTTCAGCCCCTCCCCTTCTTCTTCTTCTTCTTCTTCTTCTTCTTCTTCCGTGGCAAAAAGCACATGTGAAACCACTTCAATCATTGTAGCGATACCCGTCCCTCCATTCTCTGTCCGCCCCCTCCCCTATACCGCTCCCACAACCGTCGACAAGTAGGAAACAAACACTAGACACGCAGCACACACACACACACGCACACACACAACACAAACTAGGAACACACAACACGGACACACGAGGCAGCAGATGATAGACTAAAAAACAACACAGGTATATTCGGACTTCGCGCGTTTGCCATTCCTTTCGGTCTTCTTCGCTCCTTTACAAGATGCTGCACGGCTTCTTGACCTTGGCCTTCTTTTGCATTAACGCGCAGCGGGTGGCGTGCTCAAACACCTCACGAACACCCTCGTTGGTCTTGGCGGAACACTCGAGGTATCGCTCGGCCCTGATGACCTTCTTGACGGCATCACCCTGTACACAGGATTAGACATCATGTACACGTACGAAGCAGGAAGCATGCAGGACATACCTCGTTCTCGGTGACGGGCTTCTGCGACGTCTTTGCGAGCTCCTGGATGGTCTTCTGGTCGTTCCGCAGATCCTTCTTGCAGCCGACCAAGATGATGGGCAGACCGTGGCAGAAGTGAAGCACCTCAGAGATCCACTATATCGAATGAATTAGTTGCTGATCCCCCAAACCGATGCTTATCCTGAAAGCGCGTACCTTCTCCTGGACGTTCTCGAGCGAATCTGGCGAGTCGATCGCGAAGCAGATCAGGATGACGTGCGAATCGGGGTACGAGAGAGGTCGGAGACGATCGTAATCCTCCTGGCCAGCGGTATCCCACAAGGCCAGCTCGACGTGCTTGCCATCGACCTCGACATCGGCGACGTAATTCTCGAAAACGGTAGGAACGTAGACCTAAAACACACACGCGTTCCGTCAATTTTTCTGTTCGTCCATACCACGTGTCGCGGACCGGTTCGGGTGTTTGCTCCGGAAAGTTGAGAATCTACCTCAGGGAAGGTTCCTTTCGAAAACACGCTATTGATCCAAACCGTTAGCAACCAAGGCAAGGGAACGAGACTGGAACCGAGGGAGAAAAAAATTGGAAGATTCCTTACATGAGCAAACAGGTCTTTCCGCAGGCTCCGTCACCGACAATAACCAACTTGCGTCTGATTTCGGCCATTGCTGCTGTAAGGATGGACGAGCTGTGATTAGCGAGGGCGCAAGATAACGAGGCGCGAAGCGAAGTGAGAGATTGTGGCGAAAGAGGAGGATAGAGAGAGAGAACGAGAGACAAGAGGAGAGGAAGAGCGGGTGGTGTAGGAAAGAGGTAGTTAGGTAAACGGCAAGTGGTAGATGGCAGCCGAAACACTTGTGGTTGTTGGTTGTGGTTGCTGTGGTGGTGGTAGTGGTGGTGGTGGTTGGGATGGAGTTGGTGTTAAGGGGCTGAAGGTATTGTTTATCGGGGGAGGGGGGATGGGGCTGGGGCTGGGTTGTGGAACAGAGCTCTCTCGAAGCGGCCACAGCTTCCAAAGCTGGGAGAGCTCCATCTCTCTCCACGATAGTGTCTTTCTCATATGCTCTCTCTCTCTCTCTCTCTCTCTCTCTCTCTCACCAATACTCCATCTCTCTGTCCGACTGTTTCCTTCCGACAGCTCTCCGGAGTGGGGGGTTCAAATATGACTTACCAATGAGTGTTTATCTCTTGATCAGGGGTGTGTTGAGCGAGCGAAGGTCGGGGAGCGCGAGTCGAAGGGAAGAAACGCGATTTGCGGTCGGTCTGTGGTATCGGGGAAGATGTCAGTTGTGTGTGAGGAAGCGGGTTTGGTGGTTGATGGGGATTATGAATTTGAAGATGGAGGTTGGGTGGTAGTGGTAGCGGGAGACGGGGTAGTAGCAGCAAGCAAGTAAGGTAGTAAAGGGGAGGGAAGGTCCGGGGTGGCGGTGGAGGGGGATGGGGGGGATACTCAAGACGTACGTATTGATTATGGGGGGTGGTGGTTGTGGTGAGTGTGGGAGTTGGTGGTTGGGATGGTGTTGCAGTAAGGTAGAGAGGTAAAGTAAGGTAGCAGAAGCAGTAGCGTCAGGCAGGGCGTCAGTTCGGAGGTGAGTGAGAGGAAGAGGAGGAGGAAGAAGGAAGGGAGTGGTCTTTGGGGGTGGTTGGCTTAGTCGGTGGCTGCCTTTGCTTGCTTGACTACATACAAAAGTGACAGTGCCCGACCCAGCACCCGCTCGGGGCTTGGCCCAACAGCAACCACCACCACTCACCACCACTCACCACCACCACCACTTTCAATTGCACGCATCTGCGTGCGCGGATGAGATTGGGATGGTTTCGTGCTTCAATTGTTCGCAGTAATTTCAAATCAATTCTCTATTTAAATAAATAACAGATAGTTGCGTAAAAAGACAAAAGAAAAGGGGAATTTCGCTGTGTATGATTCATGATTCACAATTCCCCACGCCCTCGCCGTGCAGTCGCCCGCCCGCGATTATTCCCCCGTCATTGCTGCATCGCTGCATCGGTCGGTCGGTCGGTCGGTCACTTCCCGCCGTACCGTATAGATACCGTATCTACCGCATCTATCGTGAATTGGAGTGCTGGTGCTGATGCTGGTACTGGGAGACGACGGTATCGAATCCGGCGGATCATAATCACCGTAGTTACGGTCTGGTATGCCTATTGCTGCCCAATGCCCTCCCATGATCTATCCCCCCCAAAACGAGGCGACATCATCCATCACCGTTTAGTAATCCCCGTGCCTCGAGCCTTGAAAGGCCCGCCCTCCCATCCACCCCCAACGAACGAAACCCGGACCAGCTCCAAACGCATCCCGTCCGTTGCCCATCCATCCATCCACCCATCCATCCATCCCATCGTTCCTTCCCCCCTCCCTCCCATCCATCCCCCTCCCCTTGCGGTAGATAGTGGTAACCCTTCCCCTGCTCGATGACGCGCAATCATAAAACCCGCGAACAAACCAGTCCAAACCAGTCCAAAAGCTGCCCCAAACGTGCACCCACCCCCCAGAAACACGAGAAAATGAGAAACGAGGGAAATGGAAAATGGAAGAGAAAAAACGCGACGCGTCTGTCCTCCTATCTATCTTTCTGCCTGCGAAGTTGTCACGGATCCGAAACCAAAAAACAAAACAGTACCCATTATGTATCGGACCACTTCCCCCCCAAGCCCCAAGCCGGCCGCCCGGCTGTAAGCGCCTCATCCCGAAAGCTTAGCTTAGCTTACCACTTACCAGCCTTCTTCCCTTCCCTTCCCTTCCCCTTCCCTTCCCTTGCGCGCCCGCCCAGTCCAGCTGGGCAAGCCATCCTACCTATCGCTGCAAGACCAGTGGGCGCGCGGGCAGTGGGCAGTGGATAGACGGATGCGTGGATGGATGCGTGTATGGATGCGTGGGTAGGTGGAAGGAAGGAAGAACCCGCATCATGTCATGCATGCGTGCGCAGGCAGGCAGGCAGGCAGAGTCAAGGCTGAGTGAGGTGAGTGATAGATGGGGAGTGCCCAGGCAACAGCCTACCTCCATATCTACCTGCTATGTACTCTACATATCATACCGTACCCTTTCCTTCCTTCCTTCCTTCCTTCATCGCTCGATCCAATCCAATCATACCGTATCTCTAGTATCTACATATCATCATCCATGGCATGGAAACTGGACATGTGAACTGAACCGAACCGAACTGATTGATATGCATGTTCCCAATTCGCATCCCCATCCCGTCCCGTCCACCATATCATTACATGGAGTACATACCTAGATACCGTATCCACAGCCATGAGCGAAGCCGCAAATCCAGTGCCAAAAATAACAAAAAAAAACCAACCCCCAGCGTTTGCAAGAAGAAAAGACATAATCAAGATCCCAATGACAATGACAGCTCAACGGTTACATGTGTATGTACCACTACCGCGCCGGACTCTTATCGGGCGCATTCATTCTCAGCTCTTGACAGATCTCAAAGCACTCTGCAAGCAGAGACGCGACGCGACCTTGGCCCTCCGGGATGTCGTTCCCTACCATAAACTTGCCATCCACCTTCATGTTCTCGATCGATGAGAGCTATAGATATAAGCCAAGCGTCAATACGAGTACATATACGAAAAAAAAAACGGATGGATGACTCGACAACAACAGCAACAACAACCGCCTGGATGGTTTGGTTCACCTTCATGCTGTAGGGGTACAGATCCCGTGGATCCGCAATCCCGAATTTCTGCACTTCTTTGAGACAGCGCTGGACGGTTTGAAGTTGGTTAAAGATCGGGGTCAAGGCTTCGCTCACGGGCTGATATCGATCGGGTTAGCATCCCGTCCTCTCCTCGATGTTGATATCATGTCTTACCTCGCTAGAAATCAACAGAGTATAGATATGTGCATACGACCGACGTAGCAGATACAGTATTATCTGCGAATCACCATAATCAATATCGAGCTCATTCGGGAAGGAATACACCGCAGCCTCACACTCTGTCCCTCTTCCGGCGAGGACCCGTCTTCGGCGACAAACTTGCCGTCAACACGGCCGTCGTCGTACTGCATCAGCTTGATCATAAACTCGTAGAGATCCGTCTCTCGCAGCGACCACGCCTGAGTAAGCTCAAACTTCTCAAGCTTGTGCTTAACCTTGTGGAGGGTATCGGAATAGTGTAGCAGTCCCGGGGCGATGACGCCTTGCCTGTACTCCAATCAGCTCCTGGGGCCATCCATCACCACCACCAACCGAAACCCATCATACCGGCTCAATGCCTCCTCAGCCATGGCATAGCACCGATCCATCACGAGTTGCACCTGTTTCTGCCCCTTCTCCGGGACCGCCCCATCGTCGCCAACAAACTTCCCAGCGATTTTGGTCGCGTCGATCTGCTGGATCTGGTCGAGATAGCCTTTAATTTCCGACTCGGAGAACTACACGGGGTGGGGTGGGGTGGGTTAGCTATGTACCGACCGACCAGCGGGCCATGCTCCCAACCAACCAACCACGAACCTACCTTCTTCTTCGCCTCGGCGGCCTTGATGCAGCGCCGCAGACTCACGAGCCGCTCGTGCACGCCATACAACGTGGGTGATATCAGGTTCAGCTTGTCCTGGAGGTCCTGGAGAACGGCTTCGCACTCCTCCACCTTCGCCGCCATCAGTACGTTGACCCGCAGGTCGTGTGTGGATCCATTGTTCTGAATCGCTTCTTTGAACCCGCGAAGCGTATCGTGCACCGGGGAGATGTCTTTGTTCGAGAAGTTGCTCGACTCCGTAAGGTGAACTAAAAGCCTCTTTGTGAGGTGTAAGTGGGAGATGTCGATGACGTGTGGTCGGAAAGGGGGGAGGGTTGCGTGGTAACCTTTATTACAACGCTGGGTGCGTATCTGTGATTCCGGTGGTGGTCTGTAAGTATAGGGTGAGGAGGGTTCGGACATGAGAGGATTCGTACGTAGCCGGAGGGTCGAGGTTCCTCCCGATCGTGAGAAACAACAATGAGATCAGTAGGAAACAGTTATCGAGCAGGCGCTCAGCTATAGGCGGAGGTCAGTGATGTCCGAAAGGGAAAGGTTTAATGAGGGCCATGAGGTTGAGCAAGGAGGAAGAAGTACCATCCAACTGTTCGGAGCTCTTCTCGTTTCCGCTATCCAAAGCTCCAAATTGACTCTCGACAGCTCCGTGTAGTTCACAAAGTGTATCGTAATTAACTAGCACATTTGCGGAGCGAATGTAGGTGGTGCGATCTTCCTTCAGGACAATCAGGCCATCAAGGAAGTCCCGGAGGCGCTGGGTGATGGGCGTAGTCTCGGCCATCTTTGAGGAATTTGAGGTTGATGGTGGGGGGTGACCTATGTGTAGTGGTAGTATGTAGCGCAGCGAGCGACAGCGGAGTTGCCTCCAAAAGTTCCGTCATCGATTCTTCCAGGTTGTCACGGTACTATGTTCTAGCGCATAAGATAAGGCGGTAGCGTGCATCTTATCACCCATGGCGCCACCAGCTCATCGGATTATGGCGGTGCGGCTGATGCTGTGGTGTGGTGTGGCGCCCGATATCTCGGCTGGGGTTGTGACCTATCAGCCGCACCCACAAACCACCGCGCCAGCAGTCTTAACTTTGTGCGTGATTCTCGACACACCATTCTGAACTGGCCAATTTCACGATCAGCTCCCCCCCGCGACAATCAACCGAACCGAAACGCCCCGACTTTACGACCCGACCAGCATCGTACAGGTGAGCCATCTCTCCCCTCGAGAAAACACTGCTTCATCGCATCGCAAAAAAAAAGAACAATAATCTGACGAACGAATCCGAGCGATACAGCTACTCCCCACACAATGTCGTCGACTGCCGAGCTTGCAACCTCCTACGCCGCGCTCATCCTTGCGGATGACGGCATCGATATCACAGTTCGTCGCCCCGTCGCAAACCCCCGCGCTACACCGCTCGGAGGAGGAGAGGAGGAATTTGGAAACAGCAACTGACGAGTGATTCGTCGTACAGGCCGACAAGATCACCAACCTTATCAAGGCTGCCAACGTCGATGTTGAGCCCATCTGGGCTTCGCTCTTCGCCAAGGCCCTCGAGGGTAAGGACGTCAAGGACCTGCTCATGAACGTCGGTTCCGGAGGTGGTGCCCCCGCTGTCGGAGGTGGTGCTCCTTCGGGAGGTGCCGCTGCCGCCGGTGGTGCTGCTGAGGCCGTTGAGGAGAAGAAGGAGGGTACGTTCGAGATCAACCCCCGCTACAGCAATACACTCGCCCAGGAATCAGGTGCTGACAGAAGGAAACAGAGAAAGACGAGGAGGAGTCCGACGAGGACATGGGTTTCGGTCTGTTCGACTAAGCGGATTTCAATTACAAATAAAATCCTTGTCATGGTTTCGAAACTCCGGCGATGTGGGTGCTTTCTGGGTTAGAAAATGGCGTTCATGTTCTCTTCGATGCTGGACGGATAGCAAATGCGAATGTCTGGTGCACCAACTTTGTTCCAACAGTGATACCGTAATGCTTTTCCCGTGATCTGCCGCCTTGAGTACTCTGGATAGAACAGCTGAATTCAACTGTGCAACCTCCTTTGCCCAGCATCCATTGCCCGACCATGAGCCCGTAAAGTCTGCAGCGTAACGTCCACGTGCCCAACCTGATGGTCAATATATCATCACAGATCTCCCTTCGTACCTGCTCTGCATCCATACATCCACCTGCAGTTTCAGTCCAAGAATTGAGCCCTACGCACCCCTAGACCAATGGGCCACCCCCCTCCGCGCCGGGCCCAGTGGCAGCGGCAGCTGCAACTTTAAAGACATCGCCTAACCCAAACACGCTAGACTGAGCCCTTTCTCTATGGTGGGGCAGACCTTAGCTTGGCGCAAATCTTCCACCTTCCACCTCACCACCCACCATCACCACCAGCATATCCCACGAATACAAAACCGAAAAATGTCGACACTCCTCCCCCCCAAAGCCAAGCGCGTAAAGCGCGAAGAACTGCAGCGCGCACGGGAACAACAGGCACCAGACCTGGTCCCCGACGATGTGCCAAATGTCGTTATACAACTGCGCGCATCAGACACCGGCACGCAGCTGGGCGGAGAGTTGCACATCCCCGGCAATGCGAGCGCGCAGCAGCTGGATCAGCTTGTTAACAAGCTTTTGGGGAGTGTATGTTTTTTTCTCTCCATTTGTAATGGCGGCGGGATATGCGGGGCTGATTGAGGTTGGTGCGTAGGAAGATGATAAAGTTCCGTATACCTTCTCGCTCCTCTCGAACCCTGCGGACCCGAATTCGGCGGTGATAGATATTGCCACCGACCTGTGGAGCGCTGTGTTGAAGCCGGGCCACAAGTCGACGGAAGACGTGCTCACGCTGGTATACACCCCGCAAGCGGTGTTCCGGGTGCGTGCTGTGTCAAGGAGTTCGGCGGCGATCGTCGGGCATGGAAACGCCATCCTTACTACGCAGTTCTCTCCGGCGTCGAGTAGTCGCATGGTTACGGGCAGTGGGGACGGCACGGCGAGGATATGGGATTGCGACACCGAGACACCGATGCATACATTGAAGGGCCACACGAACTGGGTGTTGGTCGTCAGCTGGTCGCCGGACGCAGAACTGGTCGTAACGGGGAGTATGGACAACACCGTACGCATGTGGGATCCGAAGTCAGGCAAGCCCCTCGGCGACGCCATGAAAGCCCACAGCAAATGGATCACGGCGATTGCGTGGGAGCCGTACCACCTGCAACAGCCGGGCACGCCGCGCTTCGCCAGCTCTAGCAAAGACACCACGATCCGGGTGTGGAACGCCACGCTGCGACGAGTCGAGTTCTGCCTCGCCGGGCACACCGCCGCCGTCACCTGCGTCAAATGGGCCGGTGACGGCCGGATCTACTCCGCGTCGCAAGACAAATCCATCCGCATCTGGGACCCCACCAGCGGCCGCTGCCTCCACACGCTCACCGCCCACGCCCACTGGGTCAACCACATGGCGCTGTCGACCGACTTCGCGATCCGCACCGCGTACCACGACCACCTGGGGCCCAAGACCATCCCCTCCACGTCCGCCGAGCGCATCCAAAAAGCGCACGACCGCTTCACCGCGGCAGCCACCATCGGCGGCGAGCTCGTCGAGCGCCTCGTCACCGCGTCCGATGACAACACGATGTACCTCTGGGAGCCGTCGTCGAGCCTCAAGCCGCTCGCGCGGCTCCTCGGACACCAAAAGGCCGTCAACCACGTGTCCTTCTCCCCGGACGGCCGCATCATCGCCAGCGCCTCGTTCGACAACAGCGTCAAGCTGTGGTCCGCCCGCGACGGGAAATACATCACGACCCTGCGCGGCCACGTCGCCCCCGTCTACCAGTGCGCGTTCTCGGCGGATAGCAGGCTGCTCGTTAGCTCGAGTAAGGACTCGACGCTGAAGGTCTGGGACGTCAAGACCGGCAAGCTGCATACTGACCTCCCGGGCCACCAGGACGAGGTCTTTGCTGTCGATTGGTCGCCTGATGGCGCCAAGGTCGCCAGTGGAGGGAAGGATAAGGCTGTTAGGTTGTGGAAACATTGATTTGGCTGGAATATGTTTAAAAGTTTTTGCCGTTTGGGTTGGGTGCGAGGGGCGCGGCGGGGTGTATATACTAGTACATTTATATCTCTTCTGGTTGTATTTTTTTGTTTTGTTTTGTCTAATCATCATACATATCATTCGAACCTTACTAGGTAGATCTTCCGGTTGGATGGGCGTGGTTATCAAGATCAAGGAATAGACAAAAAGCTGGCTGCCGAGTGAGCGATAGGCGGTGGAATAATCGAAGCAAAAGTGACCCACCATACATACATCGAACGAGACGCAGTGGAACAATCGAAGCAAAAGTGACCTACCATACATAGGTACATCGAACGAGACGCAGTGATTGTGAAGGAGTAAAAACCGCACGAAATTTTTATTCTACCAACGCCGAAAATAAAGACCAACTTTTTCCCATCCGCATCGTCAACAATCACATGTATGTAGCAGAGCTTAACGCCGCCTACTCCATCATCAAATCGTCCTCCTGCATCATCATCATCTCCTTCTCCATTCCCCTAGCCCTTCCCGCAATGAGCTGGCGTCTGATCTCCGGTCCGACGAGGGGATGTCCCTTGACCAGCAGCAGATCGAGCAGGGCATCCCGCTGGTCCTCGGTGATATCGTTTCTGTAGCGCTCCGCGAACGCGAGCAGGCTCTTGTGCCACAGCAGCGGCAGCTGGTCGTCGACGCTCTTGAACCGGATGAAGTGGAACACCAGTCCGTCAACGACTTTGTACGGCAGCGCGTACTTCTTGTCGATCAGCACTTGGATAAACACGCTGGTCGGCCCAGTGTAGTCCATCTCGCAAAGCCGGAGAAGCGCGGCCGCCGAGTGCAGCACCGGGATCGAGATGCGCGTGAGCACCGAGCCGATTATTTGTGCTTCTTTTAGGGAGCAGGTGCCGCTCTGGAGATTACTGGTCAGTACTGACTGCGGAATAGCTGAGAAGGGTGGGGAGTATGGTGTGTACCTCGGCCAGAGGGAACAGGAAGCCCTTGAAGAACGCCGCTGGCTTGTATAGCGACTTTTTGATACTGTTGTAGAGATGAACGTTGAGTTTCTTGCTCTCATGGATTTCGTCGCGCACACGGTCCAGGAGAATTAATGACAAGAATCTATCATACACACAATTAGCACACGGCTCATATCTCACGGAGGGGCACGCTTACTTCTGAGTCTGCGACGACTTCTGCGCGGCAAACAACTTCATCGCCTCGTAGCACGCATTTGGCGTCCACTTATCCGGTCTTGTAATAAACAATATCGGCTCCCAATTTTTCAGCGACGGAATAATCTTGAACGCCTTTGGCAGCTTTCCGGACTTATATCTTGACAGCAGGATTCCGACTCTGTGGGCGAATCATCAGCCATGAACCGACCAACCACGCATCACATGGACATACTTGGTGTAGACCTCGACGACCTTCGGCGGCAGCGCAAGTACATCGTCCTGTCCCTTGCCCTGGCCGCCTCCTCCAGCAAGCTTCGCCTCGTGCTCCGCAATTTTCTCCAAAATCTTATCTGCGAGCGAGACCCTCTGTTCCTGCTGCCCCTCCTGGGGCATGAAGCGATTGAAGAGCTCCTCGTCGCCCTCATCGACCTCAATCTCCTCGACCTCCTCCTCCTCGTCCTCGAATCCATCATCATCGTCGAACTCTCCCTCATCGCTATCCTCCTCCTCCTCCTGCACCTGAATCCTCATCTGCGCGCCTCCACCACCAATGAATGCACCCACGCCAACTGCGGCGGCGGCCGCCCGCTCCTCGGAGATCTCGTCTTGCTGCTCCTTCGCCAGCAGCAGGATCCGCTTCGACAGCCCGCTGTCGACATAGTCCTCGGGCCGGTCCTGCTTCTCCTTGCGCTTGATGCGGGCCACCTTGCGCAGGTGCCCCGGCCCGTGCGACGTCTCGAGCAATTCTTCGTGCAGTGGGTTGTGGCGGCGGTGCGCGCGCGGCTGTGCAAGCATTGTGTCCTTCGGCATCGTGTGGTGTGTGTGTGTGTGTGTGTGTGTGTGTGTGTGTGTGTGGGATCGAGGGGCCAACTACTGTACTGTCTGTCTGTCTGTCTGTCGAGGGGGGTTTATGTGGCAGAGTGAGTTGAGTTCGAAGCGTTAATCTATCTGTCTGGTCACTTGCGCTGGGCGCTGGAATTTTTTGAGTTTTGCTCGTTGGAACGTTTTGCCCCACAGTGCCAAGATTTATTTCAGCTAGCTGCCACCCTGTGCCGGCTCATAACTACATGGAGTCACGAAAATCGGCACGGGTCCCTCCCTAACCTTCGCGTGTCAGCTCAGACTCAGCTCCCCCGATCCCCCGATCCCGACTTCGCCGTCATCAGCCAGCACCTCCGAAACATACAAATCCACCATCCACTATCGAAAAAAAAACAAAACTGGCATCTCGCTAAAATTACGTGCAGTCCCGCGTATTTCCGCGCCGAATCCGAAATCATAACAGCCCATGTACATGCATACGATACAGATAATCATCAATTCTCGTGCGCGCCCGCACCGGCAGTCCCCAACCTCGCCTCCAATATCGCCGCAACCAGTCCCATCTTCCCGGACTTCCACACGCGGTCGGCAACGACATCGCCAACCTTCTTTACCAGCGCCTCCCGAGTCTCCTCGTTGATATCGACGCCCTCGGTCTTAACGAGGATGCCGGTTTCGTCCTGCTCGAGGAGCTCCAGTACGTTGAAGATCGCCTCCACTACCATCTCTGCATCCGCCTTCTTCGGTGTGTTGTCCTCAATCTCTGGGCGGTACACTTTTTCGTAGAGTTTGAGGTTGGGTAGGATGAGGACCCGCACGGATTCTCGGCCGCCGATTGCGGCGAGGCCAACGATCGCGCCGTAGTGTGTACCCAGGGGCTTGGACGGGTCGAGGAAGTGCTTCAGACATGCGCGAGTGAGGCGGGGCCGGAGGGTGTGTGATGACTCGCCGAAGCGCTTGCAGACGAGCTTGATCAGGCTGGCGGCGTAGTTTCGAAGGTGAAAATGGTGGTTTGTAGATGGGTCGCCGAGTCGCTTGCCGACGAGACATGTCAGGATGGGGGGAATGATGGAGGTCACCTAGTGCTGTCAGTCAAACAGTGCTCGCCTTCAGAGAATACGAGGGAGACGGACATAGGGCCCGATAAACAGGTTCTCGTTCTCCAGCAACGCATGCGTTAGATGCATCATCTGATTTAACACAAACATATCCCTCAACTTCTGCGTAACCTTCTCGGCGACAAACTGCAAAAAGTACGGCAACAATTGGTGCAGTCCCGGATCGTGTCTCAAGCTCGACAGCGCCGCGCCGTGAAGATGCTCGTTCGACTCGTCCATGAGCGCCGTGCAGATCCGCTCGTAGTATAGCTGTAACTCCTTGGACAGAATATGTTTGACCAACGGCTTGACCGTGGCATTCTCGCTGTTCCCCGCTGTCGCCGCGAGCGACGATGTAGTGTTTGACCCCTTGGGTGTACCCTCCGACAATCGTGCCGCCTCCGCCTGCGTAGGATTCTGTGCAATCGCTGGTTGCACACCCTCGATCGCGAGCCAGTGTGCTAGTATCCCCCGCTCATCAGCCGTCGCCCGCACGCCGCCCGCACAATACCATTACATACCCGTGAACGTAACCTCCCTCGGCACCTTCGGTAGCGGGGCGTTTATAAGTTTTTCGAAGTCGACCTCCTCGTCCTCTACGTAGTATATGGGTTGAGCGGGGCCCACCGAAGCCTCGCCGAACCGCAGCGGTCGCTGCGAGTCGTATCCGTACAGCGGTTCGACGTTCAGTACGCGCAGCGCATGCGAGATATCTGTGGTAGCTAGCACCGTCCGTCGGCTGTGTCGCATGAACTTCAGCGCCTCCTGTAGTACCTGGTGGATCCGGTACTCGACGTCCATCGCGAGGTTGTTAGCGACCTCGTCGTTGAGGTTACCGATGCCCACGGATTCGGAGACATCTTTGATCGTGTCGCTGTTCCAGAGCGACATGGTTGTGAGTGAGTGGAGATTTGGTGGTGGTGTACGAGTGGTGATGTGGCAGTGGGGTGGTGGTCGTGGTTGTGGTGCTGGTTGCTGGTTGCTGGTTGCTTGCGGGTGGAGAGACGTGAATTGCCGACCAACGTGACTGCAAACGTGACTTACGTGTTTGGCGTGCTTCACACAGAATGACCCCCACCACGAGCAATCACTCGATAGTTGGTTTTCACTTCGCGATTCTCCCTGGCCATTCTAGGACCAATAGCGACAGTAAATTAATTTTTCTCTCTCTCTCCAGCACCAATAGCACACCAACATTCATATCTGTTTTCACGATAAACTACAAATTCCAGATTCGGCATTAGATACTTTGGTACCACAACGCTACATTCAACCATAATAACCACTCATCGCACAGTCACCACACAACACACAACACGACATACGACGCATGGCTTCGGTATCTCAGCCCTATATAATCAGACTCGATCCCGCCCGAGATTCCAAGGTGCGGTTAGGTTATTATCATGACGGCTTGGTTCGGAAAAATGGTCGGGACCAAGGAGGAGGAGTGGAGGAATCCGATTCTACTTGGTAGGTATTTGCTCTGGTTATCCGATCTACATAGGAGTCATGTGCTGGTTTCCAAGGTATTTCGATTTAGTTTTTCAAGTTGAAGTGTCATTGTGAACGACGAACCTTCCAACCAGGTGAATATTTTGCTAAGTAGTATGTAATGAAAAGTGGAGAATAGTGACAATTGCTACAACCACTCCCCACTACCCAGGAGTCTCCAACCGTACAGAGCCAGCAGATTTTGGGCGAAGCATAGAATGTCCCATTGATCCTCCGAATATTCCACGCCGATTGCGCACAGGTTGAGTAGAATTGGTACTGCAGCCAAGCCAGACGAGCGGCTCGCTTATGTCCTCTAGCGGCCCGCTGTAGTTAACCCCAGCTGGAGATCTACATTTCTTTGAAATGTTCCGTACACGGGACGTCAATCCACCATGGGACAGTCGACCATCGAGGAGTTTGCCAAATGGTTGGAGGGTTGGGCGGACGGGATTGGAATATCTGCAGTGGCAGAGTTCAGATTTTAGTTTACGGAGATGAATGAGTACTAGTAGACTTTCCAGTTGAATGTGAGGATGTATCATGTGGTATGCTTTGAGCGTCTGAATCTAGACTTCATTCTTGACTTTTCCAATGCTCCGGAGTCAAAGGTATGTATTCTGTCTAGCTTTTCTACATATCTGAAGGATATACCTCCTCTAGCACCCTAGTTAACCTTATACCTTCTGAAGCTCAGAGCTACCTACCTATATCTATCTGTATAGCCCGTCGGGGCACCCACCGCTTCCCATCCGGCAAGCAAGCACAAACATCCTCATCCTCTCTCGTACCTCGAAAATCACCACCACCACCAGCCTCGCCATCTCTCTTTATCACTCAAAACGATCAACGGACCAGACCAGCCGTCTATGGATCCGCCAATGACAGGAGGAAGCTGCAGAACTTCTCGCTAGACGACCGGAGGAGGAGGTACCCGATGGAGTGACGCTCTATCTTCCTGTAAAAACTCGTTTTCCCCATACACCGCAGACGTGCACGATAGCCTGACCATCCCTTTCCCCGTAGGCAAAGCGGAAGCGGAAGCGGCCAAGCTCGCGGAGCTCACGCGGCTTCGGGGCGAAAACGTTCGGTTAACGGGCGAGGCGGTCAGACTGACGGGCGAGGCGACGCGGTTGACCGACGAGGCGATCAGGTTGATCGACGAGAATGTACGCTTGAGGGCTCGGGCTCGGGCTCGGGCGAAGGCGCGGGCGAAGGCGCGGGCGCGGGCGAAGAAGATCGCAGCAGCAGCAGCACGGCCGGGTTCTCAGGCTAGCGGCGCCGGAGAAGAGGCCAGGACGAAACTGTGCGACGAGTACGACGGTTTCCTTGAGGCAGTTGAGTATGAGTGGAATTGGTCGGTCGACAGGAGGATTGCCATGCATGCGTTGGTCGAGAGGGTTAAGAGGTTGGGGCCGTCTGCGGAGGTGAGTGATTTGTTTGTCGAGATGAGTGAGCACGTTTTCGAGCTCGTGATTGGGGCTACCCGGATTAATGATGATCTTTTCATGGTCTACAATGAGTATGGAAGGAGGTTGCGGCTTATTCGCTTGGTGTAGTTAGGCCTCGTCCAACCGGGGGATTGGGGGGGTTGTCATCGGGAATTTGGGTTTAAACTGAGCGTAAAACATTTGCAGTAATTCTAGGATATGTACCAAGATATATATACAGAAAAAATAGACTCAAAAGACCGGTCATACATAGCACTCATCACGCACCTTCCATGCTCCGCCAACTATCTACCATTACACCGTGGTCTTCTTACTGAGCGGCAAGTTCCTGGAAGAATCACCGACATGAACGGTATATCCACCAGCCCCAGCACCCGGAATAACCCAATTCTGCAGCACGACGTCCCAGACACTCAGATCCTTCCTAGTGAGCTCGAAGGTGACCTGCTTCGCCTCGGTAGGTGCGAGCTCGATCTTCTTGAAGCCGCGCAACTGGCGGATCGGTGTGTCGTACTTTATCCCGCTGGGGAACTCGAGGTACAGTTGCGGCACGGCCTTGCCCGTGACCTCGCCAGTGTTCTGGACGCATATGGTCACCCGGTAGATCACGTCGCGGAGCGCGGGGTTGCCGCCTTGTGCGCCGCCGGCGGCAGGTGCGGGCGCGGGAGTCGTGGTGTAGCCCGTTGGGTATGGGTATGCCCCCGTGGTGATCGTGGAGGGGTTGTCGAGGTAGGGGTAGATGTATTTGCTGATCCGCGTGGTGATATCTGAAGGCCATGCGACCTCGAAGGCGGGCGGGATCGTGGTGGGGTAGACGGGGGTGGCGCCCTTTGCGGCGCGGGCGGGCGGGAGCTCGGAGGGCGCCGTGACGGTCTCGATCGAGATGTCGCTGTAGGTGAAGTCGGTGTAGGAGAGTCCGAAGCCGAAGGGGAAGCGTGGGGCGATACCCTGCTTGTCGAACCAGCGGTAGTCGATGTAGGCCTTTTCGGTGTATTCATTGTCCATCTTTCCGGAGCCTTGGGTGACGAGAGCAACGGAGGAGCCCCAGTCGGAAACCGCCTTACCCATGGTGTAGGGAAGGTGACCGGAGGGGGAGACATCACCAAAGAGGATCTCGGTGAGGGATGAGCCGGCTTCGCGGCCGGGAAGGTGAGCGTTAACGACGGCTTTGACGTTCGGATGGTCGATCCACTTCTCGACGATGATGGGACCGACGGTGTGCATGATCACGATAGTGTTGGGACAGGCGTCCGCGACGGCGGTGACCAGCTCGTCACCGCTGTGCCAGGCGTACAAGCTGTTGCGGTCACCTTCGTTGCCGTCTACGGTGATGTAACGCTCGCCGGCATCAGCGCTGATGAACACGAGGCATTTGGAGTTCGCGGTGCCGGCCATCTGCTTGACCGCCGTGGTGACGTCGTCCTTAAGGATGGACTGGACGTTGGCAGCACGGGCACTGATGGCGGCGATGGGGGTTGAGATGTCGGGGTAGTAATCCGCGGTTCCGGATCCCCAGCCCATCCCCAAGACACCGCTGTTGCAGCCACGGTCGACGCAAGAATTACCACCGTTGGGGTTGGGACCAGCGTCGGAGCCGAATACGCGAATGGTGTCGGACTCCGCGATGGGCAGAGCGTTATCAACGTTCTTCAGGAGGGTGATACCATCCCTGGCAACAGCCTTAGCGATCTCAGCGTGATTGCCCCGAACATCGATGTGCTTGTTGACTGTGACGATGGGTCCGGTGTTGGCACCCTTGTAGAGGACATCAGTGTCGCTGGTGGTCCAGCTGGAGAAGGAAACGGGAGGGTAGTTCACGTCCTGGCCGAGTTGGTACCAAGCAGCGACGATACGGGTGACGGCGTCGTTCAAGCGGTCCACGGGGACGCTGCTGTTCAGAACGGAGCGTGAAAGGGAGTCTCCCCACAGAGACTTGCCGTTGGCCCAAGATTCACCGTCTCCGGGTTGGGTCTGGTCGAGACCAGCGAGCATGTCCTCGACGCCCGAGCGTTGGGCAAGCCAATCAGCCATAACGTAGCCCTGGAAGCCGAGCTCGTCCTTCAACACGCCGTTGAGAAGCTTGCTGTTGGAGCAGGCGTAGGAACCGTTGACCATGTTATAGGAGCACATGACCGATGCCACACCGGCTCGCACCGCCTCGCTGAAGGGCCAAAGGTACAGCTCGTGGAGGGTTCTGTCATCGATGTTCGACGAGACCGTGTTGTGGGCCCATCCATCACCACGGAAGTGTTCCTGCTCTGGTCATTGCGGAGTCCCCGTCAGTTTTCAAGTCCCACACACGATCCAAGGAGTTCAAAATATACATACCGTTGGCAATGTAGTGCTTAACGGTAGCCTGGACACCGGCGCCCTGAATACCGCGAACGGACTCGAAAGCGCCGACTCCCTGGAGGTACGGGTCGGAACCGAATCCTTCCCAGTTCCTGCCACCGTCGGGGGACCTTCCGATGGGTCCAACGGAAGGTCCCAGGAGGACATGGACTCCCTTCGCCTTGGCCTCGGCGCCCATGGCGGCAGCACGAGCGTACATGAGTTCTTCGTCCTGCTTGCGGTCAGACCATGTACCATCCAAATCCACACGGTGCTATATCATACCCAAGTAGCACCCGTAGTGATTCCAGGGGGGAAGGCGGTGATCAGGTCGGCAAACCGTATCCCCAGAGGTCCATCCTGTGCGCAGATCGAGGGGAACCCGAGACGGTCAACGGGGCCGGTATTGCCAACACAGAGTCCTTGGGACCATCCTACATGAAAACCGTCAGAACCACCACCACCGAGCAAGGACCAAGAACTCAATGGCACAAACCGATCGTCGTAGTGATGTTGACCTTCTCGGCCAGTGTCATCTGGCCAACCATCTGGGCGGCCTTCGCATAGGCAACGCTCCAGTCAGCGATCCAACCGCCCTTAGGCGACGGGTAGTAAGGCGGACTGTCGAAAGCACCGTTCTGTCGTCCAACTAGAGGGCCAGCGTTCACGCCGGAAGCAGCCAATGCTGCGAATAGTAGCTGTTGAACCTTCATCGTGATGCTCAAGTCGAAAGTGATTGATTGACCTAGGTATGCGTGCCGTAAAAACCATGGGAAAGCCCCCCATATACAGTATTTATATCTTTCACCGAACTATTTACTTTTCTCCCTGTCACAGTACGAGAGATGGCGGGTCGGAGTATCACTCCCGTAAAAGACATCCACCCCAGGAAGACAGCTAGAGTGCTAGAGTAGGTAGTTACCACCGGGCTTGCATGCATGCCTACGATGCATCCGCTTGGAGATCCTAGGAAATTCTCCAGCGCAGCTTAGAAAAGCGAACGGCCGATGCCCAATGCGCTCACATCATAACCATCCAGCTGGCTCAGGCTCCGACCGATCTGCACTCATCCCAGCAGCCGCACAGGGAAGCTGTTGCGATAGAGTAACTGTAACATGCCCGACCACCGCCATGGACCGTGGAGAATCCATGATGTACCGACCTACACATGCATTAACTATCATGAGCAGCCTAAACATGCATAATAAAGCACAAAGTTCAAACTAATCGCAATATCGTCGGTTCTGCGGCCCGTGAATTCCTCACATCATACCTCCGTCTGCGGATAGGGATGTCTTGGAAGCGGAGTTGCGCGAGAGAGTGCCCGGTTTCCAAGGTTAACTGTTGGCAAAGACGCCTCCTTCCGGCCATCGCCTCCCACCTTGGCGGCCTTTGCAGTTTGAAGTTTCGCCGGCATTCGCTCCGTTCCGTGGGGTTCGTCATGTTCATGTCTGCGAAAGGGGCGGCGCAAATGGTAGAGTATGTAGAGAACGGTATGCAGACGGAAGAGAGGCGCACATGTGGGAAGCAGCAACTCTGTTGGCGGTGTTTCAGGCGTCAGCTGTCTTTGAATCTCGATCGGTCCGTGCCGACGACGACGCCCGTCGCCGGAGGCGGCGGCAAGGCGTCAAGCAATCTCCGACGAAGACCAACCGAGGAATATTCCCGAGACTTTATTTTTTATTTTTATGTTTATTTTTTGCGTATTTCGGAAGTTGGCTCATTGAGGGATGACCACCATTCGTGTCTCACAGACACAGCTCATACCGGTGCTCTGCATACAGTCTCCATCTCCGTTGGTGATAAGTCCTCAGCTGCCCGGCCATGTCCCGACGTTGACAGTTGAACGGCATGTGGCACAGTCTAAGCGCGAACCGAACAGCCGCTCCGCACCGCCAGCCCCGTTTGACATCTCCATGTGGCGCAACATGCAGTAGCCATTCATGTGTGTATGTATGACGGCACAAAATGTATCTTGGAACGTCTACTTACTCTACATACTCTCTCCCCGTCCAAGCGACCAAGTGTTTGGTAGACTACGGTACCAATGCCGTAGTACATACTGCATTCCCATCCCCTGCCTACCCGCCTCTCGTATTCCGCCTTTCATGCTCCAGCACGGGCGTCGTTCAACTCCGCAGATCTATCCGTTACTTCGGTCCTGCCCGTCTCGAGCACCCCCATCCATACATAACGCCCAGGAACCATCGAGAAATCCCCCGCAAAATTTCCCCACAACCAGGCCTAGTCCCCTGTATGTCGGTTGCACTGGTTAGTTAGCGGCAACGTGGCAGCGGCCGCACGATTGCCGGCCGGCGTGTCGTACCGGTTTTCCCCTCCTGACCTGGGTGGTGGTAATATATTGTAGGTAACTCCTGTTCCTCCCAACAATCGTGCAGAACGTGGCTTCTGACACTACCGGTATCATGACGCCTTTTCGAGCATCGTCCCTTCCTAGACCCCACAAGCTGCGATGGTGAATGCCGGTTAGTTGCGCAATGAACACCGAGGAGGAACGAATCGTTTTCTCGTAATAGGTACACTACCTATGTTCCTACATAGCGGACACAACGCCGGGTTTTCTATGCATGCATGCTTCCGCTCCTCGTGGTCTTTGTATGCATGTGTATGCCTCGCGTGGAGGAGGAGGAGGAGGAGGACGAGGAACTCCACCGTCGATCCTCGTATTGCGTCCAAGAACCTAATCGCACCACGACCGAATACAGCAAGAGGAAAGCATCCCCCCTCCTCCCGGTGTCAAAGCCCGCTCGCTTCGAGTGGAGATCTGGGGCGCCGCAGGCCGGAGATCTGTCCGGCGTATATAGAGCAAAGCGAAGCACATGCTCCAACTCCAGTTCTAGTTTTCGGCCACCATACTATACCGTATGTATTCATCCTCTGGGCAATCCCACGCCAGAAGTTCTTGGACCGGAGCATCCACTCTTTCCGCCGGCCGCCCAGAGCCGTGAGAGATCCTGGGACTGCGTTGTGAAGAGACTCCAGACTCGAGAGTGGTCGGATATCATACCGGCACTCTATTGAGCGCTTCGGCGGCCGGATAGACGGACCGTACCGTACCGTAGAGGAAGTAGAGTGCTCGGCGCCGGCGCCGGGCGGTGGCAGTCTTGGTCGTCTTGGTCGTGTTGATCTCTTCTTCTGGCCGGCCCTGTGGAAGCGTAAAGTACCAGGTAAGTACCTATCCAGGTGGGCACTCAATGGGTAGATTGCGTTTATACCGTATCCTTGCTCGGAATCAATTTGTTGTTTTTCTTATTGTATGACAGCTGTTCCTTCATCGACCGCAACCTAGGTTCGGTATATAGTAGGCTATGGCAAGTGCAAGGGGACCATACTAGTGACTACAAAGAGTCACCACGCGAGAGGTTCGGACTGCGGAGCAAGAATCCATGATGAACGCTGAGAAGTACTGAACCACTACACCGCACTCGACCGTACAGTATTAAATCATGGCCAGTTACCGTACTCTATATGAGCAGTTGTTTCCGTCTCCTTCTCCTCGGCAAATTCGTACCCGCAATTCCCTTCTATCATGAATCGTGAGTGGACAACAAGCCCGAGTGCTGATACTGTATGAGGAACTTCCAATGACGACCTGTGGAAGACCTGTGGTACACGGCAAAGTCCAAAATCTCCTCTAAACCCCCTCATGTATTCATGTATGGTTCTGCGCAACGATAGCGTACAGTCTACACAACCCTCTACACAACCCTATAACCATCCCTATATCCACCCCCTCCCCCTCCCCCTCCCCTCCCCCCGCCCCCCTCCGCCGCCCTGGAGTTCAAATCTTCAATCCTCCATGGTAATTGCTCGCGACAGCCTGCAGCAGCTGCGTGGCAATCGCCGTTCCAGGCGGCAACCTTATATCACCCTGTTGATCACCCGTTAACACCACCATTTGTTTCCCTCCGTCGCGTCCCCATACTCACCTCCTGGAACCCCTCCGGCAGTGCCGCATCCAATCCCGCCGCCGGCCGCGTGAGCATGTCCTTGACGAAGGAGATGGGAAACCATTTCGCCTCTGGTGATTCGTCGTCAGTAGTGTTACTTGAGGGGATAGGTATCTAGGGTGGTGGTGGGGGAGGGGGGAATACGTTGTAGCTCGGGGTCATGTTCCAAGTGGATCTCCTCGCCACCGGGGAGCGCCTCGCCGATGCAGCCGAGCATGAGCGAGTTCGGGTAGGGCCAAGGCTGTGAGGAGTGTACCACTACGCGGCCTACGCGCACGCCGGCCTCTTCCCAGGTCTCGCGGCGAACGGCTTCTTCCACGCTCTCGGCCGGCTCGACGAAGCCTGCGAGGCAGGAGTAGAAGCTAGTCTTGTCAGCGGAGTGAGAGGAAACGTGGGAGGAGACACACTGTTCCGGCCAGCGGCGTTGGCGCCCGAGCAGGACTTTGTCGCCGGCCATGTTGACGATCGCCATGATTACTGTGGGGTCGGTCCGCGGGAACTGCAGGCCGTCAATACCCCTCTCTCCACCACTACCGCCATCACCACAGTAGCCGGGAGAAAACGAACAGCAATGTTGTGTACTCCCTTCCGGCTGACACACGGCGTTCTCTCCACCGGCGTTTTATCGCCGTCTTTCTGCAGCGCCTTATCAAAGCCCGGGCAAACCCTCTTCGTGCCAGCATGGACCGCAATCGTTGCGCCACCGCAGGCGGAGCAAAACTATCCAGCCCAATTAGTATACCCTCACCCCACCGCCGTATCCCCAGCGCATACCCTATTCCTATTATTCCAATCCATGACAGCCCTGGCCTGTCCCAGAATCGCGGCATGTTCCCTCTCCAACTTAAGATCGAGCCTGGTCTTCCTCCACTCGCCCTCGACGCCCTCGGGGGTCCAATCACCCACCGCAACCGCAAAATACGGGCGGCCCTTGTAAACGCTCCCGCCCTCCCTCTTGGCCCACTCGAACCCGGCGTCGCCATCGCTCTCGTCCAAGCCTAGGAACAGCAGCGTTGGCGGCGCCGCGAGCCGCGAGTCGTACGATGCGATGAGATCGTCTTCGTCCTGCGCGTACGGCGCGCCGATGAAGGACTCTACCACGGAGAAGGGGACGAACGCGAGGTGCGTGTTCGACGTTGACAGTGGGTCCAAGTCACCGTTGAGGAGCAGGAAGTGCGCTTGCGGGAGCGCGGCGCTGAGGAAGGCGGTCGAGCCTCGAAGGAAGGAGACACGGTTGAGCGGGGAACCTGAGGGGTGTTAACGGCTTGGACTACCTACATGTGCGGGGGAGCAGGGGCATGCTACGCACCAGAGAAGTAGTTGATCACCTCGGGGCCGAACTTGCTGCTGATATTGCCGTCTGCGAACTCGGTGCGGACGGCGGCGGCGTTGCCGGCGTTGTAGGTTGCGTTGGCGACACTCATGGTACTGGTAAAGTTGCTTGGGAGTATGTACGAGTAATTTCTTCTTCCTGTGATAATCCCTGTTCTGAGGTTGAAGCTGGTGGTCGTTATTCTTATACTCGATATAATCCGGACGATGTTGCGCATCCTACGAAATCCATCTATGACGAAATATCCCCAGAGCCCTGCTTTATACTCTATGTGGTGCGGTAGGTACCCCGCAGGAGCTGGACGCCAGGAACAAACAAGCGCGCCCCCGGAGATAAACAGCCATTGGAGGATTATTAATTCGGCTTTTGCGGTTGTATTTCCTGTGCTAAAAGCATCTAGGACAGTGCATCCCAATCCGGCCCGCTTACGATTACTCTAAAGTTCACGGATCTCCGTGGTGCAGCGCGGGTGATAACCCGTGAATATCAGCTACTCTACATAGATTCTATCTACACGCACTCACTTCACGGATTCTCCGTACAGAAGCGAATTCCCCTCTCCCCCCCTTCTGAGTCCCGCATCAACGCCTCTCAAACAAATCATACCCATCCGGCGGTCTCCTCGGAGTAGGAGCCTCGACTCCATATCCCACGCCGGGAATCCAACCACGTAACTGCGGGCTGCCCCACTCTCCCCACTCCCACTGGAAGCCCTGTGGTGGCCGCCACGGCGGCGGCGGCGCTGTTTGCCGGGGTTGTCGGGGTTTGGGGCGACGGCTAAGGCACATGCTGGGTGGATGCGTGCGTGCGCTGGGAGGGGCGGTGGGTTGTTGCTGGTGTTGTTGTGAGGTGGGTTGGGCGGTGGGCGGTGAGTGATGGCTTATGGTTTATGCTCTAGCGGCGGTGAGTTAAGTGATTATGCTGGTGAGTGTTTCTCTGAATTGGTATGGCAATGGCAGCAGCAGTGGTGGACAGTGGTGGATCTCTGCAAGGGTGAATGATAACTCCCCGTCTCCCCAGCGAGGAGCAGCGGGGCTTATATCTATCTGCATAGCCTTCGTCTAGTTGCCCATTGCGTAGAAATATCCCTCTATCTACTTGCTTCCTATACTTGGTACTTTCAAGTAGATATGTTTACATCTCTCCTCGTCATCCAATGTACCTAGGCCATTTCCCCCACACAATAGAAGTACCAATTGTCGACGCTGCCATCCGATCTTCCACACTTCTACACTCCTTCATTGAAGCTCACTCACTCAGATCGGAAATTCGACGATTAAATGACTTCAAGTGCTACCTGTCATACTTGAAGGTAGATCGCATCCAATCGATAACCAAACAAAGAAACAAAACCTAAGTAGGAATTATCATGCGTGATCTAAACCATAGTGGAGTGGAATCTGCCACGATCACCAGTACTCCAATAAGGTCAAATTCAACAACGAAACAACAAAACAACAAAACCCGATCCACCGAAGTAGTCTCGACACTCGACGAGCACAGAAGGTAATTCCCTGGATCAATAATCTCCAGCAAGTAAGATGCAAGTAAGAAGTATCTTTCACATAGACGGATCTTTAAGTGGTAGTTAATATGTTTTACGCCCTCTCCCTCTCCCTTCCCCTACTCCTCCATCTCATCCCCTCCTCCCATCCCCTCCCCTCCTCTCCCATCCCATCCCTTCCTATCCTCCTCTCTTCCCAATCCACCAAAGAATACAAATGGAAAAAAATAAACGAAAACATACAGAACAGGAACAGGCGGACCAAGACAAAGCAGGACAAAGACAAAGCAACGCATTCGCGGCCCCAAAACACCGCACACAAAGGAACGTTTTGAGAATAGCAGCATACGTAGTAAGAAGCAGTAGTAGCAGTAGTAGCAGTAGTAAGGTTGGTGAGAAAGACAACGGAAAAAAAAAGCAGGCTCAACTAGCAGGAATGCAACACCGCTCTAGGTAAGTGAATCGAGTCCCGTCCCTTTCCACCCGTTACTTTATCCCTTTCTACCCCACCTCCACCCCCATATCCACCCCATCCCGCCAGCCTATCCCATCCCCTTCCACCAGGCACAAGACTTATTATAAGCATCCTCCATCCACCGGTCCCGTCCATCGATCCGCCATTACACACGCACACACACACAGCGCCGGCGATCGGATTAGAAGAAGAACCACGCGAGGAGGAACGTGGCCAGGCATAGAGCGGCGCAGATCTGGACGGGGATACCCTCCGGAGGATGGGTCATCACGCCCATACCAGCAGCGCCCTCTGTGACGCGGCCCTTCGCATCGGCTGCAGCACCCGCGGTCCTACGCAGTCGCGAACCCACACTGTTGAGTTCCGAGTCCAGACGCGCAGTGGCGTTGTTGAGCTCTACTTCTAGACGTGCGATGGTCGCCCGCGCAGCTGCCAGCTCTGATGAGGTGTTACCGTCGTTGGCAGTGGTGGGCCGGCCGTTGTCGCCCGCGGGAGTGGCATAAGGTGGCGGCGAGGACATGAACTATCTCGATATTAGTAATCTTGCCATCGAGGGAGGGAGGGGTTGTAAGGTACCGAAGCCTCGCGGTTGGCGTTATCGCTGATGCTGGCGCCATCATGGACACTTCCAGTGCTCTCGCCCGCCGGCAGGTACACGACGCGAATTTTGCGTTCGCGAATCGCCGACTTCTCAGTTTTCTCGACGTGTGACCACTATCGGTGAGAGAATTAGCGCGTTCACGAAGCGGGAAGGATGGGGGACAGCTAGAATGGAATGGCACGCACTATCTCCTGCACGTTGGTAGCCTCGCGGTCGGCAGTGATGCTGATCGACTGCACCAGGAATTTGTCGCGACACTTGTAGTCGGCCGGGGGGTCACTCTTCATCGTCTGCAGGAGCACTATCGTTTCGTCGTCACCGTCAGAATTACATCACATCACAGGGGCGAGTGAGAGTGAGAGTGAGAATGGGAGTGAGAGCGTACCCTGAACCTCGACCTCCTTTCCCGACTCGATGCGGCCAGAGTTGGGACGGACACAGTATCTGCCGAGGCACAGTCAGTAGACGTCACCCCATGGGCTCGGGAATGGGGAGGGGGGCACGTACTGCTTCGGGGCGGTCGTCTTGACCTGTGGTGCTCGGGGTGTCGCATGTCAGTGGGAGTTCTCCGTTGCACTTGCAGCTCTGCGCTCAGAGGAGTTGGAGGAGTGGGAGGAGGTGTGCGCAGCAGTACCTTGAAGACGACGGGCTCGAAGTTGGGATTCCTGATGTGCAGCGTCTGTGTGACTTCGGAAGTGAAGGGACCTGTGGAGCCAGTCGAGTAAGGATATGTTGTCCCGACGAAAGGAGGGAATACTGACGCTGAAAAGTTAGCTCGGATGGATCAAGCTCGATACTCATGATGGCTGCGGGAGCTGTTGTGGTGGTGGTTTCGGTGGTGGGGGGCGGGTGTTGTGAGTGAGAAAGTCGCGGGTTGGACGTAGTGGGTGTGGGTTGTGTTTTGGTGTTGGGTTGGTAGGTGGATGTGTTGCGATCGAGGGGGTGGTGTTGTAATAGGCCGGGTTGGGGGGTGTTGTCTAAGCGGATTGCGTCGAAGATGAGACGGGACTGTAAGTGTCTCTTTTTCTTGGAGGTATCCACCCAGCAGTGAGGACTTATGTAAGGAAGCAAGTGAGTTTGGTCGGCTCTGAATGGGGATTATTTTTTCGATGATATGGAGAAGAGCAGTAGATCTGGGGACGGATGGGGTTTTGCGATGGCGAACTTTTTGTGTGCCGTCAGCTCTGTTTTTCTTCCCGCTCGTGCTCTCTCGTGTTGACAAATATCCGGGAACAACGATCTGTCGACAAGCAAGAGAGCAGATCAGAGCAAGCAAGCGCCGCATGCGGCTCGGCAGGCTGACGTGGCTGTGCACCAGCCCGTAGAATTGGGAGCGTGGCAATATGCACGCAAGCCACACATTGCGGGGAACTGCTGGCATAAGTACATAGCGGGCGGGAGCATGCAGCACCACCAGCAGCAGCAGCAGCTTCTAGACAAAAGAACAAGCTTCTCGCCAGCTTCTCAACGACCCGTTAACTAAACCCATCTCTGCCCCTCCTCAACCACATAGACCATCATCCATCGAAGCAGCGAAGCAGCAAAACAACCAATCCTCCCAGCACCAGCGACAATGGTTCAAACCGACTACGACGCCCTCCTCGAGATGGGTTTCGACCCCGAGCGCACGCGGCTAGCCGTGGACAGGACCAAGGGTCGTGAGTTATCTCCGCTCCTTTATGCATTTATTGTTGTTAAACCGTCCCTTCATCACAGTCCAGGATGCCATCGACTGGCTCGACAAGAACTCCTCTAAGTCTCTCGACGAGCTCACCAGCAGCAAGCCCGCGCAAGCTCTCGGCACCGCCACCGCTTCGTCCTCATCCTCGGGAGACCTCGATGCCGACGGCGACCGCGCCGAGGCTAGCGGCACCGCGGCCAGTCTCAAGTGCTCCGACTGCGGAAAACTTTTCTCGTCGGCGGACCGCGCGCAGTTCCATGCAAGCAGGACGTTCGTCTCCCCTCTTGTGACGGGTGGATAGTGGTGGTGGCGAAGGGATGGCTGACGGATGGGACGGAGGATAGTGATCACCAGAACTTTGAGGAGTCGACGGAGGCTATCGTGCCGTTGACGGAGGAGGAGAAGAAGGCGAAGCTTGTGGAGCTGCGCGAGAGGTAGATACCACGCACCGTCCATTCTGCGATGCCCCATCTAAAAGCACCAGACTCGCGGCCAAGCGCGCCGCGCAATCCACCATCGACCTAGCCGAAACCAAGCGGAACGAGGCGATCCGGCGCAAGAAGACGCAAGAGACCGAGCAGCTGAAGGAAGACATGCGGCGCAAGGAGCAGATGAAGGCTGTCGAGGCCAACAAGCGCGAGAAGCTCGAGGACGCCAAGGCCAAGGAGCGCGTCAAGCAGAAGATCCGCGAGCAGCAGGAGATGAAGCGTGCCGCCGCCGAGAGGGAGAAGGCGCAGAGGGAGGGCAGAGCCGTTCCTGAGGCTGCTGCCTCCGCTGCCCCCGCTGCCCCCGTCGAACAGCCAAAGAGGGTCATCGCCAGTCACTCGGAAGCGAGGCTGCAGCTTAGGCTTCCCGCTGGTCAACAGCCGCTCATCAAGACTTTCCCTGCTGAGACTACGCTTTTCGAGGTGGCCAGCGCGGTGCAGGAGGAGAGAGGTATGTGTGCACTCGGGCGGGATCGTATGTGATTATTTGCTGATGTGGTTAGGATTCGCTCCGACTTCGTTCACCATGACTTTCCCACGCAAGGTTTTCCAGCAAGGAATCGACTTTGGCCTGACATTGAAGGAGGCTGGCATGGTTCCTTCCTGTGCTCTGATAGTCAGCTGATCGATCGGTATGGCTAGAACTGGACGGGACTCTATATTAGTTGCATGGTAGCATAAGTTTTCTGTCACTGGGAACAGAATGCTCAGTTCTCGAAGTCATCGTAATGCAAACAAACTGATATTGAAAAACAAAGCCATCTACATGACAAAATAAGAGTAAACAAAAATACAGGCCAGAGCAATGCTATACCATGCCATTCTCATGCTAATAGAACAAATATACACGCTACTCCACTACGCATCTTACATTACAAGACCCACCACCGCGTCAGTTGGGCTCATCGGTATCCTGCTGCAGTGTCCGTTTAAAATACGACACTAAAAAGCGGCCAGTCAGCACGAATCACCAGACAGTGAAATGAAGAAAGAACGTACCAGTTTCCCTCAGCCCATCGACAACATTAAACTGCGGCTGCCAACCAAACCTCTCGCCCGCCCTGCTGATATCTGGGCGTCTCCTTTGCGGATCATCCTCTACGGCGGGGAGATATACGACGCCGCTTTTCGTATCCGGCTCGACCTCCTTAACCAAATCCGTGATCATGACCGCGAAGCTATCGATGCTGAACTCATCCGGGTTTCCGAGGTTGACCGGTTCGGTGCACTCGCTCTCCATGAGGCCGATGAGGCCATCCACGAGGTCATGGACATACATGAACGACCTCGTCGCCTTTCCATCACCATACACGGTGATATCGTCGCCCCTGAGCGCCTGCAGGATGAAGTTCGATACCACCCGCCCGTCGTTCCAATTCATGCGGGGGCCAAAAGTGTTAAAGATGCGCGCGACGCGGACGTCGACGCCTTCCTGCCGCGCATAGCTGTACGTCAGCGCCTCGGCCACACGCTTCCCCTCGTCGTAGCAGGCCCGTGGCCCGATCGGATTCACGTGCCCCCAGTAGGATTCTTGCTGCGGGTGCTCGGCGGGGGAACCGTAGATCTCACTGGTGCTCGCGAGGAGGAAGCGGGCCTTGACACGCTTCGATAGTCCGAGCATGTTGTACGTCCCGAAGAAACCGGTCTTGAGTGTCTTCACCGGGTTGGATTGGTAGTGCACGGGTGATGCCGGACACGCCAGGTGGTACACTTGGTCCACTTCGAGGAGGATCGGGTCGACTACATCGTGGCTTTCGGGGAGTTAGCTGGCTGACCGGAGGGCAGAGGGTGGCATAGCTACCGGATCAACTCGAAATTGCTGTGACCAATCCACTGGCTGACGTTCGACTTCGTCCCGGTAAAGAAGTTATCGACACAGATGACATCGTGGCCCATGAGCATGAGCCGGTCGACGAGATGCGAGCCGACGAAGCCCGCGCCCTGTAGTTACACCACCTCCATCAGCCTCGTCTCCCCGTCACCACCACCACCACCACCACCACCACCACCACCACTCCCCGCCCGGGCAACTGGGGGACACTAACACCAGTAACGAGAATCCGCTTCTTCCTCAGCGGACTAAGCTTCTTGACTTGCGGGAACTCATCGGTGGCCGCGTGCGTCGTCGCTGAGGCGGTGTCCAATGTGCGGTCGAGGTAGAGGTCGCGTAGCGTCGCGATCGGGATCTTGCCCGCTACTACTGTCTGTGGCGGCGGCGCTGGTGGCGGAGGCAGCGGTTGGTCTGTGGCGGCGGCGGCGAAGGCTGGCGACGACATGATAGGTAGAAAGGTACGTGGGCGGGCTGGTTTATGCGATGCGATGCGAAAGTGCGTGTATGTATGCTATGTATGCTGGGGAGTATTTATGTTCGTGCAGGGCTGGACGCCGACGGGGGTTGCAGCCGATGGGTCGGTGGATGGCACTTTCTATGATGCGGTTTACCAGTAGTGGCTAGTCCCAGGCCCCTGTACAGCTGTGCTAAGCCATGAGAGCTATTGCGAAGTAAACGGATGTGGGGCAAGGTGTAAGATGGTATGGTGGTATGGTATGGTACTCTACCGTACACATGGACTCATGGAGGTCCTGAGTTTCGTGGGCTTGCACCGTTGCACGTGCTGAGCCCGGTCGAATGCCCGCACGACCACACGACCTTCTCTTCGTATATACAGCGCGCCTCCTAACTACCAGGACCTACGCCCTATGTACTATGATACTAGTACATACACACAATTCATCCGCCAATCCGCGAGCCAACTCTCCGACCGGCACGACACTGGCTGCTTCCCAAACCCCCCCAACCCCCGCTCCATGGTTGTGCGGAGTGTGCGTGGAGTGTGCGTGTGCGTGTGTGATCCGATTGATTACCTACCTATATACCTTACCTCTCCCCTCACCGCAGACCACTCTATCGGGCCGTCGTCCGTCTCCGAAAACCCAGGAAACCGCAGGATTCGCCCGGTGAGTAGTCGGGCGGATGTCTGGGGCGAGGGGAGGGCGAAGGGGGGGCGAGGGGAGGGCGAAGGGAGGGCGATGTTCCTTGCGTCGAGGTACACGTCGGTGTTTTATACTTGGTTGGCTATGTATGAAGTATGTATATATGGGATGGGTCGACTTGCGGCGAGTGCTTTTTGGATGGATGGATGGATGGATGGATGGGGCCGGCCGGGCGGATTAGTGGTGGTGCATGGATTGGTGATGGTGGTGGTGATGGTGGTGGTGGTGGTGGTGGACGAATTGGTGGTGGTGGTGGACGGACACATGCAGGAACCTGGAAAACTTGTGTTGTGAACCGGTCCGCCAGTGGACGCGTAAAGTACTTGGGGTATGCACTGGGGGCTGAAATTTTCCGGGTGGGCGCGGCGGGGCGGGGTTTCCCATGGCGGCGGCAAGATTGGTGGTATGTATTGTACCAGGAGCTGCCAATAAGTGGTGCCTCACCACCATCACGAGTTATAAGAGCTAGTCTGTATTCAGAGTGCACTAAGCCAGATACAATTAAATGAGTGAGTGGTTGTGACTAAGTTGTATTGGGGAAAGACGCTAAGTTGTAGGGGGGAAAAACTGGTGAGGCAGCACTTACCCTTCCACCCGAGTACATATACAAAGTAATCAGCCAGCTGTATGTATGTCTCGGACTCAACCCCGCTCAACGGCGATTTAAATACGGTACGGTAGGTACTCCATCGGATTTACATAGGAAGTCTCCTCCAAGTTCAGGTGGAGACAGATCCAGTGCGCCCTGCACCTAGACGGAAGGGCGTCGAATCTCGATCGTCAAAGGAACAGGAACAGGCTTCGCGACGAGCTCCGAGCCGATTGGGAGGCCCGCCCGGCCGCACACGTTTCTTTCGGGAACGGTTGGCTCAGAAAAACAAGCAATCAGGCAATTGCCTCGTACATAGAGTCGTCACTCCGGCTGACCATCGGAACGGCTGGGGACTTTCACCGGGTAGGGGCCGTCGAGATACGGGCGGTGGGCGGTGGGCGGGATTCGTCGTCGTCACCACGCACTGCCATATGTTCATAGGATATCGGGCAACCCGCCGCCTGGTGCTTCGGCTCGGACGAGTAGTCGTCGAGACGGCCCAATCACCGCTGGCGTCGGGAGATACGGTCCGCGTATTCGGCAAGTGTCCGAATCGGAGTGGCAGTGGGGGAAACTACCGGAGCATGACGGTTCTGAGGATGCCGCTGAGAGATGTCACGGCGGAAACAAGTCCGACACGTTTCGCTCTGGATTATGTAATGCCCGAAGCTGAGCTTTGGGTTCTGTGATCTATGTACTAGTAGTTTGTTACTCGAAGCATCATCTGTCCGTGCGATGCCACTGTCGTGCGGAGAACTCGGCTCGGCGTCTCGACTGACGGGTGCGAATCTCGGAACCCATGGCGCAAGATTCCTCACGGAGCGACTGGAGAGACACTAGGGATTCCGTCGGCGACGGTCGGAATCGACAGATTCTTCCTCGGTCGGCAGCATTCCAGCAACTCCGGCGCCACGACAAGGCTGGCTGTAGTAATGGCGGGGTCCAACGCTTCAATTAGCGGCTCCGTCAACGCCAAGCTTTAACTTGGCTGCAATCATACTCGCATTGAATCGCATTCGCTCGCTGCTGTGGCTTTTCCGGTCTCTTTCCAGTGGCAGCGGGCAAACAGCTGTGGCTTTTTCAATCTCGTTCCAGTGGCCGCGATTCAAAAAGTCGTCACCACAGTACATGCGTGTACCTTCCCGTTCCCTTCCCTCCGACGACTTCAATCCTGGGTCGAGATATATATCCAATGATCGTCGAGTGCTGGCCAACTGGCTGGCCGGTCTTGGGCTTTCCTTTTGTCATGTTTTCTTTCTTCCTTCCGCAACAAGCAGCGTCAGCAGCACACGGAAAAAAGGGCGTAGCCACTCAGATTGATGCCGATGCGCCGGCCACCGCAAGTGCTGCGAGAAGAGAGTGGGCGGACGTGCAGAAATGTGTAGGTCCTTTCTCCTTCGCATTCTTTCACTTGCACTAAGCCCAAAATTAATCAGCAAGCAAGCAACTGCCCCCTCCCCAGTAAACCTCCCACGGTCCCACCCCCAGAGACAACAACAACCGCTGCTACCTCGATCCGCCGCCACCACCACCACCACTTCCACCACCACTTCCACCGACTCTCAAACATCCCTCCCTCCCTCTCCTCGTGTCCACCCCCTTCTCCTCCCACCCCTCTCCTCCCTTCTCTCTACAAAAGTTTACCTGCCCCGTCACTAGTCTCTTCTACTCGTCTTTTCTATCCAACTTCTTTATTTCTCGTTTCTTCGCGCTTCGTCATCGTTCCTGCATCGTCGTCGGCGTCTCCATCCGTCTCATCCCTTTGTCGTCCCCACCCCCCACCCACAAGTTTAAAAGGAACCCACCTCGCCTCTCCACGCCGCTTTCTGCCACTACATCAACATTCACAACCGCAACACCATGAGCGCGCTCATGAATCCTCAACCACTTCCCCTCCACAACCAGTCTATGCACCCGACGAGACACTCCCCTGCTCGTCTCGGTAAGTTTGTTTGCTTTTTCTCCGCGGTCGCCGAAACTGTCGAGTAGTCAACTGACGTTTGTTGTTTGGTTCCCACAGGCGGCAGGAAGCGAAAGGCCGATGAAGACCACGAACCTCGAACCAGCTATTTGGACAATGATATGGACCTCCAGATGGGTGCCTCGCCCCACGTCGCTCCTCGTATGCTCAAGAAGCCCCGCAGCAATGTGGTCCAGGGTCGTCCTCTGCCTCTGCCTCGGCTCCTCGAATCGGTCGATCAGCAAACGCTCAAGAACATCATCCAGGCCATGTGCGATCGACACCCCGAACTTGTCAAAGAAGTGACGGAACTCGCCCCGCGGCCTACTGTGTCCTCTGCGCTGGATACTCTGAGGAACTACGAGTCGACGTACCGCCAAGCGTTCCCCTACGGTGGAAATTCAACCGGTGACTACGCCCACAATCGGGTTCGACCTGCCCTAATGGAACTGCTTGATGCGTTGTCGGACTACACTCCCCATTTCCTGCCACCGAACGAGAGTCAGACGGCCGTTAGCCTCTCGTTTTTGGACGGTGCCACCGATTTCATTCACCGATTGCCCGAATGGGAGAACCCTCTTCACAACTACCCCAAGCAGACGGCGTACGAGGAAATCACGAAGGCATGGATACTGGTCATCCAGGAGGCGGCAAAACGGGGAGCTGGAATCAGTCTTCAGTACGGAGGATGGGAATCGAAACTGTCGAGGCACAACGAGCACTCAGGTGGAAGGATGCAACAGGCTGTCGTCCAGATCAGACAGACACTCGGTTTGGACGAGGGAGCGAACGGCCGAAGTCAGCGTTCGCCCGCAGGCTTTGGTGTCGGTATGCAGTCTGTCTCCGTTCGCACTTGGTGAAGGGGGTAAATATTGGTTGTGATGGACGGACTGATGGGGTTGGGCGACAGGTGGGGTGGACGGACGGACGGGGGGACGATAAATGATGGATAGTTCGATTGGTGTTACTGTGTTTGTATTTTCTTCTTGCGGGTGGCTATCTTTGGGTTGCATACTGTTGAGCCTGGTGTCGTATAGCATGATTGCCTACACCGTTTGCTCGCCTTGGGGTCTTCGTTGTTTCATAGCATATTTTTTTTGCAGTGCCCCTCCCCCCCTCCCCTTTACTCTCTTTTTTCTTTTGTCTTTTTCCGTCCGTGTCTCTTCCTGGCCAGGTTTAGGGATAACTCATTTGCTGGTCTCGCATTTCATTGTTTATTTACCCCACCCGCTCTGTACATTCTCATGCCGTGCTTCGGTTGTCTTTTTTTTCTTCTTTCTTCTTCTTTTCTTTCTCTTTCGTTTTTCTTCTTCTTCTCCAAATATACAAATCTTTTTTTTTACATCCTTAGGAACATACCATACCGAGTGGCGTTAATAATTTACTCTGGAAGGTGGGCGTCATTGGCAAGTACATAGAGTGGCCACTGTCAACACAAGTCAACACACACCAAACAAAACAAAATAGTGTGGTTTCGTCGAAACGGGAGGTTCGAGGCGATGCCCGCATAGACACCCAGACAATGAATGTCCAAGTAAGTCGGATCCTGCCATGCCCATCCATCCATACAATTTATCCTTCATACTTTTCTAACTCTCGAACACCCTCGAAATTGTAATCATCTAAGGTCCCCACAATTCTACACCTTGGTTATCCTCGCGCGTATGGTATAGTGATAGACTGATATGCTGATAGACTGCTAGACTGATAGACTTATAGACTTCTACTATAGTCTTCTAGACTTCCAGACTTCTAGACTTCAAGACTTTAAAACTTCAAGACTTAAGAATACCCTAATAGAATGGAAACGTGATCTTTCCCGACTAGAGTATCCTCGGCCCCAGAGGAAATCATTAAACTCCAAGCTTTGCAGCTTGGGCAGCTCGCGCAGAGGTAGTTGTCAAACGCCGGCCCGTCGTTGTATGTACCGCGGCCCACCCCTCCCATACCCTAAACGTGATAATAGTCTACTATAATGTCCTCGGTCATAGATACGCCGCTCTATACTACTAACCAGGAGAAGCATTCCTGAAGATGGCACGAGGGATCACTCGAATACCAGATCTGACCGAGTAGAGTACTTGGTCGGCTGAGGCCCTGAGGGATAACTGCGTTGCAGATTTGCAGTAGGTATCTAAACCAGCTATCCACACAGCTATGCACACAGCTATGCATCCGCTCGCAATGGTGGCTCTACATACCCAAGTGGAAAACATCAAAAGCGATAGATACCGGTAGGTACTCTATGGAGGCCATGCCATCGACTTTCTTCCAAGTTCTCATGCCCTCCAAACTCTAAATTCGAAATTCCAAGCTTCAAGCTCGTATGTACCGGTACTAGTACATACTAGTACTCACGATGCCTCCAGAACTCTCCGGAACCCTTCAGAACCCTCAAGAACCCTCAAGAACCCTCAAGAACCCTCAAGAACCCTCAAGAACCCTCAAGAACCCTCAAGAACCCTCCAACTACCAAGGTAGGTAGCAGACGAACGAAGTGCCCGATATCGAGATCGAGGTCCACGATTCCAATCCTTGAGGTAGGGAGGGAGGGAGGGAGGGAGAGGGTGATTTCCAAATCCAAATGCCCTCGGCTACCTGGCTGGCTGGCTGGCTGGCTGGCTGGCTGGTATTTTACAGACACCCAGGTTGACTGTTGGTTGGAATTCGGCTCGTATCCACCAACAGATAGTTCGTGCTTTCCGGCGAGGTAGACCCTACCAAAGGGCTGAGATAGCGGAGTCGTGAGAGATGTCTGACTGCCTGTCGGCGCTCGGATGGAACTTCACGGATCCAACTGTTTTGCGAAGGCGGACTGCAGCTTGTATCCAAAATTGTGTTTCTTACGAATGTGCACCTGCCACCGAGTGCATACCGTATGGTAGTGTCGTTGATTAAAAAGTAGCCGTCATCATCATCATCATCAAAAAAAAGCAGGTGTGTAGAATACAGTCCCCACACCCCCCAGTCGGCCGTCGGTGCAGCGGTAACCTCAAAACAGCACATTACTCGCAATACTAAACAACCAGGCGGGGTCCTGCCATCCATCATCCATATCCCTCCTGCGTCTCTGCTCCTCCCTGAGCCTCTCCTCCTCCGGCCCCGCAATCCTGAGCCGTTCGCGCTCTTTCACCCGCTCCTTCTCCTTCTCCTTCTCCCCCCGCTTCTCCTCCTCGTCCTCAGTGTCGCTATCATCCTCGCCAAAAACAGACCACCCAATGAGCCGATCAATAATCTGCCCGAGCCTGTACACGCCCCCCACAGCTTCATCCTCCTCCTCCCACTCCCCCTGTTCCACCCCCACCTCCACCCCCACCCCCTCGCCCACACCACCCCGCGCATACCCAGCGGCCATATAATCCTCCTCCTCCGCAGCCCCCCACATGGGCGAGAGCGCCCTTTCATTTGCCCTCTCCCTCTCCCTGTCCCCCTGTGCATCATGATCGTCATCGTCCTCAGCAACAAGCGAAGTGGAAGATGCCCGCGTCGTCAACCACGCCTGTCCCTTCGCCTCGCGCGCGCCGGAGGTCAGCGCGTCCGCTGTGCGGTGTAGCCATTCCGCGCTACTGTTCAGTCGCGGCACGGAGCGGGATTTAGGGATTGGTGGGGTCGTCGCCGTCCGTGACGGTGTCGGGGTGAGCACCGTCGCGGAAGGTGTCTGTGGCGCTGGTTAGTACCTGCGGCTGGAGGGGGGGGGGGAAGTACAGAGGGCGACTGGATATACGACGCCGAACGACGGGTGTGCGGCCGTTGGCGCTGCGTGGAGAAGTCGGAGGGCGTGAGTGTCGCGCTCGTTAGCGGGCTGAATGACATCGACGAGAAGTTTATCGACCCTCCTGTCGAGCGGCGGGAGTGGCGGCGTGAGGGGGGGGCGGACATTGCTTGCTACTTTCTGCTGCTACTGTTGCGAGTGTGGGATGTTGGGTGTGAATGGGGGAGAGGGTGAATGGGTGGTGAGAGCCTGAGAGGGTATCGATATATGTATGTGGATGTGGATGTGTTGATGGATTCTCGGATTGGCATGTGATCAGTGGTAGATACCGTACTAGACACGCACGAACCAAGACCATAGCCGGCAGGCAAGCAGGCAAGCAGGCAGGCAACACGATACGAGCGACGCGACTTAAAGTACCGCAGTTAAGGGCGCACAGACACGGAGGATTCCGATACTCCGATTCTCCACTACTTCCGGGCACCATCCATTCATAAACCATAAACCATTCACATTTCATAAACCATAAACCATATATACATATTCTCCAGTACATCACCACCTCCGCCACTACTGCCACTACTTATGAACCCCAACACCCCCCTCCGTAGCAGCCTTCGCATGATCGGCGCCGACCCACCTACGGAAAGCGCTCTCAACAAAGCCCGCCTTGGGCTTCATGTCCTCGTAGCCGTCGTACATATGCCTCGACTTCGAAGCGTGCAGGTTACTGAACAGCGGGGTGCCGTGGCCATCGTTGCCGCCGCCGAAGCTCTAGTCACATTAACGCCTCTCCATTAACGCCTCTCCCTTAACTAGGGGGGAGAAGGGAAGAAGTATATACCAAACGCTTCCCGCGACTAGCCCGCGGCGGGGCATCGAGCTCCACAGAGGTGCGCCGCACGTCGGCCTCATTGGCCGGAACGTTGTGCAGGTCCTTTGCGGTGAGCGGGGAGATCTCGGGGGCCGGGGCACTGGCGGTGGCGCTGAAGGGGGCGCCGCTCTCCGACGAGATCGAAGAGCTGCGCTCGGAGGAGATGGAGGAGTGGCGGGAGTCGGTCATTGTGTTATCGTTTTGGATAATTTTGTTGTTACTGTGAGTGTTGTGGGTTGTGGGTTGTGTTTGTTTGTGTTTTGTGTGTGTTTATTGCAAAGAAAAATTTGGATATTTGACGAAGGGGGACGGGCCATTATATGCCCTCCATTCTCCATTCTCCATTCTCCACGCAAGAGATACAGGCCGGTACTGCAGTACTGCAGTGAGGTCATCTTTACCCGCCAGATCGTGAGATGGCTAGCGGAGGTGGTTGTATGTCATTACTCGGATGGGGGATCGAAGTATTCAGATAGTAGTGGCAGTAGGCGGTGGTAGGTAGTGAGGATGGCCGGCAACCCGACCTGTTTCCTGTGAGTGGCGGGGCGGGGGGGGGGGGGGGGGGGCAGATGATGACCGCTACATAGATCTCCGACAGAGTCCACGGGCCTGGCGATCATCTCTTACGGTACGGTAGCCGCCTTCCCTAGTTAACACTCACGCCACGGAAGGTGGGGAAAACCTGGGGAAGCCTGCGAATTCCTGGATGTAAACTGGTAGAGTTGTCTGTCTGAGCGAGCAAGCCACAAGCTCGACGGCCCATCACGCAGCATCACCACCTCACCCATCCATCGGTACTCTATGCCAGGTTTTCTAACACCCGTCACTATCAGTCAGCTCTACTCTACTCTAGACCCTAGTTGCCGTGGTTGCTGGTATGGATGGTATGGATGGTAGTTATGTCCGGTATGGTAGCTACCCGGGTACCGTCATCACGGCAATGATCTACACCCGTCTACGTCTTACCTCACCAGGCTCACCTAACCTCACCACGCCTTTCCTTGCCCGCACTCCATTCCCTGCCTTGTCCTGCCAACGCCCGCCCCCATCATCCGCCCTCCCGTCCCCCCATCATCCCCCTCACCTCCCGCCCTCCCCCCATCATCCCCAACCCCCCACCAACCCACGAACCACCACGACGATGTCCGAAAAACCCACCATCCCGCTCACCACACCCGGCAGCACATTAGGCTTCGACCCAGCGGTGCTCGCGTTCGGCGCGGATGGGAAGATCGTATCGCAGCAGCAGCAGATGGGCGGCGGCGGGAGCCTCGAGGCGCAGCAGCGACGGCTTGAGGAGCTGCAGAGAGAGGTGGTTGAACGCGAGAGGAGGCTCAGGGTGAGGGAGAAGGAACGGGAGCGCGGGGTTGGTGTGGCTGGGGTGGAAGGTGGAGAGGAGTGATGGTGAGAGGGTGATGGGGAGGGGGGAGGGGGAGGGGGGACCTGGAGGGGGTAAGAGCGCTGTTGTTTTGTTTTGGTTTTGTTTGTTGGGCGGGGAACTGGGGATTGTGGATTGTTGTGTTTCTGTTTTTTTCTTCTTTTCTGCGTTTGTTTGTCAGAACGTTCATTCGTTCATCATGGAGGTTTGAGGGATTGCCTGTGGATTGAGTGTCCAAGGGCGTGATTTGGAGGACGGCACCACCTATCTGAAGCCATCTATCTGCCATCATCCGCTCACTCTACCAGTAACCATCGGTGATATAAGCGCTCCGCCAGTCCAACGACGAGGATCACGAGCTCAATACCAAGTGTCCTGCCAATAGGTATCTACGCCAGAGCAAACATTCATATAGACAATCTTCCCAAACAATCCCACGAATTACGACCTGCCACGTGCCCTGGTGCCCGCCTCCGCTCTACAAGGGGCACAAGTTGAGCTGTGTTGTCAATTATATCCTCCGGAACCGTTGCGATTGGCAGCAGCAAATGCCAGCCACAGAGGTGCGAACCACAAAACATCACTGCCGCTCACCTCCCAGGCGGAAAGCGGGGAGACTTTCGTGAGAGGTAGGTATGATACTTGCGAGTACCATGGTATGTAACATTCAACAGCGTAAGTATCATAACAGCAGTAAACAGTGACAGAGTAGCAGTAGCAGTACAATAGGTAATGAACCATCAGATCTTCTGTAGAGTAGAGTAGGTATGCAGAGGTAGGATGCCGAGAGAGGGAAAGGGATAGGTAAGCAAGCAAATGTCACGTACGGACGGACGGAACGACCGCCACCCAAAGCGTCATGAAGTAAAGCCAGATGTGAAGGAGGAAGATATAAGAACCCGAGAACAGAATAGAACCGCTGTGATACGCCGGAACAACAAAGGAAACCCCCCATCTCACTCTCCCTAAGCCGCACATTACTTATCCACGCTCTCTTACTTGAAGCTTCTCCCCAATCCGTCGTGTCTCCCGTGTACTAGATGTGCATGCGTGTATGGAATCGCCCGTCTACGGCGTCGGATTCTCCTGTATCGAGCACAAACACCCCGTCAGTCGCGCTGTTCCTACGCATAAATTGCCAACATCAAACCAGGAAATCACCTACCCTGACAAGATACCGGATCTTCTTTTCGTATGAAGCCTTATCCTTCTTAAAGAGGCTGAAAGCCTCGGCCTGCGCCGGACTCTCGGGGTTGGGATCGTCTAATAGATCCTGGATGCCCATCAGGATCTGCTTGATTGTGATCGCGGGCTTCCACGCCTCCTCCTCGTTCAGGATGCTCAAGCACACGGTGCCGGACGGGTACACGTTTGGGTGGAAGAGTGGTGGCGTGAACTTGCCTATATCCACCAACGCGTCAGCTCGCTGGGTCAGTTGTCAGGAGGGAGGCGGGGGGTGGCGTACACTTGGGCGGCTTAGTAGGGTACTCTACGCGTGTCCAAAGCGTCAGCGGATAGGTAGGCAGCGCAGCGATCGTGGTGGTCACCACAAACCTTCTGGAAATATCATGTCGAGCTTGAACAGCCCGCCCTCCCAGATGGTCTTCTCCTTGCCGGGGATTCCGCAGCTCCACTTCATCAGGTCCAGACCATTGCCGTTCGCGGACTTGGCCGGCTTCGCGTAGAATCCGAACGGGTGGTCTTTGCGCCATTGCTTGCTGATTGCGCACTTCAGTCAGTTTGAGGATCGAGGGCTGCAAGAGCGTGAGGGTGCGACAAACCGCTCTTCTTGCAGCCGGTTGACGCAGAGAGACATGTTGCAGCTTGTAGTCGAGTCGGATCGTAGGTGCTTGGAACGATGGTGATGGTGGATAGGTGGAGGGAGAAGTGGTTGTTGTTAAATTGTAGTGATTGTGTTGATGTCTGCATTGCAGAGGAAGAAGAGGAAGAAGCCGCTAGCTCACTGCATGGTACTATGGTAGAGTATGTAACACCAGGGACAGCCACACGACACGGCCAGCTTCTCGAAGTGCAGAGTGACAACCCATGAGGTGCGCATTCCAGGAAATCAGCGATAATTAATCATCGTGCACAGTGCCGCCTGCGAGAGTAGCCTGTTCTGTCCGGCTGCTCTAATGGCCTTTGCGACCTTCTCGATAAATCGATCATGGACATCTGTGGGTCGCAGTTACATTAGGGTAGAGCGGTGCCCAGGTACTTGCCGAGGCATCACCATACGGCCGCCCACCTCCACCCATTCACCACTACAGCCGGCATCTTCGATAAGATAAAAAGTCCACGCTTCGAGCATCATCACCTCAGCCTGCAGCTGTCCCTCCAACTGCCCCGCTCTCCTCCTCCCCCCCTCTACCTACAGCTATCGCGAATAAACACACAAGATGGAGACAACAGCGCCCGCCGCAGATACGACGCCAGTCGAGCCAGCAATAGCAGCAGCTACCCCACCACAAGCAGCCCCGCCAGCCACGAAACCACCCCCCAGCAAGGTCGCCGCAGCCACAGTCGAAGATGGCGACGGCGACGGCGATGACTCGGACGACGACCTAGACGATCTAGATGGTCAGCCCTTGGCAGCCCGTACTCTTCTCCGCCGACAACATCGCTGACACATGATGGCGGGGTGTTTAGACATGCTAGACGAGTTCGACGACGGATCCGCGGGGGCCAAGGCAGCAACGGGCAGCGGAAAGGCCGGCGAACCAGTTATCGACGAGGAGTGGGCGCGCATGCTACAGGAGGGCATGGCGGACCTGCTGAGCGACGTCAACCAGTCTGTTCGTTACCCCCGCCCCGGTTCCTACTGTGAGGGGTTTCGCTAACACTCGCGCAGCCAGAGATGCAGGGACAGTTCGAGAAACTGGCGAAAGAGCTGAACGAGGTGATGGCCGGGGACGCTACAAGTACAAGTGCGGCGCCGCCCGCCGTTGCTCCCGCTGCTGCTGCTGCTGCTGCGGCGGCGGACCCGAAGGCAGCCGATAACTTCCAGGAACGCATAAAGGCCACAATGGACCGGATGAAGTCGTCGAACGCCGAGGTGGACGCGGGACTTGCCGATGCGGATTCGGACGACTTCTTGGCCGAGATGCTCAAGACGATGGGCGGAGCTGGCGGCGACGGAGAGGAGGACTTCTCGACGATGCTGGTCACCATGATGGAGCAGTTGACCAGTAAGGAGATTCTCTACGAGCCCATGAAGGAGCTGTACGAGAAGTACCCCGAGTGGATGCGCAAGAACGAGGCGAAGGAGAGTAAGGACGACATGGCGAGGTACAGGGCGCAGTTCGCCATCGTCAAGGAAATCGTCAACAAGTTCGATGAGCCCGGCTACAAGGACGAGGACGAGAGCTGTAGAGAATACATCGTGGAGCGCATGCAGAAGGTGAGATGCCCCGCTACACGCATCTGATTGTGCCCAAGCTGACTGAGGACCGTGATAGATGCAAACCGCTGGTGCCCCGCCGCAAGAGCTGATGGGCGACGTGGGTCAAGGTCTCGATCCGCCCGATGTTCCTTCCGACTGTGGAGTTCAGTGATGTCTTGGTGGGTGTAAATAATGCCACAATATTCTGCTCTGCTTGCTTGCTTGTCACCATGCTTGTTGCTTCATTATATTCTATCGCTACTTTCCACTTGTTTTCCATAAACCCAAAGACCGGCGAGGCAACTGAAATACCTAGATGATCCAGTCTCATCCTCGCTGTCGGAGTGCGAATCTACAAACCCTCACCGAAATCAACAGAGAAAAACTGCAAAAGACACAAAGAACGCCACTAATAATACACCCGTGAAATGCACAAACCATTCTTTCAAAAATGAACCAAAAAACCAATCCAATCCATGCATCAATCAGCAGTCGACAATCAGCGAACCAGCAATCAGCATCAGCAATTCAGCAATCAGCATCAGCAATCACCCATCTTCTGGTCCAGATCCAAATCCATAGACGAGAGCAGCTTCTCCAGCTCCCTCCCATCGCGATCGAGGAACTCTTCAAAGTCGTTGTGCCCATCGCCATCATGTTGCGCAACTGCTCCCAATCCGTCAGTCCTATACACCCCAGTCATCCAGTCGTACATACCGATCTCACTTAACTCCTCCTCCTCCTCAGGTAACTCCTCCCCCCGCTCCCCCTCGTCATCCTCCTCCTCCTCCCTAATAGTCGCAATCCTCCCCGCCGCTTTCTCCTGACTCGCCCTCCAGCGCTTCTGCTCGGCCACAAAGATCATGCGCATGATCTCGTCCTGTCCGCCGCGCGCCTGCCACGCCGCCTCCTCGCGCGCGCTCTGTACCTTCTTGAGGAACAGCGTGCGCCGCGACTCCGCTGTCGATGTGGCCGATCGCGGGATCGGCTTGAAGGCGCGTTTAGGCTGGAGAAGCCGCGGGGTGCGGGGCGGGGAGGGGGGGAGTGCTGATAATGGCGAGGAGAGCGCGGGTGCGAATATGTTGCTGCTGTTGCTACTGCGGTGCGGCGTGGTAGGCGTGGTAGGCGTGGTGGGTGCGCCACGCGGATTGGGAGGCGGCGCGTTACTGGTCATGAACATTGTTTTCTCTGTCGTTCTGTAGCTCTGTAGTTCTGTCGGTGTGCGAGCGGTCGTTGTGCGTGCGTGCGTGTGTGTGGAGTGGAGTGGAGTATGTAGGGTGGAGTGGTGGTGATGTGGTGTGGTTGTGTGGTGTGGTGATGGAGGAGAGTTGCGTAGAGTTCAATCGGTGCAGTTGCAGTGGGGTGTGATAGTTACGCGACTGCTAGTTTGCACTTTTTCGCGTACCCCTGGCTGGCGACCGTGACAAGGGCCAGAACATTAACATCGACGTCAACATCGACATCAAAAGCGGCACCGAACGAACGAAATGTCATGATCAAGATGTCGAGTGGGATAGAGATGGAAAGAGAGTGAGTGATAGAAGAAGACGGACTGCAGGTTTGGGATTGGAAGATGGCACTTGGATTGGTTATCTACGATACAGACAATAATGGGAAAGAAGCTGTTTGACAGGACGAAACAACGGCAACGTCAACAATAACACCGAATGAAATACCATGATTGAGGACGAGGATAACAAACAAACACTAGGAGCCTGAGTGACAATCGGGGGACTGGGGATTTGAGGAAATTCTTGGGAGGTGAAGATCTGAGGCCGGTTACTTGTTACGTAAGTGAGCCTCAGAGCGTCCATGCATCAGTCTGCCCTCGAACAAACGAAGTCAGGAATCCACCTGCAGGTATCGCGAGTGAGAATATCGTGTTTGCTGCTCAGCTGGCTACCTAGACAAGGGAACCGGGCCATCGCGAAGCACTCCGGTTTCTTCCATAGATTAGTCTTGCGTTGGAATCAAAGTAGAGCGCCAGTCCTATTCACAAGACACAGGGGAGAGAGAAGTCCGTCCATGGACCTGGCTGGACATAGGTAGAGTATGGAAACGTAATAAACACATCGTTCATCAACATCCTGACCTCTCCCCCCGCTTCCCCGGCTCCCCGGGAGGGAAGGCTGTCACAATTTCCAGCGGGTGATCCTTCACGGTTTGTCAGGGAAGAGGAGGGAGCTGGAAGTCATCTCGTAATGACGTCTGGACATCAGCATGCGATCCCAACGAACACCGCAGATTTTTTATTTTCGCAAACTCGATGGCGATGGGTTTTGGTGTATCAGTTTCCGGGCAGCGAGCACGTCAATGCATCCAACCCCAAATTAGAAGACATGGAGCGGAGCTGAGACTAGGGCGTCAATCACGACATCGGGTACGGCCTGGGTACTCCGATCACCGGCGGTAATGGCGGCACGTCCAGATACTCCATATGTCCCCACAGCACTTCACTCTGGCCGGCCGACAGAGAGACAGACGGCGGGCACGAGCACCCGTGGACGTCCGGACATATGATGGCTGGATGCATATGTCGGCGACTGTATTTCTTCCCATCCAAATCTCGATGGTGGATAGGCATGTCTTAGGAGGGACGTGAGAAGATCTCCGCCCGGCGGGGAAAGAAAGGGAATGGAGACGGCGAGTATGGCAGCAGCATCTTCGGCGGGTTGTGCTCCTACCCAAGACATAACCCTCTCCCACAGCTACCTACCCCCGCACTGACTGAGCCTTGTAACACAACAGACAATGGGTGACGACAGACGGTAACGGGAAACCCCCACACTGCGAGGTGAAAACTGGGATCCATCGAGCAAATGGTCCATCGGAGCTGCAGCTTGGACCAACATTGTCACCAGGAATTGGACTCGGTGCTGGTTTCGCACGGGAAGCAATGGCGATCCATCCGTTCCCCGGTCGTTGACTCAAAGCTGAAGAATTCAGTGACAGCTCTGCTCAGCAGAGTTAACCTTCGCCGCCATCGCCATCGCCATCGGAAATCCGCAAGCTTCTGTGGAAGAAAGGATGGAAGCCCAGAAGAAGGGAAGAGAAAAGAAAGGAGCAGCCTGTCAGATCACATCGCATTGCTGCAGGTAGCCGTTGAAGAATGAGCTCAGCCAGCATCTCGGCATGGTATCGAGCCTTATGCACCCCGCAAAACAAACCTTTCGCGCGAATTCCGAATCAGCAGGCTGCAGGGATGGCAATGCACAAGATCGATGATAAAGATGCTCCAATTGAGGTGACGGGACCGAGAAGAGCTCTTCATCCGGATCGGTGAGTGGTGATGCTGGTAGTCGGCGTTCATCGCAGCCAAGCCGTGTTGGTCGGACATGCTGTGTCCTGGAAGAAGGATCGAAGCTATCTGGATTCTGGATGGTGCCCTTGTGCTCTAGAGCAGATAGCAGTTGGAGAGCTCGACCGCCTCCCGTGACCGGCGCACTGGTGGTGCGAGTCACGTGGACGAGGCGCCTACTGCACTTAGGCAGAAAGCGCAGATAAGAGCGGTGGTTCAATCCGGACAACCTACTCTACTGAAGGATACCGTAGAGTGCAGTCCGTACGGGGAGGTACATACCTTGACGTGCTGAGCATACATGCTCTGCAGCATGTCGTAGGCGATCACTATCTATACCGTCGAACGGGATTTCCGAGGAACGACAGAGCCTGGGTCCGACTCTGCTGCCATGGCGAAGTCCCACATGTTTCCCGCGCGGTCTCATGAACGCCGTGGACCTTGTGACTGCAGAGGGGATCTCAAAACCACCATAAGTAATTTTGATCACTAACGGGTCCCACAAAAAGAAATCATGGGGGGCGCACATACACGTTGCCTCGAAGCGGAAGGGCGGGAGGAGGAGGGAAGCCGCACCGTGAGGTCGATATCGCTGGGACCATGGGTTAGGGTGGTGGATTCGAATTTCTCCCCACTTTGATTGGGGCGGAAGTCTATGGTGGGGTGGGGGGGACCGAAGGGAAGGGAAGGGGAGAGGGACAATCGGCCTTCACCCAGCCTAGACCTGAGTCACCAAGCGAGCCAAAATTTTGGGGCCAGGGCTTGTTCTCTTCCTCTCGTGCAAGTCCGTATATAACCAGCTCGAAGGCTCGCCTTTTCCACCCCGTCATCCGCCTCACACTCCCGTCCACTCGCCGTCCGTCCACTCGCCGCCGTCGTTTACGCATCTCTATATACCCCTCTGACAACACCAGGGCCGAAGACTTCTCTCCATCCACAGCGAGTCAATTGCAGCAAATATGTGTGGTATGTCGTGTGGCTTGGTTTCGGCCCTTGCCCCCCTAGTATTTACCCCGCCAGAATCGCAGTTTGCTGATAGTGGGGCGCTGAAGGAATCTTTGCCTGCCACAAGCACCCCGAAGTGCGGAAGTTCAAGCCTCAAGCTCTGCAGCTGGCAAAGGCGTAAGTGACGCCGCCCTTTGGTGTTTTCTGTTTGTCTTCGCGCATTGACTGACTGGCCGTTCCTGAAGCATCCGTCACCGTGGCCCGGACTGGAGTGAGTCCCTGATACCTTATCTCGCCGATGAAAACTCATTCTGACCACAATTGATGATCACCAGGTGGAAACATCATCGCCAATGATACCAGTTTGTCCCCCTTCTCCCCCCTCCTGTACACTGATAAATGTGGACAATGGTGAACTGACGTCCTGACCAGTTTTGACACACGAGCGTCTGTCTATTGTCGGAATTGGTACTGCAATCGAACCACCCCACTTCGTCCTTATCTAACCTGCTGGCTACAGACTCCGGTGCACAACCTTTGGTCAACGAGGCGGGTACCGTTTTCCTTGCCGTCAATGGCGAGATCTACAACCACAGGATACTGCGCAAGAAGCTGAAGGGCACCCCCACTTTCAAGACTAACTCTGACTGCGAAGTCATCCTGCACTTGGTACCACCAGCCAGATCGTATCTACCGGAGAATAGAACAGAGGGGGCTAACGATTTGCACAGTATGAGGAACATGACATCGACACTCCCAAGCTCCTCGACGGAATGTTCTCCTTTGTCCTCTACGACAAGGAGAAGGACCGCACGATCGCTGCCCGTGATCCCATCGGAATCACTAGTTTTTACCAGGGCTTCTCGTCCAAGACCCCCGGCGCCGTCTACTTCGCGTCCGAGTTGAAGTGTCTGCACCCGGTGTGCGACAAGATCATCTCCTTTCCTCCCGGCCACATTTACGACTCCGCCACTGGCAAGACGACAAGATACTTCGAGCCGACGTGGTGGGAGCCTAGCCGCGTCCCCACCAGCCCGGTCGACTACAAGAAGATCCGCACCACCCTCGAGAAGGCTGTCCGCAAGCGTCTCATGGCCGAAGTGCCCTACGGTGTCCTCCTCTCCGGCGGTCTCGACTCGAGCTTGATCGCTTCCATCGCCGCACGGGAAACGGCCAGGGCCCGCGCCAGCGGCACCCTCGCCACCAACGGAAGTGCTAACGGCCACCTCGGTCTGGCACTCCAGCACGATCTCGTCGGCATCGACGACAGCGACGATGATCTCACCACCATCACCGCTCTCCCCGAGCTCCACTCCTTCTCCATCGGTTTGGTCAACTCCCCCGACACCGTCGCCGCCCGCAAGGTAGCCAAGTACCTCGGCACCGTCCACCACGAGTTCAACTTCACTCTCCAGGAGGGTCTCGACGCTCTGCGCGACGTTATCTACCATCTCGAGACCTACGACGTGACCACCATCCGCGCATCCACTCCCATGTACCTCCTCTCGCGGAAGATCAAGGCTCAGGGCGTAAAGATGGTTCTCTCGGGCGAAGGCTCCGACGAGGTCTACGGAGGCTACCTCTACTTCGTCAACGCCCCCTCCAAGGAGGACTTCCACGCCGAGACCATTGACCGCGTCAAGAACCTGCACTTGGCGGACTGCCTTCGCGCCAACAAGTCGACATCCGCCTGGGGTGTTGAGGCCCGTGTGCCCTTCCTTGACAAGGAGTTCCTCGAGGTCTCCATGAACATCGACCCGGAGGAGAAGCTCATCAAGCGCGATCAGGGCCGCATCGAGAAATACATTCTCCGCAAGGCCTTTGACACCACTGACGAGCCGGACGTGACCCCCTACCTCCCCGACGAGATCCTGTGGCGCCAGAAGGAGCAGTTCTCCGATGGTGTTGGATACGGATGGATCGATATCCTCAAGGTACCCCTCCCCCTCCTCCCAACTAACCCCCCCCCCCCTCCCCCTCCTCCCAACTAACCCCCCCCCCCCCCCCCCCCCCCACCACCACCACTAACCCGCTCTCCCAGGACACTGCCGCGGCGCAAATCACAGACGAGCAGATGGCCCACCCCAAGGCCGAGTGGGGCAGCGACATCCCGGACACGAAGGAGGCATACTGGTACCGCTTGATGTTCGACGAGCAGTTCCCGCAGCAGTGCGCCGAGACGGTGATGAGGTGGACTCCGAAGTGGTCCAACCAGACGGATCCGTCTGGCCGTGCCATCGCCACCCACGTCGCCCGGTACGACGATGCTGCTACCGTTGCCGCTTAGTTAGAGAGCGCGGGAGAAGAAAAAAGGGTTGGGGAGTTTTTTTTTTTTTTTGGTTGGTTGGTTGGTTGGTGCTGGCTGGTGCTGGTTCGCAGATTTTGTATCAAATTGTACCGTTATGTAGTATGGGATGGGATAGGGCGGGTTGGATCGGGTTGGGTCGGGTTGGGGTTTTGTCGATATATGTATGAAACGTCTGCTATGTTTGAGGTGGAAATGGTTGGGGTTTCTTGGTTCAAATTAGAAGTTTTTGCTCCTGACTTGCTTGAAGTAGAGTACTTGGTGATCGTGAGTGTGCGGAATCGTTCTTGCCGTGGGGATCATGATTGTTCAGAATCGTTCTTGCTGTAATGAGAATGGGGTACCTATGGAAAGTAGGTAGGGCAAGCAGACATGTCCGTCATCATTATCACCATAAAGTATTTACAATTTGTCAAGAGTACTCCCGCCAACCAATGACAAAAGGAATCGTAGTGCCCATCACTCATCTCAGCATCGTATGCCTTTATTCTCCCGAAAAAATAGTAAGTGTAAAGCAGCGAACAATCCCAACGAAAAAACCACAGCCCCAATCTACAACTTTTGGTACTCTAGCTTTCCCTCCAGCTTCTTCATCTCCGCCACCTTACGCACGGCCTTCATCATATCGTCCTGATTGATGGCCTCACGCTCGTCACGGATCGCAAAGAATCCCGCCTCAGTCACCACATTACGCAGATCGGCACCGTTGAGCTGGTCGCTCATCTTGACGACACTCTCGTAGTCAATCTCGCCCTCCTTCGCCACACCGGCCGCATGGATCTTGAGAATCTCCATGCGACCCACCTCGTTGGGAAGCGGGATTTCGATTTTCCGGTCGAGACGACCGGCTCGTAGCAGCGCGGGGTCCAGGGTGTCGGGTCGGTTGGTGGCCATGATGATCTTGGTCTTGCCGAGGTAGTCGAAGCCGTCGAGTTGGTTCAGCAGCTCCATCAGTGTACGTTGGATCTCACGGTCAGCAGAAGTGCCCTCGCTGAAACGTCGCCCTCCAATAGCGTCGATTTCGTCCATGAAGATGATACATGGCTCGTGCTCCTTGGCGTACCCGAACATCTCGCGGATCAGCCGTGCGCTCTCACCGATGTATTTGTCGACGATGGCCGAGGAGACAACTATGTATGCTTCGTCAGCGTGCCGATCCTCGGCTGATGGCACTCGTAGCGGACGAACCTTTGAGGAAGTTGGTTTCCAGTCCACTTGCGACAGCTCTTGCCAACAGGGTCTTTCCGGTTCCTGGGGGACCGTACAGCAACACTCCCTTCGGCGGCTTAATTCCGATTCGCATGAACAGTTCCGGATTCTTGAGCGGCAGCTCGATGACTTCTCGCAGCTCACGGATCTGATCGTTGAGACCACCGATACCGCCGAACGACACCTGGCCCGGGTCCTCGAGCGACATGTTGTAGACAAGCGGGTCAACCTCGCGCGGCAGCATCCGCATGATGGTCAGTGTCGTCATATCTAGCGCCACTCGTACACCCTGCTTCAACTTCGCTTTGTCGACCTTGGAACGGCAACCGACCACATAGCGGGGACCGGAGGAGGCTGTAATGGGGGTGGATGTTAGCTAACTGCGGGCAGTGGGGGTGCGCGGGCGCGGGCGCGTGTACCTTTCACGATGACTATAGAGGTCAGCAGAGATTCGATATGAATGGGGATGCTGGGAAACACGCACACCGCTCGTCGTCTAGCTGTTTCAGCACCTCGCCGATGATCTGACCCACACTCTGCAGTGCTTTGATGTTGTCCTCGGTGTGATCAAACTCCTTGGTGAACTCTTTGATCTCCATTCGTAAACCCTTGAGCTTTGCGTCCCATTCTCTGTGTTCTAGTAGCTGTGGGGCTGGTGTTAGAAGCGCCAGAGATGCAGGCGGGGTTCAAATGCTACCTTCTGCTTGTAGTCGGACAGCGCCGACGTGCGCTCCGGATCCTGGGCCATGGCTGTAGGTTGGTGTGGTTGTTCGGCGGGAAGGTTTAGCTGCGGTCTGTGGTAGCGATGGATGACGAGAGTGGATGGATTGAATGATGGGTGGTGATAGCTTTGGTGATGCTGTTGAGTTGGTGGGATTGTTTTTGGTCGAGGCAAGCTAACATATCCATCATCCATCATTCACGCTTCCCTACCAGTCCCAGATGTGCGCACCGCGTGGTAGACTGCAGACCAGCACCGCCACAGAGCCACTCTCGGTGCAATACATCCGCTCGGGCCCGTATCTGCACCGCCACGTCTCTGCCCTAAGCTTAAACGTAGCTGCAGGAACCGGCAAGGTTCAACAGGAGAAGGGTGAATGCAGAAGGAGCAGCGGCCGCCCGGGAAACCTCCTGCTACTCACCCCACAACCCGTTCGATCTTTTTTTTCCAGAGGCGACTTCTGGGCAGATCTATTTCTCTACATAATTGAGTGCGTCTGCAGCCCCTTTGCTCGTACCCACCATCTTCTCCCTCGTTCTTCCCTCATCTTCACCTTCGCTACATACCCCTTTTGTCCATCATGGGAGTGTCCGCTACGAAATCCAACGGCAAAACAGCTGCGGCTGCGAACAAGCCCTTTGAGCTTCCTACGGATGCAGCTGGAAACGAGAAAACCTCAGATTGGCTCTGGGTACAGTGCCTCCCCTGGCTTTTGCGTTATCTCTGCTGACTTGTTGCATAGACCTACCAAGAAGAGCCTCACCGGACACGAAGACACCAGATCATCAAGGCGCACCCAGAAGTCCGCACCCCCCGTCGTGATCTCTCGCGCCCTAGCTAACCTTCATCAACAGGTAACCAAGCTCTGCGGACCAGAGCCATTGACGAAATGGACTGTCCTCCTCGTAGTATCGATTCAAGTCACCTGCGCGATCCTGCTGCGAAACACGTCAATCCTCAGCTGGCAGTTCTTGTTGACCGCGTACTTCATCGGTGCAACTTCCAACCAAAACCTGTTCCTTGCTATCCATGAGATCTCCCACAACTTGGCCTTCCGGAAGCCAATTTACAACCGGCTGCTGGCCATCTTCGCGAACCTCCCCATCGGCATACCCTACAGCGCCGCTTTCCGGGTTAGTCACTTCGTCCGATATCCACAGTATACAGCTAATAATGTGTGCAGCCCTACCACCTGATCCACCACAAGTCCCTCGGTGTCGAAGGACTCGACACTGATCTTCCTACCCGGCTCGAGGCCGTATTCCTGGACAGCATCGCAGGAAAGGCCTTCTTCTGCACTTTCCAGATCCTCTTCTACGCCCTGCGGCCGATGGCAGTGTTCCAGCTTCCTTTCACGCACATCCATGGGCTCAACCTGGCCACGCAAATCGCCTTTGACTGCCTGATCGTAAATTACTTTGGCTGGCACTCAATGATCTACTTCCTGGCCAGTAGCTTCCTCGCTGGCAGTCTGCACCCCACCGCCGGCCACTTCATCAGCGAACATGTTTGTCCCACACCCTTCCCCTGGGTAACCCCACTAACACCCCCCAGTACGTCTTTGACCAACAAACATCCTCTCCCCAATCCTCACCCTCTGCTGTCGCCGCCCCGGAGACGTACAGCTACTACGGCGCATTGAACTTCTTCACCTACAACGTGGGCCTCCACAATGAGCACCACGACTTCCCTGCCATCCCATGGACCCGTCTCCACAAGCTCCGCGATATCGCCGCGGAATTCTACGAGCCCCTGCCGACACACAAGAGCTGGTCCTACGTTATCTTCCAGTTCATTACCGATCCCAATGTTAGCCTGTGGTCACGTGTCAAGAGGGATCAGCAGCGGAAGGTGGAGGCCCAGTGGACGGAGGGAGAGCTGGAGGGAATGGTCGAGGTTTCCAAGAGGGATTGATTTGTCTGGTTGATGCGGCGATGTCGTTTATGGATGTTTGATTTTTTTGGACATGTGATACCCACCGTGCGCCATCTGTATATGCACCGCTGGCTGGGGGAAGTATGGGTTGTAATTCTGATTCTTAGAGCTTCTTTTGAGGATATGATTGATACTTGTTTAGAGTGAGCATGAATACACGCGTTTGAGAGATTAGGTGGAGGCTGTTATGCCTTCCGGATACTAGAGTCTGGGGGCTGGAAGTGGGACGGAGGTAGTGAGAGTAGGTAGCTGCGTAGGTATCCTGCAGAAACATCGCTATCTCACCCCGTCTTATCACCACTACATCACGCCTCGTATCACTCGTCCGATCATTCACGTGCGCGATATCGATATCGATATCGAATCACATGTAGGTAGTCGTGTGCGTGATATCGATATCTATCTGCACGTAGTCGTATGTACGTGTCCTCCGCACATCCAACCCCCGCTACATATCACCTCACCTCACCTCACCTTCACCTCCGCCCAGCTTCCCTCCAGCTCGTCAGCGACATAGCGACAGAAACCATGCCATCACAAACTGCGGCCAAATCCGTAAACCTCCAGCTCCCGCTCTCGACCCTTCCGCCCCTCCAGACTACAACAAATATCGACGCGACTGTCAACTCGACTACTAAAGTCCGTTCCCCCTTCCTTCCCCTACTGTCACTAGCTACCATACCCCCTCTATAATATAATAGAGCTTATAGCTGAGCGCTGGCTAACACCTCGTACATAGAGCCTGAATGCGCTCCTCCTAGCGAGCAACACGCTGCGGCAGCGCGCCGAAGTGGCGGCAGACAAGTTATCTTTCATGCCGCGCACGAGCGCGGTCAGCCATGCGCTATCGCATCTTACCGCTGCTGCTGTGGCCAGTGATGGACGGGAGTGGAGGTAGTGGTAGTGGATGTAGTGGTAGTGGTTGGAGGACGATGTTTATTTAATTTTCTACAATTATGGTTTTTGGACAACGGCGCTCCATTGGGCGAGAGCGAGAGAGAAAGAGAGAGAGAAAGAGTACAAAATGAAAATGGAATTGGAATTGGAATTAACAGGGAGAAGACATAGAAGTTCCACCGCTCCCGATTGCCAGAAACGAAAACACTGCATGATACACTAATGATACTCACATTCCGGGTGGCCGGCTGATGCCATACTGGGTTCCGGGAGGTCCGGCAGCGGTGCCTGGGGCGGCGCCGGGCGGGCCGGGCTGCTGGGCTTGCGCGTAGTATGCTTGGTCTATAGCTCGGTCAGTATATGCGCAAGATGAACATGTGAAGAACACTCACAGTACTGCATGTATGCGGCGTATCCACCGTACGCAGCATACGGATCCACTCCACCAGCATTGGCATAGTACGCAGCGTAAGGATTGTATGCGGCCGCGGCGGCAGCAGGGTCGACTCCTGTGGGAGAGGCAGAAGGCGGAGGGGGAGGGGGCGCCGCAGAAGACGGTCCGGTTGGAGGCGGGGGAGGGGGCGGGGGTGATCCACCGGTTGGCTGCTGTTGTTGCTGGTTGGGGACGTAACCCGAGCCGCCGCCGCCGCCGCCGCCACCACCACCAGCACCGTAGCCGGGGAAGCGCGTTGGCTGCGGCTGAGACTTGTGCTCCTCATACTGCAGCCGAACCGAACCTACTAGATCCTCACAAAGCTCCTTGGCGCGTTGAACCTCGCCGGGATCAGGACCGCTGTAACACGTCAGTAATGTCCCTCGCTGCAGAAAGGCGGGTGCACGTACGTTACGTGAAGGTACAACGGGTCATCGCTCTCCTCAGTACCGTGCTCTCTGAACCCGGAACCACGGCCTTTGATCTGAACACGACAGCGAGTCTCCTGCTGGATGTGCTTGACGTACTGACCACCGTGGCCCACAACAGACGCGCGTAGGTTGAATCCGGGGATAGGCTCCAAACCAACTGGTATCCTCTCCTCGGGCCACTTGCGCTGTAACACAATTCCGTCAGCGCTGTGCCGTGGCCACCTCCACTAGGGATATACCAACCCTGCCGTATTCATCTCGCTCCACCGGCTCTGGTGGCTCCCGTCTCCGGAAGCGACGCTCATCCACAAGGTTGGGAAGCTCTTGTTTCATGAGGTCCTCAATCTTCGCGACTGCCTTTTCGAGACCCTCCTTCGTGGTGCTGGTGATATGTAGGTAAAGCGGGGGATTCTGTATCCATCAATCAGCAACCAACCATAGTAAGCAGGACGGGTGATCCCATACCGCAGGCGTCGCCATAGACTTGTCAGGATAGTAGGCTCCTCGGGTCGTCACATCTTGAAATCAAACTGCATGAGCAAAACATAGTCCTAAAAGGTATTGAGAAGGTGAGAAGGAGCGTACCCGCGCCAGTTTCTTCTTTGATCTAAGTAGGCACGGATGGAAGTCAGCGGCAAGACACGTAAGGGTTTTGTGCCATCTGTAATTGCACAGATGACATTTTAGTTCTATCATCACTACAGAAAGGTAAAAAGCTGGATGTCACATGAGTGCAACAACCAGTACCACCACCGAACAATAGGGAGGGAGGGGAGGATGAGAGGTGAGGTGAGGAGTAAGATGATGTATAGTCCAGGACTCGGAGGAGCTTTACCATTTTCTGAGTAGCACCCTTGGTCAGCGTATACCGGTTCCTAAGATCATTGACTTCGATGTCCTTGATGTAGTCGCCATCCGCGATGTACATCTCACTGCTGAACGTGTTGGTAGCCGGGGGACTCGATGACTTGCCGATGCTCTATTGAACCGTCCAGTCAGCCTCCGCCCAAGTAGAGTATCACCAACATGAGGGGTCCAAACGCACCGAACGAATGGGGGGAACATCGACGTGTTGAACACCACGCTTCGCCTGGATCTGCGCATTGATCCTGGCAGCGGCCGCAGCTGTTGCGAGTTAGTTATACCCAGAATACGCGGTAGCTGTGGTGGTAGAAGCAGTGGTGGGTGGTACGAACCCGCAGCGGCAGCAGGATCCACAGCCTTCTTGACTACAGGCTCGGCCGAGGGAGTAGCGGACGAGCGAGCAGTGACGGTGGTAGGACTCTTGCTACGGCGACGCGAGGAGCTTGCCGGTGAGCGAGAGCGGCGGTCTTCGCGTGGGTGGTCACGCTCACGTTCACGTTCACGATGTCCATGTCCAGTTTCACCGCGGCGATCGTCCCAGCGCGAGCGGCCAGAAGAACGTTCGCGATCGCCACCATCCTCTCCTCCTCCACGGTGAGAATGTTGGTCTCGATCACGGTCGAGTCGTGGGTCCCTGGGTGCATCGTCCCATTTACTGCGCTTCCGGCGGTCGGGAGAGCCGTCCGTCATTCCTGTTTGTGCAAGGTGGTGGATTGTTCGGACGATGTGTGGTTGAAGGTGGGATGTCAGGTTTGGTGGAAGAGTTGTCGTTGGGTTACGGTTTCGTGAGGGATCGGTTAACTCCCTAGATAACTGGAGAGGAGTTTGACGATCTCGAATTCACAGCACAGAGAAGAAGAAGTGTGGAAGTGAAGGCACGCCAGCAGCAAGCAAGCATGGTTACCCTAGCGTGCCAAGACACAGAACCTTTAACGTCCTTTTCCCTTTAAATTGACGATTTTGCACAAGCGGCGGAAGATGTGGTGGGGGAGAGAACGAGTGAGTGAGTCAACCATGAACTCTGGGGTATCTCGATGGTATCTTTGCGGAGAAGGGACCATTGCATATGGGAATTGTCTGCGGATGAAAATAGCCAATGACCTCGGCAACTGTACATTAAAGAAATTGTCACATCCCCCGCGGCCCACTAGATATTCGGATTGCCGTTCGCCGCTGTAGACGGCGAAAGAAAAGTGGTTGTGGTGGGTGGTGCTAGGGTTTTTTTCTCTGATTCACCTCTGACCAACCTATTCCAACTTCTACATATCCCACCCTCACTCCCGCCCAATCCAACCCCACCCCTCAATCGTCCGTGTTCGTGGAGCTCTCCCCCCTCCAACAACCATGGCCGCCCCTCGCACCCTCCTCCGCCTCGCCGCCCCGCGCCTCGCGCGTGCAAGCAGCAGCTCGTCCACCTCGGCACTGGCCTACAAAGCGCTTCACCGCCGCGTGAAGCCTCTCCCCACATCCGACACGCCCGCGTGGTCGGCGTCGGCGGCAGTTTCCAGCATCCTCTACGAGACGCCCCTCCCCTCGTCCGCCCCGCCGAAGCGCCACGTGCTCAACTGCCTCGTCCAGAACGAGCCGGGAGTGCTTTCCCGCGTCTCTGGAATTCTGGCGGCCCGAGGCTTCAACATCGACTCGCTCGTCGTCTGCAACACCGAGGTCCCCGACCTCTCGCGCATGACCATCGTGCTGTCGGGCCTCGACGGCGTGGTGGAACAGGCGCGGCGACAGCTCGAGGACCTCGTCCCCGTCTGGGCTGTGCTGGACTACTCGACCACCCCGTTGATCCAGCGGGAGCTGCTGCTTGCCAAGATCTCGATACTGGGCCCGGAGTACTTCGAGGAGTTGCTAGCGCACCACCGCGAGATCACTGCGGATGGCGAGCACCACGACGTAGCCATTGCCGAGAAGGACTTCCATCCTAGCCAGCTGGCTGCCTCGGAGGCGCTAAGACACAAACATCAGCACTTGCGCGCCGTCACGGACTTGACTCATCAGTTCGGCGGAAAAATTACGGATATCTCGGAAAACAACTGCATCGTTGAGCTGTGCGTACCGGTTCCACACTAATGACCGGGTGAATGGCGAGTGCTGATAGGATAAATAGCTCCGCGAAGCCCTCCCGTATCGACGCATTCCTGAAGCTGGTTTCTCCCTTTGGAATTCTGGAGTCCGCCAGGACTGGTATGCAACCCTCCACTCTCATCCCGCTCTTGCCAGCGTATATTCTGACTCGATCCCTAGGTCTGATGGCCCTCCCCCGTACTCCCCTCGCCAAGAGCGGCGAAGAGCTCGAGACCAAGGAAGCCGAAGACGTCGTCGATGCCAGTGCTCTTCCCCCTGGTTAGACGCCTTGACGCTCCGTTTTTCTTGCATTCCTGGGTTCGTTTGGTTCGATGGATTGGATTGCAGCATGGCGTGCGTGGTGACGGGATGTGATACCCTTAAGAAGAAGCAACACATACACACAATGCACAAGCCATGTGGTAAATTCATGACCGTCATATCAGTACCGGTACATCTTTCCATATGCCGTATCATTCCAATCCATCCAACGACATCAAACAAGCAAACAAAACAAACAAAACAAACGCAAACGCCATTTCCAATGCCACCAAAGACCAAAAAATCAAGCACCCAAAACTCGTAAATGTACATGACTCATACGCAACCATGATCGCAATCCCCCACGTCTATAACCGTATATGCGCTTCGACCGGGTCACTGGCGTTGTAAAACACCTCCATGACCATATTGCCAATACTGATCTTTGTCATAGCCTGCGCATGAATCTTGAGCTGACCCCCGAGCGCCTTCTTCATCGCCTCATAGCCCACACTGTCCAGACTCCATTCGACAGGCAGCCTCGGCGACATCGTCCCGCCCCTATTACCAGGATTGATCAAAAACCTGTTTCTATAATCGATAGTGCCGAGCGTGCTGCCATTGTACAAAGCCGAGCCGTTTAACACATGCATTACGATCCCGTTGTACGGAAGCGGATTGCGGATGTAAAAGTCGGCGGTGGAGGAGAAGATGTGCATCTACGATGCGAGTTAGTTGCGAGGTCCGCGAGAGATGGTGGGGATGCTACTTTAGGCGCTTACAGTGGCGGATTCTATGAAGTGCTTCGACGGCTCAGAGGGGTCGCTCTGGCCGATGCGCGGCATTGGAATGGTGATTTTGAGGGAGGAGAGGGCTTTGCCGAGCTCGGGGAGGTGCGGGAAGGAGCCCTCGTGGGTGCTTAAGGTGAGAGTTGCGTTGTGGCCTATGGATGGTACATATTAGAGGATGCAATAGTAGTCATATGGAAAGAGGGACAACGGACCTGAGATGTAATTCCCCAGCAACTCCTCACCAGCCTTAACTCCCCTCTCACCACCGTACCTCTTCGGATCCCAAGACGCACTGACCACGATGCTATTCTTCCCCGGAACAACGTGCATATTCTTAATAGTTCCGTTTCCGATGATGAATCCATCGTGGCTCATGACGATATTGGAGTACGGAATGAACGCCTCCCACGGCATGGGGTTTTCCGCAGACACGCTGATCTTCAGGTTCATCGAGTCCTCAGTTGTACTTTCGATGACGATATCATTCAGCGTCGGAAACGGGAGCGCCGTGAAATCCGGCAGCCCGTCGAGGGTGATATTCCCGGACGCGGGAAGCTTGCGCACGATGAACTCCCCGAGACTGGTGTTGATGTCCGCGTCCGCGGTTCCATTGATTCCCAGATTGATAGCCTTGCCACCTCCAAACAGGATCTTGCGGACGACTTCTCCGAACGTGTCGTAGTCAGTCACGTCCAGCGGGGCGTCGGTCACTACGCCGCTGACGCGGAGAAGATTGTCCTTCCCAGGGATACGCTCCGAGGTGGCGGGGATCCACTCCTTGATGTTGAGTGTGCCGAACGCGTGCTGCTCGTAGGAAACGTCTGCCAATGCTCTGAGCTGCGTGATGTTGATGGGCAGGGTCATCTCCTTCGGGAGTGCAATCACGGCCTCAACTGTTGCGCTGAGAAGCGGCGCAACGTTGCCGGATTCGCCTGGTAGCTTGATACTGACGTGCGAGAGTCCGAAGGATTGAACGACGTTATCGAACGTATTTCCGGGAACAGGAATCGGCACTGTGACGCTGCGGAGTAGCTCGACCAACCACGCCGGGGCCCGCCCACCATAGTTGACTCCATCTCCGCCCACGTAGACAACGGCTTCCTGCCCGTGGAGATAATTGCCGAGGAACTGATCCATGGGGGAAAGGTTGTTGTTGGGACAGACGGCTGTTAGGCCGGCTGGAAGCGAGCGAATGAGGCCTGCTACGTCGACTACGATATCGGTCTTCGGTTTGATGCTGATTTGAGAAGATGTGGCGCTGGCCGTCTTGATGTGAGAATCACTCTTGCAGCCGGGAAGAGAGACCTCGAATCCCAATGGAGACACATCGAAGGCGAAAGGGTATGGGTTCTCAATCACTACGGATACGTTGGCAAGGATCGCCCTCTTGTTATCGATCTCGACCTCTTGAACGTGGAGTCTGGTCAGTTCGTACGTGGGAAGTTCGGGAAGGTCTGAAGATATTGTCAGCTGCCATGACTCCGTGTACCTAACTGTTGGAAGAAATATTACCTGTCAGGATCAATTCCCGAATCATCCTGCCAGGATTCACAGACACAAACCATTTCCTTATCCTCAGGTCCACCTCGCCCAAGACTTTGACAGAATTCAAGTTCCCGGACAGATAATCGTTCGCCAGCAAACGGATAGTATCGACGGAGCCCGGTTGCGTGTCCGTTACGAAGTAGAGATTCGTCGTGTGTCCATTCCTTATATCAATAGTCATTCCCGGGACCCTCGCCGTCCCCACGAGGGCATTATCGTAGTCGGGCAGATGTACGCGCACGTCAAACTCCTTCACGCTGACATGTCCCACAACAAAAGTCCCGATCCTTCCCAGCGTGCGCACGCCCCAGCCCTTCACCCGGCGCGCGTCGACATTGACTTTGGCCTGCACAGCCACCTTGACACCCTTGTCGGTGAACGAGTCGACACCGACGCTGTCGATGTCCAGCGCCACCGCATCCTGCGCATATCGCTCTGCTGCAGCAGGAACGAAGAAGCCCAGCGAGAGAATCGCAAGTATCAGGCCGCACAGAGCGGCGAGCGCCACTACACTCCAGTTCCGTCGGCGGCGAGCTTTGTGCTGCGGTGTTTGCGGCTGTGAATGCGAGGGCGTCGACCGATAGGACCGAGGTTCCAGTGTTGTCAGGAGTGGCGAGTGCTCGGACGGATCTTGACGGGATTCTATGTTCGTGAGGAGAGCCGAGAGCGTCGCAGGCGTGGGTGCGTCGTATGAGAGTAGAGGCGTGCGCTCGGAGGAATGGTCTTCCTCTCCATCGTGATCATACTTTGAGTGCTTGGACCGCACACTTGACGCCTTTCCGTTCTGCGACTTCACACTGGGCGCCTTTCCGTTCTGCGACTTCACACTGGGCGCCTTGACGCTGACGGCTCGGATACTCGGCGTCCGCGAAAACATGGCGACTTTGCGACGAACGAAGGGTATGGCCCGGAGGCGCGAAGGCTTGCTTTATTCTCTGGTGCTTGTCGCAATAGCCGGCTCCGAAGAAGAGATTCGCTGTCGTGAATGCCGAAGGTTTGTTCCGGGGTATCAGTACTGTGTGTACATGTAGCTGTCGAGCTTACAATTAGCGATATGTCGAGCTTGTGCGATAGCTGTGAGGTGCGCATACCTTCAATGCTGTATATAATCGAGGTGGCAATATATCGGAGGGGTTCTGCAGGTATCGCCCGTTGTTATCTTTCGACGGTTGTTCGTGCAGTCGTTACAGCAGAGCGATAAGGTAGTAGTTATGATGGTGGCTCTGTCTTGGGGGGAAGGGTTCCGCTGATGTAGGCTCAAAGTGGTGACGACAACGACAGCCACGTCGGTCGTGCCTGGCTTTGGGCCATCAAGCTGTGCCACCCACCTTCAGCCAGACTCCCGGTCCCGGGCATGGCGCTTATGGTTGAAACGATCGCCAACATCGAGTGGGATTAGTTACTAGTAGATAACATACCCAGCCAGAGTACGTATGCACATACTGGGGCGGGGTACAGAATTCGTATCCTCGTCCATCCTTCTGTCGCTGACGAGAGGATAGGTCTTCTACTATTACAGCGCTTCAAGCTCTCGGATTCGCCTGATTGTGAATATCAATATGGGCTGAGCAATGAGCATTAGACGTGGCTGCCTTGAGTGCATAGAGCGAATGGGTGCTAAATAGCGCTCATTCCCCGAGGATTTGGTATTCGGTTGCGAAGGCTAGAAAGAGAGGTCGGGATCCTCATCTCGAGTTCGCGATGCGTTGCACGTCAAACGAAGGCAGTCTCTGTCGCGTGCGCAAATGTCAGGTGATTTGACAGGTTCGGAGTCGAGACATCTTCTTCACCTTTCACTCCACTTCGAAAGGTCTGGCCGCCACGACTCATCATCGTTCCTTCCAACGCATCTCTCACTCGGAACCGAAAACCCGAACATTCCCCACAGTCCGTGCGGAGAGCGTGACTCACAGACATATCTACCGTATTCGCAGTGCCGATCAAGCGGCTCTCAACATCCGCGGGTATGATAGTATCTGCGCACCTCGCCGGATCTTTTCCCGACGGGATGAGCCATTCAAAAGTCCAATCGAATTGCTGCTGGACTCTTACCAACAGAATCGCTCTTCCAGACGAGAAGTTTGAACGGCGGCTTTCTAGTGGGGCGATAACCCAAATGTCGGGCGAGAGTGAATGAACCCTGAGTGACAACGACGTGGCTGTAACTCTAAACTCGTATGAGATTCCACTATTGCTTCGTCACTGGATACCTATTGGTGTTCCACCGTGGTCGTTTCTCCACCAGGCCAGCGTGCTAGGTATCTATTCGATGGGCACACTCGGTGAGAGTGGAGCTCGACAAGGAGTATAATAGTAGAGACACATACAGGGCTGTTGAAGAATCCAACCTCTGATACGGCACGCTACATACAATCTTAATCTACCTATTGCTATGCTTAATTCACGTGAGGTTTTGCGCGGGACAAGCAACTCCCATTTCACGATACCTGGTCCATATCGGTTTGGATAGATAGACGCGGTACCTCTTCGGCGAGGCGCTAAAGACGGCTGCCTAGCGGTCTCCGGCGCCTTTTACTCTGGAAAAATGTCCGCTATGTTCACCATCAAAGAGCACGAGGAACCACCCTGAGCAAAGTGTGACCTAGAGCTGTTGATAGTGGAATACTGGCACATGTGTAGAGTACTCGGACCTTCTCCCTTCATGCGGGGTGGAGTCATAGCCCCAGTTAGAACGCCGTTTAAAAAATTAGAGTGCGTTGCACTAGATCTGCCCCGCGAATCGCGGAGCTCGCAAATAATCGGAGCGTAGTCGAAACGACAGGCTCACCATAAACCGCGAACATCGCGACATCCAACCCCACCATCACCGACCCCACACCACCACCACCACCAGCGCCCCGCACTCAATCCAGAAGAAATGTCTTTCTGCAAGTCAACTCTCCGTGCGGCCTCGAAGACAGCAGCGACTCGGCCATTGATATCGACCCGATCGGTATCGACCGCCGGGCCCGCCGCAAACCTTTCGACCTCGCCATTCGCGCCGCGACACTTCCTCTCCATTGCCGACCTCACACCCAAGGAGCTCTCCACGCTGGTCCGCCAGGCATCCAGGGCGAAACATGCAATCAAGTCGGGAAACATCCCGTCGTCGCTGCAGGGCACGCTGGCCGGAAAGACCGTCGCTCTGATGTTCGCAAAGCGCTCCACCCGGACTCGAGTGTCGACCGAAGCCGCGGTAGTGTACATGGGAGGCCACCCAATGTTCCTCGGACGTGACGATATCCAGCTCGGGGTATGCCCCCCCTCCCCACCGTTTATCCCGCCACACTGACCTCCATCCCAGGTCAACGAGTCCCTCCACGACACCTCGCGGGTGATCTCCTCGATGGTCTCCTGCATCGTCGCCCGCGTAGGCCCGCACTCCGACATCGCCGAGCTCGCCAAGACATCTTCGGTGCCGATCATCAACGCGCTGTGCGACTCGTACCACCCATTGCAAGCCGTAACGGACATCCTGACGATGTCGGAAGCGTTCCCGAAGCTCGCGGGTCTCAAAGTCGCCTGGGTCGGCGACGCCAACAACGTTCTATACGACCTGATGATCGCGTGCGGCAAGCTGGGGATCAGCGTATCGGTGGCGACACCGTCGGGCTACCCCGTCGACGCGGGCATGCTCGCCCTCGCGCGCGAAGCCGCGTCCACCTCCGGCGCCACAATCGAGACCTGCGGCGTCCCCGAGGAGGCCGTCAAGAACGCCAACGTCATCGTCACCGACACGTGGGTGTCCATGGGCCAGGAATCGCAGAAGGCGCAGAAGCTGAGGGAGTTCGCGGGCTTCCAGGTGTCGATGGATCTGGCTGCCCGCGGCGGCGCACACAAGGACTGGAAGTTCATGCATTGCCTCCCGAGAAAGCCCGAGGAGGTCACTGATGAGGTTTTCTACTCCCCTAAGAGTCTGGTGTTCACCGAGGCCGAGAATAGGCTCTACGCGGCTCTGGCGGCCCTCGAGGCGTTTGTCGTCAAGAAGGGGAAGTTTGAGGAGTAGATAGAGCGGCGGAGATGGAAATGAGGCTTTCGTGCTGACACACTCACACACCCTGTTCCCCGTCCGGGTGATGATCAGTGATATGCGTGATATGACTACGAGAATTCGCCCCCATCTTATGCGCACCATGTCAATCTTGCCTGTGACTCAATCCCGGATTGACAACCCATCCATCCATCTTCATATCCCTCCATCGTACATACATAACCCATCCTGGGGCGCGCAGGAAGAACCGCAGGAAGAACTACAGTAAGATACACACTGCCGTACCGTAGATAACCGAAGTCGTTCCGTTGCGCGCGTGATCGTATGTAGGTAGAGTAGAGTACATACGAGGGATTTTGGGATGGATGTGGTCCATTGGTAATGGTATCACTCGCCACCCAGGTAGGAAAGTAGTATCGCAGACGGGTTGAGGTCAAGATATTTGAGCCCGTTTGGAACGCTGACGTTCTTAAGCGCTCATTGACCATCTTTGAAGTTTGAGCATTCCAAGCCCTCGTTCTTTCCACTCCAGAGTTGAATAACCAGTCGGAGACGGTATGTACCCAAGTATGCACGGCACATGTGCCTCACGAGTCACCATGAATCCCCACCACCAACTCACCGGCTGACAGCTGCAGCCTGGGAGAACATCCACCAGCCACTTCTGCACCAGCCACTTCTGCACCAGCCACCCACCAAGATCCACTCCGAGTATGCACTCAAGCAAGTACCGGGTATGCAGCGACGACTTCCTTATGCTGCGCAGTCACCAACCTGCACTGCAGCCAATCTCTCACCAATCTGCAGCCAACAGCCCCCATCCCCTGTGGCAGGCACCCAAAGCCAAAAACCAAATGCCAAAACGATCGATCGATCTGTCGGTGCCAAAAAAAAGAAGAAAAAAAAGAGGAGTAGCACACTTTAAGGATGAGTTCTGAATGCGGATGGACGAGATCGCCGTATCGCGGTTCTTCGTCGATCACTCTAGAGGACTATATTCGCCAGTCTGGATGGACGCCGGATGGAGGGCTTCTATGGGCTTCTATGGGCTTCTGTACAGCTGGCGGTACCGTATTCCTTCGTTCTACTGGAGTATATCCATCCATCGTGGGTTATTACTGGCAGGTTTTCTGCGATGGCCCTACTCCCGGGGAGCTGTACCTAGGTTGTTTACGATAGCTGTAGCTGTGAATTCTCGTTTCGCCTTCTTGGGCTTGCCACAGAGTACTTCTTCATAGGCACTTATATTCGCCCAGAACATTGCACATACCAATAGCTCGAATTGATACTTCCCCAAGTTGTTCTGGATAAGTATCATGACAAAAATCCTGTGGAAGGAAGGAAGGATATGCACTGGAGTATCAAAGACTGCGAGTATGCACCTACCTACCTACCTTTCCTCGTTCGTAGTATCCTCCTGGAGTACGTCGTCCACCGGTACTGGTATGTCACCCTCCTCTTCCTCTTCCTCGCCGGGTTCGTTACTATCCTCTCTGGCCAGGTCTTCCTCCTCCTCCTCCTCAATCCCTTCAACTATATCGGTATTCCCACCAGCCCCCCCACCACGACGCTCCTGTTTCCAATACAGCTCTACCACTACGTCAGCGCAGTCCAGTCCACCAGCCCAGCACCCCCCTCCCTCCATCCCAGCGTACTCACCAGCCAACCCCTCCCCAGTACTCGCCTCCTCTATCCCCTTATCCCCCCTCCTCCTCACAAACCTCGGAAACCTGAGACTCAACCCCCTCTCGCCATCCACCAGCCCTTGTCCGGCCGTATACACCGGACTAAGCGACACCTGCGCAAAGGCGATTTCCCAGACCTCGCTTGGCTCGAACCACACATTGGGCTTGATCGCGCTTGGTGCGTCGTAATACGCCTTCCTTTTCGCACTCGTATTCCCCGTCTCGCTACCACCGTCGCCGTCGAGGTCGGGGGCGTAGAACGCCGTGATCTCAGCGTACATCTTGTCCGTGAAGCCGGACATGCATTTACACACTGCCTCGAGCGCGCCGGTAGAGGGGTTCCGAACCGCCAGCAGGATCGGAGACCACCACGCAGCCTTGCGCCCCTGCCCGTGCCAGCCGCCGATGGGGATTAGGTCCAGTGTGTCCGAGGAGCGGGAGTAGTCGGCTTTTACTTTCAGCCAGGACTCGAGACGTTGGGAGGGGGTGTAGGTCGCGAGCAGAGGTTTGTGGCGGGGGCGCGCTGTGGAGGGGACAGTGTCGGCGGCGGTGGAGGGGACGGAGGGGTTGTCCAGGACTTTGACCATCAGGCCTTCGCAACGGGAGGAGAGGGCTGCGGTGAAAAAGCTGCGCACGCGGTCGGAATCGCTGTATACGGCGTCGAGGGATTGCACCAGCGCGAATTTGTGCGGGACCGGCGTGAACATTGTCCGCAGCAGCTCGCGGCGCTCGCGGAGGGAGGTGGAGAGGAGCTCCTGCGCGGGAAGGTAAGTATCTGGTCAGCGCTTCTGGATCAAACGTGTATGAAACCCACTGGGGGACGGACCTGGCCATTCAAGTACATCAGGTCGAAAGCGAAGAGGCAGACCGTGACGGTGACGTTCCCAATGTCGACATTCTTCCTCTCCCTGCCAGCGAGGGTCTGGAACTTCCCCAGCTCGCCCGTGTTGGCATCCACAGCGACCACCTCACCCTCCAGAATAAAGCTCTTCACGCCCTCCCCCCGCACACGCGGAACCAGCGCGACCAGGTCCGGATACTTCCCCGTCATCAGTTCCAGATGTCTACTGAAGATCTCTACCCTTCCGCTCTCGTCGCAGTGGATCTGTGCCCGCTGCCCATCGTACTTATACTCGCACGTGAACTCCCGTCCCCGCAGCTTCACCAGCATCTCGTCCAGGTCCCGCGTGATGCTCCCGAGCATCGGTATGAGCGGCACGTGCAGCGCCATCCCGCACACCCGCGGCAGCGCGTCCACGCCGCCCGAAAGCAGCGCCGGTACAAGGTCGTTGTAGTTCGGCCGCCGCGCAAAACAGCGCTTCAGCGTGTCCTCGGCGCGGGCAAACACTTCGAGCCGCTTCTCCTTCTCCGTCGGGAGCGGGTGCGTATTTGTATCCCGCAGCACGAACGCCCGCGCAAGCGCGATCAGCATCGTTGTCCTCACGGCGCCGATCCGCAGGTGCTGCAGCAGCGTGCGCACGAGGTAGCGGAGCTCCTCGCCGCGGGCGGCCACGAGGAGGCGTTTAACGTGCGTTTCTTTGGCGGCTTGCGAGCCCTTGCCCGATACGGCGGCGAGCTTGACGAGCGTGCTGTATACGCCCGTGATCGTGAGTGGTGCGGGCTGCCCCATGGCCAATGTGCGCTGCGTGGATTTGGCGGAGAAGGCGACGTCGCCTGTGGTTGGGTTAATGGGGTTAGAAAGGGGGGGGGGGAGATGAGACTTGCCTGGGTCCCCGTATTTGTGGTATAGCTTCTTGACGGCTGCGGGTGTGATCCCGCTCGTTTTGATGATCGCCTTGGCGATGGTCGAGCTGCCGATCCCGAGCTCGGTATTTTCGTACGGCGGGCCGATGTCGTTCGTGGTCAGCCATACGGCTGGCAGCAGGGACTCGGGATCCAGCACCATTAGTAGCCGCAAAAGGTTCACCAGTGTGTCTACTATCTTGATGCGGGACCGTGTGGCATTCACCAGTACGAAGGCGTGTGTTAGAAGGCTGTAGGGCGTTCGGCCGTGAGGCCATTCCGTCGTGAGGTGTTGGTAGTCGTTCGGGTTGAAGGTCAGAGGATCATTGTCCAGTGGGATGGCTTCTGTGGTTTTGGAGCTGTTCCCTTCCGTGAGGACCAAGATTCCTACGGCCTTTTTGGACTGTGGTGTTGTCGTTGAAGTCTGTTGATCTCCCTCCTGATCCTCCTCCGATTCTTTGGCAGCTACCTGGCTTGCGGGCTCGGAATTCCTTCTCTCTTGCGAACTACTCCTCTGCCGCTTCGATCCCGCATGGCTACTCAAGCCCCCATTTACCGCCATAGCCTGGTCCTCTTCTCCCCATTCCCAGGCCAATCTTCGAGCAAACTCTTCATCCGTCAACGTCGACGCATCAGCCTCTTCCGAGTGACTGGCCGGTGCTGCGGGCTGTGATGGTAGCGGGACTGATGGTTTCTTCGCAAAAAAGTGGTCCAGAGTTTTCCCCTTGTATGGCGAGCTGGAGCTGGGCGGGTTCTTCTTTCGCTTTTTCGCAGGACTGCTAGATGCCATTGCAAGTGATGTGTTGAGTTGAATGAACGTTGCGAGGTGGAAGCTGTTGTCGTCATGAGTTCCATCAACTAGCTGGGAGCTCAACTGCGGTAGCACCTGCTAGTCAGTAGCTCTGGTCCGGGATCTTCGTCATCGATCGGCCGCATGGTCCGTGGATCGGGACGCTGGTGCCAAATGCTCGAGTTCCCGCCGGACTCCGCGCAACATCCGTGCCCGAGTGCAATTCCGTCCGGATTGCCATCGCGCCGTGTCGTCGATACTGGTTTGTGCCCGCTGTGCCCCGCGGGATCGGCGTCGCTGCCAGGGAAGTGTCGGTTTGTTCGGTTCTTCATACCGTACCGTATTGCATGCGGCCTATCAAGATCATGTAGGTACGAATGCGCGATAGAAGTCTCTATGTAGATAGATACCGCCCGCAGCCAGTGGCGTCGTCGTCCGAGGGACAGCGATTCTCCGTCATCCTCTGGAGCCACTCCGAGCCTAATTGAGCCTAGTAGAGTCCTTGGTCACGTGGTGCAGCAATAGCCGCATTGGTTTATTAATGTGTGAATTAAAAATCGATTTATTTATTCCTTGCCGATTTTCGTTGGCGACTCCGCTTCCGTGTCTGTCTGCCTGTGAGTCGCTATTCTCGTCGTTGCCCCCCTCGCCCCGGCCATCCATTCCATCTCACCCCCCCCCCCCCCCCCCCAACACCCGCCTTGCCTGTTGTCGCCCACTTCCACCATCACCACCCCCCCAAAGCCAAAGACGGCTTGTGGTTGGCTCGTGGGGATAGTGCTGTTCCTACAACGTCACCACCCACCCTCTCCGCCCGCCGCCCGATCGAAACAGCCCTTCTTCCCACCCACCCTCCCACCACCACCACAACCACCACCTCCCGCCAACTGCTGGATGCTACCACCACCTTCCAGCAACTAAAACGTCCGAACGACGCCAACGAAACCCGACATCCCGAACATCTCTTACTCGTTCGAATCGACGCACGCTTGCTTTTCCCGCCCACCTGCCTGCTTGCCTGGCTTTCGCCTTGGCTGTTTTTAACTCTAACGCAACCGTAACGAACGTCCAACCAACTCTATCTCACACCTTCACCTTACTCCCATACTCACCCGTTCATTCACCCAACTCCGGAAGTATTCCCACTCCCCGTATACTGTCCGAGCCCGCCGCTGCCCGCCGCCCGCACACCCCCCCCATCCGCCCCATCTCTGTATTCATACCTCCTCCTCCCCTCCCCTAACATCAGCTGTCTTGTTCCCCTCCCCCCAAAACCCCCTCAAAAACCCCGTACCGAAAAAGCTCTCCTTCAGGCGTGTCGGGTGCGTGCGGAGTGTGAGGGTGAGAGACACCCGCGGAAACAGAGAGAAGAGAGGGATCGAGGGTGACCTCCGCCTCGATTCAGTGCCCCACTATCCCACACCAACTCTCCCCCCAACCCTCCACCCACACAACGCAACCAGCAACCGGAAAAATCCTATCCTTCATACCACCACCACCACTGCCGAAAATATACCCCACAACCACGAATCGAGCCAGCTGCCCAAATCTACCCCCCCCAGAAGCTCCCTTGTTTCTTAGTCACTGTGTAGCCGATACAAACAGCCGTCATGTCGCACCAACAGCAGCAGCACTACGGCTACTGGCAACCTCCCCCTCCGTTCCCTCCTACCCCGGCTGAATATCACCAGTACGCCTTCGCGGACGTGCGTCCACAGCATAACCAGCCCGATTATCCTCCAACTTCCCCCGCCTATTCGCAACAGCCACATCCACAGTACTACCCATATTCGTCGCCACCCGCCCAGCCGCCGCTATCGGTGTCGCAGTCCCAGAATGCCTATCCCGATCCTCGATCTCCCATGCAGGCGAACTTCAGTCCGAACGACATGTACACGCCGATGCCCGGTGCATTTGACTATCAGATCCCCGACATGGCCGGCCTGAATCTCGAGGATCGGCCTCCGTCGCCGCAGTATGTGGGGCGCAGGAGCAAGAGTAAACCTAGGAGCAGGGCGTCGAGCAAGGCATCGAATTCCACGAGGCCGACTTCGAGGGTGGAGCACCGGAGCATGCGTGGAAGGAAGCGGGCAATCGCTCCCCCACCTCCTCCGCCGCCGGGATATAAGCCGCCATCCATCGAGACCGTGGCGAACTCGCCCGTCCTGCTGCCGAGCTTGCCGTCGGAATCGCAGTCGTTGCTGGAAGAGGATGAGCAGTATATGGAGGATTATTTGAGGAGCATCGCTAAGGCAGCTGCTTTTGCCAATGCTAATGCTCAAACGGCGGAACCTCCAAAGTCCAAGAGGGGAAAGTCTAAGAAACGGCCTCAGGTGCCTTTGTTCGCCGTGCCGGAGCAGGACCAGCTCCCGCAGCTGGAGCGCGATCGCACCCCGTATGCTAGCTCTTCGGCTACCACTAGTACGGCTGCGTCATCGCCTCCTCCGGAAAAGTTGCCGCTTGAGCGTGAAAGGAGACAGTACGGGGGAGCCGCTGCGAAACGGGGATCGGATGCGGAGAGCGAGTTACGTGGTAGGAATGGAGGTGGAGGTGGAGGAGGAGGTGGTGGAGGTGGAGGAGGAGGTGGTGGTGGTGGAGGAGGAGGTGGTGGTGATGGTGGATATGCAGGAAGTGATGGACGCCATTCGCCAATTGTGGAATTGGAGCGTGAGAGGCGGCAATACGGTGGTTCTAGCGCTTATACAAATCACCACGAGGACACAGAGCGAGATGGCAGGCAGTATTCTGTTGGCGGCAATGACGCGGATCCAATGCCGCCGGAAGCTGCGCCCCGCAAGCCTCAGCCTTACTCCTTACATCCGGAGGCGGGCTCCCGTCAATCGCAGCATTATTCCGTGCAACCCGAGCCGTCTATGCCCCAGCAGCAGCCGCAGCCGCAGCAGTATTCGGCGCCACCAGAACCGGCTCCTGTGCCGCGTCAATCGCGACCATACGCTATGCCTGCGGAAGTCAACAAGCGCAAATCTCAGCATTTTTCCACACAGCCTGAGGATTACTTAATACCCAAAGAAGCTGCACCGCCGCGTCAATCCCAGCCATATTCCATGCAGCCTGATGCTACTTACTCGATGCCTCCAGAAGCCGCGTCTCGTCAGTCGCAGCCATATTCCATGCATTCGGAACCGGAATATCACTCGCCGCCTCCTCCGGAAGCCGCACCCCGTCAACCGCAGCCGTACTCGATGCACCGGGAGCCAAGCTATGATATGCCCCCGGAAGCCGCATCTCGCCAGTCGCAATCGTATTCCATGCACCCGGAACCGGCATACTCGCCTCCGCCACCAGAAGCTGCTCCTCGCCAATCTCAGCCTTATTCCATGCATTCGGAGCCGGCGTACAGTATGCCCCAGGAAGCTGCACCGTCGCGTCAATCTCAGCCGTATTCGATGCAGCCGGACCCGGCGTATAGTATCCCCGTGGAGACTACGCCCCGTCAGTCGCAACCTTACTCGATGCATAAGGAACCGACCTACGATAAGCCGCAGGAAGCTGCTCGCCAGCCGCTGCCTTACTCCATGCATCAGGAACGTGAGTACTCGCCCCCTCCTCCGGAAGCTGCACCCCGGCAATCGCAACCGTATTCCATGCACCGGGAGCCGAGTTATGACAAGCCGCCGGAGGCTGCTACTCGTCAACCGCAGCCGTACTCCATGCATCAGGAACCGGAATATTCGTCGCCTCCTCTGGAAGCCGCTCCCCGTCAATCTCAGCCGTATTCTATGCAGCCGGACTCGGCGTATAGTATCCCCGTAGAGACTACGCCCCGTCAGTCACAGCCTTACTCGATGCAACCGGACCCAGTGTATTCCAAATCCTCGGAACCTGCGCTCCGTCAGCCGCAGCCTTATGTCGTGCGTTCAGACTCTTACTCGTCGCAGCAATCGTACTCGAAGGCCCCAGAGACTACACCCCGTCAATCGCAGACATATTCAAGCCCGACATCAACGGCATCTAGGCGTGCTAACCAATTCGCCTACTCTTCTGACCGGCCACACTCCCGGGATGATCTGCGGCCGTCGAAGTCACCTGGTGTCACTCAGTCCCCGCGACAGCCTCCTCCACCTCCACCCCCGGAGTCGCCGCATTACACGCACTCACACTCCAGTAGAGTTCCGGAATCGCCGCAATACGCGCAGTCGCAGTCCAGTAGCACTAAATCACAGCACTCGGTGCCTGCAACTTCTCGGTTTGACGCACCGGCTCCAAGCGAACCTGCGCCGCCCTCCCCAACTCAAGACGGTTTTGCGCAGCAGAGTTTGGTTCATCGTCCAACCACTCCATCATCCGAGTATCTGTCCGATCTGATCCCCGCTTGCCCGAAACGTCGGCCAGTTGCTAAAGGTGTTTGGTACGGAGTACCTGGCATTACAAACTTCCACGTTTGCGAGAGGTGCTACGAGCTTCACGTCTACGACACGGCCTTCATAAAGTACTTTTCCGAAATCAAGCTGGCTGATGGTCAGAAGACATTCTGCGCGTTCAATACACCCCGCGTCTTGAACTATGTTTGGCCAAAGACCATCGAGGAAAATGTGTTTGAGATTTTCAAAAGCTACGCCGCGGGCCGATCGTCGATTGGCACCTGTACAGGCATGGATGCCTCGGCCAAGAAGGGTGTGTGGTACACGATCAAGAACAGTCCTCGGGGCGGGTTCATCGCCTGCCAGGCTTGTTATCAGGATGTGATCTTGGCGACTCCGTTTCACGGCTACTTTGGTCCGCTCGAAGCCACCGTTTCCGAAAACACCATCTCATGCCATGTTACTTGGCCCTTCATCGAGGCGCGTTTGCTGAACACGCCGACATCGAGTTGGGACGAGATCCAGCGTGACATTGAGTATAGGCTGCTCAAAGTTCCCGCGTGTCCGGGGGACAAGCTGATCAAGGATACGGGCCGTCGGTGGTGGAAGCCGAAGGGGACAGTGATGCCGCTGTACATCTGCGACTGCTGTTACTGGGACGGCATTTACCCGACGGTTTTCAGTGGCGAGTTCGATCTGGTGGTGCAGAGCCGCAAGCAGGCCTGGTGTTGTGCCATGAGTGGTTACCAACTCAGCACCGTCTGGCAGCATGCTGCGGAGAAGAAGGAATTCAATAACTGGCTGGAAGCCGCCAACGCTGCACTCTCACCGATGTGCCGCTTCGAAGGATCCTCAGGTCAGATCTGGAACGTCTTCAAGGACCCCACCCTGGATGGCTTCGACTTCTGTGAGCGCTGCACGGACGTATTCATCCGTCCCCTGGGCTTCGGCAACCGTCTCGAGAAGCGTCGCTACTCGGCAGAGGAAATCATCAAGTGCGATCTCAACCCCGCGAACGAATACCAGTCCGCGCTCCTCCGTGAACTCGGCGAAGCCGCCGCCTGGCGCGACTTTGGAATCGTCAAGAAGTACCTCAGCCAGCTCGCTCCACAGGTGTACAAGCCGCCGGCGTGCCCGGGTGAGCTCGTCGTCAGCAGGTCCAGGTGGTGGGGCTGTCAGGGCTTCAACGTCTGCGAGGAGTGCTGGCTCGAGCGCGTCAAGTCCAGTCCATTCGCACCCTTCGTCAAAGAATTCGACCTCCAGGGCGAGCCCGAGGAGCTCTCGTGCGATCTCGGAACTCCCGATTGGCGCTACATCTGGCAGAAGCGGTGCGAGCGTAGGGATTTCGATAGCTTCATCGAAGCTATCACCCTCAAGAATAAACTCGACGATGTACGGTTGCAGCGTGTGGAGACGATGGAGGAGATGCGCGAGAAGAGCCGCCGTGGCCTGTTTCCTGACGAGAGGAGGCGCCTTCAGGGCCTGCTCAATATGCTCCAGGAGGAGGAGAGAGATACGACCAATATGCTGGCGGTTTTGACGAGGGTGTAGTTTACTATGGCTTTGTGCTTGTGCTTGTGCTTATGGTGTTTCTTTTCAATTTTATGCTGTTCTTTTTTGTTTATTATTTTACTTTGGGGGGGGGGTCCGGCGTGGCTTTTAAAATATGGATTTGGTTTCTTGTCTTGTCTTGTCTTGTTCTTGTTATTTCGGTGGTGGCGGATGTGCTTTTTTCCGTTGCTTTGCTTGCTTGCTTGTCTATTTGCTTGCTTGCGCGCTTGTGCTTGTATTTTGGGCGTCTGCAGTGTCGTTCCCTTCCTTACTTATTTATGCTTTACTTTATGCTTTATGCTTTACGATTGATGGGATAGGATGGGATTGATGGGATGAGATGGGATTGGTGGGATGGGATGGGATTGGTGTGGGGGTGCTGTGGTGATACCTATTTCTTTTGTGTGTGTGTTGTGCAGTTTGATTTATCTTGTGGAGAGAAACGTGTGTGGTATAGGTGGTATAGGTATGTGGTATTTTTAGATAAACGAGAGATCTATGCACACTGAACACTGGACCGAGCTGCCTATTTGACCGTGAGCCGTGAGACTTGAGGTGTCTTGCGTGATGGATTATGACTGCGACTGGCTAGGTAGGTGGACGAAGCCCATGGCTTTACTGTCTCTGGGTCCGGAGCTGAGGGAGAGTGGGGGAGAGTGAGGGAGAGTGTGAATAGCAGCCCGAAGAACGACAAGTCAGGCCCCCCTCGAAATCAGAACCACATCAGAGCCACACCAGAATCCAGAACCACACTGTACACTGCCACTAGCATAACAATCAAAGGGATAAGCATAACAGTCAAAGGGATACGCCGTGCAGATACGCCGTGCAGATACGCCGTGCAGATACTCCGTGCAGATATACTTAGATAAACGAGAGATCTACGTATATATACTGAACGGAGCTATTCATCCATGAGCCTTGAGGTGCCTTGAGGGGTGAATACGACTGACGATGTACGACGGACTACCTAGGTAGGTAGGTACCTGGTAGGTACTTGGATAGACGAAACTCAGAGCTTTTGACGTCTCTTGGGCGGAGTAGAGGCGGGGGTGAGGGAGAGTGGGGGAGAGTGTGAATGGAGGCTGGAAGGCTGGAGGACTGGGACGGGACGGGATACAAGGCTTGGACTTGGAGCTTGGAAGGGTTGGAATATCCTACTCCACCAGCAGCAAGTATGAATAGCAGCAAGTGTGAATAGCAGCAAGTGAGTGTGAATAGCAGCTCGAAGAACCGTAAATTAGTCTCGTCCTCGACATCAGAACCACACTCCACAACGCCGCTGGCAGATGGGTATCATACGCCGTGCAAATGCATGACAACCATTGATTAGGCAGGTAGAAGTATCTACAGTACAACCAAACCATACCAGAAAACAGTGTCATCCACGATCCACCATGTCCGAACGCAGTAGAAAATCAGAAGAAAACTAGTATAGCACCACCACAACAACAAAGTTCAAACAGTCATTAAGAAAGAGCCATCAAAGAACAACCATCAAGCAACAATCAGAGATAACGATAAGAAACAACCACAACAACCACAACAATTAACACCCTCAGAACTAAGGACGGCAGCCCAAGATTCCGTACCGCAGGCGAGTGTACTAATTCGGCCGGGCAAGCTTGTAGGTTCCGTTCGGCTGACGGTAGATGTGGGACCAGCCATCGGGGGCTCTAGAATCGGCAGCTCTAGTATAGGCAGCTCTAGCATCGAAGGCTCTAGCATTGGCAGCATCGAAGGCTCTAGCATTGGCAGCTCTAGTTTCGGCAGCAATGGCATCATTGAAAGCTTTGGAAGCAGCGGCAGCTCTAGCATTGACAGCACTGGCATTGGCCCTCTGATTTTCTTTCTGTATTTCATTCGTCAGCGCTCCCATCCTCCTTTCTCCTTTACACGCCCAAGCACAAGCACAAGCACAAGCAAAAATGGGATATCATACTTTCTTCTCGGCCTCCCTCTCGGCCTCCCTCACGACGGCATCAGCCCACCTATCCGCCGCCATATTGGCTTCCTTCCTAGCATTTTCGGCGATGATCTTGGCCTTGGCGGCCTCAAAGACCGCCTTGGTGAACCGCTCGATTGCGGCGGGTGGGCTGGGGGGCGCAGCAATGTACTGGTTGTTGTAGAGCATCGGACGCACACTGCCGTCGGAGTACGTCAGCCAGAAGATGTTGCCGGGGACGGGGCGGGCGGGCGCGGGCGGGACGGGGGGGTAGTTGTAGGCCATTGTAGTTATTTTGCGGAAGTCGGAAGTAGATAGAAATGGTTGCGGGTGATGGAAGTGAAGTGTGGGAAGTGTGAGAACTTGTTGAGGTCGTGATAGTGAATGGTCGGAAGATGGGAAGATGGGAAGATGGGAAGATGGGAAGGAAGAAGGAATGAAAGGCGGAAGCTTGAGCATTTTTATGCGAAATCTTTCGAGCACAGCCATTCAAGGCCATGGATGCGAGGTCATGGATGTGAGACCTTTCAATTCGGGCCTGGGCTGTGAGGAAGATCTTTCAAGGGCCTGAATGTGAAGCCTTTCAATTCGGGCCTGGGGTGTTAAAGAGTATTTCGTGCTGTTAGCCTTTGAATGTCCGCCAAATGGCCACAAGGGAATGGTGGCCATAAATTCCAGGTCAAGCCCCGCTTCTTCGTCGGTCATCGAAGTTGTGATTTCCGAGGTTGATGGAAGCGGTATGTCTTTGTGCGAGAACAATTGTTGCTTAAGTTGACCGAACAGCACATTATCTGAGGAATTTACAAACAGAAAAGTCCCTTGACTCGGACTCGGTGTAAGCGGTGTTCTTTCATCATCTCATCGTTCCACCTGCATACCGTAACCCTTTACTTCACCCTGGACGATCCAGCGGGAACTGCACCGTCCGACATGGAACGTTCAGCTTTCCGGGACCGACAGGGCAGGGAAGGATGACGAAAGGATAGAAGGGTTCATAGCGATCACTCGGATCGCATGGGATAAGGGACCAGAGTCTTCTATATAGACGATGCGGGCTGGTCGCCATAGTCTGGTAAATGCCGCATTCGCTAATAGATTGATGTTCTCTCTAGACGATCCGGGCTAGCACTGTATATAGCCCCGAGTCGACGAGGCGAATAGACCATCGCCTTCTCATTGACCTTGTTCCTGTGGGTAACACATACTCTACCATCTACCAGGATGATGGACCCAGTTCCACGGTAGACAACAAAGGCTCACATCACCGCAAAAGACTTGAGATCAAGGGATGCGAATCAGATGGAATCCGCAAGAGCCACCACACTTTGCTATCCTCATCTATTCCTCTCTAGCGTATACCAACGATCACAAAGTTCCTCGGACTCTCCGCATGATCGAACGCCGCCTCCACCCAAGCCTGCTTGCATCCCATCTCTCGGAGAAACAACCACCTATCGGCAACAATGATACTCTCGCATATCCCCGCCGAGTACGCCATCAAGCTCCATACCACGCTCAGTTCCTTCTTCCTATGTTCAAATTTCCGCATGTATTCCGTCGCCTCCTCTTCAGTAACAGTGATTCGATCCTCCCAGCCAAGCTTCTTCACCGCCGCGGCGATGTATGCCGGGAAGGAATCAAAACTCCCCTTCTTGAGCGAGCCGATGACGATGGGTTCGTTCTCGGTGCTGAGTGGGTCTATTAGGCCCCGGTCGATAAAGATGCGCTGCAGCAGGGCACGATAGAAGTGGCGTTCGAAGAAATCGGCACATGTTGCTGCGGTCCAGTTGGCGGGTGCCTGGCAGGCCATCGACCGTGCGGTGATGTTGAGCTTGGTATCTCTCTCCGTGAGTGTGGCGGAGACGGGAAAGCCCTGGGGATCGCCGGCGGTGGCGGTTGCGACCAGCCGTGGATGGGGGTTGCGGAGGTAGGGAGGCTTGAAGGAGGCGCCGCGTTTCTCTGTCAACAGGTTGTAGCAGCACCCAATCAGGGCGACGGCGCGGACCGAAGGGGTGTTGCGAAAAGCGGAGAGGGCGTGGTGGACGAGGTTTCCGCAGGAGTGGAGCGAGGTTAGGAGAAGGGACTTCGGCGTCGAGGAGCCAGAGTCGCCGGGGATATCGGGGATGGCATCGACTACCACGTCGATATTGCCGTCCGATATGAAGGTCTGCACATACTGCAAGCTTCCAACCTTGTGATCATCCACGCATTCGCCGTCTGCACATTCGTGCGCCTGCTTCTTCAGCTTCCTCTGCACGATCCGGTCATACAGTGTATCCAGCGATTTCGCGCCGTCGATATTGACCGTCCTCGACTCGATGCCAACGACATTGTGTCCGTACTTCTTGGCCACCGTTCGGGAGAGATACGCCTGTCCAGAGCCATAATCAATGACATGGCTGATCGCGTATTCTCCGGCATCGGTATCCGTCTCCACATCTCGCACCAAGTCATCCAAGTACGCCGCAAAGTTCTCAACCTACAAACCGGTAACCTCAAGAATAAGAAACCCCTCCGTCCCGATCCGGGTGTGCGAACACACCTCATGTATCTTCTTTGGTTTCATCCCAGCGTTGAGTGCGCGCTCAGTTCCACGCCCAATAGCTCTGATCGTCTGCTCGCTCTTCTCCCTGCGCACGAACCCGCGCTGCAACATGTGCTCGCGCACTTCCCGAATATACGTCTTCAACGTTTCCGGAACATCAGTCGTGAACTCGTCGATCGGCGTGCGCAGGAATAAGTCGAGGACTGTGTCCAGGGACTGTGCGGCGAACCATGAGATCCAATCTGCAGGAAACACAGTATGGTAAATGTCCTTAGGACCGTCCGTTGACTCGGAGTCGCGCGTGAAGAAGTCGAGGATATGGATGCCGCCGCAGAGCGTTTGGAGGAGAGGAGATGTTGTCCAGAAGGCGAGGAGAGAGTCGATGTATTCTTCCGGTGTGCTGGTGGAAAACCGCGGTGAAACCGGGAGTTGCTGCGGCGGTGGCATGGCAACGATCTGTGTATTGGAGATTCCTCTTGTTGCCCCACGTTCTGTTTTTTAGAGGGTTTCAATAAGTGTGGAAGCTAACTAGCGCCGTGTAACATAGGGGCTTGGCAGATGCTCCCACTCTAATTCAACCTCAACTCAACCCAGAAGACGATTCGACTCGACAGACACCATTACCATCTGTTCAGCTCATCTAGCCCAACCTCAACCACTCCTTTACCTCCACGACCATCTACCAGCTCCGCCAGCGATAGGTGACACTCACTGCAACAATGACGACGATAACTCCGCAAGCGACGCAATCGTCTAAGCCGTAATACTCCGTCCCCCACGCGCACGCGTCACGCTTCTCCTCTAACTTCCCGTAGCCCAATCCTTCCCGCCAACTTCTCTGGAAACCAGCCGAAAACAATCCGTCTCTACCCTCTGAGCAACTACACGTTCGGCACGAAAGAGAACCAGCCAGAAGAGGATCCCTCGGTGCTCGCGAGGCTTCACCGCCTACAGGAACACTACGAGCAGCATGGAATGCGCCGGACTTGTGAGGGTGTGCTGGTTTGCCATGAACACTCGCACCCGCATATTCTGATGCTGCAGATTGCCAATGCTTTCTTCAAGCTGTACCTCCTTCTACTTCCAAGCCATCCCCATGCAACCGACGACTAACCTACTATCCTTAGGCCCGGCGATTACCTCCACCACCACGAAGGCGAGCTCGAAGGATTCAAGAACCGACTCAACGAGAGACTAGCGCCGGTGGGCTCCCAGTTCTCTGGTGAGGGTGTAAACGACGAGTGGGAGATTGGTGACACACTGGCCCAGTGGTGGCGCCCGAACTTCGAGACATTCATGTACCCGTTCATTCCAGCACATGTGACGCGCCCGAAGGAGTGCAAGAAGCTGTATTTCATTCAGCTTCCCAGGACGAGTACGGCCCCACCCTATGCTGACCACCGACACGACTACAAGATGCTAACGGAGGTATCGCAGAGGTGCTCTCGGTTCCCAAGAACATGAAACTCCTGGCTGTCCCCCTCTTCGAGCTCTACGACAACACCGCTAGATACGGACCACAACTCAGTGCAATCCCTCACCTTCTGAGCCGCTACAATTTCGAATTCGTCGATGAGAACGGCAACGTCGTGGCGGTCACCCCCGGTGGCCAAGGCAGCGGCGAGGGAGAAGTACCACAGACGAAGGTGTTGGCTGGAGGTGAAAATGGCGACACCAAGGTTGAGAATAGCTAGGTGCAGCCAAAACCTGAGGATGGAGTCAAGCCCGAGGAGGTTGCTGTGAAAGTGGAGGAGCACGATGATGGCGATGAGAAAGAGAAGGTGGGCGAGGTTGTTGACGAGGAGGACGATGGGAAGGAAATGGATTTGTTTTGGGCGGAGTTGTATAAATAATTACGGAATACGCAGAGACGGAGATACTATTACTACTACTATCTACTGCGAATACACATCACTGTACACATCACCGTACACCAAAAGCTGTAGGAAATCGTGATGCTGCTGCCCAGCAGCTCCAGCTATTGTCCGATAACGTAAGATAGAGTAGGTATATGTTCATTCCTATCACACAAAAGACATGATGCTTGGACTCTCACAAAAGCAAGAACTGGAATACGCAATACAATCGATATCATCCAAAGCAAAACCCAAAGCAAAGGCGAAGGCAATACAGGACAAACCCTAAAAATCTACCATACAAGCAAACATTGAACTTCTAAACAAGAACAAAACACTTGAGGCAGCTACATATATGACCCCTCATCAATCAAAGAACCTTCACCTGTAGCTATTACCACACCAACGCGGACCACCATCATAAGTCCTCACCCTCCCGGGCCCGATCCCCCAAGCCCCGCGTCTCTCATCCTCCAACTGCAACTGCCGCCGGAAGTCCTCCTGCCTGCGTAACCTGCGTCTCTGGTCCCGTCGGACCTCTTCATCCCAGCGTCCTCTCTCTGCCACCATTCGCCACGGGGACGAGGACGAGGATGAATAATAGACCGGTGCTGGTGTGTGAAACGGCTGTTGATGGTGGTGATGGTGCTGGTGGCTTTGAAGGACCGCCTGTGGGCCGTGAGAGAATTGGCCATGGAGAGGGGGCCAAATGGGAGCGTTGAGAAAGGTGGGGTAGTGCGGCATTGCGATTTTGTGGTGTTTTTTTGGTGTAAAGATACTGGTTTGGAGTCGGTGTCGAAAGGCAAGTATGTATTTAGAATGATCTGAGAATTGTATTGGTGACTGATGCTGAAATAACGGCTTAGAATGTGGGCTTCGACTAGCCAATTTATACCTGGGAGGAAACCAGTGTACGACATGGAAGGCCTGGGTACCGGTACTCGCCAGCCTTGTGCACATGCAACAACACACCGCCAAACATCAGTGTTTGTCACATATCATGGGCAGGTAGAAATGTGACGAGCCAGCCTTCACTTTCCTCTGACTCATGGTTTGACAGCCTCAAACAACGAAAGATGCACAATACCATTCTCGAAGCAGACAGCCCTGCCGAAAATCTGGAAATTGTGGGCTAACGGACCTTTATTATGATAGTCGGTGAGACGGTGTGTTCTTGTGGTCAATTCCGTTTGGAAGGTCTGTTTGCAATGCGTATGTACAGGTGATAGGAGGGCAAACCGATTTTCGGGATGTCATGTGAGTTGCAAACACTTGAATTGGGGACCTGAGGCATAAAAGGCGGCGGAAGGACAGTGAATCAAGGGCCAAAAACAGCGGCGGAACACTCAGAGTCTTTAAAGAGTTATACCTACCTCCGCATACCTCATCATTATCAGAACCTCTCGGCTCGCAGTGGCATAATCAATATGGTTGCTGTTTGTCAGGATTAGCCTATCATTCTGCTCCTTCAACTTCACCAAGCTCCACCTACCTCGTCACCTACACCATATATCTTCACCGTCATTCCAATCATCGGGGTCCCTAAATATAACGGTTACGGCAGCCATCCTACACAGCCAACAATATTCCACCGGCGGCCGGTAGCCAGTCTTCAAGCTACTACACCATATAGCCCCCCTCGAGATCTCGGTCCATTCGAATCATCCACGATATGACTATTGTCCACCAAATCTATCAATCGATAATTGTCCTTCGGCAGCCATCGGTCCCAACACCGGTACAGGCTCTACCTACTCTATACAAAGATTCAAACCCCAGGCTTTTCTCGGTGTGTATCGGTTGGATGCGATAGGATTCCTACCCTTTGAGTTACCTTAGCCCGCGAAGGACGTCGATGGCCAGCCTACGAGGGTCTACATCCTCGCGGAACGTCAGTCAATGCGGCGCTTGGCTTCCTAATGTTTCCCGTTCGCTCCAAGTCAACATCATAGACTCCTATATAGAAACGGCTCACATTGGGTACTCCAAGGATATCCAGCCGGAATGAGCCGATCTTTCCCATATAAATTCCACGGTAACCACAATCCGCACAATGGCTGTTCCCAACAATCATCGCCACGGAAAAACGTGAGAATCGCTACCGCTCCAGCAGCCGTTTCAACATCCCGATGGTGAGGAACGACACGGCGTGGCAGGACACCCAGCTATCATGCTCATCACCATTGTGAACGGCCCTACCATCCATATACCGGCGGACCACCTCATCGATGTACAATGCGGGATACACCTTCAAGCGCATCACATCCAACTACCTAAATGACGAGGCACGTACGATGCCATCATATAAGAAGCCCTCGCGACCCATGAGACGGCCACCAGGCACAACAACGATAGCGAGCACCATAAACCGTCGATTGATTAACACGACCACAAATTGGGAGACGGTCGTTCACCATTGCCAAGATTCCCGTGAATCGGTGCCGAGGATGATGTGCGGCTTCTATAGTAACCAGCCAATCATGAAGCACCTACCATCAACCAGCGTGCCTCCATATACCATACCACCATTTCGCACATCTCACCACGGTACTGGACTCATGAATCTATATACTTCTTATATATACGCCCGCATCCTTCCCACGCTATCAGCCATGGCCACCCCCTATTCAGCGGGACGGATAGTGAGATCTAGTTGAACGACGGGCTCTCGCTATAAGGATCCTTCCACATTTCACCTATGGTAATATCTTATAGCGTGGGTGTGGAGCCTGCCATCGCTGGGAAAGTCTTCTGAGGTGGTTGTCACCGCCAGACTCCGCTGCCAGACGGCGACAAATAGAGTACCGAAGCCATCATATAGATGGTAGGCCCGCCTGTCTCATGAACCATCGCAAGATTTGCGGTGATGTCAGAGTATATACACCTGGCTCGAGATATCTACACCCTCGCGAACGGTAACCACCTAATTGCGTCGCTAGACCTGATTACAGCTTTATATAATTGGCATGCTGAGGAAGGATTCACCACGGCCTCGGATCAACAGCGTCATAAGTCGTACCTATACGTGTCCACTCACCACGCCAGCAACCACTACAACCAGCGTAGGCTGTGTACGGGTGATAAGTACTCCCATCTCTACGAGAAGTTCTACGTATAGATCTGCCCCGACTGCGGGCGTACAAGACGACGATGGCGCCTTCCACCAAATCCGCCAGAACATACGGTTCCAGCAATGAATCCAAACCCATATATTTACACGAGTCCCACCACCTACGTCAACCACATACACACACACCGCTACTACCTACAACTATACCTTCGCTAGCAAGGAATAGTCAAAGCCCGATATATTTTACACAAATTCCACCACCTACGTCAACGGTACCCCTATACACACAGACACACAGACACACACACAGCCACTACTAGTACAACTATACCTCCACCATTATCCTCCACAGAACATCACCAAGAGACACGGCGTGGTGCCACCATTGCACGGACAGGTCAGGGCAGGTCAGAGACTTTCCGCCAGAGGTTAGAGTCTGGAGCTATAACCGGACACGGGACTCCGGCTGGGTCTACGCCGCCAAGAAGCTACATCTTCTTCTTCTTCCAATGGCGAACTTCACCGACGAAGATTCGACATTTCGCGCCGGAGGGATTGGGCGATCGAGGAGACTTGGGCAACCGTGGCACCTAGCAGCTAATCCGCGTCTACGTCCGCAGCCGATTCAGAAGCCGGTCGAATCGATATCGGCTGGCATCGGCTGGTATATATCGAAATGAAAGTTCAGGTAGATCAGATTCCTCAGCCGCCAGCGCGGGGGGATGGTTGCTGACGAGGTCAACACATGCGGGTCTACGGAGTTTGTTGTAGTTGGACAACGAACGGTGGATATGTTTCTTTTTTGTTTAATTATCAGTACATTCGACCTTAGTACTCTATACCATGGCAGATTACACATGCTTATCCACTCGGCAGTCCCCGACCGCTGGAAGCGATCTTGGCCGCGAGCTCTATACCGGTTCCCTGCTGCTCTCTACCTAGCCCTCCCTTGGACAACGAAAGGTGGCAACTCGGTCGAGTAGTCCAGACCAGACCACGACTTCACGATGACCTACCTAAGAGAAGAGTGAGGAGGAGTGACGAGAACATGCATATCCGGACTCCGGAGCAGATTATGGTTTCCCATATATACGGCCTACGACGAACGAGAACAAGAACCACGCCAATTTAGCCTACCAGCAGCAGAATACACACAACGGAGGATACTGGCGTGGACAAGAGCCCATGTCACGCACATCAACACATCGGCAAATTGCTGCAACCCCCGCCATCCACGGGCCACATTCACACATTCTCGACACGGGAAGAAGAGAAAGAACTCCTTCCACAAGACCACTATATATAATTTAGCGGGACGGAGAGTGAAATCCGGTTGAACGACAGGCTCTTGCCACAAGCTTCTCACATTCCATCCGCAGCAACATCTTATAGCGTGGGTGCTGAGATTGCAGTCGCCGGGAAGGTCTTCCAAGGCGGTTGTCACCACCAATCTACATTCCCGACGGGGACAACACCGAAGCCACCATATACCTAGACGTCTGTATACCCGACTGTCTCACGAACCATCACAAAATTCGCGGCGATGGGGGAATATTCATCCTAGTGAACGGAAACCACCCGATGGCCTCGCCAGACCTGATTACAGCTATATATAATTGGCATGCTGAGGAAGGATGCAGTACAGGCTCGAATGTACGGCCTTACAAGTCGTACTACGTGTCCACTGATCACACTTTCAACCACCACAACCAGTGTGGGCTTTGTACGGGTGATCATATTACTCCGAGTCCCATCCGTACGAGAAGATCTACGTATAGATCTGCCCCGACTACGGACGTACACGATCACGCCAAGAATGACCCCTCCCACCAAATCAGCCAGAAAATATGGTAGGAGCAATGAATCTAAATCCAATATATTTACACAAATCCCACTACGTACCTACGTCAGCCCTATAGACAAGACTACTCCTACAATTACACTTTCGCTGGCAATAAATCAAAATCCGATATATCTACAGAAATACCACCACCTACGTCAACCCTTATACACACAGCCACACAGACGCAAGCACAGCTACTACTAGTACAACTATACCTCAACCATTATCCTCCACAGAA